GGGCTTCGAAGCCACTTTCGAAGTTAGAACCTCTTCGAAACTTGGATGGCTGACCATCGACTAGCTGTGTATGGGGTGTGATAATTCAAACATACATGGAGCTTCATTAACTGCTCAAATATCGTTATACAGTACCTCTCAATCTTGCCACCAATGTTTGACAGAGAAATTCATGATTGTAAATAAGTAGTGATAGTCACGAGAACAACGGCAAACATTACAAACATTATAGCACTTGTAAACAAATGAGGATGCTCAATACAACGACGCTGAAGGAGCAGAACCTTTTGATGCTGGGCTACAATGCCAACAGGCAAATTGCACGAGTTTCTAGGTTCAAGCAACATAAACTCGTCGAAAATTACTGATCAAAAAAAATTATCCAACCTACGCTAGCCGAACCAATTGACCAAGGAGCGCCCTGTACCAGGCTGTACCCCCACCAAATGAACCCCGGTCCAGCCAACACCCTCCCCCAAAAGGGTCAGCGAGCCCCGGTCCCACGAACACCATCCAGCCAAAATCAGCCCATCCAACCCCGGTTTCGCGAACGGGCTCCGGCGCTGACGCGCCGTTTCAACCCCGGTCCGCCGAACACCATACAGGTGTATAATCAGGGTTCCTGCACGCTCCTAATCCCGAAGTCCGAGGTTCTGCGAATGTGACTTTATGCTGTAGTTTCTCTAGATCTTGTGAAGATACAGCTTAGCTCATAGTGCTGCGTCTCCTGACCTCTCACTTAGACGTTGTCACACGTGTCGCGGTCCGCTGGTATGGCCCAGGGTAGCGAATACTAACGAAATGAAAGTGGAATGAGAATGGATTTGGCACTCTAAACTCCGATAGCGTATTGGCAGTTCGACGTCGAACATTCCAGCGCCCCGAGAACGGAACGGGTCAATTGTACGTGGACAGAAGAGTAGACAATGGGCAAAGGAACCCGTCGAAGAAGCGCCCTGGGGCGCGTCGGCGGCCCGTGGTACGATATTCCAAAAGTCACCAAACTCTTTGTTCCGGATATGGCACGCTCTTTTGGACGTCTGGTGCGCGCCCACAATTGCCCATTCCAGCTCCTCTCTGTCAAGAAGCATACAGCAAGTAACGGTATTATGGCGGCCCGAAACGCGTCCTGGCAGTTGGGATGAAGTGCTGTAGCAATAGCATTAGAGTTTGTGCGCCTTGTCCAAACGTGGACATGCGTCAAGCACGTAAAACGTGATCGCACGCGGAGACTGTCGGAGGTGGTGGAGTCGCCGTCGACGGACGGAGAAGTACTTCTCGTAGGAAGGCGATAAGGAGAAAGGGAACTGCCATCCAGCTCGAGACGCGTCCCGGACTCGAAACACGTACTTAGGCTTCGCGCGCTTGGCGAGCACTGCACCGCGCAGACGTGGATACATTCATACAGCTTGTTCAGCATCTTTTGAAACCTCGCCGGTCTCAGCTTGCCCGAAAGCCCGAATTCACAAGACGTCAGGGAGTTTTCCTCGGGAGACAATGCTGGCAACAGCCGTGCGTGAGAGGGGGCGCAAGCAGCGAGCGGGGTCAAGTGCCACATATGCTGGTAAAGATGCCGAGGCGCGGTGGGGCGGGGCGGGTGCAGTCCGGCATGGCAGGGGTTCGAAGGCAGTAGAAAACTAATTTCTGGCGCTCTTCGAATCCACCTGAAGTTCTTCAGCAAGAAAGAAGCCTTCGAGAAGGGAAAACATTGAATTTTTGAGTCAGCAAGGTACAAGCGCGAGGCATCCACTACAGAAGGAACCCGAAGGACCACATGGGACACGAGAAGTCAGACCGCAGACGCATAATACATTGTCGTACGCCTTGGGGATATGAACTCCGCAGTCGGTGCATCGTCGGTGCGTAAGACCGCTTCTGAGCCTGGAGAGAGTGGGTTCCTCGCACCCTTGGGGCCTGACGCGTACCAACGCGTAGTCAGCGAGAACGTCTGTGTCCGCTCTCGATCCCGGAAAAAGTCTGAAATTTTACGGGGTTCTTGCCTAACCCACCGCAGGGAGCAAACAATACTGTAGAGACCGTTGGCATTAGTGAAGTCTGTTCATGTGGGACTGGAGGAACTTGACGCGAAATGAACGAACGCCAATACTCTATTGAGTTCGAATGACATGTCGGCCAGAGAAATTCTGGAATAGGGAGCGCCGCCAGAGCAGCTCGGAGTGCAGAGTAGGCTGGCGACAAAAAGTTCCTTCCGACGACCGGTCGCTGAGATACGTCTTCTACGATCCATTGTTTGAACAAAAGCGAAGCGGTGTCGTAGTCGTGGGATGAGAAGTCCGCTGTATTACAGTCCTATACAGTCTTACAAGTTCTAACAGCAATGCCGCTCAGCGCCGCCAGAGTCGGTGCGATTTTCTTTCTCCGAGTGTGTCAGGGCAGTAAGGTAGGAGGACCTTGTGACATTGACAAAGCCGATTACTAGCGTCTATCGTGTGCTTCATACCCGAAGCGAGAGGTGTAGCCTGGTGTGGCGAGAGCTAAGGGGTCCTATGACGCGTCGGCTAGCGGGATAAGAAGTACCGACGCGGTGACATTCCAATCAGTCCGAGCGCTTGACAGGAGTAGACAGGAGGACGTGGGGTGGGACCTGGTGGGACAGCGCAACTCTGATCAGAATAGCGTTTTGCGACGTGTCAGGCGTCCAAGGGTATCGGGGGCGGCTGAGCAAGAGCGGAAGGTGTGCACCGGGGTGCGGAGACCGTGTCCGAGGACATTAGTGAAAAGAGCTTACCTCCATTTCATACATTCGTGGAGGATTCAGACCATCTTGTCTGTCGCGGGAGGCGTTCAATCGAGCATTTACCAGGACGACTGTTCATGCGAGAAGTGTTGAAATTGCTATCCATCGGGCCACAACCGATCGTTCGATTGAATCGGCCTGCTGTCAGGAGCTCAGTAGAGGTACGCGCCGAACTTACCGAATGTCGGAATGGAGGACGACGTACCTATCATCTAGGCTCGGATGCGAGAGATATGCAGGTTGCAGTAGGGAGGCGGATTTGTACTTAGCTTATCGTTGACCTCCTGGTGGTCGGTCACCTGCCCAAAGTTGCGATGCCTTCAACCTTCGTTTCCCGAACTGCACCTGACCTGCGTCCCTGTACATGTGCGTGCAACCTTGAAAGCGTGTATGGCATGAGCTCTCAAGAAGTTGCCATCCCTTAGCATGAGTTTGGCGAACTGGACAGGACCCTTGAATTTTTTAGCTTTAATTTTGGCAATGGTGCAAGGTCTTTGGGCATGTCAGTGGGCTTGTATGAGCACCAGGTTCTGAGTTCGAAAGTTTGTATCTCCTGCATTGGGCCGTTACCACTAGAAAGTCCAGGGACGCTAACCGGCTGGATGTAGACAGGCCGTTGAAAGTCTTTGATACCAGCTCTGATACCCACAGATCTGTGAATGTGGACACCCTGGACTTGTAGATCTTGTCTTCCAAGGTTCTATCTGGTGAGTTCGGATACAGGCGCCTGATTAGTTGCGGAGTCTCTAGCTCACTCTCAGGCGACAACAACCTAGCAACACCAGCATCTCGACGCCTGGCAACCTGCTTAAATGATGATGAGGCCTATATTGCCCAAATGTCGCTCGGTTGCACATGTTACTTGCGGACAGTTGCGTCCAGAAAACAACGTGCCTTACTCAGAGTCCGATACAGACGCTGGTCACAATACAAAGGATCAGTCATGAACATATTTCACTGCAATATCGCGTAGTACTGACCCTTCATTCTTCCACATTGTCCTCGGAAAAGTGGGTTGAGGTGCAGATGCAATTTTAAATTCTTGATCGAGCAACAGGGATTAGAGTCGGTACACGTGCGGCGGCAGCGGAGCTTCGAGCACGCAGGTCTTGACAGTCCCTTGACAGCTGTTCCGGAGAGAGTGACACGTATGTCCGAGAACTTGATGTCGGGTGGCGGTGTGCAGATCTGCCCGGTCAGCTGACATGCCCTGACATACCGCAAGTGCCTCTTGCTCATTTCCCGCTAACAATCACCGCTTAAACTTACGTCGGCGAGGGTCCGCGTGTCATGGAGAGAGTCACATTCGTTCGATGAGAAGCATTCTAGAATTTCTGTTCGAAATAGATCTTCCAGGGTCAGCCTACCGTATGGCACATTGCACTATATAATCAGATAGTCTAACTTGTGCGTTATTGCAGATGATAAGTCGGGGAGAATGATGCGATTATTCGCGCCATAGGATGCAAGCATCACCAGAATTGCTATCTGAGTCTCCATTTCGATTGTAGGGGATCCGGGCGGCTAATGATATGTAGTCAGTAACGATCAGCTACCTAGAAAGGCTTAGTGTGACATGAGGTTAAAAGCTTCAGCAAGGTTCGTACTAGTCAACCGGTTGTTTTAGAGGTTTGGCAGCTGTCGGCAGCAAAGAACAGCGACGTCCCGGAGAAACCTAAGAAGAAGATGCATGTCATGAGCAACCTAGTCGAAGCATGTCTCAGGGATGGCTGGCTCTCGCTCCGAAAAGCCGACCGCACGAAGCTACACGTTCAAGGGCTTTTGAGCTAGGATTCACAAGAAGACAAGGACAAGTGAGGGACATGCGTCATAAGAAATCCCAAATTTATCAGAGTTAACAAACCTTGACCATCTTATGACCGAGCTGCAAGTGTCGCATTGCGGGGTCGCGGCTGTCTCGCTGACTCTTACCACCACCGATCCCCAGCATCGGACGTAGGAGCAACAAGGGCTCACATTGTCCATTTTTGAATCGCCCTTCTGTGCCAGCCTACTCAACAGATGCATCAACTGCAATGTCAAAAAAATATAGACCCACGGAACTCACTCGCCAACGGCAGATTCGACTCAGAGATGAGATAGATGTACATCTACCATCGCTTATCACCTTGGTGGTAGAAGACATACAAATCAAAATACACTTTGTTGAAGGACACAAGTGCCCACTGACTGTCAACATCGATGATCGTGCGTAGTGCGCGATACGTCTTCCCAACAAGTCGACTATTGTGATTCGATGTTTTGGGAGATTACTAGCGACAATAACGAACAGCGCCGCCATTCTGTCTTGACGCCAATAGGAGAATACCAAAGTGGGGGTGGCGCAGAGGCTTTAGACGTGCCTCGGGTTACTCAATAACGGCAATCAAGTGAGAACGATTAACGCGACAGTGGCCAGAACAAGTAAGCTTTGTACTTCGAGTTGTTTACGGTTAATGCAGTGCATCCCTGTCATGCAAGTAGCAGACGATCAGAATCCAGGGTTGTGAGCTCGTTGATGCGAATATGACGAAGACCTTTGCTATACCTGACAGTTTGAGACCTCGTGACGCAATTCATGCAATCCACCTTGGAAGTGATCGAAATGAAAAGCGAAGTACTTGTTTACAATCGGAAAGTGGGGCAGGTGACGGTTTGCGAAGGCTGAAAGGTACATTCCGCCATGCTGTTACCCAGGGCGTCCCAATATTCAAGCTTCAAGTCCTACCAGCCCTGATTGATTCAGCGTTATCAACTCGTGAGGCCTCGTATCCCGAGGATGAGGCCTAAGATGCAAACGGCACACTATCGGATTGCAATGACGGAGTGCACACTGCACCCAACGGTATTGACATTGCTCTCCAACGAAGCAAGAAAGGTGGCACTGTTGGCAAATTTTGGTCCGAAGACGGATCTGGAGGAATCAAAACCGTTTACCAAGTACAATAAAAGACTTAAATATATGATGGCTGTCATGCCTTGAAGAAGGTATGATCGAATATAAAGTAACTTAAGGTGACCCTCACCTCAGAAAACAACACGAACTTTGGATAAAAGTCCGACCAACTGTCGGGCCTCCGGATGTTGCGGGCTATTCCAGAAAGGCTCGGGACCGAGGAGATCGACGAGTTCAATGAGTGACTTATGTATCGATGCGTTGGGTGTACTACACGGGCTATAATGGAATATCGGGGTAGATGAGCCGGTATCTAATGTCTGATGGTCCTGTTTTCTGGCCAAGTGCTAAACGCTGTACGGCGTGTAAATGGAAAGGGACACGACTATAACGAAGCAGTCGAAGACTCACAACGTCTTGTCTGAAGCAAGGTCTGAAGCAAGGCCCAAGTCACAAGTACTGTTTAATGCGGCAAAGTGACGTTTCGTGACAAACGCGTTCAAGCAACGTGACACAAATTTCGGCATCCGGTTACCGACCCGCGTCAAGTCTCCCGGCGACTATCCGAGTCCAAGATGGCTAAAGGATCGCAGCTCACGCAGCTCAAGTCTGAGCTTTCCAAGGCTGGGATCAGCAACCAGCCTAGTAGGAACAAGAAAAGCAAGAGCTCGAAGCCTAAGGACCAGGATAAAGCCAAGAAAGCAGCCAAGCTTCATGAAATCCATCAAAAGCTCAATCCATTCGACGTCAAGGTTACAAAGCTGAAGCATGACGTCGGAGGACGCAAGATCAAGGGTGCTGTGGGCCATCCTGCGCAAAGTAAGCAGCATGGCATAGAACAGGTGTGTCTTCTCTTTGTCCTTCAGGTGTGGAACCTAATAGGGGCCATAGCGCAAGAAAACGCTTCTGAAAGACTTCGAGGAGCGGGGGCGCGCTGGCGGCATCATCGATCGCCGTTTCGGTGAAAATGACCCAAACATGTCTCTCGAAGACCGTATGCTCGAGCGTTTTACTCGTGAACGTCAACGGGCATCTAAGGGCTCGCTCTTCAACCTGGAGGAGGAGGAAGACCTAACGCATTATGGACAAAGCTTGTCGAAGCTTGATGATTTCGACAACGTCGGTTTTCCAATGGATGAAGATGACGACGAAGAGGGCCCTTCAGGTGCTTCTACATTTATTCTAAGGTTTTGTATGTCTGACTGCGGCTTTGTAGGTCGTATTGACAAAGAAGTCGTTCAGAAGACCCATTTCGGAGGGTTTGAAGATGAACAGTCCGAAGAGGAAGAAGAGCAGGTGCGAATTCTTCTTTTATATTCTATATACCACTGAAATCAAATACCTCAGCCCGACCGAAAGAAATCAAAAGCTGAAGTAATGGCTGAAGTCATTGCTAAGAGCAAAGAACATAAAGTTCGCTTATTAGTTGTCTATGTTTAAATCTATCTTACATGTTTTGCAGCTGCGACGCCAAATGGAACGTGAGGCAGAGGAAAACATGCGCCATGAACTCGATCAGGATTTTGCGTCCTTGCGATCACTTCTTTACGCTCCTAACCCATCATCAGCCGCCAGCATTGAAGGTGCACTTGAGACATCTATCGACCAAGTGAAACCTCTGAACGACGAGTCGGGCGCAAACTTCGACAAAAACTATGATCAAAACGTCCGCGAGCTTGCGTTTGATCAACGCGCTAAGGCGAAGGATCGGACAAAGACGGAAGAGGAACTTGCTTTAGAAGCCAAGGAGGCACTAGAGAAGGCCGAGCGTCAGCGTCTGAGACGTATGATGGGAGAAGACGCAGGAGAAAGCGATGAGGAAAGTAACCAGCGAGGGAAAAAGAGACGGAGGGGCGGTGACGACTTGGACGACGACTTCGCGGATGGCGATGATTTGGGGATCCTTGGAACTGGCTTGGCTACGGAGTTTAACATGGAGGGTGGAGCTGAGGGTGGGGCTGGAGATGAGGACGAAGAAGACGAAGAGGAGTCAAATGAAGATGAGGGGAGTGATGGAGATGAAGAAGACAAAGGAGACTTCGAAGGCGAGGTTGACATTGATGATGAAGATGGTCCTGAAGCGTCAGAGGATGGTGATTTTACAGAAATCACAACGTCTCGCACATCGCACAAATCTCTAAAGAAACAAGATACCGACAAAAGCTTGCCCTTTACCTTTCCTTGCCCCAGCTCGCATGAAGAGTTCCTTGAAATTGTGGAAGAAGTCGATGACGATCACCTACCGACAGTCGTCCAACGTATACGGACGTTACATCACCCGAGTCTTGCCCAGGATAATAAACTCAAGTTACAGGTATGTCCTTGCGAGCTTCATCTTGCGTAGCTGCTTTTAACCCTGCTTGGTTTGTACCAAGGGCTTAAGTGGAGTTTTGGTCGACCATATTCTTTATGTCACTTCTCCACCGACTCCCCGCCTCAAAACGATGAACTCCCTTATCCCACATCTATTTTCTCTAAGCCAGTCATATCCCATTCAATCTGCTCAATACTTTAACGACAAGCTCGCGCTCATGCACAAAAATCTCAAGCGTGGTCTTTCTCAGGGTCCAACGGCACCAAATACTCGAACATGGCCAGGCCTTCCCGAACTTTCTCTTCTGCGAGTTATTGGACTTATCTGGCCGACTAGTGACCTGGCACATCCTGTCATCTCGCCTGCTCGTCTACTCATGGGAGCATATTTGGGCCTATGTCGCGTCAGGTCGCCGTCAGACCTAGCTAGCGGACTCTTCCTTTGCTCTCTGTTTCTACAGTATGAAGCGCCATCGAAACGTCTTATACCAGAGGCTGTCAACTTCATCATTAACGCCATACTTCACCTTTCTCCTCACCCATTTGAACACGTCACCGATATTCCCGGATCATTCCCTTCCCCTGACTTCAAATCAGATTTATGCCTTTCTCTGCAGCTCGACCGCAAGAAAGCCAGGAAGCTCGCGATTCAGAAACCTTCTCTGGTCGAGCTATTGACTGCCGAGATTTCAGAACAGATGAAGGTTGATCTACTCGGGCTGGCGTTGGAGCTTCTTGACAAGTACGCGGCCAAGGATAAGGCATTGGATGGCTTCGTTGAGCTCTACGAGCCACTGCAAACCATTGTCTCCGGTGTCAGTCAAGAGAAACTTCCCGAGAGCGTTAAGGTCGGTTTAATTGAGGCTATACATTGATTCTCCAAGACTCACGCCTTTTAGAATCACGTCATTTCTCTTAACGACACACTATCAAGATTGTTGAAGTTCTCCCGACAAGCACGCCAACCCCTGAAATTACAAGCCCACAAGCCCATACCAATCGCAACTTACATTCCCAAGTTCGAGTCGCATTCTTCATCATATCTTCGCCGTCAAGATCCCGATCACGAACGGAACGAAGCCGCAAAACTACGCTACCAGCACAAGCAGGAACGGAAAGGAGCAATTCGGGAGCTGCGGAAGGATGCTCGTTTCCTTGCTGCAGTGGAAAACGAGAAGCAGAAGGACAAGGACAAGCAGTATCACGATCGCATGAAGCGCGTATTTGGGTCTATCGAGGGCGAGCGTGCAGAGCAAAAAGCAATGGAGAGGGAGAAATCCAAAGAGAAGCGCAGAGCAGGTCGGAAGTAGGTTATACCGTGCTTGTGCCATGCTGTAGATCCTATTCGTTCGCATCACAAAACTTGCATATCATGAACCCCCTCCGGTATCATCTCAATTAATGTGACTTTCGGCGCGCTGCTTGATTTACTCATTAAAAGGTCCGAGACGCGTCCTCGTCGCTTCGCGTCTTTCCTCTCGTTCATCTTTCAGAATATATCTGTGTAGCCAACCCTCAAGGCCTCACCTTGGCTTTGGCTTTTATGAATCAATCCACTTCACTTCTAATCTCCGAATGACATGGCAACAGCACCATCATCTTCGTTATCGTACCCACAAACATTCCAAACCGTCGCTGGACCGGGCAAGGGTATCTCCCCCAAAGCGTTTCGCGACTTCTTGAACGAGACCGTCAACCAAGACTTCCTGTCCAACAATCCAACACAGGCTGTCCGTGATAATAAGGAGAAATGGATTGCTTTACTGCATGGGCTTTCCAAAGAGATTTTAGGCCACTTCCCTTATTTTGAACCCGAGCTGGCAGGGACCATCAACGAGAAGATTGCGTTAGCTCACATATCCCTAGACATCTTCCCAAACGTCATCCAGCGCGCGGAAACTCTTTACAGTGATGCGGAGGATCTGACAAAGGTGCTGTTTGTCAAGCTTCTCGGTTTTTGCACATGCGCAGAGACATGGGCAAATGTGATTACAGATGGCCAGGATGAGACACCTTCAGCGTCAGCGCTTTACCCAAAGGCATCCGCATCGCTCGTGTGTTACCTCAGAGCACTTGGTAATTCTCTTCGCTACGGTCGTCGACAGAGGTTGCCCCTGTGGAAGGCTCTTGATGAGATCTTACGTGCGAGTCTGGACATATGCGAGGGTGCGCTGGGTCAGTTTCTCCATGTTACGGATGATGAATAATACTTTGCAGAAATCACCACAAACCCCCTTCCAAGTTTCCCATTGCGAATCCAGTTCTTCACTACACCGCATATAGTGACCGATGAAACAACCATAGACGAGCAGTCGGGCCTCTGTGTCACCCTACCGACAGACAGGCAGGTCTCCGTCTTTTCAAGTGTCACTATGGAAGTTATCAGCAACGCTCTCTACCCACCCTTACTATCTCATTGCTTTCTCGTTGATAAAGCTAATGTTACCCTGCGACTAGTCCGCACGACGTTCGATTATTGCCTCTCAAGCTCAACATCCTCGGAGGTCCGGTGGCGAGCTCTAGCCCGCCTCACGAGTACTGCTCGCTCTATGATATCTCACTCTGCTTCTTCCGCCGACGCTATCTTGGATCTTGCCCCTAAGGCCCTTCTATTGCTTCTTCAAGAAGGTCCTAAGCCTTCCTCAGTTTCTTACAATCAGCTCTACGATACCTTGAAAGCTGACTTTCGCCAAATGCCAATATCAAAATGCAGTACTGTTCCTATTCTGAAGATATTGAAAACCAGCCCTTGGCATAGCCCAAATGAGAAACTCAGCGTATGTACGCGCAGTTCCTCACAAGGTTAGCATTGTGCTGACAGTCAAATTCAAGATCCTCGCTTTGAGTTACGTTCAATCCTGTACCATTGACATGAGCCTCGCCGAACTTCGTTCAACTCGGATACTAATCGAAAGCACCGCTTTGCTCAAAGACAGTATTCTCATGAAATCAATTGACGATAGACTCTCGGCTACTTCCAATGGTCGCAGCGCCCCTCTTATAAGCTCGCTCGCACCACCTGCAGTGGAAATACGACGATTATTAGAGAAGATCATCGTTCCTCGGCAAGTTCAATGGATGAATCTTGAAGAAGACTCTCCGCGAGCACTCCTTTTCCAGAACGCGTTCGACAACATTGAAACGAGATTCCAGAGGTAGTTTCATTTATCCTTCCTTGATTCGAACGCTTGTTAAAAACCTGCAGTCCGTTGCACGACTACTCTTCCGAAGCCCGGCTATCGCTCATTGAGAATTTTAAGGCGTTGGTCGAATATATCCAAGGGACAAAGCAATCTTTCGCAGCGCCTACGTCCTTCAATATCATTCCTCCGGTTTATTCCTTGCTTTTACAGCTCTTGAATAACTCAGAGCAAGATATGTCTCCCAAAGTACGGAGACGCTCGTTCGAGCTGATTTCAGCTGCCCTGCACAATCAGTCGCAGGAGAAAGCTATCCCCGAACTCAGTCAGGTTGCGGACATATTACTGAAAGGAATCAGCGATAAAGACCGTTCGGTTCGACTTAGTGCTGGGTAAGGTTGCTGCTGCTCATGGCTGTTGGTTGACTGACATCGTCGCTTCCAGATCTTCAGTAGTGGAGTTCATTAAATTGCATGAGGTACTTGGCGAGACACGAGGAGTCGAGGCGGTATTGGCGATCATTCGAAGAATTCTGGAGTCGTCAGCTAAAGCAGCTTTGAAAGAGACAACGTTGATCCTTGCCGGATCCATAGCAAAGTACGGTAAGAAACGTTACATGTATGCCGTGTTCTAACGAAATATTGTAGAGTGGCGAAATCTGAAACCCTTGGTCAAGCTCTTCTTTGCCTCATCACTCAGCTTGGCGACGACAACCCTACTCTGAAGGGTATTGCTTATGTGAAGGTGAGTTACTATCTTGCACGTCTGCTGTCCAGAGATAACATCGATGATTGGGCTTCAGCTTCTAGAAGTCGCCAAGGCGCGAAATACAACGTCATACAGTCTTTTCTCGCCGTACTTGAGCCGAATAGCGCCGTACATTGTCTCTCGCATTTGCATGAAGCCGACGATGATTATTGAAACATCCCGTTTCCTCATGATTCGTCATCAGGACTTCCTTAATCTAACTTTACCATTTACTCTTCCCCAGCTTTTCGCAAGCTGCGACTTCAGAGCAATCGAGCAGGTGGCGGATGAAGTCGGTATAAAGCAGTCGAAGCTCTTTTTGGATCATTCTCATATCGTGCTGGCCAATGTCTTCCAGCTTCAAGGTCCAGGGCAACCGGCGAAATCTCTAAACTTCATCGTGAACGCGTTAATGAAAGACAGCGCGCCCAATAGCAAAGCAAGCATCGATGTACAGAGCATCACACAGATTTGCATTGTACCATTGCTTGCAGAACTAGTCATTTTCCTAGGAGATACTGGCGTCAACGATGCTGTGGTGAGTCTTTATTATTATCTTCGAGGTGATCACAGGTGAGCGTGAACTTTCTGTAGGCCCTTCAAGCCCTCAAGAGGATCGATCGTTTGTTGAATATAAGTACCGAAGAACGACCGTCAGCATCGCAGCCAAATATTGCAGACCTTTTACACTCCTACATGCTTGGCGTCTTATCCCACCTGAACGATATGCTACAAGATTTTAAGGGCAAGAAGAGTGTTGAGAACAAATGTCAGATGATCCGAGGTCTGGGAGAGTTTGTCAAGCATATAGGGCCTCCTGTTCACGGAATTGCTCCTCAAGTGAGAAGTACAGCTGTCTTTATCATCTCGAGTGTTCACATTTGTTTGGCTGTTTAGGTTATGGCCACCCTTCAAACCATGCTCTTAGTTCCAGAGCTAGCAGAAGCTACCCTTTCCTCCTGGTTCATCTTCCTCTCCACCCTATCAGAGAAGGACGTGGCTCCGTATTTGGGGCCTTCCAGCGCTTCACTACTTTGCTCCTGGCCAGTACTAACGTCTTCCGGTCGTCAGGCCGCTTTCAAGTGCCTAGAATTCATCGTCACCAACGATGATGTACTCCTCGATGAAATCGTGGACATGAGCTCAATACCGGATCTTCAAGAAGTCTCTCAACGACTCCTGAGCTCGCGAAGAGCATGGGGTTCTCGCACGAAACTAGAGAAGATTCTAGACCGCTCAACTAGTGATAATTATGCCGTCACAATGCAGGCTTTGCGGGAGCTCAAATCTTTTATGCTCAACTCAAACGATGCTTTTGTCCGCACTCTTACTTCCGGAGACATCTTTGATCCATTAGCCAGCCGGATTTTCTCAGTCCTACTCGCCGCTGCTTGTCGTGATGGCCATCACGAGTCTCTGAGGTTAATGGCGTTTGAATGCATGGGGATCTTGGGAGCTCTTGATCCTGATCGTTGCGAGATAGGCGTCAGCGAATCGGCGATGATAGTGCGAACTAACTTCAATGACGAAGCAGAGTCTGTGCTCTTTGCGATACATCTTCTCAAAGATGTTCTTGTCGGGGCTTTTCGCTCAACAACCGACATCAAATATCAAGGTCATCTTGCTTTTACCATCCAAGAATTACTGCGGTTCTGTAATTTCACTCCGGACCTTGTTGTCACTGGGAAGACTACCTCTATACCATCGAAAGTCCGAAACCGCTGGGCTTCTTTGCCAAAATACGTGATTGAAACTGTCGCCCCTTTACTTGGGGCTCGCTTCAACGCTCCTAGGAAGCCCTTGGCTGCACTGAATCATCCCATCTACAAGCATGAGAAAACGTATCGTGAATGGTTGCAGCAGTGGACTGCATATCTCATAACCAAGGCCTCTGGCAAGACGGCGAAGACGATCTTCGGAAACTTTCACTCTGCTATTCGGAACAAAGACGTCGGAGTTGCTCATCATATCTTACCGCATCTGGTCCTCAATATCTTGTTGTCTGGGCACGAAGACGACGCACAGGCTATTTTGAAGGAGCTACTCGTCGTTCTTGAGGACCAGGTCGACCCAGCGAGTCTCTCGAGCAACGACAAAAAGTTTCTGAGCGCACAGGTAGATGACAAGCTCAAATGATATCGCTCCGCTGAAGTTCATAATTTAGGTTGTATTCATGCTTCTTGATCATATTAGCAAATACGTTCGTATTCTTCGCCAGGATATTGCCAACAGGAAATCGGACAACAAGCGAACTCGCGCACAGCAGATGGCCGTTGAAGGCGAAGACCTACTGATTCGATTAGACTCTGTCACCTCTAACATCAATCATGAGTTGATGGCCAAGGCGGCCCTGCAGTGTCAAGCTTACGAACGAGCCCTCATGCACTTTGAACAGCAGATAACGGTCATCCGAGAACGACAAGAAGGCGCGCAGAAGAAGGACTTGACACCTTACTACGATAAACTTCATGAAATATACGCTCAGCTAGATGAACCAGACGGAATGGAAGGTATTTCAACCCTAATTCTCTCGCCATCTTTAGAGCACCAGATACGGCAGCACGAAAGTACTGGTCATTGGACTTCAGCTCAGAGCTGTTGGGAGGTCCGCCTGCAACAGGATCCGGATAACCTCGACTTTCACTTGGGATTGCTTCGGTGCCTCAGAAACTTGGGCCATTATGGTATGATTTTCAGCTCATTGATCATGGTCCTTATTTAAGCTAACGGTGTTCAGATACTCTACGAACCCATGTGCAAGGCGTTCTTGTTCGAAATCCTGACTGGAATGATGCATTGGCGGGATACCAGGCTGAGAGCGCGTGGATGATAGGCGCGTGGGACGACGTCGAGAGGATTGTGAAGAGTACCTCCAACCGCAATTCGTCACTGGTCAAAGCCGACGTTCTTCTTGCTGTCAGATCCGGAAATGCAACAAGAGTCGAGGAGGTTTTATCATCGGCGCGCTCAGTTATAGGTTCATCGATCACAACTTCGGGTGTTAAGGGCTACCGACGCTCCTATGACGCCCTATTGGACCTTCATCTAATTCACGAGGTTGAACTGATCCGCGATCATGTTTTCAATCTTCCCGTCAATTCTCAAGAACGACGTACGCAGCTACGGTCTTTGGGCGATAGCCTCGACGCTCGATTGGACAAAACTATACCCAGTTACCGAACCAGAGAAACCATACTTAGCATGCGGAGAACAGCCTTCTCTCTCAGGTCTGTCATCTAACACCCGATGGTATATTCAATTTAACAACTCCTAGTGCGATACCGCAACCATCGGTGGCAATTGAAGTAGGACGTTCATGGCTGGCGAGTGCGAAGATCGCACGGAAGACGGGGCAATGGCAAACCGCTTACAGCGCTATGCTTCAATCTCAACAAACTCAGCTGAAGTTTTCATTCATGGAGAGTGCGAAGCTAGTCAAGGCTGCAGGAGAGCCATTGCGTGCTCTCCAGGAGCTTGAAAATTCGATGCGTCTGGCAGGCATTCTTGAAAGCAAGAGTGACACCATTGATCTCACGAATGATACGGACGCAAGCAAGAAGATGGTCGCCAAGGTATGGTATAGCATGGGTTTCAAAGCGGTTGCTCATTTTTTTTTTCATAGGCTTATGTCCTACTGGCTCGCTGGATGAACGAGTCTGATCGCTTCGAAGCGACCGACGTTCTTAATACCTTTGGAGAGGCCACTAAACTCTCGCCAGCGTAGGTTTCTTCCTATTTTCGCGTTTAATCTCGCTAAAAACCTTTGACGAAGCTGGGAAAGTGCTCATTTTTACCTCGGCCAATTCCATGACCAGTGTTACAAGATGTTGCCGTCGCAAGACCTGGGAGATAGGTTTGTTTTAGTTGTTCAAATTTTTAGTGGTACCTTGAGCTGAACATGTCATAGAGGAGTTCGAATGAACTTGCACACAATCCGAAATTTCGCAAAAGCTATCATACACGGATCCAAATACGTGTATCAAACGGTGCCCCGACTACTTACCCTTTGGCTAGACATGGGCGAGCACCAGGAGATCAGAACTTCGCCCGCGTTTACAAAAGTCAATGGTGCGGTTTCGACTGCAGTAGATAATATACCAGTGTACAAGGTAGGCTATGGCATACACCAACGCCACTTTAACTGACATCAGTGCAGTGGTTCACTGCGTTCCCGCAAATTGTTTCCAGAGTCGGCCATGATAATGTCAAAGTTTACCAGATCCTCGCAAAACTGATAGCGAAAGTGATCAAGGCATATCCACATCAAGCTCTGTGGCTCTTCACATCAGTCGTAAAGTCAACCAAATCCGCTCGAGAGGAGCGTGGACGGCACATCCTGGAGAAGTTGAAGGTGACACCACCTTGACATACTATATGCCATTCTGACGTGATCGACAGAATGACATTGCCCATGCGGGGACACCGCTTCCAGGTCTCATCCAAGAGTGTGGAAAGATGACTGACGAGCTGTTGCGCATGTGCAACTACCCTATCAATGACGAGCGCAAGGTCTTGAGCATGAAAAAATCCTTCCCAGCGCTCGCCCGACTTGGCCACTCGCCTCTTATTATCCCACTGCAAGAATCCTTGACGCCGAATGTTCCGGTATCATCATCGTCCGGCAATGACTACAATCCCTTCCCATTTGATGCACCTACTTTTCATGGTAAGTAGAACACACTACCAGTGATAACGTTCTCACCAATTCAATCATACAGAATTCTTTGACGACATCGAGGTGATGCACTCGCTTGCGAAACCACGTAAGATCACCATACGTGGAAGCGATGGCCAGATATACATGTTCCTGGGCAAACCGAAGGATGATCTGCGGAAAGATGCTCGTCTTATGGATTTCAACGCCATCATCAACAAACTTCTCAAGGCTAATTCTGAGTCTCGGCGACGGCAGCTTCGTGCGTAAATTCGATATGATGCACTACGCTCGCTGACGCAATATGTGGAACTTCAGGGATCCGCACGTATGGCGTTGTTACGCTGAATGAAGAATGTGGTTTCATTCAATGGGTCCCAAATACGATTCCTGTGAGGCCGGTACTCCTGAAGGGCTACGAGTCTCGACGGATTTCAAGTTGGGTAAGCAAGCGAATCATGAATATAAGCGAGATGGACTAGATTCTGGTTATTAGAATGGAGAGTTGAGCGCAGTGTTCAGACGCATCAAGGAGGTTCCGGACAAGGAGGCAGCGGTGCTTTATCAGACAAAGGTTCTGACACAGTGAGTTGATGCGTCCAAGCTACACGAATGGTGCTGAAAATTAATCTCAGATTCCCTCCGGTATTCCACGAATGGTTCATCGAGACGTTCCCCGAGCCATCTGCTTGGCTGGCTAGCCGGCTGTCCTATGGGCGAACAGCAGCTGTGATGTCGATGGTCGGCTTCATCTTGGGGTAAGCACCTATTTATATCGCCTTACCTAGTCCCTGTTACTCAGTTTGCTTCAGATTGGGCGATAGACACTGCGAAAACATCCTGCTAGACGTGAACACTGGTGATGTTGTGCACGTCGATTTTAACTGTTTGTTTGAAAAGGTATGCTATTTCGCTACTGGGATGTGAATGCAGAAGATTGAAATGTGACTCGATTTACAGGGAAAAACACTGGAAACGCCAGAACGTGTTCCTTTCAGACTGACGCAGAACCTTGTCGATGGACTTGGCGTAACAGGCGTCGAAGGTAGGCCACCTTCGGATGTCAATTCTTCGCCAACTAAAAGGTTTCATAGGCGTTTTCCGGATTGCATGCGAAGTGACAATGCGACTTCTAAGGGATAATAAGGACTCGTTGATGAGCGTTCTGGACGCCTTCATTCACGACCCGCTTGTCGAATGGGAGGATGAGAAGCGCAAGATGGTACTTCCATTATGCTATAAGCCGGGACTGGTTCTGATGTTTTGATCCGCAGGAACGCGATGGCGCAAAGCGGAACGTAGTCCGTTCGACAACAGATCTGCGACATCTTGCCAAAAATGCTTTAAATCCCATAGAGAAGAAGCTAAGGGGGGTATACGTCGCTCGCTCCAACAAGGAGCGAATAGAGAAGGAAATGTCTGTGGGTAATCTGGTACAAGTTCTCATACAGGAGTCGACAGACCCTGCAAATCTGGTAATTCCTTTAAAATTAGTTTTATTTTTCATGGCTCATGGATGACACTTCTCAGGCGAAAATGTATCCCGGATGGTGTTCATGGCATTGATTCTGGGAACAATTGAGATAATTGAATTGTAGCATACGTACTGATACACTGTAGCATAGGAAGGAGAAATTCGGAATCGTCAATTACTACGCGTCGATTTGCTTTTGAAGCTTTTGGAACTCTTTCTCCTTCTCCAAAAGCAGCTTTTTCCAGTGTTCTTGCTCGGCCAGAATTTGCTTCTTGGCGTTCTCGAGTCTGTCGTATTCCTCCTTCTCCATTGTCGTTGTGAACTCTGGCACACCTCCAGTGCCCGCGCCTCCTGCATTCAAGCCCGGTTCGGGGACCACGTGGAAGGGTACAACTCTATTACGGGCTTTGGGCAGAGGGGTCGGAGGATGGTCGGTTAGTATGTCGAGGAAGGCTTGGTATGGCTCGTGGAAGACGATTTCATCGTATTGCCACGAATGCACTGGTCCCATACGCGCGGCTTCCTCGAGTGGAGGCGGAGGAAGCGGAGCAGATGGTGCACCCAGGACGTGGGGCGTCCATGGGTGCAGCTTGAGATGGTGGTAGAAGACGACAGGTTTCTCGACTGCTTCGGGAATGAACTGGATGCGGATTTGGATGTCGAATTCGCCCCAGCTAGAGAGCGTTCATTAGTGATGATAATATAATCAGGAGAAGACTAGTCACACCCTGTTTCTGACACTTCGAACGGGGGTTTGTCGATATCTGTTGAATCAACAAGTGTGAGCTTTCATGGTGAGGTGATAGGGGAAGTTGCATTCGTACGCCGTGTCGGGTTGGTATAGGTGTCGTGTAGCTTGAACGTGACGCGTTTGATGAAGTAGGTAAGGTCGTCGCCGCCGCCTACCATGTCGGCGCCAGGCGGGGACGCCGCGCTGCGAACTGCGACAGTCCAACGGTGGGTGTGGTCCGGCGTGCTGAGCGACTCGCGCTCAATGGGAGTGAGCACAATCGCAGTGTTTCCATAGACAATCGGGCGATGAATCAGAAGACCCTGGAGAGGAAGACATATTGATTGCAATTGTCATTGTCGATGCGATGTTCAAGAGAGTGCAGCCGGGGGAGAGGGCGACGCACCCTGACGCGCTGGCCTCGTTCAGCCATTTCCCCACTTGACTCCAGGCAATTGGCAGAAAGGGCAGCTCTCGGGTGCCCTCGGCATTTCCCGTTCAGACTCCGCCGACTTGTCGCGAGCTCGGCGGGCATACTTTCGTTCAGACAGCCAGACCACTGTAACTTATCCCTTATCCGCCATGATTGACACCGTCGTATACAGTCAGTCCCATCTATCCCGATTGATTGCTGAATACTGACAGAATGATAGAGCCCAACCGAGTGCTCGAGAAGCAGAAGCTCGTTCAGGTGCGTAGTTGTCCGTGCTTGCTTCATCCGACCCAACTTATTGAGCTTCTATAGGGCATGCACGCCCCCGTCTACCGACGCCTTCCTCGCTCAAATCTCTACCTCAGTACGTTTTGCCTTGGTGCTTCCAAAATGAACATATCATAATTCCAGCCCAGACTCGTATTTCGGTCTCTGGGCTATTGGCCTCGGCAGCACCATCTACGGCGCGTACACGCTTGTCTTCGTACGTTAACCCTTTCCTGCCACGCAGTGTATCAGCTGACCTCATGAATGCGACTTGCATAGGACAAGCCCGCTGGCCCCGAGTAAACCAGACGACCGTAGCATTACCACCTCATTAAATCCGTTTCACTTGCAATCGATCCCTCCAAATTTCACAAGTGAGCTAGACAGGCTAGACGACAATAAAGTCTTGTATAAACCAATGCTATAATGAGGAAGCTCCACTCTGAGATTTTGACATAAAATCGCTTGATTGAGTGATGCTTAAGTGCGAGCAGCAACTTCGTGCAGTACCACGCTGAACGCGTTTTAGCGGAATCCGGCCCAACTTTTGCATGACTGCATGCTGTCGGGAATTGCCGATCCGATATGTCTTCAGACCGATATGTGTCTCGCAAGGAGGTCAATGCCTCCTACCGCCCCAAGAGCTCTGTACGCACAGTGGCACCCTAAACGTCCTCCCTATGCTGACTTCAGTATCTCTCATAAACTAGCTCATGTCCCCGGGCCTGCAGCGCGCCCGCAAGCCCTACCGCCTGCCCAACGCCATAACTGGCCTCACGCTCCTCGGATTCGGCGTCGGCGTCTGGGCGTACTCTATCAGCGCCGTCAAGCAGGACGACTTCTCCGATGTCGACAAGCAGGCACTCGAGCTCCAGAAGCAGCTGGCCGACGACGTCGAGGCCGCGCGCGAGACCGGCGCGACAGCGGCCATGGCGGCAGCGGAACTCGTACCGTTCCCGACCGAGCCGACCCCCAAGCTTCAGCGCACGCTAGCGCGAGAGGGCCTTCTGGCTTCTGCGGTGGACAGGCGGTTCCCGAGGCTGCTCGACCCGGATCGCAAGACGTTTGTGTGGGGAGCACCGCCGGTGGATAATATCGGGCGGTTGTGGGATCGACCTTGAAGAACGAAAAAGTACACGGCCTCGAAATACCCTCGTGTCTCACCCTTTGCCCATTAGACTAGTATATGTGAGTGCAAATACGTTTTGTTTGATTCATTCGAAAGCAGTTACAGAACAATTTCAAGACAGATAGCATAACTATACACAGCATGTAATTCGACAAGCAATTCGACAGCACCATTCTCAATAACTTTTTTCATGTTTTCTTGGAGGCTTTTATTCGTCGCAGTTTCGGATTCCGTGTATGTTTCCGTTTCTTCAAGATACTTCAAGACACGATAGTGATGTTGGAAAAGGGCGCAATGGTACCACACCAGCAAGACACCTGCACACTAACGCAGGGGGAGGAGGCAAACCGGCAGCAGCAAGCGTCCGCCGCCAGCGCCAGTCTGGAGGAATCGTGCCGAGGTCTCGTCTGCGCATTACACAATATGGATGTTGCTGCTCAAGCTGACGTTCAAAGTTCCACATCAGTATCCAACTGTCTCTAGCCCGGGCACGCAGAAAACAGTGCTTACTCATTGAGCAGCAACACCCAAAGCGACGAGACCCTCCTTGGCTGCCTCATTCCTGGCTGCCTTTTTGGTGTTCCCGCGCCCACGCCCGAGCTCCTTCCCATCGACAAGGACCCGCACGGCCCAAACCGGCGTCGTGCGCGCCCCAGCACCGGGGGCGGTCCCGTCCGAGTAAATCCACTCGACCTCGCGGTTCTGCCGCTGCACGTGTTGGTTGAACAGTGCGAGGTGTCCCGTCGTGGGCGGGGCACGCGACGCGCGGGGGACGCCCATCGCCCAGCGAGGGACAAACACGCCTGGGGCCAGGTTGCCATTGCCCACGAGCCCAGTGCTGATGCCGGACAGGACAAGGTGGGTTGGGACGTTGAGGCCGTTACACGGTGTGGCCGGGACCGAGGGAGGTGAGGACGACGCGGGGGAGGTGGTGCCGGAAGCAAGCCCCGGCGGCTGGGGGCCATTGGTGGGGGGCAACCCGTGGTCCTGGCGCACGCGGGCATAGGCCTCGTAGGCGTAGGGCGTAAAGAGAGGGCGGAGCCAGTCGCGGGCGGCATCGAGGCCGCGATCAAGGTATACGCCGCCGACGTAGGACTCGAAGACGTCGGCTGATATGGGATGTGAGTGTCCACGACATGTAGGGAAGGCGAAGGTGGGACGGCGCACCTTGGATGTGAACTGAGGCTCGCAGGGTTATGGCCTGTGCGGCGTGGAGGAGCAGGTATTTTGGGAGATCGTAGCGCCTCGAACTGCAGGCACAGGAAGCTGGTGAGCATCTTGTCCATGTGTCATTTATTGGTACACTCACATGTCAGCCAGTGTCGTATTGCCTACCATGAGCGCGCGAATCTTGGTCGCCGGCCCAACGCGCAAGTTCGGATATACATTCTGCAGCAGGCTCGTGATGACAAGTCCGAGCACGGTGTCGCCCAGATGCTCATATCTGCAGTGCGAGAGAGTTGGTCAGCCTCTTAACCTCCCAGCAACCTCCAGCCCTGAAACTGCGTCTAAAGCAAAGAGAAAACGCACTTCTCGTTATCAGGGCTAGGGTCGCTCGGATGGTCTTCGAAGACGTGATTCGGGCGCGCGTAGAAGGAGCGATGGGTGAACACCTGCGTTCGAATCGCCGAGTCATGGATTTCAGGCAGCGGCGGGAGGCCCGCGTCCCCGAAGTCGGGCCGAAGGACGGTCTGCGTGTTGTTGCCGTTAGGCATGCTGGATGTCTTCCTGTTATCCCTGTTGCCCGTTCTGTTAGCCTAGCCTAGTCTAGCCGTGATGCCAAGGACGCTCCGTAGGCACCGTCTGTTTGGGACACGGACGAAGAAGCAGAAGGTGGAAGCAGCGAACGAAGAAGCGAGAGAAGAGGAGATGGAAGGGAAGAAAGGGAGACAACAAACAGCCAGCAGCCAACAGACTGGCTTGGTCGGAGTAGGGACCTTTTAAGAGGAGCTTCGCCAGGGTCTCCCCAGCCCAGCGAGTGCATATATGCATATAGTATACACTCAGCAGATTCAGATACGGGCACGCAGCAGTGCATGGCCCTGTCAGGCGCGTGTGGCCATGCGCCCGGTGTGGCTCCCGCTGCAGGTTCTCATTGATCGTGATTCGTGATCACGTCGGACTACCTTAACAGCCAGCTAGACCTTTTTGGGTAACGCCGATGACACGGAGCGCCGAAGGCAAAGCAAGGCAAAGAGGGAAAAGGATAAGCAAAGGGAAAGGGAAAAGTGTGTACGATCCTAAACGTATACTGTGATACGTGATGGCGGATGTAGATACGTGCAAAGATCCGCATCTCGGGGAAACGAACGGCACGACTTCGAGTTCGAATAGGATGGTGGTGTGGGCAGCTCGGGGGTTGCGCTCGGGATCTGCTGGAAAGGACTCACTCACCACATGACTAGGACTCCCCGGACTGGGCGGAGCAGGGGGTGAAGAAGGCGTGCCACGATACGATAGACAGAGGGCTTGGTAGATCGATGGGTCGGAGCAGGCGTCTGGCTGGTGAGGGTCAGACAAGGTCAGACACAGACTCAGCCACAGAGTGATGCATGTCGGACTCGGAAAAATAGTGTCGGAATCGACGCAACGAGATGAAACGAGCGCCAGGCGTGTATGATTGCTATCATGCATCTGCATCAGCACGCACGGCATAGCATGCACAAGCCGTACTCTTCTGTCAGTTTCGTATTCAGTCGGTAACAGCGTGGATCCACAGAGTGGACTACCAGCGCAGCAGCTTTGCTTTGAATTGAGCCAATTCAGCGAGGCCATCAGGAGAAGTATAGAGACGCTTCAACGGTTTACTGCCGGCACTGGCTCAAGAACACAGAACGTTCAGACGCTCCCTCGTCTGACAAGCGGTGCGAAAGGTCCATCGGTTTGGTGTCGCCCAAGAAAAGCCCATCTAGAGAGAGAATGAGAGATAGTGCCAGTGCCACTGACACTGACAGATCCAGGTCTGTCGCAAGGCAAGCCCGACAGGATGGCGCCGTCGACGGCGTATACGTTTTGGGTGCGCAGACTCCGCTACAGTGTTCAGAATTATCCTCCAAGCCTGTAACCTGTTCGAGACATGCGGCCCGTGGGTTCTTGTTCTCTGCAGAATAACTTAGGCACTTGCTATAGAAAGCGGACGGACAGCGTGGAAGCGGGAAGCGCATGGCGACATTTGAATCGACATATATAAGCATAAGTAAGGTGCCGATTTGCGCAAGATGCTTTCTTGAGTTCGGAAACAGGCCGCCGGTGGTGTATTAGATGCTTTGGGTGGAAGAAGAAATACAGATAGGGGAGAACGAGCAAGTGGCGCGAACCGCGGATTCAAGTGGATGTGGTTGACAGCTGAAGCTGATGTATGATGTGTTCGAAGCTAAGATGGCCACAGTTCGCAGCCCACGGCAAGAGACAGCAAGACGCCGTGTTCCGACCTATGCTTATATCACAGAAAACGGACATCTGCGAGAGGTCTACACGATCACTCCGGAGAAACGAGACTTGAGACTTTGACAACTCCTGAGATCTTGTCGAAGATCATCGTTTACGATATGATCATGCTCACAGCATCGCGCACAACTCGACACACCTAACACTGACGGGGACCTATCTGGACCCACATGAAGGCCGTCCGCCGAATCCGCTGGTTGTAGTCTATAACTCATCACTTGAGTGGCGATTGGATCGTGTTGCTTCATATCGCCAGAATCAGATCGTGCCTCTGAACGGCGTGGCTAGCTATAGATGAACACTGGGGGATCAGCGCTGTCAATCAAGGTCATATTAGGGACGGGTCAACACGACTCCGAGGCGCTTTTCAGTCGGGCTGATTATGCTCCGCGTGAGGCTTTGATTAGCGCCAGACTCTGCATCGGTAGGAGGGGTTGCATTTGCTGCATTTGTTTACAGGGGGAGGTACAGGATTTTGATGCTCTCCGGGTCGGAGGGTCGACAAGGACGCGGCGGACAATAATGCGTGGTATGCCAAGCAGAATACAAAAAATAAAGATACCTTATAACAATCTCCAAAAGTTCTACGTAGCCGAAACCGCGCCGGGTGCAGCCATCGGGATCTGCGCCTGCGCCTGAGCAGCCAACTCTGCCTCCATCTATAATTATAAAATCAGCCTCGCTGCGCACCATATCAGGATAAAATGCAACAGCCAACCCACCTTCGCCTTCTTCTTCATCGCGAAGAAATCCTTATGCAGCCCGCACTCGGTCTTGTCCGCCTTGTCCGCCCAGCGCCCCGCGCGCTCGCCCGAGTCGCCCGCGCCGCTCTTCTGCGTGCTGTGCCAGTCGCCAACGCTCTTGTATCCCTGGGCATACAGCGCGTTCCGGGGGACGTTGTTTTCGCCCATGTACTTCTCGATGTCCGCGAGCGTCCACGCGCAGAGCGGATTGAGCTTGAGCATGCCCGTCGCGTCGACCTCGAGCGGCTGGAGCGACGCGCGGTCGCCGCCCTGCGAGGCGCGCCGGCCGGTGATGACGGATTGGACGTGCAGGTCGCGGTATGCGCGTTGGGCGGGTTCGGCCTGTGATTGTCGATTCAGGTTGTATTCGCGTGAGCTAAGTTGTGAGGTGATCTAGAAATAGATCGGCGCATACCTTGACAAGGTAATCATATTTCTCTTCGTTGGCCTCCCACAGCTTCTCGCCGTGCTTGGTCTCGAAATCCTGCGCAGTCTCGCACCCCTCCGGGCGGAAGACGTGTACCGTCTGGCCGTACCGCTTCTTGACCTCCTCGACGAGGTCGTGCGTTTCCTGGAAGTGATAGAGCGTGTCAAGGAAGATGAGCGGCGGCGCATGGCCAGGTGCGATCTTGGAGAGCATATCGATAGCGACGAGACCTGTCAGACCGAACGCGGTGGTCTGGTAGAGGTTAGGAAGGTGCTCGACGCCCCATGCGAGGACCTTCTGTGGCTCGGACGAGATGGTGGAAAGGTGGGCGTTGATCGCGTCGAGGTCAGCCTCCGTCAGAGGAAGCCTGAGGGGTTTGTCAAAGGTGGAGGCAGACGACATTGTGTAAGGTGGTTGAAGGGGGAGGGACAACGAGTAATTGCGCAAGTAGCGGGGTCCATCTTCATCTTGTATGCCTCCGAAGGCTTTCTAATCGTTTTCTTATGCTTACTATTGCGTTGCGATTGCTCACCATTTCAATCAAATTATCCTATCAATTGTCACGTGTGCCTGTTTCTCCACGGACCGACTCATCCCAGTGATCATGAAGGAGATCCCTTCTTGAGTACAAACGGAAAACAAGCGTTTTATCTGTGAAGACAGGTAAAGGACGGAAGAGGGAGTATACCCGTCTTGGGATTCACGCTTAGAAAGGGTGTGCGATACGCTGATAGCGCTCAGGTATGATTTCTCACTTCCTTTATACTAGTAAATACATTAGGAGTACTTCTGTAGCTCCTGTACTCGTATTTAGCTTCTGATTCTCTAATAAATAGCTTCTGCTTTCCCGAGCCTTGGCCCGGGACTTGTGACTCGTCTGGTGGTCTATCCACCCATCTCGTGTCTTATTATCTTATCTCGGCATCGGCCGATTACGTGAACACGATGACAGGCTCACGAATTCAACAACCCGTTTAGCGAGGGACAAGCCAGGAAGAAGGGAAAAGTCGTCGATTCGCAGTAGTTAGGGGCTATTGGACAGACAAGACACCTTTCCCACGTCACTACTTTCCAGACCCTGGTGCTATCTCGCATTCGCCTTGCGCATCCGCTGTGTGCTCGTCCTGCTGAGATTTCTAAGTTATTCGTCTATCATCCAGGCCAGCGAACATGGACGTCAGCTTTACGGGAAAGATGGACATGAACATGGCCAAGATGGAGACCATGCCCATGGAGTACTACAAACCGCGCCCCGAGACTGCGCCTCCACCGGCCGTCAAGAGGCCTGCGCCTCCGGATACGACAACGCGAGATTACAAGTATACCCAGGAGATATCGCAAATGGTACGCACGAGGCATGTTTCCTGCTAGAAGAGTCTGACCAAGACGTTGCTGCAGATGTTTGTCTTCGGAGAGATCCAGGACCCCAACCCAGAGACGGTGAACCTTGTAGAGGATATCGTCCGGAGTCAGCTTATCGAGCTTGTGCGTATTTCTGTGATTCTTTCATAGGAAGCTGAATTCTAACCAAACATTAATTGTTGCCTACTCAGATTCTGCAAGCGCGTGCTCTAGCAAACAAGCGCGGCGCCCGCTTCCTGGTCGCAGAGGATCTTATATTTCTCATCCGACACGACCGTGGCAAGGTCAACCGCCTCCGGACGTACCTCTCGTGGAAGGACGTGCGGAAACATGCCAAGGACAGTGGCGGTGACGGAGGCGGAGGCGTTGAAGTCGAAGCCCTCGAGGATGGTGCAGATGGTACGTCATACATACTTCCGGTCTCAATGCGGACTGCACAAGTCTCATTGCTATTTGGCTGTTGCGTTGCACGCTGGCAGACAAGCTTGCCTCGAAAGCACAGAAAATTACGATCAAGCTTCCGTGGGAGATATCGACAATATACTCTGAGGTTTTGCGGCAGAGTGGGCACCAGTCCGATGATGAAGAGGACGAGGATGACATTGAGGCTCATGAGGCATCAATACAACGGCTGAAGGTGAGAGGGAATGCTCATCTATGAAAACCATAGGCTGAAAAATAGTCTTCAGGAAGCAGATGATGCTACACGTCAAATGACGCGTGAAGAGTACCAACACTACTCCGACTGTCGACAAGCATCCTTCACATATCGAAAAGGTACTTGACAGCTCTGTTCCGCCTTCAAGCTCTGAGTATATCACACCACCCTCCAGCCAAACGCTTTCGCGAGTTCCTCAACCTCCCCCCACACCTCGACCTCAAAGCCAACGACGACACCGTCGACATCGTCGGCTTTCTCGCCTTCGAAATGGTCCGCTCCCTCACCCTCGCCGGCCTCGAAGTCAAAAAATCCCTCGAAGAGTCCTACCTCCGGGACGACTTCGCTGCCTCGCCGTTGCTCGGCAAGCGCAAGGCCGGCTCGGCCGCGCTCGAGGCGGCGGCAGCGGCGAAGCGCAGGCGCGAGGAGGAGCTGGACGAGGACGACACGCCGCTGCCCGCGAGCACGCTGTTCATGCCCCCGCCCGAGGCGCGCACCGCGCTGCAGCCGGAGCACATACAGGACGCGTTCACGCGCATGCAGGGCGACTGGGCGCATCATCGGTCTGCGGGAATGAGGAACTGGCGAGGAGGGCTTGTGCGGACGCGGGTTACCTTGATCTGATCACAGTTGTTTTGCTGGTCGACGTCTTTTTGGTTTTTGGTGTGTTCTTTTTGCTGCTGCTGCATGTATTTTTGTTGCTCGTCACGCTCGCATGGATATTTATCTAGATTGCACTGTATTTTATACCACTACGCATGGACGATACAACCTCTGGATGTCGATGCCATTTTACCCTCTTGACTGACCGACAGCTTTTCTTCATATTTTCAAACCTAGATCCGTCGTGCGAACCTTCACTCATCGCTGCAACTTAAAGCACTTCTTCACAAACCTTGCTGCCGTTCCCTGCAAGTGATCGCGAAAGCCCGGGCACCATCGTATGCAACATCACAATTGCGCTCCGTATTCGCCTTGTCACTTACCAGCCGAGGTTTATGCATGAGGCACCCTTGGAGTCGTCGTGTTCCCGTTCGAGATCAGTTTGAGGCGAGACACCTCACTCTTTCATTTGGTTTATTATTCGATTGTCGTCCGTGTTTGTAGAGCTTCAGAAGTTTGGCTGGTTTTATGCAGACCCTCTCCTTCATTGATATCGCAAACTCAACATGCATCCAGATTTCATGACACATAGCGTTCTTGCTAGATGCCTCGAGAAGCTCCTCCAAGCAACTACGCGGCCAAAACATGTTACACACTGACACATCATACATTGACGCGGACCGGCACTGAACACTGAATTTTGTAACTGGCTATCTCATATCTGCGAAACACCACACGACTTGGCACCTATCGGAACGCATGCCCTCCTTCAATGGCATCCACCAGCACCTGGTAGTCCTGATTGCCCTCCTCAGCCAGCTTCTTAAACGCCGGCAGATTCTGCGCTGCCCACTCCCGGTCGTGCCCTGCCTGGGGCACGGAGAAGCCGTGCTCGATGCCGCCGATGATATTGCCAAGGACGAATATCGAGTTCATCGACTTGTCACCTTCGCCGCCGACAATCTTCTTCCACTCGGCGATGATGCTGTTGCACAGGTCGTCGATCTGGCTGGACGTTCGCTCTGGGCCCCAGCGCAGGTTGGCGAAGATGCGGTTGTTCTTGGACTGCCGGCGCATAAAATGAAGGTGTTCAGAAAAGAGGTGTGTATGGTCTAGGTAACGGAGATGGGCTGACCTTTCTCCCCGCCACGTACGTGTGGTGGATTGATATGTCCGTAAAGCGCACATTTACAAAGACGGGGGCCGCCTTGAAGAGGCTGCAGTGGATCTTGGTGATGGCGGCCGCAATCTCGTCCTTTTGGGACTCGCTCAGAGAGCAGATGTGTTCAACTTCGTACGCTGGCATTTGGGCGGGTGCTGGATGTGTGGAGAACCGTCTGTCAAGATGAAGCCACCGGCACCAATAAGCAAATGCTTACAGAAGGATCGAGTAGAAAGATGAGATATTCACTTCACTAAGAAAAATAGAGTCAAAACGGGGTTTGGACGAATGCAAAGAAGCCATTATTCTGCCCGTATTTATGGGAGAATGCGGTACACATGACGTAGAATCAAAGGACTTAATAATCACGACGTACAAGTACTTGAGGTGTGAACGCCATGCCCGACGAAGCCCGAGCCCCATGCAAAGCACTTCCCGGCTTTCCAACTAGCTGGTATTACCTTAGTAATCATAACATACAGTACTTAGGGAGCTAATATTGGCAGCCCGAAGCCCGAGCCCCTCAGAAAGTCGTGTTAACCAAAAGTAACGGCGGGGACACTTGGCGCGGCTTCGATAGCTGGAGCCTCTTGGGGGGCCCCGGACCAGATAAAAATGCATCAGGAAAAACGATTAAAAACGTCGTCGCCGTCGCTGTCACATATTGTCGTCTGGCTCCGTTTTGAGGCAGCCGAACTCGAAATTCGTGAGGTGCGAGAACACCTGGAGCGGTTCCAGACTTTGATATGCGCCAATTGCATCGCCCATGTCATGGTAGTGTCCACCGTGCGTCGTCGCGCCGAGCCAGCGCTGGTCGACCATAATTCGCAGGTCGACTAGGGTATCGTGCGACAGGGAGGCCGCGAGCGCGCTGGCGAGCTCTCCAAGAGACGTGTGCAAGAACGCGGTGTCGGCAGCTTCAATCGACAGACTCTTCAATCGCAGAGGACCGGTGCCAGCGCCGGTGCCCTCGTCGACAGGACCAAAAAGACGCTCGAGAGCAATAACACACGTCGCAAACGTGTCCGCGCGCAGCGCCAGCTCCAAGCCCACCACCGGAATCCCGAAACCCGCGCCCTCGCTGACCCACAGGCTCGCCGCCGCCACATCCACCGACAGCGCTCTCAGCGGGGGCACAGGCCGACTCGCCAGCGCCCTGACATGCTCCAGCATCGGCCGGTCGACCAGCCCGCAGTGCAGCGCGCGCAGATGCCGCAGCGCGGCGTATGTTTCCGGGGAGACTTGGATGTCGCAGCCGATGTGCTCGGTGATGCTTTCTGGCGCATCGGTCAATGAGGACAGCCCAGTCGGTTCTTGTGAGATCGCGGGCGAAGGTCTAGGGTAAACGCCAAGGTTATGTTCAGCATCAGTATATTTGAGGTAGATTTACCAAAATGTGACGAGCTTTGCTTTCAGCTGAACCTGCCTTGAGGACAGGCAAGAGTTTCCACAGGTCGCGAGGCAAGCACAGCAGGAACTGGGGAAAGCAATGGATGTGCTGGTACAGGACGTCGATGGCGGGGTCTCTGAACGCTTTGCAGACTCTGGCAAGTTGCGCGACGGTGGGCTTGCTTGAAATGTCAACATACGTGAAGATTGGAACGAGGATCTCTGGGGTGGTCAGACACTGGTGTTTAGCGGGCCGCCCCCACACCATAATGACCTAGTCAAGGACCTAGCGAAATCAAGTAAACCTTGCAGTTTCGGTGCGAGAGACTATGAGCTGGCATGTCAAACTGTCAAACCTCACTGCTGTCAGCAATAATGTTGGTACAACGCTTTGGCTTGTGTCTTAATTCCGGCTACATACATGGTGGTAATCGACTTCGTGTGTCTTGCGCACGCCGTGCGTATTACAATGACTAGAACTGTCTGTCAGCAGTTGAGTTCACATTTTTGCTTCTTCTTCCTTCTTCCTTCTTCCCCAACTCTTCCCATACGCATTGGCGCGTTCAGAACATTAGCGACGCCGCCGCATCGACATTCCCCCCCGCCGCATCCAGCATTGAGATGGCGATCTCCCGCGTCGCACCGAGGTCCATAAGGACCTTGATCGACGCCTCAGGGTGCCTTGGCTGACCCTGCGGCGGCGCTGGTCTCCCAGGCCGCGAGCCAGCTCGAGGCGCAGAGCCCAACGTGTTCCCGCCGCCGGGGAACGAAGCCGGCCCACCCCGCCCCGCGCCTGCCCCTTGGCCAGCTGCGGGCTCCGACGAAGAGCCCGAGGGCTCCAGGGCAGCGGCCGACGGGGGGCCTGCCTGTGCCTCTTGCCCGCCCATCTCGAATATGCGCGCCTTGTCGGGGAGCTCGTGTTCCGAGAGGAAGTTGACCTCGCGCCCCTGGATGCGGAGGACGTTCTTCTCGAGGTCGATGCACGCCTGGTGCGCTTTCAACATGTCGAGGCCGAGGAGTAGGTCGACGTCACGACCCTGGAGTAGTCATGAATTACAACGTCAATGAGTAAGGGCATTTTTGGGGGTAGGAGGCCTACCTCCATGATGGTGAATGCACAAGGAAGGAAGATGTCGGCGACCTTGAGCTGGGCACTGTGGACGCGCCCGAGAATTTTCGCTGTACCAACGCCACGAGCGATACCGGAGAACCGCTGGTCCACTAGGCGCATTACGCTGGCAACGTGTAAACTTAAGTATTGATGATGATGGTTATCAGGAGGATACATACTTGCACGACTCGGCACACTCGGGGCTCACTGGATTGATATTAGCCTTGCACCGCAAGAAAAGTACGCGCACTTACTGATCGTCTGCTGAGCTCCACTATCCACAAACGCCTTTACCGGGCGTCCATTTACCTCCACATTAACACTGTCCACACACCGTTAATCACCCCGATACGTATTGTCATTGCAGCGAGCTAACTCACTAAAGCATCGTCACGCGCCCAAAGCTCTCGGGCGCGTACTCGAGCGCGTGCTCCATGTTCTCCATGACTGCCTGCTGGCGGATCGCCTCCTCGATGCGGCGCTGCGCCTCGACATCGAACGGGTCCGCGTTCAACGCCTCGATCTCGCGCAGGCGCGCGAGCTCCGCCTGGGTGTTGCGATCGCGCGTCTGGCGCAGCAGTTGGGCGAACTTGGCGGGGTCGTTCTGCGCTGCATCGGCGATCTCGGGCTGGGTCTGGTAGCGGTGGACGGCGTCAGGTTGGATTTGTACGTGCTTAGGGGGTGCGGGGGACGCGGAGGAGACGGAAGGGTGGAAGGAGGAAGAGACGTGGGAAAGATGCTCACGGCACGAAGCTGCTGCATGAGCTGGGGGTCGCCGAGCAGCTGCAGACGCATCATCTCCGCGTCCTGCTCTACCTGTCTACACCGTGCATCGCCCGCGCAGAGTCAACATCAATGAGAACCTTGTGGTCATCGGATATGAAGTTGAAGCACGCACCTTCCACCTGGCATGTTTACCTTTCTCCGTAGGTGGAGCATCGAGTTGTCGGGCACTCCGCACTCGAGCATCGTGTGCTTGACGTTCCCGAGATCGCGTCCCTCGCACGAGATGCTCTGTTCTGCGACGGGTATTCCTGACTATTGTCGTCACGGGTAAGATGGTATATAAGCGTGAAGGAAACTTTGTAGTAGAACGAGATGAGGACGAGTGGCATACATACCTCAGCCTCTAACAGGGCCATGACATCCTCGAGAGTCATGTTCGGGTCGATCTCGACGGGATAGGTCTCGCCTATGTCAGTTACGAACGTGAGATTCATGCTGGGGACGCTCTTGCGAATGGCGGGTAGTGGACGAAGACACGAGTTAAGATGCACTCGAGCGGCTGAGAACTGGGCGATAGGTCGCGGTGATCGAAGGGAGTGTAGGTCCGAGTATAATCGACCCCGAAAGCCCCTGAACGGAGGCTATTTCGCCTGAATTTTGGATAAAGGTGGGTGGGGCAGGAGAACAGCGCGGCGGATAAGTAAAAGAGCCCCTGACGGACACGCTTTATACTGTCCCAGAGCACATTAATCACGCAAGTCACCGACAGCCAATGACAGGGAGACGAGAAAGTACAAGAAAGCAGTAGAACAAAATCTAGCGAATCGCGCCTTGTTTCAGGACGACAAGAACGCGTCAGTCTCTCACTAAGCAGACGCGTCACCTCCCAACATAAACCCATCAGAAACCGTCATAAGATTAGTGATATAATATACATCGCATTGGGTCTAATGTCGGACTCCTCGGCTCGTACCGCTGAATCGACTGCGTGATGTCATGTTGGACCTATTTTCCGATAGTCAGAACAAAGGCGAGCAGGAAATATAATCTGTATATACAATCGTGAATTTCCTCCCTTGAAATTTGACATCAACGCGCTTTCCAGCGCAGAAGGGCTGAGGCTTGCGTCTACAAAGAAACAAACACATCCAACTCAACGACTGGAGAATATTGATAGAAGCGAGACTCACCACTCAGATCGCTGAAACTCGACGCAGACGACCCGTGGTTACTCTCCTGCTCACCCACGAACGCGCCGTACCCACCACCACCATACCGCATCCCACGCGCATTGCGCGTCGACACCGCAGGCGGGCTCTGCGACTTGGCAGCGTTCGCAGAGAACCCCCGGCGCAGCGGCGCAGGCGACGCCTGCGACCTCGGCGACTGTGACGCGCTCTCCGGCGGCGGCGACGGTATCGACGGTATCGAGCCCTGCGGTGACGACGCGCTCGACACGCTCGCGCTGTGGTCCCTGTCCCTCTCTCCGTTGCGCGCGTCGTCCCGGTCCCGCCTGCTCATACCGCCCGCGTTGGAGTTATTGAAGCTCTCGTGGAGCGAGCGCGAGCCCCCCTGCGGCGGCCGCGGCGGCCGCCCGCGCGTGAAGTTGATGTCCTGCGCCGGCGTCGCAGGGCCCGCGAGCCCGCTTGGACCAAAGGCGCGCAGCTGCGACGAGCTGGGCGAGATGGGCGAGCGCACGAAGCCGAGCGCGTCCGCGTTCATGACGCGCTGGAGGTGCTGCAGTTTGCGGTTGAGCGTCTCCTGCTCCTCCTGGCGCCGCTCGGCCTCTTCCTCTTTCGCGGCGCGTTCGTCTTCCGAGTCGGATGCCTCGTCGCTCGCGCTTGGTGAGGAGTTGGACGGGGAGACGGGTGGGAGGTGCGGGGCGGGTGCGTAGTCCTGGTTCTCGCCGCTAGTCTTGCGCGCGTGCAGGGTAGACGTCGATGAGGACGAGGCTTTCTTGTGTTTGTGTGGGGGGTTTTGTCCAAGTGAGTTAAGTCGTGCGCGCACGCCAAGGGGGTGATTGAATCGCCCAGACGTGGTGAGGCGGGTCGCGCTTCCAAGGGGCTGAGTGAGCCTGTTCGCTGGTATTTGGATGGCAAGCCTCTCGGGCGGGCTCGCAGCACCATTGTCGTCCATGACTGTAGGGGACCTAGCGGAGACCTGGGGAGTAGGGAGACCATCAATGTCCTGCAAACCGCGTAAATTCTCTTCGTAGCGCGCCCGTGCCCGATAGACGAGGTAAGGGAGTGGAACCTGGAGATGTTCTGCTAGACCCTTCCCTGCGCAACGTAGTAATATGATGAGTATACAAGACACTTGACAAGGTCACAACGCGCACAGTCCGTCTTATCGCTTGAGCCGTCGCTCGAGCGTGCCATAACCTCCCAGAGAATATTTGCCTTGTCCTGGGTCCATTCTATCTAGCAGCAGCTCGTGAGTCGCGAAACAGGGGGAGAACACGGTCTCACTCACTCGTGGTGGGTTCGGAAACGGCTGTTCTGGGCGGTTGTAGGGCAGCTGCACGACGACGCGCACATTCGATGGGCTGGCCGGACTCGGCATGGTCGTGAACAGGAAGCAGGGTGCGAGTAGACAGCTGGGGGTGGGCGACACACCCAAGAGGGGGTGCCTCGGAGATTGCTGTCGCGGTCCGAACGGCAAAGCCTCCTTTCTACCACCACCATCCCCGCACCCTTCAACCGCTGCACTCGCACAAAATGGCCAACTCAAACCCAAATCAGAGACTCGATGTCGAAGACGACGACGCCAGACAGCACAGAATAGGTACGTCCCCCCGTGTCCCCTCGATTCTCGTCCGACCAACAAGACTCCACCAGGCTCACTCCTCGAACAGCTCAACTCTCTGCGTGGAGAAAACTCTGCCACATCCAATGCACCTAACGCACCAGCCCTCCCTGGCTCCCGACCGAGCTTGGATGACCTCCCGGTGTATAATGATCGTACGTTTCACATTGCCCCCGCTTTTGCAGTCGCATCGCACTAATCACGGACCCGCGTTCACAGTGCTCAACCGCATCCAGGCCTTCCTTCCCCAGCTCAAAGCAGAGAACGACGCCCTCGCGGAGCGCATACGCGCTGACCCGCGCTCCGCCGACATCGAGAACGTCGACGAAGACGAGCGGGTCATCGAGATGGTGCGTGTGCCGCCCCTTTCTGCTCCTACACGTCCTCTGAATCTGATTGCCACAAAATTATAGGACCTCGGCCTTGGTGTCTTCGAGTCACGAAACCCCGGCGAGGCGTCTGAAAGCAGCACTGACGATGAAGACGACGAGGACGATGAAGACGAAGACATGGACTCATCATCGTCATCTGCCTCATCAGACGAGAGCGACAGCGACTCGGAGAGCAGCGGTAGCGAAGACCCTTCGTCCTCTGATGCCAATTCCGACGTGGACCTCGAACATGCCGGCGAACCACGACCCATCAGACCGTTGCCCCGGAGAGCTTCGGGGCGACCGACTATCGAGGTTATTGATGAAAAGATCAACAACAACTCGTAGTTTTTGGGATGGTCGCAGATCTTTTTCTACTCGTTAACAGATACATGTCTCAAGAAGCGCTGATTCAAGCTTGCCGGGCTGTAGCCAAATTTTTGATCCTATGATGATATAATGACTATCTCACAAGCATGTCCACTTGAAAGAGACTGCATAAAGTACATCTTGCAAAACCAAACACAGGGACGAAGAAACCTACTAAAAAGAAAAGCGTCCTCTCCAGCTGCACCCGTGAGATACCCACAAACCAAAATTTACAAGTAGAATTATGCCGAAGGTGTACCACGGGACAAATAAAAGATGCAATGATCTACAAGAAACAATCTCAAATGCAGCAAGGAAAGAAAAGCAAGAAACAGACGGCATATCACCCAGTGTCCAAAATCAGATATAAGTGCAGGTCATTGATACCCGCCTCCGCCTCCACCACCGCTCCCGCCTCCATGCGGCGCATACCCGCCCGACGACCCGTCAGATATATTCGTCATGAACGACTGCCAAAAGTTGTTGTCCAAGAAGATATCCGAGCTCATAAAGTAGCTCGGGTCCTGCATCGGGAACGTCGCCGGGTACACCTGCGGGTACGCCGCCTCCTGCAGCCCGTGGCCCATCCCGGAGGGCATCGACCCGGGCAGCGCCGCGACGCGCTCCGTGAAGTCGCGCGTCGCCGCGTGGAAGTGTTCCTGGATCGGCTGGCGGTGGGGCGCGTTGCTCCCGCTCCCGCCGCCGCCGCCGCCGCCACTAGGGCCGCCCTCGCTGTCGTCACCTTCGCCCTTGCGCACGCCGCCGTCGCTACCGCCTACAGCATTAGGTTTCTCGCCGCCGTTGGTGCCGCACGCGCCAGACGCATCGGGCGTCGCGCCCTTGTCGCTCCCCGACGCGCGCTTGCGGAACGAAAGAATCCCAGCGTTAATAACGCGCGCGCACTTGGCCGGCTGGTGCTCGGGCGAACACGCGGTCTGGCTGAGCCGCTCCACCGTGCGCGCCAGCAGGCTGTCCGACGAGCCGGGCAGCGGCTCGCCCGTGTCCTGCAGCGTGCTCCACTTGGCGAGGATAATAAAAAATGACGCGAGCGTGATCATGTTGAAGTAGATGTCGGGCGCGGACGCGAGCCGCCCGTTGTCCGCCTCCTTGCACTCGAGTACGAGGAGCATGATGCGCTCCGAGACGACGAGTGCGTACTGCCCCCACGAGCGCGCGAGATTGATGCCGTTGTGCTCTGCGAGCTTGAACCAGTGCTCGCCGCGGCCATCCTTGACCGCCGCGGTCTTGGCCTCGATGAGCGCATGCGTGAGGACCTGCAGCCGGCAGACGTCGAGGTGCATCTGCATCATGTGGAAGTAGAATGGCTCGTGCTCTGCCAGGACTAGAGAGTCAGGCTCAGAATTTGACTGAATGGTCGGGGAGGGACTGGGGGAGACATACCCGGAAGAGGGGAGAGGATCCGCTCGAACACATCCATGTGCATCAGGTAATTGAGCATGTCCCGATAGAATGGGCCAATTTCTGACAGGTTCTCAAGGTGGATGACAAGGGCTTTTTGGGTGCTTGCGTATATTTGGCTGACCAGTGATAGTCTCATGTCGCGGCCCAAGCCCACTGATGCAAGAGAAGACGTTTCAAGAGCCTCGTAGATGAGACTGTCGCAACTGGATATCGGGTCTCTGCCGCTCCCTAGACATAAACTTCGTAGCTTTGTTAAATGACAGTCGACCGACTCGAGGCTAAACCTACGTTGCTTCAACGCTTGTGAGAGCAAACCACTACGGGCAAAGATAAGCGGGATCAAAAATAGGTTGATAGCAGATAGACTCACCAAGCGTGCTTTATCCATCGCCTCGGCGAGCTCTGTTTGATGGCTTTCCGATGCTTGTGTGCCTCCGTTCCGCAAAGATTTGGCGTATACCATAGCCTCGCTCAGACGCAGATTCATAGCCATGCTGACAGCAGACGACGCTATCAGACGGCTGTCTTTTGATTCCGTATGACTTGGGTCGCCGACAGGCTCCCACATCGAGAGGATGAGGATGGCTTGGATGGAGTCGGTAGAAGGAAGGGGGTTGTACGTCTGTCTAAAAAGGATTTCTTCTGCGAGTTGGTAGAGTTGGGGTGTCACTACTGAACGTGTCTGTGGATCGAGGTGCCGTGAGGCAATACAGCACTGCGCGAGACGCAGCAGTGGGCTTTCGGTGTACTTGCTTGGTGGGAGGTTGACCCAGGGCGCATACCGTTCCTCGAACCTTTTGATTGTGTCAAAACGTTAATTGGAGGCCTCGCAAGGTCATTGAACCCGAATAAACCCATGCACTCACAAGTCACAGAGGGACTGCACCTGGTCACGCCCTAGTATCCGGAGGAGCGGCTGCTCGAACGAGTCGTCCGTTGGCTCTTGCCACGGTCCTGCTCTCGTGAGCGCCTGCATGGCGAGCATGGGCACCATGGTGCCGTCGAACCCTCCCGGGAGCTTGAGGAAACCCCAGGGGCGGTGTCGTTCCGGAAGTAGCTTGGCCGGGTCGGTGAACTCAACCTCGTTCGTGTCGGGTGTTTCCTTGAACTCGTATGGCTCTTGCCTGGGCATCCAGCCCCGCTCGCTCCTGGGGGTTATGACGTCTTCCATGGCAGTATCGCTTTTCTTGCCCGTAGACGGAGGATCATACGGACTTGCACTCTGGTTCGCGGATTTGGAGCCTGAGCGATAGGTGGTCGTGGAGGCGCGATCCTGGGTGTGGGTAGTCTGGGGCGGGAGAAGGGCTGATGTGGATGCCGAGTCGGATGCCGCAGACGCGGGGGTTGCATTCGTTGCGTCGAATGAGCAAGGGAGACTGAGGACTTTGCAGCGATGACAATGTGAGCCCGAGTTATCGCCTTCGAGCATTTCGCAGCGAGTTTTGTGCTTCCTGCATGATAAACACGCCTGTGCTGCCTTTGGCCGCTTGGGTTGTGTGGGCGCGGCGGAGGATGGACTGGGACCGCGCTTGACGCCGATAGATGCGGCGGCCTCCGAGGCAGTCATTTGTACTGATTAAGCGTGATTTTTGATAATGTCTGGAAAGGTAGTAAGATAAAAGAGAGGGTAATATGTTGGGATTTCTTCTGGGAGAATAGCCTGAGGCTAAAGTGGTCCGGTCCTGGCTAATGCTCACTAATGATTGGCTGGTGGGGAAGCCGATCGGCTCCTTCTTACGCAATCTCCACCTCAAACTTGACACGTCCCTTTTGAACTCCGCGACGCGCTTGTCCAAATGCCCCTGATCTGTTCCTGCGATCGCCCTCTCACCTCATCGCCAACTCCGAGATGACCGAACGCAGTTTCTGGTAGCTGAATTCCCTCACAACTTTGTCTCAACTATGATAAACAGTGCTCATAGAAACGATGGCACTCGTCCTCGTCTTCCCAGAATCTTGCATGTACTGGTCGGAGACAAATACTTAACTTCTTGATATTATGGTGAGTTATAGGCGCACATACGATCATGATATCTAAGGTAAAAAAAATCTGTGTACATATTGACCCATCACTCCCTTGCAACCGCACTCCAGTCTCCTCTGCTTTCGAGACCCCGCCGTGCAGACGCGATATCCTCCTGAATGTCGTGATACCAAACCCACTCATACAGGCCGTGAAGGCGAGGCTCCAACTCGTTCACGGAGGCATCCTTGTTCCAAACTTCATACAAGTCACCAGCTGCAGCACTAGCTTTCAGGACCTTGTTCGCCCGAGGACGCCTGATCTCGTCGTATGCTTTGAGAACATCCTAAATAAAACAGGCCGACGAATGAGCGGATCCTAGCGTTGAAGTAAGGAGAAATACCGACCTGAACATTGGAAACATCCGTGCGGGGATCTGTCAAAAGTTCACAAATCACTAGAGCGTCCTCGAAGCCTTGTCCGACGCCAGACCCCATGTGCGGGCACATGCCATGCGCGGCGTCTCCGACCAAAGCAATGTTTTCACGAACGTAGGTTGACAATGTAGGCTCTAGAGCGTGAATGGACCACTTCTTGGCAGGTTCCTCGACCAGCGAGATGATCTTCTGAACGTCAGGCCCGCTACCTTCGAACGCGTCGACAATCTCTTGTTTCTCAACCGAGACAACCCACTGGCGAAGTGGGACCTCGACGGATCCGGTCGGTCTCGACTTGTCAGTAACGAAGATCACGACGTTGACCTGCATGGGGAGTCATTTGCCTGCATGATCGTTAAAGTTCTGGCATACTCACTGTATCCTCGTCGAGTGGAAAAATGATCATGTGCTATTATTACCTCGTCAGTAAGAAAGCGTGGATAGACCGTAATGGCATTACCCTATTATCGCCTAGCATAACTGTCGGTTTCCCACCGAAAAAATTAGTCTCGACATTCGCCTTCCTGACGGCTGCGCTCGGGATAAGCGCACGATAAGCCACCGAATTCGTCCAAGTAGGTCGAGTCGAGTTCCCCACAACTGCAGTCCTAACCACGCTTCGAATGCCGTCGGCTCCGAGCACGACATCTGCTTCAAAGGTTCTCCCGTCCTGGAAGTGGAGCGTTGAAGTTGTATGTCCTAGCTTTCCTGACTGAGAGATAGACTCCAGTCGCTTGTTAAAATGCGTTCGTTGCCCATCAAGAAGTCCAGTGACTGCTTCAAGAAAGACGGCTCTGCCATGTTAAATATTGAACATCATATATAACATAAGAATAGAAATCCATATTACTTACCGATGAATGGCCACTCCGATATCAATAATTCCCGGGCTGGTCGGTTGCTGGCCTTCCCAATTAGTATGCGGACCATAAGTCCTGAACATCAATTGAATAAAGCTCACGTCATATATAACCTGGTGGCCTTCCCGTTCTAAAACAAATTGTGCAGGCTACGTATTGGGCTCCTCTCCAGTTCTCTCCAGCATAGCATCGTATAGGCCCAGGCCCTTGAGGGCGCGCAAGGCATTTGGTCCTAGCCCATAATTAGAATGTGAGAGGTAAATGCGAGACATAAAGTCTTCACCTAAACCCACGCCAGCGCCAAACTCGGCGAACTTGGACTGTCAATGGATTAGCATTCGACTCGTGCTTGGGTTTTAAATCCTATAAACTCGCACCCCTGCTTCAAATAGATCAACCTTTAGGCCCGCATGTTGCAGCTTCACTGCGCATGCGACGCCAACCATGCCTCCGCCGACAATAGCAACGCGGAGATCTTTCGATGATGCCATGAGTGCAGAGCGATTTGACCGAAAAAATGAGACTTTGAGCTTTGCCCTAAGACATCGAAGGGCGAACAAGGTGTTTATGTACTGTGAAGTCCCCGCAAGCTGGTGGGAACACTTTCCCACACGACGATCCCGCTGACTGACCATCGGTGCTGACCATCGGGCCCTTACTCATAGTGATCCGAGTCGGCCAATGATTCCCCACTGCTGAAGTCATGGAAATCAGCTAGGTGGTAATCGGCCATGAGTAGTGAGATGCACAGTGAGCGTGGATTGACGTCAGCGACATCGGGGGATTTTCATGGTCTTAGCGTCCAGTGTTGCCATAAGAAGCACACTTTTCCTGCAAGGGAGGTTTACGGCGGTAAATAGAGACGGGGATGGTCAATGTTAGGATGAACGCACGACGAAGCGGAAAAGCGCGACTGACCAGAGGTCCACTCATGGAGGATGACAGAAAAGTCGCCGTGGAAGGTCACCGAGTGGAGTCAAGGAAAGGAAAACACAGCAATAAAATGGAGATATGACCAGATACCTTTTAACCGTCACCGTCAAGTATCACATGCGCATACGGAAAGGCATGTAGACCGCTCAAGGTGAGGGACTCACGTTCGGTAGGCCCATTTAGTGGCAGGGCTAAACAGACAAAGTAATCGAGATGGTCGAGGCCTTGAGGTTGAGGCTAGTCAGAAGAGCTATTCTGTCATGAGGAAGGCCATGTGCCTGCTCAACTATACGCATAGCAAAGATAGCGCGTCCTCGTGCCACGATGCGGCGGCACGTTGAAAGCAATAGTTTTGACGGCGGGCGAGTCTCAATCACATATACGCCAACGCAAGGTAGCGGTGAACTTGGTCCAAAGGCATGCAGGTGAGAAAGCGATAGAAGCATACAATGTGTACAGAGGACATTGGCGACAGGCTGGTGGAGAGTTTTGCAGACCCTCGTAGATATTGTCGTTGTCGCCTCGCTATCATAGACCGGCATCGCCAAGGTCAAAGATGTTGGACAAGAAAACCTCTGGGGGCGGATGAGCAACGATGCTTCCGAGTCGTTGAGACGCGACCAACTCGGAGTATATGCGCTCGTTTGTACAGCCAGGAAAACCAAAGCAATGGCCTCGTCTTTGAGGGGAATTACCACCACATATTCACCTCTGAACGAAAAGGATGTCAATAGTGCAAGCTGAGCGCATTAATGCTGTTGCGATGAGTCGCACGAACAAGTGCCATGACTGTCTGACACAAGGCCAAATAGCCCCTTTTCCTTCAGAGTCTCTTCCTTCGGCGACAATACCTAGTCTGATATCTTCAACACGCATACTAATGTCCTATGAAAACTTTGACACGGGACCTGTTTCTCGCTCTTCTGCTTGCTTCCTCCATTGGCTGAACAAAAGAAAGGATGGCCCATCCAAAGGTGCAGCGACGTGTGTGCTCTCAAGTTTCAAATGAGGTTGCTATCTGGATCGCTTCAACTGCGATTTTGTAGTTGTCAACTTGTGTCTAGACATAGGTGAGTTTTCCTTTCTTCTTCTTCTTCTTCTTCACCTTGCCTTTGTTTAGATGTTAACCGCAGGCGATTGAATATTGAGGATCGAACCTTGAAGCCTAAAAGGTCAATGATCGACGCTGGAATGGTCCTCGATAGGAAGGTGCTCATGAATTGACTTGGGTTATGACCTCACGAATGACTGCACACCCGTCAGATCATGACCCGGTTGACCACCTGGGCAGGACCTGGACGGCTATGTGGGGACTCGTGACAAACCCCAACGGTGTTCATCCATTCATGATCTCATGGTAAAGCTCGACAATGGACATGACCTCATATAGACTGCTCCTTTTCCTGAGCATTTAATACGATGTACTCTCTCTTGCGCTCTCTCCGTTCTCCCTCCATTTCCCCATCTCGAAGTCTCAGAACTTTTTCAAAACCTCTCAACCAACCGATAGTCTCTCAGAGAAAGTACTCGACTTCCAGGACTATGGCCGACAACTCCAAATTCACCATTCAAAATCTCTTCAATGTCGAGGACTACGTCTGCGTCGTCTCAGGGGGCGGCACCGGCATTGGCCTCATGATCGCGCAGGCGTTTGCCAACAACGGCGCCAAGGTCTACATCTGCGGGCGCCGCACCGAGGTAGTCGAGCAGTCCGCCAAAACGTGGGGAGCGACGCTCAAGCACCCCAAGGGACAGCTCATCCCGATGCAATGCGACATTACCAGCAAGGAATCGATTCAGCAGCTCGTGAAGGAGATAGGAAAGAACGAGAAAAAGGTTGATTTACTCGTCAACAACGCAGGTATCAGCAAGGGTTCGACCGAGGTCGAGCGCGGTGACGAGTCGGCGAAGGAGCTTTCGGAAGAGCTGTTTGGCGAGGAGATGAAGAACTGGGAGGACGTGTACAGGACGAATGTCATTGGGTATTTCTTTATGACGAGCGCGTTTATCCCTCTCTTGTCTGCCGCTGTTTTGAAGAAGGAGGGCGTTCCCCAGTACACGTCATCCGTGATTAACATCGCGTCGATTTCCGGAAGTATGTGGCTTGTTTTACTGTGCTACTATATGTGCTAACCTGCTCTTCAGTAACGCGTACCAGCCAACACCACTTCAAGTATAATGTCTCAAAAGGGGCCGCCATCCACCTGAGCACGCTGCTCGCACAGGAACTCCGGAGGAAGGCCGTCCAAGTCCGGGTGAACAACATCTCTCCAGGCATCTTTCCGTCCGAAATGACCGGTTCGTCTCTACCGCTATTGTGAGGCGTTTCGAATAGCCCCTAATTTTCACATAGCCAAAGAATCGGACGAGCTTAACAAATCCGCCATCGATCATCAGGGTGGCAAATGGGCTGATCAGAAGGGTATTCCGGCAGGCAGACCCGGCCGCGACGAAGACATGGCACAGGCTATTATCATGCTGGCATGTAATCAATATGCATACGGACAGGTGAGAGACCATGTGGCGCGTTAGGTCGACTTGATTTTCTAACAGTGTAGCACTTACAGACCTTGGCTATCGACGGTGGATATCTGCTCGAGCACCCTTAAGCTTCTTACAAGTTGGACGAACGAATTCTGTACATTGTATCGTCTTCACAGCTGTACCATAGCAATGATTCACTAAGCGCACCCCAGTTGGTTTAATCTCAATCTTCTCAATGTTCCTTCTTTCCTGGGCAATCATCTACAACTCCAACACCCCTAAGGAAACACATCCGCATAGTAGCGCCCAGATAAACAAACCCCACGCTCCCCCATACCATCGCGTTCCACTCGTACACTGCCCAGAACACCCGCGCGCCGAGCGGCGCCATCGTCGCGAGGTGTCCAAAGTCTGCAACGAGCAGACAAAACAATAGCCTTCGCCAGGTCTTCAGGCTCTGAGTGGACGAGAGCACGAGGTGCTCGTTGAGCGCGAAGAGGAGGTACAGGTTCGCGAGCTGGTAGAGCGCCATGGTCGTCTGCTGCGTTACGCCTAGCCCGAGCGCGGACGTAGGCGCAGGTGCGGAGGGCAGGCTGAGGTCACGCAGGTACGCAGTCGGCTCGAGGGCAGCGTAGTAGGCGCCTGCGAGCGCGGAAATCGGCTCTATGTAAATAAAGAAGAGCTTATAAGCGAATGGTATCGTTGGTGTCATGCTGGCAGCCGCCGATGTCGTTAGGTACAGGTAGAAGTGCGAGCACGACGATGCAAGTTGGAGCAAACGCTGGGAACAGCAGAAGATGCACACGCTAGACCCTAACCTCATATTCGTTCTCCCAGGAAGGTCTCGTTACTCGCATGGTTGAATATTCCGTGCCATCAGAGGTGGTATCAACATAAACCAAAACCATCTATAGTAGATACATAAATCAAATACTAGGAAATGTGGGTACGCTAGCAGGCCGTGAGGGAGAAAAATAAACCTATGAAAACACTGAAAAAGCAAGAAACGCAAATATCCAATGAAACAAATCAAGATTAATGGACCAGCCAATCCGGGAGGTTACTAAATGCCATGGTCGTCCTGCCCATCCCGATCCATTCGACGATGGAGCATGGCCTCGTCTCGGAAGGTACCGAAGTACATGGGCGCACTACTTTCCGACTCGAGCGCGGCGCCAGCGGCGGCCCATGAAGTCAGGTTGGGAACTAGGTTCGCGATGGGCGAGGAGGTGCGCGTCGCCACTGGGGCCGGCCCAGTCCGTGGCACATTGAGGCCATCTTTGCGTCCTCGCTCTGCTGCAGTTGTTGAACCAGTCGCACCGGCTGAATGAGGTGGCGATGGTGCCGGGGGTGGGGGTGACTCGGAGAAAGGAGAAATGGCGCTTGGGGGAGGCGCTGCACTGCCGGTGCTGGGTGGAACTTCTGCGGTAGCCACTGACATATTTCCTATCGACTGTGATGCGGCGAGTCTGAAGCTCTGCATCGTCCGCGAAAGCGTGCGGAAAACCGAGCCACGGCCAGGCAGGTCGTCAACGGTTTCCTGTGGCTGCGACTCCTCTGCTTGGCTCATGAATGTCGAATGGATGGATGAATCTGACAGACCCTTCCGGCGGAGCGCACGCTGGGGTAATGGGCCCGGTAAATCATCCTCTTCCCTATGCTCTGCTGCTGGTGATTCACCCCGCTCCATGTTGAGGATAGACTCATTGTCGAGAACAGCATCGAGGCCGCGGGAGAGTCCTAGTCCTGGACGTCTTCGAAGTGATGCCCGGCCGATCGTAGCTGTGGCTGCAGCAGTGCTCGTGCTGCTTTCAGTAGCTTCGGAGGGGACAACAGCTGAGACAGCTCGACGAGGACCACGTGGAAGCACAACCCACGGGTCGTCCTCGCCTTTGGGCGCCCCTGCGAAGATACCCATGATACTTTGTGATGGCGGCATGGTTGACATGCGAGAAGGAAGGGAAGGTGCAGGAACCACAGCAGGACTATCTATTTGAGAAGTGCTCGTCGTAGATTTCCCAACACCAGCTCCCGAGAACTCGACATTAACCGTGGTAGTCGTCGCGGCCAATGCTGGAGCCATCTTCAGCGCGGGCCGAAGTTGACGGCCATCACCGGGTTGCCCTCTGCTGGTGGGTCGCTTGGGCGCAATTTGAGATGTGGATGGTGTATTTTGGTTTGCCTGAACAGAACCGAATAATTTGGAAAAGGGTGTCATCCAACTAGAACCGCGTCCTGACTTGCGTTCCCTCTCCATCGCCTCTGCCTTGGCTGGGTCCAGTGCCATCTCGCTGACTTTCTCTGCGATAGAGGGTTCAAGAATGACGTCATTGAGAGTAACTCTGAGCTGTCCAAGCTCGTCGAAAGCATCCTTGAAAATCTTGAACAAGCCCCGGAGGTCCCGTCGATTGCATGTGAGTGTCAACTTGTCGTCTTCAAGCCATATGCGATACTGGGACCTCAGAATGGCCATTTCCGAGAGAATATTAGCTACCGTCGTCCGCGATAAGTGCTTGACATCTGCCCCCTTCAAATTTTGACGTTTGAGACGATTCTTTAACGTGAGCGCATCCGCCTGGGATAGACGTTGGAGTAAGTGGGCAACCCGTTCCAGCAGACCGGCCAGCTGAGATCCCTGCCCATCCAACAGAGAAGACGACTCTGATCGGCCTTCGTGTGATGACGCGGATATCTGATCGGGGTAGAAAGAAACAAGGTTGGCAGAAGACGGTGGGCCCGTCCATTGATCGGTTTGCACTCCTCGGGATCGATGGTTCTGAAAGAGCGAACTACCATCGTTCTCTTGATCAAGATCTTGGCTAATTTGTGAAGGAGGATAAGTTATCTGGGGTGGAGTTAGTGTTGAGTGGTTTGGATCTTCCGAGATCGGGTCGGGTGAAATAGGCCGTGATTCCGTTTCAGGAGTCAAAGGCTCCTGTAAACCATGAACAATTAATCTTCTGAGGCCTAGACATGAAACTTACGAAATGGCGCCGTGTTCTAAGATCCGCACTATTCGTTCGCCTCCGCGATTGAGTTAATACCTTTAAAAAACAAGTTAAAGCCGACCCTCGCCGAAGCAAGTAAAGAACCTACTGATTCTTTGACAAGCGATGATGGACCACTCCTTGCCCGCCTAGAATGGGGTGTCTCGGCTGCGAAAGAGTTGTCGAGCATGTTTAAGTGGTGGTATATAAACTTTAAGCATGGCAACCTACCTCGTGTTGGTATGGGCATCGATGCACGATATTCTTCGACCTCTGACTGTAATTGCGCGACATCCTCCCGAGCTTCTGAGAGAAGCTGTTGCAGCTCTTCGTTGTCGGCCTTCAACAATTCATTGTCCCCAACTAAAGACTCCAACACTTGCATCACCTCAGCATTATCGGGAAGAGCAACTTTGCTGATACGCTAGTGTAAGGTGTTAACGGTACAGTCATAACAAAGGAGGGGGAACCGAACCAAACCTGTTGATGAAGTTCCTCGATGCGAGACCGAGCATGCTGTAGGAGCGATTCAGACGATTCAAGTCTGTGCAGTCTGCGACTGTTCAGATCATTCTGCAAGCGTTTGACTTCAGCCTGCAGCTTGTCTACAACTGCATGAGGAAAACGGGCGACTCTGCTATGACGGTAATGACATACCTGTCCGGTCCTTTAAAGCTGCCAAACGCGCCTCTGCTAACTTCGCGCGTTGTGCCTCACTGTCACGTTCTTGCCGCACATCCTCATTCTCGCGAAAGAGCGCCGTAAGCCTCGAGTCCAAACCGACCGCACGCGCATTCTGTGCTGTGAGTCGCGACACTGCTCCGCGTGCCTCCTCCAGATCCTGCAGCGTGGACTTCGTGGACGCATCGGAAATTTCGTTGTTCAGCAATGCCTGGGTGAGCCGCTAAAGCATGGTGGGGTTATGTCAGGGGTCAAGATAAAAGGCACGACATGATCTAGGCTGACCTTGTGCAAGACGGCGTTCTCCTTCATGAGTTCAGCAACTCGTGTGTCATTATCATTGTCAGGCGTTTCCGGCATTGCGTCCAAAGTAGGAATGGGCGACTGCGTTCGTGGTGTGTGCTCGGCCTGGTCGTGCGTGAGCGGACATTGCAGGAAAGGTGGTCGCGATCTAACCTCGTGACGCCGAATGTAAGCCTCATGTCTCTGCAGCAAAGCGGATCCAACCTCTACAACACGTTTAGAGGCATTGGCGCCAGTGAAGACAATGACCGACCTGCACTGAGGATTAAGCGGTTCTCGAGTTTGGCCTTGACTGCCAGCCAGCTCCTGGTGGCTTCACAATCTTCCTTACCACAGCAGCAGCATACCTGCTCGGGCTCGGGGGACGGAACACGCGAATAGTTGGTTAGGGCAAGTGTGAGATCGTCGATGGTGCTGGTCGCTCGATAGAGACTGCTCGCTTGCGGTGATCCTGGTGTCGCGGGATGCGGGACGCGAGGAGAGGATGTCTCACCCTCCATGGTTTCGTCTGCGCCTTGAGTGACAGGCGGAAGGAAGAGTAAGCGGGAGCCCAAGTTGGTCCTGCTCAGGGAAGTGTGCAATAAGTATGTAAGTTGGGGAGTGTCGCTACAACGAAATAAAGCACTCGGCAAGGTCGCCTCAGTCAAGCCTATTATTGACCGCGCGATGCGAAAAGACAGTTGCTATTTAGGCGACTACCAAACTTGAGCTCTTCATATCCGCCTAGCTTTCCGGAGGAAGCACCGGCCGGGCACGAGGCATGATGTCAAACCTCATGAACACTGCACGACGCCCCGGAGACACCAGGCATGACCATCAAAAGCGTAACTATTATATGAGAGGGATCCTGTAAAGTAGTGTTGATGTTACGACGAAGATGAGATATGTATGGTACAGCTCGAAGCACATGTACATGATAGATATGTCTACAGTTGAAATCCAGAAGAGCGAAAGCGAAGCGCATGCACGGTGCACAACGTAAGCCTGATTATTCCATTCCTACAATCTTGACAATTAGTTCAGATATCCAGGCGGTAATGCTCGCCCAGTTGCTAGATGTCGTCGGCACAAACTGTAATAAGGTGCTAAGACCTTCCATCTGGTATTCCTCCAGCCGCTTCGACAGTAACGATGACGAGCTCTCGTCGACCGTCGTCAGGCTTGATACCGAGGAGCCACGAATCACCCCGAGGCTGAGCGAGTCATACTGTGCCATTCTGAAAATACCGGAGAGGGTTTTGATGATGGCAGCATGGGTAGAGTTAGCCAGTGTGTCCTTGATTTTGTCTTGGAGTGTCTCGTAACTAACAAGAAAAATTAGCAAGAATGATTAAGGACCAAAAGATGTTACGCACATCATAGCAACAAGATCTGGATAAAGAACTCCCAGATCAAGAAGAATTTTGTATAGCATTTCGGACTCGGCGTCATCTCCCTGTGCGGTTGCAAGCATCGTACCAATGAAGGCGGCCAGGAATAGAGCCGTGTTAGGATCCGAAAGTGGTAGCAGTTCGGGAGCAACGTAGGGGACAAAGCTGTGTTCATGAATAGTGTTGTGATGAAGCATGTAGCGGTCGGCGTTGCAGTCATGAAGCAACTTGTTGTAGTCCTCCCGATCCGTGGAGCAGGAAAGAAGGGCGATGAAGTAGCCAATGGCCTCCGCAGGCAGCGTCGCCGTGTTGCCGTTGTCCATTCTCTGGTCGGGGAAACGCAGCGTGGCCGAGAGCAAGGTGCGAAGCACGCTCTCAGCGTGAGACTTCAGTTGGCCGTGCCGGATACCCTTGAAGACAATAGAAGCAAGATAGAAAGAAAAGTTGACATCGTACGCCATGCGCATGACATTATCGAGCTGTCCAGCAACCTCGTCAAGATTCTGACGGGCTTCAAACAAGACGGTGGTCAGAGAGTCGTCCTCAAACATTCCGTGCCGCTCGAGTGTCTGCAGCGTCACATGCAATAGGTCGGCCGCCTCCGCATAGAAGCACATAAATCCAGACTGCAGGAAAGCCACTGCAAGCCAGAAGAGTTGTGGTAGATGAGTGGAGTTGTCGTTCAGTCCTGGAACAATCTTGCATAGACACCTGAGCATAGTGACCACGGGTATTGTATCAGTCTCTGTTGATTGGCCTAATGCATTCTTGAAAGCGACTAGCATTTGGTAGACCAGATCGTCGTCGACGTCAGACGTCGCCAGAGTGCCTATTGCAAGGAACGCGCGAGACTGAATGGATGCTGATAGCTGGAAGGCTGTGGAGGTTGCAAGACTCATCCACCGTGCACGCCAAACGTTGAGCAGGCCTTAAGGCAACGTGTCAGCCACGAGTCACTACAGAGTGGTGTAAAATAAATTACCTCGAGACTGGGATGTCACTTCCATGAAGCGAGTGAGCAAACAAGCCAACGCTTCCTGGTCCTTGATACATTCCCTCACGTTCTGATGTTCATAGCTGCTGTAATCGCTGGTGGGTGATGGACGCATAAGGCCGAACAACCGTAGGTTCTCCTCAGATGTCAAATCATCCAAGAGCGCACGTAAATCAGGGTAGGAGGGGTCTTCGAGGCGTTCAAAGCACAACGACTGAAGGAAATTGAACACAAGGCCGTAGATTGACTTCCGCACAATAGTTGGCCCAGTGGCGGCGATCAGCGTTGCAACGTGACATATGTCCGGAACGTAGAGCTGGTCATGGCGGTAGGTTGTGATGGAGATCAAGCTGAACCGTGCAAGAGTTGCAATCTCGTTCCAATGCATGTTCTCTGGCAGCGTTCTTGAGGGCTTCAATGTTGTTTTGCCCAGAACCTACCAGAACGTCAAGTCTGCGCGTTGACAAATGAAATAGCAACAGACGCACCTTTCTCAGCTTGGAGAAAATCCTCCCGCGGACGTGTATGGACGACAGAGCCGAAGTTGTACGAGCTAAAATCTCACATCTTGGTGAATCCACACCGGCGTCGGACGCGGCCCGAATCAGTTCCTCAAGCACTGTATGAACTGCGGAGGCGTCGAGTTTGCCTATTTCTCCCCATATGTATTGATGCACCACTGCAGAAATCTACGAAGATCAACGTATGCCGAACATACATTATTAAGGCACCTACCTCTTGATCGCCGACAGTCAAGTCGATAAGTGAACGGATGCAATCCCTCATCCTGTTTCCGGAATAATCGTAGAGCTGATGAGCGGGGTTGCAGAAGAGCGAGATATTCTTCATCCAGGGCGATATAAAGAGAATAAAATTTGTCTTCTGCGCAATGCTACACTTCGGCATACCGAGCATAACAACCGATATGAAATCAAGCGTAAGCTTGGGAACATTTTGAGCGATATTCTTGCTCAGATTGACCGTAGCTGTCGTCGTATCTCCTGAAAAGATGCCAGCTGCAAGGTTCCATAAGCAACGAGCGTATTTTTTCAGAGGATAGCACATACCTTTCGAAAGGACTAGCGGTGTCTTATCGAAGTCGACATACTGACACACTGAACCCAGCAGCTCATGAGCTGCAGTGCGGAGCTCCTCATCATCTGCATCAATGTTCAGCATGCCCACATGCAATAGTGTTGCAGAGAAGTTGTGGAAGCGAGGATTGTGGTCTGGAACTGCATTGCGATTGTCTCGTAGCTGGCTCTTGGCCGCTCGGATGGCCTGTAGATCCGGGGCTCAGCTGCTATTTACCGTTACTCGATGTGCATCCCTCCTTACCTTGACAACGAGGTCTCTAGAAGGCGAAGAGAAGTAAGACGTAGCACCTTGCTTGCCTCGGCGGATGATGAACTCAAAGGGATCTTGGCCCGTAGAAACATTATAAGTATCACTGATTTCAGAAACGGGGATAACTTCCGTGGACTTGCAGGTCAGTGCGGTGGATATCGCAGCTCCCCGTACCTGCGTTTCTGAGTTAGCTTAAGTTGCGACCAAAAAAATTCCTACTGACCGATGTTATCCGCACGTGGGTTTCTGCGACCTCAAGGATGACCGGCATACGCACGTCATGAACTTGCCGCATGGTCATCTCAGGGAACATTTGCCGAGTCTCGGCTTCCATGGCGTCTGTCGAAAGCAACTTAGCGACAGTGAATGTAAGACTTATAATGTGCTCACTCGTTCTCTGTAGGACTCCCAGACAGGACTCAGGGATGTAATTCAACAGATCCTTGACTGATGAACAGGTCTGGATGCCGTTATTTAGAAGAGCTCCTGAAAAAGGTTCAGTAGACCTGGCTGACAGCAATTGACGGAAAGACAAACCAGATGATACATTGTAGATTCGCCGCAGATATTTGAGTGTCAATGCATTGGCGTTGAGGAAATACATGCATGACAGTTGCTGCCGAACATCAACCGGGATAATTTCAGTGCAGAATTTGAGCCATTGTGACGGCACTTCTGCAGTTGCAGAGAAAGATGTGCAGTCAAGTACAATCTCGTAGTAGCGATCCTCCATAGCCGGAGACGTCAAAATCTGCAGGAAGTTTAAATAAGCTGAGGCATTGGACGATCGCATGCACATACATCGAGGATGTAGAACATCAGCAACTCAATATCCAGAGCCTCAACATCGATCTTGTATACATATAGAACAAACACAGCTGGTGCCTCCTGCCCCAAGGTGTGAGGTTCGTCATCAGTACCACCAATAGAGAAAGCTTACGGGATTCTCAACAGAAGCCTCCACAAAGATGTCTCTGACAGAGTCTACGTTCCGGTTGGCACAGCGGTTCATCATCTCCAGATATTCCCTATGGCTAGAAGCTGGCAACATCGAAAGGCGCGGGATTTCAGGGACCTCCTGCAGCTCGACGAGAAGGGCGCAGAGGTTTTCCCAAGCCAGCTTTGCACTGACAGAAGCGGAGTCATTCTCGGACCCAGGTTTGACATAACTGAGCAGCTCTTTGCCAATCTTGTCCGTATGCTTGTCGAGAAAACGATGCAGAACGGTAGTATCAGTATCGTCAGAGGTTGTACCAAGCCATTCCGTAGGCTCCTCATCAATAATAGCTGAGTATTTCTACAGTGTTGATTAATGAGAATAAGTAAAGGATCCGCAAATGATAGCAAATCAAGTTTACGTACGTTGACCTCGCTCAAAAAGCGTGTAATGTTGGTGATATTGTTAGACAAGAATGAGTTCAGGCCTTTCATGTATTGCTCCTTGGCGAAGAAGATATTGTTGGCCAGGTTCTGGATGACTTTGGCGATGACCATGAGACCACGGCGTATCACTCCACCATCATCATTAGGCACCTCAACATCCACCGTTTCAGGGGAGACTATGGCCGGAGAAATGAACCTGTAGACATTTTTAGAAGTCGGTCATGAACTTGTTTGCATGCACGTTTACCGTAGAAATAGGAAAGCTCCGAGAGCCGCAAACTTCGCTTCCGGCCATATTTGATACCTGATAGACAAGTATGATAAGCTAGTGGACCTTTGCTGGTAGAGAATACTTACACCACTTTAGAAAGATGGGCGCACACCTCTCGAATCATCCTGTAACTCCGGTTAGAACCTCTTATCAGTCAGTGCAAGTGACGTCTACTCACGGGGGAAGAGTAGGCACGGACGAGACGATGATTTCCAGGAACGAAGAAGCGACCAGTTCGACATTCTTTAAGTTCTGTTCCGCCTTTTCCCTGCCTATCTTATTCGGATCGAGTTCGTACCCATGTCCTTCGGGCATTGTTGACATTGACTTCACCAAAGGAATGACCAGACTCCGCAGATAATTGTACCCATGCAGCTTTGCAAAAGCAGAGAGGAAACGAGTGTACGTCGAGTTACCTCTGAACAAATCTCCTTCGTTGGCTATACGAGACTCAACATAATGCGATAGATGTAAGTGGCAACCACTTACGCGTATGTTCGATTTCTCGATCAATCATCGTCTTCAGCAGTACCATCAAAGACGAACGAGTGTCAAACAAGTTCATCAGCACCGAAATCATGACATCGACTTCCGCGGCAGGGCAACATTCGCAGATCACCATCGCGAGTATCATCTAGTCCGATTTTAGTTGCCAGTGAGTCGGGTCTGAAAGCACCTTACGTCTGATCCCTTGACAAGCTGCCAAGGTGTTAGTGCAACTAGAAGACTTATTGGATATTGCCTAGCTAACCTCGGTGAGCCGATTCCTTTTGACCTGTAGTTCAGCGTTGGAGGGTTGCTCCAGCGTGGTACCTTGGCCAAGAACTCTGGCAAATGCATGCATGTATATGGTTCGTTGCCGGAGGTCAGGAGAATAGGTTACGGGAATTGAAGTCCTGAGTGCCACTTCAGAATTGGCACTGATAACGTTCGAAAGCCCCGTGATGACCATATTGCGTATGTCGATCTCGCGTTGGTTGGTAGTGGTTCTCTGCGATTTAGATCAGTTCCGATAAACTGGATGTAAATGTAAAAGTGTAGATACCCTGAAGGAGCCGAGGTCTGAGCTACTATCGGCCCCCTACAAGGTGATTTGAGTTGCAAGATATTTTAGTTGGAGACGTTCACGCACAGTGTCTTCTCTTTGGTGGCAGATATCAAGGGCTCTCCCCAGAATATTAGTGTAACGGGTGTAAATGCGAGAAAGAACATGGCCGGCGTCATCGGTCTCATTTAACATCTGATTTTCTAGAGGGTATAATTTCAGCCGCTCCAAGAGTTTGACAGATGTACTAAGACAAGCATAGTTCAAGTCGCATTGAGTCTTGATACGCTCTGGGTCAACCAGCTGCGAGATGAGGTATATGTGAGAAGCCGCTTAGAAACAAAACGGACAATATCTCACGAAAGTAAATTCCTGGAACCAGTCCATGATAATCTCTAGAAGATGGTTGCGAGACATGTCGTCCTTTCGCCAGTTCAGGATATCTGTCCGGCTAGCAATGCTGTCGCACAGTTGGCAGAATCTGATCCGTATGCGGTACGTGTGTGGTTCGCGGAACCGAGAGATGAAACCAGCGAGGACATGAAGGATTGAGCCCAGATCTATACTCAAGTTCTCTTCAGCGGACGACTGCAAGTTCTCTACCAGCGACTTCAGCACTTGGATCAACTAGCGACAATTGTCAGGACATTATAGTCAGCTAAATGCCAGCTACCGTACCTGGTCCAAGAAAAGCCCATATTCCTGTTTGTACTCCAAAGCCGCGCCATTGGCGATATTCACCGTTATGCTAAATAAGTATCAGCCGCTAGTCGTTGTGTGAGATCGACAGACGGGCTTACTCATTGAGTTGCTTCAGGAGTCTCCCATACAAGCGTGGGCTAAGCTCCGTGCCCAGCGCTTCCCGAGCTGCGTCTCGCACGCGAACAGTATCATCAATCAGGGCGTTTACCAAGAACTCCAGGAAAATCGTCACGAGATCGATGGGGTTGCGCAATGCTCGCATTTCATCCGGTAGGTATGTGCCTGGAATCACGGCTGTTAGAGATACTGTCTCTAAATTGTCTGCAACGCAGGCGCCGCCGAACGCGGCGAGGAAGTGCGTCAGATTCCGCCACTGATAAAACTTGTCCTATATGAATTGTCAGCACAAGATAAATATCTCAAAATTAGGATTGACGGACCTCTTTGGTCATGGCTCGCTCTTGAGGACTCAGGTGGGCATCGTCATAATTGGTGCCCTCTGCGAGGGGCCCTTGAGCGACATGTTCAGAAAGCGCTTGCCACCGGAGGAAGCACTCTTGCCAGACGGCAACATTTATCGGTGAAGAGTAGGCGACCAAGCGCATAAGCTTTCGAACACGTTTCTGCTCCCGTACTCTGCCTGAACCACAGGTAAGACGCTTGCTAAGCTCGGAATATACTGGATCTACGCACCAACGATGACAATATGCGGGTCGCCTAGCTGCTCGTAGATCGGTAGACGGCGTGACCTATCCTCCTCCGTGAAACCGTTGTTGACTGGCGCCCCAGGTTGCCTTTCAGCTTGTGCGATCATCCTGAGGCCCTGCGCTGCAAGCTGGGTCACATCGCTGCTCGCAGAAGTCAGCGAAACTAAGAAAGCTATCTCCGCCATCGCGAAGGCGTAGACACGATCCTGTGTCAGCTGAATCCCGCTTGCGTGATCATTCTAACGCAAAAGTTGAGTATTAGAGTATCATCAAAGCCAAATCAATGGCTTACCTCGCTCTTGCGAAGGTAGACGGTGATAACTTGGGTCATCACTGATATCCAAAGCCGTTGCTGCTCAACATCCATCCTCGTTTGCAGAAGGACCTTTGATACAGTGACGAGGGTTACGATTCTGTAAAAATAAAAAATAAAAATAAAAATAAAAATAAAAAGGTCAGATTCGTCTCGTAGTCGTCGTAGCCCAGAAATAACTAACGTCGATGATTTGAGCCAGGTCTCAATATCGGTATAATACATCTCTTCTTTACGCATCCGGAAGAAGATGTCGGTCAAGTACAGATAGAAAGTGATCGCAGAAACCTTGACTGCTACATCCAGGTCTGCGCTCCAGATATTCACCAAGGTAGGGACCCAAGCGTCCACATCAGCGTCATCAATATGGGTGACATAGAAGGACAGATCAGCCCGCCAAAGAGTGACGATGGAGAGAATCAGCAAGTCGCTGATGGGGAGCGTTTCGTTGGTGAAACGTTTGGCCATGGGACGATTGGGTGTAACCTTGATAATACCCTTTTCATCTATTTCCATACGCCGGGTAACCGCATACTGTAAAGGCAATGAGCATAAACGTGCGCTCAAGTGCAAAGTAACCGACCTTGTAAAGATCTAAAAGGCGGTATAACACGGCATTTTGAAGGTTTTCCAAAGGGGTTTGCCATTGGATCCGTGTAGCCTGTAACCACAGCTATGATTGAGCTATTCAATGTTCAAGACGAAGAAACTTACCTCAGTAGCCAACATTGTCATACCCTTGATAGCGCATATTTTCACGGCATCCGAGCGATCTGGCCCAAGACAGGCCTCGAATATTGGGATAGAGTCCTCCTGAGGTAAGAAACGGAACACGATTGCGAGAGCCTCGGCATAGGTAGCGACGTCAACTTCTTGAAGCACGTCCCAGAAAGCTAGTTGCCTATTCGTGTTAAGTAACCCATGCTTGATGTCGTGCGCAATGTCGCCGGCAAGCATTCTGAGAGGTATTTCACCATCGGGAGAGACACGGAAACCGGCTCTGCAGATGTCAATCCCGCATACGAATGCTACGTCCGAGTACTTGGTGGCCCCCAATCCATGCCGCCGTAGTTCGTCAGCCCACTTCACTTCCTGAGGAACAAGCATAACATCAGCGCTGAAGCATGCACTGTATCATTCAATATAGTTACCTTTCGATACTTCGAAGGCGGTTTAGCGAACACATCCTGGTAGTCGGATGTCAAACGGTCGGAAGACAGGCACGCCAATATTGTCAGGGTTGGCCAAAGAGTCCTTTCCCGACCGGGTTCCAGCGCGGAGTGTAGCAAATCAAAGACGCGTTCGGGGGCGCCGTCTAAGCGTCCGCGGGTGCGAATGGTCTCATTGAACTCGTCGGGGAATATATCGATCCAATTCCATATCGCCATTCGTAGAGGGATCGCAACTGCAGCCTGGGCTTCTCTCTTCATGTTCACGAGTAGCGAAGATAGTTCGTGCAGCACTTGCGAGAGCCGGCTTCTGTCCATCTTGCTATGTGTCATGATACGCAAGTCAATCGTATCTGGATTGTCCTCTGAAGTGTTTGCCAGGAAGCGAATCTTGTTGCGTATGCGATCAAACACAATGTGCCAGTTCGACCCTGAAAGATGGAACACGGTGCGCCCCGCGTACTTAGCAATCAAGAAGTTCAGAGAATAGACAGACTTGATGAGCGACATGTGGGTCTTCTCATATTGGATCGGGCGCCCCCGGGCCCATGACATCCCAGACGTAGCACTCCCAGAAGATTTGAAGGAGGCAGACGAGTGCTTCATCTTCAGCAGGGACGGCGGTGTTTCCCCAGCATCAGCGACATTACCAGGGAAGGGTGTGTTCGAATCGCGGGGATCGTCAAAGAAAGTTTGGTGTGTAGGAAAATCGACGGATTCGAAGTCATGCAATGATGCGTCGGGAGCGAGGTTTGAAGAGGACATTAGGCGACTCTCTGGCGTTGCCGTCTGTCGCAAGTACAACACCATTACACTTAGAATATACTTGGCACATTGATCATCGAGGGCCGAAGGTTCATCAGCCCATGGAGGAGGCGTGATAGCTGAGAATTCAGTCGAGGCTTGACGGCTCCGCTTGTTAGCAAGTGTAGGTGCACTTGAATCGACGAGGGTGGAGGATGAAGGGGCGACGTTGCCGCGACCGGCCCGCATAGTTGAGGCTTGCTCCTCATAGCGGCTTGACCTGGCGGACATCGCCATAGATAGAATCTTGAGCACGAATAACTGGGATTGGAGGACTTCAATCGTCATGTGGCCGATATCATTGACTTGCTGCACGACCTTGTGCTCAGTAGCGGGAATAGAACGACCATGAAGTGACGCACCTTGGCCAATTTGTCCAATATCTCACCCAGCGAGAATGATATGACATCGAGAGAATCAGATGCAAGGTCGACAAGTGCTTCTACCGCGCTCTGGGTTGCAGCATCTGATTCTACAATATCGAGGGAGGTGCCCGAGTTACACGGAAGCTGGAAGCGCGTCAACACCGCGCTTGAGAACATTATCGCAACATGGGAAAATGACACACCTTGTTCTTAATCCTGTTTATGAGAGCCTGCACAATCTTCTGTTGCGGCGTGGCGTTCGGGGAGGAATATGCAACAGACGGTGGCTGCTGAGATGGCCCTGTGGACATAAAACCATGATGCGAGTCGTTGCTCCTGTGTTGTCGGGGACCATTGTGGGCGTTGACAGCATGCCCCGCCGATGCTGAGGGCCGGCGAATGGGCATCGAAGGCATTGCCCGCTGCCAGTCGAAAATTTAGTGCTCAGAACACGTCGTGAACGGTTTGAACACTTTCAAGAGGGTCAGAATGTGAGTGAACGCGAGAAAGGTCATCGGACCCCGTTACATGGCTTACATAACCTAATTTGGCCCAATCCTCGGACAACTCGACGTCCCTGATTGTTGACCAACTCTAAGCCGCATAAACAACGTTCCCCACACAATGCACCGACTGCGCACATTTGCAGCTCAACACGTACCGACGCGGGCAGGAAGAGAAGAAATCAGAAGGATTCCATGAAGACGACTCTCCAAATTGCCCCTAGATGCTGGAGCTCGCCCCGTGCCAGTGTAAATTGTTTTAGTTGCTTCCAACCATTAAACTGTTGACGAGCCTTTTCCGTTTCCATATGCATGCAAGTATGCTGTTTCGTGGGCTCACCATCATTGCAAAAGTAGATATGTGTAAACGCGATGTGAGAGGTGTTGGTAGTCCCTAATAATTAGCAAAAGGTTTGATAAAAATTCGGGCAGACGACCAGCGGCGTAAGAGGAAATGTCTTAATGCTTTGTCCGTGGTAGCAGGAATCGCTAACGCTGATTCTGAAGACGTAACCGAGGCATATAAATGAGGATGAACCATTGTTCCGAACGCGTTTTGACGTAAACACACAAACTTAAGAGCATCGTGTTGGTTTTGGTAAGTAACGTTCAGTCAGCGAGTGAGCTCTGAGCTAGTGGTTCGCGATGAAGATAGGGAGAAAGGTAAGATGCAATATTTGGTGAAGTGCTGATGTGGTTGGCAAGTATGTAATGGCCCGAGTAATTACAGTCGAAGGAAGGGACACGAGGAAGATGGAATGCCTCGAGGCTTAACGAATCACGTCATGCATCGCCACTCGGGGGAACGGGCCAAACGTGGACCTACAAGGGGTAGATACCTATAGAAGGGCAGAGATCTGCATCCGGAGAGGTTGGCATAGACGCCCGCAAGCTTCCATTGTTCGACCAATCTAGGACGCCCTTGCGAGACATTTCTTCTCCTTCTTGTCCATTGTACGCTCGAGTAGGGGAAGTGATATGCGAAGCACCGCCTACGAGCTACCCAGCTGCTGATCGCATTTGATACGATGGAATGATGTAGGTGTCAGCCCAGTGTCAGCCAGCTCAAACTTCAGTCCGGACCATATGCATGGACAAAAACTGCTGACACGATCGACGTTGCAAAGTCAAGCCCAACGCCTATTAGCGCGTTTGATTTCTGGTCGTTCCTAACTCCGACTCCGCACCGCGCTGTTCTCCGATTCTGCATCTCATTCTCTTGACTTGACCTCGTCGACATCCAGGGTCGACCCACTGGGCACCATCACTTCGTATCTTACAGGCGTCTAACTCTGTCTATTGGCATCTTTCGCATTTCACTTTTCGCATCGCTGTCGTCAAGCAGTATTCTTCACTTTGCTCTCATTATCTGTCGTTCCACCACCAGCTGTTCGCTTGTTTTTTCTGCGCCATCTTCGCTGTCATATTCTATCCACTTATCATACAGCACCTAAACCCACCTGGCCCTGCTCACCAGGATATCACAAAGCAACATCGTCTGCTGTGTCCCATCTTTTGGATTAACGAGTTCGTACTTGAACGCGCAAGCCTCTCAGTAGCACCCGAATGTCTCGCCTCGATTCTCATGACTATAGCTACACTTCCTCCCAATCCATGGGCTATACCCGCGTCGCTCTCGACCGCGAAGGCACGGGTTTAGTCTATGGAAGCCCATTCTCATCAGTTCCAGGCAATCAGATGCACGCCGATCGCAGGATACCAGTTTCAAGCGGAGCATTCCAACCTCGCATGCATTCTGTGAGCCCCGCTTCCTCTACTCCAAGGTCGATGAGCAATGGTATGCATGTCAAGGAATACAAGACTGGAATGCTAGACGGTTCCTCTGTGCCAAACAGACACACACCCAACCTCTCTTCAACCCAGCTTCAGCATCTTCTTCCCAACCATCATCGTCCCTCTCCTTCCCTCCCTCCCTCCGCTGGTCCCACCCACGGTCACGTCGTGACGCACTCTAGTCCATCTTTCTACGGCGCTAACGCTACCGACCCCGAACGCGATACATACCTCTACCGGCAGGGAATACACTCGTCCACTAGCAATCACTCTCCCAACAACAACAACAACAACAACCACATTAACCTACTCCGCTCTACGCTTTGGTGGGGTGATCTAGAGCCTTGGATGGACGAAGAATACGCAAAGCAAGTCTGCACCCTCATGAACTGGGACCCGGTCAACATCAAGGTACCCGCTGGCTCGGACGCCAACGGCCAGCACGCCAACAACCCCGGCTATTGCTTCCTGACGTTTTCATCTCCATCGGTTGCGGCCTCGGTGTTAAACCAAGTCAACAGTGATGGTGCCCCACAGTCTCCCACTATGCCTAACTCGACGAAGCCTTTCACCATGAACTGGGCCACGACCATGCCTGGCGCATGTGTCCCCTCTCTACACTCAGCAGCAGGAGTCCCACTCATTGCGCAGCCCCAACAGTATCAAAAAGAGTACAGCATCTTTGTCGGTGATCTTGCGCCAGAAACGTCCAACTCTGATCTGGTGGCTGTTTTCCGCAATCCTGTCCTCGGTCTGCGCAACGACCGAGAGCCGAAGTTCATCAGGCCCTTCCTCAGTTGCAAAAGTGCGAAGATCATGCTCGATCCTGTAACCGGTGTGTCTAGGGGATACGGATTTGTCCGGTGCGTCCTCTATCCATCGGAGTCAATATATATGGCGATGAACTAATTCGCCATTCGTAGATTCACTGATGAGACGGACCAGCAGCGTGCTCTGGTTGAAATGCATGGGCTGTATTGTCTCTCGCGCCCTAGTGAGTATATTCTCTCCTCGAAAATTTCACTCCATAATCATATGTTGTCAGTGCGAATTTCACCTGCAACTGCCAAGTACAAGCCACCACAGGTACAGATGAATCTTCCGCAGATCCAGCTCCCGTCGTCGAGTTCTATGGACCAGTCTTCAAATTCTGTCACCGTTGCCATCCCAGTTGGCGGTAACGGTCAGGCGCACGATATCTCCGCTCCTATACCAGTATCCGCGCCAAACACGTCCCCTGGATCCAATGGCAGTTTCGGTAACTCCGGATCTGCGTCAGAGATACATGCATCTGGGTCTGTTCCTTCGCTCGGGTCAGGGTCCAGCAACAGCGTTTCGTCTACCATGACTGCTGTGTCCGAAGACATGATGAACCTCTCTCCTGAAAAGCTTGTCCAGCTCGCCCACCAGTACGCCAACTCTGGTGCAGGAGAGAAGGGTCCGAATGGAATGGTCAGCTCGATCACCGCTCCCCTGGCTCACGATGCTCAAGAGGGCTCTCCTCGTTACATGATCTCGGAGGAGTCATGGAAGCACCACGCGCAGGCTCGCGCTATCCTCAGTAACTTGATCGGGCCCAATGGCGAGCAACTCACCTCGACGGACCCGTACAACACAACAGTGTTTGTCGGTGGTCTCTCGCCTCTCATTTCGGAGGAGACTCTTAGAACGTTCTTTGCACCATTTGGTGACATTCACTACGTGAGTTCTCCGCTGGCCAGCGCGCATCCTTGATGTCTGATTCAGCTGTGAAAACAGGTCAAGGTTCCCATCGGCAAGCACTGCGGGTTTGTGCAGTTCGTCAGGAAGGCCGATGCGGAGCGTGCCATCGAGAAAATGCAAGGATTCCCTATCGGCGGCAGCCGAATCCGGCTGAGCTGGGGCCGGAGTCAATGTACGTGTTCGATCCATGAATATTTGACATTATCCCTCACCAAGTCATCTTGTGTAGACAAAGCTGCGCAGGCAGCAGCTCAGGCTGCCCAAGCCGCTGCTCTCCAGGCACAGTTTCAGGCACAAATGGCCTCTGCGCCGGTCAATCAGATGTCTTCTGAGCAGGTTGCGCAGATGCTGCACAAACTTGGCATTACTGAAGCTAACGGCCATGAGAATGCTGCCACGAATCCGAGCGTAAGTCATCTGAGTTGACGCTTTTTGGCATTTCTTACAAATATTTTGACTTTCATAGAACTTCCACGAGAACCCCAAATTGTCCTTTGACATGTACTCTAAAACATTAGAAAGTCGCGGTCCTTCGGACCACATGGCGCACCGCCCGCAGTCTTCCTCGACGTTTTCACCATTTTCCCCTGACCCGAACCAGTACTTCCCAGAAGTTCGGGGCACGGATGGCTACCAGGCGAGGCTCTTTGGATCGTCGTTCGACGAGTCTCACATAGAAGCCAGGCGTCCCGCGCCTCTTTCAAGAAACCACAGTGCTCAGCGTTTCGGCTCTTTCCTAGACAGCAACTCTGCGCCCTTTGAACCGAGCCGCTCGTCCTCGCGCCAGGAGCCGATTTCGCGCCCCAATTCCGGCCCGAGTTTTTCACAGGGCCGGGCCAGCAGATATGGTGGTTCGCAAGGGGATCACGAACATATTCATGACATGAACGGCACGCTCGCCAGCCTAGAACTAGACCACGCATGGAAGTCGTCCGCGTTCAACAACATGGAGTCTCATGCCTAGACATCGATCGCTATTCTGAAATATTACGCAACATTCGCCCATCCGCTGACACTCGCACGGCCTTTCCATCTCGTTTTGCATCTCTATCCTCAATCCTATTTACCTGCCCCGCACACTTTGCGAGGCATCCCCAACCACCTATGAAACCACCGGACTATCATCGGCCCTATATTCATTATCCGAATTTCGTTTCCTAATTTTACTCGTATTTCACAACCTATACTCTGTTACCCCATGTCGCTTTCAGCATGTGTGTTCGCTTAGCTAGTTTTGTCCAATCTCTCGTACTTCGTCGTTTGTTTTGTCAGGTTCCCCATCGCCTGTGTGGCTATACTATATATACTCCCTGTTCTTCACTCTATCCAATTCAAGTCTTTGTGTGTCCTCATTACTTTGTGAAGCTTTAGCTAACTAAATGTTTTTCTGCCCTGCACGACCTCGCTGAAAATGTGATTCATTTTCAAACGTATCTGCCATGACACAGCAGCTCTCCCCTCCATCTAGCCAGGGCGATACGTTAATTTATTTCCTAGCATATCACCGTATGCATCCTCGTATTGATTTCCTTTTGTTTAGTTGTGTCGGGTTCGCGAAAATTGTCGTCTTGTCCGTGTGTCCTGTTTCTGATTTGTCGATAAGGTTCACTGTGTAATTTGTCTGATCGGTTTGTTCTGGTGGAATGCATGCCAAGGGGTGTATCGATTATTGGGATGTATCGCGATGAGATTTGGCATGCATGTGGCCCAGTCATCCGCAAATCTTCGGTCTGATGGGGCCGGTAATTTGGTGTGAATTCTGTATGGGTCCTGATGGGTCCCTTGCCTGTCCCTCGATGCGCTGGTGCTACGTCGACGCGTCTAGGACGACCTGGTTGCGGTAAGCAAATTTTACACATACTTACTGGTGTTAGAGCAATGAAGCTAAAGATCTGTCTCATAACAGATAACGTGAATCACTTGATAAGTCCTTATAAACATGGCAGGCGTAACTCGTAAAGGTAGCGCTAGGTAAGACAGTAAATGTAATGCACTAAGATAAGAAGCGGCTCCAAAAAGGCTGAAGCAACATACTAGTATAGTCGTACATGTACACGCGGGGCCAGGGATAAATAAATCATAAGATTGGTGATCACAAGGTGGAATAGGCGTAACGCGTAAAATAAAGCGCTTCCAAAAAGGCATGTCAAGCAAAGCTTCGGGAAGACGAAGGGTGGAAAGATGAAAAGAAGGGTGAGTGCAAGTGAAGCAGGTCGAGGGTATGACTTCACTGATACACGCTGCCCGCACAAAATTAAATATTGGAGGCACTGTTGAGGAGCGCCGCACGGCCGATCGTGCCCGCGCCCTCTCCGCTCTCGTCGCGGATGGCAGATCCAGACGCCCCTCCACTCTGGTTGTTGTTGAACGAGCCCATGACGTCTTGCTGCAGCTGCATGGGCACGAACACGACCTTGCTCGACGCGCTCTTGGCCATCTGCTGGAGCGCCTCGAGCTGGCGGATCTGCATCGCCGCCGGCGAGGCGAGAATGTCTGCGGCCTGGCGCATGAGCCTGGCCGCGTCGACCTCTGCGCGGGCGGCGATGACCTTGGACTCTCCGATGCGCTTCTGCTGCGCGGCAGAGGAGAGCGAGGTGGCGATCTCGGCGGAGAAGATGATGTCCTTGATGAGGATGCCCTCGATGGAGACGCCCCACCTCTCTGCGACGTCGCCGACGATCTCGGCGATCTCGTATGCCATGGCCTCGCGCTCGGTCACGACGGACTGGACTGCGCGGGCACCGACGACGTGCCGGAGCGTCGTCTGGGCACGCTCGATGAGCGCCTGGCGGAGATCGGTGATACCAAAGGCAGCACGGTAAGGGCTCGTAATTTGGAAGTATATCACAGAGTCGCTATAATGTAATTTGTTAGCTGGTCGAGTAAAGGTTATGCTTTGGATAAAGACGTACATCTCCACGTTAACATTGTCACGGGTGATGACCGTCTGTCTGCCAATGGGGCTGATCTGGACCTTGACGTCGACAGTGCGCAGACGCTCAGTGCACACGTTGACCTGGACGAGACCAGGGTCAACGGACTTGTAGAACTGACCGAAGCGTGTCACGAGACCAACGGAACCTGTGTGACGTCAATGAGCGTCGATACTGAAGACACAACGATGGGACGATGCTGACCTTGCTGGACGTTCTGGAAGGGGTTCGGGAACGGGCAGCAGGGAATAGCACCACAAGCGCCGACTACAGTGCCCAGAGCGTGCATCATGGAGCCGTACAAGCCGTGCTCGACCTGCAGCAGCAAGTTTAGTCGTTATATTACAAAATAAACCAAAATGGGCTGACTTCGCCTGTTCCAAGGTCTTGAGCATACGAGGGCTAGCGTGGAGGATTAAAGGTGTATTCCGAAAATATTGACGAAAGCATACCTGCATCTCACTACGCTTCAACGGATGAACCTTGATCATGTGTCCCTTGCCATTGGTGGAGGTCGGAGGGTAGGCATGAGTCTGGTCATCGGTCACTGAAATCACGACATAAGGTCAAGTGTCTTATAATGAAACGAGATAACTGACCGTTGGGAGCAGCGTGATCGACAACGTTGCCGCGAGATGAACCCTCGGAAGCCTGGGGGGAAGGGGCTCTGTCTTTGCGATCCATTGGCTGGAGAGAATAGCTCATGTATGAGTGGCTGATGGGCGACTTGCACTGGAGACCCCGGTGGCTGAGAGACTCGACAACGAGCGTGGACGTACTTATATGCGTTTGAGGCAAACTTTGACTGGCGTGCAGGTGATGCAGAGATGGATACGGGGTCGCCAAAGCAGTGCGCAGTCTCACAGGAAAGGAACGGGTGAGAACAGACCACACAGGAAGATGGACGAGTGCACCGCGCAACCTATAAGACCCCACGCCCTCTGAATTCCCCCTAACTCTCTTCCACATGAAGGCACGCCGGCCAATTCGGTGTCATCGGCTCGTCGGGATTGCCTTTTTGGGGAACGAGACTAAGTCCTCTAATTATAGACGTCTATTTTCTGTACCCCGCCCTTGTGATGCTCCGGGCCTCCGACGGCAGGTCTCCCCCTGCAACTTCGATAAACGTCTGAAATCCGTTCGATAACTTCAGCGTATGAAACTTTACGGAAAGAGCTTGCTAGCCGTCTTCAGCCACATTTGAGGCTGTACGCCTAGCACCACGGAGAAGTCGTCAATCAGATTTGTTCGGCATGAGCCACCCGCATTTTTATCAGAAATTCCGCACCGAACAACATAAGACTGTTCTACGGCTTGGCCGCCTTCATCCGAGACATTCTGCACAGCATGTTCCTCCATCATGAATGTATGCGCCATGAACGTTATGGCTGCGCTTTGCCTTCCGATTCATTCCGCTCGCCTCCGTGCCTGGGAATCCCCCGCGAATGACGCAAAGTAGAGTTCAGTTGACACTTGTTGCACCTGTTATGTTTTGGTAGCACGCGCTACCCCGCACTGGAAGCCAATCCCTCGAAACGCCGAAAGGGCAGAACGCCTCATACTGACCATTGTAGGACTCCAACGCTCAGCGCTCAGGCTGAAAGCACTGCACCAATCATTGCAACGTCGCGTATCAGTTGTTACAGAATGGCTACAACCCTGAAGCACTGGCTCATGAAAGCAGAGCCCGACTCGCGTATCGTCAAGGGTAAAGACGTCAAAGTTCGTGTTGTCCATACCGCTTCCTAGTGGACGCGTGGTTAACGCGTCATACTGTGATAGTTCGGTGTAGATGACTTCGAAGAAGTGAAAACGACACCCTGGGAAGGCGTGCGCAACTTCGAGGCGCGCAACCTAATGCAGAGCATGTCGGTCGGCGACAAGGTGCGTCTGCGCAGCGCGTTTCTCCGGACGCGTCTTTTTCGCCGTTGACGCTCGACGCTCCTGTACCGCCTGCCTCACCGTCGGGCGGATTCGGCCTTCGTCAATAAGGTGCTGTTCTACCACTCCAATTGCAAGAGTCCAGGTCAGCCGCTCTTGCTAGCCCTCATGCTCGCAATGCGCACTTAATGACGCCTGGCTGTCAATGGTGCACATGTATATTTACAGGAATTGCTGGCTTTGCCGAAGTGCGTTCTCCGTTATCTTCCGGTGGGTTCCTCAAACTGACGAGCTGCGCTGATACACCAGATAGCGAAGGAGGCATACCCAGATTGTGCGTAGCTTTGCTAATTAGACATCGGCGAGTACCTGATGCTCAGATGCCGATGTACCCGGTCCGTGGTTAAGATACCGCTTGGGACAGGTAGGTCTTGTGCTCCTGGAGCACGTTCATCTCGAAGCCAATGAAAGCCAACTGCATTTCGCATCCGGCGCGCTATCGTCTACCATGAATTAGCTCGCACCCGTATTTTGACCCCGTGCGTATGTTGGCCCGCAGTGCTCGGCGAATCTCACTAATGTATTTTTATCGTTGATCAGAAAACGAAACAAGACGCGCCGAAATGGCACATGGTAGACGTTGCCTTCAAGTCTCGCGCTGCACACTTCGTACCCCTCGCGCTCCTTCGGCGCATCGCGGACTCGACGTCGCCCTCATTGCCTGCAGGCATTGAGTACCTCAGCCACGATAATGTACAGGCTATCAAAGGTGAGCCTTCCTGCGCCACTTGCATTTGCTGTGCCTCATCATGATTCTTGAATGACGGATGTGGTGGTGGTGGCGACTGCACGGCTGATGCTGATTGTGTATGCTCCGAACCGCACGTACAGGTATGGCGCTCGTAACGCGTGGACGGCTGAGCGTACAGCCAGTCGAGGAGGGCGCTTGGGCCGCGATCGAGCTCCTTGCAGACCGGGGTGGCTGGAGCGAGGATGAGATTGGAGTGAAGAAAGGTGCCGCGGCGAAGAAGGCTACGACGAAAGCTGCCGCACCAAAACGCGGCAAGAAGACTGCCTCCAAGAAGAGCGAGAAGGCCGATGAGGAGAGAGCGGACGAAGGCGAAGCGTCCGACCCTGTCGAACAGGAAGACAAGGAAGTAAAGCCAAAGGCAAATGGATCGCGCAAGCGGAAAGCGGATGAAGGCGAGCCTCAAGAGACGCGAGTGACGCGGCAATCTACCCGGAGAAAGGCTTGAAGGACTTGTTGATGTGTTACAGTCAAGAACAATCGGCGACACGCTTGCTTGTGGACATGCACATTATATTGTCGTCCGTACGGATCTGTCGCGTCAACAGACGAGCTGGAGTTTCAGATCAGAGTAACAGTAAAGTAGCTTGTCTGAGAGATGGGCAAACAGGGATTCCATCGCTCGGGACAATCTTTTGAGCTTTGAGTTTGCTATTGAGAAACAAGAGTGCTTTGAGAGATGTCCTAGGGTGCGACACGAGAGTCAAGACCAACAGCACTCTTCATTCCGGCGCAAATGGAGTCACGGGCGGAGCCCGGTGGACGGCAGGGATGCGAGTGACGACGAACCGCGAACGAATTCCAGACGCGGGTGGTATTCACGATCCTATTTACCACCACCTGCCTCCCGGACCAGCCCCACACCACATAACTATAATCGTCTCTGTTACATGGGCCTCGCGTTCGTCAGCACCGTGCAGCGATATGTGCAAGTCATAACCCAGAAAGGTATGTTTCATGTGTAAAGTCACGGCCCCAAATTGCAACCCCGAACCCCCATTTTCCCACCTCTCTGCTCCATTGCCGCCAGCGGGCAGACGCAAGCGTCAGTGTTGGGCAGCACACAGGTGCGCTGCCACCCGTCGCACATCTCTCATCATATACCTCCCCGTGTATTCCCAAGTATCATTCCTAAAAAGCCTGCCTTGATACCACAATACCACACACCCCCAATCCCGTATATCCCGAGCTTCCTCGCGGCCATGTCTTTCCTCTTTGCATGCCTCATAAAGCCGCTTGCTTACCTCTCCCTCCCCATCCTCCTCGCGCGCTACATCCACGACGCCTCACCCGCAGGCCGCTACTATGTCCGCGTCGGCATCTACCTCGGCTGCCTCTCGCTCGTCTCCACCGCGGGCGTGTTCATCGCCGCGGGCATGTCGCTCATCGGCCGCCGGGACGATGTGAACTTTGTCGTCGCGCGGTGCTTCTATGCGCTCGCGAGCAGGGCGCTTGATATCCACGTCGAGATTGAGGGCGAGGAGCATCTGCAGGAGGCGCGTCCTGCGCTTATGGTGTCGAATCACCAGAGTATGCTGGATGTTTTGTTCCTTGCGAGGTATGTAGTTCTCAATACGTGGTGTTTATATGCTTTAGCTCATTGTAACGCGATATTTTCTCTTGCATCCGGACGAATCAATCCTACATGTGCCTGCCAAACCGCTTTACACTCGCTGAAAACCCCTGATGGTCCCCCGATATCGCATTGATCAATCGCGCAGGTCGTTCCCCCGACAAGCCTCCATCATGGCCAAGAAAGAGCTGCAATGGTCCCCGCTCGGCCCGTGGATGTACATGTCCGGAGCGGTGTTCATCGACCGCGGCAACCACGCGCGAGCCCAGCGCTCTCTGGAGGCAGCCGGCGAGGAGATCAAGCGGCGCGGTGTCTTCCTGCACATATTCCCCGAAGGCACCCGGCACATGCAAGAGGCGCCGGGTCTGCTCCCGTTCAAGAAGGGCGCGTTCAATCTCGCGGTGCAGGCGCAGATCCCCGTTGTCCCTGTCGTGTTTGAGAACTATTGGCGCGGATACCGCAGCGGCGTCCTCGGGACGGGTACCTTCAAAGTCCGCGGTGAGTTGTGGATCGTCCACCCGGCTGCTTACATTCCGTTGTACTCGCCCGTCTGCTCCCGCTGAGTCGAGTTGTGAACGTGATGGCTGATGTGGCTCTTTTGACAGTTCTCCCACCCATTCCTACGGCCGGTCTTTCCAAGGATGATGTGGCGGACCTTACGACGCGTGTGCGGGACACCATGCTGGAGGCGCTTCGCGATATCTCGGTTCCAGTGCCTGCAGAAGTCAAAGCTGATGAACCATTAGCGAAGACTGGTCTGCCGGCTAAGGAGGAAGTGCCGTCCGAGGCCAGCAAGTCAGCCGAGCAGGTGGTCCCAGTTCCGTCCGCTGAGCCTAGCGAGGGAAGCAGCAGTGAGGCCGCGTCGCCTGACTTGCATCGCTCGAGGACACTGAAGGAAGGGAGCGAGTACGGGGCAGAGACGGACGACGAGGGGAACGTGCTGATCGGTCGGACCGGTGCTTGAGGGTGTGTGGGGTTTGTGCTGAGAAGGACGGATCTTGCTGAGGCGGGCGACGAGGAACAGGTGCCTGTAATACATAATTTGGATTCGAGAACAGCGGGGAGAAGGGACCCGTGATATATTTCTGCTCTCTTACCCCGCACTAGTGTGGCCTGAATTTCTGGTCGTGTGAGCAGTAAATAGACTAAATGGTGGCGTGCATTGCCATCAGTGATTGGCCCTTGGAAGTTTACTCTGTTTTCTTGTTTGATGCGGAGGGGTCGCGCTCCCGTTCTCAAGATAACACAGTTGAGGTCGCTCGCATTTGGACCAAGGGTTGGAAATATGGAAACAGCTGATACGATATGTTCACTCGAGAAGACGAGCGTGCGTCGGTAGATGTATGCTGACAACCAACTGTAAGGGACAGGGGAGCAACGTGGCTTGGGCGGTAAATGAGCGTGCGCACGTTGTAGCCGAGGGCGGTAAAAGCATTCCGACCTCCGATGCCTTTCTTGAGCGAAAATTGGGTGAGGATGATGAGACGGTGGCCACTCGCGGTCGCTGGCCTGCCGCGTTTCTCGACCACGGGTGGTCCTTTTGCTCCGCTTGCATCTCCAAAACAAGCTGGCCAAGTCCGCGAAATTAGCCGGCTGTCCACATCGAGTACCCACTTCCCCGAATCTGTACGTTTCCCGCTGACATTGGGGCTGAAAATCGCCATCTCTCAATTCGCCACACCTCCTCACTTACTGTATCATTTCTCAGCCGCGGCTCGGCTGCGTATATAAACCCGCCCACGTCTCACCACTCCGTCTTTTTCATCGACTGCCACCTTCTGGGCATCCACGTTTACCCCACAGCCTCTATCCATCAGCCATGGTTCTCTCAAGACATCTCCCAGGTACGTCATCCGCCCGCCCATGGTCGTGTCTCCCTAACGACAACACCGTTGCAGAGTGCTGGGGCCACCGCGGTGTGAGTCATTGAACCGCGCCCTTGTTCGCCACCGGCGGTTCGTGACCGTGACATTTCTCCAGGCTTCAGCTGCATTCCCCGAGAACACGCTCGCCAGCTTCGAGGCCGCCATTCGGGACGGTGCCGAAGGCATAGAGAGCGGTATTTGATAGCCCAGAACAATGTCTCGCGTCCCCGTAACCTTAGTCGCAGACGTGCATGTCTCCTTGGACGGCGTCGTCGTCATGTTCCATGACCCCGGTTGGTATTCTTTCTTTCCTCGCTGCATTTCTGTGACTGACAGCCATTCGTATTATAACAGCCTTGGATAGAACCACCAATGGTACTGGTACGTGTCCGATATTGTCGTCATGCTTCGCACACTAATAGATGCCCTGCAGGTTTAATTAGGGAACGCGACTGGTACGGTCCGGACGGAATGGAACGCCTCCTCACCGTTAAGGAACCCCAGCAAGCAATTCCGACATTTGCCGAGACCGTCGAGCTTCTCATGAAGGTCCGTTATTCTCGCCCCGCCACCCATACGCTCACCATATATGTTTTTGTCCTCCGCCTTTGTATTTCTGATATCTAGCCTGAGAACCAAAACGTCTCGTTCAACGTAGACGTCAAGGTCCAGAACGACCCGGACCGGCTCTTCCAGCTCATGCACGAGATCATCGCCGCCCAGCCCGACTGGGAGACGCGGCTCGCGCCCCGCATCCTGCTCGGCCTCTGGCATCCGTGCTTCGTACCCCACGCGAAGGCGCGCCTTCCGTATTGCCGCCGTTCGCATATTGGTGCGAGTACCGACGCGGCACGGAAGTATTTCTGGGACCACGTCGAGGTGTTCTCGATGTCGTTTGCGAGTCTGACGACGAGCGATGGTCAAAAGTGGGATGCAACCGAAATCGGAAATAATGCGTATTGTGCTAATGCGCAAGACAGGTTCCGGGCAGAGTGCAAGGCGGCCGGTAAGAAGATCATGGTGTGGACGGTGAACGAGCCCGAGCACATGATGGAGGTGGGTTTGCGGATCCGGACTGCTTCTCTTGCCCAGCATGGTATTGATCGACATGATTTAGGTCGTACGATGGGGCGCAGACGTCGTCCTGACGGATCATACCAAGCGATGGCTCGAGCTGCGGAGCTCTCTCCAAGGTGAGACCTGCCATATCGGTTTAGCTTCGGTGTTGGTGCTGACGCGCGGCTGTCAGTTGACTACGACAACACTCTGGCCAAGTACAGCCGTATGTTCCTGTGGACGACGTGGAAATTCTGGTACCCGTCAATCGAGGCGAAGGACCGGACGAACCGGCTGGAGCTCGAGGCCTTCAAGGGTCCTTTCGAGAACTTCCTGCAGCTGCCGGTCGAGGTGGCGGCTACCTAATAGACCTGGATACCAGACAGGATTAGAGCATGGGATGAAGACCATGAAAGAAGAAGCTAAAGTAATAGGATATAGATTCCCCAGCACGCGCCTACGCGCGATATTCCCCCCTCGTCGTATATATGGATACAGATATCGATATGGATAACCAAAGTAATAGACTGTACAGGCCACATTGCTATGGCTGACATCGATGATTGGCTCCGATGCTTGGTGTGATCAGTGAGTCAGAGCGTGGCGGGTGCGATAAAGCCAGGGGCGAGCCATATGTAAACATGTCTTAATTTCCGAAATGGGCATCGCACGAGATCTCACTAACTCCCAGCCTCGGTGTTGGGTCAGCCAATACCGTCATCGCCCCCTCATTCTCCTTGAGCTCTATAGCGACGACAATCTCCTTTTTTCTCTCCTTAGCGCCCTCTGCGGTGAGGGCCTTTCATGGAGCATCATAATACTCGCCGTGCACACCGCAAACGGTACTCCCTCTCGAAGTTGTCTACAGACACATATCAAACCCTTCCGGAGTATACATCGCCGAGATGGTCGAGGCAGCCGACAGAACAAAGCCTACCCGAAGACGAATTTCCTTCTGATAGACCCCCAGACTACTCGGATAGCGCAGAAGAAGCAGACGCAGACACGGAGGACAGCGAAGCCCAGGACGTCTACATTCCGCAGCCATATTCTCCGCCCACACAACCTTCACCGCGTCGTCCCACTGGCAGAAGACCCACCTCCTACCGTCGTAGGCACTCGTCGCAGTACTCGTTGCAAAACGCGTCACAGAGTGACCCATTCCTTGACACACTCCTGGAACGTAGCGTTCACGCCCTCGAGATGTCTAACGCTCTCCTCCGCTCGAGTATATCCACCCAGACCTCCCTCTCCACCCTCCTCTCTCCCGACACTGAGGCTGAGCGTGCGCTCGAAGTCCGTGCTCGCAACCTCTCGACGCGCATCGGCGGTCGTAACGGCGGGATGAGCACCGCTCACGACACCTGGATGGACCGTCTTGACGAAATTTCTCGCGACGTTGAAGGTCTCCTCCCACCTGTAGATAATACCCAGTCTCAAAAAGTGGAAGAGAGCCCTTCTAATAGTATCCGGGACGGGTTCGCCGGTGCGGATCCCGCTGGCGTGCAGGCGATCAGCCAGAGTTTGCCCACGTCAGATGGGCCCGCCGGGCTGAGGCATCGCAGAAAGCCCTCGCTTCTTGATCTCGATGCTGGCCATCTGCAGCTCGCGCGTCAGCCTCGCAACGCGCTCATTGCACCAGCCCCGCGTGCGCTCACCCAGTATGTCGGGTCGACAGCAAATCCAGAAATAATTATTTTGCCGTCGACGTTAGGGCTGAGGGCGTCTGGGTCATCACACTCTGCTGATTGGAGGACAACAGAGTTCGCGGCAGAGGGTGCTGTGGGCATGTCTTCGATTACGACCTCAGCGCCACCGACAGCACCACCCACCGCTTCCTGGTCAACGGCTGAGTTCGGTGTGCGGAGACCAGAGCCGCGGGTGGGGGAGGCGGCTTCCCAACCTGAGGTCAGCGATCAACATGTGTCTTCATTTCCGTCGCATCAGGCGCACGACACGCCTACACCCGCCTATAACCTTCTCTCATCACTCGCAAAACGGTCCGAGTCAGCTACACCGCCGCCCACTCATTCGACGGCCCGTGGGATTGGGGGTTCATTTACGTCTCTCACACGCAGGGGGTCTTCTAGTACGGGTTCAGGGAGCGTCGAGCGCAGGCCCTCTGCCTCTTCATCATCATCGATGGCGACCCCCATTCTCCTCCCGTCCACGCCGACGCCGCGCATTGTCTACATAACGCCCCAGCGGCAGCGTCGGGGATCGGCGAGCACGAGCAGCACCGAGCGCGGTGGCTCGCTGACGTCGACCTCTTCGAAGCTCTCCCGCTCTCCCGCAAGCTTCCGATCCCTGATCTCCTCGCCTGATCGCTCGCGCTCTCGGTTCAGGCAGGGTGCGAGCGCTAGCTCGGGGTCGGACTCGCCGGCGCACTCGATTACGCCTCGTCGCACGTCACCGATGCGGCCGATGACGCCACCCATTGAGGAACTCAGCGCGTCCTCGGAGTCGTCGGACCAGCGCCCGACCGGCTTTCGGACCGTGCAGTCCCTCCGCAGGATCCTGGACGACCACCCGTCGAGTGTGTCGGTGAACGCGATGAGCAGGATAGCCAACATGCGGCCGCCGTCGTTCATGCCCACGTCGCCCGCGCCGCAAGCGGTGACGGGCGAGTCGACAGCGACGGCGTCGATATCGCGGCTGTACACCAAGGGACGGCACTCGCTGTCCACGCGTGCGCCGTCCCCGCCCGCACGCTCGTCGCTCAAGATGTCGACGAACACGACGCCGATCCACACGCAGCCTGCGACGCCGATGCCGTCGCCCTCGCCGTCGACCCTCGGGTTCGCGGACAGGTTCGGCTCGGGCGTCGCGCGCGTGCTGGGCGGCAGCCGCTCGGGCTCCATCTCGGGCCGCTCGACGCCGCGGCGTATCAGCTTCATCGAGGTGCCGCCCGAAGAGGGCGGGCCGTCGGGGCGGAACTCGATCCGCGAGCGGCGCGCGCGGAGGAGGAGCGGTAGCGGTAGCAGGCGCAAGGGGCGGACGAGGAAGGGCGGTGGCGGTGTGTCGGGGCTGCCTGAGCAGCTCGAGGACGACGATCTGAGCGGGTGGATCAAGGGCTGGTTTAAGGGCACTATTCCGAGCAGCCAGGGTGTGGGCGGTTCGCGGTATGATGGGGTAGATGAACGGGTGGGGCGCGGGTGGGGTGCGTCGAGGCCTGGGTTTGGGACGATGGACGATTGGGCGGTGTGAGGAGAAGGGCGAGGAAGAGGATGGATATGATGCCGGTACGGCCTGCTTTTATCTCTTCTCTTCCTTCGGGGTGTTCTTCTTGTTTGGACGGAGGTGTCCAAAATGATACATCGCAGTTCTAACGTTATTCGCTCACGACTCGTTACGTGTTTATATCGCTCATTGCTCATCACTTGTTTATTTTTGTCAGCCCATATCCTCTGCGTCACCGCGCGCTGACTATTACGATCGTTTAACGTGTTGTCTCTGATCTCGCTATTCTTTCTGATCATCACTTATCTCGGACACTTTTTTCTTCCTCATTTTCTCGTCAAATTTTCTATCACAAACCGCAGTGTATTTGTGTTTCGAGCGACATCAATACCCCACTGTCAGTTTTATTGTTTTTATTGTGTATGCGTTTCGGAAATCAATAGCTCTTAACTTCCTCCAGCGCCATGCACACAGTGAGGTTTGTGACAAGATCCAAGTTGAATTAGAGAACGGAGGCGATGTACAAAAAGGGTGGCATAGGGCATGTGGCATGCGAGAAGTAAAAGCATAGGGAGGCATATATGTGACAACAAGAGCGCAAAAAAGCAGATCGAATACGTAGAAAGCAGTACGAAGAAGCAAAGTGCAGAAAGCAGTGAACGGAAAGCAGACAAACGAGTGATATAAGTACAGATGTAACGTAGATGCAATTGCAAGAGTTCCTGTCGATTCAGTGAATGAAAGTCCAAGATGCTGCTCCATCCCGCTACATGAGAGCCAAGACGGCGGTGACGGCAAGTCCCCCAACAACTCCGGCAAACAAGACCTGAAGAAACCCAACGCCCGCTGATCTGATTGTGGACCCCGACGAGCTCTGCATGCTTCCCACATTCGACATGGACCTCTCGCCCATACTCGCAGCTTCATGGACGGCCTGCGGGTGGTCCCCAATGGCGAGCCACACGGTGTCCTCCACGTCATCGAAGGCGCCGCGAGAGTATTGAGTGGACGGCGGGGTGGGCACGATAGCGACGTACTTGCCTCTGCGACTTGCGGCGCGCGTGATCGCAGGGACGTCGCGTCTGGGCGCACGGATGATGCGAAAAAGAGACTCGATGGAGTCAAAGGCGTCTGAGCTGATCTGCGAGCCGTACTCCTCGGGCTCGAGCTCGCGATCCGGCCCGTACGGTCGAGATGATTCTTCTTCTTCTTCTTCTCCGTAGCCGTACTGCGCGCCCCCGCTGATGATGGGGCCCTCGGCGGCGTAGAGCGGCGAGGGCACGCGCCCGGGGTTCGAGAACATGTCTTCGTAGTCGAGTGGGGTCTGGAGGTTCGCGGGGTTTGGATACGATGCGGGGAGCCGGTACGTCGGCACGTTCTCCTTCTCGTCGGTGTTGGCGGCGACGGAGTTGAGCTCGGTGCGCTGGTCGTTCGTGTTCGAGGCGAGCTCGGTGGGGACGAGGGAGCCATTAAGAAAGCCGACGAGCGAGCGCGGCGAACGACGCGTCACCGTCGTGCGCGGGGGCGACTCCCAGTTGGGATTGCGCCAGTGCCATATCGACTTGTCTTGGGGGACCTTGAACGTGGGGGTGGTTGGCCGCTCGGGCGAGCCGAGTCCGTTGTTGGGTTTGGGACCTGGGGAAGCGGGCGGGGAAGGGAGTGAGCTGTCGGGGGTGGAGTCGCGTTCGACTGCAGTGCCGGAGCCACTTGCGCCGGCTTGAAGGACATCCTCGGCAGAAATGGTAGAACCTTCGTACTCGTCATCAGTGCCGGGGCATAGTATCATGCCGCTCCTGCGCTTATGGCCAGCCATCAGCATCCCGCATTTGTGGCACTTGGGGCGTTTTCGCTGGGTATGGGCATGCAACATCGCTGAATCTCTTGTTGAAGTTCTAGACCGCGTGCGAATTCGGGCTGAATCTGCATGTGCACCTGTGGTGGACAGTTTCGGACAAGTTGGAGGAGACAGGCGAATGAGAACAGGGTGGTTGGTGGGAAACGTGGATGAAGATAGTCAACAATGATGGAAATGCAGAGCGTGATCAGGAAGGACAATGCGGAGTCAGAATGCACGATAGCAGATGACAGATGACAGTTGTTGACGAGTGAACGATATATTGAGAAGAGTCAGTGGTGGTATCAGAGAGGGAGACGCAAGAGGAACTCACATGGCTGCTGGGGCGGCGGCAAGCACTGGCGACCACCAACGTCTCACAACTCAACGCCGGGTCATTAACTTTTTTCTCGGTTGCTCCTGTCCCTTGCGATCTGGGCAATATGAACCGAGATAACCCTCAGACAGTCCTCAGTTGGCTGCAGATGCTCTAAGGTGGAAACAATGTGTCCTCTAGTCGCTCTGGAGGGCACTCTGGAAACATATGCACCATTGGCCTATGAGTCGAGAATCGAGATGGGACAACCTTCTGACTAGGTCGAGATGGCAGCGACAATAGTACAAGGATGGCCTTGTAAAGCGACCTTGAGGAGAAACATTCTCGTATTCTTCAAGGTCGAGCCGGACGTGCTTATCTTGAGGATATCAGCGAGAATGGTTCTTGCAATGAAGCAAACAAAGCCTGTCAAATTCTTACGTTGTCGGCACCTGATTGATGGAGTGTCGAGGGGGCCAATATGTCAAAAGGATTTACGAAGTGCACAATGCAAGCAAAACGGAACATTGCATTATATCGTCATCACCATTTATCTAGTCTACGAAATGTACATCGACCTCCTGGACGCTTCGAGCAGAGCGCCTGGACAACACAAGTGGAATACTGTTACAATCAGCAAGAAGTCAGCATCGCGTCCCGAGAAACGCGTATGACGAGCCTATTTGGGGGACGTCCAAACTCGGGTGGCAAGGCGAAAGCCTGACTGTTGATGACACAGGAGCGAAGGATGAGGCGCCGGTCTCTACGAGTCGGAACTACATCCACGGCAGCCTACAGGTGTTCCTTTAGTTAAAGTCGCTTCCAAGGGGTTATAGCATACACACCACAATGAACGCATTGCACTATGGTCCCGGAGCGCACTTGAGCCTTTGGCACGCGGCAAATACAGGTTGACCCTTGGTAGTTCATGTCCTAAAGGATAGTGTAGGTGAATGCTCATGATAAAATATAGGAAACGTACCTTGGTTTGAATGCAGCGAAGACAGCACAATTTCTCATAACCTGTCTTCTTCCATTTGGCAATGAGACTATAGGCGACCGTCAGCACAACAAGTAATGAGGAAAACAGGTGTAGCATACTTGGCGTCCGCATAACCCTCCTTCAGCAGCCAGTCGTAGAGCTCTCTTGAAATGGCCTCTCGCTTGTAGTACAGCTCGTAGATATAGCGCGAGCGTGTATGCGAGATGCGCATTATGGGCCACAGCGACTCCGCCTTACGTTTGCCTTCGTGCGACTCATTCTCCGCATCCCTCATCTTTTTGGCGTAGTCATCGAGAACCTATCAGCCAAGGCAAGTGAGGTTGAATGAATATATGCTTGTACAAAACTGCAGTAAATGACTGACAGACTCGATGTCCTCATAGCCTTCCGGGGGCTGTTTCGTTCTGGTCGTCCGAATCTTGGGCATGGTGCAAGGGACCGTGGGAAACACCTACCCGGAATGAGAGCAAGGATATCAAGGCGCTGCTGCCACATGCCTCCTCGTTCTTTTTGTTCTCCTGTCCATCTCTGTTCTAGCGACTTCTCGTACCAGACTCAACAGTCCGAGGGACATCATAGCTTTATCCCTATCAACACGAATATCCCTTCATAGGCAATTTGCATGCTCAATATGCTGAAATCGGATCAGGGCTAGGCTAGGACTGCCTGTTCCGCGCGCTTCTCTTCCTCGTTGAGCACCACTGCGATCCACTTTCGTTCGCAAGCCTTTTGTTATACTATACTCGAGAACGTTTCTAGGGTACCTGCATATGCAGACTGCCCAATTCTCTTGGTCTGCTAACTCATGGCTTTATGATAACTAATAGAAGATGAGGCTCAACTATTGACCGACTTATGATGACTAGCATGTCAGCGATAGCCATTGGCACGATGTCAACTTTGCTCATGATGGTGCAGATAAGCATCGCTCTTGGGCAGCTGATCATCGATGCATCCATCGACTGTCTCTTGCCGACGTTTACACTGGCTTTACGTGTGTCCGGCCACCTCATGATCTTGGTGTCGGCGTCGCCTCTCAACCTGCTGGATCCGACTACTGCCGACGCCAGGCTATGCGAACTCTATGGCATGCACCATGAACCTTCTCTTCAGCGCCTCAATACTGTCTGTCAATGGCTAGACTTCTTTGCCTCTCCCTCTGCGATGGGCGTAGAACCTTCTGCCAGCAAAAACGACACATCCTGCGGGCGTGATGCTCTCAGCACCTCACTTTGGCCACAGCCTGGAAACGCGTATACCTCCTTGCAGAGTGGCTATAGACGGTGTACGACACGAGCCGACGGCTGCGTTGAATCTGCATCGACTTTCAGTTTCCCGAAAACATTGTTAATGTAGCAAACGGCGCACGCCCACAACGCTGTTTCAATAAGGCCGGAGATGCTGCTTCATGTCCTGTACTAATCTTGGAACTCGCTTCAAGATACGTTGAGGACGGTGCCCGGACCAAGGGCTCGGAGAAGTGACAATGGCTCACAAAGCAGTGACCTGACTCGTGACGGGCATGCCTGTACCAGCTCGCACATGCAAAGAATACATATGGATCCATCTCTCTCGCCACCATTGTGTAGATCATACCATTACCTGAAGATATCAATTGGTTTTTTTTTGTTGGACAGATCTTGAAAATGGAGGGACACATGCATGCACGTTTATGTCTATGAATCTTGCAGTTTATGCAAAGGTCCCTGCGAGTGCGACGGGCCTTTCACACCTGGAGACGTGGTATTCGCTGCAGTTTCAGATAAAGTGTGCCGTAATATCGTGTCCGTCCGTCTAAGCAGATAGCTGGTAGTACAGTAAACAAACTGGAGACATGGCAGTTTATGAAGCTTTGAAGTTCGCGCCGCGCGTGACTCCTGATTCCGCGACGCGTGTTAGGTAATGCTGTGCGTGCACGAAATGAGAAAGTGGTTGCGTCCTTGCAGTTGGACTTTGTCCACGCCTCCAAAGTCGCCGGGAGTCGTGTCCATCGCGTTCTCCAACACCAAACAGCTTTAACAACACCACCTGCGAATATCAGAACCTTATATTCTACTCTGACTCTCACTGCTTCTGTTGGATGAACTTGTGGCTGTACTGAATTCATCGCCATGCCCCTCGTGGTTCCCGCCCTACGCCTCTTCATGGTTTTCATGAATGTTTACGACACGTTCAAGACGCTCAAGCCGCCGCAGGTCTCATCTAAACGAAGCGGGCGCTCAAGCATACGAGCTACGACGCAACGAAAGAGGGATTTGAAAGGGTGTATGGCCATATGGATTGTTTGGGTAAGTAAATATTGACCCGGACTTCTTGGGTGACATAGGCGCTCACCAAACGCGGGCGCTCCAATCAGTCTGTCTTTGCCGCATATGAGAAGACTCTGGATGGGATGGTCGGCTTCGTGACGCCGTTCTATAGCGAGATAAAGTCGTTCATCATCATCTTCCTTCTGGTAACGCGTGCGAAGGTACGCGATCTGCATCCTGTGTTGGACCTTGGGCTCACATGAAACGCGACACAGGGCGCGGAACCCATTTTCTTACATGTCATTCGACCTCTCATTAAGCCATATACACCCATTGTAGACTCATTCCTTGACATTGGACGCGTCATTGGAGACATTGCTTTCGGTATCTTGAAGTCCCCCTTCTCCGCTGCCTACAACTGGTGGCATGGCAGCTCGTCTTCATCAGACGAATCTGATGAAAACTCGAGCGATATTCAAAGCGGGCAAACCACCGCTGTCAGCTCTGCCGCTGCCTCCCGGACGAACTCCAATATCAAGGTCCCTATCAAATCTTCTACCATCGACCCAAATAAGAAAGTACCAGAAAAGCAGCGCCCAGTTCCCGAGAAGCGCGGGTCGTCTGCGTCAGCCCGGATTGCGTCGGAAATCCAAAGGCCCGCGTACTCCCGCCAGGCCTCTGGTACTTCGTCAAGGTCGACCATTCGAAACGCGAAAAGCAGCTCATCTACCAGCCTCCCTTACAATGCCAAGAAGTCCGCTTCCTCTACAAGCTTGTCGCGGAACGGAAATGCAAGAAAGCCCTCGTCTCAACGACATGTTCAAGATATCTTCCGTGAAGATATCACCTCTCCTCCTCCGTACCGGGAGCAGGACGAACAGGACGGAAACGCACCGTTCATTCCCTATCCTCCTTCCCCTGAACCCCAGATTTCTGGCCTCCCACAGACTCCTGATAATGACTGGCGGTCTTACCCTGCATTCCCTTCGGCATACCCAGCAACACCTCTCCCTCCTCAAGCATCCCTCCCAGTGACTCGTGCGCCGTCCGGGGCTATGCAACCGCCTATTCCCGAGGGCGGCAACTCGGAGGAAGAAGAAGAAAGCGATATGGATGGTGCGGATAGCAGCTTCAACGTATCCCTGCAGACGCCTTACAAGGGTGGCGTTGCATCAGACGCATCCTCATCGAGCTCAAGTCTTGGTTCTACGGCACTCTCATCTGCTACTGGGCAGCGGTCCACACTCCGTACTAGGTCTAACTCCGATGTTTCTCACGACTCCTTGGGAACCCATAACGATGACGACTCGTCAGAAGAAGAGGATTCGTCAGAAGAATCGGAGGAGGAATCAGAATCGGAGGAAGAGGAAGAGGAAGAGGAGGAGGAGGAGCCGATACCTGCACCGTCTCATGTTCGTTCCAGCACTACCGACACTATTAGAAAGGCACCATCATCTCAGTCAAGGATTCCCGCCACGGCTCACTCAAGAAACGAGACGCTGAAAGCTAAGCCGTCGGCTCAATCCATAGCCAAGGCTACTGCCGCTGCATCGAAGAAAACTGCAGGCGACGATGAGCTGGCGAGCAGCGGTGACGAGGCGGATGAAGTGGGCGTTAAGAAACCTGCAGCACCAACGCCAGCAGGCGCACAACTTCCCAAATATACTCGCCTCCGTGCGCCCGCAAAAGCTCCTGTGAAAGATACTACCCGTCCCGCAACGACCACAGCCAGTACTCGAGCTCCTCCCATGGCTCGCTCAAATACCTCTGCATCGACTCGTGGGCGTCCGTCTGTGAGGGCACGCGGCGGCGGGCCCGTGCGTGCCACCAAGAGCGAAGCTAGCGGAACCCAAGCCAAGGACGCCACGCTGCGGGGCAAGCCCGTGCGTATATAGGTTTGGATCCGGAGGACGCACTATCTTATACTGCTTTCTTTGCTGTTAACGTATTTTGGAGCATCTGGCGTGTTTTTTTTTTTACCTCCCATCGACATCGAAGCTGTTATCTGTAACCCTAGTACTACTAGCCCTCGCTTTGCACCCCACGTCTCTAACTCGCACACGTACACGTCCTAATCGATATAAACCACATAGACTTATGACAGATTACATGAATATACAGCATATCTACAGGACGCGTGGGTCCTCGACATTGCACCAGGCTGTTGTAAAGTGTCTGTATTATACTGCTTGAGTCATGGTATAACCTCACAGAAAGCAGTTCCCGCGTATTCAACGGCTTCACAAAGGAGACTAATGCTGCTTCAAGCTTCATGGGTAGAGACGCAAACAAACCTCAATCGGCTCGGGCTGAGATGCGACTCAGGACAGCTGGCAAGAGCTGCTTCCATGGCCCTGTCAGTGAGCGCTTGCGAACACCGATCAAGCGCTCGGCTCCTTTCAATCAGTCGCAAACATTGAGCCTCTTACCTCCACTGCAAGCTCGAGCTTGCATCACCGCGGGGCCGCCGTCAGCTTCGTTGAACGGCTAATACACCTTCGACCGACGGCAATCTCTAGCTTTTTTATACCAGCGGCGTCCATATTGATCGTAGTCTTGGGACCGCTCTCACTGAACATGAACTTTGTTGTTCACGACGGGCATTCACTGAAGCACTCTCGCCTAGTCCGCTCTACCGCTTGTCCGCCTCCAGCGGATGGTACTGAGGACGCCACGGCGTCTCTTCCCACTCAGTATACTCATGCCTCGGCGATAAAAACTAAGCGGTGGCGTCCATTGCTCTCAATCCAAAGTCGTGGCTCCTCTGTGTGCTCAGGTTCCCCCGACACCTCATATTACAACCGCCGATGTCATCGATAACTTTGATGCTGCACTCATGCTTTTGCCTCGTGTCTTGGAGAGCTGTCCTCGCTGTGCATTTCCATGGATCTGGGCCGACCTGGGGTGATGCGAGGCGGCCAATGTTTTCGTTTACAATCTCGTATAACAGAGGACAAGGACTGTCGTACCGCCTCCCGAGGATAAAAAAGAAGACGCGAGGCGTCCTCGAAAATCTTACCGCCGGCTCATTATAGTGTCTTAAGTAAGCGTCCGTCTTCGGTCGGTCGTGGAATTTCTAGATCTCTGCTGTTCATCAAGTTGGACCTACAAAGGTCCACATATGGTAAGGCAGAATCCGGGCCGCATGAGCGCACAGCACCTTCTGGCTCTCCTATTCGTCGTACAGCTAAGCGCCAGTGCACAGCAAGCGATAGAAGGTCGCATATTCGCATCGAACGTAGGTTTATGCTAGAATGGCCCCCGCGATAATGTGGCCGTACGCGTTTTCTCGCCCCTCTGTCACCGATGTGCGATAGGTAGAGAGGGTAGGGGGCTATGAATACCGAACCCCAGATTCACGGACTCAGCCTTCGGTAAAGGTCCAGGTAGGATCGTTTAAAAATCGAGAATGTCGATCGCTGGTATTCCTGCTTCCTCGACGCCACCACAGTACCCCCCGTCCTCTCATTGTAGAGGCCTTTTGACGCCTTCTCTCATCGCGCTGATCGACGACCAGCTACCTTTCCATCTCGCTATGATTGACGGTCGTATTCCTGGACTCGAACTGAAGCATATTCCTCCTGAATGCGTAGGTCGTTATCGTGTTCAACCAGTGCTCCCTGTCTAACAGATTGTCGTGCCTCAGCTCCCCATCTGGGGGCAGAAGTGGGCCAAGCCCTATCGCCCGCTGGGACCTAGCCAGGCCTGCGAGCATGCGTTCTGGATCTCAGGCTCTGCCGAGGATCTGCCTTTTCTTGTTGAGCCCGACTCGCCGACGTTGACATCGGAAACAGCTGGCTCTGACCACACGTCTTCCTACCTTGCCTCTCCTTACGAGGAGGCGTACCTTACACTGAACTCTACAAGCACTCCACAGGACGTCATGCCTCGGGACTCGTATAGCCCGATGCCGCCTGTTCACGATTCAACGCCACAAAATCCTCTTACCCTCATCCCGTTCCCATCGCCTCAATACCTTGCATCTTCGCCTGGATCATCGGATCACACATACCTTGACGCCTTCTTCAATATGGAGGAGACGACGCAAGAATCAACTGCTTCTTCGCAAGCGATGTCGCATTTCTTAGATGTGCATCAGGCCGCCATGAACCACGACAGCGCTTTCGTCCATACACCCGTTCCAAACAATAATATGACAGGCCCGGCTCTCTCTTACGACCTCGTTCCCTCTACATCAATTTCTAATGACTTCCAGCCGACGGCAGCCGGCCATCAACGCTGCAGGTCTACAGGGGCCCTTGAACTCGAGATTCCCACCAGCTTTCCGAATTCCTTACTAACGGACCCGTCGAACGACCTACTGCGCATGCGCCAGCTCTCAGAACCGCGCGACGTTGGCGGGATCCGAGGCTTCGATGCTACCGAGGCCCATGCCGTACACCACGTACCTGATCACACCTTCACCATGTCAGCACCGTCTTTTCTTGGGGCCGTATTTTATGGCGAAGCTGATGGCGCCTATACTTCCTTCAGCGACCCTAACTTAATTAAGCCTGTCTACTCACAGCCTGATCCGACCGCCAGCACGTCCCCATCGCAGCCGCAGCCACAGAGAGCATTGCACATACCCGAGTTTCTCAATCCTCATATCGCACTTCGCGCTGCTCGGGCCTGCCAACACGGCTCAGTATCGGGTCTCGCGGCTCACGCACGCGCCTCGACGTCAGCAGTTGGGTCCTATGACCTCGGCAGTCCCTCATATCCGCCGAGCGCCCACACCGCCAGCGACTTTGGATATGGCACCCCTGCTCCCATTCACTTGGACACACATGAACGCCACCCATTCCCGCCATATTACATTGATTCACCGACGTTCCATGGCAACGGCGAGGCGTATAGCGGGCATCGGGCCAATGGTCACTTCGACCCCGATTACAACCTCCATCTCGGGCCCCGCGGATAACAATTCACGCAGCGCCCTCAATGATCTTTGACTTGCTCTCAAAAGTTTAGATCTCCTTGTCAAATTTGTTTGCTGCGTTGTCTCGTTGCTTGCCTGCTTTCCCACTGCTCTGCGTAAAATAGCCACTTCCTGAGCGTCTTTTCGTATTGCCTTACGGAGTGTTAACTCCTCCGTCGTGTTGTGTACAAATTTTCCCTCCACATACTATGCACAGTAAATGGATTAAGATAGCTACCTTACACCATGTTTCCGTTTCTTTTTTGTTAACAGCCGTCGGATCGCTGGGTAAGCCTTCCTCGTTGGGGGCCTACAATGAATGCGATGCTTGGGCTGTTTTTGTCGTTTTTGTTTTGGACAATACTATGACCAATATGGGTGTACAGAACTATGATTAATGTTGTAATTAACCTCGTTTACTGGTGCATTATCCATCTGTGTGATGGATAAACTTTGAGTTGAACTGGAAGTTTATGCTCGATGACCGTTGGTCTCCCGTTGCTTTCGGGGCACGGCAAGACGGCGTGACGTGGGGCGGAAGCAAAGACGAAAATAATTTACTGGTATTGCTTGTATGTACCCGTATTACCTAATATGCTAAGTCCAAAATTTCTGAATGACGCTCACGCGTTGGCTTGCTTCGTTCCCGTCCACCACACGGTCACAGTCCTCTCCCCGTCCTCACCGTTGCACACAATGTCGACGACGTTTAACCGGAGCACTCTCCTCGCAGCAGGTGCTGTTGCCGCCACTGGTATTGTGGCTTACGCCGTCTATTTCGACTACAAGCGGCGGACAAACAGTGCTTTCCGCAAGCAGCTTCGTAAGTGCAATTCTTCCATTTCTGAACACTTTTGTTCATATAGTACCTTCTCTGTTCCTCGGACGACACCTGAAATCTTGTGTGGCGGCCGTGTTGACGTGCTCTTCAACAGGCAAAGAAAAGAAGCGCGTCGCGAAAACCCAACCAGCACCGTCTGCTGGGGGTGAAGAAGCCGGTGGAGCTAGCGTTGACATCAACGAACTCCGTGGCGCGCTTGAGAAGGTTCGCCAGGAGGAGGTCCCCGTTGACCCGCAGCAGAAGGAGCAGTACTTCATGTCGCAAGTCAGTATGGGTGAACAACTTTGCGCTCAGGGTGCGTTCTCTACTTTAGCCCTTTACGGCACGCGTTCCCTCGGCTGTCGCTGACAATGCGCGTGTTCTTTTGCTGCATCAGGCCCCATGTTCCACCTCCCTGCCGCGATGTGCTTCTACCGCGCCCTGCGCGTGTACCCCGCACCTGTGGAGCTCATCATGATTTATGAGAAGACTGTGCCCCAGCCCGTCTTCCAGGTATGTGACATGTTGCCCCTATTATGGCTTCTTAACGCAGGCGCCTTGCTGACGATTTGGCGCCGTAGATCGTGATGGAATTGACCAATCTGGATGTGAGTGATTCCGGCAATACGTCTTCTGTCTCGGCGGAGGAGAGCGTCGCGCCCACGGCCGAGATCAGCGTCGTGTCGTTGGAGGAGGCCGTTGCTGAGGCGGCCGCTGAAGCTGAGGCTGAGGCTGAGGGCGACCTTGAGGGCGAGCAGGACGACGGCGAGAGGAGCCCAACTCACGGTGGTCCTCCATCTGAGTCAGAGCACTCGGTTAACTCGCAAGAGTGGGACAGGCTCACAGACCCAGGCACGGGTGTGCACACTCCTGCCTTGAGCGAGCCGGAACCGGAGCCAGAGGCATAATGCTTTCTCCTGCCTATCGGTCCACTTAAGCGCCTATGCGCTGTACTAGAGTCGGGCATATACGCCCACACATTTTTCATCACGCTTCACGCATTCTCTACCCTCGCTATCTGTCGCAATGCATGCTCTTTGGGATTCGGATAAAATGCTTATGCTATGTCCATTTATATTGTTGAACTGGTTCTAATGAGTTTTATTTTCATGTGCGCTGCCGTTGATAGGTGCAATCCCGCGTTGAAGGTGAGCAAACCCGCTAGGTGAGTATTAGCGGAAGCTAAAAACTGAGTATCTCAGGTTACTATGACCACTTCCCTCGCAAAGAGATGAACGTCAAAGTCGAGACGAGGGACCTTCCTGATGGCATTGGTAAAACGGTTAAGAAGAAAGTGCTCGTCGCCGCCAAGGACTTCGCCGCTGGTGAAGTCATCTACAAGGTCTGCTCATTGCCTGAGCCCGTCAGTCGCGCTCTCAACCTTTGTACATTATAGGAAGTGCCCGTCGTTGCTGCTCTTGACTTTGATATTGAGGGCAAGGGCACGCATTGCTCGCAGTGCTTCCGCGTCATTGAGGGCGAAGGTACGAAGTCCGCCGTCTCTGCGCGCTTCGGCACCGCCTACTGCTCGCCCAACTGTGCCGAGCGGGCCAAGGCGCAGTCAGACGGCCTTCTCTTCACGCTCGACCCCGTCCTGCCTGCGGCCATGCTGCCCGAGCTCCCGCCCGATGCCACCGAGCAGCGTGACGCTGCCCAAACCGCGTTTATCGCGCAGCTCCGGGAGGCAAGCACGAGTGGCCCCTTGCTCGCCGCGCGCTTCATTGCGCGCCAGGTCAACGCGGAGACAGCCAAGATGCTTCCGGGTGGGATGCTAGATGCGCAGGAGCCGAGCCTCGCAGATGGCGGGGACTACGGGCTGTATGATCACCTTGAGCGCCTGCGCTACCTCGCGGTGGAGGAGGTGCCCGAGGAGAAGCTCAAGGGGGTGCGGGACGTGCTCAAGAACGCGTTGCCTGGTCTCGAGACGTTTGTCACGGACGAGCGGTACGCGACTATGCTGGGCAAGATGGCGTATAACTCGTTCGGTGTTGTGTTTGGCGAGGGACGTGATGGCAAGGTGGGAAGCATAAAGCTACTAATGGACGGAAGGCATCTGACACTCTCTGGACTTGTAGCCTGTTGGTGAGCGTCCTGAAGACCTCGAGCGCACACGTACGCCTGCTGGCACCTCCCGCCAGGTTGGCACTGCTTTCTTCGCTGTGTCAGCTTATGTACGTTGGGTTCATATTTTCTTAAGGGGCAAGAAATTTAATGGTTAAATTATAGCTTTCTCACTCCTGCGCACCCAACGCGCACCCATCCTTCAACGGCACTACCGAGCTCTCCCTCGTCGCTGAACGCGACGTCAAGAAGGGCGACGAGCTCAACGTCTCCTACGTCGACCTTAGCTCCCACGAGGGCGAGACGCCTGCCGAGGCCCGCCGCCGTCGGCGCTTCGAGCTTGCGCGCGGCTGGAAGTTCGCCTGCCCGTGCACGCGCTGCGTTCAGGAGGCGCTGGAAGCCCAGCTGGCCGCTGCTATCGCTGTGGGCGCCGCCAACGAGGCCGCCGGCGAGCCTGCGGCGGGCACCGAGGTCAAGGTCGAGGAAGAGGACCTTGGGCTTGGCGGAGTTGCAGATGCGTCCCAGGTCGAGGATGCTATGCGCCGGACGGAGGAGCGGGAGAAGGAGAAGACTGCTTCGACCTCTGCGTAAAGTAGGGCGGCGTTCATGCATTATCAGCGGGTTTGATTGATGCTGCTCAAAAATGATAGGTTTAGATTGATTGCATAGTATTCTCATAGAGACTTTAATTCTGTTACGCTTTCTGCTACGTCTGCTTTCTTGCCTTGCTACGTTACATTCTGTTTTACATCGTCTTACCTTATGCAAATGCACGACCACACCACTCATGATACCAAAAAAGTTCATGGATTTGTTAGAATTTGTGACAAGGTGATGGACTCGGAACGGAAGTAGTTGTCTGGTGACGTCGTACTAGTTTCGCGACGGGCACTTGGCAAGTCTACAATACTAGCCCACAACCATCCTCTAACATCGACAACTCGCGCAATGTTCCTCGCTGGCTCACAGATGTCTTTCCATCGGTTAACAGCATCATTGCTATTGGCGTCGACTGCACCACGACTTTGCGCATCGAAACGTGCCTTACACTTGCCAGCTCGCCTTTCAATATCGTCGAGCTCTCGTGCCAATTCACCTGCACATCTTCGCGCACCCCAATGCCTTCCTCACCGCAGTGCCCGTGCCCTGCACATGTCCACGCCGCGCAGTAACAGAGCACAAGGGCTGACCAATATGCTCGCGAGCGAAGTGCCGCCCCCCGTGCAAGTTCTCTCCGTCGGTTCGGGCGGGATATCGCTCGCGGACGGGCTCGTCCTGCGCGGGCCCGCCGTCTTCCTCGAGGGGCGCGTCTGGCTTTGGGACGTTCCAGTCTCGAAGAGTCGCACGGGGGAAGCTAGCTGGGAAGGCTGGGACCAGGACTGTTTTAAGCTGTTTGAGGTCGTCGTTCCCAGACCGGGTGAGTACTAGAAGCCTTGCCTTCCGCTTCTTGTTGCGAGTAGAGACATAGGGGAGCTGAAAGGGTTTCTTTGATGTAGAGATATTGATTGTTGGGACGGGGGAGAAGATGTCACTGTTCCCGCCTGTTTTGAGGAAGTATTTGAATGGGCTGGGGATACAAGTGGATGCTATGGACACGGTGCGTCTTTTTCTTTGGTTTCGTAGCTTTGGCTCGCGCACACCCTCTAGGAACATATTTCTTTCTTCAGTAATCCGTTTTCTTTCTTTTTTAATCCCTCCAGAAATTATGAAATGCGATACTGATTGCATACTTCGTAGCGTAATGCATGCTCGACATATAACCTGCTCGCTGAGGAAGGCCGACATGTGGCCGCAGCTGTCCTACCACCTAACCCAGCTGCATGGCGTCGGTCACAATGAATGAGATCACTAGGGTCTCTATTCGCACTATGTCTAAAGCCATAGTACGGCCTCAAAAGCAATATGCAGTGATCGTGGAGGTAGAGACAGGGGCTAATTACATATGCGAGGTATAATGCGATAGACTTGAAGGATACGCTGAGATAGAGTATATGGTATGCATGCGATGTTTATTCTGGAATGGCCTTGCGCTTTCCTTTACTTGCTGGAGGAGAATCACTGGTAGGTGGTGGTGCGCGTCGCGGCTCTTCCTCTTCGTCATCGAGCAGAGAGGGTAGCGTCACTTCGATTGGCTGGAGTTCACCTAAGTTGCATGTTAATTTAGCACATACGCTCATAGCACACGTCATCGGAAGAAGGCCACGCGCGATGCCACCACCAAAAGAGAGGGCAACCTTGAAAGTAGTGTAATCTAAGAGAAGACATACCGTACTCGTCCTTGAACTGCATGTACACGATCTCCCAGTTCGCCAGCACTTCTCGTACACTGCTATCCTCGTCCAACAGGTCGTACGACGCGCTTGAGCTTGAGCTACCCGACTTGGCGCGTGCGCTGCGGCAAAGAACGAAGTCGTCTGTGCTGCTAACGGGTGGAACGTCCGGGCCGTCGTACGCGCCTGACGTGAGCGCGCCGAGGGCTTCCTCCTTGAGAGCAGCGATGGTTGTTCCAGCGGGCACAGTCAAGAATATGGTGAGTTTGTGGGTCTTTAGGAGAAGATGGAGGGATTTGGGTGCGGGTTTAGGTGGCTAGGGGCAAACAGTCAGATTGATCCATGCGAGTGCCTTGCGAAGGAGGTGCAAGGATGAATATGCACACCATGGTGAGTGAAGGTTTACTTGAGTGCAAAGATAGAGAGAATCGAAGTCAGTGGTTGTACAGGTGAGATTTAGAGAGCAGAGAGCAGGTAAAGAACAAGAACGATGTGGAGACGCGTACGATCAGTGAAAGCACGCTAATTTACAGCTGGAGAACGCGTCGCCCCCGTGAGATTTACCTTCCTTATTAGACATACCGTCCAACTCGCTCTCGAATTCGTCCGACCGCAAGGGCTGAGCAAAGTCCGTTCGCGGGTCCTCCAGTCCTTCACGTCAGTCCGTCTGTCTGTCATTTCCTTCTCCTAGCCTGCTGACCTGATTCAATCAGTCCTGCTATCCGAACCTACCGCCTCAGTGACCACCATGACTATCTACCACGCCGGAGACGACTCCCAAGCGCGCCCGTACATCGATCCGACTCCCCTCCCGGACAGCATCCCCAAGGTCCAGGAGATTGGTACTTCAAGCGCACCCCTCAAGAGCGCGGCTTTCTTCATTGGGGCTTATTGCAAGGACTATAATGGTGCGCTACTCTAGTTATCCCGTGTTATGTGCGTTAACAATACCCTTGTTCGGTGTATGGGATTAACCCTTGGTATCTACTTGCTGGATGCTCAAATTACCTCGGCTTTGCAACCCGCCTCTCCTGGCTCTGTGGCAATGCCATCTCGCCCAATTGCCTTTGTGAAATGAATTACTACGGAACGTAAACAGAGGACTTCATGCTTTGCAAGCAGGATGCCAAGGGTGACCCCGGCGCGTGCCTCAAAGAGGGCCGCAAGGTTACTCGCTGCGCGACCGACCTGTACGCTTATTCATATTCAATATTCAGTATCATCTGATAACTAACGGCGCGATAGGATCAACAAAATGCGAGAGAACTGCCTCGAGACGTTCGACAAGCACTGGCAATGCCTCGAGCTTCACAACCAGGTTCGTTTCATGAAGAATGGCACTATTATGGTTTCTGATGGTTATCTCGGTATCCTTCTACAGGAGTACTACGCTTGCCGGAAAGACGAGCGTGCACTGAACAAGTGCATGTTTGAGAAACTTGTGCGTACACTTGCAGACTAGTCTTCTATCTTTACCAGATTGAAACATTCTTCGTTTATGCAGGGTCTTACTAAGACTATTCCTGGGTCGCCAAAGGGCCAGACGCCCATTCATGACGTTGCCAAACCCATTTACACCACTGTCCAGCGGTGAGCTACGAGAGTGGTTCGCCGGCGTCGCTCTCGCATCTTTTATCCAGTATTATGCTGGTCGTATTCCCTGTGCTTTCATGGTAGAAGCTAGATAAATAGAGGAATACATGAACGCATAGCTCCATCTTGCAGAAGCAGTCAAATACATCAGAAACCTTTAGAAAGTAAGAAACCTTGTAGTCGGGCTTATAGACCACTAAAGCCGAGCAAATACGCACAAACATCGTATCGGAAAGCCCGTGGTCACCGCTCAGAACATTCACCTACCCAACACCTTTAGCACAAGTCAAAATGCCCCTTCCCTGGGAGGCCCTCATTCCTTTCGGTATGCTCACAGAATCACCGCCAATCGAACAAGCTACTCATGCATAGTGAACGAACTGGTGTTTCCTGATATACAGGACTGCTCACGACCATGTTCGCCGCGGCGGGCACGCTCTTGAATACGTCCAAGATGGCCCAGAACCAGGGCAAGGTGCGTAATGTTTCCTTACGCGCCATACGCTATACTCAGATGTCTCTCGGAATTCTTCACTCCTTCTGTCTTGCTCCGGTCGCTATAACTGATCCATACTTCTGGCACGTCCTACTCTTGGATCCTCGGGTGCATTTTACAGCGCCCCCGGCATAACCTCGACGCTTGGGATGATATGATGATGGACCGCGACCGCCGACTGACGGGGCATATTCGTGGGCAGAAAGTGCGTTGCTCTCCTGTTGCTTCCTAGAGCCAATATTGACCAGGTCTTCCTTCTGTTTATTCATTGGCTATATCTTCAGTCCGACACAACACCTCCACCAGGATTCGAGACGAGTAGCAAGTGGTACACGGAGAGTGTGGAGTAGAAGGATACTGCTGGTGTCTAGAGGATGTTGTCGTACTCACACATAATGCGTGCTTCACGCGACGCGAGGATTACCTTGCGGTATAGAGTCGCTAGAACTCGCATACGTCCAAGACTTGGAATAGAGCGCAATGTAATTTCAGCTGCGTCGCGAAACCCCATTGTCATTAACCCGTATGATATTAGCATTATGGTATCGTAAGATTAGCTCTAAAAGAGGAGCGAAATGAATACACTAAAGGTTAAGCTTCTCCTTTAGCCAGCTTGCTACCTCTCGAGCGCGTACGTCCTCCTGCTTATCTGTCTCTAGTTCCTTCTGCAAGAATCCGTACTTGGCGCCCACTAAACGCTCGCTCAGCGCGCTGAGTTCCCGAGATAGGTCGGCATCACCACCACGGGCAGGTGTAAAAGCGCACGAGATGATACGGCCGTGTTTCGAACTTATTGTTGCGGACTGCACATCATCAGTATTGAGAAATATTACAGCGTAGAGGTAGGAGACGTACAACGGCACCCCAGGAGAACGAATGTGCTAGGTCGTGGGTGAATTCTGGAGTCTGGCCGTAAGCCCAGTCCCAGCTCTGTCAAGTGAACGTGTAGATATAAGCACGGAGTAGATTTAGAGGGAGGGGCCGCAAGTTACGTACGGGAAGCTCCTCCATTCCTTTACGCACATAATCGAGCTGCGTCTTGGCTCCGTCGTCCACGTACTGAACCTGCGAAATGTCATAAACGAGAGCAACCGCCAGGCAAAAGAAGGGGCATACGTCTTCGTCCATGCCATACTCTCTTCTGAATTCGTCCACCACGGCCTGAACAAACGCGTCGTGTGTCGTCTCAGCGTTTACCTTCGCGAGATTGCACACGGGCGACCGCACGGACGCGACACCTTTCGTCTGTATGCCTTCCTAACTTGTTCGTCAGCGCCATGCTCTATCCGATGAGCTAGGGCAAACACAAACCTTGTCGGGACGCAACAGCGCCCCAAGCGTATCGAGCCTCGTCGAGATAAGCATCGTGCCGTGATGGTACGCGCGGTTGTTCGCGATCTTGTACGCAGAGCCGGAGACCTTCTCGCCCGCGACGGTGATGTCGTTGCGCGTGTTCACGTCCGCGCTGGGTATCCCGAGCGCGCGCACGGCGCGCAGGACGATCTGTGCGGTCATGGTGCGGTCGAACGTCGTCCGGGGGACGTGGATGGAGAAGTTGGTGTTTCCTAAATCCTGCATTTGTTTTGGTCAGTCCAGAAGGCATGGACGAGGGGAGAAGGAGGCTTGCATGGTATACGGTTCCACCGCCGCTGCGTCTGCGGATGAAGGGTATGCCGGTGGCTTGCAAGGCGGGGAAGTTGACCTCTGTCCATGGGTTTTGGTTCCGGCCGATGATGACGCAGGGGGTGTCGCGGTAGAGTAGCAAGAGCGGGCGCGTGTGGGGCGCATGCCGGAAAAGCCTACAGAGCAAATCACAGGGCTTTAGACAAGAAAAGAGGAAAGATTGTGAGAGGAGCATACCAGTCCTCGAAGGAGAGGTTGAAGTAAGGGTCATTGGAGAGGGAGACATAGATTGAGTTTGTCGGCTTGGACTGGTCGCTGAATGTTGCCGCAACTTTGGTGCTCGCTTGTCTTGTTATTGCATAGCATGGGGTACGGTGCAGTGAGGACAGCGTGGAACAAGAGGTCGGAAGGACATGGCGGAGACGGGAGAGGGGTGACATATCCTTCGCGTCCTCGACGCGGGAAAGTAGCTTCTCTCACCTGGACCACCATCACCTCGCGCTCGGCTGAATCTATCACACCTGCTCGCAGCGCTTCCGTCTGGACAACTCCGGTCAGGAAGAAAACGAATGGCCTATAACCACGAAGTGTTGACTGGTGTAGGAATAAGCTTGCTATCATGGAATAGCCAATCATGCCTAGGTCCTTTCCGGTTGATAATCAGCCATCCAGGAGCATGTCCTGGAGCATGCCGGGTGTGCCAGAATTACTGGTGTCGCGTGGTCTCAGCTACCCCCCAGATTTCATGTCGTTCTCGAAGGGTGGCCTTGTTCTGTACATGTTGCTCCAGCCTCTTGGTACACCAATGTATCTTCACCAGCGACGCGTACGCTAGCTACCCGGACGCGCTGAATGGTATCTGCTCCTGACTACGATGACTCAAAGTTCTCAGCTCAGGACCTCACCAGTGCTTGTTGTCTCTCCCAATATTTCTTCTTCGCGCACTGTTCGCCAGCTAGATCCACTGCAGCGTCTCCAGGGTCGGCAGAGGCATCAAGCGTTTCGCTGGACGAACAACGTTGAAGAGGCGTTGAGAAGGCGACGAGTTCTGGGAGGGATGGGATGGACAGCTCAGGCTATACGGGATATAATGACGGTCGCCAAGAACGTACATTGCCATAGCTCGAGGCCACTAGCCCACATCTATAGCTGAAGGAATGCGTCGACGCTGTCATTCAATCATCTTCAACCTCCGAGGTGGCAACGTCCATGTTCAAACCGGACTTTGATGGTACCGTCATGTCTGGCCCTCCTTCACCCACTCTTCGACATTCTGTGCATACAAGACTTTAGTTCGCCAGCAATCATGGCCGGACATATTACTTTCTACGCGGACGTCAGACAATTCGTTGGCTGAAAAAGTTCAACTGATGGAATTTTGGCTGCTGTTATTGAAGTGAACCATCTGGGCGATTATGGCATTTCCATCCATCATGCAATGTGCTCCTAGTTCCACCCTAGGGCTCGGCTGCGCGGGGGGGAAAGATGATTCATGCCTTCCTTTAGTTTCCACCGTGTGCTGGATCTTTCTGTCTCGCCCAGCCATCTACATCACACCTACTTTTGCGCATGAGCAACCACTCAGTCATCAGGCGAATTTCGGTTTTGACTATGACGTGAGTGTCATCTACTACATCACGGACTGAATGAAAACAAACTTACACGGTGGTACCAGGTCGCGTTCTCGATCTGCAGTCTCAGATGTCTATGTCCGATTCATCATACCGGCGGTTCAAATTCAAACATTATTTGCCCCTCATGTTACTAGCAAAAGCGTTAGCGTTGGCCTTGGTGTGCTAACAGGGCTCTCAACCATTACCTCTATGATGGTGTATTTTCGGACTTGGGCAACCTGAACCTCGCATGTCCTCTCGATTCCTCGATTTCCAGCGCGAGAACAAGATGCTTGATCTATGCTACAAGAGTCTTAACTGGAGGGTAGGTGTTCAAAATCTAACTGACGAATGTTCGGACCGTTTGTTCTGGGCCTTTGCCTCGCGAGGTTTTGAATGCGACTATCAATCTGTCCCAGAAAACACTACCAAACCTACTCTCCGCTAGGTTTAAATACTGGCGACATTCTGACCGTCCAGCTCTCTCCAGGAACTATCGATACACACATACACTCTTTTACCAGTCAACAATGATTACCACCGCCTACATCGCTGCAGCTCTCCGTGCCTTCCACGCATTTTATGCGCTGGCGAGGTCCGGCGTCTACACGTCCTCCACCCCCGGTCTACTGGGTCTTCCTGGTGGTCCGTTGTTCTCCAACGCTCTCGCCGAGCTGGCCCCTTCGCTCGGCTTCCGCGCAATCCCGCATGCCCTTGGTCAACGGCTGGCTAGCGGGATGAGGAGCACTCAGCGGTTCATCTCAGAAGTTGCTCACTTCCGATCCTCCCCTCCCGTGGTTCCCTCGCTCAACCTCACTGCACCTCCTACCAATGGTTCGTTCTGGTATGAAGGCGCGTCGGTGAACGGTTCTAATATCTACCCTAAGTTTGGTAAGCATACTTCTCTCTGCTGCTTGACGGCTGCTGACATCTATGTCCTAGGTACCATCCTTTGGACATCGGTCAACGGGACCTTTGAAGAGTCTCAATACTTCCCCGGCTCCTCGTACAATGTATCCGCTATGGCTCAGCCTCTCGTTTGCGAGATTCACGTTCCCGGACTCGCAACGTCGGAGTCTCATGCGGCTCAACCTCAGCCAGTCACCGTCTTCGGTCCTCAGGTTGTCAATGTGGTTCCCTCAAAGTCTTACGCGCTCCCGGAGATCCAAGGCGCCCTGGAGGAGTATAACCAATTCCGTTCGGATGCCAACCCGCTGTTCTTACTGCGCTTCTTCTACCTCGTCCCCACCATCGTCGTGCTCTTGAGAGTCTTAGTAAGCACATTTTACCGCCCCCGGCGTCCGCAGCTAACCAGTCTCGTAGAATGCTCTGCTTAAGCTTCGCTCGGTTGCCAGCAACATCGCCGACCTCGACGCTCATAAAGCTTGCCCTGCCTTGGTTACCCTTGACCAATATCTTCTCGACACCGTCCTCCCTGCCAATGATGCCCCCTTCGAGATGCGTGATACCATGGCTCTCGAATGCCTATTCACGCCCGACATCTGGCTTGCGTTCATCTCGTCCATCCCTGTCCTTCCCGTTAGATCGGCGTGCGGGCTTGAGCACCCTATGCTCAAGATGCTGCCATCGATTGACAACGAAGAAGCGATTGGACAAACAATGGATGCTTGCCTCGGTGCCATCGACATGGAAGAAAGCTTCACCTCCGACATCCGGCCTACGTTCATCACTTCCATCTCTCTCTCCTCTGTAAAATCGGCGTGCGGGCTTGAGCATGTTATGCTCAAGATGCTGCCACCGGTCAACATTGAAGAGACGCTTGGAAACGCGGTGGACCCTTGCCTCCCTGCCATCGACACGGAAGACAGCTTCACATCCGACGTTCAGTTTGCGTTCATCACGTCCATCTCTTTCTCCTCTGTAAAATCGGCGTGCGGGCTTGAGCATGCTATGCTCAAGATGCTGCCACCGGTCAACATTGGAGAGATGCTTGGACACGCAACGGATGGTTGTCTTCCTGCCATCGACACGGAGGAAACTTTCAGGCAGGCTATGCTCGTGGCATTGCCACCGGTCGACGATGAAGAGGTTCTTGGGCACGCGGTAGCTACCCCGCTCCCCGCCATGGACGCAGAAGAGGTTTTCGGCCACGCTATCCTCGTGGCATTACCCCCGGTCGACGATGAAGAAGTTCTTGGGCACGCAGTCGTAACCCCTCTCCCCGCCATCGACTTAGAGGAAGCTTTCGGGCACGCTGTTCTCGTAGCGTTGCCACCAGTTGACGACGACGAAATTTTGGGACATGCGGTCGCTACCCCGCTCCCTGCCATGGACGCAGAAGAGGTGTTTATGCACGCTATCCTCGTAGCATTGCCACCAGTTGACGACGACGAGGTTCTCGGGCACGCGGTCACTATCCCGCTCCCCGCCGTTGACGCAGAAGAGGCTTTCGGGCACGCTCTTCTCGTGGCATTGCCGCCAGTCGACGATGAAGAAATTCTCGGGCATGCGATCGTCACCCCGCTTCCCGCCATCGATGCAGAAGAGGCTTTCGGCCACGCTGTTATCACAGCATTACCCCCCGTCGACGACGACGAAGTCCTCGGGCATGCTGTCCACACTCCACTCCCCGCCATCGATGCAGAGGAAGCCTTTGGGCACGCCATCCTCATAGCATTGCCGCCAGTCGACGATGAAGAAGTTCTCGGGCATGCTGTCCACACTCCGCTCCCCACCATCGACGCAGAAGAGGCTTTCGGGCATGCTATCCTCGTAGCGTTGCCACCTATCGACGACGACGAAGTCCTCGGGCATGCCGTCCATACTCCGCTCCCCGCCATCGACTTAGAAGAGGCTTTCGGGCATGCTCTTCTCGTAGCATTGCCGCCAGTCGACGACGACGAAGTTCTCGGTCATGCGGTCGTTACCCCGCTCCCCGCCATTGACGCAGAGGAAGCTTTTGGGCATGCTATGCTCGTAGCATTGCCGCCAGTCGATGACGACGAGGTTCTCGGGCACGCGGTCGCAACTCCGCTCCCTGATATTGACTTGGACGAAGCGCACGGGCATGCTATTCTCGTAGCATTGCCACCAGTCGACGACGACGAGGTTCTCGGGCACGCGGTCGCAACTCCGCTCCCTGCCATCGACTTAGAAGAGGCTTTCGGCCACGCCATTCTCATAGCATTACCCCCGGTTGACGACGATGAAGTTCTTGGTCACGCACTGAAGACCTGTCTCCCCGCCATCGACTTGGACGAAGCGCACGGGCATGCTATCCTCGTGGCATTACCTCCGGTCGACGATGAAGAAGTTCTCGGACACGCTATTCGTACTCCGCTCCCCACCATCGATGCAGAGGAAGTATTTGGGCACGCTATCTGCAGAGCATTGCCGCCAGTCGATGAAGAAGAAGCTCTCGGGCATGTTGTCAAGGCGCCGCTACCCATCACAAAAGACGAGAGTATTGTGACTTCCGGCAGGCTCGCTCGCGGCCATGTGCTTTCGGACGACGAATACAAGTCTGGACACGGATTCAAGAACGAGTCAGCTGTAGCCGTCTTTGTGGACGACCTGTCCCTGCATGACGCGCTCGGAACGTCTCTCGACATCGACATCCGCCAAGGCAACACCCCTAATCTCCTCACTGCAGTAGACGATAGCGCTCTCACCCACGTCCTTCAGCTTGAGACGTTCTTACCTGGTGCCAATTTGGACGAGCTTCTCTCTCTAGTCGCTCAGATGACTTTCCCTGCCGCCAGTCTGGATGAGCTTCTTGAATGGGTCGGCAAGCCGCTTGGATGGGCCGGTAAGCCACTTGGATGGGCCAGCAAGGTTATTGGGTGGGCCAGCGAGAAAGTACTCCTCCCGGTCGCTTCAGATAACCTCTTCGATTCCATCCCAGATGCGGAGGGTGAGTAACGATCTCTTTGTTGCCAGGGTACCTTCACATTGCTCACGTTTTCGCAGTTGCAGACGTGGATGCATGGATCGCCATGACATCGCTTTCCGACTTCCGGGTGCCACTTGATCCTTCGCCTTCAGCCTCTGTCCTAGCCGCTGGAGGGATGACCTGAGCTCGTGTTGACAATAGGATCTCTGCATCTCTGCGACTGCTGCTCGACGCTATCGCGCTTCCGCGGTGCATGATCGGTTTTCTCGCTGGCTCAAGTCTTCTTTCTGGTTCTGCTCTTATCTGGCACCGACTATTCGACGATATACTGCACGGGAAAACTGCCTTTTCACGCCTGGATCATCCTCGCCTCAACGGAATCTATCGCACATGTTCGCAGCAATTTACTTTGGACAGCAGAAAAAGCTATGACTCCGTAATATAATTAATACTGAGCCTCGGTGTAATAACTATAATTGCCTTGGTCTCCTAATCAAACTGGTTTCTACTCTCAGTCATCTAGGAACATGTCTACACTAGCTCTTGAGTAACTGGTTGTGTCTGATCCCGAATACACTGGCGCAAACAGCGTCGCGTCATTACAATCGCTTCCCAAACTTGTGTCATTCTCAAACGCCGGCTCCCAATACCACACTCCTTGCCCTAACCCATTTGGCACCTCGTTTTTCACGAGTGACACGACATCCTGGACCCACTCTAGCTGGCCCGACACATTGTACGGGATTTGTGGCTCCGAGCTGGGAGGGATTGGGTCGTACTCCCCATTACATACGGCTGGGTAGTCCGTCTCCACGACGTGGATCGGCTTCCCATACGTGTCTGCGATGTAATTGAGGGACGCGTTCAGATTTGTGAACGTCGCCGCGGTCCCGTAAAACGGGTAAAAGCTGAACCCATGCACGTCCCAATCGCTCGTGGACACCCCGTTGGCCACCATCGCCGCAAACCAGCGCTCCTGGATCGTCTGGTTCCAACCGTTGTCGATGTGGATCAGCACCTGCGGCTTCGTCGCGCCCGCGGCCACCGCGTCGTCGACGCCCGCGCGCGCCGACTTCCACAGCGCCGCGAGGCTGGAGAAGTTGGCGACCGTCGCGCTCCACGGCTCGACGTCGACGCTCGCCTGGCCGAGCGGCCAGAGCATCCCGTTGCGGATCTCGTTCCCGAGCGCGACGATGTCGAGCGCCACGCCGGCTTCCGCGAACGCCTGCAGCGTGCTGCCGACGTACGCGCGGAGCGACGCCGCGAGGACGCCGAGGTCCGTCGTGGACCACGCGGCGGGCGTGGGCTGCTTGCTCGGGTCGGCCCAGTCGGACGCGAAGAACATGTCGAGGTAGAGACGGCGGCCTTTGGCCTGCATCGCCTGCGCCCATGCGATGGTGTAGTTCAGCCCGTACGTGTCGGCGCCCTGCGCGGTCGGGTCGACCCAGAGCCGCATCCGCACAGCGTTCATGCCGCCATCGGCGAGGATGTCGTCCGCCGCGCGCGTGGTGTTGTCCTGCGCGGTGTCGACGAAGGTGTATGTCCCGGTGTCCTCGAGCATCTTGAGCGAGGAGAGGTCGTGGCCCTTGTAGAATGAGAGTGGGATGACGGATGCGGCAGGGGATGGAGCTGCGCTGATCACCGCTGCCAACGCGGCAGCGGCGAGAGGCAGGAGCGTACGGTGGCGCATGGTTAATGCTTCAGAGGAAGGAGCTTGGGTAAGAGTCCTGACTGTTAGTGGGCTTTGTACCCATACATTTTTATGAATTCCCGATGTAATATTCCGAGTCAGGGCGCCCGTTTTGTGGAAGTCGATGGGAGCTCTCCTGTATTTCCTCGTGCTCGCTGTTCACGTCGACTTACTTTTATCCGAATGTATGCTGCCTACGTGTCACCTGCTCAGCATCATAGGACTCGTTCACGGTTAATAATGGATTCGTGACCACGGACTAACGCGCAGCGGTCCGGGACAGTTGCGATGTTGCCTGAGAATGGGAACAGGGCGACAATTCTGCAAAGGATATATGATTACCAGAGGTATCACGTTATACAGGAAGTAGGTGAGCGTGGTGGGTCATTACGCATTACGACTTTAAATATAAGATAACCATAAATGTTTGGTTCTGGTTGCTGGCAAGCGTGCAGGAAGGGGAGCAGGACGGATGAGCGTCTCTAGAACTCGCAGAATCACCGTCAAAAGCCGTGGACAAAGAACGAACGAACGAATATCAAAAGAGCGAAAAAATGCTAAACATCAAGCCTAAGATTCGGCAATATGCCAATGACTCGGCTCCGCGCACCAGCACCTGTCGACGTCTCCCTTCGCGAGACAGCTGACGCCGTGCTTCCTGTCGTAGAGCACCCCCGGTGGTGCGACGTACTCGAAGGGCATATCGCGCACGAGCTCCGCGCCGCGGATCTGGCACGCCCTGCGCAAGTGACGGTAGTTCGAGCCGCCGAGCTCTTTGCGGATTTTGTGCAGCGCGGAGCCGACGGGGCGCACAAGGCGGCGGCGGAGACAGGGACGGTATATCGCTGTGTGTGAAATACACGTATTCGGTCAGCAGTGAAGTGCAGCTATTGGGTAGTGCGTAATGCGAGAGAGGGACGTACGATCGTACGCGCGCGCTTTGAGCAGGTTCCAGTCGATATCGGCGAAGTAGGGCATCGTCCGGATTTCGTTCCATTCGGGGCGCAAAGACGGCTCGGGAGCGAGTACCTGCGAAGGTAAATTGGGTTGAAATGGATATCGGATGGATAAATAGTGTAAAACACGAACCCGGAATAACAAGTCTTGAGCATCGCGGTCATGGACAAACTCCTCGACCAATTGTGCCGGCCGTGGTTCGACGGCTGATATCCGTCCTGGATCAAAATACCGGTCGGAGACCTGGAACCAGCTCTGAATTTGAGATAAAAATAAAAATAAAATCAGAATGACCTTTCCTCAATGCAAGCCATAGCAAAAAAATCAAAACATACCCGTCCATCCCCAATAAACATCTCCAAAATCACCAACGCCCACGCATACATATCAACCTTGTGCCCGTACGCGCACCCGTGCGGCCCCGCCTGCCCGAGCTGCTCGGGCGCCATGTACCCGGGCGTGCCGACCGGATACGCAGGGTCGTCGTCGGCGATGCGGATGGCGTCGAGCGGGAGCCAGCGCGCGTGCGTGGACGCAAGCCCGAAGTCGGCGAGGGCGATGTGGCCGCTGGGGCTGATCAGCACGTTTTCGGGCTTGACGTCGCGGTGGACGATGCGTGCTGCGTGCAGAGCCTCGAGAGCTACGAGCTACGGATCGAGTTAGTGAGATGCGATATTAAAAGCTTTGAGAAATGGAGAGAAGCGTACGAGCTCAGCTGCCCATAGCCTGATGAGATATTCCGGGACACGGCAGCGGGGTGTCGAGTGCTGCATCGCCTGGTGGAGATTTTCTGGGTACATTCTCTGCAGAGCACAAAAGAAAGAAAGAAAGTCAGCGCTCTTTTCATCATGATCTAGATCAGCACGTTCAGCACAACCATGACTCACCATGACCATATAGAAACTACCCCGATCCGCAAACGCGCACAGCAGCGGCGCAACGAACGGGCACCCGCCAGCGCCGACTACGTCCTCACTAACGCGCCTGAGCGCCGAGAGCTCCTCGCCGACCCAGCGCACGACACCGCGCAGGCCCGCCTCGAGCGTCTCGTCACTGCCGCCAAAGTGCGGGTGGTTGAAGAGCGTGCCGGCCTTGTCGACGATCTTGATCGCGACCTCGTCGCCGGCGGAGGAGAGGGCGTAGCACACCGCGCCGAAGGAGCCGCGCCCGATTTCTTTGATGAGGTGGAACTGGGTCGTGGTGTGGCCGCTGCCTCCTCCGAGTCGGAATGGGAATGTGAGCGGCTTGCGCGCGAGGATGGAGTCGAGCGTTTCTGGGGGTTTTGTGTCGGTGCGTTTGCCGAAGCTAAAGGAGGAAGCTCGGGTGGGGCATTCGAGGAGGGCGAGTGTTGCTGCTTCCAGCGTGATTTTCGGAGATGGAAGGTGATGAAAGGGGACGATGGTATCGCCGTATCGATAGACGTCCGGTCTGACGTTGTTCATCTCGTTACTGAAGGTGGCATCGGAGGAGAGCAACGAGGTAGAGGGAAATTCGTAATACAGTATATTTTGTGAGTCATCAGACACAGGTGCAGTCGCTTCATCATTTGCGTTAGAGGCCTCGGCTGAGATAGAAGAGTTTGGTACTGATGCTCTAGATGCAAAACCGTCACCACGAGCTGGCCCGTCTGGATCGAGCTTCCACGAAGTCCGGTATTTTAGTTTGGCAAGCCCATGAGATTCATCAGTAGGTGACACATCCTCGGACAACCCGGAGTAGATGGGCAACGCCGCCGCCGATAGACACGAAGGAACGAGCTCCGTTGGAACCAAGCTAGCCATACTAGAGCGTCTCTCGACAGCGTCTCCATCCACGATTTGGTCCCCGAAATACAAAAGTGTTGGAGATCTTGCGTGAGCAGCTAGAGGCGGCACAGCGCTGGAATCACATCTTGCCCGAGATGCCTCAGACGACGTAGGGCAAGCCGGAACATGTGGTGATTGGACGTCGATAGGAGAACCGCCGTACTGCGCCTGGAGCATGCGACATAGAGGATTCGAGCGTCGAATACGTATAGCAAATTGGGCATACGCGGTGTCAGAGGAGATCTTTGCTTCTGTTGCGCGCTGGCAGCCTCGAGAAAGAAACGAGATATCGGTAGAAGTGCCATCCGATTTCGAGCGGGTGGGGTCCGTGTGTCGATTCGTCTGGAAAAGAACCGGGAGGAGACGCTTGAAGAAAGCCATAGCGGTGAGGGATGCCGTAAATTATTTCCGACTCGGGTGACAAGTCATTCAGCTTTTAAGCAAGTGCGGGACACCAGACAGGGTTGAAGCGCGTTGGTGGCTTTCCATGCCACTTTGTGATGCGAAGAAAATAGCGGTCTAGACAAAGCAGAGTTTTGCTTCGACCAAGCGTTTGATACGCGACAGCCGAATCCAGTGGCATTTGTGCTAGTATTTGTGTAGCTTGACCCTGGATTATAATTTTGGTCGGCTGCGAGGTCAATAGAAGAGGATATTTGGGAGCAAGAGAAAGAGGCGCGTAGGGCGTCTACGGGCCGCGGAGAGTTTCCTATCTAGGAAGGTCATGATATGACGGTGGGTGATCTGCCCGCCAGGTAAGTAATGGATCGACGTCCAAGTATCGACATGCCGTCGGGATTGTAGCGCTAGCGGTGACGGAGATGACACGGATCTATTGGAACACACAGCTTTCGGAGGCTGACTGGGCCGGGATAATGCAGATGTGAAAAGCACATGGAAGATCGAGACAACAATGGATCGGTGCCACGTTGCGGCAAAATAAAGGCTAATAACGCGGTCACGCGAAGAAGGTCCTTGCCCTGGATTGCTTTGACCGGGGATGGCAGAGTTTGATAAGCGCAAAGGCAGAGTTGTGCTTGTGCCGGAGCGTGGTGTTGCAAGCTAACATGCTGCGGGTGACGTGTGTGCGCGTGGTGGTGGCACATCAGCGGCCCGGGCTATATTTGACAGACAAAGGCGTAATGAATTGGAGAAAAACATAAATATAGTGCCTGGGATTCGCCATGGGCAATGATGATGCAACACCGTGCCCACGCACTCCAACAAGCAGAATAGGGGATCAGACGGGAAAATGTGTTTGAATGTATGCTGAGGCTGTTTTTGTACACTGTAAAAAGACAAGGGAGAGAAATGACGGAATGGCACGCGAGAAGGGTCAGGAACGGAAGTGGGGCGCATGTTTACCAACTATTTTGTTCCCACGAGCCCTCCGCCGTCACTGTCCAGTCGCGTCCGTCTGAGTCTCGCCGCCCAACGCAAAATTGCAGTCACACTCAGCCAGCTGGCCACACAACAAATCCGTCCGAGACGGCAGAGTCCCCCCTCTCGCTGTCATGAGCGACGCCGACGCTCAGCAGCACACCCCGACCCCCGTCTCCCCAGACCTCGACTCGCTCCCTACCACCACCACAGAGCCACAACACCACAACTTCCTGCAAACCGAACCACTCACCCTCACCCTCGGCCCCTTTCCAACAGACACGGACATCACCCCCACAGATGTGCACGACATCCCCCTTCCCGACCCGACCGACCCAAATGACCCCCTCAATGCCGTCCTTCCATCTGTCACCACCGACGAACCCAAGGACGAGCCCATGGCCGTGCTAGATACCGTCGACCCCTCCGCCACACACGATACATCACAAGAAGCATTGCCAGAACACGATCCAGAGCTAAAAAGAGTCAAGGTGAGCCCGTTTCCATTCCCTTTCTTCAACTCCCCATCCCTGGGCCGGCAAGCCATCCCGTTCCTTTGCCGTGTCCGCGGTTTCGGTTTCGTCCAAGTCAAAATGCCATCACACACCCGTCCTTGTACATGCTGTATGTCTACCCCCGGACAGCAGTGCCAGTTACCCCTTCCATCCCTTTTTTTCCTTTCTTCCTACCACCATCCCCATCTCCATCTTCACCATGCTCGCTTCGGACGACTTTGTGCTGACCGACTACTGTCACGTCTTTGCAAAGGTCTACGAGCTGATAGGCTCTCGCTGGGTCGACCAGGGCACCGCATATTGCCATGGCCAATTCATCGAGGAGACCAACCAAGCGTTCCTCATTGCCCGCGCCGAGGAGGAGTACGAGAGGACGATCCTGTCCACCGCCATTCGATGTAATGATGTATACCAGAGGCAGCAGGGTGCGTGTCGCGTCTCGTCTCGTCCCCACCATGCTTTTGTGCCCTTGCCCCCACTTACCTTCACCCACACCTCCATTCCAGATACTCTCATCGTCTGGACAGAGCCCGATGGCGTCGACTACGCATTAAGCTTCCAGGATGCCGAGGGTTGCGCAGAGGTCTGGAACTTCATAATAGAAGTCCAGCACCACATCAATTCCTCCGGTAAGCTTTCCCGTCTCTTTCAGGAACCCGTATACAGCTTGTGTGTACCCGGAAACGCGATCACACGATGCTCATTCATTCTTCGCGTGCCAGAAGCAGGCGGTTTTGACTCTTCCTCCCCTAACCACGATTCCACGATGACCGCGACTATTCTTCGCACCGGCCATTTACCCATGCCTGAATTGGGAAACGTTGCGGACATCGAGCGTTCCATAAAGGCTCTCGCTCGAGGACAGCACGTCAAGGAGAAGATATGCGACTACATACAGCGTCAGGTGCGCATCCGTCCCTTGTTCCCATCTATCCTATATGTTGAGTCGACAATGCCGCAGGATTATATTAAAGCCATGATCAACGTTCTCAATGTAGCAGAGGATTTAGAGTCTCTGGATAATCTGCATGCACTTTGTAGCCTTATGCAAACAATACGTGAGTTTCGCGTGTTTTTTTGGCGGCAGGAATACTCTGCTAACGTGTTTGACAGTAATGTTAAATGACCATGGCATGTACGAACACATTCTCGACGACGACAAGTTCTTCGGAGTTGTAGGCATGTTAGAATGTGCGTCGTATCTCCCATCATTATCATCATCATGTCCTTAATGTCCCTTACTTAATCTCGGCTACCGCGTCCCCACACAGACGACCCCGAGTTCCCCACACACAAAGCCAACTACCGCGAGTTCCTGCACCTCACCTCGCGCTTCCACCAGCCGATCCCGATCCCGGACGAGTCGATCCAGAAGAAGGTGCACAACACGTACAGGCTGCAGTTCCTCAAGGACGTCGTGCTCGCGCGCGCGCTGGACGACTCGACGTTCAACGTGCTCAACTCGTGCATCATCTTCAACCAGATCGACATCATCACGCACGTGCAGAACGATCCGATGTTCATGCGCGAGATCGTCAGCTTGTATGTGAGCGCGGAGATTCTCGGGAGCGGCCACGGGAACGGGAGCGCGAAGCCGGCTAGTAAGGGCGCGGGCGCGGGCGCGGGCGCGGCGTCGCCGTCTTCGTCGCCGGAGGTGCAGGTGAAGAAGGAGGCGGAGGCGGAGGGCGCTAGCGGCGCGGAGAAGGCCAACGGCTCGGCGATGACGAACGGGAACGGTGTCGCGCACGCTGGCCCCTCGTCACCACCCGACACGCCGTTCACGTTCGGGCCGCCGGCGAACATGTCCGCCGAGGACGTGGCGCTGCGGCGCGAGGTTGTGGTGCTGATCCAGCAGCTGTGCGCGATGGGCAAGAACGTGCAGCTGCCCGCGCGCATGGCGCTCTTCCGGACGCTCGTCGACTGTGGTGTTCTGTTTGCGGTGCAGTGGGCGCTCGGTCTGTCTGAGCGCGGTGAGCCTTCGTCGTCGACACCTCGGGCGAGTAGTTCTGCAAGCAAGAGCGCGATCAAGAGCGAGGACACCGACATCGACGCCGACAAGGCGGCTGCCGCGGCGGAGGCGAAGGCCAGCGTCAACATGGCAGAGGCGAACCTGGTGATGATCAGCACGGCGGGGGAAGTGCTCAGCGCGGTGCTCGAGCACGATCTCGTCGGCGTGCGGAACCACGTACTGAAGCAGGTGCAGGCGGTCGAGAAGGAGAAGCAGGCCGGCCGGAAGGGCGCGGACAAGGCGGAGACGCTGCTCGCGCTCATGTGCCGTGTGCTCGCGGGCAGCCGGGAGCTGGCGGTGCAGAGCCAGGTCGGGGACGCGCTCCGGACGCTGCTGGAGATATCGGTGGGGAACGGGCCTGAGACGCCGGTGAGTACCCGCCCTCTTTGAGTTGTATAGAAAGCATTGTGTTGACCGGCGATGTGGAGGCGGCGATGGGCGCGAAGCTGCTTGCGCGACCCAAGGACGACCCCGCGACGGAGAAGTTCATGGACTACTTTTACAAGAACTGCATCGAGACGCTGTTCAGGCCGTTCGGCGACGTCCCCGAGTTTAAGAAGCTGACGGAGCCGGTGCTGCTGCTGTCGCGCGAGAAGACGAACTTGTACCTGTACCTGTGTGACCTGCTGTGCGGCTTCGCGCAGCAGCACGCGTTCCGCAGCCACTTTTACATTTTGTCGTCGAATATCTCGCTTCGGATAGCGTCCTTGCTGACGGCAAAGGACAAGCATCTGCGTGTCGGTGCGTGTTCAGCTACACAACACATTCTACATACATCGAAGACTAATAAAGCATTGCATCTCCCTCCCCAGCCGCCTTCCGGTTCTTCCGCGTCTGCATCAAGATCAACAACCGGAACCTGCTCGCGCACCTGATGAAGCTGGACGTGTTCCGGCCGATCCTCGAGCTCACCGTCGCGGAGTCGCGGCGGGACAGTCTGCTCTCGGCGTCGTGCCAGGAGTTCTTCGAGCACATGCGGCGAGAAAATATGAAGGAGGTGATCGCGTTCTGCATGGACCGGCACGGCGAGATGCTGCGGCGGCTCGCGGAGACGCCGCTGGGCGGCCCGCGGTTCATGATGTTCGTGCGGAGGCACGAGATGAATGTGGAGCCGCCGCCGCCGCCGTCGGCGCAGGAGGGCGGGGATAAGGGTGGTGTCGGGGAGGACAGGTGCGTTGTTTTTTTGTTCTTGCGTCATCGGTGGTGGCGTTTATTTTTATTCTTATTTTTATTTTTATTTTCGTTAAACTGGCGTTTTTATGTGCGTGTTGTTTACAGGAACGCGAGGGAGCGGGAGGCGAGGAGGGTCGGGCGGGGTATGGACGCGGAGGAGGAGGATTACTTCAATGGCGACGACGAGGACGACGACGGCGACGACGGTGGGCATGTGTCGTACATCTCGCTCCCCGCGCGCGGGCGGCTCACCGCCAGCCCGGGCTCGCCTGGCGCGGGGATTGGGGGTGTCGGCGTGGGCGCGAAGCGTAAACGGCGGGACGCGCTGTCCGGGTCCGGGTCCGGGTCTGGGAACAGGAGCAAGGGCCCAGGGCCGGGGGTGTTCCGGCCGCAGAGCGTGCAGATTCCGAAGCCGCCGCCGCTGGGTGCGCTTGTGGATTACGGAGAGGACGAGGACGACGTGGCGATTGGGCCGCCGACGCCACCGCCGGATACGGAGGGCGAGGCGTCGTCGTCTGCGGATGAGGGGGAGGGCGGGCCGAGGACGGCTGCGGATCCCGGGGCGGGGGCGGAGGCGAGGACGGAGAGTTTGGGATTGAAGTCGGGTGGGGGCGTGCCACCGAGTCCGAGGCTGGCCCATGCGGGTCTGCCGCAGCGGCCGCGGCAGCTCAAGCGGGAGGGAGGGGAGGAGGACGGGATGGAGAAGATGGTGACGTCGCCGCCTACGCAGCCGATCGATATCTCGAAGCTCGCGACGGCGAAGGCGGGGGCGGGGGCGGGGGGAGTCCAGGAGCTGGGGTCGCCGCCGAAGCTGAGCGAGAAGCGGCGGCGAGAAGAGGACGAGGAGGACGAGATGGAGCGGCTTGTGAGTCGGGCGAAGAAGGTGCCGTCGGGGCATGATTCGGGCGCGCCCAAGTCGAAGCGCCACGGGGAGAGCCCGTCGTCGACGCCACCACCACCACCACCACCACCGACGCCAGTGGCAGCAGCAACGGTGACGGAAGGCGGGAAAGGTGCAGGCGGGGGCGGAGAAGGTGGAAAAGGGCGGGCAAAGTCACAAGCGGGGGTGATGAAGACGGGGGACGATCCGCCGGTGAAGAAGATCAAGCTCGCGCTGCGGTCTGCGCTGGGCGGGGGGCGGCCGTCGACGCCGGGTGCGAAGGACGGGGATACGGGGTAACACTCATTATTAAGTACAGCGATCTCGGGGACTCTGAGCTAGGCGGGGGAGGTGGTGTATACGTACTAACTTAGTTTTACTAGTCTTTACTGCAAGTGCTGATTTTTTCTTTCTGTTTTTTCTTTCTGTTTCGTTAGTGCTACTTAGTAGTTATAAAGCGTATGCGTCGTTCAACTTTGTGTGATTGTGCGAGGTCTGGGAAGCAGACTCATACTGAATGTTATTCATGTAAGTATTTTACAGTATCACTGCAGCCCTTGCAAGCACTTGGTTCTCGTACGAAACAGAACGATAGCAGCTCACTAATGCGCATCGTCAATCAGACAACTGGGTGTACGTAGCCTTAAGATGGGACAGATTATCGCATCAGCAGTCTCATCGCAGGATACATGGTATGATAAAGCTACGGTTGACGTTGACCTTGGATGTCTATATAGGTAGTAGAACTTCGCCGTTCTGCTATCGCAGAAGACTACGGAAGTGTGCGTGACAGGGAAACGGGCAGGGAGGTGGAAGTGGTGCGTGTTTGGACGTTGTCACTGTGCACCTGTTACACCCTTCACGAAACGCAACTTTCGTAAAGAATGTAACGAGGGCATAGTGCGTTGGGCCAAGGTAATGAGTTTGAGGCGAAGAGGAGATGGCGTGACTCATTGTCGGAGCTTGTTATTAGATGAGTTACTGTTTCGAGGAGGTTGTGTCCATGCGCCATCGACCCTGACGCTCACCTCCCCTGCCAGTTGTCTCCCTTTGTTTCCCTCCTGTCTTTCATGACAACATCCTGGTATGCACCCGCTATAAAATCCTGTAATTTCTCGACGTGCTCACTTTCTGTGTTCTTCCCAGATATCCTCTCCAACCCCAGCGGTCATACTACAACCACCAACACCGACGACTTCTACAGCTATCTATCCCTATCCACCACAGCAAGAATCGATACCCAATGCCACCCGCCACCCGCTCCTCCGCGCCCTCCTCCCCCACCTCCACCCGCTCTCATACATCCCACGGCCCGCTCTCCGCCGCTTCGTCCTACAACAGCCACAGCAGCAGCAGTAGCGCCTCTAGCCACAGCTCGGCCTCGACCGCGACCCCGTCCAAGCGCGGGCACGGTTCAGCCTCGCACGGTTCAGCCTCCGCCTCCCTCTCGCATGGGGGCCTGCCGACGCCCCGCAGCACACCGGGCCGCGGGAGCACACCGCGCCATTCGCCGCGCAGGGTTCCGCACTGTGTCAAGTGCGGGCGGCCGCGCGCGGGGCATCCGCGTTCGGGGTGTCCGTATGCTGGTGCTGGCGGGGGGCGCCGTGGGGTCAATGCTGGAGGAGGAGATGGTGGGGGTGGGGATAACGAGATGGCGGACGGGGTGTCGACTGTGAACGGGGATGGGGATGGGGACGATGATGATGATGATGGGGACACCGAGATGGGGATGGCGGATGGGGAGCAGCGGGGCGGGCACGAGTGTGATAGGCGGATGGTGGATGCGACGGCGTCGTTGCAGAGTTTGCAGATTGTGGTCCCGGGCAAGGAGGAGGCGATGGAGCCGCTGTCTGAAGGCGACGAGGAGGACTACAACGGGGGGTGCAAGAGGAAGGGCGGGATGGGCAGGAAGAGCTCGAAGAAGAGGGACAAGGGGCGGCTGTGTGTGCGCTTCGCAGTGGCGGACGAGGGGGATCTGGCGAGCCTGTCGAGCGGGGCGATGCAGATCGTGAACAGGCTGCTGCAGCCGGGCATTATGGCTTCTCATCGGTATGGTCACGACGAGGAAGACGATGGCGGGGACGAGGAGGGATACTTTCCCGTCTCGCCGGATCTTACGCCGACGCCGACGCAGCAGACGCAGCCAACGGAGTCTCAAGAGTATTATTCGCAGTGGCAGGCGAGTTCGCTCGGCAAACAGGACTCGTTCATCCTCCGGTGGCAGAGCTCGCTTGTGCAGGCGAACCCGGAGCCGCCGACGACGATGGAGATGGAGATTGAGGAGGAAGAGGACATCAAGCCAGTGCTACTGGACTCGCTCGCGGAGGAGGGGGTACCTCCACCAACGCAGCCTGCGGCCCCCGTGCCCGTCGTGAAGCTCTCGAGGCGCATGCCGGGGACGCTATACACGCCCACGTCGAGCATCCAGTCGGCCGAGGACACGAAGGCGGGGCTGCAGCGCGACCGCGAGCGGTGCTGGAACGACAACGCGTTCTCTAATCCGACCGCGCCTGCCCCGCCCGTGTTCAACCGCCCCGCGCCGAGCACGCCCCCGCCCGCGCCGCGCAAGGCGCGCCCGATCATGCGGACGATGAGCGCGGAAGAGCGGTCGTCGTTTATCCGCGATCTCAATGCGCGGAGTAAGACCGCCACGGGCAGTCCTAACGGCGGTGGCGGGGAGGGCTTGGCGGGGAACATGCCGCCGGCGATGCTGTTCCGGATCAACGCGGCGGACGTGGCGAAGGTGAAGGGCGACGCGCACAAGCACGGGTTCTTTGTGGAGGCGTTTGCGGGGGAGGAGAAGGGCCAGGCGTGGTTGGTGCTTGGGCGGGACCGGGAGGCAGTTGCGGTGCTGGGGGAGAGGTTTAGTGAGGAGAGCAAGAAAGAGGAGGAGCAGGAGCGGGCGCAGAAGACGGCGAGTAAGGGGTCGAGGCTGGGTGCGTATGCGAGGGGTGCCGTTGTCGGTGCCGTGGCGACGTGGACTGGGCTGGCGTTTTCGTAGGTTTGGGAAGTAATGTTTTGATACTTTTGTCGTCACGGTTCACGGGACGGTGTAGATATGTAAGAGTGTAATATTGGACCATAGCTTTCTTTAATCTAATAGCATTCAACCATTCGCTCATGATCGAGTGTACATGGATCAAAGAGGTGAAAGGCACATGAGTACTTTCCACCGCCGGCATGTCCTCCGAGGATCACAAACAAGGACCGCTCAGGTCAAGGATGCTATCTCATCAGGACGACGAAGAGAGCGGGAGCAGAGTTTGAGAGTGTATAAGTATGTTAGATGGTCGCTACGCTCCCGCCCTCTCCTGAGATTCGAGCGCTCGACTGAGAGTGATCCGTGTGTCCACAGGACGACAATCACCTAGGGAAGATCGTGAGGGTTGTTATATTTCCGAAAGGATGGTAAAAGACAGAGATTGTTGTACTTTTCTCATTGCCATGGCCAGTGTTGTGAAGTCTAGATCGACCTCGAATATTAGATCTCCGCGCGCTGACTACAATCCTATTATCCCCGTTGCACCTGTGAGTGTATAACTATCTACACCAGACGGCCTTGAATGCCCTTTCTTTCCACTCCCAACTAGCTTCCCATCTATAATGTCCAACCAACCACCGGCCGACTACAACTGGTCAGAGCAGGACTCCTACCCTCCAGGATACGGCCCTGCAGATTACCAGCACGGCACTGCACCAGGCGAATACCAGGGCCAGCTCGAATACCAGCCCGAGTTCCCGCCAGAGCAGGACCAGCAAGGCTCCGGCGATCTCCCCACATATGACGATCTCACTGCTCAGTCGGGGCCCAACTCCAGGTAACCGTTCTTTCCCTCGCAAACATTTACTCTGTCTGTAATTTTGGTCGTGTGTGTAGGTTCGGTCGCTGGCGCGGCTGGATAGAAAAGAGGTGAGCACGCGCTGCTGCCCTCCGTCGCCCCCGTCGACTGTCTGCTCACCCGACGTGTGCGGAGACTAGAGCCGCAGAGCGCTATGCGGATACTACGCCCGACCAGCTTGCCCGCCGGCGCGCACGGGGCTGGAATCTCGACGAGTCTAACGCGGTGCGTGCTTACTACTTACTCCCCATGCCCGGTGTTCAACGGTGCTCGTGTGCTGATCCCCGTGTCCAAACGCTTACTTGCACCGTATTGCATCGCATCGCATTGCATTGAACCGCATCGTGGTCAATATTGTTGAAATCGACATTATCACTTATGCACTGCGCATGCACAGCCGCCAATACCGCCCGCGTCCGCGCCCATCCCCCAATCGGACCCTGCAACGGCGACAGCTGCCCAAATCCAGACCCAGTCGTCCTCCTCCTCTAAACTCTCCAGGTTCCTTCCAAAGCTCCGCGTAAACGCAGACCTCCCCGCACTCCCCGCCGGCGCAGACGCAGCCACAGACGCCACAGACTCAGCCACTGCATCCATCGCCGCCTCCACCACCATCGGCCACGCCTCCGAGCCCGATCTACGCAACCCGGCCGTCGACGAAGGCCCCGCGCCGCCCCCCGGCCAGCCGCTCGCGCCCGCGCACATATCCTTCCACCAGTTCGGCTCCCGCTTCCTGCCACACTGCACCGCCCCGATCCGCTGCGCGCTCCCGCTGCAGTTCGGCCGCTGGATGCTCATCGGGCACGACGCGGGTTTGTCCGTGATGGACATGTTTCCGCAGGAGTGGGTCGAGACGGGCGGGGTCGCGCAAAAGGGGCCGGCGGATGCGCGTGTGTTTGCCGTGTGGACGGGTGAAGCGTGAGTGTTCTCTTTGAGGCCTTGGTTTGGCTAGGGGCGTTGATTTGGATTGCGGCAGTGTGTACCAGATGTCGCTGCTCGAGCAGGAGCGCGCGGGCGCGGAGAGCACGCCGCAGGGCGTTGTGCTCGCGCTCGTGGGGCCCGATGCGTCGGTCGGGGGCCATGCGGAGCCGACGATGCGCACGCTACGGATGTACAATCTCTCGAGCCTGATCAGCCTCGTCAAGTGGACGATCGCACAGCAGGTACCGTGCCTCTCTCTTGCCTCTTTCTGTTTTGATCTACTTTGCAAGGGCTGATTCCCCTGCTTCGTTTTCCGTCGCTGGTGCTATCGTAAACAGGGACTTCGCCCGCTCGACCTGAGCAGATGCACCGAGTGGACAGGCCAGCACAGCGCGCACGGACACGGCAGGAAACACCGGCCGGCGAGCAGCATTACCAAGGGCCTGCGCAACCTCATGAGCGAGTCGCCCACTGCATCGCGCGGCGGTGCCGCTGCAGCGCACACGCAGTCGTCGTCCTTTGCCCGCCCCAGCTCGTCGTCGTCGTCTCTCTTGTCGCTAGGTCCTACAAACTACGACCAGCACACACCGCGGCAGAAGTCGAAGTCGCTCACGCCCGATTCGCCGTGGGACGTCGTCGACGAGCTGCCAATGCGGTGGGCGACGGATTTTGTGCCTCTCGCGGGCGGCGGCGGACACGCCGCGACGGGGTCGTCGTCCTCGGGGTCGTCGTCGGGCTCAGGATCGGGGTCGGGCCCGACGTCGAGGTTGGCGTCGAGCTCGGTGATCTGTTATGCGCTGAGCAAGGACGCGGCGAGGCCGAGCGAGCGGGCGTTGCTCGCTGTTGCGACCAAGTCGAATATCTTTTTGTACGAGACGCCCAAGAACGAGCGCGCGTTTCATTTCGTCAAGGTGCGCTTTGTCGGTTGGGGTGTCGTTTAGTGGACGCTGGAGCTGACGTTGTTCCGCGTTGTGGGCGATATAGGAGTTCTACACGCCCACGAGCGCGCGTGCGCTCGCGTTCGTCGAGCAGTCTGTGCAGGATATATTCCGCAGCGCGTCTGACAGCCGTGTGCGCGCGCCTGGGCAGGCATCGGCGTCGCACGTGCGCGGAGCGTCTAACGTGGATCTCCTAGCTGGCGGCGGCGGGCCGTCGTACAGCCTGACGAGCGCGGCCGCGCGCTCGTCGACGGTCGTCGCACCCGCGGGCGTCGTGTACGGCGCGCAACCGGCCATCTTCGTCGTGTTCGACAAGCGCGCGGGCATCATCCGTCTCGCGGACGCGGCGGTCACCGAGGTTGATATATCGGACGCCGCCGCGGCGCATCTTACCGCTGCGGGGTCGCGGGACACGCTGAGCGTCAGCAACAGCAACGGCGGTGGCCTCTACGGCTATGGCAGCGGCAATAGCGGGGGAGGCACAGGAACATCGGGACGGCGCTCGCGCGTGAGCATGGACTTTGCGTACGTTAAAGAAGGCAAGCAGTGGGCCGTGCCCGTGCAGATCGACGTGCCCGTCGCGAACGTGCTCCAGCAGCAGCAGCAACAGCAGTCCGCGCTCGGCGTCGCCGTGCCGACGTCCACGCGGAGCGTGTACCTCCTCACGCGCGGACGGCAGACGTACGTCTTCCCTGCGCCGCTGCCCGCGTCGATCCCGAGCGCGCCGCCGCTGCACGTCGTGGCGTGGCGCCGTGTCCCCGCGAGCGTCTCCGCGCGCGTGCTGCCCGTGCCCCCTCCTGCCTCATCGGCGCTGCCGCCTGTGGACCCGGCGTATGCGAATGGCGTCGGCAGGGAGAAGGCCGCAGCGCAGGCGGCGGCGCTCGCGCAGGACTCGTACGTGCAGCTGATAGCGATGAGCGAGGACGGGATCGAGGTGCAGGAGTTCCCCGCTGCGCTCCTAAGCCCGGGCGGCGGCGCTCGGGGCGGAAAGGGAAAGGGCAAAGCCCGCGATCTGCATTTTGGCTCTGGCTCTGGCCTTGGTGGCCTTGGTGGCCTCGGCGGCCTCGGCGGGAGCGAGCCAGGCGTCGTGCGCGCGCAGATGGAGTTCGGCGAGATGGGCCTGCTCCGCGCGGGCGGGTTCTGGCACCGCCCGCTCGCGATGCACGTTGCGCTCGGCGGGACGGTCGAGGACTATGCGTGTGCGCGTGGGCTGGGGCGCAGCAAGTCGAGCGCGAGCGACGCGACTGCCGCGTCGCTCGACAGCCTCGGGAGCCTCGACACCGAGGAGCTCGGCGCGCGGCTCGCGGCGGACCAGGGCATCTATGGCTGGTGGCGCAAGGACGCGGGCGACTGGCGTGTGTTTTGGATCGGTGGGGACGGGCGAGAGGGGGGTGACGATGATGATGCATATGGTGGGGTGGATAATGGACCATAGATAGAGGGGTGAGAGATGGAAGAAGTTGTGTTGTACATGTACTGTAACTATGTATCATACATCAGTTTTGCTTTTCACGGACTATTTACGAGCTGGTAGTAGAGGTACCTGCTGTAGTGCTTGTCGATTTTCCTCTCAATGTTATGATGCGATTAGCTTGATATCGCGTCCTTCCACACTGCATGTGTACAATGAATGTTTCAAGTTATTCTCATTCTCAGTACCGGGAGAGGAGCGATACAAGAGTCTACAAGTCATCATTGACATCACGAGCAATAAAAAGTCCAGTTCCAATTCCAGTCCATGAGTCAGCCAGTCAACAGCCAGCCAGTCAATTTCCAGGCGTTCCAGCCGGGGACACGAGGCAAACGAACGTAAGCGAAAGTAGCGGAAATATCAGCATAAGCTAAACGAAGGCGAGGCGGCGGCTGGGGGGATTCCATAGCAGATAGCGGGAGGGTGGAGGGGAATATGTATAACGTCGTAATACATGAGCGTGCATGATTAATGGTACGTGCAAGGGGTAGTCTGGTCCGTTAGTGAGGTAGGAAGATGCAAAAGGGCAAAGGCAAAAGCAAAACAATCATAAGTTGAACTGGTAAGTAACGATAATGTGTAAGAAGGAAGAAAACAAGCTGGGTGAGCCTGTCTGTGCACTGCGAGCCGCTCATGGATTTGCGTTGGGTCCGCGGAGAACGACGAACGACTGCCGCCCCTCGCCTTGCTCGGCGTCCTGAGCCTGCGCTACCGACGACGTCGACAAGGAAGGCTGGGACTGGGCCTGTTCAGCGACAGCATGCGCCGCGCGCTGCGCAGACTGCGGTGTCTTGTCGCGTATAACGACAAACGAGCGTCCTTTGCCTCCGCCACTCCCACTGCTGCCCTGGCTCTTGTCCTGAGCAACCGGCGGTGGCGCCGGCGGCGCGAAGCTATCCAGCGCATCCCCCTCGCTGTGCCTCCTCCCCCTGATAACCTTGTCCAGCCAATTCCGCTTCTGCGGGCGCGGCTGCACCTCGCCCGTGTCCGCGCTGATCCCCGTATCCGTCGTCGCCTCGAGCGAATGTCTCGTCCGTCTATCCCCTCCTCCCATCCGCCCAGCCGCGCCTCCCGCGGCAGGCGATTGCACGACGGTCGACGACGGCGCCTCCGAGCCCGCGCTAAGCACCGACGCATCCTCGATGATCGCCGTCTGACTCTTCTTCCGCACGTGGTGCGGCACCATCGCGCCCGGCGGAAGACCCTGCCCGGGCCCTGCAAACGCCGGCATACGCGCAACATTCATCAGCGACGCCGTCGGCGTCGGAACGTCCTCGTCGTCGTAGTGCGGGAACCGCGGCGCCGTGTACTCGCTCGGCGACTTAGACTGCCTGTTCGCCCGCGGGAACGTGAGCTTGGAGTCGCTCGCAGCGGCCCTGCCGGCGGCAGCAGCAGCAGCAGCGGAGCCACCCGCGATAGCGTACGGCGAGTCAAAGTGCGCGCGCCCACCACCCACACGCGCAAAGCCCGACTTGGTCGCGGGCGGCGTCGTCGGCGGCGACTCGTGCAGCTGCGCGCGCTCGTACCCAGGTCCCGCTGCGGCCGCTCCTGCTCCCAGCGCAGGGAACGCGTTCCACGCGCCCATAATGTGCCCGTTCTCGTCGTCGTCGCTCTCCTCCTTGTACGGCCGCATGGCGTGCTCGGGGCGCAGGTACGATGGCGGCCCGCCAGACATGTTGCGCGAGCTCGAGGTGTCCTTGTGCATGTCACGGAAGGCCGCGGTCGGAGGCGTGTAGCCGCCCGACGATGAGTCTGGGTACGAGCCGCGTCCGGTGTTGTGCTTGATCTCGGTCGCCCTGTATCTTCTGCGTTCTCGTTCCTTCCTGCGCGAGCCACAGCATCCTGCTAGGCTACATGCGCCGATGAGGCCGGTGTCCATGGGGTGATTGGAAGCGGAGAAAGGCGATCTTCCAATAAGTCGGACCGTAGCCTCAATGAGCTTGACGATCAGCATGAGGAGGAAGCTGAGGTACACCAGGCATAGGACGACGAGGATGCCATAAGCTACCCATCCGCCTGCTCCTGTTCCTATTGATATCTGTAAAGAAAGAAAATCAGCACACAATCGATCCTTTGAACTGCACATATACATACCGTTGGCGTAAGAATAACGAGCAACACAGCCATAACAATCCTAGCAACACAGAACAAAAAGCTGATAAGACCCATCCCCGCACCAGGACCCCACGGCAACCAAACACTCGTCACAAGCGCACTAACAACCTCCACGACGAGAATAACAATCGCCTGCGCCGTCCCGCTGTGCTGACCCGCCCCAATAGTGACACCCATAACCAAGTTCGTCAAAAACAGCAACGACGAGAACAGCTGCGAGCCCTGCCGATAATGGTTGTACAATGGCCCGAGTGCAAGGAGCGTCCGCGTCTCCTCGTACAGCTTGTTCGTCGGCGTCCGGTACACCCGGAACTCGAGAAACAGCGGGAGCAGCACCGAGAAGACCGCAAACGCCAGCGCAGCGAGCACCACCGACGAGCGCCCCACACCATCCCACGAGCCGAGCGCGATCGTGTACGACGAAAAGATCGTAATGGGCAGATGGAACAGCACGAGTATGCGCACGAGGTTGCCGGCAAGCATCGCGACGTGGAACGAGCCAACGTCGAGGTGGAACTTGCGGGTGAACCGATACAGGTGGCCGTATGGCGAGCGCGGCGAGCGGAGCAAGTAGTTGGAGCTCGCCGAGTGGCCTTCGTCGGCGAACCCGACGGACGTGAAGTTGTCAAGCATGTCCTTGCTGCCCGTCGAGAAGCGTGGGCTGCGCGCGCCACCGATCTTGGACGTGGGCAGCCCAGGCGAGTTGTCCATACCGAATACTTTGACGGCGATCCAGTCGATACTCCACACCACAGCGCTGATCAGGATGGTCGCACCGACGATGGCGAGGAAGAGACCGAGACATATCCCAAATAAATCTCGTGGGTCTACGCCGACGCTCCATGCGAAGGACTCAATACCAGGCAGCGTATTGTTTGGGAGCAGGAAGAGGGTGTTGGGGAGAGATGCATTGATGTAGAGGGGCGAGGAGGAATCACTGAGCTGGTCAGCAAAGTTGGAGGGTGGATTATACTGAGGTACGGTAAGCGGGTTCCAGTGGATGACGTTTCCGGATACAATTGTGATGTCTGATAGCATTGACATGAGCGTGACATGATAAGATAAAGATGGCGGCGGCACTCACTGTATGCTAGTGAGGCCCATGAAGTCTGCGACAGCAGTGGATCTAACAACTCATGAGCATGCGACAAGTATACATTCCAGAGGTATACTGACAAACAAATGGCGGCCACTGCACAGCGACCATGGATAGTGCAGCGGCCCACTGCGTGTGAAAGATGATATCCCGCATCGACGGGGAGCCTAACAGCACGGCCAATATTATATTAGCCCAACAATGAAAACGAAACTGCCACACGGCGAAAGAAGACCTACAAAACCGCATCAAAGCAGGTGATTGTGCGAGGCGCTCGCCACTGATCGCGCTCAGCAGGACGAAGCCGGCACTGCGCGTGCGCTGCCACAGCGACGACCCAGGGCGACTGATCCCTCGCCCCCACGCCGAGGTGAGCCGCGCGATGCCGACGAGCAGCCAGTAGGCGATCGTGAGACCGACGGTGGCCCAGAAGACGATGTGGGCTTGTCCGTACGGGGAGTTCAGCGGTCCTGGAGCTAGTGGTGTGGTATCGACAGTCATGCATAGGATTTCCTGGCCTGATGGGTCGACTGCACGCAGCTCGGTGTTCATGGTGGTAAGCGAGTTTTTCGTGTTGAAGGGGATCGAGGCCGAGAGTGCGAAGGGGCCGGCCGGCAGGGGGCAGTATCCGGTGGTTGCATTGACGGCGGATCCATTGAGAGTGGAGGGCAGTGGTGAAGGAGGTCGAAGGGTGCCGGAGAAGGGGGAGTTGTTAGAGAAGGAGTTGAATGTGAGTGTGGTTGCTTCAGTGAAGAGCGTCGCTGGAGAAAGTGAAATATTGCTTAGGTGTGGAGCACGATAAATACGAGATTTAATTAGCAAGACGGACCGAGACTGTCATTCGATTGGCAGACAACTTGATTTGCTGCTGAGCCGACGAGGGTGAGATTGAGTTGCTGTTGTTGGATCAGCTGAGCGTAGACAGTGTCGATGGAGAGCTTGGCAGACTGGTTTCCGGCAAAGCAGTCGAAGAACGGAAGGACGGCGGGCTGAGCGAGAGCGTGGAAAGGGAGTTGTAGGGCGAGCAAGAGAGCGACGAGGTGAGTTGGAAGGGCCAGTGCCCTGGCGGACGCTGGCCTGCTCATCGTTGATGGCAGCTAGCTAGAGTGAGCTCAACGACGTCCGCGTCGGGGAGGTCGAGCTTGGCGGAAAGTTTGGATGGAGTGACGGTGCGGTCTAGTTTGCCCTTGGCTTGCCCAGGACCTCCGTCACCGATCCACACGAGCCATTTACCACGCCACCAGCCCACAGCTCACACCGCACCTTCCACCTGTCGACGTCCCGGCTCATCGTCGGGTTTCATGGCCACACACACACCCTTTGCAACGATTTATCCGTCGTTCTACACTTCTTGGAAGGATGTGTTGTGTGTTAAAGAGACGCGTTGTCAGATAGGAGGCTCTAATTGATTCGCCCTCTTCACGGCCCGGCTTGCATTCTCACAGCACCCTGCCCTCTCACCGTATCCCATTGCTCGGTAGCGCGGATCGTTGTCAGCTTGTCGACACCTGCCTTTAGGAATTCCCGCAAAATAAGACCTTGGCTCAATACTCTTCTACTAGCTACTTTGACGAGCGCATACATTCAGCTCCGTCTCCTGGCGGACAACCATGCATCGCTGCTTATGCATCTCAGATATCCTGTTCGTGACCTCGCTGACGCTGACAGCAAGGCGACCGCAGCAAGACTCGGGTTTGCAAAATCTTCCACCAACCTGCCGTTGACGTCCTCTATACACACATCGTCTACTCCTAACGCTTTCTCACCTGCTTGCCCTCGGACTTATGTATATTTCAGCGTGCAGAGCACCTAGGTCCGAGAACACAACACGTCTCAGTGAGCAAGACGCTAACATTCTCGTTGGAGACGTTCAAGGCCTGTAATCCCAATTTCGAGCGTCCTTCATTCGGTTCTCGCTGCAGGTCTCAAAAGTAGTACGCGGATGGAAAACCCCTTCGCGACGCTGACTGTGGCCTAATGAACCCTGCGATACTGTTTCACATCGCCAGCTTCCCAAGGGTGAATTTTCTGTCGATTGATGTCTATGCTTAGTCTTCGTGGATCACTCAGAACAGCGCCTTTCAATCTGCGAGCCGTTGAATCCCTCAGATTTCGAACCGATCGTTATTCTACTTGCGCTAAGACTTTGGGCCTGCTGTTTACCACCGTCTCTGCTGGTCACGGAACGGCCTCGTTCTCAAAATTTGCAGTCGAAGCCCAAGCCGTTTACCTCGGCTGGGGAAGCAGAACACCGCACATCGAGGTGCCCGTGCTGCTGCTCGAGTTGGCTGTTCTCCCGGTTGAACGATGATGTTGGAGGCGCACATCGAGTTTTGGTGCCAGGTCGCGGAGTGTGTAGAGGTGCTGGGACAAGTGTGATCAAGGTGCAGCTTTGGGAGATGTAAACATGTCTTTTTGTCCTTCTGTATGTTTTATGTATGAGTTGGACGTGGTTTGCCTCCTATCGCATGGTTTAGTCGGGAATAGTCAAAGTAGAACAGTGCAAGAGTGCAAGAGTTGGGAAAAGGGGCTATTTGGCTTTGTATGGGCAAGACCTTGGTGTCAAGCGCACGCAAACACGGCCGATGCTCCTTCGGGACGTCCCATCAGCCCATTGTCCGTCCACCAGATCCTCGATACCAATGCAGATCTCCCAAAATTCGATTTTCAAAGCATATTATTTTGGCTGGCACTACGCACCGACTCAACATAAAAACAAATATCTCCAGAATTCCAATAACATAACGGCGATCGCATTGTCAAAGCAAAAAGAAAGAAAGACAGAAACAAGTGTTCATCAAGTCTGTTAGTTAACAAGACGTGCTGCAGACGTAGGTAGGTTCGTAAATCGTATGCTCACGCGTCCACGTCGCCCAGCGACGACGTCGAGAATCCGCTCCAACAAACAGGGAGCCCCGACACCATAGTATCCTACCCCCCGCTTCTAAGCTCGTAGGCTATCATACAAAATACAACTCCAAACGCGTGCCGCACCAAGGGAGAGAACGTGGAACAAGATGCAATGTAGAAGAAATAGTGGTGATGCGTCGCAGCTCCGTGCCAGGCTAGCGCGCCTCTCGCCACGACAGCCGGCGACCCAGAGACGCACCGAGCCCTCGCTGACGAGCAGCGCGTGCTCACCAGTAGATGCGGCGCTCGACGGTGCGCTCGCGAGGGCGTGCGATTTGCGGGCGGGCGTAGGACACCGTGCGCTTCACACGCGTGACGGTGGGGTACCTGTCGGGCGCAAGGTGAGCTCGTGTGTGGGGAGGGGAGAACTAAAGCAGGGGAGACAGACCATGCTTGGTAGATCTCGTGCGGCTCGAGCTGGACCTCGACGATCTGGCGGCCGGCGTAGTCCATGTACTGGCCGACGACGAGGCCCTCCCTGCGGCCATAGCGCTCGTGGTTGACGGAGACGAGGTCGCCGGGCTAAGTACGATATAAATCATTTCGATGAAGAGCACATGGCAGTCACGAGGGCAACATCCAAGATGGAAAAGAGCACGAGCTGGTGAGCGCCACTGGCGTGTTGTAGAAGGACAAGGTTACTCACGGTGATATCACCAGTAATCTGAGTCTGGGTAGTGGTGGTGGTGACCTCTTCGTAAGCCATTGGTGCTTGAGTGTCTGGAGGATGTCTTGTCTTGAGGGTTTGGTGTGCTTGACTCGCAGATGCGACGGCGGGCTACGACGGGGTGCTTGAAGCTTGAAGAAGGGTTAGTCAGGTGAAGATGGAAGGAAAGCAGGGAAGAATAAAAGGGCCTCTTTTTATATCGGGGGCAGGGATCAGAGCAGGACGGGTGCGCGAGGCACACACGAGGCCGCCACCGTGCGAAGAGCTAGTGTTTGGCTTCAAGTTCTATTATTCCTCTTGTTCCCAAACAGAAGTTTGTTTGTAGACCGCCCTCTGAGCTTTGTACACCTCCCCGCCAATTGTCAGCAGCCATCTGTTCATTATTAAATTGGTTGTCATCATCAAGCAAACCAGACTACCCGCTTTCAGCTGTTCAAAGTCATGCAGCAAGACGCTGGTTCCGCGGAGGCAAATTCTACGTCCCGATGCTGCCGAGCTCATGGCCTGGAAGCGATGCAAATCACCAGCGCTTCCGAGTCGCGTGTTGATCATGTTCAAGTAGAAGCATGCAGATTTTGCGCAAGTTTCATGAAAGTGTATAGACGGCTACAGTATGGAGTGATCTACACGTACAGGATCCAGCAGGTGCTACATAACAAAAACAAGGAGGAGCGGTGTTCACGGAAATTATATTTATGACAGCCAAATCCGCCAACGTCCCGCCGAGGCATGTGTCCACGCTGATAATAGAATAACGTCGAGCGAGTAGCTCCCGGTGGACACACAAAGCCAACATACAAAGCGCACAGCATCACCGACCCATTGCTTCCCCGTCACCATGCCGCAATCGCGAACTCCAAGGAACAAGTCTAGCGAGCGCTTGTCGAACAGCAGGCCAGATCTTGAACGGCGCCAGCGCCACCTCCCCACTCATCCCAACGCCGCGCTCGAGCGCACCCGCCGCCGCCCTGCTGCGCTCCTCAATGCCCGCGTGAATATCCTGCACCGCGCCCTCGTACGCCCTTGCCAGCTCCGCCTCGCGCGAATAGTAGGCGCGCCGCACGACGTAGGGCGCGACGCCGTTGTACTTCCTCACGAGCGCGTTCAGCTGCGCGATCGACTCGTCGTGGTACGCCCGCTCGCGCGCTTCCCAGGCGGCGTCGCGGAAGGCGGCGATGGATTCGTGCGAGGGTGTCGGTGAGACGGAGGGGTGGTGTGAGAGTGTGAGCATTCGGATGGCGTAGCGCGCCCAGGACTGCTTGAGGCCTTCTCTGAAGGTATTGATGGCTTCGTCCATCTCTGTTCGCGTAGTATTGCTGGTTAGAGGGGTTTTCAGCGGCGGATAATCACAAACTTACCTTGCTGAACATCTACCCATGGAGGTGCCGCACCATTCCGCTGCACGATTCGGTTCATTATAAACTCTTCTCGTGCAATAAACGGATTATGTTCAGCAATCTCGCGCTTGATAGGCTTGCCTCGTCCCTTGATCTTCTTGAAGTGACCCGCTATACGAGCTTTCTGGAACGAAGGATGGATTAGCACACTTGGGCCTGAAAACAAGGCAAACGGGCTTGCGCACCTCTATTTTATCTTCAATAAGACTCTGCCATCCTCTCAGCGACAGAGGGTTGGCACCTCTACCCTCACCACCACCACCGGCCCCTCCCTCACCTCGAATACCCAACCGATAATTCATGGTATTCTCCTTCGCCCGCCCCAGCCTCCCGGCCGTCTCCCTCCGCCGCGCCAACTCCCGCTCCGTCTTCTGCGTCGTCTCGTCCACCCCATCATCAGCCCCCTTCCGGACCCTCCGAGCCGCCGCCTGCCTCGGCGGGAAAATCCCAAGCTTCACCGACGCCTCCGCATGCGCAGGCGCAACGAACGTCGTGTGCCACGGCCTGTGCCCCTCAACAGCAGGAATAAGCGGCGCATCCGCCATCGCCTCCCACCCAGCGCGCGCAGCCAGAAGCGCCCCGTCCACAGCGACGCGCGGCGGCGCAGCGCGCAGGCGCGCGTCCGCGCTCCGCACGGTGCCGCTGCGGAGCGGCTTGTGCTTGTCCACGAGCATGCGGAGCACGGCGTCCTGTGGCGCCTCGTCGCCGTCCCAGTTCGCGTGTGTGTTCTCGAGCAGCTGCAGACGCGGGGACTTGGTGTTACGGGCGCTGCCCTCGGCCTCTTCGCGCGCGGCGTCGGCGAAGAGCTTGTTTGATGCGTGGTGGTCCGAGCGGGCGGCCGGGGTGGTGGAGAGGCATCTAAATCGGATGCCAGGAGTAAATGCGAATGTCTTGCGCGGGCATAGTGGGGGTGCTGTGAGGCCTCGATACAGGCGAGATGGGGTAGCTGGTGTAAAGCGCTCCATCATATTAATACCAGCACTAGGGATTTGCGAGTCTTGAGATATGTGAGATCTACAAGCCGGAGGATTGCTCACCTCTAAGTTATCTATCTATAAAATTCTAGGAGTCAGACTTGAGATGGCTGGCTCTTTCTGACCTTCAAGCTCAGGTAGACGGTCCAGGAGCGACGACGACACCGAAATCCTCCTGGACGAAAACCCCGCAGGAGCCGTCGGAGGAGTTCACAAAAAGGTTGTGGGTGCTATGGTGCAGTTCACCTAGCCACCGCTACCTTGGTGCACGCGCCAAATCGGCGGCGGAAAATTCAAGTTTGAACCCTAACCTCACAGTTGATATATATGGAGTACCCCTGATTAGTCAGCACAACGCGCGTCGCAGTAGGATTACATCGCAATAATCGAGCATACTCTAGCTTTGTCCAAACATCAGAAACAGCAGCGTCAGTGAGCAAGTGTGCTGTTGATGCTACCGAGTGCTGTTTGCACCGCATTCTGCAACTCCAGCCTGATTTTCGAGAACAGAAATTGCTTGTTTGCGATGTTATTGAGGCAGCTGGTCACTTGTGCCTTTTCTTACCCAAGTTTCATTGCGAACTCAATTTTATCAAATATTTCTGGGGCAAGGTCAAGAAGTATATTCACGACAGCTGTGATTATGCCTTTGCCACCCCCAAGGTCAACATCCCCAAAGCAATGGCCTCTGTCGACATTTGCACAATCTGCTTATGGGAAAATTGTACCCACCGTTGGGACAGAGGCATACAGATCTGTTTTGGATGCCAAGGAGGCACATATCGAGGTTTGCAACTTCAGCTCAACAGGATACAAGTCCCATCGACGTGTGCCAGAGCGTGTTGCTCAACGCTTTGACCAAGCGTGGGTACATATTTCCATATTTGGAATAGGAGCTTCCCTTTTACGGGGCCGCGCCAAATCGATCAACCTTCAAAAAAATATCTCCGCCAATTCTTACTCAATCAAAATTCCGTCTTGTGGAATTCTTTGTACGATAGAAACAAGCATTTCTACAAGACAAAATAAAAAAATGTCTGGTATTGAAGGCTACAGTAGGATAGGGGCTAATTTGCACAAAGGTAGCGGTGGCTAGGTGAACTGCACCATAGTCAAGGCATAAGGAATCGGACTTCGGCAAGATACTCGGCGGCGGGCGCAAACGATCTTGGTAAGTCATTACGCGTCCTGCGGGCCGAACTCGAAGTCCAAATTCAAGCTCAAGCATCGAGAGGTCGCGGACGGCTGGATTTATGCAGAAAATTGTACTCTACCAAGCTATGATACAGATGCATCGTCGCAAACATCCCCGCTAGAAATTTACGGGAGGAATTATAGATACTCGGTACAAACGGCCAGCTGACCATGAGTCTCATGCTCGTATGTTGTATGCATAACTTGAGGATGGTGGGTTCGTGATGAATTAGTACTAGTAATGTGTGCAATGCTGATACTCCTGATCTATCCGAACGAAAGAGCATGGGCAACTTGATGACCAGCGCAACCCGAGCTATGACAGTCTCGCGTCGGACTCCGTTTTCACGGACACACCGCCCTGGCTCGCCAACGTGTATACACTCCCAGTCGACGCCGACTGCTCCGACGCAGCCGACGCACTCGTGCTCCTCCGCCCAAGCCCAACGCTCCGCACGACGCGCGCACCGACAAAGCCCATCGAGCTCGCCGTCGACCCCGACCGTATACTCGACCCGCGTCTCCGGTCCAGCGCACTGACGCTCTGCCGCTTCGCCAGACTCGCATTCCCGACACTCGTCATCAGCTCCGCAACACTCCCGTTCGGCGACGGCCCGATGACCGTGCTCCCATTGCCCTCGCCGTTGCCGTTGCCGTTGGGCGGCCTAAGACCAGGAAGCGGCTCCCCCTTCCCATCCACGCTCAACCGCGGCTTCAGCGTCTCCTCCGACTCCCTCCCCGTCCCCTCCTCCGGCTCCGCCGTCGCCTGCGTCCCCGTCCACATCTTCATCCCGTTCCCCCGCGAGCGGCGGCCCACAGGACGTGCCCGCGGCCGCGGTACGACGACGCGCTCGTAATACAGCATGAACGCGCCGCTCCCCTCCGCTAACACCGTCTCGATCCCGCACTCGCGCACCGCGTCGTCCGAAATACGCAGCCAGCCGCGCCCGCTGCCCCGCGGTGGCCGCCGCAGCGGCTCCTCCTCGTACAGCGCCGCCTCGTCCTCTGCGTCCTCCATGCCCTCAGACGGATCGACGTCTTCCCAATCGCCATCTGACGCATTTGACTTCGCCGGTGACGGCGTCGCCTCGGGCTCGGGCTCGGGTGAAGACAAGGAGCCACCAGGTGAAGGAGGCATCGAAAACGGGGCATCTCGTATGCACCCGTACACAGCACAATCCCGGCACTCGCAGCCTAGAGGGCACAGTAGAGCAGGCTTTCTCAGTCCTAGCCCTTTTCTCTCGCCTTTGCCATCCCCTGGGAACGGTTTCCGGCGGAAAGAGACGTAGTGACCAAAGGCGTGTGCGCCATAGTGACACACTACCGCTGAGAGTCGGTACAGTGTGCGGTGTGTAGGTTTATATCGCGCCTGCGTTGGTGTAGTGCGTCCGTTTGTGCTGGATTGTGGGGGTCGTGATGGTCTAGATGAAGACTCAGCCTGCGGAGACGAGGAAGGTGGTGTAGGGAAATCAAATGATTGATTTGAATATGCTGATGGGGAAGGTGGAGATGATATGGGGGCGGAAGGGAGGAGGGATAAGGAGCCGGACGTGGTATATGGCGTAAGGTCAAGAACTTCGGGGAAAACGATGCGAACGTTGTTTTTTGAAGCATACATCCCGTAGTGCGAGCGATTGATATGGAGGGCAAGCACGGGAGGTGGCTGTATCATGAACGACAATGGTGCAACTTAGTTAGTTCAACTAGAGACTGGCAATAAGCACTTACTCGAGCAATCATCGCCTGCTTTGTCGAAGCCCGACTGACAACGCGCTCCATCTTCACGCCTTTGATCTCCTCCTCGACTCTTCCCTCGTCAAGAGCACTCTTTACCCTCGCCTCTAGCCTTTTCACATCCTTCAGCCTCTTCCTCCGTGAGGTAACAGGGATATTCTGAAGTTGCGATGCGTTCAAAAATGGGTTAAGGCTAGCAGAAGACGACGATCGCCGAGACTTCTTGGTTGGTGGGCTCGTAGGCGAGGTCTGCGAAGATGATGCGGTGGCTAATGAGGGCGCGTCGAGACTTGCCGACAACTTCTCAGCTTCCTGAACAAGTTTGGCGTGGGTCGCAATGAGTGAGCACTTGCGGCATATGCAGTCGGTGAGCAACTCGAGCTTGGTGTATTCCGCTAAGCAGTCCTCGAGGTGACAGCTAGCCTGTAAAACCCATCAGTTACACGGATCGATGCAGAGATCTGTGGTTAGCTCAGTAACGGTCTTAACGAAGGAGTTTGCGCACCACGAAACGAGGAACAGCAAGCTGCCAGCTGTCGAACGAGAAATGCATCACCGCTTCAGTGTACCCGCACTCCACACAACTCCGTCTGTTCGCAGTCAACCCATCGAACGGGCTCTTGACCAGGCTCTCCTCCCGGTCGCCCGGCCCGTTCTCCGCACTCAGCACACTGGCGGAGTCGCTCGAGGCGAGCGCCAAGCCAAGTCCACTCAATCCGCGGTCTCGGGCGGCTTCCTTCACGACTGCTTCAGCCTCGTCTTTGATGCACTCCGAGACGAGCTGGAAGAGTTCTTGAGCATCTTGGTGCTCGCGGGAGGCGAAAAGTGAGATGTGCTTGCTCGGGGAACTCGTAGAAAGGGCATTGATGATGTTCATTGGGCGTAAGGCAGCATAAGCTGACCGTGGAGTGTTGAGGTCTGTGTCCGATCGGCCTTAGCACAAGAGCGAGCCGAGGGGGAGCAGAGTGCCCGTACCAGTCAGAGTCTCGAGTAGGGCGTCGATCACTACGGTCGGGACATCGAGCTCCTCCGCCTTCTTCTGTACCGTTGAAAGATACGGATAGAGATATGCGAGTGACGCCAGTGCCTGTTTGCCACCCAGTGAGATTAGCAAGCCCGTTGCATTCCAAGAGCGGACGTCTCCAACGGCAACACATCCAGGCTCACCTGGAGCGTCGAGTTCATGAAGCAATACGTCCCAGACACATTAACAAGTCCGGGATAATATCCATCGTCAACTCCGGAAGACGCCTTTCCTGCGCAGACCGATTCATGAGCACATTGGTCTCTCCACGCGGGCCCGACCGCGCACAAGCGCTTCCGTCCCGCACAAAATCACAAAACTGACCCTTCCCATTGCGCGCATCAAGCTGATCCGCCCTCGAGCGCACGTGCTTCTTCTTGAGTTTCTTGGGGTCGGTGGAGTGCTGCGAGCCGTACCAGTTCCATGGTAGTGCGTGGCCGAGGGTGTCCAGGAGCATGGGCAGGGACGTCGAGAATGAGGACGCGGCGTTGGCTGCGACCCTGGCAGCGAAGAGAATAGCGATAGGGAAGAGAAAGAGGACGGCGAAGGGTGCGAGCTGCTGGAAGAGCGGGTCGGCCAGCAGCGCAACGAGTGGGGACGAACTGGTCGAGGTCATCGACCCGTCACACTCGCTCACTCAGGCATTGCTTATACCCTGGCTTGGCATGGCGAGATATACCCGTTTAGCCGAAGTAGAGGCAAGGCTACCTGGCGCAATGGTAGCGCGTTTGGCTTCGATTGCCGACGGCACCAAAAGGTTGCAGGTTCGAGTCCTGCGGTGGTCATTTTTTTGTATTTCTTTTTCATCAACGATCGCAGCTATCTCAAGCCTACCCTAAACTCCACACTAGATCATCGTCGCGTCGTCGCTCCTCTCTTTTTTTCTTCAACTCATTTCACGGACCCGCTTTATTGTCCCCCTGCGAATCAACCGTAAGGTTCCGCTCGCAGGAGCCTACTGCAAGTCCAAGACCGATAGGCTACTTTACTGGAGCTCTCTCCAGTACTCTGTACGGTCGCAAGACGTGGAGGTGTGTTCCTTACCGGAGTCGCTACATACCATGTATCTAGGGTTTTGTTCTTGTAAAAGAACGAGAATGGAACATTCTGTTTGATTGGAAACATCAGCTGGATGGACTCAGTATGTCGCGATCGCAAGGGCCTTGGAACTCTGGTCTGAACAACCTTGGTGGGCGTCAGTGCTCTGGACGGTAAACTCGACAGAAAAATACGTCCCGGAGGCATCTTTTTTGAGCGATGAACATTCATGTCTATGGTCTCCAGCTCGTCGACCTCATGGTATACAATGGCGAATTACAAACAATAACTTATGCTCTCATCTATAACACCTATCCACACCCTCAGACCCTCATCCCATCTCTCCCCATTCCGAATCTTCCGGGCCAAACTCCCCTCGATGGAACTCACATGGCCACCTCCCAATGGCCATGCCCTCTCCCGCGACCAGCCTCCTCACAACCTTGTTTCCGTCCTCGTCCCGCACCCAGACACACGGCTCCTCCGTGACCTCGTCCACAAAGTGATCCTTGGCGCACGCGCCCTCCCCAAAGGGAGACGGAAACACATCGTCATCCTCGGGCTCGGCCTCGTCGACTGCATCCACATTCCCACCTGAAAGCGAAGACGGCGAAGGCGCGAGGAAAGGATGGTACAGCGCGCCGCGGGGCGTGACTCGACGTGTCACGTCGGGCTGCATGACATCTTCAAGAAGCGCCAGCGCCGCCTCGACGTCGGCGACGTGCTGCTCGCGCATCGACTCAGAGGTGGGAGATGACGACGACGGGATCGTCGAGGACGTCGAATATGGGTAAAACCGGGGGTCGGGTGTTAGGGGCTCCCTCAGTGTGGGGTTTTGCCGTTCGACGAACTCGCGCCAGGATATACCATTCGGAGTCACCGAGGGCACGTTTGTGGCAAATGTTCGCGCTGTCCAGCCAGATTAGCGAGTTGTAGCGGTGTAGGCTGTCAGATCGGCTTCTCACAATGCATCACAGCTACCTTCTCCATCTTCTGCCGTCCTATAATTACGGCAATCTCCATTAGGGCTTCGACGTCGTCGCTGGACTGGAATAAGGGGAATTTGCCGGTCAAGAAAAACAGCAGGATCATCCCCGCGGACCAAACGTCGATGGCTGCAACAGCGAGATCGTGTCAACTCCACATCAAGAATTCCAGCTAAAAAGTGTGCCCACCTCCCGTTTGCTGGTTACATTTAAGCAACACCTCGGGCGCACGGAATCCGCGCGTTCCAGCCCTGTTAGCCTTTGAGTGCGGTCTTCATTGATCAGCACAGCTCGTATACCTGAGTGTCTGGAACAAACTGACCTAATATCCTTGTCAGGGTACCCAACCTTGTCGCTGGGCCACGTGCTTTTTTGACGAGCTTCACGAGTCATCTTGGTGACCTGTTCCAAGTCGTACTTTTGCATCATTGTGCCATGTGGATACTCTCTCGAAGGCGGGGTGTGAAGACAAGTGTTGTATGTCGAATGGGCGGGGTTGACGGTTCGTTGTGAAGATACATGCTTTGGTGAAATATCCATACGCTAGCGAGAATACAGTATGAGTTTATTCTGCCCTATTCGAGGAGTAGAGAAATGCTCACACTAGCGAGACCAAAATCGCAAAGGGTGCCTATGCCTGTCCGAGGATCGAAGAGAAAGTTTGCGGGTTTCACGTCGCGATGGATGATTCCTCGCGAATGTATATCGCGCAGCGCTCGAAACATGCATCGGAAATATTGCTTGATCCCTGTCATAGACAGAGAACGGTAATAATCCTGAGTGGCGTTCATTCAGCATATGCTGATACTTTCAAACAAGTAGTACATACCCGGAAATCTTCGTTCCTGTTATAAGGCATAATAGCCACGACCTGGTCCTGATGTCGAAACGCAGTAATAAGCTGCGCCGTATGCCGCGTCCCCCTACAGTCCTGCATGATCGAGATTTCGTTGCGGATGCGCTCCGGGTTGCTCGTGACATATATGCGCTTGACCGCGACATACACCTTCTCCTCAGGGAGATGGGGCACGCTCTGGTGGTGCGCAGACGAGCACGGCGGGTGGTGGCCGTGCCACGGGATGTTATCCCACTTGTCGTGGTAGCCTAGGTCAATCGCTTTGTAGACGGAGGAAAACGTGCCAGTGCCGAGGCGGTCAAGCAGCTTGTAGTCCTCAGCCAGAGAGGGCACGGCTGCCTCGAGGTTCTCGATCTCCTGCCTGATCTCGGCGCGCTCATCTGGCGGCTTGCGGAGGATGGTTGTCTCTTCGTCCGTCTCTTCATCGGCATCACCGTTGACGTCGGCATCTCCGTCCGCGTCCATGTCTTCATCAACTTCCTCTTGTACTAGTACTTCGCGCGCCACGGGTGTAGACTGAAGTACCTTTGATGTTGAAGGGCGCGTGCTGAGGAGGTTGAGCTCGTCCTCGCTTTCCATACCTTCATCGAGATCAACCGTAAGCTTCATATTCGCTGGACGAGAAGGCGTGGTTCTCTTTGAGTAGAGTTTGTCAAGGTGACTTTGATATTCGTTAACGTCATTTTGCCCCGGAACGGCAAGTTCATCATCGGAAGTCAAGGGCTGCAGGTTGCGTTTCTTCTGGGCACTAAGGTACTCCCTCATATACGCCTTGTTGCGGGGGTCTGAGGAGGGCACCTCGAGCGGGTTGGAGGAGTGCTGCGAAAGCAGCCCTGTCTGAATCATCGTGTCGATTATCGAGTGGTGCTGCTCATCTAGCGGAGGTGCTTTTCGGGGCGGGCGAGGAAGGCCACCAGTGCAGAACCTGGAGAAAGTAAAGAACCGGTTACCGCGTCACGGCGCGTGAATTCATCGCGCGCCTCTCGCATCACGTGATGGATTATTGTTCGCAAAAGGAAAAAATGACCACCGCAGGACTCGAACCTGCAACCTTTTGGTGCCGTCGGCAATCGAAGCCAAACGCGCTACCATTGCGCCAGGTAGCCATGAAAAGAGAATGACTAATACAGCCATCATACGAATCCCCGATGTCAGCACCAAACTATCGGGAGCCCTTCGCCCTTGAAGTTGAACTGCGTCATCCCGAGCTCACTACTCAGGAACTTGGCAGTGCAGACCAACACCTAGAAGTCTCCAGTCAAGACAAGATACCTTGAGGACCTAAGCTTACAACAGACGACTCGCTACGTACCTCGAACTTCAGCTTCAACGCTCTCGGATCCTCATCCTAATCGCTCGTCACCATGGCTCTGAACTGGACGATGCTTGACGCGTCGCGCTCTCCTGTCCCTCTCCCGCATGAACATACGGTCACCTCCATCACTTCAGGCGTACAGCTCACCCTTCAATTACCTGCGTCACGATCGAATGATACGCCGATACCCGCAAAGACGCTCAAGGAAACAGGCAAGGTTTGGCTCACAGATATGAGAGTGAGTCCTGCTTTATGATTAGGTATCCTTCCACCACTCTGACATCTATTCCTTGTCTTCGCTGCCACGTTGAATCTCTGCAGCTGATCTTCGCCAGCATGCCCGACGCAAAGAGTCCTGCCGTGGAGTCTTTATCTATTCCTCTCCCCTCCATCTTATCTTCCAAGTTCGAGCAACCCACATTCGGCGCCAACTACCTTGAGTTGGAGATAAAGCCCTCGGAGGGCGGCGGGCTTACAAGCGGGACGACAGCTCGCATCGCGTTTCAGGACAGTGGCCTGTTCGAATTCGTTGCCGTCCTGGGCAAGACGCGTGAACGCGCCATCTACATGAAACGCCAGGAGGCCGAATCCGCCGAAGATGAAGGCTTACGTGCGTCCCCGTTGCAAGTTACTTACGATAATGGTATCATTCTAACCCCCTCTTTTAGCAACATATAGCAGCACGGGCGAGGGAACGTCTGATATGCCTCCGGGTTACGAGGCCTGATGCTGATACGCCGCGAACATTTCTGACTGTATGTTATTTGACTGTGTGGGATTATTAAACCGGATTATTGTAGCGCTAAGGTGTACTTTTAATATAACCTTCTACCGGACTGTTCTCTTGCAACATACTGCAGTCGATCCCCACGGCCAAATCGCACCGATAAACCTACGACGTGCCAAGCTCTCGTTCGTGTCCAGGACCGTTTGCATCATCTTCTTTTGAAGGCTCCATCGTAAGAATTCATAATGTGGTCCATGCGACCCAACGATATTTTAAACGTGCCGGAAGCACCATGCTCACAGAGCCGTTCGAAGGTGTCAACTGGCAAGGCTTGATTCGATTCGATTCGACCGAGCCGTACTGTGGGCCCGAACTACCAGGGTGGAGTGGTAACTCCGAGAACATTGCATCAGTCGTTTCAATAGGCTTCGCGATCCTTTGACCTTCTCCAGAACACCCATTGCTCTTGTTCCTCTGGATGTTAGGATTTTGGAAGGCAGGGTTGAGCGTTGCGACCTCGTTGAGCTTGTACGCTCTTATACGGGACCCAGGCGGTACTACGCGCCAAGGCTGGGTCGAGAGGAAAAGCGAATAACGATTATCGGTCTCGGAGCCCACTCTTACCAAACGTCACGCTATTGGTCTAATTTGAATGGGATGGGGGGGTCATTATTACAGAAGACCGGGATTAGTGCTTCCTCCGACGTAGCTTCGAGCTTTCCGCTGTCAAGGCTGTCAAATTAGAAACAGTGCGTCGAGGATAACGTTTGGGAGTGGGATCTGGGAATTGTTTTGAGTGAGAAGTTACCCATCTTTGTGGGAGGGGCGAGATGAAAGTTGCCTGAAAGATGCGGGTGAGCTCCGATCAGCTGTGTACAGTACCTGCTGCAGCGGGGGGACCGGTAAGTCCGGGAGTGGGGATGTTAATGAGGAAGGATCTGGATGCGAAGATGGTGAGATATGGCAAGAGGGGACGCGGAAGTAAATCAGTACGTACAGGATTGAGTAGAGGCTTAATTAGACCGTTCTCGGACAGACAACACATCATGCTCATCGTGAATTCTCGAATCGCCCTTATTAATCTTGAAGTACACAGCTAATGGAGCCCAACATTGAGACAGTCCATCTGCTGTCCTCTCCTTCCTCCTCCTCCTCCCATTACCACAGGGTGCGGGCCGCTCTCGCCTTCGCCGCACCCCGACGACTGCTCCTCTGACGTTCTTCGCCCCCACACGAGCACACGCTGTCCCATCCACTCGCACACTCTCAGGACACCGCATCCCCATGGTCAATCGGCGTTCATATGATGAGGGAACAAGGGATTCAACATGTATCACCACAACTACTTGGAGACGTTGACCTCGTACGGTAAGTTGACTTAGTATGGTGCTGCCTGCTGCCTGCTAAAGCTAGATCATATTGTTTCATGAATACAGAGCGTTTGGCTTCGCCAGCCTCACTCTCCTCCTTTGGGAGCACCTGATTACCTTGCCAGACGAGGTACATATGATTCTTACGAACGAACTCCGTCTTGGTCATACCTCCCTGCACGATCCTTTGTACCTTGCCTTGGCAGGAGCACCCTTCCGTCTGCTTCCTATTAAAGACTTCCCTGCTCACGCAACTTTGCGTCCAGATCCAGCTCATCTGGCCCTCTCGGTGGACGTCAGTCAAGGTCCTCTTTCTTATAAGCCGATACGGCAACCTAGTCGTCCAAGCAGTCATTGTCGCCGAGCAGACAGGTGCCGTGTTCCATCCGACGCCATCGGTGAGTCACCCACCGGCCCACTTGCATTTATCCTCTTCGGCGCGGCCTCGCGTTCGTAGTCATTCATTTTAGCATGCTGAAGCTCCGTCTTGCCAGTTTTGTTTTGCCTTCGTGCTCTTCCGTGCCTTGTACCAGTGGCTCGCCTTCTCGGTCATTCATGGTACGTGTATGGTTATATGCACACCCTCGACCCGAGTAGCCGGTCTAACATTATGAAACCCTAGTACTCATACTCATTCGGGCCTGGGCCATCCGGCAACGCTCGCGCAACGCCACCATCACACTCATCACAATATTTGTACTCTACACATTCTGCTCCGTCGCTTTCGAAATCGTCAATATGCTTTCAAGTTCTTGTGAGTTGACGACACTCGAGCGTCATTGCACGGCCTTATCTGATTGCGCTCGCCGCAGACCAAGCCGAGATTACAGACGGGATGTGCACGCGCATACTACCTAGTCCATCCGGTAAGAAGTCTTCCTTTCTGAGCTTAACACTATCCTCATGGTTCTTGCTCCGCAGTGAGCTTTCTTTTTGTCAATTATACCCATTCCGGCGCACTGAAACACCGTCTATCAAGTGGGTGATATGGATAGTCGGGTACGTAACCTTCGTATCATATCTTTAGCAAGCTCGGCTTACCGATATATGCATTTCACAGGCTCATGCTCGAAGTCGCAGTCCTCGTCCTTAATCTGACCAGTCTGCATGGTCAATTCCCCAGTCAATACAAACCACTGTCACCTTTTGTTCAGGCCTTGTACCGCGATTGTGAGTTCACACAGTTAAACTGGCGTCATCATCACGCTCAACCAGAAGGACAGCAATTTTATTCTTTGTGGTAAGCTATATCGGAACCCCACAGATGTGTTAGTAGGCTAAGTGTTCTGCAGGGTGTTTTGGCGGGCACCTTCTTCAACCTTAGTTCTTGGTAAGTGTGACTTCTCGTTCATTTTTGTATGTCCGGCTAACGCAAGATTTTCGCTCAGGGTTATATATAACGCAGTGAGTCAAGAACCGGTTGCGCTGCCCATGGCTGGTGTACTGACAAACCATCAAAACTCTACTAGCGGCCGCGGAACTACATGTCAGATCTGTAAGCTCAGATGTCTCTCACACCCGCCCCCGGGTCGGGTACTGACAACAGCGCTTTTGTTTCGTTGTCCAGCATCTCAACAGCCGTGGTCAGCATCGCAGGCCAGCGGCTCTCGCTCAGCATGCGCAAGATGAATCTGCGGATGACTGAGCTCACCGCGAGCCAGATGAGCAAGATCATCGACCAGCAGATCAACGCCATACCAGGGCTGCGCGGCGGTGGACTTGTCATGGAAGATGAGTCTACCTTGGATGTGGAGAATACCCCAAGGTTACCCTCGGAGACCGAGATCTGCGAGCCCAGTGGCAGCAACATACCAGACGTGTAGGACCAATACTCGAGATGGCACGCCTTTCATACCCGAGTTTGCGGCTGCAGCCCTGTACGCATATACCGTTCGGTGCTCTTGTACCGCGCTGGAAACGCATGCATGCAGGTGAGCCGTTATCTTTGTTGGCCTTGTTTCAAAGTCCCAACTCGAATGTTTCGTCTGTAGCACACGATACGCACAACACGGTGCTCGCATCTCTTGGCATTAATTTGTGGAACAGCCTCCATTGTAACACGACTCACACGACGCATATCCCCAGGACTCTCATGGTTCATTACCAGTACTGTACATTATGGCAATCTTGTAATCTTACATCACACGATACGAGTACAGCCTCCATCATCACATACAATAGGCCTCGAGTTTCAAGCCTATCAGTGACGTGAGACGCTGCGCAGCTTATGGGCGCGCCGAGGACAATGACAAGTCTTCAAACCACTCTTTGCTGATTCACGCATGAAACCTGATCAGGTAATGTGCAGCCTTGTACGATTTTCACTGCCATTCGCTGCTACAGTAAGTATACAAGTTTTTGGTACATCGTTTATAGCTATATGCTTGGTCCGTATCGCCGTGCTCCTTATCTTAGGTGCGTTAAATTAAACCAAGTTTGACGGGTAGCTGAAGTCCTCCAGTCCGACGAAGCTCTCCTTGATGCTGCGCGCAGAGACGAAGCGGTAGAAGATGCTCATGCTGCCCGCCTTGTCGTTGGTGCCACTCGCGCGCGCACCGCCGAAGGGCTGCTGGCCAACGACAGCACCCGTGCACTTCTCGTTGTAGTATACATTGCCGGCGGCATTGCGCAGCTTGTTCGTCGCTTGAATGAGCGCACGGCGGTCCTGCGAAAAGCTACGAGGACGGTCAGTGAGCAAGTGGAGGTACTATAAAAATATGGCCATTGCTTACATAGAGCCGGTAAGGCCGTACTCCGAAGTGGTATCGACGAGGTCGAGCGTTTTTTCCCAGTCGTTATCTTCGAAGACGAAGACAGTGATGACGGGACCGAAGATCTCCTCACGCATCGTGACGGACTTCGGGTCCTTCGTCAGGATCACCGTCGGCTGGATGAAGTAGCCCTCCGAGTCATCGCCTTGCATTCATGGTTTAGGCTCAATTCTATTCGATCACAAATATGGTGGCTTACCGGTGCCACCGATGAGGACCTCGCCACCGGCGTCCTTGGCCTCCTTGATCTTGGAGATAATCCTGTCATATGCAGGCCGGCCACTAGACAAAGGTGAATACTCAGTACACGATATGCCAGAACCAGTCGGAACGCTCACATTACAGGACCCATGAAGTTGGTGAAGTCCTGAGGGCGGCCAACCTTGATCTTGGCAATTTCGCTGAGGAACTTCTCTTTGAACCCACCGTTCCAGGCAGATGACGAGACGTAGACGCGCGAGAGGGCGGAGCACTTCTGACCTGTCCAACCAATCGTTAGTGTCAGCCCCGTTTCCAACCGCGATGGTGTCCTTACCTTGGTACTCAAAGCCGGCACGAACACTCTGGAGAGCCGCGTTTTGGATCTCCGCGCTCTGGTGCACGACGTGGAAGTTCTTGCCGCCGGTCTCGCCAACGATGCGGGGGTAGCCCTTGTACTTGTCCAGGTTGGCGGCGATGTCCTTCCACAGCTTCTTGAAAACGAAGGTGCTTCCGGTGAAATGAAGGGCCGCGAACGACGGGTGCGAGATTGCCTGTGCGACAACCTCAGCTGGAGGGCCGGGGACGAACTGGATGACGCCGGGAGGGACACCAGCCTCGGCAAGGATCTGGTAGACGATGTAGTTGGAGTAGGTAGCCGCAGGAGAGGGCTTCCACACGACGGTATTGCCGACCATGGCGGGTGCTAAAGCGTAATGTCAGAAGTGATCATAGAGATGCCTTGTTTCTTGCATACCTCCTGGAAGGTTACCACCAATGGCGGTGAAGTTGAAGGGCGAGACAGCGAGGACGAAGCCCTCCAGAGCACGATACTCTACTCGGCTAGTACTCAAGTCAGAGACGAACCCTAGATTGAAAGGTATGGCACCCACTTCCAGACACCCGGTGAGTTCTTTGGAGGCTGCGTTGCATACAGCTCCTCGACGTATTTCACGCCAAAGCGGAGGAAATCAGAGAGCTAGATCGCAATAAGCACCCTGTATCGTGTTCACAGCCGCCAATGGACACACCTCAGCAGCAGCATCGATCTCAGCCTGCCATGCATTCTTCCCTTGACCAAGGATCGTAGCGGCCATCAACTTGTAGCGGTACTTTCCGCTGACAAGGTCCGCAGCGCGCAAGAAGATAGCAGCCCTATCGTTCCATGGCATCGCCTCCCACTCTGCTTTAGCGGCAAGCGCGCCATCGATGGCGCGTGCGACGGTAGCCTCGTCAGCTTCGTGGTACTCGCAGAGGTGACGAGCGTGGTTCGAGGGTATAGGCTGTTTGAACAGCTTGCCAGTTTTTACCTACAGCGTTTAAGGGCACGCGTTTGTCGGATGTAATCAGCAAACTGTGCTGTAGGTACACCTAAGAAATGAAACCCACGGGTTGACCGTTGACGATGCAGGGAACTTCGAAGGGAAGCTCCTGCTCCATCTGAGCAATCGCAGCCTCCAGGCCCTTGCGCTCTGCAGAGCCAGGGGCATAACTTTTCTGTACTCAGCGCGTTCACGGTGTGACCTTGTTGCAGATAAGATATGGGCGCACCATGGGCTCATTGTCGATAGCGGGAACTTTGAATGAAGCAAGCGTGGGGTTGGACATCGTTGTCGAAGTTTCGAATAAAAGGTTGATCGATAAGATGAACAACCTCGAGGATGGTCGCTCGAGGAATGTTGATATGGAACGAAGGGAGGAAGATTTATACTTGCGACCCTGGATCTCGTATGCCGCGGCTGGATCATGGCTTTACTATGGGACAATACTGTAGCTACACGACCTTAAGTTCGTCACGCATCACGCTTGGCTGGTCTTGCGAACTTAGGACAGTGTTTGTCACTCATCACAAGGGTTTTTGGACCTCAAGATGTGACAAAAAAGTAGAACGGCTATGGGTCTGTTATCTAAGTGTGTCATGCTTTCAAACATTTAACTGGTGTTTAGTAAACCTCTAATAGCTACGAAGAAACCCGAATGCGTCCACAATGACCATACTCATGCTGCGGGAGTAAAATATCGAGCCCTCCCTGAAGATACTAAGGTACATTGAGTTTAAGTCGTTTTAAGTTGGGTATTAAGGAGGCACAACGAGTGTACGGTTATGGCACCATGGTTAGAGTGCTGTAAAGACACTTACTGGGCATATGAGAATCCAGTGCTTATGACCAACAGGCGACAGTCTTCCATGGCAATAGAGTTCACGTTCTTGAAGCTGTAGAATGTCATGATTTGGCTGCTACTCGTCACTGGGACGACAATATTATCACGGCTCTGGGGGCTAATGACTTAAAATTTGTAGATTCCACCGCTTCAGTCAAGCTCGAGCCCGAAACCTGCGTGGTCGGAAACCTTTTTGGGACGTCACGCAGGGTGGGTGAAAACCCTTAGTTCAAGGTCACGCGTTAGCCAGACATTTGAACTATCGTCTAGGCTGAACTTGATTCTCGTCACATGTCACGCAAATTTCTTTTGAACTTAAAGTCGTGTAGCTACAGTAGTCCAATCTGATTGCGACGCGCTAACTGAACAAAGTAAAGCCGACATCATACGGAGACGAGTCGGAATATAACTACAACAAGAAGCACAGTATAGCTACACGTGAGTCAAACAGCACATTAGACTGAGAGTAAGGTACTAGAGAAGATACTAAGAAGCATTGCAATTGACGAGAGCACTTGTGTGAGCATGAGTTTAAAAGCGTCCAATAGCTGAGTCGAGGACGGACAAAAGAAACCTAACCTAAAAGTAATCCATGCCACACGCACAATCCCTCTTCTACGGCCATCCATGCGCGTTTAGATCGTGGCTGGCAGCTCGTCTATCTGTGACTTGAGGTCCATTAAGAATCCGTGTGCACACAAGATGCTCCCAGCACACCGCGGACATCCAGTCGCTTCCACCACCTTCGACAGGAATTCCATGCTGAAGATCACGTCGGTGGTTGGGCGAACCGCAAGCTCTTCGCTCGCCATCCGTTCAAACTCCCTCCACCACTTCGGTGGAATAAAGTTCGCATAGTAGGCGCCCCCATTGCATTGCATGCACTTGACGTCTTCAGGGAGTTCAAGCAGCTTCCGCGCTGCGATCGAGCGCTGTCGGTGAAGGTTGAGAAGCCGGTGATAGGAGTAGGCAGTGATAAACTTGAGATCGTCGGAAAGTGGACAGTCCAGGACGTTCACCGAGAGCGTATACTTGGAGGCCACCCTGGCCTCGTAGTCTAGCTCGTAACGATTGGCAATGGCGAATGCACGCAGTGGATTCTCCCGCACAAACTCGGGAAACGTCAGGTATTTCCTGAGCCGAGAAGTGGCCCCATCGAAATCGTACTTGACAGCCGCATCAAGAAGGGATGACAGGTCGCCTAGCGAGGATATGACGGGGTCGGGTTCAGGGTACACATAACAAATGAGCGTACACATGACGGATGAGTGCTCTGATACGGGAATTATGGGAATCTTGTCTGCTGAAGGGTCCTCGAGAGTTTTGGGCTGGGGAAGACCGAACATGTGTTCAAAGAAAGGGGAGGCTGCCGACAAGATGCACTTGTGCGCGGGGATCTCTACTTCATCCGCAGTCAGAAGGATGACATCTGGACCACTAGGGCCAAAAGCACGATCTGAGGGGATACGCATGACTGAGATGAGACTGGCGGAGTGTGTTAGCGGTCAGAATGGGGATGAGGAACGAGAGGGCAGCGTAAGAGCTTATGAAGGTCGCAACAATTCAGTCGGTCCGGCTGCGGTGAGACAAGTGAAGAAACGTGATGAACGGGTATGCAGAGCATAAGCGCTAAGCAGTGACTTGCACGCGGACTGATTCGAGTTGGTCTAAGACAGCATGGGATTGTTAAATAGTAGATCTGAGTGGCGCTGAGCACTGAACACAGGGATAGGGGGTTTCCCGAATGGTGACGTACAGCCGAGCGTCTAAAGCCAAACCCTTCCAAACGTTTCACCGATACCTCGAGGGCGGAGGCTCCCTGTATCGTCTGTCTCTGTCTCTGTCCCTGCTTCTGCTTCGCTTCCGTTCTCTATTACGAGGGGGCGGTGACCGTGAACGAGACGAGCCTCTTCTCCTTTCATGCGACCGATTTTTCTTGCTGCTGCGTTGTCCGTCATCTCTGTCCCTGTCCCGTCTTCGGTGATCATCCCGATTTCCGGGGACGTCAAATACCAGGCCATATCCGTTGTCATCTCCATTCCTCCCCTCTGCTCTGTAGCGCCGAGTTGCCTCCAGATCGTCGCGACCCGCAAAGCTGCCTGCGTCTCGTCTCTTACCAATCTTGGGATTGTTCGACCAAGAAGTATTAAACCGTGCCACGGATTGTGAGCTGGAAAGGGAACGATGAGTATCCGCAAGGTTAACGCTGCAGGGAACGCTTACAAATCAACCCAGATTCGCCGGTCGTCTATCAGAACGTTCTGCATCTTGAAGTAAGCCTGATAGTGGCGAATTTAGCGTGACGTGAATAGACGGATGAAGGAAACTGCCGACCTGCTCTGCTTCTTCGCGCTTGTCGAACTCAATGAACGCGTACTGGAGCGAGTCACCTGTCTTCTTGTCACGAATGACTTGACAGCTCATGATAGTTCCAAAGCGGGAGAAGATGAGTTCCATGTCCTCATCTCGTGTGACTGGATTGAGCTTGCACACAAAGAGAACGTTTTCGGGCGGCCGCACGTTGGCGAATGGCAGGTCGCCGACCATTTCAAGTGTGAGCGCTGAAGCAGCTGCAGCTTTCTCCCGGCGCTCCCGTTCAGCTTCTTCCTCTGGAAGCTCCTCCAATGGATCTTCATCTTCGGCTATGCGTGTCGAGTTGTCCGGGGGCCGAATAGGAGATGAAGGGGGCTGCAGAAGGCCAGGAGGATCAGGAAAGGGATCATCTATGGACTATTCAGCACGGTTTACTAGCAAAGGGTAGAACCACAAACCTAAAATGATGACATGCCGTATACGGATGTCTTTGAATGGCCTCCCGTCCTGGTCAGTAAAGACATCGTTGATTTTGTCCAGCGTCTCTAGTCCTTCAACAACGTGCCCGAACACCGCGTGTTTGCCGTCAAGGTAGTCTATGTTGTCTGCGAGGGTGATGAAGAACTGGCTAGCACAGCCGCCTCTGTCACCATTGAGCGCTGGCGCAACTGCCATGGACACTGTACCCTTGGATGTATGCTTCAACTTTGGAACAATCTCCGGTGCGAAGTAGCGTGGAGTGGAGGAATTCGACGCAATGTAGGACCACACGGACTCTCCACCTGTTCCAGATGCTGTGGGATCGCCTGCCTGAGCGAGAAAGTCCTTTGACACTGCAAGACATGACTTTCAGTGCATAGAAGCAGACATTGGATTGGGGCTACGCACCATTGAAGAACGCGTTAAGGTTATAATAGTAGACTTTGCATAGCTTCAAGAAGTTTTCACATAGCTTGGGACATAGGTCAACCTCGAGGTCGATCACAATGTCCCCTAGTGAGGTCTCGAAGAGAACCGACATAATGGGGTGAGCCAACCGTGTAATGAGCCTGCAGGCCGCTAGACGCTCGTCCATAAGTACGACCACGTGACTATCCTGGCGCGGTGCTCGCAAGATTCGTCCCTTGCCCTTCCCTCACAAACATACAGGGTCGCAGTTTTGTGTTCTTTGCTCTTGACCCGTGTAAATCTGACCCGCCATGTCATCACACTCATATGAAGTGGCCCTCTTTGGCGATTTCTTTCCTCGCGACCTGAAAGCGATTATGAATCGCATCACTCTACACGCAGAGTCTGCCCACCCTCTTCACTGCCGCGAGCTTGTCTACGAGCCCTTGGTACGCGACCCTTCGTCGCCAGACTTTGTCTTGCTTCGCGCTCGGAAAGACTTGACACAGTCAGGTGCCAACTGGATGCTATTCAGCTACTTGAAGCCTGAAAGCGCTCGCGCTCATCCTGAAGCAACAGTACGACCATGGGCCGTTGTTGGTGTCATGGGTGACGCGTTGAGCTTTGCCAGTGCCATGGGCTACGTGTGAGTCATAGCTCTATTTGAGAAATCACTCAGGTATAACTACGATCTCGATCAGACGGAGGAGTCAGATATACAAACGTGGGTATGTCTTTCGCAGAGGGTTACTCGAGATTCAGATGTTCCAACAAGAACAAGTGGGTATATTACTTTCGTGCGCGTGCTTATACTAACGCCGTATTTTGTAGGTGGATCCCAAGACGGAACAGCCAATCCCTGCCCATGCGGATACACTTTGGGAGGTAGAAGTCAAGACCGCATCGCCCGTGCGCAATACGCAAGAAACTCCTCTGAGCCAGTCCGTCGACGCTGTGCTTGAGGTGCAGCTTCTCATGAAGGGATTGCTTGATCTCCGTCGCATCGATTCCTAAAGTATCGAACCGACCAATGATATGCCAGCCTGGGCCATGTTTATCTCCAACGCAGGGGGTCCAACTAGTCACTCCGCTTCGTCGTCCCCAGATCCAGCATCCCAGTCTACCATGTCCTCATCCACTGCCTCCTGTATGGTCCTGCTCTGCTTGATCAGGTCGAGGAGAAGGTTCGGATCCAGCGGGGCATCGCCCTCGCCATCTTCATCAGAGTTGTCTGCCGTATCGATGGTGTCCCCTTCCCCAACCCTGGCATCAATCACGGCGACCTTTGTGGCCATGTCTCCATCGACGGATTCATTGTTGCCTTCTGATTCATCATCGCTTCCGCCGTAAGCTCCCAATCCACTGAGGCCATTACTCTGCCGTTCCGCGCCGTCCTCGCTATCCTCACTCCCATAGTCACCCAGCAAAGTGCCGATCCTTTGCCGTCCCTCACGGTCTCCTAGCCTTCTTCTCTTTGCCCTCCTTGCTTCATCGTATCTCTCTTCTTCGATGTCAGCGTACACGGTCACCATACCCTTCGCATCCACAACGTCTCCCGGTGGTGGGAGCTGTGGGTCATAAACATGTAGCGAAGGAAATTCGACGAATGTCGTAAACTTCAGGCCCGCCAACAGAGGTTGGGATGGGTCCACAGAGTGGAATAATTTTTGAGAAGATGGACGCGACAACGCTGCTGGTGATGCTGCAGTGTAACATCGAGGGGGCGTGAATTGGGCATCTTCGGTATCGGCCTCTGAGGTGTCAGCATCCTGTAACAACGATGGAGGAAGGACGAGAGGACAAAGCCATTCTGGTGGGGCCAATTCCTTTTTGGACTTGACCCGCTCCTTTACGGCTTTTTGAAGAAGGGAAAGCAGGGGTTGAGACGCGTCGTTGCGATGGGTGAGGATTTTGATGCATTGGTCGGCACTGGCGTATGGTGGGGGATGGATGACGAGCTCGAGGGTCAGATAGGCTGCTCGTTTTCTAGGCTTATTAGCCTTGTTTGCGAGAATGGTGTCGAGGATGCGATACGTACTTGTGATCCCATGTGGATTGATTAAGGGCCCTTTTGTCCATTCCTACTGGCAAGAACTCCATTTCAATGTCGCACTTTTCCAATGCTGCTTGAAGCGCCTCCCGCTTTCCACTCGTCTTTTTCTCTCTTCTGGCCCGTTCGCGACCTGGGTGACCCCTCCCGCCTCTTGAACTTCCAGGTCTCCCCCTATGTCCCGTGTTCCCTGTCATGTAGTTGCCGCCTACGATTTCTCGGCCCCATTCGCCTGCTCGCCGTCCAACGTCCTCAAGAAAAACGTAGTCGTCCATCAGCTGGCCGTGTCCGTACTGGTTCATCGGGACATATTTGGCCTTGTTCCGTTCTCCTGAGCAACCTGTAGACGTCTTGTGGGCACGACTGCACGCGAGTGAACAAGTGCGAGTGTTGCAGCGAGGGCACGCGTATTTGGCGATCTGTGAGCAATGGGCACAAGCATGACTAGTAGTCTGAGGCGTATCAGATCTCGGTGAAGATGGGCCGGCTTCCAGTGTGGTTGAAGGCATGTCCTACGGCACACTCGATCAGAAGTTCGGAAAATGAGCGAGAAAGTCGGACCGGACGCGTCGACACCTTTCGGAGCTTTCCGAATGCTATGCTCAACTTCTCCCAACATCATTGCGGCACGATATCTAGTCTCCTGTGCGACTCCACGTCCTTTCGCATCATTGGTCTTGCTGGTTCAAGTGAAGCTGACTGTCTTATATTGCCGTTTTCTGCAATCATGCTCGCGCGATATTATCCCTGCTTTTCATGGATCTAATCATGATTTCAGGTGAAATCAGGGCGAGATGACAGTCCTACTTCGCGTCTTCGACGTCAAAGTCGCAACGCATGCATACGGGCACACGCACGTCGACCTAACGATGAACAAGCCCCTGCCATTGAGATCAGCGATGTCTAATGCGAACAACGCATTGAACTGCCTTGGGCCAAAATTGCCATTCTATTACTGATATTTCTGCTGGCTCAATCAAGGCCAGCCGAGCCCGAGAGGAACGCGCAAGGGCCCCTTGCCGATTCCATATAAGAGGTCGTATAGCCCAACCATCTCTCGATGAACTCCTGCCGGGCATACTCCTTCTCATAGACTGATTTCGCTTCGATGGACTCCGTTGCCGCGCACAGCTACTTGACTGCTATATTTCGGAGTAAGTATAACTAAGCTAACGTCCATTTTCTTCAACCGAACACTGACCTACATTTCTCAAGCTGCAACGGTTGCTATTACAGTATGGGATCACTGTGAGATTTGTTAATTCTCACCGCTTTTGATATCCTCTTATGGTCCAAATTCCAGTGATTACGTTGCAATATGAGGTGAGTTGAGAGAAGCCAGTGCTTATACGTGCTGACTCCACATAAAGGTGGCGTTAATCTGGGTAAGAGCGCAAGTCCGCCATTCGTCGTCTTGACCATGATTGGAAAATCGAATATAGAGTCGTCTGAATTGCATATCTCTGCTATTTCTATTGGTGAGAGATCACCTCACAAGTTCTCTGGAGGTTACCTTTATCTCCCATTTGCGACAGAATCGTTATCTTGGAGAAATTATCTTGATGTAGGTTTGTGTATCTTAAGGCATGATTATAACACCTCTATAATCTTCCTTAGTGGAAATTTCGTTGGTAGAGTTGTTAATGCAAATATCCGTATCAAGATAGCTAAAACGGTCACAACAGTCTCTTGGGACAGCCGTGTATCACCGGAAGTGAGTATTGGTACCTTTTCTCGCTTAGTTCAAGTCGTTGATAAAGTGAATGAACGTGGAGGTGTACGCCTCTGACTAGTTGCTCGATAATTGTTTGGCTAACAATATTCTAGTTGTAGGTTCATAGTCCGCATCCTATCATAGTTCACTGACCCATTATTTAAAGGCTCAGATTATCTATTATTTCAGGCATAGGCATGGGTGGTGACTGTATGGGCGGTTCAAGGTCCTTGACTCGCTTCCGACATTGCTTGGCCATACACTCAGACCCTCTTTACAATGCTTATGCAACATCGGGTCAGCGCCTTTAATCACCACAATCCCAGACTTCAAATTGGCCTTAGAATTGCGTTTTGTTTAAGTATGCTCCCAACCGCTGTTCTACTTGCTATTTCCTCTAAACCGGGAGGTAAGCCAAACCTTCTTAGAACATGCTCTCCGCACCTAAGTTGCTGGTGCTCTGCAGATAAGACCTTCCCATCCCTGTGCGCTTACACGAACAGCCATCGGTACTTCCTTGCGTTTGCCATTCCGGTAATAATCTGGGAGTGTATCACATTATCATTCCTGCCAGATACGTGGGTCTCTGGGATATATATTCTATGAACACAAAAAGCACTGGAAAGTTGGCACTGTCGTCAAAGTACCACTTAAAGACGGCCTTACGCACTTCTTTCTGTGCGTAATAAGAATAACCGCTGGTTGTATGATTAACTGTCTTTCTCAGTGTGGCCTGTGTCTATGGTCCTGCGGGCTGGATTTGGTATAGCAAAGAAGTTCGTTTTCTTGTCCACGCGTTCTTGCCAAACATATAGCTCATGTTGCATAAAACCGCCACTTCACAGGCATCTCTAGCCCAAATCCCACAGTGCATCGCTCTTGCTGCTAATGTCATCTTCGGAAGTCGGGCTGTACTCAACCTTCGGCTAGTCACAAATCAGGGAGAGGTCGACTTCCTGCCTCACGTTCCTTCTCCAAGCCGAACACCGAGCCCACTGACGTTCAGTACGAGGGTAGAGGACGAGGAGGTTGACATGGATGTCCCCACAGGAACAGGAATCAGCGGCGGCACTGATGTTACTGTCGTCGGAAGTTTGGATGGTTCTGACAACAGACGCACGCGGACCATACGGTTTGCCGATGATATCAGAGCCTGAGGTCATCCCAAGTTTCTGTTGTACGAAGATAGTGTCGTATGTACCACTAGACTTTATCACATGAACTAGGTACCTAAGACTGCATCAACCAGCAGTTTTGTGTTTTGACATGATAGCTGTGAATAGGGGTTTATTTCTATAAGCGGCCTATCAGACTCTGGCTCTGTTCAGAATCCGATCCAAACGCAACGCACACGCGTTGTTCGTTGATCACAAGTTGTCCATTCTCATATGCATGCAGTCGGAGACTTTATACCTCCCATGACCAGGAACGAGTTTCTCAGCGCCTTGGGCGCCGGTTAGGCGCTTGCAGATTAATACATATACTGTACTTTTTCGACCAAAAGTTCGCGGGGTGGCGTGGGAATATGACTACCAAATACAGCGTGTCCCGCTTTTTAGTTCGCTGGTGTTGGTGGTGCGGGACATAAGTTCGTTTCGAGTCTGTTTCATAGGAAAATGAGTACGTGGTGGGTATCATCGCTTAATTCCGTACGCTGTGGTATATTGACGAGCTGCTGGGATGACCGTACTGGTTGTGCACAAGTGAAAGATTGACACCCATTTTAGCCCCTATTTACAACATGTCCCGCATTTTAGTTCGCAGGCTCTACTAAAGCGGGACAAACCAACCAAAAGTTCGCGGTGCCAGTCTGGATGGGACACGGGACGAACTTTTGGTCGAAAAAGTACAGTAACCCGCCCAGACACACGGAGGATAACGCGGAATCCGCATTTTCCGGCGGTCCAGCCGTCCAGCCGTCCAGCCGTCCAGACTTGGTCCAGACATCTCGAGCCGCGCCGCGCTGTATCATCCGCTCCATCCCTCTTCCCTCTCGTCTTTCTTCGCCACAAATTCTAACTCTCTTTTCACGACACAGCAGCCCCTCCTCTGACAATGAGAATGGAAAACCAAGAGCTCCTGCCAAGCACGCAGCACTGTGTATGCCCGCTCACACCCAGTGTTGGACACAGGCGCAACTGCAGGCATACAGGCTAGACATATGGGAGGTATTTATTGAAGTCGAGAACTGTGAAGGAGGGTTGTAGGAGCGTGATGAGGTAGGTCTGTATGTCTGTGGCTCCCTTAAATTCTCCATCCTCGTGCTCATTGGTCTTCCAGGCGCTGATACCTTTCCTTCGGGCCATCCGTGCACATTTTGGGGGTTTCCCGATGCTCCCAAGCGCGTCCTGCTCGTGCACGGATTGGCGTGCTCATTGTAGCTGTGGTGTCGCATCACAACGCTTGTCATGCGAGGTAAGCTTCCACCCTCACCCACCTGTAACATGAGCGTTCTCCTACTCCCCTGACACCCTTTCTCTCGCTCTCATACATAATGTCACACCTGACCCACGGAACCTTATCATTGCACACTCCCTCGACGGGATCATCGTGCTTAACTTCCTTCACAATGACGCCATACACCCGTGCCCAGGACGATCCCCACACACAGTCATCATCAGCCCACCGCTTGACCTCGCACTCGAGTGGTCTGCTTTCTACGGGACCATATCAAGGCGTCAGCAAGGCGTTTGCCCGGCGCTTGAATGGGCAATGGCTTTACTGGTATCATTTTTGGCTCGTTTGCTGAAGAGACTAGTCTAGCAGTGTAGTACCACAACCATATATATATACTTTAATCTTTCAAGAAGAGATTGAAACGGAAGTAGATATCTTGAGTCGTTAACCTGTGTGCGCAGGGCAGAGGAGGATAGAACAGATAGCGGTCGCTTCACTAAAACAGGGGCTAATTGTCTAATTATGGCCACGCGTCGGCTGTTTTATTTTTTCCCGCGCATGTGGCTGGATGGCTGGACAGCCGGACAGACGCGGCTACAACGAAATCCGAATTCCCCGTTAACCTGGACACACGAGCACAACCTGCTACGCTCTGGCCATTTCGACCTTCATTCTTCCGTACGTCCGAGAAACGAAGCTGATTGACCAAGAAGACTAGACCAAGTAGCTTGAAGTATGAACGCCGACTCAGTGGCTTATGCATACCATGTAACTGGCGCCGTCCAAGGTACAGTTCTGTGAGCAGTCCCTGAATGTGATTCTAACGTGACGCAATACAGCGGCAGCAGCTTTCTTGAGCATATATGACCACTGCAAGTGATGCAGATTCCCTTGATGTATTGGTGCACTCACCGCCCTGGCTGCAGTCCTCACGTTTGACCGCGAGGTATGCGTAACATGCTAGTGCCTGTTCATCATGTTATCTGGGAGCTAATATTCATATTGCATCCATGTCGCATGGTGTAGGTCTCGCTCATGTGGGTATGCAATGCATTGCCAAAGTAATGCACTCGCTTGCTCAGTATTTCCCTACTACAGACGAAAATCGATGCGAGGGCTATAATGTACTTCGTCGTATGTCGTCCTGAATGCAAGGTTGACCTTGCTAAGCTGATTGACATTGCCTACTTCATAGTATAGATATCTAGGCGAGGCTCTCCTTGGGTATGTTCTGGTTCAAGTCGCTTTGGTCTAAAGGTCACGGTGATGTTGCTCATCAGCATTGACATCATCACTTTAGAGCCAATCTTGCTGGTGCGTTGTACCTTCATTCCCTGAGTCCCGATGTGGTCCTTAACCTTTGACGTAGCCTCTGTCAGGTCGTTAGGATTGCTTCATGTAAGTGCAGAACAACGGTGATTCTCGGATGTAGGCTTCTAACGTGGGTTATCCAGACGTAAGACCAGTTGTATTCCTCTTCTCCCAAAGCATAACGTGTCTTAGATGTGCGTAGCGCAAAAATATTCAGCTGCAGCAAAATTAACTTTCCCTAGGCCCTTGGTACATGTATTTTCAAACGTGGGCATCCGCATTGATCATCTGGGTTGTGCAAGGTATAGTTTTCTCCCAAAACCATGATCTCAGTATAGCTGATTGTAGTTTAGCGCGTGTACAATGGGTTGCACTTGCGTTCAATAACTCCGATCGCAAATTCATCGCAGGGCTTGTTTTTCTATTTTTCCTGGAGATACTAGCGACATCGATTCAATTGGGTTTGTTCTCGACGTCAGGGGCCGGTGAGGATTATTTGAAAGTGTCTATATGGGATTGTTCTGATCTACCTTTAAGTCTCGATCTCGACAATGCCTCCCTTCTGTGCTGCATCACAGAGCAAACAATACTTTTTTGCTTTCACTATCCCAATAGTCACATTCAATGTCTTCCTGTTGGCAGTGGCTCTATGGGCAATATTAGGATACTACAGGCAAGTGCATAGGGTGCTGAAAGAAAGTGCTGAGTGGGGAATCAGTCCTACTATCAAGGTTTCTTCACGGGAGTTGATCGTCTATTTTATCCTGTAAGTCATTAAATGCTTTTTAGACTTTATGCTCATCTCCTCGCAATCCAAGCACTACCATACTGTGGAGTATAGCAGGATGGATCTGGATAGACAAAGATGTTCGTCCCTTGAACTTGCTATCCGGTGGTTCCTCTGAACAAGATTGAAACCCTACACAGGTCTCCCTACAACAGGTGCCACAGAGCGTTTGCCTTGCGACCATGATCATTATTGGGGGTCGCTTCGCCCTCAATATACGAGAAGCTACCACCTATCAGCCAGAGTCCCCCACCGACACTCTTCCCTCAATGAGCCCTATCTTCCGCCCACAACATTCAGAACTCTCCACAGTCAGTAATACAGGAGAGTTTGAGATGGATACATTCACACCGGAGCATCATGTTCCAAGCAGAACTTAGAAAGGATTCGATTGCCGAGAAGTACACTGATTGTTCGAGGAATAGTATATTTAGCTGTACATCCGCAGTTTCGAGGTACTGTCGTAATAAATGTTCAGTATTATATTCGATGGTGCTGAGATGTGGGGTATATTGTAAGCGTCAAAATGAGTGGAGCACTAGTAGCGGATTGTTCTGTTAAAATATACTGAGCGAGTAGGGGCGGTTAATATACAAGTTCTTAGAAAACAGGGTGAGTGGAGTGGTCTGGCGTTACTTTGAATCGACTATCTTCAGTTCAGTTCAGCTCTCCTAACCCGGAGAGGCACGCGGGATCCTTCTTCCCCAACGACCTTCGGACGAGGAAGGAGGCCATTGGTGAGCGTCAACTTAATCTCTCGACCGTCGCACAAATCAAACACAAAGCTTCTGACCAATACACATAGCACGACCTTGAGAATCACACATATAAGCGAACACTTATCGTTGAGTTTGTCGTAGACTTGCCTTCATTTCAGCCACGGCAAAGGCTTTTCCGATACAAGTTTTTGGGCCCTCGATGAACGTGACTAGGTGGCGATATCCGGAAACATCCTTCGGTAGGTGGGCAGGATCATCGGAGAGCCAGCGTTCTGGCTTAAATTCAGTTGCGTCCGGACCCCAAAGTTCGTGAGATGTATTCGTGGCCTTAACAGGAACCAGGATGGACGTCCCTTTGGCGATCGATATTCTGTCCTGCAGCTGTCCAGAGGCAGTCTTGACAGGCTTGCTCAAAGGTATGACATCGTCCCGAGTTGCCTGTTCGCGCGTCAGATAACGATTCCTCCATACATCAGCGGATGAGTAGGCTCACGACGCGAATGACATCCGTCAGGGAAGGATGAACGCGGAGCGTCTCGTGCACGACAGCATCAAGGTATGGGAGACGAGTAGTCAGGTCTTCCCAAGTGAGATCAGCGTCTTGAAATTCAGCAAGCTCTGCACGCAGTTTGGATTGTATGTCCTGATTTCGGGACAGCTCGATTAGTGCCCACTGTCAAATAACTTGAGTAACATCATTCTCATCATTGTGAAGCGAACTAACGGTTAAGGCGACTGTTAGGATCATCAGATGTAGAAAGATCAAGTATGTAGATGTATCACTCACTGGACGTGGTTTCGTAGCCGGCGACAACCATTAGCTTCATCTATAAGGGTGGCAGTGAGAAAGTGCACAAACGGATTATCTTTGAGTAGGCCACTAGCCTGAGCAATGATTTCCTCCTCACTGAATTGATTCTTCGAATCTGCGTCTTCAGATCTAACTAAAGACGATAAGCACCTTCAGCGGCTATAGGAATGATCATTACTTACTCAATAATTCAACGAGGGAGTTAGATTTCGAGTCTTGTTTTCCTGCGCGCCCTTCCTCAAGCAGGGTCTTTGCTATCGCACCAAGGCTTTCGCCGAGCTGGCGATTTGAAGCTGTGCCAGGGTTGGGAAGCTTTGCTAGCCATGGAAACACGAAGGATGCTAAGATGAACGCTATTTGCGTCATTGTCAACTGCGAGGAAGAAGCGGCCTTCAGTGCATCAGCCACTGCACAATCTTTGCCTTCCACAGTCCCGAAGTCGTACGAGAAGCCTGCCACACCAATACTATCGAGACTAGTTTTGGTCATTTAGTTTTTAGGTTTGACGGAAAAAATCATAGACCCCTTACGAAATGCAATTCATCCTACGCCAACAATGTTAGTGAAAGAGGTCGTTCGTGGAGGAAATTTACCCTACCAATGCTGTACTTCGATAGCTCCATCTGGGTTAGCCTCACACAACTTTTCCCATTCAGCTTTGGCCTAGAAAGAGTGTTCAATGAGTACAAAACAGCAGCTGGCGATATCGACATTCTCATCACCTTGTTTGCAGAGCTGAAGAATGCTGGGACTAGCCGCCTTATTGCCGTATTGGTAAATGCGGGAGCTAAAGTCCTTCTTTGCCTGGAACGGATGGATAAATAGATTAGTCAAGCAACCTCATAACACAAAAGTTTCAGGCTCATAACAGACCTTTTATGTTCGTCTCCTTGAGCAGACAATAAATTACCCGCGTTCAACTGGTGAGGCGTTCAACGTCCAGATCCCAATAATAAATGATCCACAAGAATACTTACAAGGGCGTCAACGGAAATCTGTGACAGCTGCGGCAACTGATACGTGTACGCATCCTCTGCGAAGAAATGGGCGATCCCAACTGGATCAGAGAGAACGAGGAAGGTCATTCCCAAAGAGACCGGCAGCTTGAAGATTCCCCCGTATTGGGATATCCAATCCACTGTTTGCTCGTTCTTGTTCAAGTTTTCGAGGTCTATTTTATCCTCGACTCCAAAGAGAAAAGTTTTCCTGGGAGGACCAGAAAGACGCGTCGTATGCAAGTGCTGACGGCCAATTGCCCAAAGCTTGAGTGATAACCAAGCAATGGCGGCGGCAGATGCAGCGCCAGCAAGCCCTATGGAGTTCTGAGAAAGCTGAAGCATGGTGCCAGACACGATACCGAGGCTACGAGTAAATGCTGAGTGAGAAGTGGTTGCCAGTGACGCCTTTAAGTACTTGGTCATAGGGGCTCAACGCGACGACCCATCTGAGGTTGCTGTACTGCACGAGACTGCGCGTCGCAGCGGCAAGCGGCGAGGCTCCAGATGCTGTATATACCTTCCTGTGTGCGTACATGACGTATAGTTCTCGGAAGCACGGCCTTGTATGATTGTGCACATGGTTCAAACGATGCTTGGCACTGGCAGTCATGAGGTTTTACATCGGAACTTCCCGGCAGCGTTTATCCGAGAGTATCCGAATCTTCTGTCACTCGTTGACTGCAGACGCGAAGTAAACCATCCACATGTAACCAGAATTAACCAGCTCAAAGAACAATATACACTTGATACGCATTCCATTCTAATAATACCCATAGAAGCCCAATGAAAACGCGCACAGCATCATCAACCTTGGTGATTGGGTTATTTAGGCAACGTAGCCGTTGATAGAAGGAGCCATGCACGCCGCAACGAGCGAAGTGTCGGTCCAGGTGCCGTCGGTGTCGGTGGGCGTCTCGCTGAGAACGTAGGTAGTAGCAAAGTTGCCGGCAGCCCAGCCAACGTAGCCGAGGATGACTGTAGCGCACGCTTGTTAGGACAGAACATAAGGAAAGCAAAAACTGTTACATACCATCAGAGTTCTGAGCCTGGTAGGCGATCTGCTCGCACATGTACGTGTTGCAGGAGGTAACGTCTCCGCCACCAGTCTCGGTGTTCAGAGCCTGACGGTTGTTTGCGCGGAGCCAGGTCGCAAGAGGTTCCCAGGCATCGTCGATGTTGTTGGTGACACACTCGGCATTCGTGCCGCTAGAGCCCCTTTCTTAGCATCATGAATATAATCTTGATAGGAATACGCGTACGAGTTGTCAGAGTCGAGGTACTTGTGAACATCCATGATCAGACCAGTGATGCTCCCGTCGGGGTTGGTCACTGTAGCCAAAGCTGCAGCAGAACCACCAGAAACGAAAGTCTCGGCCGAAGTGTAGTTGTCACCAGGGAGGAGGATGTACTGGCTCGTCGCACTAAGACGATATAAGTCAAACGCAGTGCTTCAAAGGAGAATCCGCTCACCCAGCGTTACGGATGGCAGTCACCGCTGCCTGGACAGTTCCAGCCCAAGTAGTGATCTATGCATTGCCTTGATTATGATGTCAGACCTACATCGTTAAAAGTGTGCTTACGGAGGGAAGGTCATGAGGCTCGTTCATGCTGCATGTCACATAAGCCAAGAAAGTGACATAAATTGATTCAGACTTACACTCCGAAAACGATCTTAGACTCGTCAGCATAGTACGTGGCGATGCTGCTCCAGAGGTCGGCGAACACCTCGTTAGTGGGTCCGCCCTGGCCAATAATCTAGGCAGAAAATGGATCAGGCTCCAGTGCACTCAAGCACAAAGCTCCCTACCTCGCCGTTGAAGCGGGCGTAGTTGTGGATGTCAATGATGCAGCTCGCGCCGGTTTCCAAGCACGCCTGGACGAGAGCATCGTACTCGGCGAAGTTGGTCTGGTTGAGCGTGCCAGTTGCCTCGTTGTTGGTCAGGTACTGCCAAGCAACGGGGAGACGGAAGATGTTGTAGCCGTCATCGTTGACGAAGTGAGTCATTTGACCAGCACCATCAGCACCATAGTACTGAGTCAGAGGCGGGTAGGCCGAGCTGGCAGTGTCATCACCGCTAGTGTCCATGCCAAAGTCTAGGAATGCTATGAGTAATAGCCTATGGGATGTCAAGCATAATGCCTACCAAAACCCGCAATGTTGACACCAGCAAAAGTGAGGGTGCCAGTAGCAGCATAGGCCGAAGCCACAGAGGCTGCGAGGAAGCTGAGGATGCCGAAGGACTTCATGACTCTTACTCTGGTTTCGAGTGGGGTCCTAATGCTGACTGCTGGCCCAGCAGACCAGGCTTTATAGTCCACAGTTCAGCCTCGAGTACTGCACAATTATTACATCGTCACCGAGCAACGACCCTCACGCAGGTTCTCCCATGGGTAACATAGGGTAGCATGCGACCTAAGCCCCTCATTCCGAAGGTTCGCCGAGAAGCAGCGTGGGGTTCTCTCTCCCAGTTCTACCAATGTAAGCGTAGTTTGGTATCACACCGCCGACTAGTATGCCTGCCACGTTGACTCATACGCAGAGAGAGAAACAGAATTAGGAGCAACACCATGCGGTTTAACTCGGGTCCATCTTCGTTAGATCATCGGAGCACTGGAAGGAAGTCAGCCAAGGCCGAAAGACGTACAAGCCGTAAGCTCGGAGGTCTAAGAATAGCAGGCGATTCAATGTGCCAGCCTGGGGGCATTAGGACATGGTTGTTACGGTTGTCTTCTCGTTGCCTAAAACATGGCGGATATCCAGGCACAAAGGTTTGTTGTCTTCGGGCAGCTTCGGGCATGAGTTGCTCATAGAGGCCGACGAAAGAGTGATGGAGACAGCGTCCTCGGTGTTGGATCTTATGTTCAGAGCTAAAAATAGCGTTTATGAGGTTGATTAGCGGCTCATCCACTCGAATGTCCGTCCCCACAGAGTAGAGTTTGTGCCTGAATGTTGAACGGCGGAACGGGGCGCGTGGCTAAAGCACCTGCTGGCTGATAGCATGCACGCAAAAATACTTCGCGCGGAGAAATTACGCTGAACATCTTGTGTGCCTCGGTTCCTTGATAGCGGCTCTACAATGCACACGCAGGCTGAACTACAAGGGAGGGCATCCAATGTAGAGGGCGCTTTGCCAAAAAATGCTCACATGACCATCCTTGTAGCGATCGTCGTGGAATGTAAACCCATAAGATTGCCTGATAGAGCATAAGCACAAGATATGTTGTGAGAACGAAGTCGAGCGAGAGCCCCGAATCCTGCATCAACGGTTGTGGTCCTTTATGCCAAGAATCTTTGGAAATGTAGCATTCGCCTCTCTCCTCCATTAACGAGTTATTTGTGTCTGTACAGTCGTAGCGGCGGCTTGACCGCAGGGTAATGAAGACCTTGGTGTACCCACAGCCATGCGACTGATGGCGTCCGCAAGTAGCCAAGTGTCATAGTTTCCAGACTTGATGAGACTTATACCCAAGCTCGCCCAATACTCCACCAACAACTCCTTGAGAGTAATTTCGCCCATATGGGCCGGCGATTGCGTTGATCATCCTGATGCTGTACTTGAGCAACGTACACCGTAGGCACAAACCTGTCACTTACGGTTCAGGGCCACAGACCAAAACCATCACCTTTCTTCCCTCGGTAACCTGCGACGAAGGCCGTCCAAGTAGTCTCGATATCCATGAGCCTTCCCTGTCCAAAGCCCTCTCAATGGCCTTCTTGTTTATTCGACCTACGTCAAGGTCATAGTTTGAACGACTGCCAAGCGAAGCATCTGAGTTAGTGTCTTCGAAGAGATACCCGGAACTTCGGTCGGGCGTAATTTTCGGGATGGAGTCAACGAAGAGCCTGAAGTTAAATCGTTGCGGATGAGCGTCGCTGAGGTTTATTAAGCGAGACAGAACCTCTGAAGGTGGAAGCTCTTCAGGTGTCTTGGAGGAGTGCAAGAGAGTGAAACGCGTCTTGCTCGAGATTTGTTCAGATGAAAGTACGTGGTGCACAAGTTGGTAAAAGGGTGTTATCCCTGTTCCACCAGATATCTGGACGTAGACCAGTCAGTATGAACCGAGCAGACAACATGGATCTCACCATAACCACATCATCCCATGTGTCCTCCTTCCATTGCCAAGTCTCCGCTGGACCGCGAACGTCAACGCGTTCTCCCACGCGTTTCGTGTGCAGCCATCGCCCAACCTCACCCTGGTCGTATTTCTTGATCCACAATTTGATGTTTCCTCGCGAGTCAATGCCTTCCAGTGGAGTATACGGTCGTTCTACTTGTATATCATCGTCTTTGATGTATATTGACCATATGGGTGAGCGTTTTTCCAAGGTTCCATCCAAGACCGCGACAGGAGGAACAGAGATTGTTATGAGTTTGCTATCGGGTCCTGTCTTTTGAGTGTCGGCGATGAAGCAAGGTGTGAAATGAGCCAAGCTCAGCGGTTGCGTTGTTGAAACGGGCGCAGAACGTGACTTGTCAGGAAACATAAAGTAGGTTGCTACAAGGCCAGCAGACCCGCAGAGCGCGATCACCGAGAGGGCTTTCATGTTGGCATTTTTGTACCGCAGTTGTCGTGTGTTCGTGGATATGCCACGCGTATAACGAGGGCATGCATGTGGACGAGCGAAATGTAGCCGGAGCATATCAGCACAACAAAGTTTCTTGAGCGCCTTGGCCAAAATTGGCGCGCTGCCTTCTATGCAGTGCATCTGACTAAGCAAGAATATAGCCGCTCGACGCGATGCTCAGCACAAGGTTGGTCTCCTTGCTTTCGCCCACAACCCATACATTACTACCATACGCTCGCCCTACGGCGTGGCGATAATTCCTTCTTCTCTCTTTTCGTCTTGTCTTTCAGCCTATAGATCTGTCATGAAACACCAAAGAGACCCCACACATTCCTATTACGCCAACGGCGCCTCTAGTTCAGCGCTGGCGTTGCAACCTGCCCACAACTCCATCTCTAAACCCACGCTCCTTACACGCGATACGTTCCTCAAAAATCGGGAAAAGGACGATCTTGTCCCTTTCATCTCCGACAGTGACGACTCGCTAGGCAACGATGCTCTTCAGTCTAATGCAGGCAAACTTTCTTCTCGTCCTCTTGTTAAGGGCCTTGGAATATCGTTCGGCTCGTCGTCTCAATCGGATTATTTTTGGGATACACGATCTTGCTTTTCACTCTCCATGAATGGCGGGTCTATGTACACGGCAGCTGAGTTTCAATCTTCTACCGACGATGGCCTCCCACCAGATGCACCAGTCAGACGGCGACTCACTCTGGCTGATCTGCTCAATAGCCCTGTGTTAGACGACAACGCCATTGAGTCCTTCTCCGGTGAAAATCTTCTCGAAGTTCAACTCCCTTCTGCGGTAACGTCTCAGTCCATAATGCATGAAGCTAGCGGCAACTATCTTCGTGAAGAGACGCTCTCACCGATGGATCTGGGAAACCCTGAGGCTTCTTCACTTCTTATGGCTGATTTGCGTCAAGGAGCTCTTGGGAGATACTCTCCAGTACATGATGGCTTTTGCACAGGCACTCTTTCAACTTCACCGCCCCATGGAGAGGAGCTAGCGCTCTTGGTTGACTCTCCTGCTCTCGAGGAAATTCTCATGAGCCCTTTTAATCATAGCAGTCCTCATAAAACAGGGCCCCATATTCTGGATGATGGTATTGTTGACGTGGCGCGAGCTTTCTTACCTCCTCTTCGTTCCAAAGCCGTATTCTCTCCGGCCGTAAAATCATCTCCGTCTGCTAGGAGCGTACATGGCGACCAATACAACTTCATCAGTCCTGCATCTGTGCTTGCATCGTTCGTTCACTCATCTCCTGGCACCATTTGCAAAGAGGCAGAGAACGAAGGAACTGTCATGCCCTACGACCTCGTTTTTCCTTCACCTCCCCTATACGCGCACGCAGGTGTCGACATAAACGAATTTGAATACAGAACAAGAAGGTACAAGCTGCGTCATCCGGGAAAGGAGGTGGACAAGGGTTGGCTTGCCAGCTATGCTGGACGACTGTCAGAAAATGGAGAAGTGCTTGATGGATATCGTTGTTTTATTACAGGCTGCAACCATACTAACAGAAGGCGAGACCATATATTGGTACATGTTGGGGCACATGTCAACATCCGCCCATACAGCTGCGACTTTTGGTGCGTAGGATTGAGTCGAGAAATTATCGTCACTCATCATACTGATGATATTTTAGTGGACAATGCTTCCTCAGAAAGAACGAGCGCAAGCGACATGAAGTGGCTCACCAGAAACTGCGCTCGCACGAGTGCCATGTCTGCAAGAAGACTTTCGTTCGACAAGACCTGGTTAAAAGACATCTTCGACAGCAACATGGTACGGTAGAGGATAGCACGGGATCTCGCTCGAGAAAGACACACAGAGTCAAACGAGAGGAGCATCTTTTGTCTACCATCTGAGCTATGGGCAATATACAGACTATTTCCAGCGTAAAATTAAGTTTGTCTTGAGAGAATATCGTAGTGTAAGAGTTGATGTTGAGTTGATGTTACATGGCTAAGTAGACGCCCTACGTCACGTCTGTGACCCATTCGCTAGGAAGCTGTGACGTGTTATGTCGCGCGAGCTCACGCGTCTTGGCGCTTCCGTCCTTTGTAGCCGCCCTTCCTCGTTAGCGAACACACAACATGTCTGACAGAGGTCGATCACTTACCCCACGAAGGTCTGATGATGGAGATGTAGACATGGAGAACGGAGGAAAGGACGGCCTGAAGGACGACCTGAAGGACGCGAAGGTGGTCCAAATCACTGGGCTCTCAAGAAATGTCGTGCAGTCGCACCTGCAAACCATCTTCGGCTTTTATGGAGAAATCACCAAAGTCGACCTACCACTCTTTCAAAAATGTGAGTCCACCTTCACTTCAAGATGCGCAAATTGAGTTCTAATCCTCGTGTAGCCGGCCAGAACAGAGGAAAAGCAGCGCTCGAATATGCAGACTCGGACGCGGCGCGCAAGGCCGTGTCCCACATGAGCGGAGGGCAGCTTGACGGTCTCGTCTTGAAGGTCGAGCTCTCCAGCGTCCCTATTCGCACTGCGCGCTCGCGTTCTCCTCGCCCCCGCCCCGCTCGGAACGGACGCGACAGGTTCCGCTCCCTCTCCCGCTCCCGTTCTCGTTCCCCGTCCCGCTCTCCACCGCCCTACCGCAGGCGCGGAGAAGGCTATGGTGGTGGTGCCGGTAGGCCACCGCCACCCCCTCGCTTCCCTGACTCCTACCGCGGACGGGGCTTCCGCCGAGGCCCGCCGCCGCCGCGCGACTCGTACCGCCCACGTTCGCGCTCTCGTTCGAGATCTCCCGTCCGCAGGGTTGGCGGCTACCCTCCCAGACGGCGCTCTCCCAGCTACGAGCGCGGTGGGACGGGCTACGGACGACGGGGCCGCAGCCGCTCCTACAGCTACTCCGTACGCTCGAGCCGCTCGCGCTCGCGCACGCCTTCGCGTTCTCGGTCTAGAAGCTCTGCGTCTTACTCGTCTTACTCCAGGTACAGCCGGAGCAGAACTCGTTCCCGGTCTCCCAGCCGTGGCAGGAGGAGCAACAGTAGGGACGACATCAGGGACAGTAGGTCGAGATCACCCGTGTAAAAATGCATATATAGTCCTCTATTGCTTCCATCATTATAAAGGTGGTAAAATGATATAACATGAATGAATAATGAGTATGTACTGGGTTCAATCGCTGTGGACAGAATCGTCATCTGCCATGAAAGGTCTGGATATAATCAATTAGCATGCTTTCTTTGAATGGTACGATGGAGCACTCACGCGTACTCGAAGTTTCTTATAGCACTGGCCATCCACTCTTCGTCTGCCTCCTGCTGAGCATACCCGGTGCCTCCTGCGAGACTGAGTATCACTGGAAGCAACACAAGACCATGCAACGCTCCAGAGATAATCAGAGTAAGCCACATGCGGAAGTAGTAGATCTCCAGCAGCCTCGAGCGAGTAAGGGCCAAGACAGCCATTCCAATAAGCTTGGTGAAGGTGATGCCGGACAAGACCTACAAGCGAAGTTAGCATCCAATTGCTATATTAAAGGCTGAATATGTCACTGACCGATGGCCCGACATCCACAAGCGCGGTCCACATCCGTTCGTCTCTCTCCTTCTGGGCCGATAGCTGGTCGGCCACCATGCCGGAGCCGGCACTCATGAAAGCCCTTGCGACGTGCGCGCAGAACTCCACTGCAATACCGAGCGATATGACGAGGTTCACCAGACTGATCGCGTTCAAGCTGATACCCCAGACCGCCATAATGCCCATGACAGAGACGACCGTCAGTGCGACGGTGGCGGTGACAATCGTGCCCGTGCGCCATGAGCCCAGGAGCAGCGCCGTGACGATGAGAACGGCGGCGAGACCGAGTCCGAGGATCTCCTGCGTGATGGCGATGATGTGCGCGTACTGGTCGAAGAAGACGTAGTGCAAGGAGTACGGGAAGACACTTGTGCCCGTGCGCTCCGAGATCTCGTCTGCAATCCTGTGGGCGGCATCGAACGAGTTGATGAAGTCGGCCTGTGACCGCAGGGGAGAGTGAGACGTCCGGAAATGCGACGCAACGACAGACCTCCCATCATCAGCGACCGAAAGCGCGGTGCCGAAGGAGGCCTTGCCAGCCAGTGGACACTCTTCGTTAGTCGGCGACATGAGCCACTGCTGGAGGTAGCGCATAAACTCCTCGCCCTCTGGGATACCAGTCATGGTGATGTTCCACGCGGGTTCACGGTCCAAGAAGCAGGGCTGGCACAAGCGTTCCGAATCTCTTGCCGTGCAGAACTTAGAAGGATCCCGCTTGCGCACGCGACAGCAGCTCTCCTTGAGCGGGTCGAGCCATTGCAGGAAATCATCAATCCAGGAAGCAGTCGGCTGAGAGATGAATGACGATTCGGGACGTTTACGCTCGCCCTCCAAGGTGTTGGCAACCGAGAGGTCCTCGCAGGTGGTGAATCGACCACAGAGCTTCTGTTGCCCGGGCCTGTCGGTAACATTCAGATCCTTTGTGACGAAGTACACGGGCGGTCCGACGTCCAAATAAACATCCAGGTCGTTGAAGTATGCGTTGAGGTAGGACTCGGAGGGGAGCGCCAGCCTTTGGTCTGTGCAAAGGGCGGGTTTAATCTATTACTGTGAGTGCAAGGGAAACTAAGGAATTCTTACCTAGGCCAAGCTCAATGTATTGCATGGACATGACAGACAACACGAAAATGCCAGTAAAGACAAGTAAAATGATGGCCTTCATGAAAGGCCGCAAGATGAACGGAGCATAGTACCGGCGAATAAACCGAGCAAGCCCACTAATACCACTGCCTGGAGGAGCGTCGGTAAGCGTAATACGCGGTGCTAGGCGAATGCAAGGGAAGCAGTCTACGCGGTGAGACTGGCACGCCATTTAGCATGTATGAGCGAATGTAAAAACAGGGGAGCTTACCTCGACACGTCTGAGATCGACCGAAAGTGCACTGACAAACACCGTGACTTGAAGCACCGCGTTCAAGAATACGCTGCCAGCTGCATACAGTGCAAAGTTGCGCACGGCTGGCATTGGCACAAGCGCACCCAATGCGAACGCGACCGTCTCGGTGATGGTGCTGAGTAAGATCGAAGGGCCCATCTTCGCCACCGTGCGCGCGATGCGCTCCTCGGCGGAAAGGTACAGGGGCAGCGATGCCGTATCCAGCGCGTCCTCAGGGCCAGAGCGGTAGGACAAGCTCGGGCTGCGCGGCGTCTGGAAGCTCGTGCTCCCGCGTTCGTGCCCGTGAATGAATGCCGTAGATGCAGCAGGGCCATGCAACGCGTTCTGTCGATCAAGCTCGTGTACGAGAATGAAGACGTTGTCGACGCCAACGGCTAGGACGAGGAAGGGGATGACTTCGGCGATGATGAGTGTGGTCTTGACGCCAATTGCTGAGAAGAATCCAATGGAGGATGAGACGGAAAGGATGACGAGGCCAATGCCAAAGAGACCGAGCGTGAATTTGGAGTTGATGAACAGGCCACGGGGCAGGCGAGGGAACAAGGTCGGTCTGGGTGAGTCTTCCAAAAAAGAAGAGTTGACGACGGAGGACCTCCGGAAGACATATGGCAAACCCCGCGCCCAGTCGACCAGGGAGGATATAAAGCCCTGCTCACCCTGGCTAGAGCGGCTGCTGCTGCCCAGCGTGAGCGAGACGTAGAAGAACATCGCAAGGTAGGAGAGGACCACGATCTTGACGTCCGTGTTCGTGCTCTTGCCAATTTCTTCCTCAAGTGACACTCCCGTGGAAAACGAGATGTCCAAACCCGCCTCGCCTGCAATGCGCCCATCAAGGTCGAGGAGGTACGTCCTGAGAGTACGCTCCCATTCCATAGCCTTGCCTTGTTCTGTGTCATTCAGAGAATCTGAGACCACAAATGTGACTGTCATTGACCGCGCATGCTCGTAGTCGGGCTCTCCATCTGATGTCACTGGCACACCTCCAAGCACGTAAGGCGGAGCTAACGGCTGATCAAAGTCTGGCCGGCAGTCAACAGGGGAGTGAGCACATCCCACTAGGCGGTTCCGCCAGGTCGACTCGTTGTAGCCGGTGAGATCGTTGCCAAACCAGCCTCCGACTGATTGAACTACACAAGCGCCATCGGGACCAGCGGGCTTGAAGCAAACATCATCGAGGGTCAGTCCATTAGGCTCGGACTTGAGACTCCGAATAGTGTTCTCAACATCGAACCAATACTTGAGGGTGCCATATGACATAACCGACTCATCTGGGGTAGCCGACTTGACAAAAATCTGTTCTGGGCGGTAGAAGGGACCAAAGTGCTCGTCGAAATACTCTTTCTGAATCTTGCTGTCTGAATCCGGGGCAACCCACAGTCTGACTGGGTCAGTCTCGACCCTGAATTTGTCCCAGCCGATGTTCAGAAGGCCCACAATAGTAAACACCACTGCAAACACCAGCCAAGGAGATGATGCAGCAGCGAAGCCAAGGCGGTAAAAGCCTCGTCTGAGAAGGGTATTGAGACGGTATTGGCGGGGCTGGACGGTATCGACGGGGTCCAAGAGTGTTACACCGTGACCAATATGACGACCATCGGTTGATTGAGCCCCGAAGTCGCTGGGCTCTTGAGCTAGCGATGCCGCTCCAACAAGACCACGAGTTGGCCGTGTAGGGGAAAGGAGGGATGCCGTGTCAATTGACAGCGCCATTCTCTCATAACGCTTCTCCCTGCGTCTGCGAAGTGTGTGCTCCAACCCATAGCCGAACAGAACTCCAAGCACTGCGATTCCGTATAGGAGGATGAGGGAGAACGAGAGGCAGGATAGCAATCCAACATGGCATGTCGGGCCACCATTAGGTACGTCGGCAGGTGGGAGCACTGGGCAGATGTTGGGGCAGTCGATGCACGTACAACGACTTGCAAGGTCATTGTCTGTACAATTTCGTGGAGGGGGGTTATAGACGCTGAACTCGGGAACAGCGGGCGGATAATTGATCTGGAAAGGACTCCCGAGGTCTTTCTCGTCTCCCAGGAACTTGAAGAATTCGTGGTAGTTCTTTGCGCCTCCTCCAATGAGATCCATAGCATAGCCATTGAGCGCACCAACTTGCACATCCTTGCAGCTGTTGAAGAAACCAGCACCATACTCCTCTCCAACGAAGTAGTCGACCGATGCGACGGCGGTCTGACCGGTGTTGGTCTCCTGGGTGGAAGTGACGTTCAAGAACGAAGCCTGGTTCGGGGAGCATGTGAACTGGCAGAAGAAGGATCGGAAGTTATTGCGACACGCTGGACACGACGATATGATAGGCTCTGCTTGAGCCATTCTGTCGCGCAAGGTTTCTATCTGGTCCGCGGTACAACATACATCCCCTTGGGCAAAGTCGCTACCGCAGACGGAAACGAGCATGTCGCGTGTCTCTTGATTCTCTGGCTGTTCATTGATTCAGTTTCGTGATCTTTGGCCGGGACAATGGAAATGCGAACGCACCTGCTTGGATGCACCATCGTCTGGACAGGGTAGCTGTTGACCGAACCACCCCTTGCTGCCACAGGAGCCCCGCATGGCGCACTGGCCATGGCCTTCAGTTAATCCCGTCATCTGGACAGATGTATCCCCCTCCAGTTCCGAGGACCAGAAATGAGGGAGCAGCAGGAGTTGAATGGAGAGAGAACAGTTAGACCTTTGCAACGATTGGGGTAAGTTATGGTACGAGACGGATTGCCAAAAGAGGAAATACATGTGGGAATGACGTAAACACCCCTGAGCGGGAATTAAGCTTTTTTGCGACCCCGCGATTTCCTGATCAACCATGGCCGAGCAACTTGCACAAGACAAGGGAAAGGGAAAGAAGCCGGCGAACGCGTCAAAACCACGCAAGAGATTTGTTGGTTCCAAGTCATCGGGGCCGACAAGGTCTGGTCCTCCTCCCGTCGTCGCGAACCAGATCCCAGACGATATCCTGTCCGATGTCCTCCTTAACCAGGCTATCAGCCAGCTGCCTTCCAACTACTCGTTCGAGATACACAAGACTATCCATCATGTCCGCAAGAACAATGCAAATATGGTTTCTCTTCAGATGCCAGAGGGTCTGCAGATGTTTGCATGCACTATAGCAGACATCATCGAGAGGTGCGCATATACTCATCGCTCGCGAGCACAACTCATGCCAGTTCTTTGCAGATTCACTGACGCTCTGACCGTTATCATGGGCGACGTCACTTATGGAGCATGCTGTATCGATGATTACACTGCTAAAGCGCTTGGCTGCGACATGCTCATACACTACGGGCATAGTTGTCTTGGTACGCATACCAATTCGACCTGACATGGACCCTGTGTTCATCTTCACCAGTGCCAATGGATCAAACATCGATAAAGACGCTTTATGTTTTCGTAGAGATATCTGTCGACTCCTCTCATGTCGCCGAAACTATCAGACTGAACTTCCCGGACGATCGGCAAGTCTTCCGAGAAAAGATTCTTGACCGGGAACCTTCATCGGACGCTGGCACCGCGCGCCTGGATCATCTACGCGTCGAGGCTCCCGAAGTCAACGAGAATGGTACAGCAGTAGACGACAGTGCTCAACCTTCCCTCTCGTCAGCAAGTCCCACCCGCTTAGCGCTCGTTTCAACGATCCAGTTTGCCGCTGCTCTTCAGCGACTGCGTGAAGATCTCTCAGCCGAATGGACTGCACCCGAACCAGGACAATCCTATGTCGGCTTACTAGAGTCGGCACCCTCGACGTCCGCAGCGGAAAGCGCAGCCCGCCCAAAGCTCTGGCGCGGGAACTACGATGTTTCCGTCCCCCGCTCCAAGCCACTCTCACCAGGAGAGATCCTAGGATGTACTGCGCCGCAACTCAACGGCGATGCCGATGCCATAGTGTACGTAGTAAAATTGCTCTTCCTGGGTCCCCGACTAACCAACCACCATCATGACCCTACTTGCGCCGTAGTTATCTGGGAGATGGCCGATTCCATCTAGAGGCAATCATGATCGCGAACCCAGACGTCCCCGCGTTCCGGTACGACCCCTACTCAAAGAAGCTCACGCGAGAGCTATATGACCACCGCGAGATGCGCACGATCCGTGACGACGCGGTGCAGACTGCGCGCAAGAGCATCGCCTCCCTGCCTGAAACGCAGACGCAGCAAAACGCGGGTCGAGATCTGACAAACAGCACAGGATCGGATCCTAGCCAAGATGGGCCTGTATGGGGTGTCATCTTGGGCACGTTGGGTAGACAAGGGAGTTTCGGACAGCTCCAGGCGATCGCAAACCAGCTCGCAGCATATCGCGTCTCCATTCCTTATGTTCCTATTCTCCTTTCGGAGCTCTCTCCCGCGAAGCTATCCCTTTTCAATCCCCATATCGCGACGTTTGTGCAGACTTCATGCCCGCGTCTATCGATAGACTGGGGGTACGCGTTCGACAAGCCATTGCTCAGCCCATACGAGGCTGCGGTGGCAGTCGGCAAGGCTAAGGGATGGAGTGTGAAGGCCGAGGATCAGCAGCAGAGTGGGGAAGGGAGATACCCAATGGATTTCTACGAGGCAGGGACGCCCTGGGCAGTGTCACGGCTCAGAGGCGAATTTCCTTCATAGCGAACATCGTGATGTTGTAACATTATATGTAATCCATGCAGACCCAGTACACCCAATCGCAAGGGGCAAAAGGCCTTGCTACAAGCCAAAATACGTACTGATTAACTTCCATGCTGAATTCCCATCATACGCTGATACAAAGAGATCAGCTTCCAGTTCAGGTTCATCATTAATCACTCACCCCCAAGCGTACTCCACCTCATCAACGCCGCCACCGGAGGCAAAGGGTCCTTCCTGCTCCCTGGGCGCAGGACCCATCGGAAGGTCCTCTTCCTCTTCTTCGGCGTCAACCGCACTGCCATCGTCCAACTTAAAGGGAAGCACAGGGCGTAACCTTGATCCAGAACTCGAGCGTCGCGCACTCGCGGGTGACTTCGGTAAAGCAGCCATCGTCTTCGGGCTCATATGCTAAAACCGGGGTTCAGCTCAAATAAGGGGAAGACTCACAGAAACAGCGACGCACCTCCCAATTGTTCACATTCTCGTCTTGCAGCTCGGACCCAGTACTGCTGGGATCAAGGCGATTATCGTCGCCGTCGCCATCGCCATCGCCGAGGTCGCCAATCGTCACCACACTCTCGCTGTCGCTGATGTTGTCCGTGATGTCCGTGACCGACTCCGGCAGCCTCGACCACGCCGACATCGCATTCGGGCCGCCGAATAGGGGGTTCGTGTCCATCGTCGCATCGTGGAACCCAAGATCGGACAGGTACTCCTCGTACTCTTCTTCGAACGCGATATCCTCGGTCGTATACGGCAGGAATATCGACGGGTCGGGTGCCTGAGACCGCGATGGCGGGAACACGTCCGCTTCCACCACGTTCGGCGTCCCCAGGGGCCTGATGACGTTGCCGATATCCAACCCGGGTGGTAGGCCTTCCATGTTCTGGGAAAGGCTGACGGAACGCCGATGCGCCGCGGCGGCCTGGTTGGTCGCCTGAACACCATATCTTTTGTTGTTATCTGGAATGTGGTAGGTTTCTCATCCGTTAGTAATGACGATCGATAGAAGGCGCGGGGTGAGGGTTCACGAACAAAACTTCACTAGGTGTCTGAGCGCCTGTTCCTGAGCCTATACCGCGGCTATGTTTAGTCCGACTTCTCCTGATCGAAATATCATTTCATACCTGGGCGTCCGAAATATCATCAACCTCTGTTCCAGTAAGCCACTCATCACGGAGGTCTGGCCGACAATTCAAATATATGGACGTAATAACCTTCATGTTTGCTGGAGGAATGGCGGTTAAATTCAAGGCGTGCTTCATGAGAAGATAAATGACCCTTACATTGTCTCCACTTGCGCCCGCAGAACGGCACTTGACTTTTAATCAACTTCAGCACATGTAACTGCAGCATCGGGTGCGGGACACGCAGCACCCGCTTGAGGACGGCCTAACCGCGCTGTCAGTGAAACATCCCTAAACGTGTTGACCTTGTTAGAAGATATACATACAGAGCTTTTGTATTGCACGAGCATCCAGATGCGATGTGAGCGGCTCTTGGACAGCTTCTGCATGATTTTCGCGTAATTAATCATGGCAAAGAAGTTCCGCCATGAAAACTCGGAGAGCATCTCGACTTCCTCTTCATGCTTCTGGCCGTTGGGAAGGTTCTTGGTTTGAACCACGACGTGGAAAGGCGGGCGAGGTTGTTCATGAGTTGCATGAGGATTTCTCGCATGGTGTATTTGGCAATACCGGAAGAAGCTAAACCGACAGTCAGCCCCAGGTCATATCTCAAACGCCGAGGACATACTTGTGATCTGGAGAGTCAGCTTTCGAAACGACCGAGGCAGTGACTTCTTGCCAGCCAAACATCTTCAGGACGAGAAGAAGACAGTTATAGTCCAGTAATAGTTGCCCAAGATGGTGGAACTTCATCACATCTACACCAAGCGCGTCAGATCCAACTCAGATGATTCGTAATTGAATGACGTACGGGAGGCTTTAAACCATTTCAAGGTCAACAAAACGATAGCAGAAACAGCTTTCGAGGTGATTTCTCGATGACGAATGACATCAATTTCTTCCAGTGATTGTGGAGGCGGTGGTAGCTGCTCGGGAGCTACTCGATGCTCTCAGCCGGAACGATGATGAGCGGAAAAGACGGAACCCACGAGACGCAACTCCAGACTGGAACATCGAAGAATTGTTTGACTGTGGCCCTTGCTGCTGGTTTTGTTGTGGCGAGGAGATAGTCGCCAGCACGAGTTTCAACAGCACGGAGACGCAGCCGGGCAGTAAAGGTAGCACCGCGCTCTGCGAAACGTATTAATACACTGGCTATGTTGTGTGCCGCACACCAGAAACCTCACATATATCTGTTCGACGCGCTTTAGACGCATGAGATCTTCCTTCCGTTCCCGGGTCTTTCGTTCTTCAGAAGGTTTATCGGCCTTCCCGATAGCAGCTTCAGCTTCCGTAATCTTAGTATCTATATGTGCAATGTCACGTAGTGGTTGAGCGTTTTCGGATTCCTGTGTTATGTGCCATTAGATAGCTTTCGAGAAGCATCAAGAACAACCTACTTCAAAAGCTTGTTCTGGATCAGGCTTATAGTCGAGCCCGCTCTCTGCAATCATACACTCCTCCCTGGTCCGCCACATCTGCCACAGCGCCAAGCTGACATACATATGTTTGTTGTAAAGCTTGTCAGCCTCGTCAATCGCAAAGGGGATCAACCTGTTCCCGCCACGTATCTGGCTCTTCTTGGAAAAAGGGAACAAAAAGGGACGATTCTGGTCCGTCTGATACTGCTGCTTCTTCGGTTTCGGTGACGGAGGTGGTGAAGGTGCTGGCGTAGCTGGCTGAGGATTCGGCCTGTATCCAGAGTTCTGGCCTTGCTGATGGAACTGACTGCCGGGAATGCCGGTTTGCGTGTCATGATCATCGTGGTGATAATGGTGGCGGACAGGAATCGGCGAATAGGCCTGGGCGAGCTTCGATGTTGGAAGGCTTTCCTTGGTCTTCGCTATCGGTGCTGGTATGTTCGGAAGGGAGGTTGGTGGAGCCGGTGCGGTAAACGTTGGGTACTTGACGGACGTCTCCTGTTGGAAAGCTTCCATGTCAAACGGAGAACATTTGATGGATAAAGCTGGGCAGAGTTGAGTATCTGCATCTTCATTATTGACAGGAACACTCACCCTCGTCCTCCAGATTAGGCAGGTCGGCCAGCTCGCGAGCCAGCAATTTGACTCGGCTTAGCTCTCGTATACCGCCACAGCATGCGAGCAGCGATTTCCATAAGACCAAAAGAAGCTGAAACATCATTGGCATTGCCCCACTGTTGAAGGAGAATGAACGCACCTTCTTGATTGGATAACCTTTGGCACCCCTATCTCGCAGTATAGATACCAGTTTGAAGAAATACACAGGTAATGGAGGGTCCATGCTCACTAAAGAAGATAAGCCAATGCAGAGCGTGTTTAAACCGATTACTTACTCAGCTCGTCCGCAAAGTCGTCTCGCTCCTTGAATATCTCGATGAGGTGGTAAAGCATCCCAAGCAATACAGAGATTTCAGTGATGACTTCCTCCAAGAAGTCCGCCTTCTCCTCTGGAGAAATGTGAAAGCGAGCGGCATCGGCATCCGAGAGCGAGCTACGAGCTATTTTAGACTATAATTCTCGTCTTCAACGAACAAAACTGACCTGAGAAGATCATGCTTCTGACTGGCGATCTTCATCGACTCAACGATGGTACTCAAGCCGTTCGCGGCACGGACCATCTTGCAGTTCTGATAGACCCAGTGTAGCTGGTGTTCGGGTGACGTCGTTTCGGCGAACGTTCCTTCACAGGTACTCAAGTAGGGCTCAACGATATCGTTGTAACAACTGACCTTGAAGGATATAGAGAAGTCTCCGCGCGTTCGTGAACCTGACCTCGGCGTCCCGATGTTCGAGACTTTCAAGCAATACTTCGATGTGTACCTTCCTCTGGGCATCGGTTGTATTTGGGCTTGTCCAGTCTATTTGAACATAGCTACAACAAATTTGACATACTCCCAATAAGGGTAACGTACCGCCAGGGAAGGACCCATGCTGCCAAGCTTTGAGGTTTTCCGCCACCTGTGGCATCTCGACATAAGAGTAGAACTCATCAATCTCGTTCATGACTGTGTCCTCATCATCATATCGGAAATCATAGTAGGATTGCTGCATCGAATCTATGAATGGATCAATTTGCAACTGGGTCATCTTGACACACCTTAGGCTTTGGCGCCGATGAGACCATCGCCCTGAGCTGTCCGAGCGTGATAGAATCAAGCCCATGTTGCTGTTGCTGTTGCTGCTGCTGCTGTTGTTGCATGGACGCGTTGTCCTGGGAGTCTGACGCGCCGTAGGACGGCGGTTGTGAAAAGGACATGGTCGCGTTAACCGAGTGACTTGGGAGTCACTCTTGTCAAATGGACGTGACGGCATTGTTTGGCAACACCTTGTGAATTCAATACGATGATACACGTCCAAATAAGGGACCCCACTCTTTGTTTCCCTTGTGTTTCCTCGCACAGCACCCTGCGGACGGTTGCTCAAATGTTCATCCGAAAGGGTGTGTAAACACGCGTTACACATCAAGGGGACAATCTTTATCTTGTTATTAGGGTACTGTACTCTCATCAACGAGAAGTGTGCGATCCATCTCTGGATTGATTATCGGCTCGTCGTCCGGTGCAGGAACCAACCAAGGTCTTCAAGTAGAAATCATCCGGCTCCGGGGTTGATTATCGGTGGCCTGACACGACATAACGGGGGCACTTTCGAGCTTCTTGCAAGTTAGGCCGTGATACGATAGTACATAAATGGACTGAATCACGGCAAATGCCTAAGATCGACAGACATCGATCAAGGTATGTCATCATCTAGTGACTGCTTCCGGTGGGGTCCAGACGGAACCACGGCGCTCAAGGAACAATATTCAGTGCCACCCAAGGACGTGGTCTCAATATGCCATACCGAGCTCGTGTGTGTGCACAGATGGTGCGGATAGCGCCCCGATACGATGTGTGATGACCGCGTAAACAGGTCAGTGGGTCTATTGGACTGTGAGTCACAACAAGAGAGGAGCGTGGTGCCTTGCGACAGGCCGTGCCCGTGAAATCACGGACAGATGACACGCAGACACGAAGGGGGATGTGAGCCGAGGATAATTATACGTGTGTGTCAATTGGCGTGCAGGTCGGGAAGAGGGTTCCGAGCACCCTGATTATGAGTCAGGAAGAGGGGAGAAGGCAGCGTGTTTGTTCCAGCAGCGCCGAGTCAGGAGGCTTCCTCGCTGCGCCCCGTCTGCGGCCTGCGGCAACGTACTACATGTGTCACACTCAACCGGACTAGTGAAGAGGAACCTTGGCAAGCTCCGAGAGGGGCTGGCTGGCCGGAGGCAAAGGGCGTGGGATAAAGTTTGTCAGCCTACGACGCGATTTCCCTATAAGAAAAATTGCAGCGGGCTGTCTTGTCACCCACTATCCCTTGGCTGTGGATCGACGTCGGTCGGTCGGTCTCAACCTCGCCACAACTTCTGTCTGTTTGGGTGCGGCTCATCGTCAGCGACAGCGTCGACGTCGACTGAGATCAATCTCCCCTTTTTCTCTTAGAAGCTCGCAGCAGCAGTCTTGAGGCAAGGCGGCCACTCTTCAATTCGAGCCAGCTCCCTCACCGCGCCACCAACCGGGGCTCCGTACAAAAGGCACGCCTTCGCTGAGCGTTAGCCACCCATCGTCCCCTTCTGTCTTCGCTTTCTCTTTCTCTCTTCTCTGTCTCCAGTCGTATCTGCCTGCATTCTGGATTCGTTCACGACAAACTTTACGACTCTTTTTCCTCTTCCTCTGTCCACCTCGTCGTTCAAGGCGACTTCCTAGGCTAGGGATCAGATTGTTTTTTCGCGTCTTCTACGCCGGACAGTCCCTTCTCGGTCTTGCTACACCGATGCCAGTTCCTGTTCCAACCCACAACAACGCCCCCGCCCACCCCGTCATCAAGTCCCACAAGCATGGCGAACTCGCTAACTATCAGTCAGTCGACCTTCGCCATTTAAAGCATACACATTCTATCGCTTCGTCGAGGCCACTTTCTTTCGACAGTCGAGAGGGCTGGACAGGTCCATCGCCGCCGTGGAATAGGTTCAATGCGCCCAAGGTTTGGGAGAAAGATACGTTTCTATTGGGCAATTACTCTTTTACCAACGGGTTGGCTTTCGCGGACAACGTGGATGCTATTAAAGGAGAGCGCGCTGACGCGTGCATTCCGCCCTCCAAGGTCTCTCGGCCAATGTTTGGGGCGCACCCACCCTGCTCTTGTGGAGGATGCCGTCGAGAGGATGAGAAATGGTGCTACGGGTTTGGTGGAGGGTTGATCAAAGTCACGGACAGTTATCTTGAAGGAGATATGGATGAGGATGAAGAGCTTCCCGCATACACTTCGTTTCAAGATGTGTCTCCCGGCTTTGTCCAGGATTGCGACATGCCCTCCAGTTCTCCCGGCCCCTTGACTCCTTTTGGTGACTTCATCGATCGTGCTGCGACCACACAGCCTCCAACTAGTGCGGGATGGTTCGCCCCGCAAATGACCAACGTTGATACACATGGTTCTGTGCATCACCAGTCTGCTGGATATCGGGAACCCCCTTGCGATGCTCATGACCTAGCCAATGCCGTCACCGACGCATTTTCGCTCGCCAGCACGGAGAACCTCTCCTCGAATGTGACCTGCAAAAAGTTGGCGGGACCCTTCGCGGAATGGCTAGTGGGGTATGTATGGAGAGTCTGCACCAATAGTATTCATCTTCCTGCATCGGTTGCAAAGTACCCGTACGTCGAAGTTGTTCAGTTCGCAATCTATCGTGTATCATTGACAACATTTTTAACCAGTCCTCCCGCTGCTGCTCAATGTCATGACCAGTACCCTTCGTGGCTAGCAGGAACGGTCCATTCCGTGCTGTTGTCCACACTTCTTCAACCTTCCGCCGTCCTTTTGTCGCTTTGGTACATTGCCCGCCTTCCGGTTTTCCTGGGCGTTGGTGGCTTTGGCCCAGAACACGTTAAAGAGCTGCGGTTCAGGTCTGAGCTGTTCGGCAACCCTGGGATGTCTAAGGATTCGCCTACGGCAAGCCCCATCTTTAGACTCATTATCCTAGGCTTTATGTTCGCGAACAAGTGGTTGGATGATCACACCTTTTCCAACAAGACCTGGTAAGTTGTGGCCGAGTCCTTTGGACGTTATGTGCTAATAACAAATGTAGGCATTCGATTACAGGTATCCCTGTCCAGTCCATCAACAAACTAGAGCTGCTGGCTCTGGGAATTCTCAACCATGATCTATCTGTGCCTCGTGATGAGTGGAAACAATGGCTTCAGCATCTACTCGTATATCACCATGGTCTATCAACTTCATCGTTCCCTCAGCCCATCTCCCGGCCATCGTCCAGCCCTCAGTCGATTCTCCGAAAGGCAATGGAAGAAATATCCGCTGTTTCCAGCAGTGCAGACGTCGTCCTTCCTGCATTCATTGGTCTAGAACATCGCCGGGCTGAGAAGAATACTGACGTCACCACGACCTCGGTTGAAGGCTACGAAATTGATCTGGATGAGGATGGTCCTCTTCGGGCCGAATATCTGCCAAAACGTCGCTCCATTCGCCCAGGTATGGAGGCGGACCACGCTCTAGACATGGCTGTCAAGCATGAACCTATGCCGTTATTGCCGCCGCCAGCCCGATGGAGTCCCGCCGGTGACGAGCCACTGCAGCAAAGGAACCGCATCAGCGGTCAGTACGCGGCAGTCCAGCCCTCCATTCATCTCGTGCCCGCTGCTGCCGCGTTTCCTGTATGGTCGTCAGCGATGGTGTACATGCCCGCTCAGCCACCAGTAAATTTTGGCTACGACCCGACGTATATGCAGGCTCCGCTGCAGCACCAGTTTTCCTGTGACGGGGCACCCCGGCTGGCCCACCAACCGCTTTTCAGCAATGCGTCCAACGTCCCGCCTTATAGTCATGCTAGGACTATGTCGCAGCCTCCTTACGAGTATCCTCGCAATATGACCCTCGAAGGTTCTCAACAAGGTTTCCAGCCATACCAGCAGGAGTCTATGTGGCCTCGCCCCGAGTCATTTGGCTTCGCCCCTCCCTATAGGCCATTCCCCGCTCATCCAAACACGACCGCCCAGTCGACCTGGTCTCGTGCTTAAACTGGCATCTCAGTCTCCCTCTCCATAGACTTTACATCCACTCGCAATAATGATTCCTGGCTCCCTGTAGTTGCCTCTTGGCGACGATTCTTCATTCTCTAGCTCGTGCATTTCGTCTCGTCCCCTGTGAATAATGGATTTTCGCTGCGGCATTGTAATATGTTTTCTCTAGGTCCCTCCCTCCATCCGAGACATATCCATCCCGTCTCTGGGTCCTTCGAGCTCTTGTCGATTGTCTATTTACTTCCCATCTCAACCCTGCAACGCTGCTATTTATTCCGTCTCTTGCAGACCTCCTGCTGCTGTCAGCAGAGCTTTGTTAGGCACGGCAGTGGCTGCCGATATCCCTGGACACTCCTCTCCCTCAATACCTCGCGTTCATGGATTGAACTTTACGGCTGTCGATCCGTTTGTTGGTGTATCAAGCTTTCCTCTCCAGCTTTTCATACCTCACGTTGCCTACACTAATACACCTTTACGACTAGTTCTCGAATTCTTTTCTGGCTTCGGTACCTCCCTCTTGCTACGCTCTTTCTTCATAGCAACGAAACCGCATTTTAAAAAAAAAAACGAGAAAAGGACAAAAGACATAAAAACATTCATCTATTCTCCTCTTACAGCGTATTTCTGCCGCCAGTTTTTTACACCAGCTTGGCCATTTTTACGTCCGCTCTGTCCTTTCGCAGGACATTTCTGCTTTGCCTCCGCCTTTTTTTGCTCGTAGGTGGGTCTGCTTAGCAATTCGTACCCCCCCGCCCAGTTCGTCTGGGCTACCAGTGTGTTCACATAGTGTTCTCGGCTGTGCATTCTTTTGTAGTTACTGGTTCATATGTACTCCGGAAATGCCATCACCTTGCCTTGAGATCAAAGTTTACCGTGCGATGCCTTTAGTTGCTGAGGTGTGCAGCATTGGGGAAAGTATCGGCAGTGTATGCAAAGGATACCAAATACACGCTTGTTCGTTGGACAGCAGTTGTACATCAGAATCTACGTAAGTATACATTATGCTTCGCTCTTTCTAGTATAAGTGCATCGAGTGGTTTCAGATCCTGACCACAATGAAAGGAACCTACAAGTGGCAGTCAGCTTCATGGACTATGCAGCGCCAAATGTGGAACGTACCTCGACATCTTCGCCCTCTTCATCAGACACCATGACCTCGACGAGCAGATGCTTCGTGTGAGGAGGAATAGGTTTCTTGCTAACGAACTCCACCAGCTTGCTAAACTTCATGGGCAAACGTTCCTCGCTCTGGGAAAACCATACCGATTAGCGGCAGTACTAGACAGTGAGACGGAAGCGAGAACGGACCTTCTTTTTGCCGATGAACGAGCTCCAGAGCATGCTCACGCCCTGGCTAACCATACCCACCTCGAGCTTGTGCTCGTTCTGGAACCAGTCGATAACATCCTGGAGCGTCGGGTCGTTCTTGAACTCGAAGCGGTCCCAGAGCGTCCACTCGGTGGTGCCGTATTTCTCCTTCTTTGCCGCGATCGGTTCAGAGAAGCCGAAGAACGGCAGGGCGAGGTTGACAAAGCCGTTCTTGAAGTCCTCGAACTTGTTCTTCCCGTCGATGATCTGGGAAACACGATCAGATTGTATCAACAGGCGACTTGGACCGAAATTACCTTGTAGAGCTCCAAGCAGACAAGGCCAACGACCAGCGAAGTTGTGGTAGCGATGGCCGGAATGATCTTGCCAGCGATCTGCTTCGTGGTGTGTCGGTCGGCCACAGGGATGTTGTAGTTCATAGCACGCAAATTCGATGCAGCAGTGATGAAATCGATGTGATGGTTCGTGTCATCATCCTTCTCGAACTCAACAGGGCTAAGACGGTAGCCTGCTAAAGACGAAGGGGGAGGGAGTTGCTTGGTGAGGGAGCCGATGTCGTCAGAGTCTACCGTGCTATCCGTGAGCTTCCATTTTATTTTAGAGTAAGGTTGAGCGGCTTTGCTCACCGTCGCCAGCACCAGCTACTGGGTCGTTCTCGTTGATCTGGACTTTGACGCCACTCCTTGGCGTGAACTCGGGCACAATGACGGACTCAGCAATCTTCTTGTAAACCGATATGTCGGTCTCGCCTTTCAAACCGTAGTTGAAGGCATGAAGGTTAGCAGCCGCAATGATAAACGCCAGGTGGGTAGGCTACAAGCGTATGCTCAGCACATGAATAACTTGGAAATGAGACAACCCTACGTCATTGGAATCGAAGGTGAGCGGGTCGGGTGCACGTTTAGGGCCACTCCAGAATGGCTGGCCGGTGTTCGTCACAGCATCCTTTGGCAAGCTGAACAGAAGCTGCCGGATGGAGTTGTTGTACCTGTCCTCAAACTGGAGACGTGCCCAGACGATGCACTCCTCAAACGTCAGAGGCTTCTTGGTGACAAGGTACGACAGAATCTGCTCTATCTGCTCCTTCTGCTGTCCTGAGTATTTGAGGCTGCTCTCCAAGAAATTGGGCTCGGAGAGGTATTGGTTCACAGTCTCAATAGGCTTCACGAACAGACTGTCAAACTCCTGCCGGCTCCACTGGGATAAAATGAGCACCTCCGCGTCCTGGCATCTCGAGATCACATACCTCGATCGTGTGCTGAATAGCGTTCGGGAAGTTTTTGACAGTACAAGATGGCGTCTGCTTTTCAGGGGGGTCTTGCGAAGAAGCGTAGGATTCTGTCAAGTGAGGAATGATCACTTGAGCATTGCCCTTGGTACCGAGGGTGCCAGAATCAATAAGCGGTTTCTCGTAGAAGATACACCGCGAGTCCATGTATAATCCTGAGCACATGTGAGACCATAACATATATCAACGAGGTGTACAACATACGAGCAGCAACGTTGTCAAGGGCATTGGTAACACCATCCAAGCCAGCAAAGAACTCATCGTCATACACATCTAGGGCGAATTTAAGAATAAATGAGAGAATAAAACAAGTGAATTTGTCACGCACTCTCTGTTGCCTGTCCAACAGGCTCCTGCTTGGTTAGGATGTGGCCCTTCAAGTCAGGGTTCATCTCGGATACTGCAGCTGCGGCAACCTCGGACTTGAACTTGCCAAGGTCTTTAGGGCGGAACAAGAATTGACGGTTCAGGTTACTCTTCTCAATGGTATCGAGATCGGTGACGTGAATATGACCCTTGGGACCAGAAGCAAGACCCATCATACTCCAGTTCTTCAGCATTTCACATCCAATCGCACCAGCACCGACCAAGAACTGACGGTGGTTCGCGATCTTCTCCTGGAATGCCTTGCCAAATACTGCGACTTGCTTGTCGTACCTGCTCCCAACTGGCTGGCAGTCATTCTCAGAGGGTACAGAAGCGGGCATGGACTCCAATGAATCGAAATACATGTGCTGCAGCATAGGATGGAATTTAGCCGAGCACGCCTTCAGCACTTCCTGAGCAACGAAGCCTCCGATGACCGCGTTGACGGGGGCAAGTTCACCGTAAGCCTGGTGGGATAACTCCTTCACGATCTTCTCGTCCACGTCGGCATCGATCTTCTTCGCCAAAGCGAAGATAGCATCAGCATCTTCGGCGTTTCGTGGCTTGGGAAAACGGCCATTCTGAACCCTGAATTCTGACAACGCCTGGAATCCAGCATGCAAGGTGGCAGGGCGATCGAACTTGGCGAAGTCAGTGATGAAGTGTTCGGGCGCTTTCAGGGATTCCCGTAGAGATTTCTAACAATTAAAATGAATATAAATGCTTGTGATGTGATACAAAGACTTACGAATTCGATGATCTTCGGCATCTTGACCTGGGTAAAGATACCTCCCCGTACGTAATCTCCAAGATCACTCGTGTCACCGATTGTGAAGGTGTACGGACCCTTGACGGATATCTTGCGAGGCTCGCAGCCATTGAGCTCTTCCATTCCCTGAACTTCGCTGAAAGTTACAAAATCACCATCCTCCAAGCCGTGACGCGTCTCGTCAAGGCAAGTGACGACACCCTCCTTATCCTAAGCAAATTGATCAGGATGGAAGACGTGAAAAGGCGAAGCAAATACCTTCTCAACAGAAACGATCATTCCACTGAGTGGCTGCTCTCCCGTAGGGTCCACGCATGTGAACTTGGCACCGAAGTCGTTGAAAACGGAGCTTAACGAATGTCAGAACAGGTTTCTGGCCTGATAGGATGAAAACACACCCAAAGAGACCACGTGTCTCAGCTGCGATGAAGTGCACGCCATTGGCGTGTGTCCAATCATTGATTTCAAGCTGTTGGGCAAGAGGAACTCCGCAAAGAACAACAACCTAGATGGCTTGTCAGCCAAATAACCTTTATGGGACGGTAAGAACTCACTTGGAAGGACTTGATCGCGTCCAAAGGCAGTGGTTGTCCAGCGGCTCCGGGGAGGTAGCGCACTGGCACGTAGGCATTCAGCTCTGCAAGCCGCGAGAGGGTGGCCTCAGCGCGGGGTTTGCCGATATCGCTTTCGCGGAGGAAGAACTAGCGATGCTGTTTATCAGAGGAGAGATCGTGCGTAGGCGCCTGGCATACCTGATTGGCAAGGTCTTGAACGGTGACTGGTTCGGGGTCGTAGAGCGTGACGGACTTGACACCGGCGAGAGAGACGTTCTTGGCTGTAGAAGATACGTGATAAGAGCAAAATTGAGCCACAAGACGCGTTTAACATTACCGATCTCTACACCAAGACCTTGCAAGCCGATGATCAACACATTCGAGGTCGCCATCTTCTTCATCGCTGCATGAAGGTCAGGCAAACGAACCATTTCCAGCACTTGCTTGCTTACCCTCATGTCCAAGGACATACCTACGGAAGCGGCGTGTTACTCGTCTGAGGACGCGATTTGTAATGCATAAGGTAACTTACAGCTGGCGGGAGTAGAGACCCTCGTCAATGGCGGCCTCATCGACGTCCATCTTTGCAGCGAGATTGCTCGACTCGGCCATGATATGCGATTCGTGAAGTGTCGTGACTGTTGGACTTTTGATGACGGGAGAGGAAGTGGTATTACAGGAACAGCGAGGAAGAGGCGGACGCGGTTGCACTCAACACTGCACTGCACACAAACTACATTCGACTGCCTTCTGCAATCTACTACACTGATTGATGACTAAGCTGCCTACACTATGACGTAATGGACCCGTCGCGTCGCGCATCAGGGCCCGACATGACCAGCCACCTCGAGGCGACTACCCGGGCTGCGGCAGTACCACGACAACAGGTAACGTACAGGTAACTGGGATATGGAACAGAATGGACCGAGAGAATTAATGATTCGAGAAGCTAGAGTACCTCCCCTCAGGAAAAGAAATTATCCCAAATAAATCTCGTTCAAATCGTCAACATTGGCATTGTCCACGCAGGTGATATCATGATGTCGTGCAATCAGGTTGCCAATGGGCACGGACTCCGATCGATTGAATAATCTCTAGCTGATATAGGCCAAGGCTGTCAACAAATCAGACGGCAAACAGAAGAGACGAGCCAGGCCTCGCAATCGGAGCAACGGGACGGCACTTCTCGGACGGCCGGTAGATAGGATCATCCAGCACCTTGAACAGGTCGACATTCAGCTTGCACGAGGTCTCCAATTCGGGGGATCCGATGGCTGAGCAGTGCGTACGAGGCTCCCTGAAGAAGATGGGGTCATCCTCTGAGCAAAGGGCCTTGGTAAGACTGAGAGTATCAAGTTCAACGTCGTCAAGAAGCGAGACATCAAAGTATTGTTCGGCCAAGGCATCCTCTTCAAAGCAGAAGACAGGCAACGCGGCAAAGTCATCGAGAGGAGTCAACGGAGAAGAAAGCGAAGGCGACGATGATACCGTGGAGGAAGGCGACGAGACTAATGAAGGAGTAGGTGTTTGCACCTCGGCTAAGAGGCATTCAAGAACGTCTGTCGCTGTCTTTGAGGCGTGCTTGACAAACGAAGGACCTTCGTGTAAAGTGAAACCGGCCTCTTCCTGGAGAAATTGTAGCCAAGAGATGTATTCGTCCGGTCGCATCCATGTGTGGTAACCTATGACCTTCAAGAAAACGCGTTCCAGAACTTGCAAGTCACGTTGGTCGTCCTTCGCAATTGAGCTCCTAAACGTCCGTTAGTAAGTTGACAAACAGATCGTCAGGAGGTTGCGTACCAAGTCATCAAGCTGAAGCTTCTGTCATTGAGCCACTTGTCGGCAAGAACAGCGCCGATCAGGAAGATCTGGCGGATAAACACTGCGAGAGCAATCGTAGCGCCTTGGTGATCCAATAGGTCGACCAATGACGCTGGGTCGGCCTCGTCAGAGTGGAACGCCAGACTCAAGTAGTACAAAGTATGCACGACGAGTTGAGTGGGCTGGTGGACGGTGACAAGGAGTTTCTCAATTTCGACGGCGGCTCTTCTGCAAACAACATGAGGGTCAAGGTCGCTGTGGGAGGACTATAAGTTTGATGAAAAGAGAAACAATCATTTATAAAATGCTTACCGGCGGTCAGGTAACAACGGTAAAGCGTAGTCGATGATGAACTCGTAAAGCAATTCGGAAGCCCAAAGCGCAAGGTCGGAGATAACGTATTCACTATGGTCGAGCACTTGCAGCATCGAAGAAGCCTTGGAACCGCATACAGGCGAGAACACTTGCTTCGATCCGGGAAGCTCCACATCAAGGTCAGAGTTATCGCCATCGTCAACAGCCAGAGAGCGCGGGTCAGCCAACTCAAGGTTGGCAGGACGTGATTGAAGCAGGGCGTTGTCGCCAGCAGAGTCAAATTCGGGGCCGAGGAAGTCCAAGAGCTTCTCGGAAGGCTTCTTGAGAACTAGGGCAGGGTTAACATTGATGTCGTTAGACCATATGGACTGGTAGTTAGACGCAGGGTGGTGGCGAATGAAAAGGTCGTTCGCGAAAACCGATGCGAGACCAGCGGTTGAAGGAAATTTCGCGACAGCATCCAGTTTGCTGGAGTTGAATCGTTCGTTCCACACACGAAGAGAAATATTGGTAAGGTCCATCTCGAAGGTTACGAAGTGAATCGGAGGTTGGGTCGGTGCGGACGGATGCGAGGGAGTGGTTGGGAAGAAAGGAAGGAGCAGCCTGCGATAGGCCACCCTTTAAGACGAAAAGCAAGTATGCAGGGACGCCTGCTCGCTTCGGCGGCAACACATGTTCCTTGTGATCGCTTGGGCCAACAAATTGTCAAAGTGGCAGAAGGGGCCTGAGCCATCCCTTCGACTTGGCGTTTTGATACAGCTTGTGCCACTGGAATCGGGCGCCAACACCCAATAAAGGGACAGTGCCTCTTTAACTTCGCTCCCATACGCCCCGGCTGTTCGGCTAGCGGCCCAGGCCAGCACAGGTGCTTTGGTCACCGTCTTTAAAGAGAAAGCGAGGAGATCAAAGAAGCTAACTGGCGTCCATAAAAGGAGAAAGTCCGAGATATTGACCCTTGACAATAGTCGGACAATAGCTTTCAACTTAGATCACAGGCGCCTGTCAAAATAGCGCATCGGCTGTTGGAAACTTAGACCGCGGACCGTTGAGCTTTGGCATTGATCGGCATCTCAGAAGGTGATTGCTTCGACAAGGGGTTCAATATTACATTACCGAGCAAGAAAGCCATATTATTATAGGATAGGGGTAACTATTTGCGGTAGAACTGGACATCCGTTCAGTACAACGGCCTTCGGACAAAAAACAGGGTTGTCACTCACATTGCGACGGAAGTTGAACCACAAGGATAAGCACCCTCTGTCAAAGCTGCTTCGGAAGCCACTGGAGCTGACGTTAGCCTCCGCAATAATACAGCCGATGACCCTGACGTACCGTTTGTGTGAGAATTCCCATTCACGATTGACAATTCTGAACGCGATGTCTTCGTATGGCGGTCCAGCGCTAAAGTGGAGCAGAACAGTGTCTTCATTGCCAGGCTCCTTGATAATCTTATACGTTGGTGTCTTTGTCTTATCGATGAGATCCGGGTAAAAAATGTTGAACTTCGAAAGACGGTCAACACTCAGTTCTACAGAAACCTGGAGTGCGCTTACCTTGTAGCCTTGCACCACCTTGGGAGGCGGGTTATCCACGCTGAGATGATCAGTGAGATCACGCTTTAAGCGGAGGTAGCGGTTACTTACTCATAGTGAGTTTGATTGTACTTGTTCCACTCGTAACCTGTGTGCACTCTGTTGAAGTAGCGTGGCTTTCTGGGACGATACTTGTCTTCCCAGTTGTAGGAGATGGGGTTCTGTATGTCTTCTTCAAGGTTGAACAGTTCCTCCTCCTCATCGAGCTCTCTCTCGGCTTCTGCTCTGTAAAGAGCTTCGGAAGCGAGATCTGCGTTAGTAGACGTAATTTCAGGGACTGCTTCAGGTTCGACAACGGCTTGAGCGGTTTTTGCCACGAAGCGTGTTCCGGCGACAGCCCGGCGTTGAGCAAACTACGATAAAGTCAGTAACCCGTTTGAGAAAAGGTGGTTTTGAAATACGTACCAAGGCACGCCGGTCTTCTTGCTCTGTGACAATGTCGATCTGGCGGTCGTCGGGATGCAGCTTGGTAATATCAATGAGGACCGGGCTCATAGCTCTGTTGTACGGTTCCACTTCCTCTGCCGTTTCCTTGACAGGTTGTAGTATATCACCAGTACCCTGTACGGCTGCACGGGCAACACCAGCAAGTAGCTCCTCCTGGGCTTGCAAGGCTTCGTCTCTCTGCCGTTTCCTCAGTTGCTCCAGGCGGTTGCGAACGACTACTTCGTGCAAACTCTTCAGCTTCGCCTAAGAACGTCATCAGATTTAGCGAGTTTGTCTAGGCAGTGTAAGGCCTACCTTCGCTTTCCATACGAGTAACTTCTTGAGAAGGTTTTCCCAGTAATCAACGTCGATTGGCTCCCCGCTAGCAAGTTTACCCTGGATCTGTTTCTGAAGTGCTGCAAGGGCATCGTAACTCTTTCCTTGAAGTAAGGCAGTAATATCCGCCTCGACAGCTGCTGCAGCTTCGGCTCCCATAAGCTGGGTTTCTTTGATTCTATCTAGACGGTCCTTGCAAATCACCATCATGTTCTGTCCAAATCGATGAATAAGTGGCAACAGGCGACAGTCTGGAGCTGCTCACCGTCCAGAAGTCGATGTTGATTTCGTCCTGCTCAAGTGAGAGGTACCGTTCAATATCGTCGTGTAGTTCTTCAATTTGAGAGGGCGACAGGTTCTGAAGCCAATGTCAACCTTGGACGTGCAAGAGGTAGAAGACGCTTACATCGAGAATGTTGTACGGTTCGTCCAAGTCAATCTCCAGACCCTCGTCATCTTGCACCTCCTCGTCCTCAACTGGGTTGACGTATCGCAAGTTCAGTGCTAGGAAGTCAATTGCCTTGGCCCTCTTCTCCTTCACACGAATGATAGCCCTGCTCCGTTCCTGTTCCAGCTGGAACTCTCCATCTTTCGCGAGCCAGTCCGACATCATCGCCGACTCCGTCATGCGTTGCATCCGCAGCTCCTCCTCCTCTCTCAATTTCTGTTCAACCTCTCGCTCTGCCCTCCGTTTGTTCAGACGCTCCAGTTCCTCCTTTGCCTCCTGCCGGCGAATGGCATCCTTGTGCTGAGCCTCGGCGAGGGACATACCCTGCTTCTTCTCCTTCTCTTGCTTCTTGTGCCAATTGAACTGTTGACCAAGGTTGACGTCATGGAATGGGTTATCCGTAGCGCTATAGACGCTGAGCTCTGCAACGGTGCGTGCCTCCTCTTCCTCCTTCAGACGCCTCTTCTCGGCTTTTCTGGCGCGGCGCTCTTCGGATTTGTCGCGCTTACGCCTGGCGCACACCTGTCAGAAACTAGGATAATCGCTGAGAACAGATGGTACTCACTTCTTCTCCTTGCGCCCTCCGTCTACACTGCGACTCCGGCTGCGGTGCTTCTTCTTGTGACTGTCATAGTCCCTGTCCTTACTCCGACTACGATCGCGGCGTCCGTCTTTATCCTTTTCCCGATCCCCGCCGCCGCCGCCGCCTCTGTCCCCGCGAGAGTAAGAGTCTTCTCGGTAGTCTCGATCACGAACGTAGTGTTTGTCGGCGCCGCCCTGTCGTGAATGTCGTCGCGGAGAAGCCGAGCGATCACGAGGCATTTAGTTGTCGCCGGAAGAGATGTGCAGAAGCTGCGAGAGACAATGTCAAAGCAACGATAACTACTAGTTTTGTATGCTTAGCACTAGGTACGGATCCAAAGTACGTCCTATTTGTGGCTATTTGCCCTAAAGCGTCCGTTGCCCGCCTGCATCGGAGGCCGACCTTGTCCCCAGTCGGACCCAGAGAGTCACACAAGGACTCTTGTATCACCACGTCCAAGACACCTGCCGATATCAACCACCTCGATTTCAGTGACGAAGCTTCTGTTCTCTCACACCTTCTGCTGTATCGTAACCACCTGTCTTCGATGGTCTGGTCCTCGCGCTCTCTCCGGGTCATCGCCCGAAATCTCCGAACTCAGCCTCGCTATGAACATGTCGCAAGAGAGAGTGGTGAGGATAACACCTTCAGACCGGCAGGCCTGGCAACACCGCGCCAGGTGCGTCTTCACTGGGGACTATCAATGCTGGGCTACCTTTGAACTGTTGAGTTCGATCAGCTGGCCCAATACCTCGACGAGTTCGTGATCGGCCAGGAGAACGCCAAGAAGGTTCTCTCTGTAGCGTGCGTACGCCGATTATCATTTCAAGGAGAGCCATGGAACTCACTCCATACAGTGTATTTAACCACTATAACAGAGTACAGGCAAATCTTGCGTCCACACAAGCAGATGACGAAGCAGACTGGGCGACCTCGGGACCCCAGGACGGTAAGCGATCCGGCCCTATTCAATTGTGATGCGCAAGTGAATGAAGCTGATGAGCTGTGCGTAGCTGCCCGCCCAGACGTGTCCTCAGCTCGCATACACCCTCACCCTCATCGTTCTCTCTCGCCGCTCTCCTCATTATACCCCCGCCAATCGATTCCTCTATTCGAGAAGAGCAATGTATTAGTAATGTCAATCACATTCTATTCCCAGTGCTTGCTTCCCATCTGAATCGGCCACTGTGTAGAGGGCCAACGGGCTCTGGTAAGAAAATAATGTCCCTGCCGAGTTTGATCTCTAAGTTCACAAGAGATTAGGCAAGACACTGCTTGCACGCACGCTAGCTCGCGTGTTGGATGTACCATTTTCAGTTAGCGATGCCACCTCTTTCACACAAGTAAGTGTATGAGCTTCCGCTGCGACTGTCAGCTAATAAAGGTCCGAAGGCTGGCTGTCAGTTGTTGGAATATCGTTGCCATTAGACGCGTTAATTAACAGCATGACAGATGTCGGTGAAGACGTGGACGCAGCGATTCAACGACTGGTACGCACACCTTCCCCAAAGTCACCTCTTCATTAATCATTCCACTAGCTTCAAGCAGCAAATTACGATCCTAACAGGGCCAGGTTCGTTGTAAGAAAATCCCTGCGCAGGAATCCTGCTCATGAGCCTTGGATAGCATGGGTATTGTCTACATCGACGAAGTTGACAAGATTGCCCGGAAGTCTGGCGGTACCGGCATTGAGGGCTCCCGGGATGTGGGCGGAGAAGGTGTACAGCAAGCACTTCTTCGCATGATGGAAGGCTCTGTTGTTACGGTGCAGGGTAAGGCGCCTGGAGCAATGGACGCGATGCCAACAGGTCCCGAGAGTAGAACACGACCGGGTCAACGACCTCAGCCCATGCCGCGTTAGTGTCCATCGTCACCTCAATACGTCATTCAAACTTCATGAAGTTGCAGAGCGCCCAGAATCATACAACATCGATACCTCAAACGTACTGTTCATCCTTAGTGGTGCGTTTGTTGGTCTGGACAACGTAGTGAAACGACGCGTCGCCAAAGGGGTAGGATTAGCTAGTATCCTGAGGAGAGGTCATAATACTAATGTCTGGTCTTTAGTCCATTGGCTTCACCGCCAATCTTGTTCCCCAAGAGGATGAAGCCCGAGTCCCAGGATCGATGCCGTTCTTTACACCAAATAAGACAGGTGGTCAACAAAACTACCTAGACTTGATAGAACCCTCCGGTAAGTGGCTCAACTGTCAGACACTAAAGAGTTGGTCTAAAAGCCCTCCGTCAGACCTTGTGAAATATGGGTGAGTTAATGTTCGCGTCGGCAAATTAAGGGTATGGACTCAACGCCGCCCTTCAGATTTATCCCAGAATTTATCTCTCGCCTTCCCTCCATGACTACCCTCTCCCCTCTCTCCGTCTCTGATCTCCGAAAAATCCTCACTGAAGTTCGCGGATCACTTGTCTCCCAATATGTCGCTCTCTTTGGCTATTCAGGAGTAGAGCTGCGGTTCACGAGCTCTGCTCTGAACGAGATTTGTCGCATGGCAGCGGAGAGGGGTGGTGGCGCGAGAGGACTGAGAGGTATCATGGTATGTTCTATTATTGGCTTCCAAGTTCGTCTGTGTACTTACCCTTCCCATCAGGAACGATTGCTCTTGGAACCTATGTATGAAGTACCGTAAGTGGCGTGTCTTCCACAAACAAAAATGTCCAGCGCTGATGTCTCTTCCTTTTGCAGAGGATCGGTGAGTAATGCAAACTTCCAAGGATTATTGGCCTGAACGATCACACAGAACGTCAAACACGTTCTCATTAATGCAGATGTTGTCAAAGGCAAGCAATCAGCGTTATACTGGAGCCGGGGAGAGGGTGCCACTTTTTGGGCGGCATGGGCAGAGGAAGAATCTCGGGAGACAGAGCCTGAGTCCCTTTAACGTTTCGACTTTTGGCGGCACATCATCTGTATCATAGAACATTATTCTACTTTCGCTCAGGGACAATAGCTTTCTCCAAGACCAGCAAGTTACAGATAAGAGCGACGCATTCAGAACACAGAAACTCTCACTCTTTGGGTATTGAATAGAGGATGAGCATGACCAGAACACTAACGGATAATACAGCTGAAGGGATCAAACCTGTCAAATGATGTGTAAATCTACAACAAGAGCTTCTTATCATTGCTTTGACGAAGGAAGTGGATGGTAGGTGATGTTGTACACTATCCGGGGAGGATAGTCAAGAGGTGTCGCAAGACTGAAGTCGAGAAAGAAGAAAAGGCCAGAGAACAAGGAGCAGTTTACTCCTTGGGTTCTTCGGCAGCTTCCTCCTTAGCCTCTTCCTTGGCCTCCTCTGCAGCCTCCTCCTTAGCCTCTTCTTCCTTCGTCTCTTCCTCGGCACCTTCGGGCTTCTCTTCTACGACTGGTGCTTCAGCGGCCGGAGTCTCCTCAGTAGGACCCGAATTTTCCTTCTGTGCCTTCTCAAAGGCAATCTTGAAGTCTTTGGCGTCTTCGGAGCGTGATAAATCGATGGCACAACATAATGATAGCATGTTACTCACAATCTGAGTTGCCGAAGCGGATAGCAAGAGTCTCGGAAGTGGGAGGAGATTCAGAGTAGTCAGCGGCGACCTTCCAGACCCAACTGCGGTCCGAGCCAATGTTTGGCTGCAGACGCATATCAGCAGAAACTACAGTCCCGGTTAGATCTTTGTTGGTTCCGAAGACCAACACATGAGAAAGTAGATACGCACTAATGTGGTTCGCGCAGACCTTGAGGGTCTTGTCGCGTCTCATGACCAGGCGGACATTGCCTGTCTCCCTGTGCTTGAGCAGACGGACGTCGCCAGTACCTCTTTCCTTCCATTCAGATGCGGGGGTATCGAACCTGAAGAGCTTGGCGCGCCTAGAGAATGTTAAGCGCGATCGTACAACGGGGCTTGGTGCATTAGAACGGTAAGACTTAGAACGTACATTTTGAACACAGCCTCCTCGTCCTCCTCCATGGTCTTAACATCGACCTGCTCGGTGAGCTTGATGACGGGCTCGAAGTGGACGTCGGCCTCCTCGTCCTGCTGCTATGTGCACAGAGATGATCAGACCGGAATGCCCAGTGCCCATCATGCGGAGATCGAGAGGACGCATCGCGGTTGCGGGGTCGGGATCGGGACGAACCTTGGGAGCGAGGGGATCGTTGGAATCAGCCATGTTTATGAGAAGTTGGAAAAAGAAGAACGGGACGATGGAGGAAAGAGAGATGGCAGAGGAAATCGAAAGCAGACAATTATTATCGTGATCTTTGCGCGCGCTCAAGAAAATGATGTACGCGCGGCCCCACTGACACTCTCACTCCCCGGGGTCCGCCCAAGACCGTGTCCTAGAACCCGTTGCCGTACTCGACATTGTCTATTCATATTCTACTCGACTTTACGATCCTCCTCACCGTCATGGCCCGCTCGTATACCCATTTCATCACCTCAATATGCTTTCTGCTGCTCGCGATCATCCCTCTCATTTCAGCTCACATGATCGAGGTCGCAGCATCGAAGAAGGAGTGTTTCTTTGAGGACTTGCACGAAAATGACCAGGTGCGTCGGTCTGCAACTCACATCTTCTTGGGCTGTAACTCTCAGTATGCATTAAGATGACCGTAACGTATCAAGTTGGAGATGGTGGACACCTGGACATCGACTTCACGGTACGCCCGACGCGACGTGTACCTCCACATCCGGAATTAAGACCTCCCACAGCTCACAGACCCAGAGAACGTCCAACTAGCAAAACATGACAAGCAGAACACAGGCTCAGCTTCATTTGCCGCTTCGAAAGACGGCCGCTACGAATACTGTTTCTCGAACGAAATGAGCTCGGTAGCCGACAAATGGGTTAGGTGAGCATATCCGCCATTTCCGGACGAGACAAACACTCATCAATCCACTCCAGCTTCAACGTGCACGGTATCATCTACGTCGCAGAAGACGGTGAGTGATTTGCACTAGATTTAAATCCATAAATCTCAAGCCTCCATACAGAAGTTGTTGCCCCCGTAGAACGCGAGATCCGTAACCTGGCCATTGGCCTGACCTCTGTCAAGGACGAGCAGGAGTACATCGTTGTGCGTGAGCGGAGACATCGTGATACTGCAGAGTCGACCAACGATCGCGTTAAGTGGTGGTCTGTCATGCAGACTGTTGTGCTGTTCTCAGTGGTCGCGTGGCAGGTTTACTACTTGAAGGTACGAAACTGTGCAACTTCCAGCCACTAGAAAACACTGACACTCCCTGAAACAGTCATTCTTTGAAGTAAAGCGTATAATCTAGGTTTTTACTATGGGTTGGCTTCAGGTTAATATATTGAAACCTCTATTTTCCTCATGTTCACTTCAGCCGCTAGGCTTCAATGATCTAACTTCAGTGGTCTCCATTATCAAACGGCCAGCTTGAACAGCGCCGTCGTGCTTCTCAGAAGCCTGAGGTGAATAGGATTGCATAAGAAATTACTACACAGATAGACAACATCTTAAAGGGCAGAAAGGATTAACGAGGACCATTAGATCAAATAACAGGCATGTGAATGCAAAACCAAGAACATAAAGGTCGTAAGTGTATCATGGGATAATAAGTAGGAGGCTTCCAGCCTGCGACTAGCCGAATATATACTGTAACGTCTAGGCATCAACATCGCCCGAAAATCATTTCCACGTAGGCTTCCCCGAACGCATGCTCATATCGCCCACAAAGCTGCTCGAGTTCGAATCAGGCAGCGACGACGCGCCCGGAGTTGATCTCGCGCGGAGCGTGCGTGACGCGTTGCCCATGAGCGACAGTCGTTTGGGACGCTTCGGCGAGCGGCCGACCTCGACGCGCCGCGGGCCGCTGTTCGCCGAGATAGATTCGCCCGGCTCGTCACCCGAGGCCAGTGCAGGCTGCGGGATCATGCTTGACCTACGCCGCGTCTTCTCGCTGCGCATGGGGCCGACGGTGGACCGGCGCCGTGCATGCTTTGTCGACTGAGGCGTCGGGATGGACGATGCCGGTATACGGCGAGCAGGGCTTCCCTGTCGACCTTTACCTTTGGACAAGCGAAGTGAAGAACCGCTGTTGCCGCCCTCACCTTGCGATATCATGTGGTTCATGTCGCGATCCGACAATGGAGGCGCTTTGCGTGGCGAACCTTGCTCATCTGCTTCGACTACAGAGCCCAAAGTTGGTGCCTTGGCTTTAGACATCGAGCGTGTCGTCCGGCCACCCAAGCTCGACCGTAGGCTAGAAGATAACGATGACCTCGGTTGCGGAACTTCCCGACTAGAGGTGGCGAAGAAATTGAGGTTAAAGCTATCCTCTGTGCGCTCATCCTCCCATTCGCTTTCCGAACCCAAGGAGGATGGCGGGCGCCCTATGCTGCCACCACTATCGCTGGATGGCATCACAGTCACAGCTGGTTTACGGAAACTGGAGTCCACAAGGTTGCCCTGGCCAGCCTCATCTCTCCATTGCACACTCTTCTTCTCCTTCTCCGGGCCTGCGCGGCGGTATGGTTGACCAATACTCTGGCGAATCGACTTGCGCGGTGACTTGTAGTGTCTGCGTGGGGGAGACATGACAGGGTTGTACGACAACCGATGAGCGGCTTTCGTCTGGGGCTGCTGCTGAACGGGAGCGGGTGGGGCGGCGAAAGAATGTCTGGAAAATGAGCTGAACGAGGCTGGGGCCTCTTGCAAGGTGTATACTGCCGTCGACTGACCGACTAACGCGTTGAAGGCCTCGTCATTCTGGTCGGCAATGTTCTTCAATGACGCCGACATAGACCGCACGGTGCCTTCCATTCCATCATTCCCTTCTTCCACCGCAGTGCGAAGAACCTTGCTGGCTTCCATGAGCATGACGGTGCAGCGTCCAACCATGCCTAAGAGGCTGACAACCATCTCAGTTTGAGCGTTGAACGACTCTTTAACAGCGTTCTTCTCGGCTTCCGCCTTAATCTGGTCCATCTCCGCTCTCCGACTATGAGCCTCAGCCCTGACACTTTCCACACTGACATCGTCGAGTTTGTCAGAGCGACGCTCCGATACGGCTCGCAAGGTAGCCTCGAACATGTTAAGAGAGTTCAACGAGCGGCTGTAGCGGGTCCTAAGCGCCGAATCCGGCTTCACGACCTGTTCTTCGGGAGCTGCCAGAGCCTGAAGCAAAGCGCGTTCAGCCCCAAGTTCTGGTGACAGTGAAGATGAGGAAGCTTGTGATGCAATCTGGGCCAAGCGGACGCGGATGGCTTGCAACTTGATCTCAGCAACGGAAATTTTCCCCGAACAAGAAGCGCCGTCTGCGATGGATGGTTGGGTCTGCTCCGTCCGAGAGCTGAGATCCTTTCGGACACGCTCGACCTCCTCCTTGGCTTGCGATTTCTTGCGGTTCGCAATCTCGGCCTCCTTGCCAAGTTTGCCAGCAAGCTTCTCTTTGAGCTCTCTGACCTCGTCATTGAGCCTGTTGATCGCCTGCACGTACTGACCAACGTGGCGGTCCACGTTGACAACATTACGAGTGACAACCTTCGTCTTGATCTTGGTGGCTCGTTCGGCGTACACAAGAGTATTATGGGTGTCGTCGAAGTGTGCTGATGTCGGTGCTACGCAGACCACCATGACCGTCTTGCAGTTCCCGCCTAGCGAGAACTTGAGCAGGCGAGTAAGCTTGCTGTTCCTGTACGGGACGTGGCGAACGGCACCTCCGCTCTCACAGAGCGCGTTGATGCAGTTGCCAAGAGCTAGGAGGGATTTGTTGATGTTGGCACCTTCTACCATACGCTGACCCATGTTTGTCGTTGCTGCAGCACGTTCACTGCCAGCCAGATCGATGATAGATAGAGTCGCCACCGTCCGTTGCTCGGTGAGAGATGCAGTTCGGGGAGCCTGGGTAAGATGGACTTGGAGCACGGCATGAGAACGAGAAGAGGTTTCATTAGCGTGTGTAGGAGATTGTGTCCGTCTCGAGTTTCCTAGCAGTACGATCTCCTTTACTTGATCTGCGCTGGCGGGATGCAGCTCTGAAAGCCCGACGACCTTTACTGACTTGTCCTCACGTATCTGAAGTCCACCTCGTGGTGTGGGCGTGCCTGGCTCAGCGAGAAGGTCCCGAATTTCCTCGTTGTAAATCTCTAGGAAAGTGACAGAGACTTCCGTGCTCCATTCATCTTGGCGATCTTCTATACGTTGAAAGAGATCGGACATTGCGAGATAGATGATCCCAGGATCATCCTCCGTGCCACTGATGGTATGTGTTTTGCCACATCCTGTAGCCTCTTGGCGTATAAGCATGTAGAAGAATAAATGAGGTAGTAAAAACGTACTCCGTACGCGAACACAGTCGCATTGTATCCTTCCAGCAAACCGGACAGAAGTGGTTTTGCAGTAGCTTCATAGACATAGGGCTGCTGTGCTTGGCTATCAAGGACCTTGTCGAACATAAATCGTCTGTCTTTATATCTCTTCGTTCCTGGAGGCATGAACCCTCGCTCAACGAAGGCTCGTGCTGGGTCCTGTTCCCTGGGGTCAAATGTAAGAATGCGGTCATCTACTATCTGGACGATGTTGCGTAATGGTGCCGATTGTGTTACAGGTTTCATGGGTGTGGCGAGGGTTCCATCTCCTCGGAGAGTCGTTTCATAGGTTGTCTCGGGCAGACGTCTGGCCTCCCAGCTGGTGGGTGGCCGTACACGGACTGTGCCGCCCTATTAGCATTTGGGACATATAGCGACAAGGGCAGTGGGATACGCACCTGCTACAGTTATCGATCCGGCAGAGACCATGGTGGTATTATCTGTGCTGAGTTAGGCGTCGTAGATGTCGACGACAGCAAATAAAGGTCGCCGTCGTGAAGGGGAGTGAGCGGTGTCTCCTTGTATCAATGTGTTCAAAAGTCAACTGACGCGACGAACACGAGGCACCACGTGATCGTGATCTTTAGCAAAGATCAATATTCTTCGAAGCTTATTTTCGATTACCCCTGACCACAATCAGTCCCTACATATCTCCACAACTGCAATGGCCGACGTCCTCCAGGTAACCGCACCTGCAGATTTCCATGTCCACCTCAGGCAAGGCGAGCTGTCGAAGCTTGTCACACCGCATGTCTATCAGGGAGGTTTCCATCTGGCATATGTCATGGCAAGGGGAACAAGCGCATATGCTGTCATCTATGTCTAATGACATCTCCAGCCCAACCTCAAACCTCCAATCACGAACACAGATCAGGCTTTAGAGTACCAAGCGCAGTTGAAGTCTATCGACGATCGCGTCGAATACTTGATGACGCTGTATCTCTCTCCTGAGCTTACACCAGAAGAGATCAGAAAGGCAAAGAAGAATGGCATCGCTGGTACGTATACAGATGTGCTTTAGGCGCCGATAACATCGACCATATAGATCTGCAGGCGTCAAATCCTACCCGAGAGGAGTTACCACAAACTCGGATGGTGGGATTGAATCTTATGACGCGTACGATGCCGTCTTCAAGGCAATGGAAGAGGAAGACATAGTGCTAAACCTTCACGGAGAAGTTCCTTCAGACGCCTCAAATGCAAGTTCTTAATCCTTAATCTTATCAACATTCGCTAACGATTCACAGAACATATGCGTCCTCAACGCGGAAGAAACGTTCCTTCCTCACCTCGTCAAGCTTCACACAAAATTTCCTCGACTCCGCATTGTCCTGGAACACGCAACTACGCGTGCAGCTATCGAAACTGTCAAGTCACTCGGTGACACGGTAGCTTGCACAATCACTGCACATCATTTGGCCATCACAGTCGACGACTGGGCAGGCCAATCCTACCACTTCTGCAAACCTGTGGCCAAGTACCCGAACGACAGGCAGGCTCTGCGCGATGTCATCAAAGAAGGCGAGCTCAAATCGTGCCTTAAATATCTCTGTCACTGATCATCCCCCTTCATATAGGACACCCAAGGTTCTTCTTGGGCTCTGACTCTGCTCCGCATCACACCCTGGCAAAGTCAACAGCGTCACCGACCGATCCATGCGCTGCCGGCGTCTACACATCACCTATCCTTCTACCTCTCGTTGCGCATCTGCTGGAGTCTTTCGGTGCGTTGGATAAGCTTGAGAACTTCGTGAGCGGGCACGGTCGCCGGTTCTACCAAAGTACTGCTGGATTTGCGCCGAAGAAAGTTAGGTTGAGGCGTAGTACAAGTCTGGTTGAAAAGGAATGGACGCTGGGCGACCAGACAGTGGTTCCGTTCTGGGCTGGAAAAAACATCGGATGGGAGATCGCTCAGCCTGAGTAGACAGTAGTGTAACGTCGATAGATCAGGGCATCTCATTCGTCTATGCATAGATAATACAATGTAATGTTATGATACACTAGCCATGACAAGACATTAGCAAATGATAAAGATAGCGTATAATAGCGTTAGATAGCATGAAAACGTCAGACAGCGTGTAAATCGTAGAGGAAACGGTCTAGTTGGAGTTAATGTCGATTTTTGGCTCCTTATAAAGCTTGAGTAGCAACGAACTACAGATAACTGACACAGACCTGACGTAAAGGAATCAGTATCAGTTTTATGGCGCCAGAGACCCGGTCTACTCACGAAAGAGCCATTGCCAATGAAGCCCACACAGGTGGGAGGCGGGCGTTGTGAGCCGGATAAATGACACCAGCAGCGATGGGTACCGCAATAATATTATACATGAAAGCCCACATCTAAGTAGTCGTACAAATCAGCCACTGATTTTTATGTGTCAGATAATCACTCACGAAGTTGAGTTTAACGCGGTTGAACACAGTGCGCGAGAGATCGGACAAAGTAAGAAGACTTGTGAGATTGGACGAGACTAGGATGAACGAGGCGCTCGAGAGGGCCACGTCGCTTCCTGAGCCAATAGCAATGCCGACATCGGCTGCTGCAAGAGCCTGCGCATTCCGATTAGTGATGTGCTCTGAAGAGGAGGATATGGATTCAGCCTACAGGTGCATCGTTGATTCCGTCACCCGTCATCGCGACAACGCAACGTTCATTCATCGGGCCCCTGTGAAGTAAGCGCTGAAGCCGAGTAGGCGGGCGCTTAGCACCATTCTTCTGCAGCCACTCGATCTTCTCGGCTTTTTGGTGGGGAAGAACACCTGCAATCACATTGCACTCTGCAATACCAACAGACCGCGCGACAGCCTTGGCCGTGACTTCGTTGTCCCCCGAGATCATCCATGTACCGATGTTGAGGTCGCCGAGACGGCTGATGACGCCTTTTGCCTCCGGGCGGAGAGGGTCTGACACCGAGAACACGGCGATGATATCATATGTTTCGCCTCCCGGGCGCGTGGCACCAAGAAGGATGACACTTTTAGCTTCGGATTTCCATTGGTCGAGCTGGCGTGCGACGTTGGGGTCGAGGGAAGCACCATGCTCTTGCATCCACGCCTCATTCCCGATAATGGCAACACAGTCGAGCTGCTCAAAGCGGCCCTTGACGCCTCTGCCTGCGGCCTCGTCAAAGTCGACACCAGTGACCTCCTTCGCGGCATTCGCCTGCGCAAACGACCGGATGGCGATGCCGAGAGGGTGGGAAGACGCAGACTCGAGCTCCGACGCGATTCCTAGAACGACTTCGCGACTCCAACGCTGCGAGGCGGGCTCGAGGACCAAAGAGTCGACGACTTGTGGCTGGCCGCCCTCAGTAAGAGTGCCCGTCTTGTCGAACACGACGATGTCGAGCTGGGCCATCTCCTGAAATGCTTCGCCGCCGCCACGTGCGAGAATGCCGTATTTCGCAGCGAGCCCGGAGCCGACGAGAAGCGCGGTCGGAGCCGCGAGGCCAATACCGCACGGGCACGCAACGACGAAGACGGCGATGGCGAATTCGAGCGACCAGACGGCTGGTTACATCAAGCGAAGGCGAATCCATCAGTTATAGGAGTCTTTCATTGTTTTAGAATTTGAACTTACTCCAGCCGCCCACGTTAGTATCGAGGTAGCTTCGCGGGATTCCGCCTCCGAAGCCCAGGCCGAGCCAGACGACCCAGGTGATTATAGCAAGGAGTGTAACGACAGGCACGAACGAGCCGGTAATTATGTCTGCGATCCTCTCGATCGGTGCTCGACGAGTCTGTCCCTCTCGAACGATATCGACAATGTGATCAAGCCTACATAGTGCATCAGACCTGGCACGACATGTGATGGAATCAGGAAACAACGTACATTGTAACACCACCGATGGCATCGACTTTGATGTCGACAGGCTTCGACTGATTGATCGTCCCGAGGAAGACTCGGTCGCCAATCTGCTTCTTGATAAGTCGAGCCTCACCGGTCAAAGAGCTCTCGTCGAAGGCGCAATCCGTGCCAGCAACGATCGAACCGTCAGCTGGAGGGGTGGATCCATGCTGCACTCGGACAATGTCTCCAACTTCCAGGAAATCGACGTTGACTCTTTGTACCGAGAAGCCAGGCTGCGCCATCATATTTCCATTGTCCTTTTCAGGATCACCCTTTTCGGGGTCTCCTAACGGAGCTATGGCGAGCGAAGGTTCAGACGATGACCGAGGTGCGATGAGGAAGGCGTCTGAGGGACGAAGAGAACCAAGAGCGGTGATGGCATCGGCTGTTCTGGCCTTGCTGTACGCCTCAAGGTAGCGGCCTAATTGTGCCGTCAGAGACAGTATATTGACCGGAGAAAAAAATAACGTACCACACAGAAGAAACATGGTAAGGAAGACAACAGAGTCAAAGTAGGTTGTCGTATCCCCCATACCACTTTCTGAAGGCGGCAGGGACGCCGACAGAGCCAACAGCGCAATGGACGAGAAGTAAGCAACCGATACACCTGATGACACCTGGAAATTGCGTGGGTCAGTGAGAGTTGACCTGCGAAGGAGCGATCAACATACCAGAAGATTCATGCTGCCAAACTTGGTGAAACGCGAAAGGATCGGCGTGGTGCTTCCCCTTCGCCACAAAGCGCGTATCTCCTTAATGCTCCTACGATGAAACAGCCCTGCACCATAAAACATGACAGGCGTCGCACAGAAAAATAACGCCCATTGGATCCGGGAAGCGTTTCCATTCCACATAGGCTCCATGAGAAACTGTTTTCCGGTATTTCCGTTTGGCAGGAGGCTCATATAGACAACGCCGATCACGAACGTCGGTATGGCGACTACGACGGAGAAGATGAGGCGGCCGAGCAGATTCCTTCTCTCTTGGAGCTGTATGATGCGGGCCCGCTGTTCCAACGATGGTGGGCGGTAAATCGAGACTTTGAAGTTCTGCGGGTCCGCAGCCTCGATAGCGGATACGATATGGCGGATTGTAATGTCCGGTGGTGCTGGCTCGTAAGAAACTGAGAGGATGGGATCTCTAAGGTCTGCCAAAGACTTCTCGATGGTGACGCTCGGGGCCAACTTCTCGAGGCTCGCCATAATTTTGGCGGGACAATGTCTGTTGGAATGGGGTAAATATTCTGACGGTAAAATCAAAGGGAAGGGACTTACTCGCAGAACATTCCATCCACACGAAGAGAAATAAGTCTCGGTCCGATGGTGGAAGTCTCGCTCGATGATGAAGATATGGGTTCCACCTTGACGACATCGGCTTCGAAGCCACAATCCTCTATAGTCTCTGTCACCTGGCCAGCCAGGTCTTTGTGTGTGATCTCTACGGTAGCAGAGTTGCTCAAAAGGCTGACGACCACATTGGATGCTCCAGGTACTTGAGAAACCAAATCGGTCACAGTATTGGAGCAGGCCGCGCACGTCATACCGCCTACAGAAAGCGTGAGGAGAAATGGTCCATTAACTTCGGAGAGTTCTATTGATCCGGAACGAGATGACGCCATGTCATCTGTAATCGTTTGGTGTGCATGATCATGTTTCTCCAGTTGACTCGAGTCTTCCCCGACGTTTCTACCCAGCGAGACCTGGGATCCGATGAGATTTTGCTGAGACACTGGAGAACCCAAGCGTGCGATTTCCTGGCAGAGCGTGCAATGCTGGAGGTGCTTCCTCCGTTTACCCGATAAGAGAGTGCTGACGCCGGATAATGTCCTCTGTCGAATCGAAGGCCCCTCCTCTGTGGGATCCTTCCCAGTGTCAACAGTATCGAAACCTGCCTCATCGAGCCTGGAGTGGAGAGCATCGCCCGAGAGCATTGGGGAGTGTTCTACGGTGACAGTCTGAGAGACGATGGAAACGTTGACGGCCGATGGTGGGGGAGCGAGTGTCGACAATGCCTGCTGTATTGCGCGTACGCAGCTGTTGATCGAAGGACATAAGTGTGAGTTCGACAGATGGACTGGAGGACACGCGGAGGAGTACTGACCTGCTGCAGTGTAGATTTGACACGAGGATCGTCGTTATTTTTGTTTCTGAGGACATGATGGAAGAGCGAGGTTAACGACGAACGAGGGGAAAAGGAACGGTAGGAAATGAAAAAGCGGACGAGGTGGTTTTATGGCGTTTCATTCGAGTGGTGGGATCGCATCACCATGACTAACGGGGCCATGGCAGTCTGTTGTCCAGAAAATGCCTCATCTTCCAATTGGTGCCGTCCGAAGCAGCACAATTGCCTCACAGCCGATCAGGCCGAGGGTCAGAGGGCAACGTTCGCGGAGAGGCCGGCAAATCTTCTGCTGACTCAGCTTCTCAATTTTCGGATTGTGTCCCGATTTGGCAATCCCCCTCGCTGTCATTGTCACGCGTTTTCTGATGTTCACTTCGCAATTTCAAGTCGTGTGCGTCGCAACTCGCGTATGCCGCACACAAACAGAACGTGATACGCGTTATCCGTCACCATCCTTTCACTTTCTAACCACATCCTATCCTCTTGGCTCCGCATATTCCACTCTTAGATGCACAAGGATAGACAATCTCGCATATCAGCCTTTTTCAACCCTCCAGAAAAGGAGTCCCCGCGATCAAGCTCCATCCTCACTCGCTCGTCTTCACACTCGTCGACTGGATCTCGTTCGGATGTAACCAACTCTCTGGATAATGGCCGAACCCCCGTTGTCCTCGGTATCTGTGCCATGGATGTCAAGGCAAGATCCAAGGCGATGAGAGAAATCCTGACCAGATTGGTTGAGAGGGCCCGAGGGGCGATCGAAGTCAAAGTTTTCGGAGACAAGGTTATTCTAGACGAAGGTTAGGCGCCCGCCCTTTCACCTTGTACCATCTCACGTCAACATTCGAATTCGTATGCAGATGTCGAGAACTGGCCCTATTGCGACGTCTTAATTTCCTTCTTTTCCACCGATTTCCCCTTAGACAAGGCAATTTCCTATGTCAAGCTCCGGAACCCGTTTTGTATAAATGACTTGTCTCCTCAAGCTCTCCTATGGGATCGTCGACTTGTCGGAAGTATCTTGGATCACCTCCAGGTACCAACACCAAAGCGGCTAGTGGTCTCCCGCGATGGAGGCCCCCAGGTTGATCCGGAGTTGAAGCAGTCGATGAAACAAAGAATTGGCATAGAGTTGGGCGGGTATCAGATGACTCCAGAGGTCGCCCTACGAGAAGACGGCGATGCAATCATCATCGATGGGCAAGTTCTGGAAAAACCCTTTGTAGAGAAACCAGTCAGTGGGGAAGATCACAACGTGTACATCTATTTCCGTGGTGGTGGAGGGCGGCGGCTCTTCAGAAAAGTAAGTAGATAATCTTTCACCAGCGACTACTGGACAGGTCTCAACGCAGATCTTCAGGTTGGCAACAAATCGAGCGAATTTGACACCACCCTCAACTTTCCACGAACGGATGGCTCTTATATCTACGAGCAGTTTGTAGACGTCGACAATTCCGAAGACATCAAGGTTTATACTGTCGGTCCAGAATTCTTTCATGCTGAAACCCGCAAGTCTCCTGTTGTTGATGGAGTTGTACGCCGTAACACGGACGGCAAAGAGATTCGGTACGATTTGAGTAATTCTGACACGGCTTCACACTGAGGGTCTGTAAAAGATTCATCACTCGATTGGATGAGAAAGAGAAGAGCTACGCGTCCAAAATCTGCCAAGCATTCAGCCAGAGCGTGTGCGGCTTCGATATGCTCCGCTGCGATGACGGCCAGAAAAGCCAGATTATCGATGTGAACGGCTGGAGCTTTGTCAAGGGAAACGAATACTACTACGGTAACTGAATCCCTCGTGTATCGCACAGATTGCTCACGACATGAGAAATAGACAAAGCTGCAGAGATCCTCGCTACCTTATGTATCAATGTCTCGTCCTCACCGGGGCGGCCGCTGCCGTCCGCCGATGTAACTTTGCAGCAAGAGTCATCTACCTGGCGCCTCAAGGCCAATGTGACAGTCTTCCGGCACGCTGATCGGACTCCCAAGCAAAAGCTCAAATTCAATTTTCCTATCGGAGACGTTTGGACGCAGCCATTTGTCCGTTTGCTCAACGGGGAGAAAGAGGAGATCATTCTGCGTGAAAAGGAACAGCTCAATCTCATTGCCATTGCCGTGGAGGAGGCTAAGTCGTTAGGCGCTAGCGGCGAACACCTTACCAAGCTATCTCAGCTCAATACTGCGCTCTTCAGCAAGATTGATTTACCGGGTACTAAAGCACAGCTAAAGCCCGTGTATTCCAAACGGCAAGCTGGCCAAGCCAGGAAACTCACGAAATTGACTCTAGTGTTCAAATGGGGTGGCGAGGTACAGTTTGACATTCTTTTACGACTGCATTAAGCCTGACCTGTTCTAGTTCACTCATTCGGCGAGGTACCAGTCTCGCGACTTGGGCGAGAACATGAAGAAAGACATATCGATCATGAGTACGTCCTTTCGGTGTCTGCACCGAACACTGAGGCTAAACGCGTTTTCAGATAAAGAGGCTCTCCAGAATGTCACGGTAAGATACGATCCATCGTGGAATCAAAGAAATGAATGCTGAACCATGTTAAAGATATACACCTCCTCGGAACGCCGAGTCATTGCGTCGGCAGAAGTATTTGCGGCGGCCCTTATGGACTCTTCTCATTCAGTACCCACATCCTCAACTTCCAGCTCCGTCTCGTCGCGGTCCTCTACCGAAATATCCTCATCTTCGAGCACTTATTCGGGAAAGAGCAGCAATGGGTCCTCACCGCTGTCATTGATTGTGCGCAAAGATTTGCTGGACGACTCCAACGCGGCCAAGGACCTCATGGATGATGTCAAGAAGCGCCTGAAAATTCTGCTTCGACCTGGTGAACCAGAAAAGAGGCCCGAACTCACGTGGCCGAAGAGCATGAAGAAGGAGCCCGTGGAAGTTGTCAAGGTATGTGAATATTTTAGCAGCTAGCCTATAGAACTCTCAACGGCGGCCCCACTGCAGGAGGTCATCGAGCTTCTGGGCTCATTCCGCACCATCATGCGTAAGAACTTTGAGACCATGGACGTCGATAAGATACAGGATCGCTGGTACGGTCAATACAATTCTAAACTTGCCGTAATTCTCATCCGCGGCGGACATGGTCTAGGTGTTGCGGAGATGAACCGTGGCTATTCCGGGAGCGATGGGAAAAGCTGTTCGAGGACTTCTGCGACGTCGAACAGAAGAAGTTTGACCCTTCCCGCGTGCGTCGGATTTCCTGAGTCGCACGCCGCTAAATTGCCTCACCGCAATTGCCTCCCTGTGATTTGCGCAGGTATCTGAATTGTATGATACGATCAAATATTGCGCCTTGCATCACCGCACATTCCTCTTCTCAATCTTTTACGACCACTCGAGCCAGAATGGCGCAAGCAAAGATGCCGGCATGAACCAAGCCCAGGACCGCAGGCTGCACGAGCTGTACGGTCGTGCGAAGGCGCTCTTCGATCTTGTCGCTCCTCAAGAATATGGCATTGAGCCCGATGAGAAGTGTGTACCCCTCAGCGCACTCCATGTTCCTTGCTTACGAGAGGCTCTTAGGGAGGAAATTGGTGTGCTCACATCTCTTCCGCTGTTACGGAAAGTCGTGGAAGACCTCGAAGCTGCACGCAACAACGGCGGCAGTTCATTGACACTTTACTTTACCAAAGAGAGCCATATTCACACCCTTGTAAACCTGGTGCTGCATTCAGGCCTACCAATTGCAAACAGGCGGATTCCCGAGCTGGACTACTGTGTAAGTCACGCCACATGGTTTGTCATCCCAAAGGCTGACGCACGTTCCATTCTCATTAGTCTCACATAACGTTAGCACTTTCTGATTTTCCATCCATGACTTGGAGTAGCTTTTGACATGGCGTAGGTTCGAACTTTACGAGCGCAACCACGGTCGTGGAAACTCTGATAAGGAGTATTCCATCAAGCTTTCTGTCAGCGAGGGTGCACATTCATCCAATGTGCTCGACTCCACGCTAGATGCTCGCCATTCTCTCAATGTTCAGCCGCGCAGGTTGGTTATAGCGTTGAGTATGCCTCATGTGAATACGCTGACATATGTCAACAGGAAATTGACCCAGCATCTCCCATACAGTCTCGTCGTCGAAAGGCTATCTAAGCATTTCCATAGACTACATGAAGTGAGTGCTCCAGGCTTGTATATGTCGCCCGACTTATGAACACCACCACAGGACGAGGACACAGGAACAGATACCCCATTCGAGGTGCAGCCCATCCAAACGCCTTTTAAATTCAGCGATAGCAGCAGCGATGGCGACGCAGGGCGCTCGCCTGGTTGAGGTGACATAGACCAGCAGGCTATTCTTGAAATCCTACATCTAGTCAACATCAGCATCTGTAGCATAGCCTCTAATGTATAATATATGGACCTGGAACGTAGTGTCAAGAATAGGCAGGCAGGCTTGGAGCGGACTACTCGATCGTATATGCATTCCACTCGGTTAGGCCCAGGGAGTTACGTAGTTCCGAGAGCTGCTTGTTCTTTAGAGTGCTAAACCGAAGCGTATTCTGATGTTCTTTCCGTCCTGGTCTCTCATATAGTGCGCTAGGTGACTGGGAAAGTTGTGATGATTGGAGGGCTAATGCCGCATAGGAAGACGTATTCTCTCGGTATCTTAAGGTCAAGGCATAAGAAGGGGCGGTTGTCAAGACACATGGTGTACGTACAATCTGAATGCTTCTTTGTTCAAGCAGTCATGCTCCTGGAATCTGTCGAGTGCATCTTTCTTAAATGCAGCCTTGATCCAGTGCAAAACGTCAAATATGTGGTGCTCTTTTGGCCTATCTCGGAGTCAACACTGCTCGATGCTTGTCCGGTCTAGTGCATACCTCCAAGGGCGGAAGCGCGAGCTCATGCTAAGTTTGCCTGTTTGAGGAGTGACAAGGGGATGGAAGACATCCGTTACGAATCGTACTGAAGGAGGGGCGTCTGGATAGTTTGGAGGAAACGTGACTTCGAATCTGATTACCGCATCGGAGTAGTACCCTGGCGCAGCATTAACTTGGGGTACCCCGCATTAACCAACGCATACCGCAATCATACCTTGGTGGACAAAGAAGACAACCTCCCATACGAGTGGGCTATCAGCTGAGGGCGTGACGTACATCCCTTGAGGACAGTGTCGACTATGTCTGAGCGAAGCATACTCGAGCGATACGGCTGCCTGCGTGACAGGGTTGATTGCTAGTCCCGGGTCTGCATGATGGGCACGAGTAGTAGTAGGAGAGTCGACTGAGGTCCTGGATCTGCCACTGAGTACGGCTTGGGCTTGGTTCCAACCTGACCTGCCCAGCTCGACAGCAGGTGAGTTTGAGATCACGCTCAGCATGACGCGGTGGGGATGAGTAGGAGCGCGTCGCGATCAAGGCGTTAGCATTGTCACGGCTTGTAATATTTGACAAGTAAATCGTAGAGAAAGTGCTCAATTGCAGATCTGTCACGCACGTCACAGGAGATGGTCACCTCACGCTCATAGGACTGTCACCTAGTGACAATGCTAGCTCGGCCAGGAGGCCTGTCTCTCATCTGTCCTTTTCCTTTCGGACACCTGCAATATACAACTCAAGAACAAAAGCTTTCACATGGCCTCTGATCGTCTCGGTACCCTGCTACAAGCCGGATCGGCCCTCCTCGACACAAGCGCTCCTGCTCAACGTCAGACGCCAATTGCAGGACTTTCTACGCGATTGCAGTCTTTCTACCAGATATTAGGCGAACGCCATGATATCCAGGACGACATATCGCTTGATCAACTACAACTTGAGACCGCACAGGTTGCACTGCTTGTGGTTGAACGCGTGCAGCACCTTCTCTCGCTACCAGACGAAGTAGATGATCCCACTCAAGAAACTGCGCCAAAGATCGGTACCCATGACTTTGCCCAGCTCCGCACGTTACTTTCCATGTCTTTCAACTGGAGTGTCTCTCCTCTTCTCGGCCGTATCTCTCCTGCACGCCCTCAGGCGACCTCTGCACACATAGTTGATGTTAACGCGATTCGAGAAACCACTTCTCTGCTATGCACATCTGTCACTAGACACTTTGCTCTCCTCTTTCCTGATGGACCTGAAAGCAAACTTCCTCAGACTCTTATAACAACTACGATCATCACGAGGCACGTTGCAGATCTGCTCAAACCGTCGATAACTCTCGGTTGGATGCCTCGTTCTGTTGAGTATGATGTTCCTCCGCGTAATCTTCAACCTTTAGTACATCGTCTACTGGCCATGTGCGTGATAGACTTGTCGAGTAATACGCCATTAATCAAGTGTCCGTTCCATTCCCATTGCTCTTGTAAGACAGTCTTCCTCCGTCTCAAACGATCGCTGCGATCGGCTCTATCCTATCCTCTGGGCCGCATGCGTTCCCTCATGTCCCCAAGGTGTGTTCATCTCTCTTGAGCGAGCAGCTTCTCCGGCGAGATGGTGTGCATGGCCTGGTGGCAGCTGTTTTCGGGGAAGGAGAAGACGTAGAGGATGCTCCTCTTCCAAAGCTCGAGCACGTTGCCCGTATCCTCCGGACTGTCCCAGCTGGGATGAAGCCCATGGTGAGCTCCATACACCCTCGTTGACTGCTTCTCTACTAAGGTAGGTATCCTAGGAGTATCTTAGTGCAATTGTACCTCGTGTCCTTGCCCTTCTATCTGAACCAGGCGTCCCATCAGCTTACACGCGTGCGGCGGCGTTCGCGCTTGCACGTATGATCGCGCCTACAGGACCTTATCCTCATCGCGCCCGTGTTGCAGCCGTCGTACTCCCCGTCCTACATGGACCGCTTCTCAATGTAGAAGTGTTACCTTCAGGCGACGGCACAACTCCCACTGCTCGCAAAGCGCTCGATGCCTTATCGACGTTGCTGCTCAATGCGGATCCGTCCCCTACACTAATATCCACCTTGCTCACTCCCGCCGTTCCCGCGTTGTATGCGTTACTCTCTCATCTCGAGCGCGTACGTGCTTCCGATGCACTTCTCAAACCTTCTGTTAGAGGCCTCCTGATGACCTGGGGACGAGTCATTGAGGCAAAAGAAGCCGTAGATACTCTATGGAGCATCATCCAAGGCGAAGGGATTCATTGGAGTGTTGACATAGCAGGCGAAATCAGACGCGTCGAAGTGTACTTCTTCTCCGTCTTTTTTTCTCGGGCGATTGCATGCTGATTGCTGGATGTCAGGTCGAACGAGCCGCCCAAGCTTTCATTGCTGACGCCCGAAGACTTGCGCAAGGAAGAGGAGACCGGCGAGCTCGACGCTGACTTCCTGGACCTGTATCCGAACCCTACGCACTTCATTGATCTCCTCATATCGCTGGACCGTACGGACGTATCTGCAGAAGTCTTTGTACGCCTCTTACAGGCATACCACGAGACCAAGGTCGTGCAGGAAGATCATGATCCCATAAAGTAAGAGCATCGGTTTTTGTTTGAGTGGGCTCTGCTGACCGGATTCTCAGGGTCCTGCTGTACCTCCAACTCATCATGCAGATGCAGGCCCGCTCGTCCGACAACTCTTCATTCAATATCCTGAGCAAGCCTGATCATATCCTGCAATTTGTCAGATATGCACTTGACTCATCCGCGACTTCTGAGTCGGCGTCTACTGCGCAAAGAAGCGGAACAACTGGCGGCGGATTGTCTCTCAATGACTTGCGTATTGTCGAGGAGGAGGAAGACGAGCTCCATGAGTCGGATGGAGACAGTGATGATGAGGAAGCAGTTCCTGGTACAGAAAGCACACAGGAGGCAATGACGCTCACAGCAATCAACTTGTTGCTCGCGACGCTCGAAGGTTTGTCATCCACTTTTTGGCCCGCTTTTTGCGTCGTCTTAACGGCCATGGGTAGCAAATCCAGGCCTCTCGGCTCGCGACACCCCATCGCTCAATGACATCTTCTCCGCACTTGAACCCGCCAGCACATCTTCGGCGACGGAAATACGCACAGTCGCACGCGAGGCGCGTATGGTGCTTACAGCCCGTCTTGCCTCGACATCAGCATCTGGCGCGTTCGCTGGCTCTTCCCGCACGCGTCGCGGTGTATCCGAGAACGCACAGGAGGTATATCAGAAGGCTCTGAAGCTCCTGCAAGACCCCGTACTGCCCGTCCGAGCGCACGGCTTGTTGCTTCTGCGAGAGCTGGTCAAATCGCATGCGCCGACGCGCAGAAAGCGCCGTGACGGCGAGCGTGAACAGGCCGAGGAACAGTTAGACCGCGCACTCGTCCCCGCGATCCTCTCCATATTTATGCAGTCCGTGCAGGATGACGATTCCTACATTTTCTTGAACGCCGTACAAGGTCTTTCGGCTATGGTCGACATGTTCGGGAAGGAGGTTCTCCAGGGCCTCGTCGACAACTACTCGCAAGGACTGACTGGTATCTCGGCGAGCGTCCTGACGCAACAAGATATCGATACGCGTGTACGGATCGGGGAAGCTTTGGGTCAGGTAATACGAAGGTGCGGGAATGCACTAAGTATCTACGGTGAGTGTTTTTTTCTGGTTATTATAACCAGATTTTACTGACCGTGTACTTGAGTGAATATCCTCGTGCCACCTCTGACGGCGGTATACCGCTCGAGCACATGTCCAGTACTTCTCCGGAGCTCGGCCATCTCACTGCTCACCGAATGCATTAAGACAGACCCTCTTGCGCTCCTCGGATACGCAGACGACATATCGAGCGCAATGATTGACCTTCTCCAGCTCGAGTCCGTCCAGGCGTCCAAGCTACCTAAGCCACAAAGCCAGGGCGCAGAGGAATCAAAAGGCACAAAGCCCAAACCTGATGAAACACTGGACTCCAATCCGGCGTCTACGAACGCGAAAATACCTTCGTTGCGCCGAGCTGCGCTGTATTTCCTTACTCTTCTCTTCAAGACGGTCACGGAGGGCGTATACGAACAGAGCGCTCACGTTGTCCCGCCTCCGCAAGCGCTTCTCAGACGGGCCCAGACGACCCTATCTTACATAGCTAGGACGGACCAGGACAACGTAGTCAGAGTAATGGCAAGGGAGGCCAACGAAGGCGTCGAGCAACTTGAACAGGCAATGGTGGGGTTGTAGAGATAATATACACGATGATGCATAGGTGGTTTAGTTGAATATCGGGAGTACATGTAAAGATACAAGATGGTGTATGTTCGCCCCGTATCTGTCTCGAATGCAGTAATCTTGGCTCGTCCGAGTCAATGGAAGGGCATATGTATGATCTCGGTTCTATACTGAGATGTCTCCCGGTGAAAGGAGAGTCGGGACTGCGCCGCAATACGTGCAGATGGCCGAAGCCTGCAATATCTCGGCGCGCCAAAGAACCTGGGCGAAGTCTCTCAGAAACTTGGGTCTTAGCTGCCGTAGGCCAACCGGGATCATACTCATGCTATGGGTCGAGGTTCATCATATACTCGTCGTGCTAACATTCCCCAACAACCGGGCTACCTCGTCAATGCGCTGTCGGAACTTCTTCCACTTGGGATGTCCAACGTTAAGCGATTGGTACTGTTCAGTGGACGAATCGGGCGGCGCCTCCAGCCGCAAGAACGGATTCGATACAGCCTGGAAGAACGCCATATGAAGGGCCTTGAAGGTCTAGAGGTCGTAGGATACATGGATGAGCAAGCAAGAGAACGAGTCGAGATGGAGCGGCGCACCATGATCATGTCCCCGTCCCGGACGACCGCATCCGACAGCTGCAGCGCGCACACGATCTTCACCTTGAGCGGGGTGATGTACCCATACACCGCGACGTCGTCCATGGCGTACAACAGACCCAGATAGCACTCGGTCGGCTTGGGGTTATCGCTCACTGAGAACCACATTCAAGGTAAGGAACCGTGTAACACGCCAAGAAGACGAAGAGAATGCTGACTGCGCTCCTCGAAAACGTCCAGGCTCGTGTGCGCGACATAGTGGTACTTCAGCTCCTGGCCCTTCTGGAACGTGCGTATCAGGATGGGGTGGTTCTTGGGCGAGATGAACGCGACCGCATTCAGGCGAGGTGGAGGTGGCATCAGAACAACGCTAACCGCGGACGTGGCTTTAGCATTGTCATCTTAGTGAGGCGCTACTTGGAGTCCAACCACTATAGCTTAGTTCATGCAATTATGAAGGATCCGTAAACAAAATCTTATTGAATGTAGCCTCCCTTGTATCTTGGTCCAAAGTCTTCCTTCCTTCCCCGGTTTCTATCCCTGTGTCTTGTCTTGTCTCTGTCGCGGTCTCTGTCTCTGTCTCTGTCCCTCTCTCTGCGCCCGTCACTGTTTCTGTCACGATCCCTCTCTCTATCTCTTTCTCTTTCTCTGTCTCTGTCTCTGTCCCGCCAATCCCGGCCCCTATCTCTCCTCCGTGGCTCCTCCCTGTCAGCAGCACCTCTAATACTCAACGAGTCACCTCCAACTCTCCGCTCCGGAGACCTGCGCCGTTTCCGACTTTCCCCGTCATGCCGCCTGTCCCCCAGCCGCTCAAGCAGAGGCGGCGGCGACGGCTGCCTAAACTGCTTCCCCTTGTCCCTGTCCCTGTCCCTGTCCTTTACGCCCACACCGCCGCCCTTGCCGCCGAATCGGATGCGCGTCCCCGCCGACGACAGCGGGCGGTCTATACGCGCTCCGAGGCGCGACTCCATCCCGCGGCTCCGCACATTGCGCGCGTTCGCGAACCAGTCATCCGGATCGTCCTCGTCTTCGTCCGCCGCCGCCGCCCGCGCTCGCTTGACCATCCTCTCTATCTCCTTCTGCCGTGCGTTTCGCCCCGGTATGAACATTTCGGGCTCCTCGCTGGGTTCTCGAGCACGACGTGGCTTCGATCGCGAGGAAGACTCGGCGGAGGGATCGTAAAAAGGACCGGACAAGATGTTGTATGCACTGAACGCCGAAGGCTCGCGGGGAAGGTCTGGTGCGAAAGGTATGTCTTCGCAGTCCTGAAAGTTGATCAGATCAAGGCTGCACGCAGAAGAAAAAAGAGAAGTCGTACGTCCCCCCAGTGGCCAGCCCCGCCACAGTTGTAGCACCACTCTTCGTCAGAGATGTAGCCCTCGCCACCTTCTCCTAACTTGAGGTCGCGCTTTGCCGCACGTTCATTGAGAATGATCGTCTTGTCCTCGTCGGTGACGTAGGTGTATATTCGCCACAGCGTAGGGCATTCCTATCTGGTGTCGGGATCACAAGGACGCAGAGGTGGCTTTTCGTCTTACATTGTATCTGTGTTCTTGCGAGCCGCACCGGTCACAGTCGTCATAGTAGGCTTCGCGACTTGGCCGAGCGCGCGAGTGTCGGTTTGGACATGTCTACGGGATGCAATTCGTTTTCAGTTACAAATTTCGCGCGTTGAAAATCGCATACCTTATTGATGTGACCCTTCATACCACATGTGTAGCATGTTTTGCTGATGGGACAACTTCGTGTAGAGTGCTCGTCTCGAGCACCACATGTCAGACACTTGACAAAACAAATCTATTAGCCTTTTCTCATTGGATGCATAAGGCGAACCAACGTACTATGAGCACCGGACACTCAAAAGTCTTGTGCTCGCCCTCCGCGCCGCACTTTTTGCAGACAATTTTGATAGCCTTGTTCTCCTCCTTTTGCGCTTCAAAGTACCGAATGGTTGTGTTCTATGTAACCGACCGTTAATATCCGCGGTGCAGGATCCCGCTGATAAATCGTCGACTGATAGCACGCACCCGCACAGTATCGTCATACTGCAAATACTCGATGTAATCCTCCCCATCCGAGTCCGGCGGCGGCGTAGCGAGGTTCGCGGCAATACCGTCCTCATCAGCGTTCCCCAACCCGACATGATGCGGGAGCAGCAGACCGTCCACGTCCCTGGTCTTCGGCGCTGGTGGTGGTGGCTGCTGCTGCTGCTCGTCGACAAACGCCTCCGGCGTGGGCACAGACGTGGGTGCGACGTCGACGAAGAACAAGGGCATCTCGCCCTCTTCTTCCACCGCCGCCTCCGCCTCCTCTTTCTCCGGTGCGGCTTGTGGCACACAAGTGCTCGCACCCTGCCGTGCCAGAGACGGCGACACCGACCGTCTCCGCGCGTGCGAGCTCGAGCCCGCTGCAGCACGCAGGCCAGGCGAAGAAGAACCAGACACCCGCGAGACGATACGCGCCTGCGCCTGCGCCTCCAACGCATCGCCCGCCGCATCCCCGGTGTTCGCGATGGGCGTCGCAGCCCCCGATGCGCTCGCGCTAGCAGTACCGACGGCAACGCCGCTCTTCTTCTTCCGCTTCTTGCGTTTCTTCTTCGTCGTCGGCGCGCCGTTCGCCGCGCTGCCCGTCACTGTGCCTGCTAGTGCGTCTTCGTCGTCCGAGATGACGATGGGCTCGGGCGAGCCTGTGAGGTCGATGACATCCGGCGCGGCGTTCGTGGCTGCTACGGACATGGCTCTGGAGAAGCTCTGAGCTGAGCTTAAGCAAAGTGTGGCGGACCTGGATGTGTTCAGGGGGAGGTTTGCAATATTTGGTGTGGCAAGCATCCGGAAGCGCTCAGCACGAAGCCCCCGGAAAAGGCAATTTCGCTTGGAAGGATTTTGCGCATATGTAGGTAGTAATTGAACGTTGAACGTTTGAACGTCGGATACAGATGCTGCGATGCAGGATCACATTGTTATATCACACCCCATTAGCGCTGTAGCCTGGCCAATAGTCGATACAACATAACAAACCAGAAAGAAACCAAAAGAAAACTGTTAATACATAGGCCTATAAAGCGTCACGATACCAATGTCGAGTGCATGTACTCTATGCATGCGATAGTATAAATGTATGTACAACCAAGCTAACGTGCTAGGGCATAAGCCAATCGATCAGTGAATGTCTATACCCTACTCAGTTTTGCATCTAACCATGTCTAAGCCAACCTTAGCGCTGCGCCTAAGTATTTGTGCCCGGAGCACCTTTGATCTGGTTGACAAGCGTCTCCCAATAATTCCAGTCCGAACCATCCCCAGCGTTGAATAAGCTGGTCTCTGTGCCCACAGATGGAGCGGTACTGCCCACCCATCCAGAAAAGTCTGCTCCGCCCCAAGAAAGGGCTGGGATACCTGTCTGGCCTTCGACGGGGCCTCCAGCAAAAGTATTGCACCAGTTGTCCAGCAGCGACTGCGCGGATGATTCCTCTTCACCGCTCGGGCTGCTCGTACCAGCAGGTGACCCAAGGGATCCTCCGTCAGCGGAATGTTGCAGTCGCTGAATGACTGGGACATGAGCAACTTGACTTCCATAAGTAGATGGAGACATTTGGGGAGAACTGTTTGAACCAGGGGTTTCCGGGAGCATGAGAGGTAAAGGAGGCTTGGACATGAAGTTGCCAGATACCGCCGAGTTATCTGTGGTGGGGCTAGTCACCTCCGCCGGTGGAGGATGGCTATCCGCGAGCTCAGATGCTTTGCTTTTGAGGAATTCGATGGTTCGTAGCTCTCTACGAGTTGTCTCGTCCATTTCTCGTAAGCCATCGTGTTCCTCTAGGAAACTGTCCAGAATATTATGCATAATTTCCGAGTCTTTGCCATGAGGATCTAGGACTAGGTAGATCCCGCTGATCATGGCAGTCTGGAACTCTCGATAAGCGTTACTTAGAGAATCTCGCGTCTCCTTGGGTTGTGTTTCTCGAAACTTGCGCCTGATGTTGTAATCCTTCATGGCAGATTCGAAGCACGCCTTTCGGGATCGGTAGTAACGGTCTGAACTCAGCCGACGAAGCAGGTATGGTCGATGTAAGCTGATACGGACGAACAACACCTCGGTGATGAGCAGGAATCGATGGACAGGTAGGAACTTCATGCTTTGATCGAGGGCCGTGTTCGGTTCGAGGGAGTAATGAGGTGGGAGATTGTGTATAAACTTTTGTAGGTCTTCGTCCAAGGCGAGAACGTCTGAGTAATGATTTGGCATCCTCACTTGCTGAAAGTGGTGGACCATACGACCAATGATGCTGGCTAGATTGTGCCGTAAAATGACATACGTCATCAACGTTGGGGTTGAAAGCGGTGGTGGGTTGCGAATTTGAGACAAGGGGCAGTCCTCTTCCACGTTCAGAGGAGGGAGCGTGCAAGTATAGTCATCCTGTATGGCAAAAGGCCGACCAAGTACGAGCGCGTATGAGCGGTCCGCGTGATAAAGATATGACCTAGAAATTTTAACTTAATTTATCGCACTATTGAGATTCTTATCAGACTCATACCATATTCGACGCCGTTCCTCTACCTGCGCGGGATCCATGGACTTCACAAACATTCAGCACCGGTCTTTTGACCCATTCAGCAACTTACCGAAGGGGAGGCATCTCTGTGCAAACCAAGAGCCTGTGCAGTTCTCACTGCCGCACCTAACTGACTCCAGCATTCGGTTATTCTTCTATCAAATGTCAAGAAGCGTGCGCTCTATGACAAATTGAGGAGGCATCAATATTGATTATATGATAGACATACCAATAAGCGTGTTAATACGAGTTCCAGCGAGTCGGGTTGGATAGCAGCCGCGATGAGCAACGATCGCCGAGCTAAGGTGTCTTGGTCAAAATCAGAGATGTTGAGCATTCTCTACACTTACAAGACCAATAATATCTTAAAGAGGTAAGCCGTCGGGTGCGAGCATCCCCGGCCAAGTGCTCTGGGGCAAGACGCACAGATATCGCTAAAACAACGAACAAAAGTGGTAGGAAACGCGCGTCGTTGGGGTTCGCACCAACGCCGTTGGCAATCAAGGAAGTGTATGCAGATCGGAAATCCTGTTCTGATATTGGATACCGAGTCCAGTTTCTGGTAATTGCTGCATCAGAGAAACTACCTTGTCATAAAACGAGATTGCACACATGGACGTGAAGTAATGATCAATGAGAGCGTCGGAGAATCTTTGAGGAGGCAGTTCTTGCAACAGTTCAGAGATTTTATGGGGCGAAAGGCCGCATTCTTGAACAAGGCTCTTCAGATTGTCGGCAGCAGATGGCTCGGAATCCTGTCGGACGCTCTCAATGATCGAAGGCGGAGCAATACTGTTCTTCGGATCAACATTGAGTGTTCCGTTCTGCTGAGAAGAGCCGGCGGGGTGACTGGCACCACTCTTTGACTCTCTTTGTTCATGAGATGTACTAGCAACCACAACATTTGCCAGCTGATGATGTAGCTTGAGTCAGAGCAGAAAGTACGCAAGGTTGACAGATGATTTACTTGCTCCAGTACGGACGCCGGTGCAACGCTCCCGGAGGCGCTGTTACCGTACCACTTTCCACTTTGGAAGGTACCACCACTAGGGTCCTGTTCATCTGCTACAGAGCGATTGTCCTCGTCACCCTCTGAAGAGGCTCTGTTGCGACTGGACACGCTTTGAGCACCGTTCACTTGGTGAAAGTATTGAGGCAGAGCGAGTTCGATGATGTGCTCGAGGCGAGCCAGACGAACGCTGAGATCCTGATCGGTTTTACCCGGCGTATAGGCCTTGCAGAGTTCTGGAACTTTGCGTGCGATACACTAGGTTGCACCGTCAACGTGAATACCCCGCAACGTATGGATTAGATGTGCTAACATGGGAGCATGGTATCTGGCGGTCACACTGGGAAGATACAATCAGCCGAAGTGCGTTCGAATGACAGGTCAAACCAACCTTTTGTTTACGGCGATGGCATTCTCCGCACGAAAAACTGATAACTGGTGTTGAGGGGCGTCTGTCAACTACACACAAATACATACGTGACTGTACCTGACTCTTGTGCGAGCTTTCTTCCCATGTCTGCCGTCACTGTCATCATCATCTGTCTTCCTTCTCTTGAGAGAAGCGGTATCGTCCGCAGGGGAGGACGGGTGGGGAGTACCTTTTGCCATGCGTAGCGCGGTGAAGTGAGTTGTCGGACGACAAGATGAGGAGACCTCCTCTGACTCGCTCACACAACCGGCCCGAAGCGATCCACGTGCGACCTCATTCACATATAAGGAATTTCTATGTTAGTCAGCCAGACCACTCTGGTCACGCGCTTCCTGTGACCGTGTTTCACCTTCTCCTATTCTTCGCAACATAGATGGGAGACGAATCTTGGAAAGAAACCAAGCTTACTCTCGAAAGACCCTATAAAGACGAAGATGGCCAGTGCATCCCTTCCTTACTTGACATCGATTTGCAAGGCAATCCTGTTTATGAACTGTATGCCATTTTATAAAGTTTAAAATTGCATGATTCAGTGTGCCCTCCCAACTCCACAGGGAAGTAAATCCGACGCGTCTTACAGGACAGAACATAGCACGTATATTTGCTGAGCGAGGATACGAATTTCTTCACCATCGTGCTGCAGGCATAGTTGACCCTGCTCAGGATGACGACCAGAGCGATGGCAAGGAGGAAGAGGAAGCTTCCAATCATATCATGACTGCAGAAGAACTCTACAAGATGCGAATGGAACTCGCTCCTCATCTATAGTGAGATAAAATTTCTCATCTGTTGATTCCTATACAAGCTTAACATAAGCAATTAGCGTCGCATTGGGAGAGATGACACACGCAAGAGACTTACTAGCTTTGCTGCTATCTTCCTCCCCAATACCCACAGGTCCATTACCCCAATCTACACAACCTCAGCCTGCAGCCCCCACCACCCTGCCACCTTCTGCTTTGACCCACAGTACTGTCTCAAAACCTGGTCCGTTACCCTCTGTCGAGGCTTACAATTCTCAGTTATCAATTGGCGGCAAGGATGAGGCTCTACGCAAGGCAGCATCTTCGTTCAAACATGCATCCGAAAGTCTGGAACGCGGCCGGCAAAATTCAGAACAATATTGGTCTAATGCTCTCAAAATTCGCAGGGCAAATTGGGGTTTGATACCTGCTCCCCTTCCATTTGGCGCCAATACAGGCAGAGGCGCTGACCGTACGTCGAAAGACTTCCTGGTTTCATTTGGACTTGAGGAATGTATGGCTTCGACCTGCTGACTTTTTGTAACCGACTTACCCAGTGTACAGCCCCGTCCCATTTTCGCAGAAGAGCCATAGCCTTTATGTCTTCGGAAGCTGACTATCAGGAGTTGTCGTTCCCCAGTTCCAGTCATACCCGGATGCAAGTATCACTTCATACGACAAGTTCAGCCGGAGAGAAAAAGGTTTCGCGAAGCACTGTCCTATTTTCAGACAACAAATCCATTGAGTCTTCACTGGAAGCAGCCCAGCGGGAGGTATTCGAAGAAGAGATCTTCTCAGCCATTACACAAGAAGCCAGCAATCTACCAACGACGGCAGCCCGCGTCTCCGAACGCCTCATTGCCATTGATGCTGCTCAAGGGATAGAACTTCGTTTCACTCTGGTAACAGGTGCCTTCCTATGCTTGTGTTTGAGCATGAAATGACTCTTTTGGAGGTTGATTCTGAAGACATAGAGCAAACTGGCACCACGAAGTCCGAAGATGAGCTTTCTGCGGCGACATGCGACCTCATATCATCAGTTCTACAAGCTCAACTTCTAGCTGCACACAGCCATCGCAAACAACATCGTATCGGACTGACTCACCTGAATCGTCCTATGACGAAGCGTCCTACCGTGCTCCAACCCATCATTGACTTCCTTCAGTATCAGGTTTTCTGCGACAGAGTCTATGGCGAACTGGCCAAATTGCAGAAGGCTCTGACCAGAGCTGGGATTCCCGTCGCCCTTCGGTTCGAACCTATTGGCGAGAGCGGTGCCCAACTAATTGAGCAGGTCCTTGTCGAAGCTGGACAACAAAGGGTAGGGGGTGAAGCCATCCTTCGGATCGACCAGAGGTAGGATTTATTATTTTTTAACATCCTTGGTGTCGCGAGATTGACCAAATGTTCACAGGCAGACATTACGGTTCACTTTTCTCTCCCCATCAACATTAACTTCTCACCTACCTCTTGCCACTCTCCCCATTGCCTCAATACCTCAGCTCACTCAGCTCCTGATGGATGAAGTTGAGAAATTCCTGCTGAACAAGATGTGCGATGCAGGGACACAGGCGTCTGAAAGCGTCAATGGAACATGGTTTGTGGATCCTGTCAGCGGTAAGACCGTTGGTCGATGGGATGGATGTATCTTGTACGTTTTCAAGCAGCCCGCTAGTTTTACTAGCCTAATTGTATGTTTAGGTACTTCCGTGTGTTCTTTGGCTCAGATCTTACAGTCCAATCGACTGCGGTTAGATTGGATAAAGTCTCAGGGACACAAACCACTGGCACTGACACATACAAGAGCGACACATCTTCATTAGTGTCATGGCTTCACAGTGTAGTGGAGAACTCCATAACCCAAAGCTAATGGCATTATCATCGTTCACACAAAGCAGAGTAGAAAGCGTATGCATCATAGATTGGTTGTATAATAACCTAGTTTTAGTTGATGCATGAAAGGTAAAAGCATGCGAGGGTTTAGAGCGTCTACTCTTCATCCTCATCCTCGTCCATCGCTCCACCGGTGGCCTGGAAAGCCTCGATTTTAGCCTGGATGGCGGCCTTGCGCTCCTCATACGTGCGTCTCGGCGTCTTGTGCTTGAGGGATTCCGCCTTCCAGTCCGTCGTCTTGTCTGTAGGCTTGAAGGAAGGATCTTCACGAATAGCGGCATATGCGTTGGTGTAGATCTCCTCCATGTCATCCGAGCCAACGCCATCGGCAAGGTAAGAAGCAAACTGCTTCTTAAAGCTAATCGCCTATCAGCTTTGTTACGCTGAGATTAGATAGCCCATATCCTACCGCTCGTCATCTTCCTCCTCCAACGATTCCATGTACTCAGCGATGTGGCCACCGAAGATGTACTTTTTCAGGACCTCAGCGTCAAGCTCCTTGGACTCTGGGTCATAGCCAGGGAAACGCTTTTCAGAATGGGGGATGAAGAGGCCACCATCGCTGGCGCCCTTCATTGCACCGAACACACGGTGTCCGGTGGAGGTGCGTTTGAGACCGACATCAAGGTAACATTTGAAGGGGCGTGGGGCATCTTCATCATCCAGCTCCTCGGTGAGCTGAAGGGTGCCATCAGGTTCGGCAACACCCTCATACTTATCGGCGAGACCAAGCTTGGCCAGAGCCCGACGAGCGCACAGGAGACCAGTGGCGTAAGCTGGCCCGATGTCAGTTATTATCTTCAGGCAGAACAGACGACATACCGGCAGTCCAGTTGGTCAAGCCGTGGTTGATGCCGTATCGAGGGAGCTCTGTCGAGCGCGCGGCACAGAGGACGAAATCACCCTGGAGGCGGGCGTAGATGATTTGACAAGTAACGGCCTTGTTCGAGAAGCGTACAACTAGACGGTACTTGGGCGCATTGCTAGACCAAATCTTAATAAAATGCTATTGTGCCAAAGATGCGAACACACTATTTGTTCTTAGCCTGTGTGACCAGGCGTTTGCGGGCATAGTCTGCATAATATGAGGTCCGGTCAGTCAAGAGGCGACTAAGTGCGACTCACAGTCGGTTTTTCCCTCCCTGCGGCGGCGGTACTTCACTTGAAAGCGAGAGAAGTAAGCATCTGACTTGACCTTCTTCACGAACGGCATCTAAAGGACGAGGAAGCCATCCATTCAGTGTGTGAGCAATCCACTGGCAAAATGACATCGTATCGGCACAGGAAGCGTCTATGTGGACCATAGTTTCGTCCTTGTGCGATACAAACGTGTCGGGCTTACCTTGAGGAGTCTTGAACGGCGTTGACGGCGTTGACCACACCACAGGGGATCTAACTTTTGGTGTTGTATTTACGGTTGTTGATTTCATCATCCGCTAACGCCCTTGCCTTATTAGGCGACGCACCCTTTCTCAACCACCCACGACCAGCGGCTGTGTTACTGAACTCCTTGTCTAAGACCATGGACTCCAACAATTACTACCAGCAGTACAACAACACGCAGCAACAGGCTCACGATGTCAACCCGTACCATCAGCCCTATCAAGGACCCATGTACCCCGCGGCTGGCTCCTCGTCCTCTCACAACGCGCCTGTACCTGCAAATGCCTACGAGTACGATGTTGGCATCCTTGCGCAGCAAAGTGTTTATGTTCCTGGTGCCGCCATAGATAAGCGTGGCGGATCTGGCGGTAAGCTTGCTAAAGGTGGTAAAAGAACTACTGTTCTACGCAAAGGCGGCGGAAAGGTCTGGGAAGATCAGACGTTGCTGGAATGGAATTCTTGTGAGTTTAACAACGAGTTCTCACATCCCTTCATTCATTCCTTTGCTTTCAGCATGGTTCAGGCTCTTCGTTGGTGATCTAAGCAACGATGTCTCGGACGATGTCCTTGCAAATGCATTCAATCAGTATACATCATTCCAGAAAGCAAGGGTAATTCGTGACAGGCTGAGTCAGAAGGTGAGTTTGATTCGCGAGCTATTGTATCGGTTCTGACCGTAATTCATAGGCCAAGTACGGTTTCGTTGCCTTCTCTGACCCGGAAGACTTCCTGAAGGCATGGAAGGAAATGGATGGTTTGTGGTCTCCAGTTGATATCTTTCTCTATACTAATTACATGCTTAAGGCAAATACGTGGGTAACCGTCCCGTCAAATTGAAGAAAGCTGATGACAATGCAATCCGCCCGGTCGAGATTGGGCATCGCAAGGCCAAGCAGTTGGAGAGGGAGTTGAAGAAGAACAGACATAAGCCCTACTAGGCTCGAGATTGGTATGCTTGTTACTATGTGCTTATTAATCTATGACTACCGCCGACGGATAGACTGCCATCCCCAACGGGTGTGAAGTGGAAGTAGCCGTACAAACCTTGTAATAAACTCTTGTTGCTTACCAATGCTAATCAACTTAACTTCCATCGCTGAAGCTTTGAAGGTTCGTCCAGACCATCCATCGAGGCGCTCTAATTCTGACAAAGTCATGTATTCGTGAGACTGAGCATGACGTCAATACGAATAGCGGTATGGCGCTGTATCATTCTGATATCCTTTTTTTGGCTTTACCTTTAGAACGGTAAGCCTTGGCACTGTTACTGCGGCGCACTCAAGAGTACTGCTTAATGATGCAATGCTCTATGATAAACGCATTTATCAATGTTCTGGACGAGGCGTGCACCTAGTATGCCTTTGCGCAACTGGTCACTCGTCATCTCCATACGATGCTGTTGCCGGTGGATGCAAGGCGGCGTCGTCTACATAGGGTAAATCTTCCGAACTAACAGTATTGTGAACGAAGTACATGCATATGATAATAAGATTCTTGATAATGGGTCCACTTTCGACAGATCTAGACGAGATCTACTCGTATGTGCGTAGATCACATGATGTAACATGCAAGCACGTATAGCGCGCGCTTGGGAAGTCGACATCTTACCCACTAGGATTCTGGACTTCGGTGCAGTAAACACTAGCATCCGCTACCTACCAACACCTAAAATTCATCAAAGCCCTTCGCAATGAACATTGATGATCTTTTCAAAGTATTCAGTCTCCTACAAATCCACGTTTGAGCGCTAATCGTCTGTAGGTGCCAAAACTCCCCGCTGGTGGCAAGCGGAAGCTACCAAACCACCCAACACCTGAGATGCTCAAGAAGATGAGGCTGGACGGCAACGGCGACATACACAACGACTCTGATATTCGCAAATCTGACAGCTCGTCGCAACTGCACAGTCATAAGTCGCGGCGCGCGACAGTGGAAGACGAAGCTGAGGATAGCATGGACACTGATATGGACACGAGTTTCGCGCCGGGTGGAGACGCAGACTACTTTGCGGAAGAGGATGAGGAAGGACGCTTCTACGGAGGTGGGCTTACAGCTGAGCAGAAGCAGATTCTCAGCATCTTTGAGAGTGCGGAAGGTACGGACGGCGTGCAGGACGACGTGAGTACCTCCCTTCCTTTCGTCCGGATGATCATCTGCTCTCGGAACGCGCTCAATGGACACTGAAGCCAGAGGAGCTCTCGATAACGAGTGTACGGCGGACACTTCTCCGCTTTGAGCGCGCTGCGAACAAGAACCAAGACCAGCGGTCGAAGTACCCGGACGACCCAACAAAGTGCGCTTCTTCCTGATCATCAACTGAAGCGTGCGTCGTGACCATCCCTCTGCTGCATAGGTTCATCGACTCGGAGGCAGACCTTGACGCAGCCATCAAAGCTCTGCTTCCCCTCGCGCAGGCCCCTGTTCTCGCCTACCCCGAGCTCATCAACTCGGGTGCGGTGGCCAAACTCATAGGCTTAATGAGTCATGAGAACGCTGATATCGTGATTGACGTCGTGGAGGTAATCCACGAACTCACCGATGAAGACGTTGGCGACGAGGAAAACGACCAAGAAGAGTCCCAGGCGGCACTCAAGCTGCTCATAGAAGCACTCGTAGATAATTCCACTTTGGAGCTCCTGGTAGACAATTTCTCGAGATTGAACGAGGATGAGGAGTCAGACCGGCAGGGTGTTTTCCATATTCTTGGTACGCTTTCACGGTCCTAAACTACAAAACCTCAGTCTCATTCGCACTAGGTGTATTTGAGAACGTTCTCGGCTTTAACCCAGACCTCTCGACTGCATTTGTTTCTCAAACGAAGATTATGGACTGGCTTCTGACTCGTGTACAGGCGAAGAAACAAGACGAGAACAGAGGATATGCTGCCGAACTCCTATCAATTCTGCTGCAAAATAATGTGCCAAACAGGATGGAGCTAGGCAAGAAAGATGGAGTTGAGATCATCCTGAAAGTGCTCTCGGTACATCAGACACTTCCTATAAATCTGTGGTCTTTGTCGCTCACATACTTTTCTTGTAACAGCAATTCCGGAAGATGGACCCGAGGGACGCAGACGAGGCCGAATTCATGGAGAATCTGTTTGACGCGCTATGTTCTGCCCTCGCCGAGCCAAGAATCAAGTCCCTTTTCCTTGAGAGCGAGGGAGTTGACCTCATGGTTCTCATAATGAAGTCTGTGGTTTTCCATCTCCACGGCGCGCTATAATTGATGGTCCTCATAGGGAAAAGATGCAGGCGCAGTCTCGAGCTATCAAAACCCTTGACTACGCAACGTCTGGAACAACTGGGACGGAGGTTTGCATGACATTCGTTGAGGCGTATGGGCTGAAAACCCTGTTTTCGGCCTTCATGGGCAAGGTAAGCCCCTGTCACATCTTGTACACATTTCTCCCGAGAAACAGACCTACTAACCTGTTTTCAATAGAAGTCAAAGAAGCAAAAGGCCAACACCGCCCCAGGCTCCGAAGACATATCTCACATTCTCGGCGTCATCTCGTCGTTACTCTCGAATCTCCCCTCCGACACTCCAGCACGTATTCGCCTCCTCGCCAAGTTCGTCGAGAATGGTTACGAGAAGGTCGACCGTGTCCTTGAGATCCGCGACACGGCTCGTTCTCAGTTGCGCGCCATTGAGCGTGAGATTGAGCGCGAGCGGAAAGACCTAGGCGCGGAGGAACTAGAGGAGATGGAGGATGTATGGTACCTTCGCCGGCTAGACGGAGGTCTGTTCGTTCTCCAGACAGTTGACTATATCCTCGCATGGGTAGCTATGGAAGATGATGGTGTACGTACCTCCAGCTGTGATGTTTTGCCAATAATTCACAATTATGCACAAATAGATCCGGGCACACATGACACAGATGCTTGGACGTAAGAGCCAGTCGTTGAAAGATATTGTCGAAAGTTTGCGCATATATCGCGACAATCTCGACGAAGCACCGTCGCAGCAGACAAATAGTGAAGGTAGGGTAGATCAGCCTGCCGAGGAACTATCACAAAAGGAAATATTAGTGAACCTCATCGCGTTTCTTGAGGGCTGTTAGTTGCTACATTGATGAACAACGTCGATAATATATAACTTCTACTTACGATAGAATGATTGTAATGTAATATGATGACTGGAGCGGCGATCAGGCGTGCCCGTTGTCAGAGTGTTGTTCATGGGATACGTCAGTCCAGGAGCATCCATGCAACTTTTATACATGTGGAATAGACGATCCTCGCAGTACATCGCTATTCCGTCCACGAATGCTATGAAACGGCAAGAGCGGCAGATGCAAAGACCATGTCAAGCGCTCCTCGAGTTTTTCGCAACTCTTTTTGGAACCTCAACTCGGCTTGCACTTTTTTACGGAGACGCACAAAAAGAGTATCTATAAGAGGGGATTGGCCGAGTACAGGCTCATACATCTCTGGAGAGAAACATTCTCAGTAATCGGTTAAGGCAGCCACGCAGTAAGAGGAGAAACGGACCAATGACGAGCGATGCAACATCACAGACGAGCTCGCCAAATCGCGGGTCAGCGACGTGTTTAAGGAGTAGACGTAAGATGGGCTCAAGCAGAACATCGTCACGCCCTGCAAGCGCGCTTCGGAGGCCGTCGCGGTGCACGAGTTCCTGAATGAGCGCGAAAGACGTTGTGGGAGGAACATCCTACGCGTAATGTGCCATCAGAAGGGAGTCCATGGGCCAGAAGGACACGGCTGAAACCAACCTTACGCAGAACGGCATCAAGCGCCGCCGAATATTTGAAGCCCTTGAGCAGCCGGTCATAGTCACGAAGACGCTTCCGTCGGCGACTTTCTATGCGTAGTTCATCTTGATCTCCAACCGCTTTTGACTTGATCTTCTTAGTTGAAAGGCCCTGACCGAGGGTTGGGAGGGCGCCATCGATAAAGGTGTCGAACGTCCCAGCTTTGAGAGCAGAAGCGAGCGTGCCATCCTCAGTACCATTCGCTTTTGTATGCCGCCGACGAACGGACAATGTACCATCTGACATCCCTGCCGCTATGAGGGTATCGTCGGGCTGAAGGGGCATTCAGATGACAAAAACGTGAGCAGAACGGTGCAGCATACGCACAGATACGGCCAGACAGAGAAGAGGGGCGGGATATCGCATAGTGTGCACAACTTTATACGATGAAACGTCGTACACTTTTACCATCTGGTCAAGGCCAGCTGTGAGGAGCCTTGTCGCGTGTTGACTGAAGGCGAGACTAGTAACAGTCTTCTGGTGGTTGGAGAACGCGCGTATGCAGCGACCACCGCCTACAAGGTCCCATACACGGACGATAGGGCCGGCAGCGGAGAGTGCAACGGTACCGGAGGGGAACATGGCGGTCTGCTCTACGGGAGCTGCATCGGAGGAGCTGCCGCCCATGAGCATCTCGCACTGGCCGGTGCGGGAGTCGAATAGACGGGTCGTCGCGTCATATGATCCTGTGAGGATGAGATGTGGGTTGTGAGGAGCGACCTGGCCAGAGCGGACGTAGTCCGTGTGTGCAGAAAAGGTGAGAAGGGCGGCTTGGGAGGGAACGTCCCAGAGTTTGACGGTGGTGTCGTCTGAACAGGAAAGAGCTTGTGTAGAATCAAGAGGGGAGAAAGCCGCGACGTGAACAGGCTGCTTGTGGGAGTCAAGAGTGCGGAGGATAGCACGGGAATTTACGTCGAATATCTGGAGTGAGTACAGACGGTGAGAGGGACGTGGTTCTCGGGCAGGGACGAAAGGATGCTCATACCTGCACGAGACCTGTATCATCTGCGGCAATAAGAAGCTTTCCATCGTTGCGGATGGATGCGCTGCGAGCGATGTCCTTGAAGCGGGAGATGGTCTTTGTAAGCTTGTTCGTGCGGGGAGCATATATCTGCACGCGGGTGGCTGCAGTGACGGCATAACGATGTGGTTTTGAGGGACAGAAATGGACGGACGTGACTGGGGCGTACTCCTTGATGAAGACGGGGTGGCGGAACTGGCGCCAGTGACGGGACTCGGGCGAGTGCTTTGCAGCAGCGGGTCGGGCGTGTCGCTGGACGAGCACGGGCTGGTAGTCCATCGCTATTGCTAGCCGTGGCCACAAAAAGTTGATTCCACCTTTGATCGTAAACTTGTAAGTAATAGGCACCGAATCCGTGTTCCGCCCCGATTTATTACTTAATATATAATATTGACGCGGGTGATAAGATGATCGATCGCAATTTTATGCGACCAGTACCGATAAATCTAGTTATAACTGCATCTCCTACCGCAGACCTCAGCCCAACTTTTACTCCTCGCTCTCGAACTCCTCTCCCCTCCCCCCTGAATAACATTCGCCGTTCACAATGCTTCTCTACGAAGACGCCATCTCCGGCGACGAGCTTTTCTCCGATGCCTTCCCCGTGTACGTCCTCGCATATCCGCTCGTCTGCGAAGCCCAGGCTTACCCTGGCACACAGAAAAGAAGTCGACAACATCGTCTACGAGGTTGACTGCCGCACCATCACCATCTCTGCAGACAACGTCGACATTGGTCAGTTTCTTCCGGCAAACATCTTATCTCCAGCGCGATCCTCAATATTTCGTCAGGCGCCAACCCCTCCGCTGAGGAGGCTGAGGAGTCTCTCGAGGAGGGCGCCAAGACCGTCATCGACGTTGTCCATGCCTTCCGTCTCCAGCAAACTTCGTTTGACAAGAAAAGCTTCCTCTCCTACCTCAAAGTATACCTCCTACTTGTCGTTCCGAAACGTGCCTAACCCACTCTTCCTGATCCGTACATTCAGGGCTACATGAAAACCGTCAAAACCAAGCTCGCGGAGACCAACCCTGATCGTGTTGAGGCATTTGAAAAGGGTGCCCAAACGTATGCCAAGAAAATTGTTGCCAACTTCAAGGACTTCGATTTCGTCAGTCTTCTGTTTTCATTTTCTTGAAACTTGCTCTCATACCTTTATATCAGTACATTGGCGAGGGCATGAACCCAGACGGCATGGTTGCTCTGCTCAACTACCGGGAGGATGGTGTCACTCGTCAGTGTTTTCGCCACCCTTCATTTACCGCAATTACTCACCACAGCACTTAGCCTATTTCACTTTCTGGAAGGACGGTCTGAAAGAGACCAAACAGTAAAACCGTGCTGTACTTGTGTACTTGTACCGATTAGATCGAGATCACCTCGTGTGGTTTATGATTTTCTATTTACGATCTCGGGGGTTGGTGTCAACGCTCTAATCAATTCTAGGGATGGTTGACTTATCAAGCACGGCAATGGAAGATTCGAAAGAACTATCATTAGTCGGAAGGTGACAAACATGAACTGCCCAAGCTGGCAAAATGCAAATATATGTGATATAAGTTATAGTACATGTTCCGCTTTTTAGAGCTCGTCATGGCCTTCCAAGACGACCTGTTCACCGCCAGCAGGGGGGACAACCTCCGGCTCAGGAGCCTCCTTGGTCTCGGTCTCAGTCTCGGTCTTAACGGGAGGGATATCAAACTTGTTCTTTGCGCTCTCCTCAACGAACGCGATGAGGCTCTCAAGTGACCGGTCGCCATCGTAGTCAAGGAATTCTTTGGAGCCGGCGGGCTTGAACTTGAGAGTAGGGAAGCTGGAGATACGGAACGGAACCGAGGGAGGGATGTCGTTCTCGGTAGCCTCCATCTTGGCACTGAAAGGCGGTCAGCACGCTGGAGAAACCATAACGACCAGAAAACTTACATGACGACACTGTCCTTGACACTCTCAAAGTGATCACCAAGCGAATCCCAGATAGGCTTCAGGCGCTTGCAATGACCGCACCAGGTTGCGTAGAACTCAACAAAGACATCCTTGGAATCATCGAAGACGACCTGTTCAAACTCCTTGCTAACGAGAGTATACACGCTCTCATCCTGTGTCTCGGGGATGGGCTGGCTCTTGAGCTCGGGAGTGAGGTTCCCAGCGAGGAAGTCCTCGACCATCTCGTCGATCTTGGTCTGACGAATATCCTTGGACTGGTCGTACGGGTACTTGAACTGTTTCGATAGGTCCTGGATGACAAACGCAGGCCACTTGGGCTCAGCAAGGTTGAGGGCCTTGGCGTGGTCGGCGAACTTGGTGGCGTCGATCCAAACGAAGTTAACCTTGCCACGGTAGTTGGTGGCGACAGGGCGGACAATGTCAAGGTAATCGTTCTTCTTCTCGTCAGCGGGGTCGACGAAAAGGTATGCGAGCGGAAGACCACTCTCGGCGTAGGTGGCATAGTTCTCCCCGCTGACCTCATCGAGCGTGGGGATCTTGTACTCGTTGATCCAGTCCTCAATCTTGTCGACCGTGACGTGGGCGGCAGGGTAGGGGTAACCGACCTTGGGTTCATCAAACGAGCGGTAAAGGACTAGGGCGGGGGGATGGATGCCGTTGGCCTCGGCAACAGCAGGGTCGGTAGAGATACCGAAGAGGTAGTCATCACGATGCTTCTCAGCAGCCTTGCTGAACTCGGGTGCAGGGGCACCCGTGGTTGAGGGAAGGTAGGCTACGACGACAACTTTGTCAGCCGTCTTGAACTCATCGTGCTTCTCAGCAGTGACGTCTGACACGGCAGGAAGCGACTGCTTGATCATGTAGCTAACAATGCCATCGGCTTTGCGAGGGCCAGTGTAGGGAGAGTCAGACCCATTCTTGAAGACCTTCAGTGTGCTGGAAGTAGAGAATTCAGCGAGGAGCACTATAACACTGACAAAAAAACTCACGGGTAGCCCTGAACACCGTGGGCCTGGCAAAGGTCAGCCTGGTCGACACAGTCCACCTTGGCGAGCTTAACGCCGTGCTCCTTGAGAGCAGTTGCGGCCTCCTCGTAATGAGGGGCGAGTGCCTTGCAGTGCCCACACCTGTTAAATGGTGTTAGACGCGAAATTTTAAGGCTATAAGACTACGTGTCACGTACCAAGGAGCGAAGAACTCGACGAGGATGAGAGGCTCCGGGTCGACGGCGTCGGTGAAAGTGGTCGAAGTGAGAGAAACGACGTCGGACTCAGCCTCTGCTGCAACGAGGGCAGAGAAGGCGATAGCGGAGGCGGCCGAGGCAACTTTGGAGAAACGCATGGTGGGCAGAAGCTAAAGAGACGGGAGACGCGACTCGCCCATCTTTATAAAGCGCCCGGAAAGTGTCTACGTGTCAGCTATCATTTCTCCCGTACCTTGCCCGTTCCTAGGCACTCTCGCAACATTAATTCAGTTACAATTGCCAGCTAGCATTCTACTTATATTCACTTCATTGCGCTTACTTATTCATCGGGCATCTAGTACATGTTACAGCGGCGCCACCGACTTGTTGTAAAGTTAGATTAGCCGTCCAAGAGTGCAAAGGTAAAATCTATTAATATTTATGTCCATTAAACAATATTCTTGTCTGCTAGGCTATATCACGGGACGAATGATTAGGAAAGGACTTGTTGACGTCGAGGTCTCCCAAACCAAGGGAAACTGCATACGTGTATAGCAACGCTCAGTGTTAGTAACAACACGTCCATCACGACAAGCCCCTGGTAATCCTCGGGTCAGACACCGGCCGGTCCACATGACGGCCCACCACCTCAGTTCCGCCACAGCGCCCAAATCCCATCTTGATGCAGTCAGCCGTGACTATTATCATGTTGGACCTAGAGTTGCGAAAGGTCATAATCGCTGCCACGCTGCCGCCCGCCCCCATACCGCTTCACCTCCGGTGTAAACTTGCGGGGAGGAGGAAAGTCACTTGTGGGAAACGTGTGCGTACCTGATTGCGGAGGAGGCGACGGAACTACAGGGGCCATCAGTGAGCTACATCATGATACATTATATGCTATTAGACCACTCACTCTTGCGCGTCGGCGCCGGAGGCTTCACGATGCCGTTCGTCCGGCCATTAGAGGCCGGGCTCTCTGTCGCCGTATTCTCTGGGACAATCTGTGACCTCTGACTGGGCGGACGGCGCGGCAGGGCTGACGGAGGTGGAGCCGGCGTTCGCGAAGGAGGTGAAGGCGCTGAAGGTGCCTGTTCGACTTCCGACAAGGCGCGAACGCGAGCAGGATGTGCAGGTGCTCCTCCACCGATGGGTGGTTTTCGTGCGGGAGCAGGGGGTACACTGCGCGTAGGCGATCCGCCAGCAGCGATCGATGACGGTCGCGCCGGTGGAGGTGGAGCTACCTTTCCTGTATGTGACGAAGCTACAGGGGGTTTTCGAGGCGGGGGAGTCGGCGCGGGAGAGCTGCCTCTAGCTGGTGGTGCTGGTGGGATTGCTCTAACAGCCACGGGTGGTGCTGATACTGCAGGTGATGCACTCCGAGCAGGAGGAACAGGTCGTGCAGGAGGTGTAGGCGCTGATACTGCCGGCGATGGTGTCCGAGCCGGTGGTGGTGGGGCGCGCGCTGGAGGGACGGGGGGCGAGGCTGTACGACCCGGAGGTTGCAATCGCGATGGCACAGCAGGCGCAGTTGGATGGGCCGGTGAGCTCCGCGAGGGTAACAATGGGGCTGCTCTGGCTGGGGGAGTAGGCGCAACATGTGACAACGAAGCTAGCTTAGGAGGGCCTCGAGTTGGAGGAGGTGGAGCGCTGGGGGTAGCTGAAGGCGCATCTCGCTTCGGTACGGAGGGCGGTTTGCCAAGATTGGGAGCTTTTGCTGCAAGACGTATATCATGAGTCACACCAGTGATGGATGTGGATGATGCATACCAAGGCCGCTCTGTCCAGCGGGCTTGAGCTTAGGCATCCCCCCGGCGAAGAGGCCACCTAGCTGAGGAGGGCCTGCACCGTGACCTGGTAACGGGGCTCCACCTGCCCCCCCTCCTATGCTCCTGCCTCCACCACCACCACCGCCTCCACTGGGTTTAGTATCAATCGCAGGAGCACTGCGATCATTCGTTTCTGCCTTCTTGAGTCTCTTGCCTGCCTGTATTTGTTTGAGCAAGTCTGAAGAGGCCATCACTGTTGTAGGGTGAGCATGTAGTCCGGAGAGTACAAGTAACGCCACAACTTCCCCTTATTACTGAGTATAAACATCGGTAAACATGTAAGTATTAGTACCCCTGTCAAGTAGAAGTTCAAACTCCCGCATCTTCAAGGTTTGGGTACTACCGGGCGAACGACACCCTGAGCACCAGTAAAACAATGCCACTCTCAAAATGAATGTACTAATTAAACTGTGCTGGTACGAAGACCAAGAGCAAAGGAATCCACGAAGCATTAAGCATTACTCGTACTCTAGTCAAAACAGAGGCTCATGGCGAGCTCTCATGGGCGTCTCCTAACCTTCTCTCCGGGTTCGGCTTGACTAAGGTAGATACTGAAGCAAGTGTCGTACTATTAGGGAGGGTCGCACTGTTAGCAAATGTCAGCATTCGATCATAATCACCTCGTACCGCCCGTGACTGACCTGGCTGACTGGAAATCACTCTCCCTGCCGAGACTGTCGCCCTTGTGGGAGTGCCCTGTTGGGCGTGGGCGAGGACCCTTCAATCGCCGCGATCCAATGTGCGATGGTGACAGCTGAATGTCTAACGAGATTCCAGGGTCAACGGGACTTTGATCCTCCACAATGACCGAATCTCGCTCTAGATGAGTCAATGAAGGCAGTCGCTGCAGCAAAATGCGTCGCGAACTTCGACGGTCGGGACGTGCTGTTGGCTTTACATCCCTTGTTCGCCAGTATGAACTTGGTGCGTACGGATGCGAGGACTCTGAAGTTGCGGATCGGACGGTTGAATCGTGGGACAACGATCCATGTTGCTCTGCTTCAGGGCCTATTACCCCCACATATCTCTCTTCAGAAGAAGCGCATGCAGAATGGGCCGATTCCGTCTCAGTAGTAGTTTGATGGTGGAAACGTCTGCCGTGGTGAGAGCTTCCCGAAGTCCGCCAGGTCGTATGAGCGCGGTGGACCAAGGAGCCCAGCGTTCGTTTGGAGGAGTCAGATTTCCGTGCGTCGGGCTCAAAGCGAACAGATGTCGCAGAGACAGGCGACTTAAAGAACATGGATGTTGCGGGGGAAACAAGCAGGCCATGATAAAGGGGGCCAGGACGTACAAGCCTTGCGAGCGTTTTGTCGCGTTGCCACTGCCTTGCATATTCATCTTGCTGTAGTAGGAGATGCTGTACTGTGGGTGGTGCTTGAGGTCGAGGTTGCATGAGGGACCTCGCACTGGGTGGACCGTATGTGAAGAACGACAGTTCCTGCATTCCGCCAGTGACGGACAACGGCGGAACATAAGCGGATGCAGCAGGAGCGCTGAACAGGTGCGGAAGCGTTGGTCGCTTTGAACGCTTAGCAACCTGGATGATAGCTTGTCGAGTGCTCTGATTCTCCAGTGCTTCGGAGGTACTAATGCTAGGAGTGCTGGGAGATGACATAGAGGAATGGGACGACGCATTGCGGTAGGAACGATATGATCTTGTAGCGAATGGATGATTTGGGATGTAAGAGTCTAAATCAACCTTCGACGCCTTGAGAGTTATCGTGGGAGTAGCTCCACCTGGAAGACTGAGCGACGACATTGATATTTCCTCTCCTGTAACAATTGCTGGCTGATTGCCATTGAAAGCAACTAGAGGATTCATGATGGCCGTCAGCTCATTAAATTAACAAAAAGCGTGAGCTCCACTCACGGAGAACGACGAGCGAGCCCAGACTCAGCGGTACGTCTTCGCCAACCACTCCGACATAGCTGGCCATTGGAACAACAACGAGAAGGTCAAAAACAAGCAAGGCTAGTGCGCGAGCGAATCTGATGTCTGGTATGGCCTGGATCCTATGCCCAAACTCAAGAAACGAAGGTGCAATCAGGGTAAATACGCGAAGGATCACAACCAGTTCAATGCACATGTACAAGACTGATGTTGTCAGAGCAATAGGAAAGTTGCTGAGCAAACAGGTCTGAGCAAAAACAATACACCACGAAATGCTCACATACCGCGTTCTATAGCAGACGTTGACCCCCAGTTGGGAAACAAATCTTCCGAAAGAGCCATTTGAGTCACGAGTAAAATAGGAAAGCAATGTCGTCACGCACTGGAGTGAGCCTGTGCTAATCGAATACAGGATGAACACAAAAACTACGCCAAAATATTAGTGATCAAGGTATAGATGTGTACGAGAAACTTACTCATTCCGACCCAACCACTGCCCCACAACAGCCACGCTTCCCATTTTGAAGCACCAAGGGAGCGCATTTCCATAGAAATCACAATCAACCCCACCAGCCTCGCGCAAGCAAAAGAGATCCCAGACCAAGCGACCACAAACGCTGAAGCATGAGATGATTGTCAATATACCAAGACAGATGTCTATGGCTTGCTTACCACATGCAGAGGAGCCACCATTCGAGCCAAAAGTGAGAAGGGTAGAAAACTGTGCCAGAGAACCGAAAGCAATACAAATGGATAAAAGCAAGACCAACAGCCGGTGGGCGTCTGGAAGGAGTATTGAACTTGATGTATCATCTGCAGCGAGTTGGAGATTTTGTTGGGAGGGCTTTTCTAGAGAACAAATGATCCCGCCCATCCCACGACGCCGCTTTGACCGCGCGAGACCGCGAAAGAAACGTGAACATCGGCGACCCAAATTTGAGAACACATGAGAAGTGATAATACATCGAGTGCTGTATAAGAAAGCCCAGCCCAAGAAAAAGGCAGCAATTTGGCGGCTAGATATACTTCGGGTTAATCATCGTATATGAGAGTGTAGGAGGTAAATGCACGAACTAGTCTGGATGAGTATGCAGTTCGGCAGAAGAGGATCCCGCCCCTTGTCCTAAGTTTATTACTGCTCCGCCACTGTGACTCGGACCGGATGGCATTGCCTCCCAGCTACCGTGGTCAAGAGCCCGAAAGTCGTCACAAATTAGAAGCGAGTCCAGCTCAAAAAGAAAACACAGATAGGAAACAAGAGAAATGAGGACCAGCCCCTTCAACGAAGAAGAAAGATAGAAAAGGAGGAGAGGAAGGGACGGGTGCGTGACGACAGCAGCTATAGCTGGCTAAGTCAATAACGCTAATCAAGATTTGCCTGTCTCATGTTGCACCGCCCAGCTACGCAACCAGTGCAGTCCTCCATCATTCGTTGCGGCAAAGCCAGCGAACCTGACAAGCCAAAAAAGGATGTATTGACATATTGCCACTATTTTGATCGCCCCGTTCTGGTGTTGATCATCCTCACACTGACGTTAGGCCCGGAAATACAGCCTTGACCTAGCTTGACCTGAGGCCTGATAGTATATGTTAGGTGAACAGAAACTTACGGCTCCAGCTGCCGATTGCCTGAGACATGCCACTTCATGCACATTGCATTGAGTCTAAGCATCGAGCTAAGCATTGCCGTCAGCTTGACGGTACGGTTTTACGAACGCGTACGGAGACGGGTGCAATACGTAGTCCTGAATTGCGTACCTATATGTGCGTACTATGCATGCACATGGCTCCGACGTTCCCGCATGCGTTGCGTTACGACTAAGTAGGTAGGTAGCTAGGCCCTACACACATCATGGTCCAGTCTCAGATCATATGTGAGTTAGAGACTCGAACAGACTCCTCAAACCATTACAGTAAGCTCATTGCAGTTATATCTCCGGACAATCACAGTCTCTGTATTGTACGTGGCCACTGCTTTTCACAGTTAGCCAGGCGGACTATACTAGGGTTAACCCCAAAAGGAACACGTAAGTACTAAGTAAGTACTTCTGTAAGATTGCAAGTACTATGCCGGAACCCGCAATGAAATGAAATCAGATATTTTGTTCCTCCCTCTCGCTTCGGGCCTTCAACAAGCCCTGTTTTTGTTTGTGAGACATAGTATGAGGCTTTCTGAAACCACATACGAAGCCTTCAGCTGTAATTTGTCCATACAACTTTGCCACGACGATGCCGCGCGAGAGTCATGGTTAACCTTTATTTCCCTTCTTCGAGTTTGCGACGAACACCACTCGCGCAAAACATCCTTGTTTCTCTCAAAACTTCGATATGCGTCAACTATGGCATGGAATATGAAGCCAATCAAGTTTGGTAGCAAACGGAATACAGGAAAGTACCTACCCTGAGCAGTTTTATGAAAAGAAAGACTGAATCCTCGATTGTTTTGTACATAGCGTCTGTAGTTTTGATTTCTCCACCAAGCCGTGCGATACAGTCATAGAGTAGTTACATTAGATGGTCCATGTTATTTTTTGTAGATATACGCCAAGGGACGGGGGAGGGGCAGTCGAATCAACCTACATTTCATTGCGGGTGACGGTTTTCATTGCGGGTTCCGGCATAGTAAGTGCTCGGTACTCAGCGCTTCAGCTTCAGCGCCAAAGAGCGGCTTTGGGCTTGTCACGTGAGCTGTCTTAGCCGCGCCAAACTCGGGGGATGTCAGCCCCTTGCTTGCCTCTTACGCGCCCTGCAAAGTGCACGGTGCACGTCCTGAGGCCTGAACGCTGAGCCATGGACAACATTCCGCAGTTAGCCACGGCTGCGGACCTCGACATGCGGGCGGCTCGCCTTGTAGATCCTGGAATAGGTACGCGTGCTAGTGTCAGTTCCCATTTGCTAAACCCTTAACGTTGGGCAGACCTGAAGACCAAGCATACTGTCGCATGCGAACTCAGAGAATTGATCGACACTCTTCGCGATGCAGACGCAGGGAAGGTTTATCCTCAGATGGTTCCCACTCTCCTTGAGATTCTTCAGTCGGGCGAAGCTTCCTACCAAAAGGACACGATTGAATACCAGTTCCGTCGTGTGCTACTGGAAGTTCTACACCGCGTCCCTTACTCAGAGCACCTTCGCCAACAGGCAGTCCCACTCCTCAGCGGAATGCTATACATACTTCGTCATGATAATGAAGAAAATGGAGTCACGAGCTGCAAGATTATTATTGACCTTCTCCGCACGTTCAGAATTTTGACTGAGGAACTCGTCAACGAATTCGTTGGAATCCTTCAAGAAGTCCTACAAGGGATGCGAGGCCTTGTAATGGAACTACTCAGCGAGGACTCTGTCCTTCTCGACGCCAATGCAGTACTCCCAAGTATTCGAAGCTTCAAGGTTCTGTCAGAGCTCGGCATGGTGGTGGTCATTTTCTCCCAGAACCATCGGCCCCTCGTCGGACCGCTCATACAATCGACTCTGAACCTGAATTTTGAGATATTGGCCCTCGAGTCACCCGCCCAGAAGAAAGCGAGGGAAGAGTATGAAGCGCAGGGAAACGGGCAGCACTGGTCTGGGATGGCATCTACAATCAAGAATGAGCTCGCATATAATGACTTTATTGCAGCTCAAATTAAGGTGCGTTTCCTCACTGACCCCACTTATCCGACACATGCTCAAGATGAGCAGATGGTTTCCTATGTGGCGTACGTTCTGCGAGGATCAGGCGAGCAGTACGAGGGATACGGTGACACTTTGATTCTCTGTGCCCTGCGCTTGCTTCAAGACTGTCCAGCGAATGCCATTGGTCCTCGCAAGGTAGGTTAAGATGGATGGATGTCTTCTTTGCTCGCTGATCGACCGCCAAGGACCTCTCCATTGTCTTCCGCCATCTTATGGGCACTCCGCACAAACGAGCTCTTTTGCCAGCGATTGACAAACTTTTCCATGAGCATGTGCTTTTGGGGCGAAGCATTGGTAGTCAAGAGACGCTTCGGTAAGTTACCTCCTAGCACCCTTGGCATAGGCGGCTAATGTGAGATACAGACACACCGTGTATACAGCAGTGGCAGATCTTGTTCATCATCTTCGCGCAGAGCTCAGTGCAGCACAACTAGCACGTGTCGCAAAGCTATTCTCCGCATTGCTTCACAATCCTTACCTCAGTCCAAGTCATCATACAATGTTTTCAAAGATGATGTTTGGTCTTACAGACACCATCGCCAACAAGGACACCGCACAAGGAGCAGCCAGGATCTTGGGTGCCGTGTTTGAAACATGTGTTGACAAAGTTGATGCCATGCGCATCATGATTGACGATCTTATGAGCAAGATTGAATTAGCAAAAACCAAGGAGGATGGCGAATTTGGAGTAATGCAAATAGAGAAATCGAGACCTGTCGCCGGTGCGATGTACGCTGTCGAAAAGCCAGAGGAGTGTCTACAAGGTCAGCGTTCCCTACAGAAGTTCCTGAGCCCGTCCTTACATCGCCAATGCAGAATGTCGCTTTCTCTTTCGGACCCTTCTGCATGGCTTTCGTGTCTGCCTCGCTGGCCTCAGGAAATGTAGCACGGAGATTCCTGACGGATCTCTGGTGTTCCGCCTCTTCGAGGGCTGCATTCACTGCATGGCCCTATTTGACACGGAACCCCGTGACTGCAATGAAGTCATGGATTGGTTTTGTGCCGTTTTACTCGAAGTGAACCTTCACGTCTTTCAGGAGGTGTGGACGCATAAAATCGATATGTTCTTCCAAGCTGCCTTGAAGCGGAACACGCTGCTGCATATCTGCCAGTTTCTTTTCTGTCGTGAGCCCGTTTCGGCGACGTTGGTGGCCATCGTGCTACGTTATCTTGTTGACAAACTTCCCGCCATGGGCGAATATGATGACCCCACGGCTGTAGTGAGCATCCGGTTATTCAAAATGGCCTTCAGTGCGGTCACCGCCTTCCCTGCCACGAACGAGCCTATCCTCGCTTCCCACCTTGCCAAATTGATCATGGATTGCTTTCCTCTCGCTGCCAAGGCAAGCAAGCCGAAGCACTACTTCCATCTTCTTCGCGGTCTTTTCCGAACTATTGGATGCGGTGGGGGCAGATACGAGCTTCTATACAAAGAAGTTTTACCTCTGTTACCAGATATGATGGAAAATCTCAACAGACAGCTCTATTCCACTGATGGCTGTAGCAGAGACATGATTGTTGAGCTGTGTCTGACTGTACCGCTACGGCTCACACATCTGCTACCTCATCTCGGCTACCTCATGCGACCATTGGCTCTAGCTTTGCAAGGCACGCCTGAACTCGTTTCACAAGGACTGCGTACTCTGGAGCTTTGCATTGACAACCTAACGCCCGACTTCTTGGATCCCACACTCAATACTGTCTTGCGAGAACTCATGGAGGCTCTCCATAGTCACCTCAAGCCTCTGCCCGCCAATCATCACCACGCGCATACTACGATTCGAATCCTTGGAAAGTTAGGTGGGCGTAATAGGAAATTACTTGCCAAGGAGCCAGCGCTGCAATACAAGAAATCGTCTAATCCTGCTCAGTTGTCGATCTCACTGGGCGGAACAGTGGAGAAGATTGAGCTATCTGCAATGACCTCTCTGGCTTATCAGACGCTCAAAAGAATGGTTTTGCATTATCGACCACCCGCGTTCTCTTTCCTGCAAAGTGCAATATCAGCTCTAATTCAAGAGGTATGAAAGAATATGAATTATCCCTTCATGTGCTGATTTGTCTCGGACAGACTGCCCACGGATCCGACCATTCAGCAGTGTTTGTACTGGCCATGGAAGGCATTATAGATGCTATGTTCATGCCAGAAGTCAATGATACAGCTGAGGCGTTTGCGCGCCAAGTGTCTCAGACTGTACTATCGAGGGAAGCCAGCTTGACCTCCACCAAGGACATGAACCTTCGCCGATTCCCTAGCCCATTATTGGTCTCTTACCTACTGGCTTTGCCTCATGCGTTAGCGAGGGAGAAGGTCGAGGAAGTTGTGAAAGGCGAAGAGCTCGTAACATGGGTTATCAAGGACCTGGTCTCAATGAATGGCCGCAGCGGCTATACAACTCAAGACATTCACTTCACACTTCATCAGGTTGCGACACGTTTCAATGCTCTATGCCTCGAAGATTCATGGCTCCAAAAGAGTGCTGGATTCAGAGGTATTCGTATCATGACCACCATCCCAGACTTGGGAGTCAAGTGGATTGCAGAACGTCAGGTGGAGGTTGTCCGGGCCCTCATACACGTTTTGAAGGACCTTCCCTATGATCTTCCAAGGGACGTGACCGACATAATTGACGTTTTGAAAAGCGTCTTACGCATCGGAAGCTCCAAGGGTGATGGCCAAACGGAGGTCTCTCTTCATGTCAGAACTCGACTCCTTCATCTCACTGGAACCTTCTTCACCGAGCTTTCTTGCCCTAGCCCTGTGGTCCGACAGGCCGTACACACGTGCATTGACGCTTTGGTTGAGATTACAGGGAAAACCGCTCACGACCTCCTTCAACCTCACCGTGACCGCATACTCACGGGCATCTATACCAAACCATTGCGGGCGCTCCCTTTCAGCATCCAAATCGGGATGATAGATGCCATGCGCTACTGCGTCAGCGTGGATCCACCTATACCAGATCTCAATGACGAGCTCATTCGTTTGCTTCACGAGACACTTGCCTTGGCTGACGCAGACGACATACAGCTCGGGCGAGGCAACCTACGGCAGGGCGGCATTGATGTTATTAGGTTGAGGGTTGCATGTATCAAACTCTTGACTGCCTCCATGCCTATGACGGATTTCTTCTCGAAGCAGCATCAGACGAGACAAAGGTAAATCATTGTCCGAGGATGCAACTGTATCCGCATTGACGACCTTTCCTAGGGTTACCAGCGTTTACTTCAAGTCCTTATATTCCCCCTCTCAGGACGTGAAGGAGGTTGCTCATGAAGGTTTGAGAATGGTCCTTACTCACCAGAGTAGGCTTCCCAAGGAACTGCTTCAGACTGGCTTACGTCCTATTCTCATGAACTTGGCTGATCCCAAGAGACTATCTGTCTCAGGGCTTGAGGGTTTGGCACGTCTCATGGAGCTTCTCATCAATTATTTCAAGGTTGAGATTGGCCACAAACTTTTGGACCATTTCCGTATCGTTGCAGACCCTCAGATGCTCCAGGCATCTTCGCGTCTTCCGCTTGCCGACAATGAAGGCATCACGAAGCTTGTTCGATTAGCCAATATCTTTCACCTCCTTCCATCTGCAGCGAGTATTTTCTTGGAGAATTTGGTCAACGCTATCGTCCAAACTGAGTCTCAGATGCACTTTTCTGGCCGAAGCCCCTTCTCGGAACCCTTAGGGAAATATCTGGATCGATACCCGATTGAAGCCATTGACTTCTTCATTCGATTCCTCAAGTTTCCTCGCCACGTACGCACGCTCAAGAACATTCTTCAAGCGAGACTTGCACCAAATCTTGAGCGGGAGCTGATCAGTCGAACGCGCTTTTTGGTTGCACAGTGCTTGCAAGCAGGCGATCAAGGGCTTTCTATTCCTATCTTGTCTCTTTTCAGCGATCTCGCGCAGTTGTCTCCCACGTGGATTTTGGATCACGAGTTTGTTATTGATGCCCTACTTGCAATGTGGAGAACCGAGCTGCCCCGCTCAGAACAAACAGACGTTATAATACCGGACGATATCACTCGGCATTCGCTCATCCTGTCCGTGTTCAGGAAGGCACTGGAGGTAGCGCCTCGAGTTGACCTGATCTTCGACGTTGTTTCGATATACACACGCAACTTGGCGATGGATCTTACGAAGCTCACCCGTTTCCTCTATCAGCACATCGCTTTAAGTGCTGATCTCTTCTTTAAGAGGAATGTCCTGCTCAGGTTCCTCAGATGGTTTGATGATCAGAGTGATTCGTGGCAGCAAAAGACGTATTTGCTACGCTTCGTGATCACGCCGGCTATCCTCGTCCAAGCTCACCGCGACAACAAAGGTGGTTTGCTAGACGCAGACATTATTGTGTCCATTCACAATCTTATTTGGCGCCCCATGATTGATGATAAATCTTTCACTGGGGCTGACGACATGTTCAAAATCGAGCTCTTGTATATGACGACGATCATTGTGCAGCATTACCCTGAGCTTCTAGAAGACGTCAAGAAGGACATCATTCGTTGCGCGTGGCATTATATCACCAGCGACGATGCCGTAGTCAAACAGACAGCCTACTTGCTTGCAGCACGATTCTTCGAAGCCTTCGATAGTCCCCAAAAGTTCATCTTGCGAGCGTGGACAGGACTCCTTCGTCCGCCACATTCAGATGGGCGCCTGCTCACAAAGCAGGCATTAGACATCCTTGCACCAGTACTTCCAAAGTCGAGCTCTCAAGAGGTTGGCTATCCCCAATGGGCCAAGACGACCAGGCGGTTGCTGGCAGAAGAAGGCAATGGGTTCTCGCAGATCTTCATAATTTACCAGGTACTAGTTCGACAACCGACTCTCTTCTACCCCGTACGCGCCCTATTCATTCCACACATGGTCAACTCTCTTCAAAAGTTAGGGCTGTCCAGCATCGCTTCTGTCGAGTCCCGTCTCCTGTCAGTTGACATTGCTCAAGTGATTTTCGACTGGGAACAGACAGGGTACGACTCGGGTGAGACGCCAACTGCCAGTCTTGATGCAGAAAGCTCTCGTCAGCACTCTGCATGGGTCACACCTCTGTCATTTAGAGAAAGCCTGGTCAGCTTCTTGCTTCGCCTGGCCACTGGTGTCTATGATCAACAATTGAAGGGCTTGCTTGTGCCTCGTGCGCTCACGCTCCTGGAGCAAATGGTAGGCCCCCGCGGGTGGACAGACGTGACGGTAAAATTAAACTATTTTTCCCGGTTCCTCGAGGTAAGTCTCATCTCGCACTTGAAAAGAGAGAGAAAATGAGGATGAATGTCACTTTAGGCGGACTTGGGATCAGAAGCTGCCATGAATCAGGCCTTAAGCGCAGCTCGTGTTCTTCGAATCGTTGCTTCGGACAAGGATGATGCTTGGCATCTGTCACAAGCGCAAACTCTCCAGTCTCTTATCCGTAAAGGCTTGTGGACCGATGAACCAGGGCTGCATGAAGCACTTCTTCCCATATTTGAGCGTCTCCTTTGTCTATCGCCGTTACCTGACAAAATTGCAGAGATGTCTGATTTCCATGCATCCCTATACACTAGCATTGAAGAGGGTCTCTTCAGTCAAACCAACTTGCGTGGTACTCTCCTTATGCTCAAGTCTATCGTGCAGATAACACCGGAAAGGATGCAGTACTTTAGCTCAAACCTTCACAAAGTTCTTTCCAAGTTAGCCAAAGATCACATACAGGCTGCTCCTGCTTCCTCAGGCTTTGACAGCGTCTCGCGCTTGATTATCACGATGCTGGAAATATGTTCGACAACAGTTTCGTATCTCGGCGATCAACGCAAAAACTTCATGAATGTTTGCCTAGCCCTTGCGGAGAAGTCGAGAAGCTCAGCAATCTGTCAATTTATCCTTGACTTGTCGCGTGCTTGGGCGCTGCGAACCCATGATGCATATCCGTCGATGAAGGACAAATCACTTTTGTTGAGCAAGATGGTTTCCTACGAGTTTCGAGGCGAAGCCTTGTTCCACAGCTATCTGGAGCTTATATATGAGATCTACACCGAACCCTCATTGCGCCGCAGTGACTTGACTCACCGCCTCGAACAGTGCTTCCTGCTTGGCTGTCGCGTGCGAGAGCCTACGCTTCGCCAGCGATTCATGGATCTACTAGATGCTAGCCTGCCCCGATCCATCCATAGTCGCATGGTATACATCCTCGGAGTTCAGAATTGGGAACACCTCTCCGACCACAACTGGATTTACCTCGCATTGCATCTTTTGCTTGGAGCTGTTGATGGGGAAGCTTCTTTATTCCCTGACCGTAAACTCCCTTCAGATGCAGCTTTTGGACAAGCCCTACCGCGACAAAAGGTCCACTCTGTCATAAGACCCATGCAGCAATTGCTGTTCCTCGATCCTCACGTGGCTCATGACGTTTGGATCACAATATTTCCTGCTGCTTGGGCTAGCTTCTCGAGACGAGAGCAAGGCGATGTTACGCTTCATATGATCAATTTACTCAGCAAGGATTACCACACTAAACAGATGGAAATGCGCCCTAACGTCATACAGACTCTCCTGGCTGGTATCCATACGTGCACGCCGTCCATGATGCTTCCCCCTCACCTGGTCAAGTATTTGGCGAAATCATTCGGAGCATGGCATGCTGGTCTTGAGCTACTGGAGACATCTCTGGACAATGTCAAGGAAGATGAAGCCACCGTACGGGGTGCTGTCAACGATTCGCTGGCTGACGTGTACGCTGAGCTCGCGGAAGAAGACATATTCTATGGGCTTTGGCGCCGAAGATCTCTCCACCAGGAGACAAATATAGCCATTGCCTACGAACAGCACGGAATGTGGGACCAGGCGGCCCATACTTACGAGGTGGCACAAACTCGCTCAAGAATGGGGTCAATAGCCTACTCTGAAGCCGAGTACTGCTTGTGGGAAGATCACTGGATGCTGGCTGCAGAAAAACTCCAGAATTGGGATGTCTTGCACGAGCTAGCCAAGAACGAGGGCAACCAGGAGTTGATGCTTGAGAGCGCGTGGAGGACCAAGGACTGGGCTGAGAATCGTGAACCTCTAGAGGAGCAGATCAATCTTCTCCCGGACATCGCCACACCTCGCAGGCGGGTATTCGAAGCTTTCATCGCTCTCCTGAAGTTGCCTGGGGCCCTTGATAAGAACACCGAATTCACGAAGATATTGGAAGACGCGATGCAACTTTCGCTTCGCAAATGGGTTGGCTTACCCTCACATCTTTCCTCTGCCCATATTCCTCTTCTCCAGCACTTCCAGCAATTTGTAGAACTGCAAGAAGCCGTGCAGATCTTTGGCTCGCTCTCAAACACGACTGCTCAAAACTTAGAGAAGAAGTCCTCAGATTTGAAGATGGTTCTTCAGGCATGGCGGGAACGTCTGCCCAATCTCGAGGACGACATCAGTATCTGGAGCGACCTCGTTGCATGGCGCCAGAACGTCTTCAACGCCATCAACAAGGCGTATATCCCCCTGATCCAAACGCCGAATCAAACTACAAATCCGACCTCCACTAACTTCAACACGTCCGGATATCGCGGGTATCATGAAACAGCTTGGATAATCAATCGTTTCGCTCATGTCGCGCGGAAGCACGAGCTCCTCGAAGTATGCCTCAGCCAACTCAACAAGATCTACACACTGCCGAACATAGAAATTTCTGAGGCGTTCTTGAAACTGCGGGAACAAGCGCGATGCCACTATCAAAAGCCAGGAGATCTGCAAGCGGGCCTTGAGGTCATCAATAACACCAACCTGATGTACTTCTCTACTGGTCAGAAGGCTGAGTTTTATACACTGAAGGGCATGTTCTATGCACGTAGTGCACGCAACGAGGAGGCAAACTTAGCCTTTGGTCAGGCTGTACAACTAGACATGAACCAGCCAAAAGCATGGGCAGAGTGGGGAAAATACAACGACCGCATGTTCAAGGAGTCACCCACCGACATGTCTCACGCTGCAAGTGCTGTCAGCTGCTATCTTCAAGCTGCAGGGTTGTATAAGAACGGCAAGGCCAGAGCTATGCTCACCCGAGTATTGTGGCTTCTCAGCATCGATGACGACTCTCTGACTATTTCTCGTGCCTTTGATACCTACAAAGGAGAAGCGGCGTTCTGGTATTGGATTGCGCTCATCCCTCAACTTTGCCTCTCCCTTTCTCAGAGGGAAGTGAAACAAGCTCGATACATCCTCCTGAATCTGGCCAAGCTGTTCCCACAGGTGAATCTTCCTTCCAAGCGTCGAGGTTCAATTTTACTCATGCGAGTTACTAGGCTCTGTTCTATCAGTTACGCACTACACGCGAGGACATCATCATCATTCGAAAACAAGCCCAACAAGCTGCTGCAGCCGCCCGCGCTATGGCTGCTAACCTGGTTACGGCCAGGCGGTCCGACGGTGATTATCCCATGCAGGACGTCAGCGCCGAAGTTAACGCCGAGACTACGAGGAAGGAGTCGATTGGGATATCTGGAGAACCTACTTCTCAGGCCGGCCCTGCTCTTCAAGCTGAGGGCACCAATGTACAAGCTATCAGCAATGCTCAAAGTCTAGCTCAGAGTGCGTTAGAGAACGTCTCCGCATCCACGCGGCAATCATGGGAACAAGTCGACGAGGTGGTACAAATTCTCAAGACTGCCTACCCCTTCCTTATACTCAGCTTGGAAACACTCGTGGACCACGTCAACCAGCGGTTCAAAGCTGGGGCAGACGAGGACTTATACAGACTAATCTGCATGTTGCTGCAAGATGCTATACAGGTAAGCTGTTCAATATCCTCGGTTTTGATTCACCACTCATCTCTCACCACAGAGCTACGTCACTCAGCGCGTGAATAACCCGGATGATGACGGACTTCTCAATGCTCACACCAAGAACAATATCTCGAAGATGGCAGCTAACTTGACCGGGTCTGTCCGAGTGAGCGAAATGTATTGTCATTACTTATAGTCCCTGATCAACTAATCCTTCTAGACTCAATACGAGGAAGACTTTGTCAAGGCAAACATAACTCATTACGAGTATATGCAGCGACTTCAACGCTGGCGCGACCGGCAGGAAAAAACTCTCGATGCACGGCCTCGCTTCCAGACTCTAGATACTCTTAGCCACTGGTTAACAGACTTCCAATACGGCAAGACCGATGAGATTGAGGTTCCAGGTCAATATACCGAGGTAAGTAACCATCATAGGCCAGGAAGCATTCTTTCATAGATCGCGCGATACAGGAAAAGGATAGCAACCAGAACTTCATCAGAATTCAAAGGTTCGGGCCTCAATATGAGAATTGTCGCTCACACGGGTACTGCTGGAAGAGGTTTGTCGTCCACGGAAACGACCACTCCAAGATCTCGTTTTCCGTGCAACTACCATCGGGCCGACACTGCCGCCGAGAGGAAAGAGTAATGCAAGTGTTCCGAACCTTCAACACGTAAGTCTCTTTGTTGTACTCTTTATTATTGTGCTTCCACATGTTTGTTAGCGTTCTGGCCAGGAAGAAAGAGGCGCAGAAGCGAAATCTTTCTTTCCACATACCCGCAGCAATCTCCTTCAGTCCCACCCTCAGGCTGCTCCAGAACGATTCCTCATACATAACTCTGGGCGACATTTACGATCAGTATTGCGAGGAACGTGGATTCACAAGGGAAGAGCCAATCTTCGTATGCGGAGAGAAAGTAAAAACTGTAGTATCGGAGTATCGCCAAGTACATGGCAGCATTGTGAGTGACTGAGGTTTAAGTTGTTATTTCCGCATGTTTAACTGTTCGGAAACAGCCCAACAAATCTCACATTTACGGACTCAAGAAAGACATCTTTGATGAGATAGCCAGCAAACTCATTCCGGGTGATGTACTAACAAAAGTAAGGGCGTTCGTTACTCGTTTTTGCGGCGAGCTTGACCTGACTTTTTGAATTACCAGTATCTCACACGAACCATGGCGAGCCCAGCTGATTTGTGGAGAATGCGCAAACAATTTGCTCTGCAGATTGCATCCGTCAGCTTCATGACTTACGTCCTTTGTCTGACGAGTCGGTCGCCCTCTCGCTTCCATCTCTCCCGCACTACTGGTCAGATCGCCATGAGCGAACTTTTACCTGGTAAGGAAGTGAAACTCTTGTATTTTTCCGTACTGAAAGTATTACAGGCACCTCTAATTCAGGGCCTGTCCTTGCGTCTATTGATGCTGTGCCCTTCCGTTTTACTCCCAACATGCAAAATTTCATCGGACCCGTTCTCACTGAGGGTCTCTTGGCTGCTGGTATTATGGTAATTGGACGGTGTCTGACAGAACCTGAGGTAAGCCTATGTTGGTAACGCTTGGGCTCGTCTGATAAAACACGGTTTCCTCGCAGCATGGCCTAGAGCAGCAGCTATGCCTCTTTGCCCGGGATGAAGTCCTGACTTGGCTTCATGGAAGGAACCAGCCCTGGAATTTCGATCTAGCATTCAGGAACCATTGTGCAGCCAACATCGATGGCATTGTGCGGAGAGCTGAAGTTCTGGCTTGTAAAGCTGAAAGAGAGCAGGTAATGATCTATCGCTAGTAGTACATTTGCTACTGCTAACACACCGTGCCCAGACAACCATCCCTCCTGCTCCAAATACGACCGCCAATTCACCTGTCATTCAGACAGTGACCAACCTCATTTCTACGGCAACTAATCCTCTGAATCTCACGAAAATGTATGAAACCTATCATCCATGGTTCTAGAACACTGCATTGTCTTACTATCTTACCGCATTGTTGTCCATTGTTGTTAATATAAATTCTCCATCACTGTGTAATATATGCATCTTTGCCACTACTTCAGTGATTGACATCCCCTCGCTCACTTTATGTACGACGAATCAGCCCTTCTGTCTGCTTAAACTCCTTGATATAATCTTCGCTCTCGGCCATCATCTATATGGGAAATGAACTTTCCGTTCGTTTGATAATAAGTACTGCATTTACTTACTTCCTGAGTCATCAGGTAGACATCACTTCCGGGCCGGTTGTACATGATTGCGTTTGCAAACATGAGGTATATGTCCCTCAGAAATTCTGGTGAGTTGGTAATGGCCCCGTCTTTGATACGGGCCTTGATTGTCTTCAGGTCCATTGGGCGCTTGATAAGGTCATGGTAGTCTGGGGCGTCCGAGTTTTTGATTGGATTGTGGAAGATGTTTCCGTTGCGATGCTGAGAAATTTGTTGGTAAAGCATGGTTATCATCGTCTGAAATCGCTTATTGGGCGCCGGTGGCGTTTGCACACTGTCGTTTGCAGTTACCGTGCGGCGTCTCCGGCCACTGGAACCTAATAGAGCAGTGAAGGGTTGCGCTGAACGTTCGGCAACGACAGCCATACCTTGGGATTCTATTTCGGGAGTTTGTGCCTCCTCCTTGAGGCGTTTCTTGTCTGGCTTATCCGTAAGTTCCTCTTCAGCTGGTCGCTTGCCTACCTTGAGGATAAGAATGTGTCCACATGAAGAAGAGGAATGCATACCACTGCGAGTCATCGTTCCCTTATCATTCGTGTCGGCTTGCTCAGGGGATTGTGCAGCTGAAGTAGACTGTTCCTCTTCAGTAGGGGAAGGGAGACGGCTTCCTCCCCTGGGAGTGACTGAGTTGCGGTTAGACCCCTCGTCGTTATTGCTCTCAGCATCAGTCTCTTCCAGCTCTTGGGGAATATCTGTGAGCTGAGAGGAGGAAGTAGGATCAAAACCATCGTGGGCGGTCCGGTCAGAACCTTCGACTCCTAGTAAGGAACGATCCACATTCGAGGATTCGCCTGTGCTGCCCTGTTCCCCAGATGAAGCAGCTTCAGACTGCTCCTCTTCCTCTTCCTCCTCGGCCATGGCTAGCCGCTTTTCTTGTGAGTTTGTTTCCTTTAATTCGATGTCACCATGCAGCTGCAGCATAATCATAAAGCAAGGATGGACGCATAGGCGTACCTCCGTAGAGACCAATGACTCAACGATAGCGGAGTCAGCATCTGCTGCCTTCAAGTCGTCTTTCTTGGCATCCCAACGACCTGCACGAATTTCGTCGATTTCGAAGACAATGCGCCTTGCCGAAGTATGAGGACAAGGAAACGTCATAAAAAGAGGCTGTTCACTTGAATTTGGTTTCCTCGGCAACAATAAGTTGCTTGAGTTCTTGCAGACGGGCAACGTAGTGATGCTGAGCTAGCTTGAGATTGGCGGGTGCTACCCGAGTCAGTCAGCTCGACGGTCTCGCGCTTATTCAATAGACAAACCATGGATGGATTTGTCGTCTGAGCTTTTCGTGCGGCAAGTGCGTTAGGTCGGGATCATTGTTGATTGCGTCCTACTTACCAGTCCAAGCCTGCTTCACCCATGAGATGCACATACATCGCATGACAGGACTAGACAGGAAAATGCATTAAGAACCGTGGATATGATACATGTGACAACTAGGCTGACTTGAGCAGTAAAGAACCCCTTTGGTTTGGATACCAATGGGTGCTTAGAGAGTAGTTTCGCGACCTGCGACCATGAGTCTGCGCCGAGCTCATAGACTGCCTGAGCAAAGATGAGTCGTTCCTGTGTATTAAGCTTCTGTCGGTCGTCTGGGCCAGATGCTCCTACAGCGGATGCCCTGCGCGCTGAGCGTGTACTGGTGGCCATGGGTGGGTTGGGAATGTATCCGATGCTGTGGCCGGGACCGGTCTGGGACATGATGTACTTGCCTGTTTAGGGTCTCGGAATTAGACTGGGGACTGACGGGGGTGGCGCATCCATTTTTGGGTTGCCCTGGCGGCTACCCTACGTCAGCTAATTTAAGAGAGGTTGCGCGGCTGCGGCTGCTGCCTCCTCACCTTGCTTCCCCACCCACAAGGCCACCATGTTGCTCTCTGCCATCGCTCCCCTCATTCTCCTTCCCTTCGCGTCTGCTGGGGTGCACAAGCTCAAGCTTCAGAAACTCCCTCAGATTACTCCAGGCCACACTCATGAGACCACCTATCTTTCCCACAAGTATGGTGGTCAGGTCGCTCAGCAGGTCCCTCTCATGGGTGCTGGTGGTGCGGGTCGCAACTTCCGCCCTTCCCCTCACGATGACGACCTTTTCTGGACTCAGGAGGTAGCCGTCGAAGGCGGTCACACCGTTCCTCTTTCGAGTGCGCTTTATCCCCATTATTTATTTGACTGAACCGAGTACTAAGCCGATCCATTCGTCATGTAGACTTCATGAACGCGCAGTACTTCACCGAGATTGAACTTGGCAGCCCTGCTCAGACCTTCAAGGTCATCCTTGACACTGGGTCCGTAACGACTTTCGCTGTATATATCTCCCGAGGCTTATATGTTTGGTAGCTCGAGCAACCTCTGGGTTCCCAGTGCACAGTGCACATCCATTGCTTGCTTCCTCCACGCCAAGTATGACTCGAGTTCCTCGGCTAGTTACAAAGCCAATGGCACCGAGTTCTCTATCCAATACGGAACTGGCTCTATGGAAGGCTTTGTCTCTCAGGATACTTTAAAGATTGGCGATGTCTCCATTTCTCACCAAGATTTTGCCGAGGCCACGAAGGAACCCGGTCTGACGTTCGCATTCGGGAAATTCGACGGTATCCTGGGTCTAGGATATGATACCATCTCGGTCAACCATATCACTCCTCCCGTTTACAATATGATCAATCAGGGTCTTCTGGATGAACCTTTGTTCTCCTTCCGTCTTGGTTCTTCCGAATCTGACGGCGGCGAAGCCGTCTTCGGTGGCATTGACCATTCTGCATACACTGGTGACATTGAGTACGTGCCCGTTCGCCGCAAGGCTTACTGGGAGGTCGAGCTCGAGAAGGTTTCTTTCGGTGGCGATGAGTTGGAACTCGAGAGCACCGGCGCTGCCATTGATACTGGTAAATACATTGTTTGCTGATATAGGTCCTATGCTCATGCCTTTTAGGCACCTCACTCATCGCTCTTCCCACCGACGTTGCCGAGATGCTGAACACCCAGATCGGTGCAAAGCGGTCTTGGAACGGCCAGTACACTATCGATTGCAGCAAAGTTCCTTCCCTCCCTGACTTCACCTTTTACTTCGGTGGCAAGCCGTACCCGTTGAAGGGAAGCGACTACATTCTAGAAGTTTCGGGCACCTGCATCTCGTCATTCACTGGCATGGATATCAATCTCCCCGGTGGTGCCCTGTGGATTGTCGGTACGTGTATAATTCATCTGATTTCCTGTGGAAATGACCTCAAGGCGTTTTAGGTGATGTCTTCCTCCGTCGTTACTACACGGTTTACGACCTCGGTAAGGACGCTGTTGGATTTGCCAAGGCTGTCTAAGCTTGGCATGTCTGCAATGGACTCCTGTCGATACCTTCCTGTCCAATTCTGTAGTATATTGCATAATGACGTGAAGTTTTTACTTAACGTGAACATGGTTTCTTCAATATGAATTGCATTAATGTTGCTATATAACCTTTGTGCCTGAGAAAAGTCAAAAACATCTCCAGTTCGGGGAGAGTATCATGAGGTGCGCTGAATTTGAATTTGACATCATCAGGTATGTTAGCTTCTGACTATCATGGACGTCGACGGATCCGGAGCAATGTCAACTCGTAGACGATTCTCAACTAGCGCGTTTGCAAGCAAGCGCGGGCCGACCTGTTGGGAAGGCGCTTTTCAATGCAATGTGGCATCTTCGCTCGACAGAGTTGGTGTGTTAGGCGAGAATGGCTCTGGACACCGAGGGTACGTTGGCGTTTCTTGCTCAGAACTTGGGCCTTACATACACCTTCCAAGCAGATGCGTCAATGCCCTCAGCTGGGCTGATGGTGGCGAATGGCTGATCAGTAGCGGTGATGACGCTGAGTGAGTATTTCTAGACGAACCCTTGCGGTTGGCTGTCGATTTATCATGAGACGTACGAATAGCATAAGGATCTGGCGCATAGATGCAGCTACCGAGTTCGCTGGGCATGTGCATGAAGACGGTTATCCACTTAAATGCGAGACTGTGATCAATACTGGTCACACACAAAACGTTTTTAACGTACAGCAGCTGCCCGGTTCAAAACGCATGTACGTGAAAATCCGCGCTTACATGCTTATGATGGGCCGTTAGGCACTAACTTACGTATTTGCAGTACATCTGTGTCGGGAGACAGACAGGTGCGCGTCTTTGACATCGGGGATGCCCTGGGTCGGTCTCCCACTGGTGCAGAGGCCACCTATGGCACTCGACAGGCATGCATTCGAATTTTACGCTGCCACACGGGTCGAACAAAGCGCATACTGACAGAAGACAGCCCGGATGTTTTCTTGACCGTGGCAGAGGTGTGTCGCAGGCTGAACCTCGTACCTGACCTTCGCGCTCATGGTCAATTGGTAGGATGGGGAAGTTCGACAACACGACCTTCGGACGTTCCATTCCTGTAACGACGGCAACTGTCCAGCTCCCCTTGTCAAGATGCCTCATGAATTATCCACGATGGCCATGTCTCCTATAAGACCTTATCACATCGTGGTAGGCGGGGAGTCTCCTTTTGTAAGCCAAAGTTATCGAACAAACATGGAACACATTCCTCACTATGATTAGGCGCATCTATTTGACCGACGACATGCGGGTCGGTGCATACAAGCGGAATGGGGTGTTCCTCTCGACGAAAGCAATCTATCCACATGTGTGAGACGTTTTGGACGTGAGCGTCGAGCTCCAGGAGAAAGGCGCGGTTACGAGCATATCACTGGTGCTAAGATGTCAGCTTGGAACGGGCATGAGGTATGTCTCCTTCGACCTTGTAGCTTCCTTTCATCCTCATCCAGTGTTGTTCCAAGCTTCTTCTATGTGAATCGCACTCAGACTACCGGTCGCTTGGTACTGTGCTGACCACTACCCCGAAGCTTATAGCTCAGACGGGGTCTATCTTTATTCTACTCAGGATGATTCAGAAACATCCAACAGCCTGACTTCCGTGACATCCTCGCCTGTGCTGAGAACCCCGCCATTGGTTACAGAAGCCAACTGTCTGACTGGACCAATGGAAGAGCACGTGGATGTAGAACATGCACTGGACGCTATTGTTTCTCTTGAAACTTCAGAAGATGAGGCTGGCATGCTTGATGAGGGCGACGAAGACGGCAACGAAGAGGACGACAATCTCACCATTTCCGACTATGACATCCACAAGGATATCCCTACAGTTTATCCCCGTGCCAAGTTCACGGGTCACTGCAACGTTGAAACGGTCAAAGATGGTACGTTTCTCATTGATCATCCTGATTGAAACACTGCCCACGCAGATACCTTCAGTGAACTTTCTCGGCCTTCGGGACGAGTACGTCGTATCTGGTTCTGATGATGGTAATGCCTTTGTATGGCAGAAAGCGGATGGCAAGCTTGTCGATATCTTAGTGGGTGACGAAAGTGTTGTCAACGTCATTGAAGGGCATCCTCGTCTACCTCTTGTTGCAGTGAGTGGAATCGATAAGACCATAAAAGTGAGCGGAGTGTTGAAGTTATCAAACATACGTTGCTGAATGATAGCTTAGCTCTTCGCTCCTGTCCATGGTGAAAGACAATTCTCTCGAATACTGAGCAAGGACGCAATATGCAGACGCAATGTAAGCGCTTCAAGGCGGCCACTTTTGCCAGATACACAACTACTTCATCTCCTAAGAATGCACTTAGAGCATGCTCAAGATGGGCAACCAGGCTCAAGAGAGCCCTCTATTACTCAGTGCGTTAATCAGTGACTTGATATGGGGTGCGCGGAAATAGTATGTTGTGTGCTTTGCTGCTTTTCTTTCTTTCTATTTTGTAGTAGCCTGTGTTTGTAGTACTTGTAGCCCTCAGCGCGGAAAATTGCCATTTATCGTGATACAACCGGTTGCGTCGCGCTGTCAATCCAAAGTATGAGGGTTGTCCATACCTTGGAACATGACCAACCTCCATATATTATCCTTCGATGCTGGAAACCCGAGCAGCCGTGTTGAGGCGACGGTGGCTCTGTGGCGGGACAGATTTTGAAGCGCACGGTGCAGCTTTGTCGGTAACCTGATCCCCCTCCGTTAACATCCTCGAAGGCGTCCAGATCCACACGTCGGTTGCAGAACATCACTCGCCTCTACGGTCTGCACATTGATAGTGGCAAGGGCCGCTTCTATCGCCTTCATAGTTTGACCATCGAATTCCAACGTCCGCATACACAAATTACTTAGGTACCGGTAAGTGATTCCATGGCCATCTCCAGAGCGTTGTGTATATTATAACTGACACCCAATACTTCGTATGCGTCCCTGCGGCTATAGTCTGCCTGGCCTCAAATTTACTACGACAATTGTGTGTGATAACTGAGGTTTTGTGCTCGGCGCTACGGGGCGTGGCTCACTTTTTGGTTGAGAACAGCACGTCACTGCTTTCACTTAACCCGCTTGACCCCCACTCTTCTTTCTTACTGCCCACACATCAAGCCCGCCTGTACCAGTCATGTATCCTTCTCAGAACAAGCGACGCAAGCGCACCATGACAGAAGTCAACCAAGATGACGGGAGCGACTTTGTCTCACGGACGGATGATGGCCACCCTGACGTCTACTCGCGGTCTTTCTCAAACTCTCATGCACGCACAGAAGTCTTCAGGTCTCCTTCCAAATCCTCTATCAACATGAATTCGAACGATGTTCCTCCTCAGCACTACGGTCCTCCCTCCCACGAGCGTTCATGGGGCCCTGGACCTGATCCTTACCTCCGTGGATGTCACGACGACTACGATGTCATAGACTTGAGAGATGATTCATGGCGAGCCAGGGAGTTGCCCAGTGCACACGCGGGATCAGATTGGGGATGGTACGAGCGTGGCCAAGGTTCATCCGTTCAGGCTGAGCCCTGGGGCGGAGGTTATGACGACTCATCTGGGTGGCAACCTCCTAGTAGACGACGTGACCATCAGGCAGAGGATTATTACCGCGACGAAAGGCCACAAGGTCAAAGACGACACCAAAACCGACGAAACAATCAACACAGCCAACAGCGTTTCATGAGCGACAATGGGTGGAAAAGCCGCCAGCAGCGAAGTCGGGATGAACCCCGGAATGATTCTCGTGAGCGAGGTGGGCAGGATGATCCTATTGTTGTCAAAGAAAATCGTACATGGGAACCCGGACCGTCATGGAGGGATCAAAATGAAGAATTAGGTCAAAGAAATCAAGGTGAAAATCGCAATAGCCACAAAAAAAATGGCAAGGGGCAAAAGCGAGGAAACCATGCAAACAGGCAAAGACGCGAACGGCGTCAGGAGGAGAAGGAAGATACTCTCAACAAGTATGTATTACTTCTAGTCGCTTGACTTGAGCCATAACTTGCTTTCTCGTAGCTGGCAACGGCGAGATGTACATCCTCAGCCTACCAGAACCTCTCAACCACTCCAAAAGCGCCGTCAGCCGCGGTCCCCATCGCCTGGCTACTCACGGACGGCCTCCCCAGTCTCCTCATACTCTCGAAAGTCATCTAGAGGTCGATCACGTTCGAGATCGTTGAGCCCAAAATATGACCAGAGACATGAGAGTCCCTATCGGCAACAAACTCAGAGCCCCTTGGAGAAGGAACATTACTCTAGATGGCCCTCAGATCGGAAGGAGCTTCATTTCTCTCCAAGTTCGGCTCATCATCAAAATATTCAGCGTCAGAAGTCGCATCAAAGACGACCATCGCCCTCGTACTCCTCTGTTAGCAGCCGTAGTCGGAGTCGAAGCTCAAGTAGAAGCGCTGACGAGCATCGTTTACCTAAGCATCGACTTCCTCAGGCAACTTCGATAAGGGATATATCACTCTCCATATCCAAGGCCAACATCCAGCCAGCTTCTGACATACAACAGCAAGAAGAAATGTCTAACGACGGTGCCCGTTCCCAAACAAATGGCAATTCTGTGAGTATATGCGTCGACCATGACAAAGCGTGTGCAGATGAATTCTTCCAGCATATCATACCTCTTGCCGCTCCGCCCTCTAGCTCAATGCTACCACCCTCTTCGTATGGACCAACGGGTCCTTATTCATCGTCTTCAGCACACAACAAGCCGCCCGTTATGTCCCCATCCGAATCCAAACCAGGCTTTGGATCTACGAGACCTTCCTTCAAGCCGATCAGCCAAGCTAGCTCTGCAGTGAAACGATTTTTCCCAGGTGAAGATGAGGAAGAGGCTGTAACCCTAGCCTTAGCTCCTACGAAAGCTCCCAAATCTCCTCGTATAGTCTATGAACGAGAACCGCCTAAGGAACGTGTTGATGGACGGCATCACGGCCAGGCGCCAACGTTCATTCCCGCCGCCAACACAGTACCGTCAGCGCTACATGCCGCTCAGGAACTTGAAGCCCGGCGAGAGGATATTCCACTCCCGCGATCGCCTCTCAAGAACGGGCATGACGTTAATATACTAACGGACCACGACCAAAGCGGTGCTACCAGGCCTCCAAGCCCATCCTCTACAAACGCGAAGGAGCTTTATGCTATCGTCAGCCAGGTTGGAGAGGGAACATTCGGTAAGGTCTACAAGGCCAAGAATGTGATCACCAAGGTGCATGTAGCCCTCAAGAGGATACGGATGGAGTCGGAGAGAGATGGCTTTCCTGTGACTGCTATGCGTGAAATCAAACTCTTGCAGTCATTACGACATAACAATGTTGTCAAGCTGTATGAAATGATGGTGTCTAATGGTGAGCTCCAGGTTGACGTAAAGTTCGTTTTGCTAAATTGGCCTTGCCAGGCTCTGTATACATGGTCTTTGAGTACATGGACCATGATTTGACTGGTATCCTGTCACAGACGCAATTCTCTTTCACCGAAGCTAATCTCAAGTCTCTTTGTGGGCAAATGTTGTCTGGCCTGGCGTACCTCCATCACAAAGGGGTCATCCATCGTGACATCAAGGGCTCCAACATTCTTATCAATAACCGCGGAGAGCTTAAACTGGCCGACTTCGGGTTAGCTCGGTTTTACCACAAGCGTAGGCAGGTTGACTACACCAACCGAGTCATCACTCTGTGGTATAGACCTCCCGAACTGTTGTTTGGAGCCACCGCGTATGGTCCCGAAGTTGACATGTGGAGTGCAGGGTATGCCCAGACCTACTTCCCGATTGCCTCTATGTTGATAGTTCACACAAGGTGCATTATGCTTGAGTTGTATACCAAGAAGCCTATCTTCCAGGGGAACGACGAAATCCACCAACTCGATGTCATTTACCGTATCTTGGGCACACCAAACCTGGAGCGCTGGCCTGGTGTCACCGAGCTTCCATGGTATGAACTCATCAAACCGAAAGAGGCTATTATCGATCAATTCAGGGTCTTGTTTCAGAAGTGAGAAAATCAATCTCAGGATAGCTCGGCCACTGATGTGTTTTTTCAGGTGGATGTCCCCAGCAGCACTAGATCTTGCTGAACAGTTATTGGCGTATGATCCTGAGAAACGGGCGACTGCTTTACAGGCCCTGGACACTCCTTATTTTAAACAAGAGCTACCTTTGGCGGAACTACCATCCAAGTACGTCTTATACCAGCTTGATTTTCCCGCCATGAAGCTAACCCACTTGCTTAGGTTAATAACTCTGGAAGGAGAATGGCACGAGTTAGAGACGAAGAAAGAGCGAGCGAAGAAACGCAGAAAGGTAGAGAATGCTACACAGCAATGAGTTTTTATACAGTACACTTGCGAAGGTACATTATAGCAACTGTTGACGTAATGATTATGGACTTCGAACATGGATATTAGACTGTCTGAGCACCAACAGGCACAGGCTGGAGCAGGTTCTTGTCTGCAAGATGTTGTACGATGGACTCCACCTACATATCCGACAAGTTAGAAGTACGATGGGATAACAAGGATAAAAGGCATACGTTCGCGGCGGTCATCCTGATTTGCATGTCCCAGCGTTTCGTGAACGGTGATCCAGTGTCCTCGGTAACCTGTTCGACATCTCCCAGACCACCTGCCTTGCCCTGGGCGTCGTCCTCTTCCTTTGCACCCTCAAACCATATCAATTTGTCTACTTGGTCAATGTGTCCCTTCAGCCGTCCCTGTTCAATCATCTTCCGGGCCATTGTTTCGGCGGCTCCTGGAGTCAAATCCAGGAGAGCCCCCAAGCCACGGAATGTGATGTTGTTGTAGATTTTAGAGCTTGCCAACAGGTTGTGCTCCATGACGGCGCGATCCAGAACCGTCGAAGGACCCCTACGAGTGCTTGCAGAGGGGTCTAGCTCGTCATCGTCCACTGCAGATGCAAGCTGATCGTTGGAGGAGATCGCTATCTTGGCCAACTGATGCGGGCGGAGGGTCTCCTCAAAGCTTTTCACCTCTGCTGGGCGCAAAATGTGGTCGAGGAACATTTTGGACAAGATGTTATATGTAGGGAGCTCGGCGGAGCGTTCATCCCGATACAAAGAAGCCAAAACGCGAGAACGGTTGGGACCTGCAGGCGCGAGCACTGCGCAGGTGACGGCGACTTGTCTGGGAAGCCTTGGTCAGTTTAATAGGAACATTTCAGGGTTGTGATCTCACAGGATGTGTTTACGTTCCTCTTCGTCGATCTCCGCCACCCAACTCAACTCATGGTAACGCATGGCGGCCTCCAAGAATTTGCGGGCGTAGTCGCTGATGCGTGCCTGGCAAAGTCGGAACTGGAGCAGCGTTTCTTTGTCGCTGGTGGAGTTGGACAGCGAAGCAGCGCGATTATAATACGTCTCGGCCTGCACAGAATCTTCTTCTTCGAGTAAGAGCCGAACGATGCGAATGTAGACTCTGAATTTGAGCTCATTGAGCAGCGAGCTAAGTGAATTTGGTCAGGATATGCACGAGAAAACTATGATAAATTCGAGTACGTTGGGCCATCAAAGGAGATGCCCATCAGAGCATGAGCTGCTTCGCTCCATTCCTCTTCTGCCTCCAAGAGATCCGCAAGTTGGAATCGCAAAGAGTTGACCTAGGAATGTTCTGCGGTCACGATACACAGTCAAGTGAACGCATCAGGAGCGTACTTGTTCTTCATAAGATGCAGCGCGCTCAAGGATAGCAAGGGTGTCCTGCACGACCTGCTTGCGAAGATCGTGGTCCTTGATGGCACCAGACTCAATGTTCTTGACAAGCTCTGCGAGAACTTGTCTCCCGACTACGAGGCCTGCGCTTGCTTCGTTGACGGCGCTGTCGACGATGACATGGATATCGGCGGGGGCAGAAGAAAGATCTGGACGAGAAAGAGTCTGAGAGAGTAGGGATAGGTAGGCTGACACCTTGTCCTTCTGGCTGAGAGATGCCAGCTGGGTGACTTGAGCCTCCATGTTCAATTACTTGCACGACGAAAGCACTACTACACCAATTTCTGGTAGAGTCCACTGCTATGTACAGCCGCGTTTCACTCTTGTACGACGTGATAACACAAATATTCCCACATTGGCGAGAGATAGGGGCTATTATTGTAAGATATAGTACATTGTATCTCCCACATATGACAGCTCGATATAACTTATCGGTCTCCCACACGTCCATTAATGCACGACATTGCCTCCTCCTCACCCACCACATTGGTTGATCAATGGGATGCTCTATAAGTTGCAGCGTCCCGCTCTCGCAACGGCCCGCGCGATGTGCCATGACACCAAAGAGTCCTTGGACCTCACGCCCACCACCGCCTTGCGCACGGATCTGATATTTTAGAACCCTTGCCACCGTCGCCGTGGCGATTTACACAGTCTTGGGTCCAATCAACACAGCGTGCTGCCCCTTGCTGAGAATGCTCTGTCAGCCACTCTCCCAGATTTTTCTCTTCCACCCTCATCGTCGACGAAGTAGCGCTCCATCCTCTTTCTTAGTTTCTCACTGCTTCATTCCCTGCTAAAGCTGCAGGCCAGCCGCCAGAGCCTTCGCCGACTACTCAGGAGCAAGTCGCCCGTCCTTTCTCCTCTTGTTTACCCTCCCTGGCATTCGTCCCAGACATGTCGTTGCACCGCCCATCTATTCTCAACAAGTCGGCTGCTCTGATGTCCCACCAGCAGTTTTTCCCGCTGACACCTCCTGAGACTGACCCGGGATCCTTTCTTGCTGGTCATGCCCAATGGGACTCTTCGACAACCATCGACCCAGAACAAGGCCAAGCTCAGTCGTCCAGAACTTACATACCACGCAAGACATCCACGTTATCCTACCAGCATCCAACCCTAAAGGACACAAGAGACCGTCTTACCCAGCGTACTGCCAAGAATCTGATCGTTGTTCTACCACCGCCTGGCTTCCCCGACCACGGCCCGCTTGGGAGCGTTTTATCAACCGGCCCAAGGCACAGGTTGAACCACGGCATACTGATGCCACTATTTCCTACCGTAAGAAATTGGCCAGTTACACGTACACGAAGCGCTTACTTTGCCTTACAGGTTTATGGTCAGCTCACGGCAATCGCTCGGGAGTTTAACTTCCCAAGTACCGTTGGTATATGTCTTTATCTTCATATCGCTGAAAATGGAGTCACTATGACCCCTCGCATATCTGATGATACTTGGCAAACGGTTTGGGGACACCTCTTTGAAGCATGTTCTCCCGCGTTGAATCAGCATTTACCCATCTGTGGTCGCGTCGAGTTTGATATCGATGTTTCCAAGGCTAGGTGGTACCATTCGTGGATTGCTCGTGACAATGTAGAAGCCATGTTCCCGCCAGGCGGGTCGATTTACCATGGGAGGGGAGAGTCTAGGACCACATTCGATGAATTGAATGAGGATCGTCCAGAGAGTAGAATATCCAACAACGGCGGCAAGCCCTCAAGACACGTACCAAAAAAGCTTTCGTTAGTCGACAAATTGGATGTGTATTCTGTACCATCTGGCGGTGGACCTCGGAAGAATTCAATTTCTCCAAAGGAGCCCAAACCTTCCCACTCACTATCCCCTATCCCGCAGTCCGCTCTGCCTATACATGCAGAACTGGAGCAAAAGATCAATAATTGGCGTGCAGTGGCCTCTCAAGCCCCAGATGCTTTGTTCGAAGCTTACTTACCCGAGTCAATCAGTCGTCCAACGGATTATATGAACCTCTCTCAGTATCCCTTGGCGCCAGAAGAGGCTACGGATGAGCCTACGCAAAACGAGAAGACGCATTCGATGTTGGAGATCAACCTGGAAGACTTCGCCTGGTCTGTGACATCCGCAGGTCCTCTAAGTTCCTTCGAGTACTGCCCCGAGTCTCCCTACAGGCTTCCTTCTGTGCACTTGGACCGGAGAGCACAAGGTTCCGTCCTTTTGACGCCTACAACGGCGACTAGCTGGGGTCCGCCTGACGACGACGACATTTCTTTGATTTCCTATGCGTCTAGGTACCCATCTCCAGATCTTGGGGCACGAATGATCGAGGATTGTCCACCAACCCCTTCAACGGCAACCAGCTGGGGAGCACTGGACGATGATGGACTATCGTTCTTTTCTTACGCTTCAAGATTCCCTTCTCCTGACATTGGAGCGCGCATGATCGAGAGCTGCCCTCCCACACCGTCAACTGCTACCAGCTGGGGTGCCCCAGACGACGACGGCGTATCTTACGCATCTAACGCTTCAAGGTACCCATCCCCAGACATCGCTTTCCGCGTACTCGAGGACGTTGACGAGCCCTCATTCCATCACGGGGGCATCATTTCTACTCCACATGCGTCTTCCCTTCCCTGGCATCATGTCTGGCCATACAATGGCAGCGCAGCATCTCTTCCTTGGCATCAAGTTTGGCCATATCTGCAACGAGAAGGTTATAGCACGACGGATATCGAGGGACCTCACTTCCAGAGGCATGCGTCATCGGTAAAGGATCTAATCAAGCTTCAGATAAATAGCACTCTTTTACCTCAGTACCCACAACTCGAGATCTGTGAGTTTTGTTTACATGTGTGATGCCATCTTGTTCACTACCGTATAGACCCACCGGTCTACCCTTATCTACGTATATACCCCGAGGTGAAAGTCAACACTTTTGACGTTTCTTACAAATTGGGTTATCCTGTCATTGTTATCTGTACGTTTCTCTGACTTTCGAGGATCGAGCTGCGGTTCAAACTAATTTTAATGAACAGATTCGGCTGTATACCCGCATTTCGACATCTACCCCGTGGTTCATGAACATGATCAGCCCGTCGACAAATCGCGCGTCTGTGAATCTGAACACGCAGTGCGTCCTGTGGGGTCCTACTTTCAACAGTATCCGTATCTGAGCATCTGTAAGTGTTACAGTTTCCTTTTTCACTGCCTCAGTTACCTATCGCTTGATGATGGCGTTTCAGACCCGGCCCAGTATCCCTACAATCTAGATGTGATCTATCCGGCTTTAGACACCCGAGAGCCATCCATTATTGCCCCTGGGAAGCACCCGAAATCGACGTCTCAGGTATCATGCAGTTTGCCTGTTGTGGTACTGTTACCAGTGGCGTACCCGTCGTTTAATATCTGTGAGCTCACAAGCTTTTGATGCTTTAATTATTTTGGCTTATTCCAATCCATCTATGATTATAATCAGATCCCCAGGTATATCCTTACATTGAACTTTATCCCTCAGTCCATAGTGGACCTTCGGTAGATCGCGACAATGGTCTCTCAAAGCTGGTATCGAATTCACGCCTTGGGCCTGCTTACCCAATCTTTGATATTTGTGAGCAATGCTATAGATATAATTCAGCCTTTGACTGATAGGCGTCATAGACCCTGCCGTTTATCCATCCTTCAATATTTATCCTTCCGTCTCAACACTTCGAGCATCATCGGTTTCCTCGCTTCTCAAGACCAAAGGCACGGAAGAAAACCGTCAGATCTCACACATTGTGTATCCTTCGCTGATTATATGTATGCACCTGACTTTGTTATAGTAGTTTCTCAACATTAACTTTCCTATAGATCCGCCGGTGTACCCTCACTTTGATCTGTATCCCGTTCCTTCTGCCCAGGTTGCTAAAGCTAAGACAACGCATCCTTCGCCGTTCCCCTTTGAATATCCCTTCATAATCATCTGTGAGCTGCTCCCCTGATGTCACAGATGAATGCTTAATCGAACTCAGACCCCGCGGTCTACCCCCACTTCGATTTGTACCCAGCTCCTTCGGCACAGCTTGTAGAGTCCAAAGCCTCGGGAGAAACTTCATTGGTTTCATGCGAGTATCCTTTCCTCGTCATTTGTGAGTTGCGTTGTTGGCCTCAGTCTCTTAGTAATACTCATTCGACTCAGACCCTCCTGTATACCCCCACTTCGACCTCTATCCAAGGCCTGCGGCCGGGCTTGCGCAGTCTATAACGTGGGATGTCCGAGAACAGTACCCGATCATCAACATTTGTAAGTGTCTAAAATTCAGATGAATGTTATCGTCTTAAATGTTGGTTATCCTCAAAGACCCGGCCGTGTACCCGTTCTTTGACCTCTACCCAGCGTTACCAGAAGTGGCTCCTTTAAACCGAACCAGGTGGTCTCATGCTGAGCTGCACAGTGAGACATTCCAGGATGGTCCTGTCCATACGCCTAGCGGCAGCCTGGAAGCGTCTCGTCGGCCCCGCAAGACACATGCAGCTTTACATGACGAATTTTTTTGCAATAAAGTGGTCTGGACACCCAGTGGCTACACCCAGGATATTACGGCGATTTGCGACCTCGTCGTGCTGCAACCTAAGCCAGCAACTGATGCAACTCCAGTAGTTTCGCCTCGACCTTCCCGAGCTCGCTCAGGGACACTGACCCGTGAACGGTTTATTCCTGCACTCCCGTTCCTCCCCCTCAAAAATCCGGGTATCCCACCCCCGCCTCCCAATCCTCGTTCTCCGCCGCCTCAGTCTCCACCGCCACGCTCACCGACTAGCGTGAAATTCCCACACTCAATCAAGTCCCTAGGATCAACCATCATGCAAGCGCGAGGCCCAAGCTCCCCATCTTCGGAAATTGGGGATGAAGTGAGGGAGATGGTGGCACCCGTGCGAACAATACGCAAAACACCTTCTCAGCTTGAGAAGCATAGCTCTTTGATGATATCTAATAAAGCCCCGACACTTCCTGGACATCCTGCATCTGATCTCCTAGGACGCCCACAGTCTATGGGACACAGATCTCGGGAAAGTTTGGTGCTTCAAAGAGCGCGAGCGTACGACAAGACAACTGGTAAAAATGGTTTATGTTTACAATACTACATTGATGGCTAACAATGAATTGCTAGTCAATACAAGTGCGCAAGAACCAACAAAGCGCAATGCGCCTCAAGTCTCGTCTCCTTCTCGACTCCGAAACCCTAGTTTTAGCCAGCGTTCCCGAGACAACACCCCTCCTTAATCTGTAATGTATCAAGGGTTTGTAGTAGCTTAAGGAAATATAGATTAGCCGATATGGTGCTACAATGCTTGCTTGATGATGAGGACACTTGAAGGTGGCCGCCTTCCTGGCTAAGATTGGTATGGTGGTGGGTTGTCAGTATTACCATCCCTGTCCAATGTATCCAGAGAGGCGCTTCCAGCGATCGGAGTCAACAGCTCCCCTATAGATTCAGAGTTATCGTTTCTTCCGCTAGATCCTCGAGCTAAACGAGCCTCTCTGGCTTCTCGCTCCATCTGATCGCGCAGCGACTTGCTCATTCTGTCGTCCAGGAATGCTAGTTTCACCTGAAGAGAAAGCATGAGTTGGTAATAGCATGCCGCGCTCATATCATAACTTGCATTGCGTGCAACCTCTTCGGCAGCTTCCTTCCGTGTTTGTTTCGATTGATTCGAACGCTGCTGCTTCTGAGCCTCTGTGTCCAGCGCTTCCTTCAGGATCGCTGCTCCGGCACGTAGGTCCTCCATTCTATGCTTATTCCAAGCATAATATGGCTGAAATTCCTTAACCTGACAACATGGTCCACATCCGATTGAGACTAATAGCTCAGGCAGCTTTTGCTGAGTTACACACCTCGGGCCTAAAGCCAAGCTGCAGCCGAGTGGGTCTACTAGCAACACGGAAATATAGCATCGCGTGTGACGTACCGCAATGGCATATTCCAGAGCACCTTTCGGCTTCACGAGGTTCCTTTCTATCGTTGTGTTCGTTGTCTTGAACTGCCGAAACTTTGGATTGTCTGGGTCTCGCAGAAGGTTTTCGGCCAGAGTCGACAGAACCTGATAGAACGTTATTCACGGGCGCAATACCGTAGAACTACACTCTTGCTTTCAAAGACGCAACCGCCACTTCTTCGGGGTTGGGACGGTAAATTCCTGGGTTAATCAGGCGCCGGAACATCTGCCGCCGCTCATGTTCTTGAAGAAGTTGCTTTCCTGAGGCCCCACCGACTTGGCCGATGTTGCGCCTCTCGGCCGCCTCTGCCAAGGCATTCAGGCGGGAAGCCGGAGTGTCATCTGAATCAACGTCCGTCATTGTATGTGCTTTCACGAATGCGATGTTGCAGGGCAGAATGAGCAGTGCCTGTGAGTGTAGGAAGGATTGAGACAATAAGTTGGTAGTAGTTGTGACACGCTAAACAGGGGCTAATGGGGTTTCCCACACTTGTGGCAAATTACTCTTATACAGTAAATACTTCGATGAGGTGATAAAGTTACTGTAAGTGATGGGTGTTGCATATGCATGCAGGCTGATCTGTACTAGCCAGTGTCAATTAATAACTATTGTAGCTAGCCCTACTCCTGCTACGCATTGGGAGGCTCGTGCTCATCTGGCTCATTTGACGACCCGTCCAAATCAAGCATGGGACTATACCTAGCAGCGCCATTAAAGTTCGTGGTGAACTGTCGCTGCGTTTCTTCGTCGTCGTTCCATAATTCATCAGAGTCGCTGTCACTGCTTGATTCGTAATCAGGTGTTTGTTCTTTCCCTGATCTCCTCTCTTGCCCTCGGGAGCCGTACAAGGACGAGAGTGAGCTTAGGGGTCGAGGACGTAGGCGAGCAAACAGAGACGGAGAAGATGTAGTACGACTCCTGTGGAGCTGCGATCGACCCTCAGGCATATCTTGCTTGGTATCGTGACCGTTCGTTTCTGATCGATCGTCGCTTGTGCCCCTTTGGTCCAGTAAGTCACGAACCCACTTGCGTCGCAAGCGAGGTGATCGAAGAGGATCATCGAGGCTTGTGAACAGCCGCTCGTGCGACTTGTGCGAGCCAGACGGCCCAGAAATGGTGGCAGCATGGTTGGCTTCCGGCTTACCTCGACGGAAATACCATGCAGTTCCGTTGGCTGCGAATGCCGTCTCCATGTCTGAATCCGCAGGCAACGGAGGATCATCAGCAAAGGTTGGAAGGCGAGTTCCGGTAACTGGTTCCGGCACGTTGCCTGTACTTAAGTCAAGAGCGTTGCCAGCCGGAACCGTTCGTGTGACACTGCCACCAAGCTTGCGCGTTGATTGCCGCCCAAGGAGAATCTGCTTCTCGATGCGAAAGCGATTTTGAATCATGTGTAGCTAAGCATTTGGCTCAGTCAAAGAAGACCTGAAAAAAACTTGAATCGTCACCTTAGGCCACGCTACAACTTGCCCTACCCGCATCATCCGCTCAAGCTCTGCGGGGTCAGGATCGGTCAGTATATGCATCCAATCCTAGTCGCGACTTCATCAGAAGATTTTTCGGTAGGCAAGAAGAGACATTACCAAAATGCGGGTCCTGGGCCATATCCTGTTTTTATCGGGTGAGTATCTCTTTGCTAAAGATCGACGTGGGTACCTACGTGACAGCACCCTCAAAGCGTTGGAGGAACACGCTCGACCAGTCTTGTCCAAGGAGCTGAGGGAGGAGTTCCAGGTCCCGTATAACCTTAATGGTGACATTTAAGCCGTTTCATCGTTTCTGGCGATTAGTCAATTGGCAACTGACCTTAAAATTCTTCGTCAATTCGAGCTTTAGCCATTGCTCAGCTGCGGATAGAATGAAGTTTCCTCTCCATCCTAAACGAGACTCCTCGCATCAATAAGATATGAGGACAAACTCCGTAACTCACCTTTCCCTTTTCTGTGGGCTACGGGCTTCCCTGCTGAGCCTCGGGGAGCGAAGAAGAATAAATGTACGTGAGGGTTGACCTGCGAAACCACTGGATGGGTTACTGTAGCGAGATATACGTCAGCTACAATCACTAATGACAGGTGAACGTACCGTTGAAGTACAGGTTGAGAGCTTGGACTGGTATGTCAACTCTACAATGCTTATGTATGAGTTTGTGCACTGTAAATAAAGGCTGCCAATATACCTTAGAGATCCGTCCTTGAACTTGCTTCCCCAGTTCCAAGGCACAATACTGCCGTCTGGAAGTTTCTGCATCAGTACGACGGGGTTCAGAATACCCGGAACCGCCGCAGACGCCAACAAAGCACTCCAGATTATCGTGTCGGGTGCGGTTACATAGTTCAGAAGTTTCGTCGGACTGTAATACGATGTAGTCAACAGGATCATCCACAGCTTACGAACGAGACAAGTAATTGACGTACGAATGCCGATCTGCTGGGATTACGGATATATTCAGGATGCGGCCAGTCCTCAGGTAAGCCTCGCGGAAGGTCATAGAGCCTCGCGTAAAAAAGGTACACTTGAAGTTAAAGGATGTCAGGCCGATCCACAATAGCATCCAATGAAAGGACAATGACCTTGCGCGCCCACATGATGCTATCAAACCGAGCACCTGTCTTCCAGAATCGCCTAATCCAAGCGCTGAGGGGTTCCTCGCAAGCAGTCAGCCTGTTCGCCAGTCCAGGAACTAGGAGCTCCCGAAGCTCGCTATCCGTTCTGGTACAGACGAGAGCAGCTATGAGTCCTCCTGCAGATGTGCCTGCAATAACACGGGGCAACAGGTTGGCGTCCAGGAATGCTCTGACGACTCCAGTGTGATCTAACAAAACACGTGCGTGAACATGAGATATCAAGCCAGTGATATTATGCCTTACAATAGCCAAAAGAAGCACCCCCTGATAGACACAAAGCTGATGTCCCTAGGTTGGTGTTTGTGCTCTTGAAGAACCTTTTCTTCTCCTCATTTGATAGCTCGGGAGTCTCTCGAATGTATATTAGAGCCTTCTCGAGTTCATCATAGTATGCTGAAAGTCAGAGTAAGCTTAACAAGGGGCAGCGACATGGTGAACTGGCTGCCCGCACATTCAACTAAATCTTTCGTGCCAAGATATGTCTTTTTGAGCATCTTGTCAGCGCTAAACAAACTCAGAGAGCAAAACCATCCACTAACTTCACTATAAAGTCTGGTATGAACAATGTTAGGTTCGGCTGCGTCCAACATGAATAAGTAGACTTACCGGGGAGATTCGACGCCGGCAAAGTTGTTCCTAATGCATGTCTCCAGAACACCAAGTATGCCTCGGGTGTCCTTCTTTTGTCTCAACATCTTGAGCGAGCGGCTGACCTAGGGTTGTGCAAGCATAAGTGTCGTGTGACAACATATGCATAGAGCACAGAAAGTGTTCCATGAAATATGAAGCTTCATTAATCACCTTACGGACAAGTTTCCAATCATAGAACGGATCCTCGTCTACCCTTTTCCATTCGTCAAAATCCATGTACTCATCGAGGGTGACGGCAGCATCTTTCCACTCCTGAATGGGTGACGATGAGAACGCAATGGATTTCTGATGCGAATCGCGCGGACCTGATAAGTCGTAGCCCCTCGGAGTCGTTTGCGAAGTACCCCTTTCCTTCCTCGCCCTAAACATCTGTCCTTGAGTCCAACGTGGCAGCGCGGAGATGATGAAATGCTGACATGCTGATAACCATTCCTTGGTATTGACCAACTGACGAATCAGAATGTAGAAACCGAATTGGGCGGCAATGATTGAGAAGAGGAAGCCCTGGATCATACTTTTAGCCGACGAACAAGGGGCAGTCGCGAGTCGCTAACCAGCAGCGGCCACCGAACGATGAGGTAGAGCCAATCTTGCCTCTTGCTGGGCGTATTGGGCTTCCTGTGCTTGCGTCTACGTGTATGATTCAGAAGGACAGACCACGACAGCAGATGTGGGTACGCAAGGTGGGGCTCACCTCTTGATTTTGATGTTGACTGGGGCGAAGTCGGAGAGAGCGGAGACCTTGCGTACGCGGGGGCTCTGTGGAACGGGAGTGCTTGGGTAGGCGGTAGGAGAGGCGATGCTCGTGTCAATAGTCAGGTCGTCGGTCTGGAGGGCTTGGGCGAAGGCCTGGATATGGCTATATGACAAGTCGGTGTCAGAGTAAGCAGAGCGGAGGAGCAATTGAAGGGTGCTCACGCCTCGTCGACATAGTCCGCGTCGAGACCGTCGGACATTCGCATTTACAGTGTCTTCTGCGTGAGTGCCGCAAGCGCGAGTGTCACGAATCGCTCTCGAGTGTCAAAGCTTCTCCCTAGTAATCCAGAGGTTATAGTACTTTGGTATCCAACTGGCTGTTGCAATCCCGGCGAGGCGTTCCGGACCATCACTCGCCCCGCTTCGAGAACCGATGATGCTTGGGGCCCCGTGAGAAATGCCCCAAGTCGTCACTTTCCACGTGATTGTGTATTGTCACTGCCACGCACCCAATATGAGTCGACCCTGACGCGACCCGAGGTCCCCACATGGATTTATCTGATTATTCGAGCCCCTGTCGACCACATGGGTTCAAAGGTGAATGACGTTCAACAATTGTGTCGCTCTCTACAGCGTAACAACCTGTAGCCTGCGGTTTGTCCCTCTTGCAAGCTTTGGAACCGAGACGACCAGGGTAACTCAGGGATATGACTACTTGACAACCAATCTTGTGTCCTCAGGTCTCCCTGGCTGTGAGTTCGTGACCCCTTCTTTTTGGACCTTTTCAGGTGGTACCTGCTGCGGTTGTCGTTCTCTGAGAAACCGAGACTGTCTGCCGTCATTCCTCATCGGCAAATGCCTTCCATCAAACGCTGCCATGGCGCATGCGCCACCAGATTAGGGTGCCAGTGGAGACATGTTGCACGAATAGCAGCGAATAGCACACCCCCCGCTGTCAAAGAGACGACGAGCTATTTCAGTTTTGGTTCATCTTTCCTATCGTGTCCTCATCGCGCTTCAAACAGTCGGCTATATTCGCTCCGTGGCACAGCATGTCGCAATAGGTTTTGTGCCGGTCGTTTGTTCCATGGTGTCGGGCCCTAGATCATAGCGAGATAACAAGACCGACTCCAGACAATCGCATCAATCTCGCCCTCATGTGACCGTATCCTAGCTCGGGGTCAGCCCTCCTGAAATGGATCAGGTTCACCTTCTCAAACGTATAAAGGCTCACCGAAATTGACCTTCACATCCTCACCTCCGTCTTCTTTCACCTCCATCTAACACATTTCATATATCATCATGGGTTGGTTCTCTGACGATTCCGAGCAGGCTCAGGCCTACGACACCGTAAGCACTCCTTCATTTCGCTACATCTACCCACCTTCTGAAACGCTCCTGCTCTTCCAGGTCACCAACGCGCCTCACAAGGCTGAGCTCTCCCACGAGCTTCTCGCTGCTGCTGCCTCCTACGAGGTAAGCGTCTGAGGACGTGTGACAACTTTACCTTGTGCTCACTGCTTTCTCTGTGAAGGCTGCCAAGGCCTACGAGAAGCACGTCGCTGAGAACGGTGCCCCCGACTCGCACGCTAAGGCCAAGGAGCTTATCGCTGCCTTCGGTGGTGCCTTCATTGACCGCATGGTCGAGACCAAGGGTGTAAGTTTTAGTGTCTTCATGCCAATGATCGGTAGCTGACGTAGAGACGAATAGCTCGATGCTATCGACAATTACCGTGCCAAGCAGCAGGCACAGGAGCACGTCGATACCGTCATCACCGAGGAGAACTACACCTCCTACAACTAAGCGGAAATGCGGTAGATCTCAATGTATTAGCTAGTGTATGAATCTCAACTGGAGAATCGCAACGCAAATTACAAACGCGTGATGTAGCCAAGGTATGGCGAAAGGGAGCGCTACTCGTTGCACAGACCTTCAAGATTTAGTGAACCACTTCTTAATGTCCGTGTGGCCTCTCGTGTCAATCGCTTTCTTGATGTCCTCCCGTTCCACTAGGCACTTGTACCGCACATGTTCCGGAGTCACCTTAGCTGATGCTGGTGCCACGCCGACAAAAATTCGTATCTCGATGAGATGCTCCAAGGCCTGACGTGATATGATCACAAAATTGTCTCAGCAGAAAAGAGGCACTTACAGTCATGAGAATCTCGCGGGTACAGCGCGTGATTTTGATGCTGTTACCCTGTAGCTGGACGGGAGCACTTGATGATGTCTTGTACTGTTTTTGATACTCATCATAAAGCATTTCAAAGTTCGCCGAATCGTGTCCCGCCGTGTGCAAGTGCGATGCCGCCACCACGAGACATAACGCGGGATATTCTAATTCTGCACCACGTTATTTCTAGGTCAATCCAGAAGGTGGGATTTTTATTACCGTGCAGGTATGGAAACAGAACACGAGTACGTTGGCCGTTTATCGCGGACACGAGGTGCGAAGACGTCGGAAACGGCGAGTTGGGCGTGAGTTGCAATACGACAGAGGTCTCAACGTGGCGTCAGTCTGTTGACTCAAACACTTTGAAGTGGGACTCACGATGATTTGCGATAACATTCTAACATCTCTTGTCAGAGCGTAAGTCTCGACCAATTTCTCGGCGACACCTCGGTCGTCTAAGAATTTGCTGATAGCTAGTGACCACATAGTCGACCATTCTTTGCTAGGCGGAGGAATTGGCGTCGGGATTGACCTGTTGAGCCACGTACGCGCGATGTTTACCCACTGCTTTACGCCTAGTGGGAGCTGGACGTGTATTAGACGGCCCGAAAACCGACTTTTGACGCGCTTCTCTAGAAGCTCGATCGTGCCAATGCGGCTAACGACACCAACGACGGCGATACCCCTGTTCCCTTGTCCAACTCGACAACTTTGAGCTGTGTCAAGCAAGCAGTACAATAAAGATTGCCTGGCATGGGTGGTAAACAAGTCAAAAGCATCCAGTATCAGTATTGAGGGGCGCGAAAGAGTTAGCAAGGTAGAAATCAATGCCGGAAGCCGCGAAGAGACAGGGATCATGATTTCGGAGTCGAGAGCGTTATCGTTATCGTTTGTCTCGTCACTTCCATTCACCTCCGAAGGATAGGGATCCCCTGTCTGTTGTTGGAGCTGTCGAGCAATTTCACGGAGCGCTAGACGTCCATTGTAATGGACGTGTCCAGAGAGTCGGATTATGATGGGTTTAGAACTGCATGCATTGAGCGCTTTCTCAACAAGCTGGCAAATGTATTCAGCAATGAATTAGCGTGTCACAAGCTAAGCTTACTTGTGTCTTACCACTCCCTCGTGGTCCAAACACCAGACAGCTATTCCCTTCGCCTCGCAAAACAGTACCGTCTAACAACGCGCGAAGCTGCTTATATGCTGAGGCATTAGCTGAGGCGACATCTTCGACAGTGCCTCCGTCAGTATCCTGAGTACTGGAAAGAGAGGCTAGGATCGCGCGCTTCTGGTTCCGTAGCCAGGGGCGAAGGTGATGAGGTAATTCGGACGGAAGAGAAATTGGCGGTGCTCGAGGTGATTCAGCTTCCACTGGATTGCCGGGGCCTTCTGCCTCTTCCAGGTTGGTGGGAATAACATAATCCCCAAGATCGTCTCCACGAGTCTCACCCGTTTGTTTCTGAGACACCGCTATTCTCCTCCCCTTTGAGGGAGACACTGGACTCTTTGAACGCTGAGTCCGGTTACGTACCGGGGAAGCTTTCTGTGATCTGAGAGTTCTCGTAGAAGGAGAGGCAAGAGGTACTGGCGATGAGGGCGAAGGTGATTGATTGCTACCACGTAGTAAAGATTCACCTCGAGAAGGGGTTGAAGGGGTTGACTTCTTGGGATTCGGGGACGAGATTACCACTGCATCAAAGGTTCGTCGCTTGGAGTTAGCCACGGGGGGTGGTGTGGCCGGTGGCTTCTGTTTGAAAGGAGAAGCTCTTAGATTCAGTTCGTCTGAGTCACCGGATTCGCTTGCATCATCTGTTGGTGGGGGTGCAGCAGCTTTCCTTGGCAAAGAACGGGTTTGGGTGGAAGGTCGTCCGCGAGGTTTCTTTGTTGGCGAGCTCAAGGATGGGTGATCGTCATTATATACGGCTGGAGCGCGTAGCGAGTTCGGTGTTGAAGTACTGCGAAGGGCACCCAATTTGTCCGGTTTGGAAGGCGGTCCTTGGGCTTGAGAGCGGGTCTGACGACGCGGTTCGTCGTTTTCGATGTGGGCAAGGTTCTGAGTCGATGCCCGAGTGACACGTTTGGAGGGGATCTCAGTGGGGTCGGCCTCCACAACAGCCTTTCTTTTAGGCATTTTTTTACGAACTGAGGTGGATCTTTAGTGTCGAGGTTTGGGCGAAGATGTTCGCCACAGACGCGTCGAAGTTGCGCCTGCCCGCCTGCAAGCACTCGTTTACTAGTAATGCCTCCGAGGTAGCTGTAGACCGGACCGTAAAGCCGCTTTCCTCTCCCCAAACGCCCACCACAACGCGCTTCTCAGCTGAGCGTCCTGGGTCCCCTATCATCTCTGTATGGGCTTCACTGGGTAATATTTGCGTTGCGTCAGCTCTATAGAAACCACTGATGTCTGTTCAGACTTGCTCGGTGGATCAATGCCCCCACCACTGGCTTAGAGCTCATTCGCGAGAATATCGTTCGCAACCACCAGGTTGGTCTGCGGATTCTAAACTTGTCGGCTATATCAACGGTTTTATAGGGACAGATCAGAGGACGATGGTCCCTTAGCATACGCTCCTACCGTTCCACGCTCGGCTTGATTCCCGGCATTCATCTTCAGTCTGAACGATCCATGCACGCGCTCACTATGAATGACAACGTGTTTGTTGTACTCGACGATCCAGCCGCTCCTAATCGATCAGAGTTCCTCGGTGCTGTTCAATCTGGCCAACAGCTGCAAACTCCACCTCACTTTAGGACGACTTTTCTTACCCTTAGTCCTCCCGGTGGCCTCGAACAGCTTCTTGCACAACTCAGGGCGCGCTGGGTGCCTGTCCGACAGACCTCCACAAATGCTCAACGCGGCCAAGGGTCAGGCCAGCAGCTCATGATCGAAGGCTTCGTGGCTGCCATAGGCACTGATTGGGTCGTACGGGTAGGAAACGTGATACTCTCAGGAGGAGCTATCAAAGGCATGCTGCTCGAGGTGCGTGATTCGGCCTCTGGACTCGAATATAGCTCGGATCTCAATAATCGAAATCTTTGTTAGGCCGAATACCTTCCCCTTCCGTGTTTGCGCCCTCAAACTGCAGACCATACGTCCGAGCTTCTTGCAAATCTTCTGACGGCTGTACTGCCCAATTTACAAGATGCAAAAACCGTGGCTATCTCCATCAGCGACCAACAGTGGGCGGAGGTGCTATGGGATCGAGAGGAAGAAGAGCAACACGACAGTCCAGCGAAGAACGAGGAGGATATCTTTGCGTATGGCGACGAAGACTTAACTGTGCAACAGAAAGGAGATTGGGTGGGAACGGATAGAGACCGTAGATCAGCGTATCTAATAATCGGAGCGTTGAAGTCAGAAGGAATCCTCTAGTTGGGCTTTGCATGCTAGGAAAAATGGCTGCCGGTCCTGGGCCTGCTGGCTTGCCTTGAGTTGGACCTAATTCGTCAAGAAACACATGCTTGAAGAAAAGGTAAACGACGCTTACGCTCCATAAGGCATGTCCCTGTCGGTTAGCAGTGCGATGCGGCTTGACTCATATTATAACCATCTACTTGATGTACACACCATTTCCGTCCAACAATCCTCGTCTGCCTTCATACTCTTAGAAGACGATGGCATGGCATAAATGCTGTCGCCGTATAGCTTTTCAGCGCTTTCCCTGCGATTCCCGTGCTGGACAAACTCGTTCCACCCACTCGTCGGCCCTACACTTCTATCAGAATAAGCAACTCGACCTTTATGCAGCTAAGGAGGCTCATAGATTGACTCTGCGTCAACTGGTCAGCGATGATCTCATATGTTCCAGTAGCGAGCTGACAGAGCCTAGGTGTTCTTTGGTCGTTCAATGGACGAGGAGAGGCTCATAAAGGTATGCCCGCTCTATGCTATCAACAACGTCTCGCGCCAAAACTTTGCTAGAGCGCGAATTATGTGCGCACAGAGCTTCCTGTACGAATAGCACACAGGATTCGCGATCTTCAAGCCCTTCCGTACATCGTGGTGACTCAGGAAGGTGTGGCCAAAGTCTATGAGGTCTGTCAACCATATTTTTCCCACTGTAACAGAACACGCTGAACAGGTACAGTTATATTGGCTAGCTTTTGAAAAGTGGGACCTACACTTCTCTGCTTTGTAGTCATCACTCAATAATATTAGGTTTCGACGATATCCGCCGGTGATGAATCTTGAAGACAACCAGAAGTTTTGCGAATTTTTGGAGAACATCTTAAATGAACAGTCAGAATCTATGCTCATGGTTCGTTCGACTTTGCGCTAAATGATACCCACAGTGCACCTGTTATACCAAGTCTTTCTCTCGGACTATCGCTCTCTTCACCCCATCTCTCCCCCGAACTTTTAGATTCTTTCATGCATCGGATGCTTGTGTCGCGAATATCAAGACGCGTATTAGCAGAACATCATCTAGCCCTCTCAAAGGCCGTCATGGCGAGTGGCAAAGATTCGGAGAATGAGCACCATGTCGGCATCATCTACCCTGGTCTCAGCGTGAAACGAAGTATCGATAAATGCACAAATGTCCTGCGTGAACGTACTCATGCTGTAGAGGATGACAATGGCGTACTCGTTTCCAACCGGGGTTGGCCAGAAGTGGCGATTGAAGGGCACCTCGATACCAAATTTGCCTTCATCAGAGAACATCTCGAGTATGTGTATATTTTCGTTTGCTACTTTGCCTTCGATTAAATTTCCCTAACAGATATATTCTTTTTGAACTACTCAAGAATGTGAGTGGAAGTTCGTACATCAAGTGTGCCCGGGCTCAACTACTCTAGGCTATGAGAGCCTCTGTGCTGAAGCACCGAAATAAGCCGGACCTGCCCAAGATTATTGCTACGATTGTTGCTGGCGATAATGATGTCGGTATAAGAATATCAGACCAAGGTTGTACCCCACATGCTAGCGTATCGACTCACACTCAATGGGATACTAGGTGGCGGATTATCGACGACACGGATCAACTCACCCTCAGATCTATTTTCATTCTCCCATGAACGCAATGCAACACGACTGGACATCGCTCGACTTGGGGCTCTCCGAAGCGCAAGTTCGCGGGGCATAAAAGCTACTGTGGCGGAACAACTCGACCACTGGCCGTCGCGGGAGAATGATGGCTTGTCTGGAGATAATCCGGAAAGAGATGCAGGGATAGGCCCACATCCTAGGATCGGCCTAGGGCTCCCTATGAGCAACATATTTGCTACGTAAGTTCTGACGCGTTTTTACCATACTATTTCCCCTTATAATTCTTTCCCAGTTATTTCGGAGGATCTCTCCAACTGGTGTCAATGGATGGTTGGGGTGAGTCAGATACACGTCAGATATCGCCACGTTGGGCTTTCGCTGATCTTGCTCAAGGGGTCGATGTATACTTGCGTTTGCCGAAACTCGTGAGCTGCTTTATTGTCTTTCCCTCTCGACGAATAAGCGCTAAGCTACCTCACAGGGTACAAACCTAGAAGGGATCGAGTTATAGCCTGTGACCCCTTATGACATCGGTGCATATTGTACTAAAGGAGATACAGCTTACGCCGGAAAGTGGAGTGCCAGGGAGTGCCAAGAACACAAAGAGCTCTTTCATCTCAGTGGACAGGCACGCACATGTCAGATAGGCTGAACCTGGCTGAACGTGCCGGTGCTCTGCGGAGCATTCGGACCTTTCGGCCTGTTGGTAAATGGCGGTCCCAGAGGGTTTCAGTAAAACCAAGGACAAACACTTGTAGTTGTATTGAGTTTTCCTAGGGTCGTATGATGTGACACTTATCCTCACTTATCCGGGTTTCGGACCCGTGGCGATCGAGCGCTAGCGCTAGCGCCTGCGCGCCCAAAATGCTGTACAATAACATGCGGTGTTTGGTGCACTGGTGCCTTGCGGCTTGACAGCGGGCTACGGGTCATTGCTCGTAGGTATATTAACCAGTGACCGTGATCCTTTTCGGTTCTTTTGCCCCCTTCTAACCACTAAATACCTTCAATGCCTTGGGCTGCTTCCTCCTCGACGAATACCCATGAGCGACCCATATGATTTCCCGCCTCCCCCCTCCTACGAGCTATCCCAGCAGGGCAACGACTCCAAAATAACGCCCGAAGATCACTTCCACCAATTGACCCCCTCACCCAAGCCTCCGTTCCATAATGTTTCATCAAATTCAGACATTCGCCGTGATAAGGTGACCTCTGAAGACACTTGTCACCCTCACGATAAAGTCGAAGCTCTTCAGCGTGACAGGAAAGCAGCCACCCCTAGAGGTGCTAGGCCCAGGAGACCGCTTCCTCCCAGACCAGCAGACCTCCAGAATCAATCCGCTACCCCGGCCGCCTTCGCTCACGACCCTGATGTAAAGGATCCTCTCCCCCATTATACCCGAGATACATCACTTTCTCGTGCATCGTCGCCATTGAACAGCCCAGTTACCTCATCCTTCAATACATCTGCCGCTCGCTATGATACTCCTAGCCGCCCATATCCCGATCAGAAAGGGACCGATCCTCTTAACTACACATTTTCACTTGGACTTCCTTGCGGTAACTCTCGCCAATATCACGCTGCGCCTGCCCAAGTACCATTTGATCCTTACGTGGCTTATGGTGGATCCAGTCCTAATCTGCCATCGTCATCTCAGAAGACGGGTCGCGTGGACCCTGCATCTCTTTATGCGTACGTTCACATAATTGGTGTCCTTCTAATTGGACAAGTTGCTAACAAGTGCTTTAGTTCTTCCGTCTCGTCGCATGTACAAGCGAGCTCACGGCCATACCAGTAAGTAGCCCATTTAAAGCTCGCAGACAAGCTATATATACCTTTGATAGAACATGGAATACTCCCCCTCTTCGACCCGTGGACTCTTCGTCTACGCAGCCGTATGCACCTTCTGCCGTTCCTCATCCATCGTCTCATTCGGCGTCAGCAGCCCCTCCCACCGCTGGACGGAGATGGGCCATGAACGAGGCTGATATGACTAACCATTTCTATCGTGCTTGATGTGCTTGAGTCCATCATACCTATTCTACCCGCCAAACTGCCATACTTATTAGAATTGTATCCATTAAAAAGCACCAACGATATACCTATGACTCATGATCATTGCATGTATGTAGTTGATCTATATGTAGATTAGTTATCTCCATACCATTTCATGAAAGAAGATTGAGTTTCGTTATTACTCTTATAATTATATGTCTCGGCCATGCATCACAATATTCGTGTAGTGTTAAGCTTGGTGTAAATAGCTTCAACGATCGTATCCGTGCCTGGGTCTGCCGTAACGACATGCGTGTTTTTAGGTTCCGTTAGACGAACTTCCTGTTCCTGGTAAGTTTCCATCACAACCCCTTTATATGCTTGTGTTCTGTGCAGTAAACTGATTCTGGCTTTCCCCCATGTCTTCTACCAGCCGAACCTCTACAAGTACTACTCACAAACAAGCGGAAAAGCCTTCAGACTATGTCTATTTTGAGCGCACTTCGAAAGGTTTCTCAGACGATGCAGTCGCAAGGGCTAAGTCTGCCCAGATGAAGCTTGAGCATTTCTATAAGGTGGCCGTAGATGCTGCCATAGAAAGGAACACAAGGTACGTGCTCTTCGCTCCTGTAAGCCCGTCGAATGAATATCATGAACGCAGGCGCGTCGAGCTAGAGAAGAGGTTGCAGGGTGAAGTTACTCTGTCAGACGATCGTAAACATCGTCAGCTTCTGCAGCTAGGCAGGAAAGAATCAACTTTTCTTCGGCTCCGGAGAACGAAGTTGGGCTTGGGTGATTTTAGGACGGTTAAAGTTATTGGGAAAGGAGCATTTGGAGAGGTAAGTGCCCGACTCCAAGAATATTCACCTATTCGGTCTCATAACAATGATGTGGAGGTGCGGCTGGTGCAGAAAACCGACACGGGGAAGATATATGCCATGAAGACTTTGATAAAGCAAGAAATGTTGAAAAAAGATCAGGTACGTTGCGCCAATACAGCCTACATAGCCTCATTTGCGTTATGTTGCTCACGATCTAATGCCAGTTGGCTCATGTGCGCGCGGAGCGCGACGTACTGGCTGAATCGAATTCACCATGGGTGGTTCAGCTCTTCTATTCCTTCCAGGATCCACAGACACTTTACCTGATCATGGAATTTCTCCCTGGAGGTGACCTCATGACCATGTTGATCAAGTATGATACTTTCTCAGAAGATGTCACGCGCTTCTATATCGCGGAATGTGCACTGGCCATTGAAGCTGTGCACAAAATGGGCTTTATACACCGGTAAGTACTTTTGACTTAGAAAATTCAAAGGTCTTACGATTGGAATTAGAGATATAAAGCCTGACAACATTCTTATTGACAAGGAAGGTCATATCAAGCTGTCGGACTTTGGTCTCTCCACAGGATTTCACAAGCAGCACGACTCGGCCTACTACCAAAAGCTGCTAGACTCAGCAAACGGCGTATCAAAACCTACCGCCGCTGCGCGTAATAGTGTGCAGGTGAACGCTATTCATCTTACGATGACGAGCAAGGATCAGATTGCAACGTGGAAAGCGAATCGGAGAAAACTGGTGCATATGGCGTGATTCGGATTGTAGCCCCACTCATGTATGCATCTTGGCAGGCTTATTCGACGGTGGGCACACCCGATTACATCGCCCCGGAAATCTTCCAGCAGAAGGGATACGGTAACGAGTGCGATTGGTGGTCTCTCGGTGCCATCATGTTCGAATGCCTCGTCGGGTACCCTCCCTTCTGCTCCGAATCGACACAAGAAACCTATCAAAAGATCATCCAGTGGCAGTATCATCTGGCTTTCCCAGATGACGTCCATCTTAGCCGCGAAGCAGAGGATTTAATCAGACGGCATGTAGTATTCGCTTATGCATCTCACAACGACTTGACCTATTGTTGAACGCAGCCTCATCACCTCACCCGACCGGCGAATGGGGGTTGACCAGATTAAATCTCACCCTTTCTTCTATGGTGTAGATTGGGCGATGATTCGGCAGATAGATGCGCCGTTTGTTCCCCACCTACGTTCCATGACAGACACGTCCTACTTTCCGACGGACGAGATCGAACAAGGCAATCTTGACACGCCAGTATCTGAGGGAGACGCCAATAAGGATTTGGCTTTCTTGGGCTACACATTCAAGAGATTCACCATCTCGTCACAGGCATAATGCTGTGTCATATCCTCTTTGTAAGTCGATTTAGGTACTGAAACCACGCCATAGCGTTTTGTTTGTTCAGTGGACTTGAGACTGTACTTCTATCATCTCATCATTTTATCCGCCGTTATGTTTCACATTAGAAGAGATGTAGATATATTATGTCTTTTGCTTTGCAATATGAAGTTGGATGTTAGTAAGATGCTTGATCGTTTTGACGCCTTCCAGAAGTGAGTGCGTCCATGCAAGGTTAAAGACTACAAAGTGAGCGAGGCTAAGGTATAGAGAAATGGCATGCATGTTGTTTGCTTTTTAGCTTTGTGTCTGCTGACTGGTAACTAGTATGGGCCGGATTCGTCGAGGCGCGACCGAGATAGACTTAGTTTCTGACGCGGGTCGTTTTCATTTGACTTGAAGAGCGAAGGAGTTTGGCGAGCGTTGGTCGTACTGAACTCCCCCAACCACCCACACCAGCCCCCGATGCCGCAGTCCTATGCGGGATCCTGGACCTCTCTCCCTACTTCTCTGACACCATGGATGTGAGTCCACAAAGCTTGCTCTCAAAGTCACATCTCACACTTTGTTCAGACTAGATGCTATCCAGTCATTGGGCTACTCACAGATGACACCTGTTCAAGCCTCCACAATACCGCTTTTCATGCAACACAAGGACGTTGTTGTAGAGGCCGTCACTGGCTCAGGAAAAACTCTTGCTTTCCTCGTTCCTGTGCTTGAGCGACTCGTCAGGCGACGAAATAAGCTTAGAAGGAATGAGGTGGGTGCATTGATCATTAGTCCCACAAGGTGAGCCATTGCGCATGATCGAACCGTTGAGTTGACCGATAGTCCTCCACAGAGAACTTGCTTCTCAGATACACAGCGTCTTATCGCTCTTCGTATCCTCTCAGCCGGTACCTGAAAGGTCCGAATCTGGGGACGAGGAAATCAAGCCTGAGATGCTACATCCACCGCCCCTCCTGCTCGTGTCTTCGGATGACTCTAATCCCGCCCAGGACATACAACGCTTCCTTTCTACCGGTGCTGATGTCGTCATTGGTACACCTGGTCGTATTGAAGAATTTTTGTTGGGGAAAGGGAAAACTATTGTCAGTGTCAAAGAACTGGAAGTTCTTATCCTCGATGAGGCAGACAGGTAGGATTTTACTCAGAAATTCTGGGCCGAATTTCCTATGACTATTTCTCTAGATTGCTCGATCTTGGTTTTCAGCATACCATCACCAAAATCACAGGTCACCTTCCAAAGCAGAGACGCACTGGCCTATTCAGCGCTACTATGACCGATGCCGATGCACTCTCGGAGCTGGTCCGCGCTGGACTTCGCAATCCTGCTCGTGTAACTGTCAAACTCCAACTCAAGAAGAATGATGGTACTAACGATGGCAATCACGCTCGAGACAAAGGCGGTCGAATAGAAGAACGACGGACGCCAGCTAGGTAAAATGCTACGCTGTAACATGGAACATGGCTGATGATACTAAACAGCCTCAAGAATTGGTTTATTGAGTGCACTGCCTCGGAAAAACTGGTTCAGCTCTGTCGTATACTGCGACGCGAGATGTCTTCAAATTCCTCTCGTTTCATTGTATATTTTGCAACTTGTGCATGTGTCGACTATTTTTACAAGGCACGATCGACTTCCCTCCCACCTGGCACTTTACTCAAGTTCCACCACAGGTCCTTCCTTGCCTTCTCCCATCTAGTGTAAACATATACTCGCTACACGGCCATCTACCCCCCACTGCCCGAACACGGACCTTGGCATCCTTCACGTCTTCCCTATCTTCTCCTGACTCACCCTCAATACTGCTTGCAACTGATGTTGCTGCTAGGGGACTCGACCTCCCAGACGTCGATGTGGTCATCCAGTTTGACCCGCCGTCTGATCCAAAGACGTTCTCTCACCGTTGTGGGCGGACAGCTAGAGCCGGAAAGAGTGGGAAAGCGTATGTCCTTCTCGTAGGTAGAGAAGTTGAATATATCGGTAAGCCAAGTGTTCACACCTCACTGGACACGCTTTGATGCGTCTCAGATTTTCTGTCTATTCGCAAAATTCCTGTCCTGCAAACACCTCGAATAGCCTTGGACCATTCTGATGCACAGGAGGAGTCATTGATAGAGGATTGTGAAGTGGATGGATTTCTGGAGAAGATGCGGCAGGTTGTCAGAACAGATCGCGCATTACACGAAAAGGTCAGTTCTTTTTTCTTACCCTCTTCTCAGCGTATGTAACGGCTCGTGATAGGCAGCGAAGGCATTTGTCTCTTTCGTTCGTGCCTATTCAAAGCATGAGGCATCATATATATTCCGCGTGAAAGACCTCAATCTCGTCAGCATCGCCAAATGCTTTGGGATGCTCCGTCTTCCACGCATGCCAGAGTTGAAAGGAGTTGATGTCACAGGCTGGAGAGATGCCGATATCGACGTACGTTTGTGAATACTTATTGCCATCATGGTTAATGCTTTCTTCTTTCCTCACAGTGGGGCGAATATTCTTTTGCGGATCCCGCGCAGGAAAAGAAACGACTTGAGTCAACAAAAGCCCGCGAGAAAGAAGCTGAGAGGGCCAGAGAACGTGTTGAACTACGCAAGCGGAATGTGGCCTGGAGCCAGCAAGCCATAAGGAAGGAGGGAAAAGAGAAACGCAAAGATCAGAGGCAGCGCAAACGAACGTGGTTTGAAAGTCAAAAAGATAACACCGCAACGGCAAATTCCTCCAACGATTTGGTGTCTCCATTAGACAACGAAGATGACTGGGATGAGCTGGCGAGGGAGGAGAGGGAAGCAAAGAAACTTCGCAAAGGACTTATTATGGAGACTGAATTCAATGCAGAGTTTAATGGGTTGTAAGATACATCAAATGTTGTCGTATCGAGCCATACCAGTAGTAAGAATAATCATCAGTAGTATGTATACACCCGGCTCAATAACGCTATAAAATATCCGTTTCTGGCGTAATACAATGCGAGATATGAAATGAAATCTACTTTGGACGAGGACGAAGATGAGGCCGCACCTATCAACTTATTCAGTCGAGGAGGTCCACTATATAGGAAGGTGAACTCACCATCTCAACGAATATGGGCAGTAACTGTGGGATATGCACAAGTTTCGGAGGAGTCAAGACGGGCCCGCCATGTTTCGACTTCGGTTTGTTATTTACTGGATGTACTCTGCCATTATTTGGAGGAGCTCTGTGCTCCTCTGCAGAGCGCCTTCGTATTGAAGGAGTCTCGATTGGCTGCGGAGACCGAGGAAGTGGCTTGTTGAACCGGTCAGGAAGCGGCGGAACGGGGGGTGCCGACGAAGGAGATGGCGAATGAGCAGAACGCATCGATGACATGGATCTTGCGGTCTTCAAAGATGTAGAGCGCGGCCGAATAGGAGGTCGTTCTGCGGATTGTGACGGTGTCGGGGCAGGATGAATCGTACGAGATCGAGCCACTGGCAAAGCGGGCGGCAAATTTTCCTCGCTGCTTGACTCGTCCTCCCCATTGCTGCCTGTCTCGTACTCGCTTGATTCCTGTTCGGAGTCATCGTCCTCGGAGTCTTCTGCCGCTAGATCGGCAGCATCTCCTTGAACAATCTCTCCGAAATTGATTTCCCCAACGACGCTGCTAACTAGAGCCTGGGTTGCCGCGTCCTCAGTATCTGCGTCAACATGGCCTTTACTTCTGCCAAATCGTCGCCGGATCTTCGCTTCATAGGCAACTTTCATCTTATAGTGATAGGATGCCATCGCATCTACTTCTGTGAGGATCTTCGAGCGTTCTTCGCCACCGTGAGGAAGGAGGAATTCAAGTCTGATGGGTTCCCCCAAACCCTCCCTAACCACAGTTAGGAAAAGTTCTATCCACCGCATGAGGCCATCAAAGAGCCCTTCTCCTTTCGAGTGTACCTTGTGAACAAAGTTGTAGAATGCTTGTTCATGCCTTTGTACAAGGTCAATAAAGACCTGCACCGTACGTTGAGGATCTTCTTGTGCCACTGGGTGGGTGATTAAGCGTTAAGCGTCAAACGTATTTTCAAGATGAATGATATGTGCGCACATTCTTCTGATTGCTCGACTGTTCGAATGAGGTCATTGATAAAGTTCTGGAGATCTCCGAGCGAGTCTGCAATGCTTGCGGCTCTGTAGACCTGAGCCAGTGGGGCATAGAAGATTGTGATCATGTCCTTCAGTAGATCAGCTGTAACACCCTAGAAATAGATGAGAACAATTGATTTTATGGGCACGAATATAGACACTAACTTCAAAGATGAGAGCGATGAGCTGTTCCCGGTCTCGCAGCCTTGAATACAACTGTAACAGGATCTTCAGATCTTCATAAAGCCATGCATCATCATTCTGGGGACCGTCGTCGTCGTCAGAATCTGCCAGCTGCTCGCGTTGTCGCATGTAAATATTGTGAGCCTGATGAGCCCGCATAACTCGGTTAATCCGAACTCGATCAAGACGCGGTTCATCTCCAGAGCGCAAGATGACTGTTAGAATATTGATGCGTTCCTGATCTGGATAAGAATTAGGTCAGTAGCCCATAACCCTGCAAGATTCAACCTGCCTGCATCCTCTCTGTACATGTCCTGTATCTCTCTTGGAGCGTAGATGTACAACCTTATTTTCTCGCAGAGCACAGTGTCTTTTATCTTTTCCACAACCATTTCGATGTCCTCTTCTAAAGCTTTGACTTCTTCGGACAACGAACCTGTGAACATCCTGTTCTTCGTTAGACAATATATCAGTGTTACGTCCAGAAAGGCGAGATACCGTTGAAGTAGACTTCGTCCTCCAAAAGGTTGTGCAAGAAAAATGTCCAGGACACCTAGAGCACTGTATGATCGGACTGAAACCGTAGCAGTGATGAAAATACTCACTGCGTATCATGCCAACAGGATTGCTGATCCTGAGTGCGGTTTTCAACACAAAGTAAGGCATAAGCCCGTGTATCCGCTTCACACTCGCAAACGTTTCTGATGCATTATCGGCCGCTACAAGCACATGAAACAAAGTTGATGCCAGGCTATAAACTTGCTTGAGGACATTTCACTTCTGGTTTCGTAAGGTATGTGACTTACGATATCCGAGCCCATTCCAACACCGCCAAATAATTCGGAGGTAGATCTCGAACGTCTGGAGTGACTTTGATGGTGGCAAACACTCTAGTCAAGCCATCTTGCAGAAATAACAAGTTAAGTCGATGGCATATTTTGTTGATTTGATCTTACCTTTGCCCATGATGTCGCCCTTCACGCTTTGGACAGCAGCTCTGAGTCCATCAACGCGGGTAGCTATTTCATGAGCAAACTGTTTGCGTCCCTCCTCTCTCATGCGATCAGCCTCTTCGCGCCGTCGTGCATCCTCTTGTTCCTCTACTGCGAGTGTCGTAGGCCCAGACAGGAGAAAGGACCTCAGCACAGGAGAAGACACAATGGCCGCTGAGGTCATCAAAGAATGTAGGTAAGCTCGCAATGTCAGCCTGTTCTTTTCTCTTGCCAAACGTGATTGATTATGCATGCTGGAGTTGGACGGTGACTGCGGCAGGGACTCATGGCTGTCGTTTGAAAACGAGTCGTCATGCCCGGGAGACTGGGTTCGCTGCAGGAAGTGCATCGTAGACGAGGGAGGAACACTCGATGTTGATCTATCCTTGGCTGGCGGATCAGCTACTGGCTCTTGCGGGTGAGCTTTGCGCAGCTAGTAAGTTCCGCGGTGAGAACAAGGAAAGCAGTAAGCCTCCGAAGCTTACCTCGTTGGCAAGCGTCTTAAAGTCGCCGTATCGACGTGAAACAACAACTTCATGGGTAGGTGACAAACGTGTGCGAATAATGAATTCCTGTGGAGGTCTTCGTTTACCAGACTAAATCTGGAACAACAGACATACCTCGTGAGCACGACTGCGAACTCTGCCTTTGTCGGTAACGACACGGACGGATATGATATTGACCTCGAAGGAGTGGTGATTCTTCTGTAGGCGAGCTTGTCTTCGGGCAGCGAGATGCTCTAGGCGGTCGAGATCAACCTGGGTGAGACGAACGACCTCTTCGGGCTCCGCGACCTTCAAGCCAGCGCCTATGAAGAGGGCCAAGTTCCGCTCAACTTTAGACAAGAGTTTGAGACGGGTCGCTGGCTGATCTAGAGAACCACTATCATCATCGAGAAGAGAGGAAGGCGATATGTTCTTGGCGAATGCAGAGGCGACGAAAGGCTGCAATTTCTCTGAGTAGAAATCTTTCGGTGCCGCTTCCATGAAAGGGAAGGTCAGGATGAATTGGCGGAAGATGTAGCGAAGGAAGGGGAGATCGAGAGGGGCTGAGCCTTTGGGAGGGGAAAAGGGAGGTCCAAGATAAGCTAGTGTAGATGCATTGTCTGCTGGAGCATTCGTGATGTCGTCTAGCTCGCGTTGAAATTGAAGTTGAATCAGATATTTCTTGAGGTAGTGCGCTCTGAGGGGAGTGAGCGTGGCATGTTCTTCCTGTTGTCCGCCGGCCACAATGCTTTGAGAAGGCGTTGCTGGAATCGATCTCGTTGGTCTGCGTGGGCGGGTCCGAGATGGAGATTGTGGGTTCTGGGGAGTCTGGGGAGCAAGCGGCGAACTTGGGAGGGAGCTCTCAGTCATGACGTCCACAGCTCAAGGTGCGGCAGCGCAGTCCCCCGCACCGGCTACATCGGATAGTTCATTATCTATTCAGGGGCTATTTTTCCATTCACAATATACGCATGTGCTTACTGACGTTATGCAGCACTTTTGGTTAGCACTGTAGTTACAACTGGTGACAAGCACATGTACTCCCAAATTCTCTTGACTTGCTACGTGCGCATATGTTATACACATTAACAAACGTTTTTTCAAAGCTCGCTCCGCGGCCGGTTCTATCGACTAATATTACATATTTTGACACAGCTCTGGGTAGACTATCTGGCCGGTGCGTAGACTTTCTCACCTCTGTATGTTCTATGGTTTGGTTCGTCTAAAATGCGCCGTAGTTTCGATGCAACCTCCCTCACCGTACTCCGGCACGCATCCATCCCTCTCCAGGTTCCTGCGACGCTCCAGCATTCGGAACACGCCTTTGAGGCCTCGTTCACGGTCTCCAACTCGAGCTCTCCCCGATGATGCAATGCCACGACTGTGTCGATAGCAGTGATGAAGCCAACTTTCCATGAGTCAATCCCGCTTTGGGTGTTTGTGCTTGCGTCCGTTACCATATACGATGATGACAACCCTATGGCACGGCGAAGGAGGTCTTGGTCGACGGCACCGGATTCGCGCACCATACGAGTGACGATTTTGGTCACGAAGCTACCATAATCAGTGGGCTGGCTCTACAATAATCACGGAGCCCATAAGATGTCACCGGATAGGTGATATTTTACCAACCTGCATAGATGATGAGGATGAGCAGCAGGAAAAACTTTGATGATTGGGACCTTTAAAGCTGCGATCAGGAAGTAGCTGGAGTAAACTGCTAAGGACTGTCAGGGGCTGTTCCAGGCTTTGCATGCCGGCAAGTGCCGATGACTTGTCCAAACTAGTTTCTTTTCCCCGCGTCCAGCGTTTCCGTCACCATGGCCAGTTTGCTCCTCAAGCTCGCAGAGGGCCTCACCCCTCCTCAGAACACCCTTGTGGACGATTACGATGGCATCGAGTGGAGGTGGAAGATGTTTGTTTTCCGTCCCGCACGTACGTGTCTCCTTTCGCTGCGTGAAGACCAAATTCTCATCCAAGCCACAACAATTCAGTGTTCAAACTCCAGGCCTACTTGCTCGTAGCCGTTCTCGGTTATGTTGCTATTGCTCTCTTTGGGAAGTATATTAATACCAAGAGGGTGCACAAATGGTAACATCTCTTCTGGCTTGACGCGTCCACCATTTCATGACGTGTCCCTGCAGGTACAATATACATTTGCCAATCTTTGAGCAACAGTTTTCGAAACCAACAACGGCCACAGGACTCATCTCCGACGGTTACACCGACTTTTTCAACTTCTCCACCGGTCGCGTGGGCATAGCATCTTTGCACACCATCTTCACCCTGCGGCCTCGCCAGGACTTTTTACAGATGCTGTACCAGTTTGGTTGGCAAATGTATGACCTTAGATACAACCCCTACGATGAACTCATCTTGGACTTCAAATTGTCACCGGATTCTGGCCTGCCGGACTTTGTATGGGCCGTCGTAGCTAAGGATGAGCTTTACTGCATCAAGAATACAAGATGGGACTTGGTGAGTAACTGCAAACTCGGAGTGAGAGCATGCTTCCTTACCCTCTTTTTGTCCAGACTTTTACGAAAACAACCGACAATCCTGCCTTGCCTTCTTCCTTGTCGGTCATGTCTGAATTCGCCGATATCACAGATAGTCTGGTCAAAGCCGCAGACAAGTCTGCTCTTTTCAAACTCTTGAGTGATCCTTCCACCTTGAAACACTTCCGCTCATTATCCGTACGTATACAGTCGTTCTCGCTGAAACTAAGTTTACATACGCATTAATTTCCTTTTTTAAGATCACTGATCAACCTCGCGAGCGTCCTGCCCTTCCCCTCGCACCTGCTGAGCGCGAGAAACGTGTTATACTCAGCCTGAAGGTCCCCGCCACCTCCGATACAGCCGACACCATCCCCATCGTTAATGCCATATTTGCTTTCGTTGATGCTCTTTCCCGAGTCAACCTTCGACCTGAGACTAAGAATAAACTTCGCAAGGTTAGGGAAGACGTTGATAAGGAGATTGTTGCAGAAGCTGTCAAGGAGAAGAAAGAGGAGGTTAGTCCTTTTTCTTTACTTCAACGCCTTTTCGTAAGCCATTGTATAATATGCACAGGCTGTTGAGGAAAAGAAGGCCGCAAAACGGAAGGCTGAGCAGGACCGCATTTCTCGACTGAGCGCCGCTGAACAGAAAAAGGTACCTCAACAAAAGATCACCTCAACATCTGGCTAATGAGACATTGAACTAGATTCTGGAACGCGACCGCAAACGTGCGCTAAAGAAGTCACAGGGTAAGGTCGTGCGGAAGTGATTGTTAGACCTGCATTATCTTCAGCTTAGTATTTAACCGTGAATCTCGATATATCCTCGTCATACTTCGTCACGGGCTTCAGAAGTAGACTAACTCGTAAGGCACTACATCGTAGGCTAAATATCCTTGGGCGATCCGTTCTCTTCAGATGTTGGGGTTCCTTCTTGTCCTTTGCTTGCTTTCGAGTCCGCCATGGAAGCTGATGTCCAACTCATCCCCCAGTTGAAGAAACGGAGTAGCCACATAGGCTTCATCGCCGTGTGTTCTACTGGTTCCTCTTCCTCTTCTTCCTCCTCTATCCCAAGTATGGCTGCGCCGGCACGTCTCTCCTCTTCGTACTCGCTCTCTGTGCGACCCCATGCGTCCACGAGTCTTTCTTGCCCGTCAAAAGCCCATTGAAGGCGGTTGAATCGGCCGTGAGCACCATGCGTGCCATGGGGAAGTCGCCGCGCCCCTGTGTTCATGCCAAACACTTTTTCCCTGAGCTCAAGGACCTTCTGTCTGGCCGGAGTAGCGGTGTGCCACAAATCGTTGACTCGGAATTGATTCGCCTCATAGGCGAGTGCTTGCACCTGCTGCATGGTCATATCTGCTGCCACATTTTCGGCTTCAATCTGGTTTAAGACATCGCATTGTTTCTCCAGCGCAGATATGAATGCACGATGCGATCCGTAGTCTGTATCCAAGGCTGCATTTGTTTGCGAAAGCGAGTTGGTGAGGTACTGGCACGCATTCAGTACCGATAATTTCGTGCCAGACTTGGTTAATTACCTCCATACAGGCCGTGACACGGTAATAATGCTCCTTCCTGCGATGCATGACAAGAAGCTGTCCACAAACATCGACATCTATACGCATCCATTCAGCACGAAGCACCTTGATATTCTTGAGAGATTTGAAGTCATGGAAGGAATGTCGTCTGCCAGAGTCACTTTTGAGTGAGATCACACAGCGTAGGTACTCACCGTTTGACCGCATTACTTCGTACCCGCTTATTGGACTTGCGATCACCTGGCTCACCAGCAGGCACCGAGTCCACCATAGTTTGATGCCTCACTCCTTGGGGTCGTGATGTCCCTTGTCCATTACGCGCGCTGATAGGGTCCGACCAGCTGGGCACCCTTTTCTCCCTGTTGTATAATGGACGAGAGAGTAGGAAGGAGCTGACTTTTCTGTCGTACTCTGACGTAGAACCATTGCCATCTCGTAGCAAAGAGCTGAGATTGGCAGATGAGGCACCTGCCGACTCAAGACCCAATGTGAAAGGGTTCAAAGCTCTTGATTCGGCTACAATGGCTGAACACACAGCATAGTTCACAAGGTATACAGGACTCACATATGGGGGAAACCTGCCCGCTACTCAGCAGCTCGTCTTCATCTGCAATCTCCCTATAGACGTTACTATGCGTACGAGCTGTATATTTAAGAGATCAACATACTGCGACGCAGCTGGGAGTGGCTGGGATATTGAACCGGCGCGGTCCAGGGTTACAATGACATTACCTGAGGAGGAGGATTGGGCAGAAGCCTGTCCAACATGAAGCCTGTAACCATTGCCGCGCAATGGTCTACCAGAAGACATGTTGGTTGATAAATCGACACTCTTTTTAGATCGATTGATACTTAACAAGAAAGTGAGCTTAGGAAACGAGCGATGAATCGTATCACATGGACATACCCTGCCCACATCTCCAATTTCTTCTGTACTTTGCCGGCAAAGACACCTCCAAACGCGAGATCGTCGTCGGCGCTCCTGCTTTCGTCAATATGTTCATGACTGTGCTCGCCTTCAATATCACTGGAGGCGCGTCTCTCTCTGTCCTTCCCCTCCTTGAACTTTCTCCCCTTCTCTGTACCATGCCCCTTCGTACCAGCTCGTTCCCTCAGCTTCATCAAAAGCTCCACCTTCCCAGTCCAAAGTGCCCGCAGACTGCCTGCCACTCGTTCACTATCCTCGATATCTGCTTTGTCCTTCTCCTTGTCGCGTTCATGTCCTCGCTCGTCTCTCTCGCTCTTTCCTCCAATAGTGCGAACAAATACCCCTAGATCAGCTGTAGGGGAAAGCAGACCACTCGCACCAATACCAGCAGCCCCGCGTCCAACGAATCCTGAAGCCAGATTCTCAATACCGCTGATAAGATGACCGCCAGCTCCACCTATACCCTTTCGCCGACGGGGTTGGGATCCATGTCCGAGATCGCTTTCAGAGCCACCTGTATCGGTATCAGAGTTAGGATCGAGCTTGTTTAACAATGCACGGTGTACGCGTCGTGACTCTGAATGCCGCAACTTCGTATCATGAGGCTGCAGAATCTGATTGTAAAGTTGCTGTGTCAGAAAAGTTGCCTGAGAAGATGATGGAGAACCCGAAGGTGGTGGAGTTGCTGTGGAAATATGGAAAGGAACGGGGCTGGAAGGGTTCGAGATAGGGAGCTGTGGCAGGATAGTAGTGTTGTTCACAATGTACTGAGAAGAACCATGGTGGCACTGCGAAAAGACTGTGAGTGCAGCCAGAAATGTGGAAGGGTATAAGAAGGGATCCTTAGGGATGGCCTGTGATAAAGCCATGGAGCTTAACCGATTCCTCGCAGCAAGCACAAAGCTGAGAAGGGCAGCAACCGTGCTCGGGTCAGCCACGCGCTCCATGGGCTGTATGACGGAGTCAATCAGTTGTCCAAAGTGTCAATTCTGCCTGCCAATCACCTCAACGTTGAGAACGGGTTCTCCAACTTCTGCAATCCAGCGTTGCAACCCTTCCACGGTTTTGTCGCAGAGCAAGCCATCAATACACGCGAATGAAAACATGCCACATATAGCCAAAGCGCTCTGCACTAACTTGACAAGCTCTAAGACAATCGTGTTGAATGCGATCTGACGTGAGGACAGTTTCCCTGAAGGGGTATTGATCACAGATAACCTGGGAAGTTCTGTAATTGCAGGTGTTAGTGTAATGATTGGTTGGGAATATGCGCGAGTATGTGAGCGTGATAATGACTGCGCACGAAGCGTAGACGGAGCTGGCGGTGAATCGTTTAAAAAATAGGTGGTTTTGAAGCGATCCTTTGTGGTCTCACTGCGGGCCATACAGTCAGAAGCAAAACGAGGTCTGGTTATACGTATGCGGACCTCGGTTCCTCCAAGGTCAGCGCACTGCGCCCACTACATCCCATACGAGAGAGGTTAATGTTGGTGAAAAGTTGTTCCTTGGCAGTAAAGAAATCGCCGTTTGGTACATGAACGATGGTGAAGTCCGAACGAAAATTGGCTAGGGAGGTTACCATGAGCACTCCATCTGGTACCTGTGCTCAGATAGCTTAGGCCGCCAAAGGTCTAAGGAGAAGAGACCCACACACCTGCTTGGGTCTAGCACCATCCATACAGAGGCGATGCAGAGCAGCATGCCACTCCACTTGCATTTCAGCGGCAGTAAGAGATGAGGAGGGACTCAGGGCCGTCACGGTGATCTGCAGGGTCGAGACTTTAAACAGAGAACCCTTACAGGTCAGTAGACGTACTTTATGCTGCGGGTCACCAGTATAGACAGTGAGCACGGTGACCGGTCGAGTCCTCTCGACTACCCTACAGAAATAAGATGAAAATTGTCACTGCGACGCACGCAAACGCAAGGGGCACACCATTTTTCGACTGCATATAGTTGATAGCCCTCAAGTACAAGGGTCTGCTGAACGATCTCGAAGCGACATGGTATCCCGATCCACGACGACGCTACTGACGTATCGGTTTGGGGCTGTGGATGTTCCTCCAGTTGATTTGGATGCGTAGGAAAGACAGCATGTGCAGATCCTGAACGAGTGCGAATGAGCCTAGAAGCCTGGTTCGAATGCTTACGAACAGGTAAGGTGGTAGGGGAAAATGACGCAGGGGACGCGGGCCTGTTGACTTCCAATGGCGAGCGAACTGTTGGGATGAGTAGACGCATGCTGATCTGAAGCATGGCGTGCCGCTGCAGGTGCCTGGCAGCTAACAGCAATATTTCAGCAAGTGTTGTCAGTAGCTAGTTAACTGTTCAAGTTCAGAGACAACTTGTAGATTTCATTACATTACGCGCACTGCCCAGATTCGGTACCTATAAGCTTGGTACTCGGACTTATTCAGGTCTCTTCGGAGTTACGCTTGTCATGCGATTGACCGAATTGTCGTGGCTGGCTACGACATTTACGATGGACGTAAGATATATCAGTAATGCTAAGTAGCTATAGGGAATAGCATATCCAATAGTAAGAGTATAGATTACAGACTAAATTACGACACATCCGCTCGAGAACCACCTAGTAATGTCGGACATCAATGGAAAATCCATGGGGAGACAGTAGGCAGTCTTACCAGTTGCTATTCAGCTGGTCTATCCAGTGCACGATCAGTTTCAGCCTCAACCTCGCGCTTTTCAAGGGGAGTAATTTTGCCTTCTCATGTTCGTCGATCGGCAAAACAAGGGCCATCCAAAAGCTGAAAGCTCCAGGGTCCTCGTCCGACGGTGGAGCTCCGACAGTATTGTTAAGCCGTTGTACCACCCAAGGCGCAGTGCCTTCACGAAGTTGGTCTAGAAACGCATGGCATTTCGCAAGCAAAGCGGCTGTAGCCAGTGGCGGTGGCGGAGTCGGGGGAGGATCGGTGTGCGATACCCCGGGTATCCGGGAAAGCAAGGGATTGGATACTCGTGAACAGTGAGGCGACGAGTCATTCCCGGACGCGGGGCAGATTTCTTCCAGGCTTTCGAACGCCCATTCGTCCAGATCGTCATCGTAATCGTCAATGCGCTCAACTCGGCCAATCATGTACCCATCCAACGTCCCGCGTTCTAAAATTCGAAACCGATGTGTTCCCCAAGTCTCCACCATGCTCCGACCGTCCGGTAGCATTTGTACGCTTTTGATCTCGAGCATGGTCCCAAACTCGCAACCTCCGTCAACACCTATACCAGAAATAGGGGCCGCACGCGGTGGCATAATCATGCCAAACACTGGCGAGGGAGCTTCCAGACACCGTCGCAGCATGAGCCTATAACGCGGCTCAAAGAAATGAAGAAGAGTAGGCATCCCCGGAAAGGAAAGTTGGGCGACGAAGATGGGCGTATCGAGGCGAGCATCTCGTTCCTCCACTGCAATGGCGTGACCGCGTGCCGCGTAGGAGTCTGGGTATGCTTTGAGGACTTTATGACGTGTTAGTCTAGAACACGAGCGGCGTGAGACAGCGTGGGAATGGCATACTTATGGATAATACGAGCTTGTTGTGGGGGTGTTCCTGGAAATAAGCATAGCCCGGGAGTTCGCATCTACAGAGTGGACACAACAGGCTATGGTCTAATGAGCGTTGAAGACACTTTGAGCAGAAAGTCTGAAAGTAAAACATGAGCAACGATCGTGAAAAGGACGTGGCACGACGTACATGTTGGCATGGTGTCGTGACGGGTTGATAGAAGAGGGTGAAGCATATTTCACAGGAAAGTTCGACGTTAAGTTGCTTGTGAAATCGCTGTAGTGTGTCGGAAAGGGTATCCTGATGATGTTCTGGCGAGTTACGCCGACGTCGTTTCCGTGGGCGCGGGGGCGATGGCCTGGGGCTGGAATGAGGCGAGCCGGAGAGTGATGGAGGGTCGTCAACGTCAGAGTGGGATGAATCGTATGAACAACACGAGGTGGACGGGGATGGAGGAGGTGAAGAGTTGTCGGGTTTGGGATCGGTATTACGGACGAGGGCTATGATCTTCGTGACGACAATGTCTGTGCGGGTGTGTACAGACTGTTTGGACGGTGTAGAGGGCCGCGGCGCGGGACGAAAAGTGACGGAGGAGGCGGCAGGGGTGAAGTCGGTGGGTAGCGAGAGTGCGCATGATGGGATAGGACAAGATGGCGAGGTGACGTGAGTTGCGCAGAGGGTGTGTCCGCAGTGGAGAGTGACGGGGTTTTGGAGAATGTCAGGCGGATTGCAGAGCGGACAGCGAAGGAGAGGGACAAGGGACTGGGGAAGAGGAGTAGACATCAGCAATTATCGCTGTCCGTCCCGGTCACACTAATCTCGCCTGCTCATTATATAACAGATGCGCCGATGAAAGCCTCAAATCTCGCCAGTGGCAGGTTCTCGTGGGCCATGCCAGGCTTGCCGCCTTCACTCTCCCCCATTGATCTCCGCCCAAAATCGCTTGCAAATTTTACCCCACCTTTCTCCAATTTCTCTCCAAGGTCTTGCCTACGGCAGATATCCATCGTGCGGTTGCAGCAAATTATCCGCCCACTCTCAATTTGTTTCTAATGTTGGTACATATGTCGGTTGTCAACTTCCATCTTTAGCCAGTACATGTCTCGCTCAAATTTAACGGAATAAGCGCTCGAACACCGAGAGCCTCTTTCAAAGATTCGACGTGTTTGTTGTGGGCCAGCTACTGCACAGTCCGCCGGCAGGCGGTTCAGTCGTTAGCTAAGCCTTGGTAACCAGGAGAGGTACTTACTAGTCCTCAGTCGCACGACGGTACCCGTAGCTTGCAATGAACTGATCGAGCTCCTTCGGCCCACGCGAACCGTAGGGGTAGGGCGATGGCCGGGGTCGTGATCCATCCTTACCATCGATCCAGTGCAGGATTGGAGTGAATATCTATATGAAGCCATTCAGTATCCACTCTAACCCATATGCACTGCTTAGGATGCCTTACCTTCCACGCTACATCAAGCTCATCATCCCGAACGAAATTAGAGTGGTCTCCCTTGAACGCGTCCAGAATTAGGGATTCGTAGGCCTCAGGCACCTTCAGATCACTGAACCTCCGTTTGTACGTCAGATCCATTTCCGTCGGGACTGCACGGAAGTTGAGGCCTGGCGACTTCGTGTTCATCTTCAGATACACTGCCTCCGAAGGCTGGATCCGAATGACGAGTTCATTGCGAGAGATGTCCTTGAAGATGCCCTGAGTCACGTCCTTGAACTGCACACGGACTTCTACTTTCGCTTCATTGAGTGCTGTAAACGAAACGTCAGCCAACCCATCATTCACAGTTAACCAGTCATTCGCACCTTTTCCTGCTTTGAGGACGAAAGGTACTCCTTCCCATCGCTCGTTGTGGATCCACAGAACAGTTGCAGCGAACGTCGGGCAAACAGAATCCTTGGGCACCGAGTCATCATCCAAGTAGCCCGGTTTCCCATTGGCACCAACGTATTGTCCCAGCACGGTATCTTTCCTCTCAATGGGAGGAATCGCTCGCAGAACTTTGACCTAGAGACACAATTGTGAGACTGCGGCCGATATGAAACAACCGCCGACATTACTTTTTCATTACGGATATCCTCCGAGGCGAAAGATACAGGCCGTTCCATAGTCAAAATACTGAGCACCTGCAGCAAATCTATACAAACTCAGCTCTTTTTGACAGAGCGGAGAGGTGCGTTGAACGTACGATTCTGAAGGACATCACGGATGATACCAAACTCGTCGAAGTAACCGCCACGGCCCTCCGTTCCAAAGGGCTCCTTGAACGTGATTTGGACGTTGCTGATTGAATTTTTATCCCAGTTATTTCCCAGAGCAACATTGGCGAATCTAAGGACCAGCAGGTTTTTGACCATCTCCTTGCCCAGGTAATGGTCAATACGGAAAGTTTCGTCCTCGGTCCAAGACTGCTTGACATTGCTGAGAAGGTCGCGGCACGAATCAAGGTCAGACCCAAAAGGCTTCTCGATAATAATGCGGTTCACGCCACTCTGAGCGTAGCAGTTCTCCCGAACGTGCTTCGATACGGGGACAAAGACGCTGGGAGGCAAGGCCAAATAAAAGACACGGTTATATTCTTTTCTCTGGTAATTCTTCTCAATAGATTCGAGATGCCTGTTGAGGTTCTGGAATGAAGGCGCATCTTCATAGCCACCAGAAATATAGGTGGACAGCTTCTTAAACTCCTCAATCTTGGCGGATACTTCGGGATCGTTATCCGGGTTCTTCAGGTAGGAAGTTGTTCGTTTGTGATATTCAGCCTCGTCCATCTTCGTGCGAGCGTATCCAACGATATGGACGTCTTTTGGCAGTAGTCCATTCTTGAACAGGCCAAAGAGGGCAGGGTACGTCTGATGAAGGATGAGGGGGTCAACAAAATAGCCATGCAGATAAGCCGACCTTCTTCTTGGCAAGATCGCCGGAAGCACCAAAGACTAGGAAAGGAGAGGAGGTGAGGCCTGAGATTAGATTAGACAGGGGTACATACCGATGACGATGGTGTTATCTTTGAGCTCGTCGTGGCTTGTCTCCATGGAAGGGACGGTGCCCGACCTTGCACGATTCTGAGTAGACATAAGGGAGAAGAGATGGGGGAAGAGACAAAGTGGTGTGTGGGCTATGAGGGAGTGGAAGGGAGGGCTGATTACTTGGGCTGACGTGAGTGTGAGAAATAAGGCTGGCGAATTATAAATGACGATAGTATTACCAGGCCTATGACCTCGAGCTGCTTGCTAACACAAATCTGCCCCTTCCTTCACAGCGGAAGCTTAAGATAATCGTGTTTACTCCTTTTGCCCGGCCCGCACTCCGGCATTCTACTTGACACCACCGGTCCCCAGTCTCACCCATGGGTACGATGACTCCGCAGCCAGACGATCTCGCAATACAACACCTCCGTGATCTCGTTTCGCCCTCCTTGTCTCCTGAAAGCCCAGAGGCCGTCCGAATTCGCGCTGGTGCCCTTCTTGCACGTCTCAAAGCTCTCAACCGCGACGCCAATGCAGCCACCAGGGTTCACAAACAGGCTACAAGCGATGCACGTCAGGAGATGGACCAAACCCACCTTGGACTCCAAAATTTGCTATATGAGAAACGTCACCTTGAGCGTGAGATAGACAAGTGTCGACAATTCGCGTGCGTATACCTCCAACCTCTGACACCATGCTCTCTTGCCCGGGCTAACCATCCTTGTCAAGTTCAATGTATCAAGACATCACCCTCTATCCCCTTGATGAATTCAAGCGACTTGCACCCGGCGAAGCGCGAATGGATGAAGTCCTGGGTAATCCCCACCAACTGATGCTCAATCGTCTTAGTTTCGAGCTTGCGGAACGGCAAAGGTTTGTCCACGCTTATTTCTTCCGTCGCGGCCGCTATATTGCTCAGCCGCTAAAGGCCGCTAACTTCACTCTCAGGCTAGATCAAAGAAGAAAGGAGTTATTAGCGCAGAAGGAGGAGCTTCTAAAACAGAGCAAAACCAAGCTCGTCACTGTGGAAAGCGTCAAGACCCAAATAGACTCTCTTGTCAAGGTATGTATAGTCTTCACGGGACGGCCTCCGCTTGACGGGTCTCGGACAGGCTGCTGCAGATATTCAGAGGAAAGTGGGAGAACTGGTACCTCCCCCGCCAAATCCTAGCAGGAGCACACCAGGCCCAACTTGAACATGCAGTATTCGTTTGCCCTTGGAATGATCATCTTCATTCTAGTTTTGGAAAAAATACATGGCCTATTCTCGAACTATTGGGAAAGACCTGGATACATTTACAATAGTTATCGCGAAAAGCTACTGGAACGTGAGACCTGGAGAGGTTTAATTGTCGTGAAGAAGAGCGTTGATCATGGTATTTCCAAAGAACTGAAACCATGGAGCCTGAAAGCAAGATACAAAACACAAGAAAGTCCGGGTTACCAAATACATGAGGGGTGCCGATGAGGGCCCAAAGGCGAGAAAAGTGATTGAGAGGTGTCGCGTCTAGCTCAAGAATCGCCGTCTTCGCTGATGCTGCCTACGTCGCTGATTTCCTCGTCTTCTCCATCTTCATCTTCTCCATCTGCTCCATCAGCGGCTTCCTTCGTGGCATATCGCTGCACATACTCTTCAACAACCCATCTGTTAGCAATATCGTAACCTCCGGTCGACACAGATGAATCACCTTTTACTTTAGCTTCATATTCCTTGGGATGACGCATGAGCAAAGCAGCAGCTTCACCGTTCAATGGGTCATTGGGGTTTGGGTAACGAAGAAGCTGAGGAAGGAAGACTTCGAAGATGTTGATCATATCTATACGGAATTAGACAAATGGTACGAATAAAGAGTGGAATCACGCACCAAACATAGGAGACCACGTCTGGTTGATCACGTCCAAACACACCGAACCGCTCCTGCACAGACTCAATCAAGGAAGTCGACTTAGGGATCGGAGTGGACTTACAATTCATCAATGTTAGGGTGGAATATCTTGTTCATGAAGCCAATGCTCGGTGACTTGTAGGGGTATTCGGCTTGAAGTTCTACGTGGATCTTCCAAACACCACCTGCGAACGGTGCTAGGTCACAACCGATTGTTGTTTAGTTCACATAATAACGCAAACAGAAAGAACCTTACTCTCCACTGGGCCGTAGAAACGAACATAGAATTCCCGCATGTTATCATTGACTAGATTAACCTCGTAGTCCGACATGAGGCTGTAAGAAAACACAATTAGGGACTAAGCCTTGTAAAGCAGGCGCCTGCTGAGAGCTTACAGCTTCATGACATCTGTCTCGATTCGGCGCTTCGTGGAGGTGTGCTAGGTCAAGTCACTATCAGACAAGGATTAAGGCGATGAGTTCCAAGGTACTCATCATATTGTCAGCGACTATACAGCAAGGGAAGGTGCAAGGAGAGTTAGGATTAGGCGAAGACTACGATGGGTCAGAGGAATAACAGGACAAGGAGGTGTCAAAGGGTGAAGGGAGGTAGCTGCAACGAGGCCAGGTTTCAAGCGGCGTGCTGCTCCGCGGGCTAGCACTATCACAGCACAGCACCCTTTCCGAATACGCACGGCTCTAAGGAATGGTTTAGTCACCTCGTGGTTGATGTACATCCGTAGTTTCTGTGCAGCATTGCTTTGCAGACAAGCAACATGGCTCTTAATCACGATATATTCATCGTTTCCGTGTTACATACTCGTAACCTAAAATCGTCATTGCACTCTCCCCACAAGCCAGGTCAAGATATTGCGCCCCCGCATATAGGTCTTAGCGAGCTCAGTAGAAGGTCCACTCCTCAACAACACAGTAGGCGTCATTCGGATTGCATGGGTGCGAATTACGGAAACCGGCCTGCGGCTGCCCGTATCGACCATCATGCGCGCCGCGGTAACCTCCAGCATTTGCTTGAGCTCCGCTGGCGGCGGCGGCAGACTCCCGAGCACCTGGAGAGAACATGTTCCTAGGGTGAGCCAGATTGACGTCAACGCTTGACTGATTGAATGTCCGCATCGCTATGAGGAAAGCTATATTAACAGTAAGTTACTTCGTCTCATATAATGTTCGTAAAGGCCATACCGAACCAAAAAGCACCAAATGCAGCAATAATGATCATCTCTTCCTGAGTCTGGGACAGAACCCGGCCGGACTCGCTCCTATGATGCAGCACAACGCTGACGAAAGCTGAGTGCTTGACTTGATCAGTTATAGAGACGACTTACAGGAATACCAACGCTGCTATGGCCATAATGGTGACAGATGTTTGAGTCAAATGGAGGATTTCTGCAACACATTCTTTTGGTAAACTTCACATATAACGAGAGATGCTACAAACGTATAGACTGAGGCATGAACTTCATGATGACATGCACCGCCGCCAAAGCGAGAATAGCTAGGAATTTGAGAGTGAGCAACGGCTTTAAAGGAAGAAGTCGTGGAGATAAACACCTTTGAGAACATGTCTGACTGGATGCTCGCTGAACAAGGCCATGGTTGATTGTAGGAGGTTAAAGGTCAAGTAAACTGGAGGTGGGAACGGCGCGAACGGGCGTTATCGTGATTGGATTAAGGTCCTACATACCTGGACACGAGAACAGCATGCCGGCGAACAACACGAGGCAACGGTCAATTGTTGTATGGGCACGTGGATCTGCGCGTTTTCAATACAGGCGACTGGATTCCCGGAACGTGTCCACTCCAAGTCCACTTGCATCGAGCTTATAGAATTATATGATGCTAGTTGGCACTTCGCTAGGGGTATAGGTGCACGAGGCCTGCGAGCAGTGCATTTTATGCGATGAAGTATGCGGATGAGGTGAGAAGCAAACAAGCGTGGTAACATAGTACAAACATCAATAGTAACTCTGGTAAACATTTGATGATCGCTTCTGAAACGATATGATAAGCAAGAAGAGCAAAGCAGTTGCAAAGCAATGATAGAGAGAACACCTAATCTTCACGGTACGAAGAATGTGGTGGAATGTGGTCTCTATACAGAAGGAACTTGAGAAATAGTTGGCATTCCACCGTTTATGCCAGGTTGTATGACAACAGAGTGGCCAGGCATCTGTTGAATGACATTGCCCGACATAGCGTTGTACGGTGTGCCTGGTTGGCCAGAGTACGAGTTGTAGTTCATGGGTTGAGCCTGAGGATATACTACTTCGGTCGGGTATCCGGGAAACTGATTGAACCACCCCAGCTGAGATATATGTTCGTGCCAGGCATATCGGCGACCGAAGGCCACTGCCCGGGTGGTTAAAGCAATGATGATAATGAAAAAGAAGATCACTAAAACATCACGGTATCTGTCAAACCCCAGCTGGTGAATCAACAATAAAGATACGTACGCGATACGAAGATTGCCCACGAGAATGCCTCGATGACCTTCATCTCATAGCAGTAGGCACGCGCATCCACTATGAAAGCTCAATGCAATCGTGTACGTTAGATTGAAGGAAGATGACTTACTAGTCCCATCTTTGGTCGGCTGCTGCTGTCCCCCAAGGGCATAACACTGCACATATCCTATGATATCGCTGCTTACACGGTCATTACGGCTTCTTCCAGGACATGATAGGTACTCACGCTGACCATGCACCCATCGCTACTCATGGGTTAGCCAACGGGATCACAGCCCTAGTTAGCAACTCACCGAGCCAGAGAACTCCGAGCACGAAGTGTACGGCAACCTCTATAATAGGCTGCGCGAATTGTACTCTGGATGAGAAGGGATAAGAAAACAAGATACCAGATACCAGTTCAAATGGGATGACGAACAATAACATGAATAATAGTATGGTGAGCGATGGTACGACGAGGGAGAAAATGGTGAAGTCATCTTGACGTGGGGACAAGAGTTGAGGATCACTAATGTTCCATGGACGAAGAGTACAACACGTACGGTTGATATCAGGAAGAAAGAGCCGAGCAAAATTTGCTGCAAGGCCCAACACAGTGCCAGACAGCAGGAAAACAAAGACTGGGTAGAAGATTAGCGGGTCGTAGTTTGAGATTCAACACCACCTTGCTTACCGTAAGCAATCAGTCGTAAATTCGTGAATAGGATAGTCATGATAGACAAAAAAATAAACACAAGTGTCAATGAAGGAGAGGAGTGAAATGGGACAGGTTGCGATGTTACACGCGACAGCCTGAGCTAGTCGAGGGCGAGGAGCCAGTCGTCAACAAGGCGTGAAGCTGCGTGAAGCGGGGATAGTACAATTTCAACTCATAAACTTGTGCGTAATCTCGCCGCGGTTCTGAACTAAACCTTCCCACATCAAAACGCGTGGACTATAAGTAGGTCTAGATCCAATCTAACCACAAATCAGCTTCGAGCAATGCCCGTTTAGGCCTGCGTGTAGGACGGTGTGGTCCAGTCGCAGTATTCGTTCTTCCAATAAGGTCCCCCTCTCAAAAACCGATTATGACTCCTGATAATCACCAGAGCGCATGTCACGCACATTCGAGTTACTACGTGAGGCCTCGAGGCTTTGGCGAATTGTAGATCACAGCACAATCGGAGGGTTTGCTCGAGGGATCCAAGCTGTAATTTACAATAAGTACATGTATACATTTACTACCACCAGCCCTATGTCTAATCTAACAAAATAACTAGGCCAGCTACGCCCAGTTCACAATAAACTTAATGGGATAAATGATGCCTTCACCTCCGAGGAGACGCGTTTCTCTTGTACTTGTCGGCAGTGTGGGCGCGACTTGGTGCAGCGACCTTGTGGCGTTGAGGTGCTGTCCACACAGCATACTCAGCGTTGCCGTGACGCGACTTGTATTGCCATCCCGGAGTGGTATAATCCTTCTCATCGTATTGTGCGCGACCTCGCGTCTGAGATCTCGAGCGAGTGCTGATAGGCGCTGGTAGTTTTGACGGATTTGAAGAACTTTTGCCAAACCACGGATAGTCTGTGACACCAACGAGCCATACACGGCGGTTGACTCGGAAATGATGCTTAAGCGCAAGGCCAAGCAAAAAGAAGAAAAAGCCCCATACTTGAGCATTCGTGAGACACATTACCATGCGCTTAACATGGATTGACTTACTCAAAACGACGTTGAAGAGGGAGAAGGCTTCGAGGACTCTGTACTGTGCCTGATATGTTTCCGTTGAGACTATCAAAAGATCAGAGTCTGCCTTATGTCCAATCAGAAAGGGAGGCTTACAGCCTGGTATATCAATAGGATCATCTGAGGTCTCCGATGCATAGCATTCTACATCGGCAGAATCGGAGTCTGAGCTGGCCAAGAAAGCACCAAGGGCTGAAAGTAGGTATTTGAATCTTAAACCGAACATTGTATGGCACGAGTATTACGCACCTAACCAAAACGTTCCAATGAGCCCTAAACATCCCAGCTCAATCCTTGTCGAGATAGGGTTTGCGTTGCGCTTCAAAGAGAAGCCGAGCCTGCGTTGATGTCAGCAACATTGAAACTCGTGAAGAAGACTGGTATACATACAGAACAACGAGAACGAAAAGGCTGATGCTGCCCACAAAAATGGCAAAAGGTACAAAGCGAGCTATTAAGAGATCGCATAAGCGGGGCTCCCAAGATCAGATGGATATGAAGAACATACTTAGGTCATCAATGACCAAAAGGCTCTGGAAGTGTGCGGAAATTGCCAAGCAGATTATCGTCCAGATCAAAACAACACCTGAAGAGCTCTTGAGCAAGTAGAACATGTACTTGTTTCAGGACATGCTCACCAAGTAGCGAAGCTCGGAAGATGTTGAATTTCGAAGGCATCGATGGCCGCTGGATCGATGATAGAGAAAGGTTGGAAAGACGCTTGCGGCGAGACGTTTGATTTAATTGCTGCTGCTCGTGCGCCGCACGTCTAGGGTGGGAAGTTGGATTCTGACAAGTCAGAGGGAGTGTGCGTGAGTGCTGCATAATAAAGGCGTGAAGGCGATGATCGTCGGGAACGAGGAGGGAGAGCGTTAAAGTCGTTATACAGGCGTGGCGTGCGTCGTGTACAGCCCAATATTAATGGGTGTAGGAGACACGATGCAGAAGGGAAAGAGCCTCGAGGCGGCCATGGTTTTGTGGGCCGAAAACTTCAGGCCGCAATACCAGACAAGTCGGATCAGCCAGAGCGAGTGTGCCTCGAGGCTTTCTTCTGCTCTATATGGAAGGCCTCGATTTAGATGCTCGGATACATTGGGTATACCGTTTGGCGGGGCGTCGGTAACTCCGGACTACTCCTCACACGTGTTCGCAGATTTTTGGATTGAAGGAACTTGCCGCCCACAAGTAGAAAGAACATCCATAGCTACTATGGTACAGACCTGAGGATTTTTCCAATCTCTGCGTAGGCAACAAGGCACTCTGGATTCCGTAGGGTCGCAGGGTTTACACTGGATATCGGCGCACCATTGATAATCTACTCAGAATGGGTCTTCAGTAAGCTGGTCCTCGTTGGTAGCGAACACGGACCTTTTTCACCGGGACTTCGACCCGTTTCCCGTTTAAGGTGTATGGAATATCGTCGACCTGAATTATCTGGGTACACAATTAGAATGTACACGCGGCGGTGAAATGTCCATTGTCCAATGAGTAACGTGTCAGGGTGCATCAAGGCAATGCAAACTACACACCTGTGCTGGGGTATGCCGCGGGCTTCTCCTGGAGCGAATTTCTGTTTTGATCTCATTCTCAAGCTCTAGTGATAACGTGCGTCCGTGTGCGATCTTCACAAACAAGATCACGCGTTCGTCCATTCCGTGGTCTATCGACTGTCCCACCACTAAGGAATCCTCGATATGATCGCTTGACTCCTTTGCGGCATCCGAGAAACATGTCTCCAGAATGTCGTAAATCTCGGCTGATCCGAATCTTATTCCGCCTGGGTTTCTAAGGAAAAGTAAGGTGAATGACATTCACTGTCGTGACCAAAGATTGAGGACTCACAAGACCCCATCACTTCTTCCAAGCATGACTAGGCCTCCTCCATTACCGGCCCTCGGCTGAGTGATTAGTACGTGATCGCCATGGTCTGTGAACGAGGGTCGAGTTGCCTTTGGTGGCAAAAATGATTTCGTGAAACACGCTTACACCAAATATCCTTGAATTCGCTGAAGTATGATGCTTGATAGCGAGTGCTCGCCGCCCGAACAGCTTCCTCTTCTCCAAACCCTGCCAATGGCCAGAATCCGATTGGCATGCAAGGAAATGGGCGTTCGCACACGAGCTCACCCGCCTCATTGGCGGCTGATGGAGCACCGGTAGGCATGTATGTGTTGATAGCCATCCCGAGCATCCGGCATTGTATTTCGCCGCGATAAACCGGAAGCGTGGTGCACATGCCCGCAAAAAGCGAGCATATATCAGTCCCTCCTGATATTGTCATGTTAGCACCAGTAATTTATAATGTGGCACAAAAATACCGGTTATAGATGCTAGAAGAACATTGTTGCTGATACTGGAGTAGACGTAATCGAACAATCCAGGTGCAAGGGGTGACCCTGTCGAATAAATATGGCGGAGGGTAGATAAACGATGGTGTTCGCATGGTTTATAGACTTTCTGTGGTAAGGCCTCCGTAAGTCACAGCTGCGAAATGGAAGAATGCAATTGACTTACCGATAAGCCGTCGAGGTACTTTGCGCTGGTGCCAAAGATTGAGATACCGAGCTCATCTACCAAGTTCCACAGGTACTCTGGTTCCCGCAAAGGGCTGCCATCGTAAAGGACGAGTGTACACCCGATGCTCAACCCGGCAACGAGGAAGTTCCACATCATCCATCCCCTTCAGCATAGAACGTAAAACATAAGAAGTCACTAAACCAAGGGCACAAATAAATCTTACGTTGTGGTGTAGTAGAAGAATACATCATCCTCTTTCATGTTCGCGCATATTCCAAGTTCCTTTTTAGCCTGAAGAAGCATACCGCCCGCACGATGAACGATAGGCCTAAAACAAAGACATCAATGGAAGTAGAGACTGCGACACATACAAAACTAACTTCGGACGACCTGTCTCGGGGGGATTAGAGGTTTGCTTCACAATGGATGGGCCCTTAAACCACGCACCTGTGGTACCGGAGCTGAAAAGGATCCACAATGGCCAATCAAATCCCTTCCGACACCATGCTATCTCTCCTGCAGTGGTCCTCCCCAATCTGGACTCTTTGCCGGTTACAACAAAGTCTGTCCACTTCATCCATTCTTCTTGCCATCCCAGGGAAGATGTACTGAGGCCGGTATGGACCACGACGACTTTAGGTTCTACGGAGGATTTTTGCCGAAGGCCGTCCAATAGGGCTGCTACCTTGGGTAAGTGCAAATGCACTTTGCCATTATAACTGCATAAAAAAGTTTAGTAGAAACAAGGAGTCAAACCTGCCTTTCATGCTTACACAACTGCATCCACAACGACGATCACGCGGGGTTGGACTTGCTCGAACCTCATGAAACAGTCAATGTTTCACTATCAACCATGCATTGACGATGCCTACCGTTCGAGGACACCATGAGCGCCAAAGTCCGCAGCAGCACTCACCCAGATGCACCCTAAGCATAATAGGGATAACACGTTCTCAAATGAGAGGTGTGAACTCATGTCAGATGAAAAGGCATACCAATAGCAGTGGCTGCAAGGCATGCAGCAACATTTTCCTGAGCACCTGAAAAGTTCGTAAACAAGGCAAATTCTCCAGGAGAAATACTTTACAATGCAGTTAGACGCGTATGCTGCTACTCGATCACCTGGCTTAAGGCCCAGGCTGAGAAGCGCAGAGGCGATGTTAGCGACAAGGTCATAAAGCTCGGCATACGACACTCGTCGAAGGGGCGAAGGAGGGCTACTAATGATGGATTCCGCTATTGGCATCGTTACAATCGCGCACCTGCTGGCCAACCTTGAAGGGACTTACTCGCTTGAATGAGAGCTATCTTTTCTCTGGAACGACACCAGAGCAGATTTTCTGCCCAGTTGACTTTAGCATCTCGGAACCATGGCGGATTTGAGGCAGGGGCGGCCCAGTTATCAACTATATGCTGCCCTTTGACGCCAATAACATCTGCTTGATCCCACACCAGATCCCAGAATTTGTCGAGGTGGGTTGTAGACCATGCATACAAATCATGATACGCTGCCAGCGACAAGTGGTACTTCTCGTTTACAGCAACCAGAAAGCTGGTAACAGCGGATGTCTGAATGTCTTCAGAGGAAGGCGCCCAGAGCGGCCGATCACCGTTTGCCGCCATAAACGCACGTAAGCGCGGTCCTCGGCAGTTACAAGACGTGGAAGAGAAAGGAATGACAAATCAAGTTCTCAAGCTCGGGGTTGACGGTATTTCGCATCTTTCAAGCGGGCATCCGATGCTTCTGCATACCCACGATCAATGCAAGGCTGAAAAGCAGGGGACGGAGATCGAAGGTCATCAGAACATCCTTGGTCCACCGACACCTAGAAGATATATCACAGCAGCCGGGGGTCCCGTTTGATTGATAGACCGCGCGCGCTCTTTGCAATTGATCTGCCCCAGCGTAGGAATAGCTACAGTAATGCTACACTACTCTACACACAACTGGCGAGAACATGCCACGATGGGCCATTTGTCGGAGTCTCTTGGCCCGCATGATGCACCTTGAACCGCGACTCAAGTCGGCCGGGATTGAAGTAGACGCCGCACAGGGCACGAAAAGAAGATCTCATCCCCATGGAGATCAATGGGAAGGGACCTGGTAACCGAGGAAGTCATGGAGCTTGAAAGGGGCAAGTGACGGAGCTGGATTGACTTCAAGGACGATGCTATTTGAACGCAATTTATAAAGAACATCGTGACTGGGTACATCAAGGCCAATATGCCGTCTTCAAATTTGAGACCGCGGAGATAGAGTAGACGCCGCAAGCAGACCTGCGATTCCTGACTCAGGCCTCAGGTCGCAGGGCGAAGGGATGTAGGAGGCGAAGATGCGGCTGGGACGGGCTGAAAGATGACGAAGGGCGAGAGAAGAGAAGAAAGGGCGAAGAGCGTGGGAAGGTATAGGCTGTCCGTGTGGCTGAGGGGGGGAAGCGTGGCCCTTGTTTGCGATGACAGGCAAATTGGCCGGTTGCCTTGACCACCGACCGTTCAGACTTTCTTGGAGATCTCGTTAACCGTCTGCCCGCCCAAACAGCCTGTTGCTGTCTCTCTTACAAGTCAGCGACACCATCCTTTTCCTGTGCCCACTTCTCCATTTCAACCTCTTTGTGTCATTTGGCAGCGTGGTCCCCTGCGATCATATCTCTGCTCTGGCTTGAGCTTGATCTTCTCGCCAGTTTTCATCTCTTTCTTCTCCTTCACCCCCCTCTCCTTGTTTCTTCCGTCCGACGGCTGGTCCGCCTAGCTCGCTCAGTCGACTCCAGTCTTCCACTTTCTTTCAGTCTCTTCTTCTCATCCCCTGTGCCCTGGCGGACATGGCTGCTGTCAACATGCAATCGATGCCCCAAGGTGTATTCGATTTCGTCCCCCTCAACCACCCACACTCTCGCTCCAATTCTGCTTCTTCTGTTTCTACTCATTCGCCTAATTCCCGCCCTCAGTCTTCTCAGAGTGGCGCTACCCGCATCCCGACAGGAATGCCCGCTGTGGTGGACGATCCCTATCGCATGGCCTACAACATGGGTCACGATGCTATACGTATGCCAGCTGGTTACTCGCTTCCCACAAACGATATGGTATGAGTAGCCGATCTCATGTCATTCTATGCAGTATTAACTCTGCATTCAGGGACATATCCGTCAAACCCATCTTCGTGCTCGTGCAGCCGCTTCTCCCTACCCTCGTGATACCGAGAGCGTCCATTCGTCTTCCAGCGAAACCGAGGATATTTCGATGTTTTTGCCAAACCCTCCCGACTATTCTAATCTCTATGGGCACCCTCAGCATCTGCCTCCTAATCAAGATACCGTCCCAACTGCCGGACACTATGGGCGGATGTCGCTCAGCCCTGACCATGCACTTGAAAAACTCGCCGCCAACGTACGCGTGGCCACTACAACCAGTGCTTCGGATAGGGCCAAGCAAATTTTTGTACAGGCTTGGTGAGCAAACAGCGTCTAACTATCCTTGATCATTGGTTCTCACTGCCTCATCAGGTTGACCGCAAACTACGCGCCTTACCCTGACGGGAACGTGCCTCGTCAGGGACTCTATTTCTCTTATCGACGAGTCTGCGACCAGTATGGTATTCCTCACATCAACACTGCGACTCTTGGGAAGGCTATCAGACTCTGTTTCCCGACGATAAAAACTAGGCGTTTGGGTGTGCGCGGAAACAGCAAGTACCATTGTAAGTACACTGCTTCGGGATGATGTGATTGAAAAGAAGCCTGATGAGCGATGTGTCACAAGACTGCGGAATCCGTCCCGCGACTTCGGCGGAAGCCGAGTGGCTCCAGGACTACATTCGCAAGTCCAACAACAACGCTGGCCAGCAGTCTATCAATGCCGCTCGTGCGGCACAAGAAGCAAACGATACTACCAAAGGCGAGGATCGCTCCGACGAAGATGACGAAGATGATTCGGAAGGCTCTAGCGCATCGAAACGCAACTCTCTCACTCTCTCGGGTGATCTCAAGGCTACACTCTACGAGGAACCCAGCGATAAAACTCCCACTGCTGCTAGCCTCCTCTCTCAAGCTCAAGCAGCTGGTCGCAGCAACTCCTATCCTGCTCATGCTTCCATCCGCAGGCACACCGGCCAAGCCGAGTCTGGCCTCGCAGTCCCTCCTGGATCATCCATCATGTCTGGTACTGGTTCTTCAGTCCCGGTGATGGGTGCCCAGCACTTGTCGGTTCGTCACATGCCTCACTTCCCGTCAATCGAGGAGGCTGTAGGGACGAACTCAGCATCGCCCCAAGCTATGGCTGCCCGCGAAGTTTGGGGCTGGTTCCAAGACCATCTTGATGCTCTTTTGGACAGCGTGCGCTCTTTCCGCGTCGATCAGTTTGAGATGCATCTCCGCACATTCTGGTCGAGCTTAACAGGGAACCATCGGGAAATTGTTCATGCGCCTGCGATTGCTGGATTGATGGCTAGGGCGGATGCTATTCTTTACGATGTTAGTACACCTAATCATATGATTCTAGTCTTTACTGAACACATTGCAGGAAATCCTCGAGTTCTTGAGGTCTCAGATGTTGTCTATCATTTCCACATCCGCTTTGAACGGCTTGCGCCAGCTTGCTAACAAGATGGAGAAGATTTTGTTGTTTGCCTTAGAGGGCTATGGGAACACCTTTTGTGAGCCAAAAGTAGAGCTTGGAGCAAGATTTGGACACCTCGTTTGTAAGTCTTATGTTGTGCCTGCCATGAAAGATTTAAGAGGTAGCTGATGCATTGTTTATAGTGCGGTTCCTCGACATATACCAGGTTACACAAGCCTTGAATACCGTGTTGACGAACCCGAAACAACTCGCTGAGATGCGTCGCTCTTGGCAGAAGGTCGACTTTGAGTCTGTTCGCAATCAGTCCGCCTTGGTTTGCAACTGTCGTCACGAGGATTTGATTCAGCTGCTCGAGGTTGAGTTCGTTTCGATGTTGGACAACTTGACGAAGAGTAGTGAGCCTGTCCGGGAAGTGATGACCTGGGCGGACAAGTGCTGCGAAAGGCTGATGGGCCAGCGATTTGGAGGCAATGATGAAAGGAGTACCATGAGCTCAAGAAGTGTCCTTATTCGTTGGGGTTATGTCACGAGTCAAGTTATGCGCGATTTGGTAATGTCCCTTTTACATTGTCAGCCTGTCGTTATTAACTCTGCCCTGTAGACTATTCGTAGCGATCCCGCGTTTGGCGCCTTCCAGATCATGAAACTCTTCCTGGAGTAAACAATCTTATTGCTCTTTATAAAACAGGTACTGAACTGAACGTGATTTAGTGACTGGATTGCTGTCAACGTTCTTCGAAGCGTCGCACTGTCAACGAATTCAGTAGCGGCATCTGTAGAACCAGTCATGCAGCAGCAATTCTTCGCTCTTTCGCCAATGTCTGGGCAAGATAATTTTGGATCCATGGACTCCCGCCCAACGTCGCATCAATCGATGAGTCACACACCTACAACTTCCAGCATGCTTGCAGCTCTTCAACACGATTCATTTACGGCTGGTTCATTGGATAACTCTGCTTCCGCATTCAATTCTGATGGTTACCCTGGCATCCCCTTCATGGACACATCCGTTCCATCGGAAGAATCTGTACCATCCGTTCATCAGCCTGGGCTGACCTTTTCTGACTTTGCGGCTAGCAGCAACTTTGATGTCTCTTCCTTCACGACTCAAGATCTAGGAATCACGCCTTCTAGCGGGACTGGTACGGCAGAACCTGAACAAGATTCCGAGGGCGTGAAAGCTGAGGCTGCGTCCTAAATGCTTCCTGGAATTGCCTTCTTTTTACATCCATTTCTTGGACGATATATATGCTGATCTCCGCACTCCTGTGTTTTTGTCCATAATTCTTTTCCTGACTGTATTGACCACTTGCTTTTCAGTACCTCGCTGTCCTTCCTTCTCTCCCCCCTTACTGTATCGGTTTTGTTTGGCTGGTCGAATAATATTTTCCGCGTACTTCACCCGGACAAACTCAGTTTGCAGGTATTAGTACGCTAATAACATATGCTGGGTGTATAAAAATGTCCCTAATATCATAACCACACTGAAATCCCTCTACGAAGCTGCTTCCTCCTTGACTTCCTCAAGCTTCTCAACTACCTCGTCACTCGGCACTGCAGTATCAACGGTATCTTGATTACGAGGCGTTGCGGCAGGCTCAGCCGGATGTTCACCGCCACCGTTCGGAGGAGTAACCTCAGAATTACCGGTTGGAGGATCAACCTTGCTTTCTGTCTTCGCACTATTCAGAAGTCGCTGGATATCGGCCTCGGCTTTTAAGACATTTTCAGCGGTAACACGAGCTTGATTGGCCTCGAACCAAGCCTTCTTTGTCTCGAGGTCTTCCACGACGCGAGGAATGTCTGCAGAAGATGATGGGGGTGGGATAGAAAGAGACAGCAGCGCGGAGAGTGTGGTTAGAGGGAGGTTGAGTTGCGAGCTGGGCGCATCCGGCTCGGCAGTGGTTTTAGTGTTGCCTTTCTTGCCCTTCCTCGCCTTGCCCTTGCCCACAAAGTAACTTTCCTCGTCTTCGCCCTTTTTCTTCCGCATAACAAGACCCTCCTCAGCTGCGTCAACCTTCCTGAGTTCCAACTTGGGTACACCAGCAACATCAGACTTGGCGGGTAGAGAGTTGGTCGAAAGTGCGCTCGTGTTGCTAGATTTGCCGCACAGCACATCGATTAGAGTCTGACAGTCCTCAATCTGAGCCTGGAACGCAGGGACAGTAGCCTCTTCGCGGAGCCTTTCAGCGGCCTCCTGCTTCTTCTGAGCCTCTTCGGCAGCACGTTGGGCTCGTGCACGCTCAGCCCTGCGCGCACGGTCTTCGTTGACCTTGGCGTAATAGCGATCGTTAGCTTCCCTGAACCTCTGCGCAGACTCGCGCTTCTCAGTGATGAGAGTCTTGATTTCAGACTGAAGAGCATCGCGTTCCTGGAACAGCGCGTTACGGCTGGCGTAAGCTTCATCCGCCTCTTTCTTCAACTCGTCGAGTTCTGCTTTGATGGCATCGTATCGGTCCGAGACAGCCTTGGCTTCGGGGTCGTCAAGCTTCTGACGCAGTTCATCTGCAGCACGACGGTCGGCTTCAATAGCATCCTGGTCTGCCTGGAAGTGCTCGACAACGCGGCGAGAGCGCTTGGTCTGACTGATCTCCTGAAGAGCTCGCTTTTCGTCGGCGAGCTTCATGTTACCAGAATCGACTTGTTTCTCAAGATTCCTGGTCAAGCCCGTCAGAGACGAGACTTTGTGACCAAGTGAGGTACGCACTTAATGTGGGCATCTACCTCTGCGACACTTTTGAATGGTGTCTTACCCTTCGCGGCTTGCAAATCTTTGATCTGAAGAGCAAAGTCTATAGGAGACTGACGCTCGAAAATTCGTCTACGCACCTTCTTTTGGATACCCTCCTGCAAAGACTTCAATTGCTCAAATATCTTGCCACGCGAATTCTTGTTAGTAGATTGTTGATCGCGAATACCATCGAGCTCGGAGCGTAGAGCTGTCCGCCGCTCGCTTCCGGGGCCATTACTGGTGGCGAGCGAGATTTTTTCTCTCACTGCGTTCTGCGTCGAAGTCAAGGAAGTTGAAGAAAGCGTGGCAGAAAAAAATGCTCACAAGTTTAGCTTGATTCGCGTCAATTTTACCCTTGATCTTCTCTTGCTCTGCATCGTATACAGCCTTGTCGGGCCTGCTGGACGCGGAGTAGGTGGCCGGCTCGGGAGATGGGTTTTTTGATGCAGCAGCAGAAGCGCCTGCCTTGGATTTGGCAGCTCCCGCGTTGGCGGTAGACTTGGTCTGGGAAGGCATGGGTCAATGGAGGGTGGGTTAGAAGGAAGGCGGAAAGATTGCCAGCAGAAATTCGAAAGTCTGGGCGAATGCTTCGTGCGAAATTGACGGGGAACGGGTAGTTACACGTTATAGTCAATAACTCTGTGCCCTATTCGTGGTTACGCGATTTTCCGAAGTATCTCTAGCCGACTGCTACCGTAACGTGCTGGTGTCTACTATACTCAGCCAGCAATCACAGTGCTGTTGAAACGTTGACACCCCACGGTTGTTTATATGGCTTGAGCTTTCCCTTGATGTTCAGTTCCGTCTTCTCCCATATCCAGGATGAGGGCGGCGGACGTCACTAGCTCGGGTAAGTCTTATTACAACTCAACGCTAATATGTTGTACACAACTTAGCGTCCACTTGATAGGATGGTAGAAAAAATACAGCTTAAAATACAACCTTGTAGTCTAGTTGCTGTACCTCTCGGCGACACTCCTCAAAGAGTTCTCGGTAATCATCATCTGTGGATTCTTTCGAGTCTGCGTCTTTGCGAGCTTTTCGCTTTTGGTCTGGACATATCATAACACAGCTGGTTGGGCGTTTCGTCGAGCTGGCTTGTCCTAGTTCCTCTTTTGAGGCCACGAATATGTAAGGTATTTGTGCTTCCTCCGACATCACGGGGAGATGGGATATTATGTCGATAGGGTTGATATCTGCCGCAAGGATTAACAGCCTAAGGGAATGTCAGGTCAAACAATGATTCGTCGACATCATACAAGAGACAGACTTACCCCTTTTCGCCTTTTCTTATGCCCTTCACTACTTCTTTCACTCCGCGTTTCACCTGTCTTGCTTTGGAACCTATTGCAGATGAATAAACAGAGCATGATTTGTGTGTAAATTTACGCACCCTTCTTGATCACTTTATGCAACTTCTTGGCGAGCTTCTTCTGAGCTAGCGGCTGAGCGATAGGCGAGAGGTCTGCGAGGGGTATGGCATCCTCTTTTTCCTTTTTCTCTTTCTTAGACTTTTTCGGTGACTACGGCACCTTAGTTATATGCAAACGAACAAGAGCTCAGCTGCGTACCTCTTCAGGATCCTCCATTTCGACATCATCTACCTGGTCAGCGACATCTTTCTTTTTCTTGTCCTTCTCTTTCTTTTCTGATTTGGCCATTGCAACTTGAACGTGAACGCGGATCGATTTGAAGAGGGGTTAAGTAAATGTAACACTTAAGGAATGCAGTGACTACATCAGAGCGAGATAACTGTGACGTGACATCGGTGACACTGGGATAACTAATAGTGACAGGCTGCTGGTGGTCACTGGCAGTTGTCTAGAATAGTGATGAAGTTCGCTGCATTGCAGAACTCCGACTACTCTGACTCTTCGCTGTGATCATTATTTTCCAAATTTCGAAGTAAGCTGAGACCGATCCAGTTCAGACCCTGTGTTTCCGCATCGTACCACCAGTTGAGAGCAATCGTGACATCACGAGCTTGCTTTACATGATGCCACCAGCCGACAGGCAGATACAAGGTCTCACCGGCGCGAACAGTGATGCGGATGGGATGGGTATTGGTGGGTGCCGCCCCTTCGATCTCGCTGTTGCTTATTGACGCCCATCGCACCTGTGGAGTGTCGAGAGAAGGAATAAGCTCTAAGTCCGCGGTAATCGACCTAACGTAGGTTGCGTGGCGGTATGATCGTTCTAGTTCATGAAATCGCTATCATAATGCTCAGTATTAATAGATGGATATTTGCACTAACCTAGCATCCAAACACTATCCGTTGGTGGAAAAATAGTGAAGTGTTTGGCCCCCCGCACAACGGTATAAATGTTTTCATATGGGTCTGCAAGAAGTTATACCACTTTTGCTGTAATAGTAAAAGCCAGGTAGCAAGGCTCACCGCAATGGACACTGGTCACGCTACGTCCATCCCCGATCCACAGATTGACAGCGTCAGGAGGTTTATCTTGCATGAGACAAACACTCAACCATGCATTACCGGCGACACTGTCTGACCTTTGCTCACCAAGCGCGTCACTGCACCAAGGTACCTCAGCCGGAACATCTGGGCGAAGCGTCTCAAATTCGCAGTCAGCCGATACGCCTCCCTCAAAGTAGGAGTTTGTGTAGAGGTTCCCGTTCTGTGATTGCAAGTAAAGCACCTCGTCTCGTCTCGACCCACTTGATCCTAATGCAATTGAGTGAGGACCAGGGTGATATAAGAAAGCCTTAAACCTTGCCCAATGCAGTCAAGCAGTTCCTCCATGGTCATTTGCTCGACTAATGGTTCTACAAAGTATTGCGAGCCATCAGGGCTTGTAGTAACTGCATCCGCTTGCCTTGATGGTAGGAATTGGACGTAATTCTATGATGGCAGACGGCCTACGTACCCGTTAGGCGTGATCGCTACGGATACGGGTCGTTTACCCATACGATCCACAAGATAATCATCAGTCCACCTGCTGAGCGCAGGCGGAATAAACCCTAGGTAGATGGACATCGATGCACGAAACATACAGTTTTGGATGTCTGACTGGATGAACTCAAACTCACCCTTAATTAATACCGGTCGTGATATGTGTACCAGTCTTGAGAATTCAAGTGGGCTTGGGGGATGATCCAAGGTCTCAAAGCGCGACCCATTAGCATCTGCAAGGGTGAAGTCAACGCATTGCGGGACGAGTGATAAGGGATGCCATTCTTGCGTGCAAAACCCAATCCGGCAGCCCAATGAGTATTGAGTGAAGGACTGAGTGCTTACCATGATATTCATTGGAGATCCAGGCGAGTAAGTTTGGATCCACTGGCGGTTGATTTGACGACATACATACAGCTCAGAGCTCCGTGTATGGTTCTGAAATGTTCGTGTTCATCAACGACGATTCGAGCCAAGTTTGTGCACCAGTGTCGTCACGCGTATCACACTGGGGGCAATTGCCCATGTTTTCGTAGAAAACATTCAAAATGTTTTGAAGGTCACCTTCCTAATTGGGCAGGTCACTTTCCATATTTGGCATTTTAGCAAAACATTTTAAATGTTTTTGACATGTTTCCCCTGGAAACATCGTCTAATGCCCCCAGTGTCACGCGGTTGGATCACGACGTACGTCACGCGTTCGTGACCGTCGCGTCGGGCGCGGAGTTAGGCCTTCACACCAACCATGCTGGAATCGGGGCGAAGAAAGCCGCCAGTGCGATCAAAGAAACAGAAAGTAAGTTTTTGCTACAATGAAGTACCTTTCAAAGCCTCTCACATGTGGTGCCTCAGGGAGGCCAGAAAACTATATTAGACCTTTTTGGCAAAAAGGCAGACCTAGCCCCTTCCGCCGCCCTAGCTTTGCCCCCTTCTGAAGAGCCCCAGACCGAACACAGCGACGACTCCTCAGCACCAGACTCTAAATTTGGGATCAGCAAAGTCGAGGGTAGCTCTCACTCGAGCATTATCAAGGACGGGTCGAATATACGGCGTACAACAGTGCCTGGTGCGTCATATACTTGATAGTATGACGCGGCTACCATAACAAATACAGCAAACTCTGACAAACCCCTGTATCCCATCTTCAGGACGGTGGCCAAGCCTCAGGTTCAGTTTGCTGCTGTGGAGTCTGCCGCTGAAGGATCTTCCTCAGCTATCCCTACGATTCTTAATCTTGCATCGCCGTCTACCCCCTCATCTTCACCTCCACTCTCGGTACCCGCTTCTGAGGCGGGCATTCCTTCCTCTCCAAGCACAGGTACTGCCTTCGAGGTGCTGACAATCATTAGCGACGACGAATTAGAAGTCCTTGAGCCAGATTCTGATGTCGTCATCGTGGATCCTCCCAGAACAATCAAGTTACAAACCAATACGAGAATCAATCTCGTACAGAAAAACCCTCAAGTAACACAACGGGGTGAAGAACTATTGTTCCCAAGTGCGGTATCACAACATGTCAAAGGTCCGCAGACCCCGTCCTCAGTTACTTCGGGTGCTCCTCCGCGCAAACCTCGTCGTCAACAGTCAATCGCGTCTCCGTCTGGTGCACGCCTATCTGCTCATCTGTTGCAACCTACTCGAGGAAGCAATGAGCTTCCGGAAGAAATCTTGCTGGTTTCCTCTCAGCATGTTGACGATGAACTTTTTGGAAATTTGGGTCGCCAACATGCAGAACAACACCCTGCCATCGCACGATTTTGGAGCGAAAGCAGTGCTAGTTTTCCTCAGCCATCGAACGCACAAGACTTGTGGACGTTACGATGGCGCCCTCGTTCTGCTCGCGAGGTCATTGGAAACGAGAAGAACGCTTTGTACCTTCGAAGCTGGCTGAAAGCTCTTGAACTCACGTTGGAACGTCCAGACTCCAAACCTGAGGAGGCAATCTCTCCTGATAGCCAGCAAAGAAAAAACAAGCGCTCTGCGGAAGTGACGGATGCAAAGGGCAGACATTTCAAGCGCCCACGAGTAACCCGCGCCGTAGCAAAGTCTCGAGGGAGATGGAGATTACGGGTAGATTCTGAAGATGAATCTGACGATTTCGTCGTAGACGATGACGATGATCGTAATCATAGTGACGGAGACAGCAATAACGACGACGACGACGAGGAGCAACCGGCTCTACCTAATACTGACACCTCCCAAGGGGCATTAGATTTCTCTCATCATCTAGCACGTTCTCAAATTCAACATCTAGATTCAAGTCCCATGAACGATACGGATGCCAAACCACGCAATGTCACGTCCTCACTAATCAACGACTCAGACATCCCTTCCTATTCTTTTGTTGACGGCCTGACCAACACCCTTCTAATAACTGGAGTGTCAGGTTGCGGCAAGACTGCTGCTGTGTACGCCTGTGCCGAAGAGCTGGGATGGGAGGTCTTTGAAGTTTATCCTGGCATAGGCAAGCGCAACGGCGCCAATCTTGAGCGACTTGTCGGAGATGTGGGCCGAAATCACACTATCGACAGAGGGCTCTTCCAGAAAGGAAAGCACGCGACAAGAACCTTGCTCTCAGCCCTTGCCCGAAAGGAGGGACCTATAGAGGATGAGTCTTCTGCATCTGAATCCTCTGGTGAAGGGGAAGCTATGGAATATGCCTCGAGAAAGGATCCGCAGGCCATCCCCGACGGACAGGACAGCAGCATCAGGCAATCACTGATTTTATTGGAGGAAGTGGACATCTTGTTCAAGGATGATGTAGGGTTCTGGCCTTCGTTAATCGACTTCATCAAGAACTGCAGACGGCCCGTGATTTTAACATGCAATGGTAGTTGTTCATTCGGTTTCCGGTTATTCTTTTCAAGCTCATGATTAAGCTAACTTCAGATGAACATCTGATCCCTGTCCTTGATCTACCCTTACAATCAACACTTTTCTTCAAACCAAGTCCTTTAGATGAAACGGTCACCTATCTTCAACATGTCTGTCGTGCTGAAGGGTATAACGTGTCTCGAGACTCACTGGCCACAGCTTACACATCCAAACATCTGTCTGATTTGATTGATGTCTCTGCTTTGTCCAATCTTGACCTGCGGAAGACACTTCTCAACCTACAGATGCAGTTGTCGGGCAAACCACCACCTACCCGCGCAGCGGATACAGCCGCAGTGCCACTAGTGATCCCGAGCTCAGCAGAGACTACGCTCCAGCAGGCTACAGAAGAATGGAGATGGCTATGCCAGCATAGTGACTGCATGTCGTTTGTGGATAGCTTTCTCAGACGGAGAACAACGGAGAGCCCAGAGGTGAGTGCGATGGGGTAAATGGGATACGCGGCCAGCTGACAAGTGCATAGGTACTCGCGTTTGAGGGGACTGAGACTTCCCCTGATGACGAACTAGGTTATTCCGTGCTTTATGGATCTACTAGCACGCGTGAAGCCCGTGACGGCATGGTATTTTACCGTGCCGACGAGAACATAGCAAGGGAAGCTATCCGAGCCTCACGTGGAACGCACGAGGAATGGGTGCCGATCAAGGGTGCTGACGGACAGGTCGTAGATCAGGAACTGTTCCGTGCTCGCGTGGAATACCAAAGAGAGTTAGCGGACGGACTGGCGGGGATAATGACTTCGTCTGGGCTGATGCCTCAGGAGTCGGCATTCCTGGATTACATACCCTGGGTACGAGAACTCGTTCGGATTGACGACATGCACGAACGAGAGGCGTGGGACGGGAGGGAGAGGGAGAGGAGTGGGCGGATGACGCGGAACAGTATGCGTGCAAAGCATGCGCGTACAATTGAACTAAACGAGGGATCGTATAGGAAGGTGATGGGAACGGGTCTTGACTGCATGGGAGAATGGTCGGGGGTCGGGAAAGAATTTATGTCAATTTCTAGTGAGCGGTAACTACTGAGTACCAAGTGTTTGCCATTAATGTGCGGATTGAAGAGCCGAAATGACATTATGATGTCTTCAAATACAAGAGGCAGTCATAAACAGTCATACAAGTGGCTGCACGTTGGCTATGCGATATGTGCAAGTACGGAAAGGGGCAGATGAACTTGGGAGGTTCCGCGGTCGTCAGAGTATGTCGAGGACGTGATTAGGAGATCAGGCGGGGGGCGTCAATATACCCATTCCGGGCGGAGGTGTGGCCACGTGTGTCTCTCGGCCACACGTTGAGTTGGACCATAAGCGGGAAGATGGTCGACCGCTACGAACCTTTCTCATCCCAACCGCCGACCAGAGTATTCGTCGTCTCCTCCTTCCCCTTCCAACCCTCACCTCATCGGGCGTGATGCCCGCCGCCACGACCTTTGACACGAACATGCACGACTCAAACATACCCAAACACACTTCCCAGTCTCCGTCTCCGCCCAAAGACGCTCCACATCAAAGGCACTCCCCCGCCATATCCCTCCCGCCCCTCGACTTCCTCAACGATCGCAGGCCCTCGCTCTCCGACACTATTCTCCGCAATTCCCCTCGCAGCTCGCCGTCCTCCCGTACCCTTGACGGTAGCTACCTTCCCGTTGTCTCCTCTCGCCTGCTTATTATCTCCACAGCGCCCCGTCCAGCAGCCAACTACGTCTTTGGTGACAGCACCGCTTCCACTGCCAATGGTGAAACTTCAGGCAGCCAGGTCCGTAGACTGCTCAGGTCACCTTCCCCCGAGCGCGAGAGAGGCCCTCTTCCTGCTATCAACTCTCCGATGATGCAAAGCTCCAGTGAGTACGCTTGCCAGTCACAGCTTGTCGCGACGCCAATGTCAGCACAGGGTCTCCTCACGACAACAAACATGAAAATCCTAACCTGTCGCGCTCTCCGCGCTACTCGCTGCCGATCGACCAAGGCAAACAATTGCACGGTCACCTTTCGGAGGAAACGGACTACGGGTCCAGGCGACAGTCCCTAGCTGTAAGTTTGTATTCAAATGCCACAAACTCCTTTCTTATTTCCATTTTATAGACATCTTCAGACTCGATTGTTCATGGGACCAAACGAAAAATGTCAATGGATCGGGACACTGAGGACACGGATTCTCAGCTGGTGGGTCCGGGCATGCCTAGTCCAATATATATGGACCCCGATGGGCGGGCGCAGAAACGAAGGGGGTCTGCTGTGGACACCAACCGAATATCACAGCTTAGTTTATATGATCGACGGAATTCCGTAGATTCACGGCTACTAGGCGGCCCAGCAGGCCACCACAATTCACCACTGTGGCTAAACGAAAGACGTAACTCCATGTCGTCCTTCACCAATGGTGGCGGTGGCTATTCTTCGGCATTCACCGGCACACATCCCAGAGCCCATGCACCCTCCACGCCTAGCAGCATGGCGACTTTCGCGTGGTCTGCAGCACAACAACCTGACAGCCAAGAGGAACCCCACTCCCATCGCCCCTTTGACTCTCAACCACCACATAGCATGTCTATGATGCCCCCATTGACCTTTCCGCCGGACAGAAGGATGTCTGTCCCAGAGAACAGTCTCTCTGGCCCTGGCCCAACACGAAATCTGCGTTCAAGATCACGCCCTCCATCGCGCCAGCTCCGCGAACCTATTCACCACCCAGGCAGCTCTACGCTGCCCGCAGCTACCGCAGAGGAACCTCCGTCGGAGCCCACATCCTCGACTACTCCCAACACCGCTTCAACATCTACCGCTTCCGCCTCAAAGTCTAACAAAGATTCAGGCACCACGCCTTACTCGCGGTCACCAGAGCTTCGTGTATCACACAAGCTTGCAGAAAGGAAGAGAAGAAAAGAGATGAAGGATCTCTTTGATGAGCTTCGGGATCAACTGCCTGCTGATCGAGGCATGAAAGCCAGTAAATGGGAAATATTAAGCAAAGGTATGTCATACATCATAAAAATACGAGTAGCCACTGACGCTAGCCTCCCTCTAGCCATTGACTTTGTTGTCAATCTCAAACAAAGCCACCAAGAGATGCTTCGGGAAATCGAAATGCTTCGACATGAACTTGAAGGTTTCAGGCAGGGCATACCTTCGTATGCCACAGGGGCTCCACCGCCATCGATGGTATACGCATCGGCGCCTGTCGTGCATAGCCATTATCCTCCACCCCCCACAGCCCAGCCACCACACCCCCATCAACCAACAATGCCTCCGCAATCTAACATGTCTCGGCCTCCGTCTTCTGATACTGGCTTCACGCCCGGTATCCCTTCAAGCGGCCCAGGCAATGGTGTGCCAAACGGCAAGAACTCAATGTCGGGGAGGTCAGAAGCCCCGCCGTCCTAGTTTCACTGATGCTGCCTTTCTTGTTTTGCGAGGATCTGTTCCAATTACCATGCTTAAGTTTGTTATACTACACGCCTGGGATAGCGTAGCCTTTCTGATGGGTTTGATACTTGTTCCACGGACCGATGCATGATCTCAATATGTATATAGTTTGCAAGCCTTGCAATGTTGCATCCATAGCTATCAACAGAGTTTACACCATTCCACATTTCTCACTGTCTGCAAACTTGCGAACGTCAACCTGGAAACATGCGAGTTGCAGCTGGTTACCACCAGGCGATTCCAGTGTAGGAGCGATTACGTCAGCGCACCTTTGTGTGTGGAACAATGCAGTCCGCCATCGGACACAAGCCTTGTTCTTGGACCATCGCCGTGGCTAGGGCTTCCTTCGGCGCACGGTCTTCCTCATCGCCCAATATCATATATCATCCCCACTCACTTCAACCTCATCATGCCCAAGCCCAACGAGTCCATCCTCTTCCACAAGAAGAAGCCTGTCAAGAAGCCCTCAGGTTCACTCCCAAACGGCACACCATCCAAACCCAGCCCTGCTGCACCGTCGTCTCCTCGCAAAGCTCCCCTCCCCCGCGCTCCGCCACCTCCAGACACCGATGATAGTGCAGCACTTCCCGACGGACCGTTCAAGGAATATAAACTCATGTCCTCTGCATCAAACGGCTGGAAATACGACGTCATGAAGTTTGATTCGCGGAAACCGGTGGATGTCTCGTCATGGCAGACACCCATAAAGCTGAACCGGAAAGAGCTCATTAAGGAAGAGGTGCCGGTGGCCCGCGTTGCTGTGGGCCAGATGCTGGGCACCGATGGCAGACCTGTAGTGGGCTCTGACGGCAACGTCGTGATGGTCGATGCTGAGGGCAAACCCATCACCAATACCGAGGAGAAGGACAGGAAGGGCAAGGGACCTGCGAACGGACGCAAGAAGTTCCAGAAGAAGACAAGACAGGTGTTCTTGGTTCCCGAGGAGACGAGGCAGCTGCGCAAGGAGGAGCGGTATCCGTGGGTAATGGAGGATGCCACTCAGAAGGAGCTCTGGGTTGGCAAGCTGGAGGATGTCTCCAAGGCTGATACCCATGCCTTCTTCATGCCACTCAATACGGAGATCTTCAAGTTCGTCCCGGCTCACAGGTGGTATAAATTTCAGAAGAAGCCCAACTACCATGTGCCCAACCTTAAGGAGGCCGAAGAACTGGTGAGCCTCTCTTGTGGTTTCCCTTCGGCCCATTCTGTTAACGAGCTTGTGCATGAATTGCAGATGTCAAAGATCCAAAAGCATAAAGATCCCCAGACTTGGCTATTCCGCAACCGGGCGGGACAAAAGGCATCGGATTCTACATTAGAAATGTTCGGTCAGAAGATAAAGAAGGATCCTGACGAGGATACGCGGAGCGCTGCACTCGGAGGCCGGAAATTGCGGACAACGGACCGTGGTCCTTCTGACCTGTTTGGAGACGACGAGGAAGCTGGAGGAAACCAGAACAAATCTAGGCAGAAGGACGACCATGATGGTGACCTGGATGAGATGGAGTTTGAGGAAGAGTTTGCAGATGATGAAGACATGAACGCTGCGGACAATGACGATGAGGAAGCAAAGGAGCTAGAGGTAAGCAAGGGAAAGGTCATCGGGTCTCTGAGAATAATCCGGGCCAGGAACGTCTTAAACGCGAGTACAAGAACGCGAACAAACAACGCGAAGGCTATGTAGACGAATCAGAGGAGGAGGAGGAGGATCCGTCGAAACGGAAGGGAGTCAAGGCGATGAAGAAACTTATTCGCAATCTAGAGAAGAACAACGTGTACGAGAGTGATGAGGAAGGGAACCCGTATGCGAGCTCTGTAAGTCCGTATGTACGCTCCTTTATTTCAGGAAGTTCACACTATATTCAGGAAGAGGAGGAGGAGGAGGAGATGGCTCCGGTCACGAATGAGCCAGCTATTCAGCCTCAGCAAGCGGAGTCTCGGGCAGGATCTCAGACGCCGTCTTCAAAGCCAGGTTCTAGTCGTCCGGCCAATGCGCCAGGCTCGGGGTCGCGAGCCAACTCACCCACACCTGCACCAAGTATGGGAGGCCACTCGCTCATGGCTAAACGAGCGACGAGCCCGAAGGCTCCGAAAGCCAAGCCGACTAATGCCAGTCGGGGCAACAGCCCTTTGAGCGGACAGTCTCCTGCGAGCCGCGCCACGAGTCCTGTGGCAGGAAGCCGGGCAACGAGTCCAGTTGCAAATGTAGGTAGCCCCGGGTCGGATGGTGCATCGCCATCGATGAAGCGCAAAGCGACCGATGACTCGTCACATAACACTGCGAACGGCGCCACCAACGGAGCTCAAGGGACACCCAAGTTAAAGAAACGAAAGGCTGTTCCTGTAGGAGGTACAGGAGGCGAGCTAGGCGAGAAGATGGTGGTCGACTGGCTCAAGAACACGCCTAACGCGTCGACGCGTGACTGCATTCAACACTTCACGCCATACCTTACGGACGAAACAAAGAAGGCGAAGTTCACCGCGCTGGTGAAGGAGGTCGCTCAGCTCAAAGGAGGAGTGCTTGTCCTCCGGAACGCGTACCGAGGCGGCTCAGCGGCTGCTTCGCCGGCGCCAACTTGACATCCAAGGCTGGCTTTGTAAACTGACCGAGATCATCGTGACGGCCGAATTCTCTGATGAGGGTCCTTCTTTCTATCCCATGATATTCCTTGTCTGTACGCTGAGGCTGATAGAGCGGCAATGGCATTCCATTTGGAGGTGCTCTTCCTTTTTACGATTAAGGGGTACTCAACCCATAAGCTTCGAACATCGGTGATTGGTTTGGCATCCTTGACCATTTCAGATAATGGGGAATCTACAGATCAACACCGAAGAGCAAGAATAAGAATGATCGTTACGATTGGACGAAGAAGACACGGTAAGGCATGTCACTTTATCGCCCAACTTCCCGACCTGCAATAGGAATGCGCATCGTCGATCCCGTACGACCCGGATATGGAAGGTGCTGTAGAACGATTGGATGGTTGGCGAGCTGAGGATTGGTATGTGCATTCCTTTCCTCTAGAATAGAATATAAGGCCTCGTCTTGCACGATGTTGCTTTTTCTATCCCTCAACCACAGCCTATCCCTTCTCGCCCTTCCTCGGCCCTCCTGCGCCCCCCGCTCCCGAAGTTATGCCTAGCCGACTCGCATCCTCCGTCCTACTGGCGGTCGTCACCCTCGCCACCGCCTCTCACTCGGCCAAGATCGCGAACGACTACGACCAACCGTCCTCTGCCTGGTATCAGCCTGATGACCACCCCGTTCATGCCCTCTTCAAGCGTGGCCACGTCGCGGTAGACGCCACCATGTCTTATCCTGAGGTAGGATCAGCGCGTATGTCTTCATATTATCCCCTTTCGTATGAGAATTCTAACATTCTTTTCAGAGTGGCGTGCTGGGTACCCTGCAGCGGAGGCCCCCACCGAGACCTTACCCAAGGCCTGGGTCGACCGTCTCAATGCTGCCGTGACTGCGGGCAAAATTCCAAACATCCCCCAGAGTATCCTCACCCAGGGCGTTGCACCCACATATCCCGAGGGCTATGACCCAAACAACTCGACTGTGTGCTCCTCGACGTACAAGTGTATCACACCCGGCGATATCTGGGATGCCCCCACGGGCAAGCTTGCTCTCAGCTTCGACGACGGTCCTCTTCCGGTACCTTCGGCTAAAGTTGTACCAAAGCTTTGCTCCTGACGTTGCTGCACTTTAGGCATCCACCGCTCTCCTCCAGTTCCTGGCCAAGAACAAGCAGAAAGCTACCCACTTCTTCATCGGCACGAACATCCTCAACAACCCTCAGGTCTTCAAGACGGCTTTCAACGACAACAAGGACGACATCGCTGTCCATACGTGGACTCATCCTTACATGACCTCTAAATCAAATGAACAGGTCCTTGGCGAGCTTGGTTGGACCATGGAGATCATCCACAACTCGACGGGTGGTCGTATTCCCAAGTACTGGCGCCCTCCTTACGGTGACTCTGACATGCGAGTGAGAGCCATCGCTAAGGAGGTTTTCGGATTGACCACTGTGATCTGGAACCAAGAGTGCGCGCTGTGCTAACTTGTTATCTTTGGGTTTGCTCACACTATGGATTCCCAGCACGAATGACTGGAGTCTGTCTGAGCCAGTGCCTCTGACGACTTCTACGGAAATTCATGCCAACATGACGCAATGGTTGACAGGTGGGAAGTGTTCTCTCTTCCTCTTCCGGCTTGACCGACTCTGTTCCAGGGCCCAAGACACCTGGTTTGGTGATCTTGGAACATGAACTCTCGAACGCGTCTGTTCAGAGCTTCATCGATGCGTACCCCATGATGACCAGCAACAAGTGGAACGTTGTCTCCCTTGCCGCACTTGATGGAGGCGCTAGTTACCAGAATGCGTATGATTCGTCAGCTCCAGTGGCCGCAGCCAACGTGGGAGACCTCAATGTTAAAGCTCCTGCGGCTCCTGCTTCAAGTTCGACTACCCAGGCGTACGTTGTATTCGCTTTGATCAGTGACCGAGCTTTAATCACAATCACAGGAGCAAACCATCGGGAACGACGGCCGGTAAGCCCAAGGCTGCTCAGAGGAATGGAGGCTCCTACAACGAGCCCGTCACTTTTGTGTCAGTTGGCGTCACTCTATTCTCCGTTTTGCTCGGCATCTACTCTCTTTAATATGGGTCGGGGGTTCATGATATATACGATACACATACCACATACTATAATCCCTAGCATATATGCTATACATTCTTTTTCAGGTCTTTGTTTCAGCGTGTTCAACAAGGCAACATGGCACTTCAATAACCTCTTGAATCGTCATGAAATCGTAAGTGGGTACATAAATTATCGTGACCATGATATACCAGAAAGATTAACGTGCCCGAATGCAACCAAGTAGTATCAACAACACAGCGTCATCAGTGGTATCGCAGATAAAGTCTGGTAGCGTGGGTAAGGAATGTAATGTGTAACAGTATATACACCTAAGTGGGGGAATAAAGGGCATGCCTATGACATGTGGAGACAAAAGTGTTCCTCTGCAATCAGGCTGACGACAAGATACTGGGCCATTTGATTTTGAGACCCTCCAGCCACCGCATGTAAAGTAGCTCAGCTATAGGAGACTTGCGCGACGGAGAGCTGGTAGAACTGCTCTCATCTGATTTCATTGAAGGGGGATAGGGAGACGGCGAAGATGACTCTGGAAGTCCCGATATTTCTTCCTGTTCCTCGGTGACAATCAGGCCCTTTGTCGTCATTTCACTTCTACGAACAACACGCTTGTGTGGGAACAGACCGCGGGAAGTGTGGATGTGGCGGCGAACCGACTGGTTGCTGTGGCAAGGTTAGCACGGAAATGCAAGTATGGAGACTTCAAACATACTCATTAATGCCTGATAGTATATCAAGGATGATGTTATAACTAAGTGCGGGGTTGGTGTCCCGCAGGTCGGCGAAGCCTCTGGCGAGCATACTAAGGGATTCAATTTCTCGTGCGTCCATATCGTCACTAATGGCCTATGAAACCCGTTAAAGGCAAGGCATTAGACATGGCATAAAGCAGGACGCTCACATTCTGTAGAACGGGGATGACAACGTCATCCACCAATGCCTTGCCACCCTGTTCCTTCTCGCTGATCCTCCGTTTAGCCGATCCTTTCGAGGGCGTTGGCGATGTAGGTGACGATGCCCCCTCTTCCCGCGTTCGTTGATTCCCTACATACTCGGCAGAGAGCCGCAAAGAGCCGGCGGTATCAACCTTCTTTACGGGCCGAATGGTATCTACGCCGGTGCCGAGATCGGCCTCTCTCATGATCGTGCCGGCGCCTCGGATGTTGCTCCGCGCGGCGTACGACGAGCGCCGGGTCGAGCGCAGAGATCCGCTGTTGGTTGACCGGCCGTCCATCGGCGAGTCGTCCTCGTCCAGCACGGGCGTCTCCGTGGACGGGTCGTTCGCTTCCGCGGCCATGAGCGCGTGCACGTCCACCTCCTCTGGGGAGCCCTTGATGATGACCGTCGAATGCGCAGCCTGAGGGTTCATGCCTATCCCGTTTGGATGGCCGAGCGGATCGCTGCCCTTGACAGCACCTCCGGTGTCGACCGATTCGTCCTCGTCCTCGTAAATGTCGTCCATTTCCTCGATGTAGTCCTCGTAGTCCCCCTCCGGCAGCAAGTCCCGGGCGGCACTGCGGAACGTTCCCATGGCCGATGTCGACTTGATAGTATCAAAGTTCCAGTCACTCCTGATGGTACCGTTGTTCTCCCAATGCATGCTATTCCTGGCTGTCGCCTGATAAGGCTGTTGAGCGCCCTTGTGAGGCTGGCGGGCGCGATGGTCTTGATATCGCTCGATGAGTTCAGTGAGATAAGACGTCTTCTTGGCTCCCCTAATAAATCGATGAGCAAGGAGCTCCTTAGTACTTGGTCGCTGAGAGACGTCATAGGTTATGTGCCAGTGTAGGAGCTTAATGAACGACGTACTGCATGCGGATCTTTCGTCAGACATTGAGTGACAAAGTCTTTGAAGTTGGGGGAGAAAGCGCCGTCTAGCACTGGTGGCTTCGCCTTGGGTATCAAGAAAAGAACGCGCATGGGGTGATATTCCGCCAGAGGTGGCTCGCCTTTGGCCAATTCGATGGCGGTTATGCCCAAACTCCATACATCTGCCTTGGCGTCGTAGCCCGCCTGCCGAATTACCTCTGGCGCCATCCAGAAGGGAGTGCCGACGAACGTATGTCGGAGAGTGCTGGTCAGCTGGGCGGCGACACCAAAGTCGGCTAGCTTGACTTTGCCGCTGGCGGACAGGAGGACATTAGCAGCTTTGATGTCGCGATGGATGGTGCCTTCGGAGTGGAGGTAGTCAAGGCCGAGCAATAGCTCCCGACATATGACTGCGATATGGGCCTCCGAAAAGGTGCCTGCCTTGAGAAGATCAAGACATGAGCCTCCCGCCAGGTACTCCATGACGATCCAGAGTTTGTATGCGACGACGAACGATCCATAATAACGTGTAACATATTCCGAGTCGCACTGGGCAAGACTCGCGATCTCTTGTTGTATCTCTGAAATGTCGTCATCCGAATCCTCGAGGTCTGTGGAACGGTGAGCTGGGGTGTTGAACGAAAGAAGAGGGTACGACACAGACCGATCTGTTTGATGGCGACGATCTGCTTTGTCTCGTTGTGCATCGCCTTGTAGACGACGCCAAAGCTACCGGTGCCGAGTTTCTCGAGGAGGGTGTACTGACTGGCCGGGTTGTTGCTCGGTATTGGATAAGGCTCGCGGAGACGTGGGCCCTTGTCGGAGGAGGAGCGACGGGGCGGGGAGGCCGGGGTCGGGGAGCGGGGGGACTGTGCATAGGGATCGTCAGCGTTGCTGGACTTGCGGAGGCGGCTGGGAGACATGGTGGACCGGAGAGATGGCAGAAAGCCAGTCAGAGAGTCAAAGAACTCATGGAGTGCGGAGAGTGCTGTGTGACCTCAGCCAGCTGCCCAACATGGCACTATGACCACACGTGTTGTCCCAGAAAAGCGACAGTGATGTGCGCCAAAAGTGCCACCATCTTCTTTCGTGTTCACATACACATGACAGCCCGCACCAGTGAAACAGCCAAATGATAGCGAGAATGCATTCGGACCTAACTAGGGCTCACCATTTCAGCCTCGACGCCTGTGTCCCAGATCTATGTCTCTCGTGGTTTCAAGTACTGGCAAATTAAACCGCGGTGTTGTGGGTGTGATGGTGCGCAACCGAGCGAGAATGCGAGCAGATGCGAATAAGAGAAACGGTTACGGGGTCGCAGAGGAACGGACCGGTGATGGGCTGGGATAGTTGGGACGGGGCGCAAGGATCTTCTAAATCGTGTGGCGACGGCTGATATCGCTGAGAAGATGGAAAGGACGATATAGTGCTTGGGTACCGAGTCGTGGGATAGTGCTCGATTCGAAGAGTTATCTGAGGTGCGCGCACGGGCTGACACACGATGCCGGGCCCCCGTCAGACCGTCGATTGAACCAGCCGTCAAAACCACTCACCCTGATCAGCGATGCCTCGGGAGAAAAGTCGCAATAGCCCAAAGCCAATGTGAGGTGGACTTACGGATTTATGCACGCCAATGGCCCGACGGCGCTCGGTCGTACCGTAGGTATGACGTCTAGCCGCTGTCACCACAGGTCATCACCAATTGTTGCCGTGATGAGCCAGCTCATCCCAATGATTCGGCATCCTCGGACACAAAACCCAGTCTACTTTTTCTTCCGTAATTCCAATTCAAGTCGCATACTAGTCCAGCTTCGATTCAGCCTGATCCAGGTCCAGCTGCACAGTACTAGTGTGCAAGGACACGGGCGCTTGCAGAGCGCTTGCTTATTCTAATACCTGACAGATAACATGCCTCTAGTGATTTTGTGCATGACGCCCAATCGCGCAAGCTTCGTGTGGTGTACAGCTCATCAACTCCACCTAAATCACCCAAATCAGTGCCACGTCTTTGCCATGTAGAGTGAGTTTGCCTCAGACTCCGAGCGCTCTTGAACACCCAAGGCATATCATATCGGCATGTGTGATGGCGTAGGGCATACAATACTCAAAGCAAGGTCAGAACAACCGCCATAACCTCCTCATCCCACCGTCCCAGATCCACCCACGCTTATGCCCGAACAGCGTACTTCCGTAGAGGGAAATGGATGTCCTTCTTGCGCTGCTTCTCCGTCTTCGAGGCAGCTTCGTTCTATCGTCGTTCGTTAGCACTGTAGATTTTGGTCGCATAGATGGATCTCACCTTGGTCAATCGCCGCCGGATAGCCCGCGTCTTCTTCGGCCGGAGGTCAAGAGGAAGGTACTTCTTGTTCTTGTACAGCTGACGCAGGTTTTGCCGCGTCTTCTGGTTCATGACGGTGAGGACACGAGCGATCGACTTGCGCACGATGTTGCTGTTGTCCTGTCGGTTCCAAAATTCCAACCAGCCAGCTGAAATAAGACGCACATTTTGGTGAGTTTTGACGCCGATCCACCAGCAACCTTCTGGACCCGGAGGGTCAGAAGCTCATTTTTCAGCTCATCGAGCTGTTTCTTGAGGTCGTTCTTAGTCCTACAGTCGTGATCAGTCTCCAAAGGCGGGACTTGATAATGGCATAGTTTCATACTTCGACTGAAGCTCGTAGGCCTTAACTTTGCCGGGCATGTTGAGTTTTGGATCTAGCGTGAATTCAGCATCTCATCACGATGATGTCCAGCAGAGGATAGACTGACCTTGAGGGGGATGTCGTGCAGGGTGTTCGCACCGTCGCGTAGTACGGAGACGCTTGCCGAATTTGGTACTGTATAGTTCATCAGCCCCTTCTCTCACGGGTAGCCGCCCCTATCTTCTGGCACTTCACACCTTCACCTTTACCAGTCTATGTTTTCACAATCACCAGTTGATCTATTGTTTACTACGCTGAACTAACTCATCAAACTTTACCAAAGATCCTCCAAAGATGTCCAATGCGCTGCCGAAATCTCAGAGTGTGGGTATACGCGTTAACAAATAGCCACGCACCTTCCAAACGTCAGATCGACTTTACCGCCCGATAGTCGTTCGACAAGATCGAGATCCCCGACATCTAGGGACTAGTCAATACAAATCCAAAAGGACCAAAGGCACTCGGCATACAATTTGCTCCTCCGGCATAAGTCGTCGGTATTGTGACCCACTCGCCCAGTTCTAGAACACAGATATGATAGGTGGCTGCGCTCGGACTCAAGACCTACTTTTAACAAGTTCGCGGTCGACACCTTTACACAAACCTTCTACATCGGCAGCGTGTATCAAGAACTCGCTTTGGGAAGTCAGCAAGCCAGAAGATAAGCGCACATGGCGCGTGAATTACCTGCAGTATTCCGAGAGGATGTCGAGGGATTCTGTGATGCGACGGATAGGAGAAATCGATGCGAGACGCACATATTAGCGCACACGCACCTTTGCAAACCTCCATATCGGTGATGTCCTGCCATTTATTCATGGCCACGAACCATCCGTGTTCCCTCCTCCGACAGCTAGGACAACGGTTGACGTCCAGTCAATCTAATACTACCATAAGAGAATAGAGTGCATGTATACCCACCTGACATCGACCACCAATTTCTCCTTTCCGACAGCGTGAGATATGACCTTGAGTCTTTGGAGCGAGAACCTTGCTTGGGGGAACAGATAGGACGTAACGATGACCTGAGTCCCTCGTTAACACCTGCAATCATATCTATGACCGTTGATGCCGTCACCTTGCTGGCCCCGGCGTCCAGCCATGCTTGGGCGTTCTCCTCGGTTATACCACCTCCAACCTGCAGGCCACCTAGTTTCCCAGTTGGTTCGGTTTTGCATGTTCACACAGTGTTCAGGTTACCTACCTGGCCACGCAGCTAAGGCTTCTTTTGCCGCCTCGTCGTTGTTCGGACCGAGCTTGATTACATGGCCCCCCTCTAAGCCATTCTGTTTATAGAGATCTGCATAGTAGGTGGGCGGTTTACTGATTGCCTGTGTAAGCACAAGAGCGGCAGAAAGTATTGATCAACCTACTTCGCCACAAAGTTGGTTTTGAGAGATGTCTGATCGGTTTCTGACAGTGTACCGCCAACGATTTGCTTCACCACACCATCATGAAGGTCAATGCACGGCCGAAAGACGGATTTGGGCATGGAGCCGATCTTACAATGACCTGACCGTCGTGGTAGAGGACAAGAATTGATACCCCTGACATCAGGTATTCCCAACGGCCAAAACGTAGCTATTTTACATGGAGTGTCTTAAGTTGAAGCGCGCCCCACGTACTCGGATGAACGTCTTTAGTACTCCAACGAAGCCTCCATGATGCGAGTCAGATGCTCCTGACCGTCTTCGCCAACAACGTTGCCAATGTTAGGGGCAAGATCGAGCACGCGGCGCTGCGGGATGGTTCCCTCTACAAGCATCGGGATGTCGGCACTGCTATACCCGATCGCCTTCAGACCCCGAGGAACACCCAACCCGTCCAGGAAGCGAGCAATGGCTTCGTACAGATGCGAACCGATTTCAGTGTTCGGGATGCTGGTGATCGTGGGATCCGTGACTGCAGTTTGTCTGAATACCGCAAGGGCTTCGCGGTGGCGGTCCGGTGAGGAAGGAGCTGTGAACTGGAACACTGTACATCGATACGGGGCAAGTTACTTATCAGTAAGGCGAAAGGTTTATGTGGAGGTATTAACGCTACCTGCTGGTCCAGTCAAGGCAACGCTAGAAGATAGAGTTCATCATTTGGGATAAGCTCTTCAGCTAGAACGTTGAGCACTCACCTGACACCGTGCGGGACGATGGGGTGATCCACTTCGTATCCAGGGTGCTTATACTTAGGCCCTTTCTTGTTCAGACCGGAAATCTGAGTACATGTTGGGTCAGATTGGAGCTGAACCAGTACTACAGTAACAGACAGTTACATACCGGGTAGCTCATCCCGTGGCACAGATGAACGCCGGCGTTGCCGAAGCCAATGCCAGCAAATGATGCCGCCAGCCTGGTAGCCCCTGAGTAATGCGACAAACAATTCATGGATAATTGGATCTTACAGCATCTGGCTTCTGGCCTCATAGTCACTTGGATCCTTGGCGACGCGAGGTAAATACTTCACAGTTGTTCGTAAAGCCCACATCGAGAAGATGTCGGCCACGGGATTACTACCTTGGTACGCAGGTCTTAGAATAGGGTTCTGGGGACGAGGGACACGTTCATTGTATCTGCGAAATGGGGTGAGAATGGTCTGCTTTGTTTAAGAGGTGCGGCGTTCTTACGGAATAGCAGTATAACTCTCCAAACTGTGGAACAGAACATCGAGGCCAGCGCTAATGTGCACGGCCGTAGGACAGCTCTCGGTATTCGCCGTATCAACAATCCCAAGAACAGGCTTCAGGGCGCGATTGGCGATACCAGTCTTGAAAGCACGAGACGTGACGTCAAAAATAGCCGTACCCGTCGTTTCGGAGCCGGTACCGGCGGTTGTTGGCACTGGACAGGGCGTCAGTTAGATCCAAGGAAGCCGATATGTTACGCGTTAAGGCTCTAACCAGCTATCAATGGCCTCAGACTTTGAGAAATGGGTTGACCCTTGCCAATAGGCGCGTTCACGAAGTCCATGAGGTCAGAATCCTTGTATACGGTGAAGCTGGAAGCGACAGCGACACTCAATATAGATCAATGAAAGCAAGACATGTCAGTATAACTCACAGATTCGCAGTCTTTGCAGTATCAATAACACTACCGCCTCCAACACTGAACGGGGTAGCAAGGTCAGCATCATTATCTGCCCGGCTTTGTGTTCTCGCTCACGCCAAGAAATGACTGAAATCATGTTCCCGTGCCCATGCAATAGCCTTCCGCCAGCTTTCTTCCGTAGGCTCTGCAACGACCTGATCGTAAATTTCGAAAGGCAAATCCTGCTGCGACTGCAACGACTCGAGTGCCTGATGTCATGCGTTTACGTCAACAGGGAGATTGGGTGCCTTATACCTCGGAGCATTACCGTAGCCATTGGTTTCAACTTCGCAACCACAGGATCCGTGAACACTCCGACCTAGGCAAGAGATGAGAAACGCCAACAATACAAGGTAGTCTATGACTTACTTTGCGGGCCTTCATATTCTTGAGGTCCATCCCGACTTCTTTAGTGACACCGTCGCCGAACCGGAGGTTGGAAGCAGCAACCTAGTAGCATATGACATCGAGCAAGCCTTGATTATATGGAGGTACATCAACATACCTCAAACGCATATTCCTTCTCGACTGTGTTGGTGGGAGTCGCGTACTTTCTCAACTGGTTAAGGGCAGCAGCGCCATGATTGTATGCTTGCGAAGCTGCACGGCAGCCATGGCATGGACAAGCGGTGTGCTGAGAGGCATTAATGAGCCTTACGATGGCGTTTCGAGAGGCAGGAGGAGGCATGAAGTGACTGTGAGTAGCTAACGGGCGAACCGGAGTTTGCGGGAGGCCCAAGGTCGCGTGGACAGGTTATAAGAACGCGGGGAAGTCACGTGTATAACCCGGACCTGGAGGTGGGTCGAATTACTGTGTCGGATGCTTGAAGTAGGTTGAGGCTCTCTCAGTGGCAGATCGAGAGCTCATACTGCAGTTCGTGATCCATAGAATGACTGCTTCTCCTCCTAAAGAGCGGCGCGAGAGATGGTTTTACAGGGACCATGACCCTTACCATGACCTTCTCGCCAACGCCCATCCTGAAGCCGGATGTCGGGAAACAAGGAACCCGACTCGGAGTCAAGTTATAGCTGGTGCGACGATAACTTGTGCGTTGTGTCATTTGCAGCATTAATATTACTGCTCGGGGATCATCGGTACTGATTGGGATGTAATCCAGAGCTTTACAGATGCAATAGCAGTGCGATGACCAGGACACGTGTGGGAAGCGGATTACGCGGAGAGGATATGTCGACATTGCACGCATCAAGATGTGAACCATTCCGGTTATATATGACATGTGGGTATTGTCATCGCAAGATGTAGAGGCATTTTGCTTGAAGGTACTGTTGTCAAATACTGTTCTCTAATGTTCTTGCACCATGGCTGATAAGCCTCTGTGAGCTCCAGATAGACATGCGTCATTGGCGTTTTCGTCAGCTCAAGTTTTGCCAGAGCCACGTTAGCCGCTTTGATGCCCCTGCCTCTCGTCCCGGAAATCTGACATTGAGGCTTTGCTTATTCTACATATGACGGCACTGGACACTCTCCTGCATCATCCCGGACGCATTCCGTGCTGTCACCATCGCTAACCAAAGATAATTTATCCAATACTAGTACCACTGCGCTCGTGCAAGATCTCAACATGACAAGCAGCCCGCAAAACAAGTGCGTCTAACCTCCCAGAGGGATTATCAGGAGTTGCGAGATCCGTGATGGCGTTCTTGCCTGGCTCGATTCCTGGTGCGGGCGGGACCATCTTGCCAGTTATCAAAACAGAGGATTGTGACTTCTTTTAGCAGACCTTGTCATTTGTCAGAGGTTCACGCCGACTCGCTCATTACGGCGGATGTACTGGGAGATCACGACAGACTTGGGAGTGTTACGAAACGAGAGTAAGGTTTGACTGTTTTCCACAGGAATGAGTTCAACAAAGACTTTTTGACAGATTTGCTGGGGTCTGTCAACTTGCCTATCTAAAGGGGCTAGGAATTTCACAGATTTCACCCCATCAGCGACACCCGACGATGTGACACCGAGCCCTCACACTGGTGTTCATGTTGTCGCACATGTTTGTAGATTTTGCATACTTGCATGCATCACCCCAAACCTGCAATTGGCAGATTCGCTGAACATTGTAGGCTGATCAGTCTGCTCGCTCGGCGCGCATAAGTACTATGCAATCCTTACAGAATCCTGCTGATACCGCATTCAGATCTTGAAATTTCTTGATTGCTTTTGGCACGCATAGCAGTAACCTAAGTACTAGACTATGGCTTGGAACAGTGGCCAGTTGAGCAAATTGAATGATTCCACTGGTTGTGTAGGGGACTCCCAAGTTGTGCCTATTACTACCGAATGGACCCCGCGACTGCGGGGCACGGATGAGTTGTCAAGTTGCCACCTTGCGTCTGTTATTATTAACTTATATCAAGTGTTCTCGGCTTGTTCTCGACCCCACCGCCATTGCCAGGGCGAACGCTGACTTGCAGACGTCCCGGCCAGCCATTCCTTTGCATATCCATTCGTTTCGTGTTCTTGCTCCTTCCTCTCGCTTTTGTCCATCCCTTCCCTCATGAAGCTTCTCAACTCATGGTCACTCGCCAGCTCGCTGGCATTTCTCTCCGCCTCTCCGAGTCTGGCCGTTGTCTTCCCCGTCCACCAGAAGCGCAGCGGATCCGTTTCGCTCTCTCGGCCGTCCTCTAGTCCTCAGGTTCTCGCTGCTGCGTCTTCTTCCAGTGCCAACGCTCTCACTCTCGAGTTCGTCTTTTCACTACTCTCGCCTGCCCCTGGGCCTAACCTCCGCTGCAGCGACGTTCATGACCTTATCTATATTGCAAATGTAAGCGTTCATATTTTACCTTCTTTTTCCTGTGCCTCACTGCGACTTTAGGTTTCTATTGGAGGGAACCGTACGTCTACCGCTCCTTATCTCGACATGTTAACGAACCCGGATGCGCTGCAGAATACCCCGTTCAACTTGATACAGGCTCATCTGATCTATGGGTGCTGGGGAAGTCTCAGCCTCTTCCTGGTGCTTCCGACACTGTAAGTGTCAGGTTTTCCTGGAAACTCTACCCCACTGACCCTTACCAGTCTCAAACTTACAACCTGACCGTAGGTAACCCACTCTGATGCCGTGAATTTAGTCTCTGATTTGTACGATCCAGTATGGGATAGGGTGGGCTTATGGCAACGTTTCGTATGCAACAGTCGAGTTTGCAGAGTACGTCCAAATGATATCCGCCCACAAACAGCTCATTGATGGATAATATAGCATCACAGTTCAAAAACAAGCTTTCTTGGATGTATCTCAGGCTGCAAACCCAGCACTCTCCTACAATGCTATGGGGATTCTTGGACTTGGATTCGACTCCTTGTCCACCGTGGATTACCTCGTCAACGCCACTGGGTCTTCTACGGGCCGCACCTTCCTTTACAACATGTTCCAACAAAATCCGAAGGAGCCTAACTATATCGCCTTCTCCATGCAGAGCCAGCTCGACACTCAAGACACCATCGCTGGTAGCTTCGCTATCGGTGAGGCCTCTCCTAGTACTATCTGGTTTGCAGTTCAGACGCTAATACAGATTCTCAGGGGAGACCGACCCTCAGTATTCCAACGTAACGAGCACGAACAAGATACCCACATGGCCTGTTGTTGCACCTAATCGGTGGAATGTCCTGCTCGATTCTTTCATTGTAGGCGAGCAGACAGTATCAGTTTCGACCAATGTGAGCGGCGTGCCCTCTGGAAAGGCCGTTGTCCTGCTTGACAGTGGTACATCTTTCACGTGCGTATTCTCGAGATTTTCCTTGCGCTTCTCTCAATTCGATAGATAGGTATGTTCCCTCAGATGTGGCACAGGCAATTTACGGGGGCGTCTCTGGTGCCGAGTACAACGCCCAGCTGGGCCAGTGGGTCGTTCCTTGCGGTGCGGAGATCAATATGGCACTACAGTTCAGGTTAGTAGGACAGGTGATGCTTTGTGTGATCCGGCTGATGTCTTGTCTAGTAACCAGATTTTCCCTCTCAACCCATTGGATGTGAGCCCAAACAGCACAAGCGATCCTTCCACATGTGTCGGCTCTTTCATCCCGCAAAGTGTTTCTGTTGGTGCTGGCCAGTTGTAGGTTCCATCAAAGGCTTCCATTGCGATAGCTCATCACGATTCGTCCATAGCGACTGGCTCATTGGTGACAGTGTTCTTCGCTCGCTCTATACCTTGTATGACTTTGGAGACTTTGACTCCTCAGGGAGCATGGGCAACCCGTATGTTCAGATGCTCCCACTGGTCGACCCGAACCAAGCATCTGTGGACTTCCATGCTCTTCGTGGAGGCACTCCCCAGAACAATATCACGTACAACGTTACGCCTTCGAGCGCTGATGGTACAACAACAGTGAACGTTTCGGCGGACACGCTCAATAAGGTGGCTCAGTATCTACCTGCGATGCTCGCCGTCATGGCACTCAATGCCGTCGTGCTGGTCGTCCTCGTCATCATGGGTGCTATCTTGCTCTGTAGGCGCCGACCTAAGTCTAGGGCCCGCAAGGTTCCTGGAAGGCTTAGCCCCATGCCAATGGGCAGCGTTGCCGCCCCTTCCAACTCGCCTCGTATCTCAGAAGCAGCACCGCCGCCACACACGTACCAGCCTGTGTCCATGGCCCTGACGGAGGATACCCTGTTCGTGCCTCCTTCTCCTGCGTTCAAAGGCGAGCGGCCGAGGTCAGTAGCTTGATGAGCGCAGTACATCTGTGCATCGGTGATATACGATTTATACCCCTTGATTACTTTGAAATACCACTTCGCGCCCATGTTTGTGCTTTGCCTTATTCACGGACTCGTAGAGCTCGGGCCCGTCATTCTTCATGGACTCGTTCATACTCTTTCGGACTTTGTGCTTATGTTGGCATCACGCCGTCCCCTTTGCATTAGCCAGATTAGGTTGTTGTATACAATAACTGTCGTCTCTCGAAAGGCATACTTAACCACTGCTCTGCTTCGAACGGAATCCAAGAGCTTATGATTTAGTACGGGAGTTCTTGGTGCTACGCACGGCCATGTCGTATGCGACAAAATCGTCCGTTGCTGCTAATGATCGACTGTTGCCCAGCATCTCCTCTTCCGCCTCTGGTGTTGGGCCGTTCCTGTTTGCAGCTGCCACCTCTTTCGCGCTGGCTGTCCATCTACGCCACCGTGAGTTCTGGTCTTTGGTAACCACGTCAGCTTCACGCAGGCGTCTGACAGCGCCCAAGAGAGCGGTTGCGAATCTGGAGAGGTAGAAAGGGTTGGATCTGCGATGGAGCAGCTTCTCCACGCCGACAGCCTCGGTGAGTGCTATGGCCTGTTCGACAGCGGCGAGGTCGTCTGTCGCCAGTGCGGTCCGCAAGACGTTCGCCATGACTTCTGGGTCAGGAAATATCTTTCTGTGGTCGACGGTCAGGGGGTAAGTGGCACCAGCGGCATCATCTGCGGGGTTCCGCCCGGTCATGAGCTCGAACGCACGCAATGCACCCGGCCAGTCTGCGCTGCGCCAGCAGGTCATGAACAAGAGATGGTACACCTGGAGGTTGGGCCGTATCAAAGGGATCTCGTATATCGCGTCGTTCTTCATACACCATTCGATTGTCTGGAGCGCCGGAGCGGACTCGCTCTGCGAACCGAGCGACGACAGACCGACGTGGGCGCGCAGCAGCTTCTGGAAGTGTGTGGCGTCCAGGAGCTCCCGCGTTGAACGGTCGCTAAAGTCGATGGCGTCCATGACCTGGCGCATGTAGTGCACCGTCAGCCTGTACTTCTGCGCCGCGTTGCAGAGCTGGAGCGCGGCGTCCAGCGACCGGCTGGACAGTCTCTGTATGAATCCGGGCGTAGGTTCTTCTCCTGGCTTGGCGAGGCCGAGGTACTCGCGGATTATCTCGAATGCGAACGTCTGGTCGGACGGCCGGCCGCGGGTGAGTGCGCGGACGGCGCTCGAAAGCACCCGGTCGTCTATCTCGAAGTTGCCGTGCTTCTTGTGCGCCTTGTGCATTTGCATCCAGACGTGTTTTGCGTCAGAGGCGACAGTTGCTTGCTTGGTGGATTCGGGAATCGAGGAGGAATGGGACTGGCAGAGTTGGTGGTAGATGGCGTTGAACATGGAGGTGTACACTCGCTCGTCAAGCATGAGAGGGCCGTCTGTGAGGGAGTAATAAACGTCAAATATGCGCTGGTACTGGCCTGATGTTGCGAGGATCCTCATGTAGTATGCTATAGGTTTGGACTGAAGTTCTTTGAGGTTGTCTGGATCATGATGCTTGACTGACTCTACGTATTTCATGAAGAAGTCGAAGAGCGAGTGGGCGTTCTCGAGCTGTGATGGCATATTTGACCAGCTCTTGATGGTCGCCAGACCACCGAGCATGGTGAGGTATGTGCTAGTATTGGGTGTGAAGCCACGGCGCTTCATCTGTGTCATATAGTGAGAAGCTGCGAGGATAGCATGATGCAAGAGGGATACGCACATCGGTAAAAAGCTGGTAGGCAAGTTTCCACCGTTCAGCCTTCATGCATTCGTTCAGGAGGGTGTTCCAAACGACGGTGTTCTGAGCATCTCGGGGAACGGATTGGACACGCTCGGCAGCGTCGTCGACGGAAGCATCTTTGCTCAGCTGCTTGACCTGGAGTGAAAGATTGTATGGAGTGAGAAGACGCCGAGGTGCATTCTTGCCTGCCCGGGGCTGTCGTGGCGGAGGACGACGTTGCGAGTCCGACTTGTGTTGTGGGGCGCGGTCGCGAAATTTGACGCGACTGGTCTCGGGAGCAGAGGTCGGCTCTGTGGAGATGTGCCTGGGGAGGGAGTAGAAGACATTGAGGCGTCTGCAGTTGGCATTCGAGACCGGGAACAGAGACCTGGCACGGAGCATTTCAAAGTTGCAAGATGCCGGAGAAAACACTCCTAGTCGTCACCTAACTATAGGGACTGACTTTGTCTGGCAGCGGTGTCGCGCGCGCACGCGTCCGTGGGAAGTAGGCCAATATTATTACCCCATCCCGAGGTTCTTGGCCCAGGTTTCTCCGGCGCGTCATTGACGCAATGATCATATGGCCACGATGGCCACACAGAGACGCTGTCTCTCGTCCCTTGTTCGCTGAGCTGGCCAACGGAGGCCAACGTGGCCTTTCTCTCGTCCGACCGGATCTCTACTAAGTATATATTGATCCCTCATCAAAGCCAAGTTATGCACGATCCGTTTCACCCCACATCATGTTCAGGGCCATAAGCTTGAGCCTCGTCGCCGCCGCTTCCTATTTCTCCATCGTCGCAGGGATTCCGACATGGGAGAACTCAATCTCTAGGAGCGTCTTCGAGTCGCCCTTTGTGCCTGGTGCCAGCATCCTCGAGGTACTTGGTCCTATGCGCCGCACGAGGCAAGCCGACGATCCCAAGTATCTGGGTGTCGGTGCTCCCCATGGTAAGTTACTTGAACACGGTAGCCCGACGTTAGTGTTGACTCACGCCATCTATGCAGGCTACACCGGCAGGGCCGTGGTCCAGAAGGAACCATTACCTCCTCTGTTCTTCATTAACCAGAATCAACTATGGCAATACAATAACGAATCTTACATTTACCCCGTCAACGTCGTCAACTCTACTCTCACCGCGGACGCCCCCCTTCAGCTCACCATCGACGACAAGCAAAAGGGTATCAATGGCAGGTGGAGATGGGCAGGCTCATCCCTCCAATACGACTACAGTGACAAAACCAACCGCGGTGTCTACTACACTTGTCAAGATAAATCAGGTCTCAAGGGTGTATATATGTTCTTGGATATGCCGTAAGTCCAGCAGTCAGCGCATCTGCGTCCTTACTTATCCCTCTTGCAGAAAGGTCCAACCCCACGGTTGCGAAGTCGTGACTATCCACGGTTTCATGAGGCAATATTGACATTCACACCACACTTAATAAATACGATGCATCCATTTGTAAATTAATGCATTCTATCAGCATTAAATGTACACTATCACTCCTTGTGGAGGCGCAAGTCTACTCGTCTAGCGGTGAGGGCAAAGAAGAACAGACTGAAGAATGCTGCTGCAACCGCCACTGGCTTTTTGAGGTGCGCGGACAGGGGCACTTTGTACGAGACCTATTAAAAATGTTAGCTTTGACAGCACAGAGAACAAAGTAGTTCACGAACATAGATCATCCCGGTGTGTTTGTCAGTGAGGTCCTTGTAGTCCAGGGAGACGGCTGGTCGGCCCGTGGTATCAAGGTAAGTGACATGAGTCGAGATTTCCTCCGAGAGCGATGGGAAGGGCGAGATGAATTGCACGTCCCTTTGAATACGAAAAAAGAAGACTCAGAAACCAGCATAGGGTTCAATGCCTGGACACTCACGTTGCTCCTTCAGGCAAAACGATCTTGACCTCTGCGTCGTTAACAACAGCACCGGGGATGAGAGTCCACACGGGGACGCCAACGATGTACTTCTCCTCCTTCGAGTCATAGCTCACAGAGTCCGCCAGAGGCGAGTCCCAGCCGAGAGTGAAAGTGTAGTTCCAACCGCCAAGAACAGGATAGCGAGGACGCATCTCGAAGATGCTGTACTGGTTGGCCTTGGAGTTCTTTGCAACCGAGGGAACAGTGCGGAGACGCGAAGTCGAGACATTGCCGTTGAGGTCGTAGTAGTACGCGTCGTGAATACCGGCGGGCAAGTGAAGGGTCAAACTATTGACGACATGCGGGGAGACCGAATGGTAGAACCCTGAACTCTGATGTTCGATACGAGAGAAGTGGCCCTTGAGACTATTCAAAATGTTCAGTTATCATATGAAGCCTGACGCATGGCATGCAGTGTACGCACGCAGGCCCAGAGTTACGGAGCTCAATCTTGTCTTCGATGTTGAGGTTGGAGCCCCAGTGGCTGATTTCCGCGAAACGCTGCAGCTTCTTAACCTCAAGGACGGGGTAGTCGTAGCTGTAGTGAACATTAATAGACTTCTGGTGCTTGCGAACAAACCCAGTGCCGACGGAGGGGTCGATGTTGGCGTATGGGCCGTAGGTCAGGGTGGTTCCGGACTTGGTGACCACCTCGTCCTTTGCGAACTGCTCGGCACCCTCGGGTGTGGTATACGAGATAATGTTCGGCGACGAGGACCTGAGAACGTTAGAATATGCATCGGTGGTGCAACATTGAGCACACTCACTTGACCTTGGTGCGCTGGACCTGAGTTTGGTACGGGCTCAGGATGAAGAGTTGGGCGTCATACTTGAGTAGCTGCGGGTCCTTCTGGCCAGCTTTCTCGGGCCATGGGTAGGTCGCATGAGTCTGCACGGTGTCGAGCACGAGATGGATCGTGTCATTGACGGCAAGATTCCTGGGAAGTGTCACAGCAAATAGATGCGCGTCGCTGTAAAGTTGTATAGCAGCTTAACACTCGTGTTGGTATATGCTCTGGTGAGGCTACGTACCTGTCAGCGGCCTGGGGCACGTCAACAAGGGGAAGTGTGTTCTGCTGGCCCTTGACTTTGACTTCTGTCCAGCTCGTCTTTTTCCATTCGTCGTTGGCGAGCGCGAACTGGTACGCAGTTTGACCAGCTTCGAGTGCCCTTACAGCGTAGGTGGTGGTGACGTGCACGAGGGAGCCGCCGAGGTCTACCGTACGAACAATGGCCGAGTTTTCAAATGCCGGACCAGCCCAGACAAGGGGAGAAGAAAGGCCCAGGATGAGCCAGGAGAGAGAGGCCCAGCGTGCCATCGTGGATAGTATGAGGCTGCACTGGCGAAACGAGCGACGTGGTTATTTCCTACGTCCACGCTATATTTGGCCCAATCCAGTCACTATATCCCCCGCGCTGTCACTGCGTCAGGACGGACTCTCGAGCAAGGGCATTGCGCGTAATGGATATCGTCTATGTTATATTAGAAAGGCGCTTGGCTACCTTATAACTATTTGTGCATGCCATTATAAGCTACCATCGCCATACACCAGCTGGGTTCCTCAGCGGAACATCCTCCCGAACTAGGCCAGCGGAAACGATCCGCTTCAGCTTGCGTTCCCGTTCCGCTTTCTGAATCTCCTCAGCCGTCCTGCCCTTCTCCAGAATGACATGCATGCGAGAATCTGGATGTACACGTATGCCATACTTGCCGCGACCTTTGGGTTCTAAGCGTTTCAAGGTCCGAGGTCCTTTTGTCACCCAGGCTTGGGCTAATGGGAGAAGGGTGTGAGGCAAGACCAATGCTACAGAAGTGCAGTGTGCACTAACCAACAATAAGCTTTGAGGTCTCCATGTTCTTGTAGTACGTAGCATGGTGCTTGGCAGTGGCAAGCATGCTCTTTATGCGTTTACTCGCCCGCTTCTCGCTGAACTGCATCTGCATGATCGCGTAGTCTATAGGCTTCCCCGAAATTTGTTGGCCAAGCATATTCAGTTTGCGATGCGAAATCTTGAAGTTGGCGGTCGAGAATTTGTGCTGCGTATACCAAGCTACATTTAGACACTTTGATACGAAAACAGGTGAAGACTTGCCTGCTTGGCAGGTTTCCTCGTCAAAGGTGGTGGACGGGCTACTGCAGAGGTCAGGGACGTAGGCTTTGCTCCTGTGGCCTGCTCTGAAACCTCAAACGGCTTGGGACGCTCGGGGACCTTGAACTGCGGAGAGAACTTTTGTCTGACCCAGTCAAGTGGGCCATTAAATCCTGCCATGCTGAAAGCATCTGTAAGCCGAAAGGACAAAGGTAGCAGAAGCACATTTCATACCCTCTGCTACATGGCTGTTGGATTTGAGAGGATGTATGCTTGATGATAGACGCCTGCCGACTCCGGCTCACTGTAGAAGCTCGTCAAAAGACGACGGCATGCCCCAGAACGCAGAGACGTACCCAAGGACACGCCCGACTTGAGCGACTGCATTTGTTTCGCGCAAGGTTCTGGTGACTGTCAGTGTCACGCGTACGCTCCGCGTCGTTTGCACATACATCACGGGAGTCACGGCCTCGAGTGACACGGCCGGTCACGCCCTCGCGTACATTGCAGAGACCGCGTCTATCATATTTCAAGTTGCAGCTCAAGCTGCGTCCTCCACCGACCCAGTCGAGCAGCCATGCTTACGCTAGGGACTATCTTCTATGTTTCACTTCTTCTCATCAACGCAATTGCAGTTCTCAGCGAGGACCGGTTTCTGGCCCGCAGTAAGTGCAAGCAATCTTCGGCAAACGTGTAACGTGTTTCGCTGACGTTCACGCAGTTGGCTGGTCGACTGCCCAACCACAAAACCCCAATGGAGGCTTCCAGCAAACCTACGATCAGTCAAGTTACGGCGGCCAGCAGGACGTGGGGGTGAAAGGGCAATTGATAAATCTCATTAGCGCAGTGCGCACTCTCATGCGAAGTACACGTTGCGTTTACATCGTAGTAGTGAAGTTGGCTGACAACCATAATCTCTCAGTACCGCTCATCGGTGTCAATCTCGTCGTTATCGTCTATGAAGTCCTGTGGGGAGGCTGAAAAGTTAAGGGAAGGCTATTTCGTATCGTATGTCAGGTAGCATTCCCCATTAAAGGCTGTTCAATCGCTCATATTCTGCATTGATTTGGCGAATGAAGTCCGTCGGTGTGTGACCTCCCTACAGGACATGAGTTTAGCACGTCAGTCAACCAATAAGCTGTGTTACGGACCTCACAGCTGTACCAAGTACCGTCACGGATACATACCGTCTCGCCATTGATCATGATAGTGCAGCTCTTCCTATGTAAACGACTGTTAGATGACTTCAAGACTAGGAGCTGAGGCCTGAGGGGCTTACTCTATTCCCATATCCGCCGTATCTTGTACATTCTGCTGCAACAACCCCACACCCTCTTCGCCCTTACCATCTTGCCCCGCGCAACGACCAGCATCACCAGACTCCCAGTCAATGCCGACGGACGTTGCACAATGTGTAGCCGTCTCTGGAAGACCTATGTGGTCACGTCCCTGGAAGTTTTGGCACTGGACAAAGTTCCACCACTGAGATGCTGGGTGATACTTGGCTGCACATAGCTCTTGAACATTTCCCGCACATTCTTCGGGGCCATGCATGCACGTCACACCGTAGTCAGGTTCCGAAGGGTTAAGCCTTTATCACATCAAGATGTCAAAACCCCGGTCATGCCAAGTGCATGCACTAGAGTGCTTACTTTCCGATGAACGTCAACGAGATGTCGACTTTATCGCCAACTGACTGTAGCACTTTGTTGAAGACTGACTCGCAAAGCATCGCATCAGGGCACCGGGACATGACACCCAATGTGACAGGGACTTTGACGTCATCTACAAAGACCGCCTGGGTATTGTCCTGCACGAGCAACGGCGATGTCAAGGCTGCGGCTGCGACAACGGAAGAATAGACGGCCATGTGGAGGAGAGACAGCATGATGTGGTGAATGAGTGGGAACACCTTTCTTCTAGCACGAAAGGGTGAGCACAATATGAGGCCAGTCCGACACCTAACTTGGTTATTAATTCGCGCTTATGTAAGAGATGACATAGTATGCTCTGCAGACAAACGACACAACCATTCACAACAATTATTATACGTGTAAAAGACGTAAGATTCATGAGAGGACAACTATGGCTGGGACGCGTTCCGCCACTGCAAGCTATCCCGGTCCATTGCTGGCGGTTCAAAGTATCTGCATCGTGTTTGGAAAGCTACATGACACATGAGTGGCGGTTAGAAAACACCATCTGTGAGAAGAACGGTACCGTCTAATGATCGCTGGCGGACTATCTTTTCCACGGAGAGCTCGTTCCGAACTTGGTTGCGCTGTCAATGCATGCGTTACATCAGGTTGTGTCGGGACGGCAGTTGCAAAGTGGAGTGACAACGCACTTTGACGTCGTGTTCGAATAGCTCAGCTTGCAACCTTCGGGCAGCTCTCGCGTCGCCGGTGTTGTTTGCCAGAGCTTTTGACTTGGCAGCCTTAGACTGGTCCACCACGTCCACGCAGTAATCGATCAATTCAGCGCGCCGCTTCCAGTTGTCTAAACGTCTGGATTGGCGATTCGGAATACATGCAGTGAGGGACAGATTCCTTACCGACGAGTTCCTTCCACATGTATGCACACGACTGGTCTTGGACATTGCCTTTGCCCACGCCCGCGCGGTCACGATCTCTGAATAGAGCGCTCGAGCGGTTCATGCGCATCGTGATGGCATCATCGAGCTTCCGGTATTCCTTGAGGAGATCTGCAACGCGGACATGGCGTTCGTGCATGACCTCGGAGAATCAAATGAAGCGTACCTTTGAAGACGGACAAATTATGGCATGTGGATGGCGAGACGTGTACCAGTTGTGGTGTCAACGAAGGCGCTTGGATGGCTAAACTTCCCAGAGGAGGTGATGGTGAAGGCATGGAAGCCCGCCGACGTGCTGCCGGCGTGCGTACTCGTCATAGCCGGCGGGTGAGTCGCGGAGGCTTCTCCTGATTAGGAAAACTGCCACGGTGGTCAAGCTCGCTTAGTATGGCTGAGCGCTAGCACTCCGAATTTCGAAAATGACAATGTTATCCAGCGCTATCCCCAAGGCCCCCGCGGCGATTTTCGAGCAGCTGCCAAGCCCCGAGTTTGTCGGTCGACATGTCGACTTGACGAAAAGACACCACGTTTCGAGGGCAAACACTTGACAGATCTGTAGATGTCCTTCAACTGAGCTCGGTTTATCGCCGGCAAAGTTGCTCATCATGTAGATCATTGCGCGTGGTCCATCCCCGGGGGCCGATGACACTCGTTAAGGTACAACTCAACAATCTCGACAACGATCAAATCCGATTTTCGGAAGAGGTTTGCATCTGCTGTCAGCGACGTTAGAGTGCCATCCGCGGGTCTTGGTAGCCCGCTGCAGGCTGCAGGCGGGTCACCTTGCATCCGTCGACCTGACATCGTGATATATCGCCATTAGGTGCATTGTCCATGCATCGTTGTATGCCTCGACCGTGACGAGTTCACTCACTTGACCTTGTCCGCTTACCATGTATTACCGGGTGCCTTACACTCACCAATCAACAGACGCAATCTATACAAGCACCTTGCGTCGGCCTGAGAAAGCACGGAGTGATCGTGGCGAAGTGGTACCGCGCGACCATCAAATCCCTTTTAACTCCCCAATGTAGCTAGAGTCGTAGAACGTATTCGTTGTTTGTAAGATGAGAAGGAAAAAAGCACAAAGTCCATGAATATTCAAAACCCGTCCAATGCAATGTGATATCCGCTAATATTGAGAAAACAGGAAAAATTGAAAAATGCCTTGATGAGTGTTTAGAAATGTGTCTATTGACCGGTTGTCGATAAAGCTGACGAAGGACTTCTAGCCACCGCACGCCATTTACCAGATCGCGCTGTCTCTGCGGAACTCGTATTGAAGACGGTGCATCTCGATCTTGATCTCGTCCATGTGGAGTCTTAGGAAGACTTGTGTTTCTTCTTCGACTGCCGTGGAATATAACCGTGCTCCTCAACCATATGGCGATGACGGCGGGCGGGGTCTTTGAACGCCATGCCGCAGCCATAGCGACACTCATGGGGAGTAGACCCGGTGCTAGCAATACCATCAGAATGGTGATAAACTAATATTTACTAAATGACTTACTGTCCATGCATGTGAGTGTCGAGGGAAGTCTTCTGGGGGAACGCTTTATTGCATACAGTGCATTGGAATGGTCTACAATCAAATGAGTTAAGTGGGGCCCTCCCAAAAAAAACAAAGGAATGCCACTCACTTATAATGGAGATGCGTCGTCTCGATATGCCGCTTCACAAGCTGTTTTTTGGACTTGTAGTCACAGGTCCTAAGAACGCCTGATTGGAAAGATTCCCATTGGCAGATCCAACGTCTCGAGGTCCCATCGGCAGAAACAGTTGGCTTGGCATACTGCTCCCACTCCTCTCTGTCTAATTCTGAATCCTCATCTAGGTCATCTGGAATTCGTCCGTTGTCTTTGCGGGGTAGATGGGGCCTCCTAGTCTTCACAGCGCCACTTTGAAGGCCGTCGCTCGGTAATATTGACCTCGAGGCTAAAGAAGGCGTTTCATGGTATACGTCATAGGGACGGTGTGAATGCGATGGTAGTGGATTGAAAGACGAATGTTCGGGCGTTTGACCGCCGAGCTGAATGCGTCTGGAAGCCATTCAGTAAACTCGTGTGGCCCATGAGCATCTTTGGCGACTTACTCGAGAGGTTCTACTATCTTCTTCGACTCGGGGCACGTTGATCTTTAGACATCCATTAATGTACCGCATACCAATGACGTGAAAAATCTTACCGTGGCGGTGAGCAAGATCTCCGCTTTTGTGGCACGAGGGAACAAGGGGACCTCTCTAGGTGTAGTGACCTTTCGGAGCTGAAAGGCGAATGAGTAGGGGGCCTTAAAAGCCGATCTGATGTGTCACTTACTATTGACCTGGGGAGCTCGAGCGGCTGGACACGGAGTTCGAGGACGAAGGTGTGGAAAGACCATAATTGACGTAAAATACCCGGTCGTCTTTCACTTGTGAAGGCTCCTTCTGACCTGCCCACATGTGTAGCCCTTTCGGAGAATCAAAAACGGAGATCGTCTGAGAATGTCGGCGTGACAAGACGCCGTGCGTTCGTCCATCGTGGTCTCGCGGGGAGGTTCTGGAAGACAACCGTCAGGGAGCACATCGGTGGTTAGGGCTAATAATCACTGACTGATACCCTCGTTTCTCCTGACCATTGTGACTTGACGAGGAGTTAAAAGGGCGGGGTAGGAATTCGTCATACTGACGAATGTGGCGGACATGTGGGAGAGGGGGGAGGGTTCGACGCGTCCTCCTGGGGAAGCTACATTAATCTCGGCGTGTAAGATGCTGAACGAGTGGCCTACCTGGAGGACGCCTGAAGTGTGCGCTCCAGAGCTTCTTCTCTGGCTTTAGCCCGTTCGTGTTCATCGGCGGAAAGAAACGGTGGATGGCGCATGGTATCGTAGACTAGTGGCGGAGAGGAGTCGGCTTGTCCAAGCGAATTATACGAAGTGACAGCTGGCAAGTCCGAGGTCCTACGGTCAATAATTGCAATGACAACATTGTGGCGTCAGTATAATTATTGCTGGAAGGAATGCATAATTTAAAATGGGAGGAAACGCTCTGATCCTCGCAATTTGTCGGGGATTAAACTGAGGGTCAATTGCAATGTCCCTCGGCTCTTGTCGTCAAGCCCGTCGGTGTCATCAACGGCCCTTGACAGCCCTCTACAACCCTTCACCCCTTTGGGCCGGGCCGTCCGATGCAGAGAACGATACTCACCATAAATGTTTCCTCGCACTAGTGTTAGAATAATCGCCGCTGTTAATTATCGGCGGTAGACTAGATGACAGTGACGCCATATGGAGTTGGGAGGAAGCAGGAATGTAGGAGGGGAAAGGGGCCGGTGGCACACTAACCCTTGGTCAGAAGACAGGAGGTGGTTTAAAGTAGGCAGCAGTAGGGCGGGGGATGATGTAGCTGACGGAGGGATTACACCTCGTACATATACTATTAGATCCACTCCGAATTCAGCCTTCCTGTATCGACAGGACATCAGTCGGAGATCTCAAGTGCGCGCTTCGCCCTAGCGTGCGCACCCAACTTCTCGCCGTCAAGGCACATAGCTCCGAGCTATTTGCGATGGGCTTGTGGGAAAATAAAACGAGGGCTGCTGGCCCACCGCTTCGCAATGCCAGCACTGTATCATGCTGATCAGTTGTAGGTCCACACCCTTGTGTCGCATAGGGAGTAGCCGAGTCGCATTTCCGATGCGTCGTTGCTTTGTTGTCAATATGAGCAAGCAATAGATCACGAGCCGCGATGGCTCTTTGTAGCCATGGGAAAGTAGTCATATAGGGATATTCCGCCTGTAACAAATACATTGAAAGCAGAGGGTATGTATACGCCGTCTCGAGTGATATAAATGTCGAGGCATAAGTCGTCATAAGTACACGTACTGAACATTGAGACTAGGTAACGAGGATAACGCATGCAGTCGACACAGATCTAACACACTATAGTCTCAGCTTTCATCAACGTGTTAGACGAAGAAGTTCACCTTTCAAAGGAGCTACAATCATCACCGCACGTCATGGGACGGCTGGCTCATCGCAGCATTCCATTTCATCCTCGGAGGCGGATGCTGCGTTAGCCGGATCTAGAAAAACGTCCACATCCGAAACAACGCCTCGGGTACGACGCGGTGGCCTTTGGTGATCGGAGACAGGCTTAAACTTCAGCAAACCAGGTGCCGGCGGGTAAGCCCCAGCACCTGGGGCCACACGTCTCATAGGTCTGATGGTCCTCGAAACATCAGCGTTGATGGTTCTGCCTTGCAGGGCATCCTGAGACGTTTCTTCGTCAGTGATTTTCAGTGGCGGGGCAAAATCGCCCTCATCATCACTGGACTCGATGTGCCTGCGCTTGCTTGGAGACGAGGTGGGAGTGTAACGACCGGGGCCCGCGACCGAGAAAACGTCTCGCAGAGTCTCATTCGCCGACGGTGCTGCCGCGCCCACTGTCACAGCCGACGATGAAGGTTTCGTCGGAGAAGAAAACGGTGTGGGGGCGGCGGACGCCGGTTGAGAGCGGTATCCCTCTGTAACATCTATCAGGAAACGCGTCAGGCGCTTTGGTCACATCTTATCAAAGTGGATTGAATCACGCTTTCGAGCTCGCAAAGCGGCACTTCTGATACTGGCGACAAGGTCGGCGGGTAGACTACGACATTGATTGTGGTTCACATGACTAGTTGAAAGAGGCGATGTCTTTATGCTCACCCGTCAGACCTTTGTGTATCTACAGCATTGTTTGCCGTGTGTCCCTCGGCTGTTATATGACGTTTAGTGGGCGATATCATGTTCCCAGTGGTAAGTCGTGGAGGAACTTGTGCCTGCGAGACAAGGCAGTTCAAACTTGGTTCAAACTGAGCGCGTGTCGACGCGCGCTAATTTGGCCACGTGATCGCGCCTACTCGCCTTTTATGGGAGCCTGTGATGAACTTGATCATCGATGGGTAACTTCGTCAAGCGCTTAGATTACTGCCACGAACTTTCTCTTAGCGAGCTGTCTGAGAAGATTCATTCCTGTCTGGGGACAAAGCTAGCGGACTTACTACTTTGCTATATGCACCCTCGTCTTTTGTTTCAGTGCACCACAGCCTGTCAATACTAACGGGTGACCTATGCTGGTCAGCACGTCTCGCCGCTCGCGTGCAAAGCCGCAACGATCAGCAGCAATCATTAATCAGATGTCGTAGGTTTTTGAAAGGCAATGTAGCGAAGCTCCGGCTCCTCCTCCGCCGAGGCATCGCAAGGTCTTTCTAGCTGCTTTCTATTCATTTGTGTGTATGTATGCGGTAGCTCCTTACCGTGTGCCTCGAGAGGTACAACTTTGATCAAGGGCGCATAAGCACGCGGTCGCGCACAAGAGCGTTTAGGCGGTAAGCGAGGCAATGTACCCTTCGGGTCCATGGGGGGTTCCAAGGAAACCGAGGAATCAGATTTCGCTGGCTGTAATTTAGTCCGGAGACTAGAGCGGGCTCCGTTTGGCGCTGCCAGCATTAGCGATTGGTCCAAAATCAAGGTCAACGCAGTCGGTCATCTGCGTCCAAGGTCACTCCGAGAACCATGGACTTTAGAAACTAACCGAGCTCCAGGCGTTGGCGGTTCGAGAGAAGAGGCATCTCACGCCAAGGGCACTACTTAGCTTAAAGACCTGGTGCTTGCTTGCTTGCATCGCGTGCTTGAATAAACGCCTTGTGGATAACCGGGATCGGATCACTGTATGCATGACTGTATGAGATCATCAGTCTATCGTGTTCACACTGTTGACGTCGTTGAGGGTTAGTGTCAATCCCGCTAAGCAACTGGAAAGATGATGTGCATGTGTCTGATACTGTACGTGCAGCAACCTAGCAGTCCCAGCAACTTCACCACATCTGAACATAGGGAGGGGCGCGGTCGAGGCGAAACTTACGGCTGTCTTGATGGACTACCTGAAACTGAGGGATTACAATAATCGCCACCATTGCTCAGTTCCAAACGACAATATATTATTATTATTATTATTGAATCATTTTAACGTCCAAGGAGGGCAGTGGCCCTATGGCGGACGCTAAAAAAACGACAATAGATGAAACATACTGTATGTACATGAGAATTTCGGTAGCGGAGAGTTTCTCAGGAGCAGCCGAGAAACGTAGGTTGTTGTAGGTGTAGAACCATGGGAGTTGAAACATCAGCACTCTAGCAATGAGCGATGGAGCGCGACCATATCGTGTGGAGGTCGAGGGAAGGTGCAGTGGGACCCGTGGGTCACGGCACTGAGAACGCGCAGGAACGCGCCCTCGGCCGATAACTTTACCATTCAGAGCCAAGGTACGAGAAGACCGAAGGAGAAGTTCAAGCTGTCGGGGGAGGCGAGAAAGATGATCTCCGACTCAGACTGGGAATGGATCACCGGGAAAGGTAAGGTGATGGAGTGAGGTCCGGGACGCATTCGACAGCGAAATGACGCAGCGTAGACAGGCGCAGACCTGCTGATGTGCTGGGATCATCAGTTAGACTTAAGGGCTCCAAAAGGGGGCAGGCAAACCACTGCAGGGGCCTTCACCTCAATCTTGTCGAGGCTTGCCAGAGCCCACTGTCCATGTTCGCGACGACTTACCGTAGGTGCTAATTACAGGCTAACTTCTGTAGGTCTATAACTGATGGAGCTGGGAATAGGTGCGCAGTAAGATCAGACACCAAAATAGCGAGGGACCCGGGATGCTATCAAGGCTGGCAAGTTCTCATTAATTGGCGAGGTGAGTTTTTCACACTCACCAAGGAGAGCAGTGACGGTGCAAGGTAGAAACTGACTAGAACGCTGTGTTGGTAGAAGGATAAGTTTGCCGGACGGACCAGGAGTCGGGATAAGGCTTTGGAAGCCAAGACATTAACATATATTGAGCGCGGGGATGGAGCTAAAATAGGCGGATAGCATGGGGACGGTGAGGATGTGGCTGGAGGGTTCCGGGGGATGTTCCCATAGGGTGCAGCGAGTGAGAGAGAATCCGGGACGGAGGACGAATACCGTGGGCGAGGAACCCGACTCTTGCTCGCAATTCCAATCATCCGCTGACAGCCAGAGACGGCCAGCGATCGCCTTCAAGTACAAGCAATCGCTCGCACACCGTCCCTCCCTTCCCTTCCAGTACCACAAGTGTGCTCGTCCCCACCGCTTTCCGCCTCGAGCCTCTTGAGGCATGGCTCCCGGCCGCACACATGCCTCACCGGTCCCCACCTCTTCACGGTTCCTCGCCCTCGCCCTCGCCATAGCATTCGCCCTCACATCCACCCAGCGCTCGATCCCTTTCGCAGCAGCACAGCCTATCTCGACAAACACTCCTGTTCCTCCTCTTCAATGGCTCAACCTCACCTCGCTCCTTCAGGGCGCCCCTCCACCTGCTCTCAAATATTCCTCGATAGGCTACGACTCGACCACTGACAATGTGATCATCTTCGGAGGGCAGTCCTCAAGCGGCGTCGCAACCTCTGAAACATTCCTGTGCGTTTCACGTTTGCCACCTTCACAATCTATTGGCTGATCTTCACTCTCCCAGCCTCAACCTTGGCACTTTGACGTGGACAACCCCCACTCCCCAGTCGGACCTCCCCCAGGGCCCTCCTCCGGCCCGGTATATGGCTGTCGGCGGCGAGGATTTCTCATCCAGCTAGTACGTCCTGCTAATAAGACTTCGCTCCGCTGATGCTCACAATAAAATAGTCGCCATGCTCATCTCGTCATGGGCGGCAAAGATGTTAACGGGGATGCATTATCTGACGTTTGGGTTTGTCTTCCTTCCTTCCATCTTCCGCTCCTGCTTCCTAATATAAGGCTTCTTTTAGGAATTCGACTTCATCAACCAGTTCTGGTCAGAAGTCAATCTTTCCCCTGGCGGGCCTTCTCCGCGCTGGAGTGCATCTGGCGGACGAGATTTCAGAGTTGCTTATGATGCCGCATCCACCAACAACACTTTCTACTTGGCTGGCGGCACAGATGGAACTCAGATGTTTCCTTTATCCGACGTGTGGGAACTTAGTGTTTCCGGAGCACTCTCTGCCAATTTGGCGAACTCAGTTACAGGAAGCTGGAAGAGTATATCTCCGATTGGCTCGCAGGGTGTAAACACAAATCAAGCTTCGACTGTTGTCTCTAGCTCAATTATTTCTGTCAGCGGCTGCAACACTACGGATGCCTCGAGCGACGCTTGCGCTGAGGGTAACTCTTATCTCATCAATACCCAAGCTGCTTCGGAAGTTGCGGTCCCTGCTTGTCCGGCTCCAAGGTATGGTGGAGCTCTAGTCGCCAACATGGTCGGCTCTTCTTCAGCTTTTCCCTCCCAAGCGTTTCTTCTCCTTGGTACATTTAACTCGTCGGAGTGGGATGACCAAGGCGGTCTTGAGCGGGGCGAAGTTGCCGTTTTAGATTATGGGGCTGCTTCTTGGTCTCGTATTCTTCCGGCCGGCGATCCTGGGCAATCTGGAACTCCCACGTACCCCACGCCTCGTGAAGGTGCCGTGGCCTTGTCCTTCCCATCGGCTCTGGTGGGCAACGACCAGTCTGTGGGGTCAGACACCATCGTCTTTGGAGGGGAGACTGAAACTGGCGAATACTTGAGCGAAGTCTGGGTGTTGCGCGCATACAACGCATCTATCAGCCAAACAAATGCGAGCTGGGGAGCTCCCGACGGCGACTTGCAGACTGGTGTCAATGCGAATGGTGCCGGAGTCACGGTCCAGTACATGAACCAGTGTGCAGTCAGTCTAATGCCCTCGACGACGTCGCCGAATCCCGCCTCAAGCCCAGGTGCATCTGGTCAGACTGATACGTACGACGTCTCCGTTACGCACAAGGTTCTAGCACCCGTTTCCATTGCCCTCCTCTTTCCTGCAATCCTTGTAGGGCGCTTAGCACTGCCGTCAGGCCAAAACGGACAATCAGCCCGACGCAACACTATCTTGGTTTACTCATCCGTGCTGATACTAGCCTCTGCTTATGGCATCGGTGTTATTGGGCTCATCTTCTCATTCACTTCCATCTCTTCGCTGATGAACGTCATGAAACGCTCTGTCTCGTCCAACTTAACTCTTCAAACAGCACATGGCATTGCCGGACTCGTACTCTTTATAGCTCTCTATGGATTCGTTCCAGTCCTTTACCTTGTATCGCTGTACTCATCCCCGCGTGCGGTGCCTGAGGTCAAGGTAGACGACTACAACAATGATCCTTCAGGATCCCGCGGGACTTCCACCGAGCATCACGAAAAGCTCGCGAGCCCATCCAATCCCTCAACCCCGCCGCAATATCCTCCGACGCCTACCTCGCCTCGCGCTAGGTTGCATTCGTGGGGTGGTACGAGCTTCTGGCAAGGACGTACGAGCCATGAAGGCCGAAGATCTGTCGAAAGTGAAGCACCTGGTTCCTCATCGACGCCTCACAAGGGTTTCGAAGTTGTAAACCGACCCGCTCGGACAAGACGTGCCAGCACGAACGGTTTCTCCGATGCCTATCAACGTGTGCCAGTTCTTCCCAGGAGCATCGGCGAGGTCAACTGGCATGACGGACGTCGAAGCTTGAACGCCGTGGTCCGTTATGTACTCTCAGTCGATTCTGCATTGCACTGACTTTAATCTTACAGAACGAGCTTGACCATGCAGGGGGTAGCCATTCGCACTACGCCTCCAATGCCCCAAGTCCAGGTCCAACCGACATCTTGAGCACGCGCACCTTGATGCACCACCACTCTGCCATCCCCCAAGTTACATACGAATTTCCTTCGACGTTTGATCTTTGCTTGCACATAACTTATCATGCCCTCGTTTTCGCTCTCTCTGTACTATCGCTGTTTGCCCTCTGGTACCGCGCCCCAACAGCCGCATTCGCCGTGTTCCTAGTGTGGACCGTTCTTTTCTACTGCGCCGTCTTTGCGCTGGCTTGGAACGGTCGGCCACGGAGATCCGCATTGACAACCATTCTAGCGAGGCTGAGGGTGGATCCATCGCAACAACATGCTCATGCGCACGAAGGATCGGGGGAGGCGCCAGGATCCAGATCAATGTCTGTGAATGGACTCGATCAGTATCCTTTCCCGTCCGATAGCCGAGGCCCATACATGCACCACCCACCATATCGACATTCGTACCGTGACGACGTGTCGACGACCCTTGGCGGGCCCCGTAGTACAGAGACCGATGAGGAGGAGGATGGAGAGGATGACGAGACGAGGCAGCGACGAATAGAAGAGGAGATGGGTAGACGGGATGTATCCATCGTTACAGTTCCGAAGCGTCGTCTGTGGATTACGAATCCGTCATGATGGCATTAACTACGTTGATGCCTTTGTTTCACCAGCGTTCGTTCGTTTTTTTTGTTGCTTTTTGCGCGCATGCTGCGCGCTCTGCATTTCTCTTTCTCTCTAGGATTACCACATCTCACAGGCATAATTGATACCATCGCCACTCATGGAGCACATACTTTTGCAACCGTTCAAATTCATGGTATATCAGATCGTTTCGGACAGCCACTATCTCGACCGCTGACATATGTATGAGCGCTTCTTCCTACGGACATTAGATAATATTATAGGTATAGTGTAGTGCGAGTTGATGACCGATGCGACCGTCCCCGTGGTATAAGAAAAGAAAGCTTACGGTAGACAAAGATAAGATGTATACCCTCTTCAGACTTCTGAGCCTTCCACCGCAACATCCCGACGCCACTTGTCCACCCTCCCAAACTTTGTTGGATCCTGGATGGGAGGTGGAGAAGGCATGGGCGCCGGAGGGGCCATCATCATGGGAGATGCCATAGGAGGAGCAAAGAAGCCAGAAGCCATCATCTGGGGTCCGCCAAAGAAGACGCTGTTTTGCCACTGCTGCTGCATCATGAGTTGCTGCTGCTGCTGCTGCTGCTGCTGCGCTTGCATAAACACAGTGCGGCGCTGCTGTTCTGGATGGAAAGCCAGCGGCTGGTCGTCGTCGCCGCCGGCGCCGGCGGATGCAGACGGGGGCACATGGGACATGCGGAGGCCTAGCGGCTTATCATCGTCCTCAGCGTCCGCTGACTTGGTGCGAGAGAGGTTGTCAAAGTCTATGCTGGGAAGGCCTAGTTTGACTTTGTCGAGGACAGAAGCGAGGGGTTTGTCTTCTTCGTCGCTGTCGGGCGCAAGGACAGGTTTCATTGTTATACGTTGGGCCGCGGCTGCGAGGGGTAAATCCTCATCGCTGTCGTCGGCTGCAGCAGGTTGAGCATGCGAAGGTCTGCGCTTGCTAGGATATCTGAGGCCGACACCAGTCGTCTTTCGCGGGCCATCTTCGTCTTCGTCGGATGAATTCGCCACCCAGCGGTCGGCAGCCCTTTCGCTCGCACCCCTCTCCCGCGGTGCATCGTCGTCGCTGGCTTCACTCGCGGTTTCGTCGTCGTCATCAACAGGCGGAGATCCCGAGAGCAACGGCTTTGAAATAACAGGCAACACGGGAGGAGCTTCGCTGACCCGGGGCTCTGCGACCTGCTCTTCTTCCGGTACTATAGATGGAGTCTCGACAGTCGGGATAACAGGTTCTTCCACCGCTTTCAATTTATCTTTGCCCTTCTTCTTCTTCTTCTTGCGGCCCGCTTCCTCAGCGGCCCTTCGTTCCGCCTCCTCAGCATTAAGTCTCTCCTGAGCTTCCATCTCCTTGAGTTTCTCGAGTTCACGCTCCCACACGGTGTCAACACCAAAAACAGACCGACTGGCGGACACGTATGGCCGAGCACCTGGTGCTTGGCCGGGATGAAGCAGCGAAGCCTTGTTGGCCATACCATTGACATTCGACGGGAGCTTGCCCAAGGATGTGGGATCTATGAATGTCTCTGTGCGACGCAATTGACCCCTCGCCATCATAGACGGACGGTCGTCGCCAGTAAATACACTAATAAACACATTAGCTTAAGTTGGCCAGTTAGCATTAAGCCAGAGATCCTTACCGATTCTTGGACTTCATGTTCGCTTTCTTGTCTTCAAGGTTGTCGATGAGACTCCTACCGTACAGTTTTCCAGCAGGGCGCCTGACCTCTTCCTCAGATCCCAACGCAGATAACTGAGGCCTGAATTCAGGTTCGAGTTCGGGCTCCAATTCTTCTTCGGGATAGTCAAAGGTAGCTTGTTCGCCCTCCTCGGTAGCGCGAGGGAGAACACGATCGATGTCCGCGTACGCTACGTCCCTCTTGCCGCCCACCATAAGAGTATTGCGGAAGGCAAGCTGCGATAATGTGAGAGTAGCACGGGGATTTGGAGTGAATGGATTTGCTGAGGACGGTACAAATTTGTTAGACGCGTAGGTGGACATGTAGGTAGATGAGCGTTTTCCCGAGCGTGCTTGATCAGGAACAGGAGGACCGCTAGAGGATAACTGGAAACCCGGACGTGCTTTGGGAGGAGACGGTGGCCGAGGGCCAGCTACTGGCTGGACTTGCTGCAAGGGACTGGGCATTACAAGGACCTTTGGCCTGAGTAACTCTACGTTTGACAGCGGCCGTTCGAAACGAGATTGACCATCGACATCATTGTCCAGCAAGGCTCGAGTGCCCATTGATGCGATGGACATGGTGCGATCTCTGACCTTGGGATCAAAGCGAGACGAACGAGACGGAGAAGGCGGCCTGATGGCGAATGTATCCTCGTTCGCCAGGAGGTCGCGAGAGGCCATAGTCCCCATGGTAGCATTAGACATGGTACGAGCGCGCGCCTTGGGATCAAAGCGAGAGGAACGAGAAGGAGAAGGAGGCCGAACTGCGAAGGGGTTCCCCTCTGCTTCGCCTGCCCCTGTAATGAGGTCCCGTGAATTCATGCTCCCCATAGTTGCAATGGACGTAGTTCTGCCCTGGTGCTGGGGGCGTGACCGTGACGATGATCGGACGCCGTAGGGGTCGCTGTCATCTCCATGTTTATTAGGAGGTGCTTCGCCCATCTCGAGGTTTCCACTGGAGTAGCTTCTGGCGCGGTTAGTTTGCAGATCCAGTCTGGATGAACGCGAACTGGGCCGCAATCCTTCCTCCGGCCCTGGGGAGAGGGAGCGCACGGAACCGGAGGGGAAAGGGACAGCATGCAAGGGCGGCGTTACAGGCAGCGAATCTATGAGGGCGTGCGATGAAGCCCTGCGCCGATGCTCTGGACGTTGGGCATCTACATGCTCCAAATTAGCAGATGAGCGGCCACTGCCCTTCTGTTCCTCAGAGTCCAAGAATGCGCCACCAACACCGAAGTCGCTCAGAGCGCCGACGCTCATGGCTCTTCCTCCTCGAGAACGATGGCTGTCCATGATCACATTGGGACCTCTGGCTAGTTCGGGGTGAGGATTGGGGAGGATTTCAGACCTGGCCTTTGCCTTCGCCTTGCCCTTGTCCTTGTCCTTGGATATGAGGGCATCGAGTCCCCAGGAGGAGAGATCTACTTCGACATCCCCGCCTATATGCTCTATCTCTTCCTCTTCATCCTCGTCTGGGGCGCCAAAAGGGTTTCGTAGTGCATTGATCGAGCTGCGAGAGCGCCTGGTGCCAGAGCCGGATTCACTGGGGACCGACACGCCAAGGTAGTCTGTGCTCTTTCTTCCTTCCGACTGTCCAGCCGCTGTAGCACCGGTGGAGCGAGGGTCTTGGAATCTGCGAAGATGAACAAACAAGGCACTCTCATGCGCTGAGCGGTACGGTGCTTCAGGATCCGTTGGATCGTTGTCATATTCTACTTAGAGGTGAGCCTGGTGTTTAACGTCAAATGCTCTATACTAACCAAGGAGGGCTGCAGCGAGCTGCAGTCGAGAGAAGGGGGCTGCTGCCATCTAGAGAGACGGTGGGACAGCAACTGAGGATGTGTGGGTAACTGTTGCTGGGCGCCTGGCGCAACACGTCCACCGAGCCGTCGCCGGCGCGTGCAGGACCGCTCCAGACTCTCCGCGGTTCTCGGCTTTCGTGGCTCGAGTTTCGTTATGAAATCAAAGCGAGTTCAAGCACATTACTACCCAATACCAAGAAACATAACCCGTATACATGATAGCCCATAAATTCTATTTCTTCCCATTACAGCTCATCGTGAGCGATGACATTGCCGTCCTCGTCAATCTCCTCCATCTCAAACTCGATGTCATCCGGCACTTGGAAGAACATCTTTTCATCTCCACCAGTCACCACGTCAGGTAGCTTGGGGTCCACTGGAGGTGCAGGCTTCACCGTCGAATCGGCCGCAGCAGTCTCAGAAACACCCAGAGACCGCCGGAGAACTCGGTCGACGCGAGTCAAGAACCTATCGAGATTCATGAGATGAGTCATATGGTGGAAAGGACAACCTCACAAATTCGAGTTAGGGACCTCAAAGCCGGAACGGACTAACGCGCCGTCAAGCAGTATAGATGCAACCTCTTTCAATTCGGCCTCGGCGTCTTCATCCTTGTCCTCAGAGAGCTGGTCGACTCGACGAAGCATGCCCTGGATGAGTGGTGCACGAGGGTTGATTTCGAGCACCTTTTGCTTCTTCATAAACTCTGTCATGAAATCATTCTGCGCCCCGGCAGCACGGTTGGTGGCACCTATAAAACATCAGAGTTCTAGTTCACTGCTCAAAGTCGCCACATTCCCACTTACTCATTAGCTTCTGAACATTGGCCGTGAAACCCATACTGTCTGCAACAACCGCACAAGGACTTGTCACGAGCCTATCGGATACAACCACTGACAAGTGAAAAGTGATTAGGGATCACTGCTTGTAGTCCACCTTCTGCCACTCACCGTCTCTAACAGCATCTCCAACTTCCTGCTTTAGCCATTCGACGAGGGGAGTAAACTCGGTCTTCAGTTGTTTAAGGCTTTGTTTATCCTCTTCGTTATCTGAGAGCCAACCTTAGCAGCTGCTATAGACGCCATTATGCTGTTATCGCCTTACCTTCATCACCGAACTTGAGACCAGATTTGGCGACGTCCTGGAAAGTAACGCCTCTATGCGCCGTTAGAGATTGCTCCTAGTTCTGTCACTGCAGATACTTACTTCCAAGTGCGCAGCGTCTGGGCTACTATCTCATCCAGAGGCTCATTCATAAGCAGGACCTCGTAGCCTCGGGCATGTAGTTTCTCAACGAACACACTCTGCGCCAAGTCCTCGACTGCTTTGCCCATGTCAGCAAGGTAGAAGATCTGTGCTCACGTCAACTCTCGGCTGCTTCATACAATGTTTTGGACTTACCTGCTTCTGACCCTCCTTCTTGTTCTCCAGATACTACGCAGCTGGGTCAGTCTAAGCACTTGTAGCCTTTTGTATCATGGATATTACCTGGTCAAACGAAACGTCTTTCCGTTGGTTTGTGGTGAAGCGCGTCAAGCCGGCAAGTTTCTCCTTGTTCTTCGCGTCCTCGGAGGCACCGAGTTTGAACACAGTACCATAGACTTTCTGGATCTCGGCGAATTTTTCTTCGTCTTCCTCCGCAATCCGGGAGAAAAGTTGAATAATCCTCTTAAGGACAATCTGTCGGACTTGCTTCAGGAATGTGCCTGACTGAAGTGTCTCTCGCGAGACATTAAGAGGGAGGTCGTCCGCTGAAACGAGGCATGAGACCTCTGTATAAACATTGGATGTGATGTGTCACAAACCGTCGATGATGACCTTCACCCAGCTAGCCCACTTCGGCAATGCGTGTTCACCGAAGTCAGAAGTGATGAAAACATGCTTCACGAGAAGTCGAATATCTTTAGCACTCGCGAGAGGGTCGTTAAAGTAGGTTTCATCCCTGAAATCTATCGTCAAGACCATACCATGAAGGGAAAGTAGCCTTACAATTTTGATGGAACGTAGATTAGAGCCCGGAAGGAGACACCAGAGCCGGTATCACCAGTGAAGTGATGGTGCGCCAATGGCTCTTGTAAATCTTTGAAAGTTGCCTTGTAGAGTAAGTTGTATTCCTCCTCGCTAACCTCCTTAGGATCACTAGGAGGTTGTAAACTTCCACTGTCAACTATGGGAAGCGGCGTCGGACGACTCACCGCATCCAGAGGGGAGGTTGAGAGTTGAGGTGCTCCCAGTTTCCAACCGTCACCGTTTTCATCTTGGGAGGTTCTGGAGACTCATCAACCTCTTCGATGGCTGCTTCTTCGTCGTCTACGGCTTCTTTCGTGGTCTCCTCTGCATCCTCATCTAAGATCTGCTCCTCCTTCTCCGTCCACAAATAAATCGGGAAAGCAGAAGAGAATGACGAATGTGTGTTGCTATGTTAAATGCAAGTCAGTGCCCGTCATCAACATCGATGAGAAGCGACACTTACACTAGCTTAGTGAGGCCGGAGGCATCCAAATAGCTCGCAGCGTCGTCCTTCAAGAACAGGGTAACCTCTGTTCCAAAGTCAAGAGTGTTACCACGAGGGTCAGGGTAAATCTCAAATGTGGCATCATCAGACGAAGAGCTGAAGACATATTGCGAAGGGTTCGAGTCTTTGCTGGATACTGGTGGCCTAGAAGCAACCTGGACTCTGTCGGCTACCAAGAAACTAGCATGTGGTGTTCAAACTATGAACGAAAGACAGCACTTGCAAATGGAAACTGACCTGCTGTAGAAACCGAGACCGAACGCGCCAATGAGGTTCCCGGAGCCAGTCGCGTCCTCGCTCTCTGCCTTGGCAAGGAATTCTGACGTCCCAGACCTGGCAAGCGTACCCTGAAAGCAAGTGTTTAGATGCATCCTCACTCTTTCGAGCCTATTGTACTCACCAAATTCTTGGTTAGCTCTTCTGGGTTCATACCAATACCAGTGTCTGAGGTGATTATGAGCAAAGGTTAATTACCAATACAAGGTGAATACTGACCTGTAATGATGATACGTCCTCCCTTTCCGTCCTCGTCCTTTTCGGTCTTGATGGTGATGTTCAGAGGCGCAGCACCATCCCAGACCGTTTTCTCGGTCAATGCAGTGAGGCGAAGTTTCTCAATGGCATCATTGGCGTTAGAGATGAGCTCCCGAAGAAAGACATCTCTACGCATGCGGCGTTAGGCTCTTCTCTCGGGGGACAGACGCCCTTCATATGCATACCTGTTGGAATAGAGACTGTGGCCAGAGTTAGTCCATAAGCTGGAATGTATGAGACACTGCAGCATACCTGTCGACCACAATCCTCCTTAGTCGTGCAACGTCACTCTAAGATGACGGTGAGCATCTTGGTTCGCATGGCGCGTTAGCGAATGCACTCTACCTGGTATTCGTACTTTTCAGCCTGCTGAGCGAGAACAGCAGAGCAGAAGGTGGCGAGAGCGACGAAAGCTGGCTGAAGCAACCGCATTCTTGACCGAGAGACTCAGAGAACAAAGGACACGTCAGGTCGAAACTTAGAGGCGTCGGGCGCGTGTGTACGAATCAATGTCCGAGGACGTGTATTAATACTAGCGAACCTGTTTACTATTACATCCGAAATTGCACTGATCGACTGACGTGTCCGACATCAGCTGACTTGTTCTTTCATGCACGTGACTGGGGGCGCGTATGATCCTTGCATGGTTTTCTATTTTCTATCCGCACATTTCTCACAGATACATTGACATCAAACATGGACAGAGAGCTTGGGAGCAGAGAGCAGAGCAATGTGGTCCTGTTCACATTTTCTGGTCAGTGATGAGATAGCTGTAATGTGACTACCACAGCTTACCCGTAGCCATCTCTCCCTTTGTTCAGGTACGTGGTCGAACATGGCATACCGATGATCGTTCTGCACTTTGGTCAGCACTACTTCTGAGCATGGTGTTAATCAATTGCCCTCACCTTGAGCACCTTTACCATGTCGCTGATGTCCACGTTTTTGGCCAACACCTTCATATCCACCTTGCCGCCGAAACCCTCGCCTTCATCTTCATCCCCCACGTCGTCTGCCTTCACGCCACCTTCTGCACCTTCTCCGCCTATCTTGTTCAATCTACCCCAGAACTCCACGAATGAGTTCTCGTTGAGCATCCCGTCGAACGCTTTCCGAGCGCTGTGCGTCCTCTCGCGTTGCCACCTGTCGTATTCGTCTTCTAGGCGGTCGATGTCGTATCCGAGCTTCGTTACCGGCATTGACTTTAGCAGCGATTCCACGGGCAAGGCGGTGAAGGGGGTTGCTAATGACGGGGCGTTTGCCTCAAACAGAGAATGCAGGCCGGCAAGCTGCCTGCCTTGCAGTTGTCGAGTGTGGACGTGGAAAAGGTGTAGCTGTTGATTAAGTGGGAGAGTGCAGTTGGTGAAGCGAGGGTCGATTTTGAGCTGTGTCACAGCCTCGTCCCAAGATATCTAGGAAGTGACGAAGTAAAATATGAGTACGTGCTCAGCGTCAAGATACTGCCGTACCTGAGGATCACGGATGGCATCTACCAGGAGTGTTCTGCAGAGAAAAAAGAAAGGCTCTTAGTGCCACACGTCCTCCTTGCAAAAAGCTGATTTATAGAGGGTGGCTCACCGGAACTCCATTTCTCCTTCCTCCTTATTCAGGTGCTGCTTCGATTTGTCAATGTCAAATTCAAGGCGCCCTCGCTCGGCTCGGACTTTCTCCTCTCGTTCCCTAATTGCCCGTTCCTTCTTTTCTTTTCGTCTTTGTTCTGCATCAACACTATCTTCGTTGCTCTTCTGTTGTGCGTCAGTGTTTTCGTCATGGCTTGAACGTTGCCCCGATGCTTGGCCCTTTTGGAACGTAGCAAAAAGCTCTTCGCGAAGTGAAGACGACCCAACAGCGTCGTACCGAGCGTCGGAGTAGAACTTCTTCTTGATCTACACAAGCTTGTGAGTCGGTGGACACGCCAACATGAGTGAACGTACATCTTTCCAGTTCGCGTCATTTGGTATTGGCCCACTTGCGTGCAGCATCGCGAAGAAGTCAGCTTCTGCCTTTTCTGCAGCAGCACGCTTCTCTGCCAGAGACCCAAGCGTTAATAGACATACGCTAACGTCAGACTGAACTTACTTTGCCCCAGCTCCTTTATATACTCCCTGAACCGCTTTTCCCTCTCCCTGTCATCTCGGCCCCACGAGTAAAAGCGCCTGTCCTTCTTCCAAGTCCTCCTGAAGTCCGTCCAGGACGCACGCGTGCTCTTCACCTCGTCAGAGAGTAGCTTGTCAAACTCCTCTTTTGGATTGGCCTCCTTCTTCTCTTTCTGAACGTTTTGCTGCCGCAGCTCGCGAGCCCGCTCACGGCAGTAGTCGTCAAACGCCTCGCACCGAGTAGACACAGAGGGCAGTAGGACATAACGCGGATCCGAAATAAACAAAGGCAGTGATGTGTCCCAGGGATGAAGAGGATTAACGTCCTTCTCCCGAAGTAGTGTCTATACAAGTCAGAAGTTGCACGATTGACATGCACAAGCCAGTAATGAGTACATACCTTGAACAAAGCCTTGGCCTCGTCGAGGGATAGGTCGACACGGTTAGGCATATTCAGCCTTGCTCTCTCTTCAGCTTGCTTCGCAGCGTCTTCCGCCTCTCGTTCGAGCCTCGCTTCCTCCTCCCGCCTTTGCCTCTCCTCCTCCGCTTCAGCAGCCAGCTGAGCAGCCGCCTCCTTCTGCCACTCCTCCTCCTCGCTCTCCTCAGAGTCATCGTCGTCGTCGTCGTCTTCATCATCTTCATCATCTTCGTCATCCTTCTCCTCCTCCACCCTCGCCCTCTTCGAAACCACCTCCACCTCCACCGGCACAGCATCCTCCGCCTTCCGCTTTACCGCGTCCTGCACCTCCGACTTGACGCGCTCAATCTCGCGCCGATGCTCCTCGCCCTCGTCCTGCATCATCCTCGAGCCTGCGTGCTCTCTCTGGGCCCGCTCACCGTTCTCCAGCACCTCCAGCGCACCCTTAATCTCATCCGGCACAACCCACACGCTCTCCTTCCTGCCCTTGTGCGTGTAAAACGTGTTCCCGTCCGCCGTCTTCACGCGCAGCCACTCCGTGCCCGGAATTGGCGTTTTCTCTAGCTTCTGCTTCTTGGGCTTCGCAGCGGCTACGGGGAACGGAAACGCGGGGAGAGGGCGCGCGTAGGTAGACTGTCCGGTCGCGGCATTGTAGTAATACGGCTGCCCTCCGGGGCCTGAGCGTGAATGAGTCGTAAGTTCGTGTTCAGCATGAAAGGCGCGTACCAGTGTGTTCTGTCCAGCCAGGAGGAAGAGGAGGAGGAGGAATCGCAGAACTCATAAGTCCGAGGTCAAGTCGAGCCAGTACCAAGAGGGTAAGATGAAGTCATACTGCTTCCGCGAAATGTGCATATACATAGTATGCATCACGTGAAATCGTTATATTCATGTCAACAAGTCGTCACCAGTCGTAAAATGTAGGACAGATACAACGCTATATGCTACGGAACGAAGGATACACGGCGGGAGGGTAGGGCTACCGTTACAAGAGAGATTATGTGGCCGAAGAAAGGACATGCGTGCAAGATGAGGGCAGATTCATGATGATGAAGCAGTGACATGAGGGGAAAATGAAAAGCGGCGGCGCCCATGCTCAAACGTAGAACCTGGCAAACAGCAAGTTAAGAGACAGCAACGAGCGATAAAAACGACAAATACGTACTTCTTGTTGATCTGATACAACAAGAGGCTCAAGTTGGCCTTAGCTAGGCCATTAAATAGACTGAGGGATGCTTGATTCTCAAACTGAGCCTGGAGAAGGTCCTCCATGCGCAGGTCTTGAGTTGCGATGCGGCTCACGAGACCGAGGGTGTTGTTGAATATCTCGATGGTAAATATGCCCGCCTTATTTGAAGAAAGGATGACGTCAATCTTGTCGAACTGCCGTGGCGAGTACTGGTCAATGGATAGGAGGATTCCCTTGTCGTACAGGTCCTTTCCGGTGTACTTGAAAGACCCAAACTGCGGGTTCTTTCCAGACTTTTGCAAGTCGCGCATGTGGAAGTACTGTTTCGTGAAAGGCAAAACGAAACGCTTTTTCCTACCGAAAGCACGTCAACCCCCATTCACTTGTGTCAACTGCAGACGGCTTACCCTTTTCCGCGCTGCATTGTCGCCATCGCAGCCTCCACATAGTTGTGGTAGCTGTCGATCTGCTCCTGGAAATGCTGTTTCCGCTCCTGAAGATGCTTCAGCGCCTCATTCATACTGTCCATTTCCTGCTGCCGCTGCAAACGCTTGAGGTGCTTGCTACGGACGTCGCTGGCAATAGCATTCAGAATACCCTGGAACCCATCATTCCGCGTGATCTTGTCTTGCTTCTCGAGCTCGAGCAAAAAGAAGATAGCATGCGCCTTAACCTCCCTGAACGACAATCTGCAAGCCGAGCCGACTTCAGTCACCTCGCGACAAGACTCTTAACGGTGGACTTACGATCGGATGTCCTCGAGGCGATAGGATGTCTCGGGACCCGCAGTCGAGGGCATCCGCCGGGACATGGGCTCGTTCTCCATCTCTGACACAATCTCCTCCCACCGAACCTCGTCCTCATCGGTGACCGTCTTCATCAGCGACTCGACAAGGTCCTGGGCAGGCTGCACCCGGAGGATCGCAAGAACCAGCCGTTTAGCCTGAACCCATAACGCTTTTTCGTCGGCTTGAGGATCTGTGCAACAGTCAATATCATCAGATGCAACATACCCATCAGCATAGAGTATCGTCACCTTTCACATGAGCGAACCGGTTCGTCAACTCAAGTGTAATATTACGGTCTCTGGCGTCCTTCAGCTCATCGTTGTCCAAGTGAGGTACACCATCAAGTTCGCGAAGAATAATGTTGAGCGTGTCCTCCCTAGAAGGGCACTACCAAAAGTCCATTAGCACACACCATCATACCCAGAAACCGCACGCTCACAAGTTGTTCCTGATACTGCGACAGCAGCGCATGCATACCATAAACCTCATTCGGCGAAATATAGATTGGCTTCGGCTGAACCGTCGCATCAAGAAACTCGTGCGCCCGGTAATAAGTCTCAGCATCGGGCACGTCAGCAACTTCATAAGTTAAAGCGGTAAGCATGAAAATCCTCGGAAAAGCAACAACGCATCATCCCCACTCACTCTGCAGCATCCACGCCGTCATCTGCCCAATGCCCTTACGGACGTACTCGTTAATCGGCATATAACTCGGATTCTCGTCCGCGAATTCGGCACCGGACGCCACCTGCGAGAGCACACGCGAGACCTGCGCGAGGTTCTTGCGCGTCGCCACGTCCACCGTCTGCGACACCATGTCGAACGTCTCGGGCGTTCTACGCGCACAATCAATCAGCGATCCAAATTCATTCCGAGCCAAATGAACTTACAGGATCGCAGGGTTCATGTACCGATAGAACACCAGCCTCGCGATGCACGACGCATACTCTTGATCCGAAGCATCAGGGAAATGTTCCTTTGCATAGAAATGGGCCTGGAGATCCTCGGACAGACAAAGACACCACTTACCCGCAAGGAGTTCAGCGTCTCCCTCGCCAAGAAGCGCATGCTGTACGGCATCCGCTTGGTGGACTGCATGATCGCTGTAGCGAAGGCCTCGGTCCACCACTGCAGCTTCTGCAGGTCTGATGGAAATTTCAGCGAAACAAAGGCATCTCGCGGGTCTGTAGGACTTACGACGGATGTACTCGGCGCGAGTATCAGGATCCTTGAGAGCCTCGTAGAAGGGGACGTCCTTGGGCTTCGAGCTCGCTTGGCCAGAGCGCATCTCCTCAATGTCAATTCGTGACCGATGGATCTGCGAGGGACCACTCAGGGTACGAAGCATAGCAATGCCAATAGGAAACTCACAACCGACGGATCAGCCTCCAAATCAAGGTCGACGGCATCGACGAGTTCACGCATGATAGCCTGAAGAGTCTCGCGAACATACGTGACCTGCTTCGGGCGCACATAGTGCACAGCAATGTTAATGTACATCGGGTGCCCATGGACAATATCGCTGATCGACCCAGCCGACTTGATCTCGTCCTTGATCGAAAGCTAGGTCCAACCACGTCAATCTCACCCACCAACCGCCTCAGAACCAAACCAAAAACACCCACCTGGAACAACCGCAATAACAGATAATCCTCCCTCCTATCCTGCCCGTACCCAAACAGCGTCAACACAACCCGCTCAGCGAGCCTCCTGTTCTTCTCGCTCGCGTCCCCCTTGCCCATCTGCCCAAACAACTTGCCCAAATACTCCCCCCGGCTCTGTAGCAAATAAAATAGCTGCTGATATAGCTCTAGCTTCTTCCGCGCAGAGTGGTCGAGCGTGTTCGGCCCCGCGAACGGATCCCCGTGCGCCGCGAGGATAGTCGCGCGCGACGCGTGCGCAGCCGCGTTGTCCCCGTTCCGCCGCGCCTTCACGAGCTCCTCGAACGACTTCACGTTCTGCACGACCAGCGCAATCTTCGTGTCCAGGTCGCTCACATCGTGCTCCAGCGCCTGGTTCTCCCGGATGCTCTCCACCACGCGCTTCCGCAGCCGCTCCACACGGATCTCCTCCCGGAAGTCCGCCTCCGAGTCGTCGAGCAGGTGCACAAAGTTCTTGATCGTGCCCACAGTCACGTTCGTCCCGAGCGTGAGCGCGCGGTACTGCTCGCGCGTCTCCTTGGCGCGGAACAACGACTGGATCTTCACGACCTTGTCGAGGTTCGCACGGTAGTACGCCATCTTCTGTCTGAACTTCCGTCGCTGCAGCACACCGCGCAGAAGCGCCTGCAGTGCCACCGCAACTGGCTCGCTCGCCCACACATGGTCCCGCCAGGCGAGGTAATCGCGCCGCACCAGATACCCACGTGCAAGCGATTGCAGACCGCGCACATCAGGCTCGACGAACGTAAGCTGTTTAGCTTGCTCGCGGTGCTTGTTCCGCGCGAGTGCTGCACGAGCCAAAGCCTGAAAGTTCTGTACGCCGCCGACCACCCGAACCTCGCCAAGCGCCTTGCCAATGTCGCGGTGAGCGCGGCGGGCAAGCCCAGCCCGAGCGACCGACTGAACGCCGACAAGAAGCGGAGTCACACGCCGGAGACCCCGAATGAGAGTGAGAAGACGCTTCCGGGCAAGGTAGGTCCGGACGGCGGCCTGAACGGAGGTGACGACATCCTCAAGAGTCGCAAGTTGCGCACGGACACGCCGCCGGACGAGAACACCCCTGCACTGCGCTTGTACGTACTCAAACCCGGCCTGCTCGAAAACCTTCTGCTGTTCGGCGGCACGCCGACGAGTGAGCGCTCCGCGCGCAGCCGACTGGAACGTAACGACCGAACGGGCAACTTGCGTCTTCGCAAAAGTCTTCGTGATCTGTTTGTGGTCGCGCTGCGCGATACGAGCGCGTGCAGTTGATTGCAGCTTGAGGACAACAGGCGAAGCGCTCCGGAGTGCCTTACGAAGTTTGGTGTATTTCCTGCGCTGCAGGACACCCCGGGCTTGAGCCTGGAGCTTGATCGCCATCATTGACAACGCCCGGACGCGACGCTGGTACATCTGCCAGCGACCACGTATGATGACGCCCCGGGCCTGAGCCTGCAGTTGTGTTGCCCATGGCACGAGGGACGCACGGCGGTCGCGTGCGCGAGCGACGAACTTCCGTACAAGCGTTGCCCGAAGTTGGGCTTGCAACTTTGGAACGTACCGCTCAGCGAGACGAAGGCGCCCTTGCTGCGTCGCGACCGCTTTACGAACGAGGAAACCGCGGATAACGCACTGGAGAGCAGCGACCGAGGGCTCGCATTCGAGAAGCTCTCGATGAATACCTAGTCCATCCATAATGAGGACATTTAGACTCTAATTAGACCGTAAGTAGGACTTACGCTCATCCTCAGTCTCCTCTGGCTCGGGCTCGGGCTCCTCGTTGATCTCTTTGGCAAGCTCGCGGCCAACGTTGCCAAAGTTCGGCATGGCCACACCAGCGTCGTTGAGACCCTTCTGAGTCCGTTGAAGCTGGTCATCAGAGAACTGGAGTTGTCCAACAAGATTTCCAATGCGTTCCGCAAGTCCACGGCGAGCAAGAAGATGACTGTAGCATGATCAGTCTTTGAACAAAGTCATAGCCAGAGGTGTCGAATCATACCTGAGAGCGTGAATACAGTAGATGACCTTGGGAATATTCTTCTTGTCATAGAGATCGGTCAACTCAAATATAAATCCCTGAGAAACCGTCAGAACACGCGGTGAAAGCATCAACTCTTGCGGCTCACCTCGGGCAAGCCTACTTCTCTCACGAAAACAAAGAAGTAGTTGATGTTGTCAGAATGACGAAAGTCGAGCTTGGGCGCCTCGTAGATCCGTCGGACGACTCTTTCGGCCGTGAACGCACGGACAAGCTTGGCGAGCACAACGCCATTGCGAAGGCCTTCCTCCATCTCGACGACGCCGAAGCCAAGCTCCTCGTCGAGACAGCCCTCAATCCACTGCTGGGCCTCGCCGACGTGACAGAGGTATTCATACGCCTGGATCAGGTGACGCTGGGTATCCGCCCAGAGGGCGCGGGTATAACGTGTAGCAGGGGCACGTTGGAGAACCGAGGCATCACCTGCGGGGGCGATGTCTCGCGAGAGACGGAGACGGCCCGGGATGCCGGCGACATCATCGGCGTTTGTGACGCCCGGGACGACGAACTCCTGGTTCGCTGCTGGGGAATACGGTGTCCGCTGGTGGTTCGTGTGAGTGCGGCGGGGAGAGGGATGGGATGGTTGTGGATGATCGTCGTCGGTGGGTGGCTGGGATGAGTCGTTCTCATTCCAGGGTTCCTCTGCGTCGCCACTGGCTATGCGAGGGAGATGGCGGCCGAGCCTGCGGGAAGCGAGATGACCATATGAGGTGGTCTTCTTATTTGCCATGTAGGAGCTGCGGTAGGGCGCAGGGGTCATGACAGACGGGCCTGATGGCGTGGGGGGGTCGCGATTTACATTGGGTTTGTCGAGAGAAGGAGTGTGATTGCTGTAGACGGAAAGAGGTCGGCGGGAGGGCGAAGGAGTGTTACTGGTATCAGAGAGAGAATCGGTGGATCGGTATGGAGGACCGTCGAGGGTGGTAGCTCTTCGAGGCCGTGGTGGGGTGGGAGAATCTGTTGAGACAGCATATCCGCTAAGTTCCTTGACTGTGGACACGGATGAGGAGCTGAGGGAGGTGGTGGATGGGAGACGGATGCGATTTGGGGTGGATGGGGAGAAGGTGTCGTAGTCTGGGGACTCGACGGAGATGCCCGTTGTGTTGGGGGAGAGGGGGTTGGCGACGATGTGGGCGGGGAGGGTGAATCGCTTGGGGTTTGGGTGGTGTGTCTCAGAAGGGTGGGGTTGGGACGAGGTGGTGGATGTGACAGAGGACGATCGGGAGAGGGTGCCCTTTGTTGGGGTGGAGGGGCGGGGGCGATCTGCGTCTAACTCTTCTGCCTGGCGAGCACGTTCCTCCCACTTTCCGCGGATGGACTCGAGGGACTGTGCGACGCGGTGGGAAGGATTCCACCTGCGAGTTGCGGTGGTGGAGTTGTTTGAGGAGATGGAGGCTGTGCGGGAGAGGTTAATGTTTCCTGAGCGGGAGGAGGTGCGCTCGAGGAGACGGGTCTGGTATGCAAACGGGGTGTAGTCCGTCGACCCGTTGGAGGGAGCCATCGACGTCGACCTGGTAGCAGTAACTGCACTAGTCTGTTATCAAGCCTGTCTATACGCATACCCTCCGCACACGTGACCCACCTCGGCAATCCATCCCAGTGCACCCAAATCAGGGATCGCCTCAATAGCCATGCCCCCTCTCAGCGCGTCCATCCACCAGCTCGTCGCCCTCCTCGTCCCCGCAACACGCAACGACGACACACTCAGAGATGATCTCGTAGCCCACGCCACAGACATCCTCTCCAGGTCACACATATCTTCATATCCAGTAACAACCATCTGACCCTTCTTTAGCCACATTGGCCAGTCCAACTCGACCGACACCGCACATCTCACCAGCCTCATTCGCCGACATCGTGCGTATATGCGTCCATCCACGCGTCATATCCATCTCATATATTGTAGTCTCCCAGTCAAACGCGTCCCCAAACGCGTCTCTCCAGTTCACCAACCTCAACGCCCGCCTCCAGGCCCAGCCTGCCCTAGCACGCAAACACGACGCTCTCCTCTTTCTCCACACCCTCGCCTCCTCCTCGCGTCCACAACCACCATCCATTCTCTCCCCTAAATCCCCGTCTCCCCTTCCTATTCCTTCTCCCCTTCCTACACCCGTCGATCCCCAATCCACCAGCAGGTCCAAGGCCGCCATTCTTGCCGAATATCGCGCCAGAATAGGTGCTTCATCTTTCCCTTCTCTGACGCGTTAAATACTGATCGCCTGTCTACCCTAGGTAAACCGCATGTCCCAGAACATTTGCTCCTGCGCGATGCTCTCTATCTCCTACAAGGCATATCCGGGAAGCACATCTCCCTTCACGATGGCAATCTGACCTTTCACCACGACTCAGTAAGCTGCGCCCTTTTCCTCGAGCAACAAGCCATTCAAGCATCATCCCATTAGAAATACACCATTACAGCTCCTTTAAAATCCCTCCTCCACCGTCTGGCAGAGGTCGGCCACCTCTACGCCCGCGTTGACGCCTTCGTCCGATCACGCGATGTCTCATCCAGCCTCCTCCCTCCCTCGTCCGCCCATCCGAGCCACAACACCCTCACCCCGCCCCAGGTCGGCATGATCGAACAGTCGCTCGCCCACCATCTCCAGTCCCAGCTCACCCAGTACTATCGCCTCATCGCCGTCCTCGAGTCCCAGCTCAATTCCGCCCCGAGCTCCTCCCCCGACCAGTCCGGCCTGACGCTCAAGAGGCTGGACGTGTGGATCAACGAATGGCGCCTCCGCATGCGCATGATGAGTGTATGCGTCGAGGGCGCCAAGGGCACGCAGGGCGGCGCACTGGTCAACCTCATCCACTCGTACACGGACAACGGGGATCCGTTCGTCCGCAGTTTTACCGACGAGCTGCTCGAGGAGGTGTCGAAGCCGTTCTTTTTGACGCTGCACAAGTGGCTTTTCTCGGGTGACTTGTATGATCCCTATGCCGAGTTCTTCGTCTCTGTGGATCCTGAACTGGCAGATCCTCGGCACGCAGGGCCGCTGGGCTCGTTCGACGCTGTCTTGCCTATGGACAACGAAGACATGTCCTCGGATGCTCGCGAGAGTGGATTGCGTATGTGGGAAAGCAAGTACCGCTTCAGAAAGGACATGCTACCGATGTTCGTCGACGAGACCTTCGGACGAAAGGTACATTCATTTCGCGGTTACGATGCCGCGAGTGCTTACACGGGCCCCAGATCTTCTCCACGGGAAAATCCCTCAACTTCATCCGGTACACATGCCACGATTCGGACTGGGCGACGACGCGAGATCGCATGTCGTCTGCGCACCAGACGCATGCGCGCGGCACGCTGTCCTACACCGACATCCCCGGACTGGAGCGCTCCATCGACGCCGCGTACAAGACCGCCTCGGCGCGCCTGTTCGAAATCCTGATCGACAAATTTCACCTCACCACCCACCTCAAAGCGCTCAAATCCTATCTCCTCCTCGGACACGGCGACTTCGCGTCACAGCTGCTCGACGCCCTCGCGCCCTCGCTCGGGCGCGCCGCGAGCACGCTGTACCGGCACAACCTGACCGCAACACTAGAGAGCGCGCTCCGGAGCACGAGCGCGGCGGACGACGCGGGCGGCGCGGGCGAGGTGCTGCGGCGGCTCGACGTGCGCGTGCTGCCGTACGGGCAGGGTGAGGTCGGCTGGGACGTGTTCACGCTCGAGTACAAGGTGGACGCGCCGGCGGACACGGTGCTCGATCCCGAGAGCATGGGCGCGTATCTGAAGCTGTTTTCGCATCTCTGGCGCATGAAGCGCGTCGAGAGCGCGCTCCGCGACGCGTGGATGCGCGCGGCGCGTCCGCCTGGGTACCGCGATCGGCCGCGGGGCGGGGGCGGGGTAGGGGGCAGGCGCGGGGACTGGCATCGGATTCGGCTGGCGATGGCGGAGATGATACATTTTGTGCGGCAGATGACGGCGTATTGCCAGCTCGAGGTGATCGAGTGCGCGTGGATAGAGCTGATGGAGTTCCTCAATAAGCGGGAAGGAGACCTCGACGGTATGATCGACGCGCATCGGACGTATCTGGAGAGGATGGTCAAAAAGGCGTTGATGCTGAGTCCGAAAGCGGGCAGGGAGGAAAATCTCCTGAACCAGGTCAGAGATGCGTTTGGAACGATTCTCCAGTTCAGGGACGCGATGGACAGTTTCTACAACAGCTGTCTCTCCGAAGCGGCGGCGATAGAGCAAGAACACGACCTCGAACGGGTAAGCTGGAACTGCATATTGTGCATCAACCGTCATATCTAACTCGCTTCGCAGGGTATCCATACCTACAGGCCACCGTCGGCAGCTGCGAACCTGAGTGCACCGACGCTGCTCCAGCTGCGCAAATTGGTCGAAGAGTACGCTCAGACGTTCACTGAGCAGGCCTCTGGAATCGTGCACTCGTTGCAGACGCATCCCGATCTCGACTGCAGGTTCTTGGGGATTCGCATGTCTTTCTCGGACTACTACAGGCGAGGAAAGTGAGATGCGGCTAGGTTTCTTTTTATTACCGATTCATGTATTTTACAATCCTACTAGTGCTCTGCTCCAAGGACGAGTTCAAGATTAGGTTTCGGTGGGAGTCGTTATCTAAAGATACACCGAGTGTGGGGTATACGATCAGTTATGAGCCGTTATGATGACAAGCGACAATGGTGCCGAACATGCAATCTGCACGTTCAAGCGCTCACGACTCGAAGCGCTCACAGGCAAGATTGATCTAGCAAGGTTATATCTTGGGCTCAGGATGCTAGCTTTTGAGATAAATTTGAGGGTTGCACTTGTTGTGCGACTGAGGCGGTCGATGGTGACGAAGGCCCTATTAAAAGCGGGCACGGCAGTATTAGGATAACTCAAACGATGCGCTGTTGATGAGTTACCAATAAGACTCCTCTAGCAAGTTGGCGCTTGGTTGTTGTCCTGCCCATGCTATCCCTCCACGCCCCATAGCACCTCACCCATCCAACCCACCCTCCTCACTCACCCTAACTTATCGGATATTTAGAGAACAAGTGTTGACCGGAAAGAAGTTCGTCATGTCAGACCAAGGTGCGTGCTTGCCGACATTCCTTTCGTGGAGGATCGCTAAACCTCATACGTATTTGTCAGACACCGACGCTCGTCCTCGCCCAGTCGTCGCCCGCCAGGACACACAGGCCATCCTCTCCTACTACCACTCCCCGGCAGCTGGCGGAACATTCTCCCCACAGCCCCAGGTTGACGACGCCAGCCCACCATCTCACCTTCATTTACGTTCCTACTCCAGCACATCACAGTCCTCAAACTACTCGTTCGTTTCTCAGGAAGACTTGGACCAGGACGTCCCAACCACAGCCCGTCCGCTCAACCGGGACCTCTCCACACGTACCAACACCACTTCCACATCTCCTACCGAAAACGAACAGCAACACCGCCCTGCTCGCCGACGACCCAGCGTACCCTCAATTGGCAACATCGATCGACGCCGTCTACAGGTCGTCGAGTTGGACTCTGCCGAATCAGAACACGCTCAGCCATCCAAGCCCGAAGCTCCCGAGCACAGCCTACCGAGTGCTGTGTCAGATTCGCCGTCGAACAGCATCCGCACTCGCAGAGGGCTCGAAGGCCGCCTAGCAGGACTGGCACTGGTCGCTCCACCGGACGCGTCTCCGAAAACATACACCAATCTCACACCGCCTCTGACAGCCCCCGTCGAGCCCGTGCACAAGGCGAACACCACGGACAGCCACCACCGCTCTGCGTCTGAGGTGGTCTCGTTAGGGAAAGAGAGGGGGCAGCACGTACGCCGAAAGTCTTCCAGGGACGTTGCTATTGTTGGCACGGAGAGTTCGTCCAGTTCACGTTCTAAACGCGACGACCACGACACGGAGAAACGAAGCTCAAGTACAGCAGGTGGTTTGAGGCCTCCGGTGTTCCAAATGCCCCAGTCACGTTCTCCTTCACCCGGTGCCTCCGGTGACGATTCAGAGACGGCCCGGTCTTCATACACGGGGCGAAGCAAGACGGGTGCGCGGCAGTCTCTAGTGAGTCCGATCAAGGAACTTCCAGAGACTTCATCTCCCCTCCGGACACCTGCAATAGGAGAGAGCAAGGATATCGCCGATCGCGTGTCCGGCCCCGTTGTCGTCGACCTCGCGGCACAGTCACAGAGCTCCAGTGCCTCTTCCGCCCTCCCAGGTTCACTATCGCCTCACTCGCAAAGTACCTCACCGCCATCGTCATCACACGCGTCTGCTTCACCCACCACCCCCAGCCCGTATTTATACTACCAGCCAGGCGTCCATGCCAGAGCTGGCCCGCTGCCTCCGCCACCCATGGCCATCCTCAATATAGATCCCAAGTTGCCACCACCGCCGCGTCCACCACGGCTGAACTCGCCATTTCGCCGGAAGATCGACGCTGAGGCTAGTAAGCCAGCACAACAAACTCCACCTTCCGTCCCGCCGCCTGGTGTGGACGCGCCTTCGTCAGGCCCAAAGTCTCCTTTGAGCCCACTAGGCCAGCAGCCCTCTCCGTTCCAGGTTGACGAACCGGTAAAGGACACTCAGACTTGTGCGAAGAGGTAAGCGGTTGTCAGTTTAGCGTAAGTACTTGACGCGATCTTACTAACGTTACCAGGACCGAGGACGAGACAGACGAAAACACCACAGCCCACGTTCGCGAAGGGGCCTTCCCGCCGTCACGACTCACGAAACCCGCTTCACCGACATCGCCCAAGGAAGCTATAAAGTCGCCCACACGAATAGGTTCATTCCCCGAGCTCGCCGTCTTAGTTGGAGATGCGATTGACGATGTAGGCCTAGTGAAAGCAAGCGACACCCCGCCCCCCTCGGTCGTCGAGCCGCCCCGCCTCCACGAACGCTCGCGCAAAGGATCGGGCCTCGACATTCGCCACCGCAGCCGGGGCTCCGACGAGTCGCAGACCACCTCCTCCACCAGGAGCTCCGGCGCCGAGCCGAGTCCGCACACCGTCGACAGCGCGACACGCACGAGCTTCGCCCCCTCGGTGCCGTCCAAAGGAGGAGGAGGAGACGCGGACTATTCGGAGTTCGGGGTCGAGCTGCAGGGGAAGGGGCGGATGACGAACAGCCAGTGGCACAGGAAGCAGAACTCGACTCTGCCGCGTACGCCGTCGTTTGCGTCCATCTCGAACAGGCTTTCCGTCGCCGGCAGCAGCAGCGGCAAGCGGTCGTCGAGGACGCCGTCGCCGTCCCCGAATTCTTTTTGGGAGAGAATCGCTCCTCGCCAGGTTCCTCCGTCGCGCAAGATTCCGTGCGCGTGGCCAGCGGCGATGCAGTTTGCGGATGTCCTCGACAGACCTAGTGCGCTGGGCCGATCGATCGGCTACGCGGAGAAGATCAACGAGCTGTACCACTACGACTGTGGGCTGGGCGACTGGATCGTAGATACCAAAGCCAGAGGTATGAGACAGAGCCCCCACCCCCTTCCCCCATGTGCATGATGCACGATAATTGTGTACCGCCAGTTGACCACGATTGCTCGCAGCTGCCAACCCCCAGTCGTACAAGCGCGCGACTCTGCGCCTCTCCAAGGGTCAGGGTCAGGGCCCCCGCCTTCCGTCGGAATTCGCAGCGGACCACCACCAGCCGCGCAAGGCGTCGCAGGGGTCCATGGAGTCCGAGATGACCTTCCCTCGGCGCCCAGACGCCTACATCGCCACAGACCTCCGCTCGGGACCCTCTCTCGAAGACACACCCACCCCGCTCCCGGCCCTCCCGTACCCAGCACTCGCCGCTGTCTCCGCCCGGTCGTCGGGCGGCCCCTCGCGCGCGTCGACCCTCCTCATCCCGTCCTCGTCCCTGAACAAGACCCCCGGCGGCTTCTTCTCGTCGCTCGGCAGGAAGACAAGTGTCCGGAAAGACCGCGCCGTCAACTCGCCCCCCTCGCACAAGGTGCTCTCGAAGCAGCCGCCTCGCTTGCCGCCTCGGTCCGTCAACATCGTCAGCCCCCCGCCCCTCCCTGGCGGCCCGCGCGCACCACCCGACCGGATGAAACGCGCGCAGACGCTGATCACCACGCCTGCGTACGTCGACAGGGCAAGTCGGCGGCCCTCGCTGTTCACCGCCAACGGGTCTGGGTCCTCGGACAACACTCGACCCACATCCTCTGCCAGTTTCTCGTCTCAGGTCGATAGACTCTCGACACTCCTCCCGAACGCTGACAGGAACGTCCTTGCTGGCTACCTCAAGAGGGCCGGGCAAGACGTGCTCGCCATTGGCCAATACCTGGAAGACGAAAAGAACGGGGAGCTACGTCGCGATTAATGCACCGTTACAGCACATACCATATGGACCATCTTCACGCATCTATTACATACTATCTCGCGCCTTCCTGGTTATATTCCATACCCCCCACAGACCAAGCATTAATGTTACATTACTGTACGGACTCGTAACTTCATACACACCCCTTCATTGCTGTCGATCGTTGCTTTTCGCATCCCAACTTTAGCGGGCTCGGAATTGAGTCTTTCTATTGGAAGAACCTGGACGACATGAGCTTGGTGGACCTCGGCGAGCGAGGGGGATTACTGGTTTGTGGCGGAGCGCGACCAGGTTTGAAAGTCGTGCCTCTTGGGAAAGCAGCAGCAGCACTGCCACCGTTCATGGCCGGGCGCGAGCGACTTGGGTGTAGTAGCATGTTCTCCACTTCGCTCGCGCTTTCAGACCTTTCCGAGAAGTTTCGTTGGTGACGCCGGCTGGTCCCGTCCGCCGTTTGACGGTGTTGAGACTGGGGCACCCTTTGAGGCTGCGATCCGTATTGGAAGGAGTTGCTGCGAACTTGGCCGTTTGCGTTACGGCTGACCAAAGGAGTCCGTTGCAGCTAGGTAGAACGAGTGAATAGATCTTTCATTATCCCCGCGTGCGAACGTACACCAACGGCCTCCATCCCTCCTACCACAGCTTCGATATCTAACCGAGCTGCTGGGTCGACAGGATGTCTAGCTTCGCCTCCAGCTTTTTGCATGCCATTTGGAGGACCAGCGCTCGGGGCCAAAAGCGCCTTGCGTTTGACTTTCTCATGCTGGTTCTGTGGCGCGATAGGTTGCAATTAAGTGGATGAATATATGCGCCACTAACCTTGAGTTTCTGATATTCCTTTTCTCGCTCTCTGGAGGCTTCTTGAAGCTCGTGTACCTTGCGGCGCTCGACTTCTACATCTCGTTCCAGCTCTGTCCAAAGAAGTCAGCAGCGATCTGACTGAATTCGCTGTATGCCTACCAGCAATCTTGTTCGTCATGAGAGAGATCTCGCTGTTAGCTAACTATCTCTTAGCCTTTAGTTCTTAGCAAGCGCCTGGGCAACTTGCCTTCCCGAACGACATTCTCCAGCTGCTTTTGTAGCTGCGCATTGCGGTCGTTCAGATTACGTGTCACGGCATGCTGAAACAGACTGGCAGTCGAGTTTAGTGAGCGAGCGGGAAAAGGGCCGTAAATCCTACTTTTCCTGATGAACTTGATATTGCCAAAACGACAAAGCACTAGGCCATTGTTGGCGTGATTAATCCAATAGGAAACGTGACGAACGACTTACCGACTACAGATCTCTAAGATGATAGACGGGCTTAACCCCGAAAGAACAGACTAAACCCAAGCGGTGTGAACGTTGTGTATCTGTCTTATTATGGTACAATCCACGCACTGTTTTGTAATCATTTGTTGGGTTGAGAGAGCAAACCTGTCATCAAATTCCTATGGCGGGGATTGTCAAGGTCCGTATGAAGTACTCACTACGACGTCATCGCTAACGTATGATATTAGGCAAGACCAGTCAAAGCGAGATAATTGCTCACGGTTCGGTCAAGCTCGTCTCGCAAGCTATAGAAGACGGTCAGCGAGTAAAAAAAAGGTTGAGCTTAAAAGACATACCGGGACATAGCCGCGCTACACTGAAGAGTTCATTTGCACAGTCAACTGAAATGGTTGTATCTCAGCATCTACTGCTCAGACTGATGATCAAACCTCACCGCAAAAGATGTGCGAGCCTGAATAGTGAACGGTGAGAGACGCCCTCTCTGGTATAGTGATCAAGCGTACAGGTAGTCTGCAGGCATTTGGAGGTCGATCATAGTGTATTACATGACCAAAGCTAGACACTTACGACAACAGCCCTTTCAATGAGCGTCGTTCGACAAGTGAGTCTATTGCATTTCAGGTCCGAGTCCATAACGTCGATCTTACAGTAAGAGCAATTGATGTTCGTCTGCGTTGAGTGGGTACTGGAAGTCAGAGATAAGATAAACACGGAGGAGCAAAAAACAAATCAAGCCGCGACGCGCTCAGCCACCAGAAGATCTCGTGACTGAATAGCAATGCTGCGTGACGCCACCGAGGGTACAGTAGTTTTATTCGCCACAGCATGTACAGAACGAAAGCACTGCAAATAATCTGAGAGTCGGTATAACAAGTCCGAAGAGTGTGCTTGTCACGATTAAACATTAATAACTGAGGGTTGATGCAAGATATAAATTGATGATAAAGTCCGATGCAGGAAATAAAACCAGAGGGAATAAGATAAATGTCCACGGAGACTACGGCCTCCACGTGTTTCGAGACGGAGTCGGAGGTATGCTAGGTCGACGTCTACCAGCAGGTGGCATTGACGGTGTTACAGGGCGGAGTGGGAGGCCTTCCGGATCAGCACGTCGCATGAACTGTAAAGGAGCCAAAGGAGAACCGCTGACAGAGGACGTTGACTTCATCGACCGGGGACTAGTGCCACTCGGCGTTGAAAGCAGGAAGGAAGGGACAAAGGACCCTGAACTCGAGGGTTCTGGAGTTTTAAGAGATCTAGGAGGAGATAGTTGTTCCTCTGCTTCAGACTCCCGCAAAGTAGCAGAGCTGATCCACTTTTCTTCCCGAGATCCAAGCTTAGGCGAGCCAAACACCGACGGAGAGTCCTCCAGAGGCATGAAACGAAATAGGTCCGCGAAATGACTTTGAATGAATCTTTACGCAATCATCAGTAGCAAGCATATTGCATGATGCCGAATTACTCACTTGGATAATTCTTGCCAGCCCCCACCGATGCGTACCATCACAGTCTGTGAGCGAAGAATGCGACAGAAGCAAAGCTTCGGCTCGTCCCCACCAATCCAATATTTGCCACTTTGATCTTTCCAAGTATCGGCAACAACCTCCACGTTGATGTTGACAGGGAGCTTGTTAACGACGTCGCCAACAGCCACGTCGAGCTTGTTCTTGGGATTTGCCACATACTCCTTCTTGGGCTGCCGCTTTGCGGGAGGGGGCGTGGTCATTCGAGCAACGGGGAAAGATTGTCGAGGGGCGCGAGACCAAGTTGACATCGACGAAGACGAACGTTGTCTAGCACTTGTTCGTGAGCCGGTCGATAAATCACTTCCGCCCAGTCGTGACTTAGTAGACGCTTCGTGCCCCCCAACAGACGCCCGAGCTTTGGCAGTGGCTCTGGCACTCTGTTTCGTGGGGAGAGGTCCGGAAGATGTCGTAGACGTCATGCTAGTTGTACGTTGCCTGGAAGCATACGTCGAACTATAGATGGACGAAGAGGAAGTGGACGGAGGAAAGATAGGACCAGAAGCAGATCGATTGGATGAAGACGAGATTGTCGACATTCGACTCGAAGGACGAGAAGTTGGCGGCGCGCCAGACACAAGCCGCCTTGAGCTTGGAAGATTCGGAGTCAGGTAGCGTCCAGAGGAGGAAGAGCCACTCTGGTTCAGTGAAGAATAACTCTGCTTCTTTGATTGATTGCCAGAACGAGACGTAGACAAGGAGCTGGTGCTGTTGTTATTAGAGCTCATTACACTATGCGGGCGCACCGGCAGGCGTGACGGTGGACGCGACGGTGGTCGTGAAGGTGGATTCGACTTCTTGCTGGAGACGAGATCTTGAGCCATCTCCTCCATTTCCCTCCACGTCTGAACGGCGCGGTCATGCTCAGCCTCTGCCCGCATGTCATCCTTGATAGGAGCAAAGCAGCGCACAACATCGTCCACAACGGACTGCGTAAATTTCAGACGCTCCTTGAGTTGCTCGGGGGGAGTCAAGTCGGCAGAATCAACATAATCACTCGCCAGATCCTCGGCCAATGGAGGGGAGGGATAGCTGTCGATATGCTCCAGCAAGTCACTGCACGCTGCATCGCAAGACTGAACAGCATGTGTGAGAGCTGCTAGAGATCTCAGCTTATCCATGAGCTCGGAAGAGGCCTCGACTTCGACTTTGAGAGACCGCAATTCCCCATCAGCAGATGAGTTCTGGGCAGGAGGTGACAAGATCAAGATGTCGGCACAGAGTGCATCAAAGTCCTGTCGAAGTCGTTTGTATTCTTCTGTGCTCGGAAGATGGAAAGAATTGGTACGGCTGGCGCGAGGTCTGGCGAGCTCGTTAATGCCAAGAGAACGAAGGCGTTTTCGCAAGGAGACTATGTTTTGAAGTGCACTATCCTGTGGTGCCGAGGAAGGGAACGCGGGCGCCGCTTTCAGTCCGAATACATCTGCAATACGTTTGCTTAGACCAGCTCTTCTGTAGCACGAACCACAAACCTTCTCCGCTGAAAGACGAACTCTCTGCTTTGAGGCGCTCCTTTTCTCGCTCTTCAGCGAGAAGTCGCGCCTTCTCTCGCTCGTTAGCGGCCTGCTCCTCAGCAGCTAGCATTTCCCTCTGGCGTTCTTCCGCAGCTAACCTTTCCTGCTCCCTCTCCTTCGCTGCTTGTTCTTCGGCCGCCAACCGCTCTCTCTCCTTTTCTTCTGCAGCGAGCCTCTCCCGCTCCCGCTCCTCGGCCGCCAACCGCGCTCTCTCCCTTTCCTCCGCAGCGAGCCTCTCCCGCTCCTCAGCTGCCAGCCGTTCCCTCTCCCTTTCCTCCTCAGCGAGCCTCTCCCGCTCCCGCTCCTCCGCAGCCAACCGCGCTCTCTCCCTTTCTTCCGCAGCGACCCTCTTCCGCTCCTCAGCTGCAAGCCGTTCCCTTTCCCGCTCCCGCTCCTCAGCTGCAAGCCGCTCCCTCTCCCTTTGCTCCGCAGCGATGCGTTCCTCCTCCAGCCTCTTCGCCTCCGCAATGCGCTCAGCCTCGAGGCGCGCGAGTTCCACCCTCTGAGCCTCAGCATCGAGAGCGTCCAAGATCCTACTCCGCAACGTCTCGACATCCCCGCTCCACGCAGAGAAGCGAACCTCCAGGTCCTCCAGTGCGCGGCGACGAACGGCAACAATGCCAGTCAGCACTTCATCAGATCCCGCGGAAGAGTCCATCTCGCGCAGACGCTCCCTCAGCACCGAGAGCGATCTAGAGAGGCGGGAACGGTGCTTCTGAGAGTGCGCGTCCAAGTTTTCCAGGACAGCGTTCAACGCGTCTGTCTTTCCATCCTGCGGGAGGCTAGAGGAATAAGAAACGTCTATGGAAGCCAGCTCTTGGGATGTATCGCGAATGTCGTCGCGAGCCGAGTTGAGCAATCCGTCCGCTTCCTTGGCCCGACGTGCCAGACGCAGGTGTTCACTCTGCGCTGAGAGTGCGTGTAGCTGGCCAGCAAGCTGCATGGCCCAGGAATTGCAGTCCGACCGAACGGCGTCGTCTAAAGAGGACAGACTGAAGGGTAATTCCACAGGCCTGCGGTCCCCCCAGCCCGAGACACCGATCTGGATGTTCGATGCAGAGAACTTCTTTCGAACATACGTAGGACTATCAGCGCGATTGGTAGATTCGTTTTGGGAAACAAAGACCGTTCTCCTCTGAATGTTGTCAATGAAGCTTTGAGCCGACTCTTTGACTTCGTTCATGCTAGTTTCCAAGCTCGCTTGAAGTTGCGCGGTGTTATCAACAGCAAGCTTGTCCTCGAGCACGTCCTCCACAGCAGTGTCGTACCGAATCTTCACTTCTTCCAGGCGTAGTTGTAGCTCGTTAGACTCGTCGCGCAAGACGGCCATAGTGGATGCTTGGCGAAGGATGGCTTCATGCAACGCGATCATTTGTTTGATGCTGTCCAGATGAATTCTTAAGCCACTGAGAGTTTGAGCCAAGAGGTCGTCCAATGGTTTCTCGAGTGCACCAGAGAAAGAATTCATGAGGGATGGAACGTCGCTTAGAATGGCTTGCAAGGCATCAGCTTGTTGAGCAAATTGCGGAGTGCTCATCATTGTCAACGGTACAGCGTCTGGTGACTCGGGTGTCAAAGGTTTCGTGTGGACATCGCGAGCGGACTGTTGCCTCCACCGTCCGCTTTCCATTGCATCTCCAACTTCACCACGCAGCACCTCTAAATCCGCCATTGCCTTGTTCATAGTTGCCCATATGTTTCTTGCTGTTCGTAATCGAGCCACGCGAGCGTTGACAGAGTCACGAATCGCTCGAACGTGATTGCATGCAGATGCGAGGGTATCCGCTTGATGATTTGCCGTAACCTTGAACGATTCATCGACTTGATAGCGACCGAGGGAGATGATAGCAACCCTATAGTTGCCTATCAATGGCTGCGCCTTGTCAAGGGTCTTTTCTAGATCTTGGAGAAGTGACGGGAGTAATGTAAGAAATGCAGCATGTTTTGTGGGTTGCATGCAGTCTTCCAAATTCAGGTCGGGCGGCGAGCCATCCTCGTCTCCAGCCGGTATTCCATTGTGAAGGTGATCTGCAAAAGCATACAGGGAGTTTGTGAGCTCAATAGCAGACTTTCCTAGCGCGTCCGCCGTTTTGACAGCGGCAGCAGCAGCGTGATATTCCTCAGCCACTGACTGAACCTTTCGGGTGAGGTCCATGGCCTGGGCAATCTCGTCTGACAAAAAGGATATCAGGGAGCTGTTGGAGGATGATTGGTCTTGGAAAAGAGGATGCAAGGGGAAAGGAAAACCGCCACGAGCAGACGTCTGGGCGCTGCGAAATGTAACGCGTTTACACAGTGTGTCCGCGCGAGACAAGTACGTGTTACTCTGAGAAGACACGGGATGGTGCATTTTTGCGATCTCAATTTCTTCGAGTAAGGTCTGAGCGCCGCTCACGTCTTTACGGGTTTCCATGTACACTTCGTCAGCCCTGTCCTGATCGTCAGCACTGCTATTGTACATCATTCGAATGTCGTCTCACTTTCGCCACTGCGTGACAATGTCCATAACGAATGGACCGACATCTTCCATGTCATTCATACCCTTCTCTTCCAACCTGTCTTGTTCGTCAAGAAGCTCGTCGGGAACCGGCTTTCGGCTGTTGTCAATCAACTTGTCCAAAGCCTTACCGGCAGCCGAAATCTTTCCATGTCGAAGAGACGATATCCTACCGGATAACTGTGCTGCGTCTTTAGAGAGGAGTTCCGCCAGTCTGAAACGTGCACTACGAGAGAGGTTGCCGCTAGATGCTGCTGAGGTATCCGAGGCCATCGAGGCTAATGACGCCATTGAGCCTCGTCGCCGAGGGCCATCCTCCGCCTTCGGCAAAAGATCATACGTGTTGGGCGACCAGCGACCTTTGGAGGTCAGAAACGACTGGATATCTGCCAGGATCTTGCGGCAATCGATCCATGCACCAGTCCGCTGCTCCTCCCATGTGAGGCGGATGCCCAAAAGGTCCAAATTCTCTGAGCGGCCGCGAAGGAGGTGCAGAAGCTTGTCAAGCGCATAGATAGTAGTCAAGGTAATTTCGATGAGGTCGGTATCTGCAGGGGAGAGGTGTCTCTGCGTGGCCTCTACGGTTGACATTAATGACTAGGATCTTCATTTCGTTACATGAGGGCGAGTAACACATGCCTTTCGTCAACTTCCTCAGTTTCATCAGATCTCCAGAGTCGAAAATCTCAGTTTCCTTCTCGATCCTGTCATGCTCCCGAAGCCACTCTTGGAGCTGCGCGCGTGTGGGTAACCCTGGGATTTCTTCTGCAGATGAGCGTAACGCGTCGAGACCTACAAAGACCTCGATGGGAGGGAGCGACTCGAGAAACTAAAATGCATCCGGCTGAGTATCTGCCTACTTGATTGAGATAGCATAGCTCACCTTGATCTTTTCCTCTATCCAGACCTTACGGTCACTGAACGCCTGAAGCTCGATGACCTCATGGGACTCGAGGTGTTCTTCTTCCTCGGGAGCCTCAGCGTGACCGTCAGTGGGTTGTTCTGTGAGAGATGGGAGGTCGCTTGGCGATAAAGTAGTGATCTCGGATGTGCCGGAGGGAATAGGCGTGTCTGATGGGGTGGGCGGGGAGTCGGAGGTCGGTATTGTGGGTGGTTCTGAAGGCATATTGATTAAAGGGATGAGGCAAAGAGAAGGACCAGGGTCGATCAGACAAGAAGGTGCATTTCACAGAGCGTGGCTGTCTGCGAGGTGTGAGGCAGTTTTAGTACTGTACAGGGTATGGCAGGGTATGGCCTGGCCGTCGTTCGAGGCGACGGGTGCAACGAGGCTCTGTCACTTTTGCCCACGAGGAACTGGCAACTGCGCTTCTTTCCTTCCTCCGATGGATGACTAAGCAAGGCCGCACCTCCGCGGTGACGCGGTACCTGATCAAGCCGGCGGGCACACGCCACGACTTGCGACCGTCTCCCGATGACGAACACACCGGCTGAGCACCCCAGCCCGTCTTTGAGCCATGCTACCGCACTAGACTCGGCACAGACCATGCCTTCAACTATCGTTAAACAGCCCAACGAATACCCTGCCACATTTCATTTCGCAGTGCTCGCTGGCTTCCTACTTCCTTTCACTCTAGTGCCCTATCTACTCATCCGAAGACAGACATCTTCTTTGCATCGGCGCTTAGATGCACTAGACCACCACATTTCTGTGCTGCAGAGAACATCGAAGATGTCTTCTCTAGAGCATGCGCTGCGCAAGGAAGAGACCACCCAAGCGCTTGCCCGTGCTGAAAGATCTAATAGAGACTTTCTTCACCTCCGCCAGGAACTTGACGCCATTCGCTCACAGAACGTGGCAACGTCCACGTCAACTCAGGGAGCACTGTCAGAGATTGTCGAGGAACAGGCTGTGGTCAGGTGAGCAGTGCACAGTGCAACGAGATCTGCGCATACGACATTTGCCCCTATTAGAGAACGTTTGAATGTGCTACCACAAATTGGAACATCATTGGCAGACATCGCTGCATATGTGCACACCGCGGAACTTCGCCAGGGCTCGCCATCTTCACCAGCAAGCGATCGCGCTGTGGAGAGACTACGAAGCACGGCCTTGCAGCTACACAAGCAGGCAACCAACGGAAAGCTTCTGAAAAGCCCAGCCAGGTCTCACAATTGGCATTCACAGGGACGCGCAGCATCGAAGTAGCACTGGGATGAAGTAGCAGCAATGTATTATGAGATGAGACGTTCGCATACGCCAGATCAGTCACTTGTAGATTATATGTCATCAAGTTGTAGCAATACAATTCAGTTACCTAGCATACACGAAAGCAAGATAGCAAAATGCACAGTGAGCCACCGGACAGCAGATTAATACATGTAGGAAACGTCAAGATATCATCAATGGTGAAGCGCAAGAAACGCGGAAATACAACGGTAGCCAGCAGAAGAACTCAGCGTGATCGCCAGAATTTCCACCATTTCTTCTTCTTTGTATTTAGAGGTGACGACGGAGGTGTCTCCCTCTTCGGAGGGATCCTATCCAAAGGTGAGGCGGCGGTTTGGGTCAACCAAAGGGGCACGTACTCATCAACGTGAATGGCATAATCTTTGCGAAGAGTAGCCACGGCCTGCGTGATCTGTGCCTGCAACTCCAATCGGACGTTCTGGGGCACTGCCAGCTTGCGTCTCCAAATGGCGACGCTGTTGCCTGTTTTTGACGGTAGAAAAACAAACACAACCGTCTGGGTACTTGGATCGTAATAAGCCGTAGATTCTTGCAGAATGAGGTCCATGGTAGTCTGAAGCTGTTTATAGTCGATCCAATCAACCGCTGGCTCGGTCGGTCGCTTTGGAGGGCTGTAATCAGCATTGACGAGGAGAGCGCCACGCTCACGTGTCTGAAGAAACTTATGGAGCTATGGTACTTTCATATCAGTAGTGACAGGAAGGCTTCTACAACTGACTTACACCAAAGACAGCAAGATTGCTGGATACGCTGTCGATCCATTCCAAGACATCACGAACGCGCTCATCCTTGTTGGGCGGAAACAGCCAGTGAAATCGGTCTTTGGCTCGGCGATGTGTGTTGTAAAGCGCTCGTTGAACATTGACCAAAGCCTCTCCGTTCGATTCAATGAAATTCGGATCCGCAAAATGTTTCACTGTATTCTTTACGGGTGTATTGCCAAGCGGCGTTGACAGGCCCTGAGAAGCATATGCGAGTGTTTTCGAAGGCATGTCGTACCCTGAGAGTCCAAGCTGGTTTGGGGGGATGGCATTAACAGTGAGGCTTTCGACAACGGCAGAAGATGCACGTCCACCAGTCGGCGCTCTAGGTGAGAAGTGGACCTTTCGGCCCCATCCATCGTGCATTGACTCGTAGTCATCCGAATTAATAGTGTCGTTCCCTTCTCCATAGCCATCATCGGGAGGGGGATTCTTGCGTTTATGTTTCTTCTTTCCCTTTTTTCTCCCGTTGAACGACGACAGTGCCGCAGGAGGTGGAGGCGGGGCATGAGCACGCTGCCATTCATTTGCAGCAGCCTGAGATGGGACATAACCCGTTTCATCAGGAACTGGGTAAGTCGGCTGAGTCTGCGATGGTTTGTTTAGCAAAGAGTAAAGGAGATTGGAACGCTGTATGTGAGAGAGGGCAGGTGACCTGCTCTCGGGTGCGCTCAGTAGAACATCATTGGGGGCCGGCGTTACCTTAGGTATCCTTTTTGCCTCTTCACCCCAGGCTTGCCACGCGTTCCGAAATGTCGCGCTCGTCTCCGCAGGATGTGGTTGTGGCACGCTCCAGCTTCCGCCAGCGGTAGGCTGTCCACTCTGTTCCCAGCCACCATCCTCTTCGTGTTCTTCGGATTCCCATTCCTCAGCTTCATCGGGCCGCATCCACTTCTGTTGTGCCTCAGCTTCCTTGGCCCAAGTGCTCCAGGCACCCGTGGGTGCTGGTGGATTTCCTCCAAACCCTCCAGACCTGACGCTCTCCTCTTCCCATGCCGATGAGCCCTCGTCACCTTCTCCGACAACGCTGACACCACCCCAGCCCACAGTCGCGCCGCGTTGATTTCTCTTGCCTCCACCGCCGCCGCCTTGCATGGCCGTAGCCATAGTCAAAGATATGCTTCCGGGTGGGGGAGGAGTGTTGGGCAGAGGCGGCGGAGGCGCGAGAGGTGAAATGTGTGGCTGCTCCCAGTCTGTGCCGCCACTTTCCCAGCCCCCCGGAGCACCCTCCGACCATGGGTCATTCTTACCAGAATCACCCCAGTCATCGTCACCTTCCTCTTCCTCGAGAATACCCCCTATTGGAGATAGCATCGGAATGAATGGCGGGGATAAACGAATAGAGCAACAAGATAATCGCGGGGACTGTGAGGAGGAGGTAACTAACCTAGACCTCGTGGATTATGCCCCTCAGTCGTCGAAATGTGCAGCGCCGGCGGGGGAGAAGGGGGAACTGCCGACGCCGGGGCATTGACGAACTCGGCGCCTTGAGCCTTCTGCTTTCCCTTCTTATTACTGTTTTTACCCATGATAGATTACCGGCTTGAAGAGGAAGAATGACCACCTGTGGCCACGCCGACAACACGAGCCTGAGTTATGAAAGCCGCGAGGAGAGGCTGTCGCCACGTCCAGTCGGAATAGAAGCAGAGGACTGGCCTGGATCGCTCACCCGCGGAGTAGATAAGGCACCTATGGCTGCCCCGTGACGGCTGAACACGAGGCAGATGTGGGCAGACGTCTACCAGGGCTTACACAGGACAAGAACTCGGATGGCTGGGAGCGCGGAGAATCTGGACGATGGTTCGACTTGCTAATGCCTCCGAGCAGCCCTCGGGAAAGCCCATCGTCGCGGAGATCAATTCACGGAAGCAATTCTGCAATAGAGCGAAGCTCATAATAATAAATGTCAAGCGCATGAAAGCCAATTTCTGACTTTAGCCAGGCACAAATGGCCTCCCGGACGACCTCGGGTTCCAGTCTTGTGTGAAGATCACGCCGACTTTGAGTCCTCAGCCAAGTGAACAACTCTAGCATGTGCTATCTAAAATGCGGGTACAAATGGTGATCATAAACCTACACTGTGCAACCTTAGATACGTTTCACAACCTCATCGACAACTTCACTGGTCTTGCTCTTTCCACCGAGATCGGGTGTCAACACCTTCCCCTCCCTAATCACAACATCTACCGCATTTTCGATGCGGTCCGCGCCCTCGCCGTACCCGAGATGACGCAACATCAGCGCAGCTGAACGCATGGCCGCCAACGGGTTGGCTATGTTTTGCCCAGCAATGTCTGGCGCCGAACCGTGAACCCTGCGAAAGCGTTTCAGTCATCCGGGCACGACCAGCAACCAATCGACCACTCACGGTTCACCCATCACAAACGAATCTCCAGCGTTCACGGATGGCACCAGGCCAAGGGACCCCACGAGGGCGGCCGCCGCATCGCTAGAAGGATCCTCAATCACGAGAACACAATTCTAACTAAACCGTGAACTTACGAGATAATATCACCGTACAAGTTCGGAGCGACCATTACGTCGTATATCCTGTTCTCGCTAGTCAGCGCTAAGGTACCGGGTATGGTCGGGTCACTCACTCTGGCTCACGGAAGAGTCTACACCAAATCTAGTTAGAAGGCCTAGCGTAGATAGAATTCTACGCACCTGTATACTGCACTATCGACAAGCTGCTCGGCAATAGTGATATCCCCGTATCTGCCATTCACCTCTGGCAATCCAGGAACGCTACGGACAGTCTCCCGGAAAAGGCCATCGGTGATGGAGAGAACATTCGATTTGTGAATAATGGTGACATGCTAAAACCGGCCTAGATGAGTACAGCATTTGGTATCAGCATATATTTCCTCACCTTCCTTGGGCGAGTGAGAGCCGTTCTGAATGCCATATCACCTATACGGCGCGATGCACGCTCGGTGATGAGGCGAGTTGCACGCGCTTCCTTTCCATTTTCAGTGACCACCTGGGTCTCCTGCTTGACGTACTGGAGATTCATAGGTTAGTGGATGTCAGTGCTTACTAGGCGAAAATATGTACGAACGAGACACTCGGTGTTTTCGCGAATAACAACGAGGTCTACGACAGGGTTCACAGCGGGATCAACGGAGACCTGCATCACTTCAATAACATGACCTCACGTCCACGCATATTTGCAAGCTTACCGACTTAACCGGTCGAATGTTAGCATACAAATCCAACTTCTTCCGCAGAGCCACGATAGGCGACGAGTATCCTATAACTTTCTTTGAAGGCGAGCTATGTACGTGCGTGAGTTGTTAGATTTCCGACACATGTTGTGTTCACCAACCTGACCGCACCAAAAAGCGCACAATCACACTCGTTCTTAAGAGCATCGACAGTCTCGTCTGGCAGAGCTGTTCCAGACCTTGTAAAGTACTCAAAGCCAGCCATAAGGTCGATGAACTCGGGCTTAGGAACCGAGGATCCTAGCGCGAGGATAGCCGCTCGGGCCGCCTAAATTCGTTGGGTCTTCCTGGGCACAATCCCAGTCAAGTTGCGAACTTACCGGAAGAACCTCTCGGCCAATACCATCCGCTGGCAACATGCCAATCTTGAGTGAAGACCTGGCCGCTGTAGCCATAGACCGGGACGGTGCTTTAAGCATAACACTGGACAGACGAGACTGCATGACGGGAGGCTGCAAGAGGGTGAGCTGCTGGGACAGTGGACGGCCGAACAGTTATGCAAGATTGATGCAAGAGTTGGAGAGAACCCGAAAAAATCCGTGTTCTGATTGGGCGTGCCTGAGAGCCAATAGCTGACTCTGGATTGCTGTGTCACGAACAAAGTGACAGGCGCGTGGCGATCTTTACACGTGTTTCTCCCGCGACGCGTTGATTAGCGTCGCGTCGTTGTTGACTGTTTGCTCCACCCTTGGCCCCACCGCGTCCGTGGCGTTTCGGTGACATTTGGCTCCGTCCTGGTACTCCCTAATTCCTTGTCAGTCTCGCAAGATGCACAATGATCCTCCGTCTTCCCCTGGGCCTATCCTACAGAACACAACAAATTTCAATGCATGGAGACGTGATCCTGACTCACCGCGGCGTGGTTCAAAACGACAGCACCCTCTCACCGAAAAGACCTCGCTGAAGCCTCCGAGTGTGAAGCGTCTCAAGTTAACGAAACCCTCAGCACCGGCCGAAGAGCAGGCATCTGATAACGACGAACCCGATTCCAGAATTATCATACGACGTGGCAAGAGGCGCACGACTTTCGGTTGTCTGAATGCAATTGCGTGTACACCCCCGAACAAAACCGCGCCCCTCCAGTGTACGCTTCCTACGCATGTTCCACGTCTCATGTGCTCATGTCGTTTAGTGCCATCTCGTAGCATTCTCCAATCATTTGTTTCCTCCCATAAATCAGATGTCTTCAAGTGCTTCTCCAACACCGAAGGGCGCATGATGACCACACCATATGCCTGTGCATTCTCCAACTGTAAGTCGTTTTTGTATAACAGGATATGACAGACCCTTTTGACCCCTATAGGCGCAAAAGAAGGGCGGGATGCTCTGTTGGCGACTGCCACAGAGGAAGGGACTATCATCATATTGAACACAGCGAAACGGCGAGACTGGGACTACGGTACGTCTTCTTGGCTTGTCACGTCGATGAAATCTCATCCTGGAGCAGAACCCCAGCGTACGGTGCTTACCCCTCACTCGAATGGGATCTTTGACGTGAAATGGAGCGCGGACGACACGCGTATAGCCACTGCTTCTGGAGACAAGTCGATCCGAATAACCTCAGTCGAACGTCAAACCGTCCTACACACTCTGAGCGGACACTCTAGTACCGTCAAATGTGTGGCTTGGGATCCAACTCACAGGGACATCCTGTGCTCAGGAAGTAGAGACGGTTCTATCCGTATATGGGATTTGCGAGTGAGCGGACAGCTCATGGAGGATAACTCTGTAACCTTGGAGAGTGTTATCACACATCTGGCAGCGCATGGCAAAGAGAAAATCACTGGTCGAAGAAAGACACAACCCCATCCCAGAACAGTCACCAGCGTCGTCTATTCAGGCAACGCTCCCCACGGGCTGGTTAGCAGCGGAAGCCACGACGGGTAAGTTACAGTATACATTGAAAGACGGCAAACAATTGAGTCGTTTAACCATACGTAGGATATTGCATTACTGGGATATGCGTCTGCCTTCAGACTCACCGAAGAAAACAAAGAAGCTTCCGACGAGTCCCATTCGCTCGTCTTCAGTGGATCCGACTGTCCTCCAGGGATCGTGTCGTCCTCGGGGAATCAAGAGCGTAACTGCTGGCTCGGGACCCTCCGCTGGGCTTCTCTTCGCTTTGGGATCCGATTCGCGTTTGCACACCTACGACACATCCTCCTTGGTGCCCCTCGCTGCCGACACACACCCCAACCTTCGGGTAGACACGTTCTACGTTCGCACGTCTATTTCGCCATGCGGTCGTTGGCTTGCTAGTGGCAGCTCAGGGTCTCATGGCAGTGTTTTCCTCTTCGACGTCAGCAATGCTGGAAGACTTTCAGCCGCTACGGGTCTTGCAGGTGGATCAAGACAGCCCGTAGAGCTGAGAGGTCAGAGTGGAGAAATTGGAGCTTTGGACTGGGCAGATGATATGCTGGCTACTTGTGCGGATGATTGCACAGTCCGGCTATGGCGCCCGGACCTCGACATTCACCATCAATGTCTTGAAGATCCAGAGGAGAAGAAGTGGGAGTGGTGCTGGACACCGCCTCTGTAGCCATAGACCAAGCACTTATTATATCCTGTTCAATGTAGATAATGCATTGCAAGCGCGGGACTCATGGCCCCGAAGGCTGCTTGTACTTGACGCCTTGGTTTGATCCATGTTATTATGTGGTCAAGTCAGCAAGAGCGCGTCGACATTAGCATGTCCACTATTAATACCGTATGAATCGTAGATATTCCAAGTTGTCCGTCCAAAAGTTGGTAAGTGACTAAGTGTCTGAGTATATGGGTTGTATGCACGAGGATTTACTTCTTCTGTATTGCATTGACGAGCCTGAACCACGGAAAAAATTATGAATTGTACAAAACCAACAAGTAGTGAAAGTGGGATACATACCAGTCTAAACCGTCCTCAAGGCCCTCACCGCGAGTGGCACAACTACCGCGCACACTCCACTGCCGCGACGTCTCTCCACCTGCAAGGCCAAGCTTGTCGCTAACTTCTTCAGGCTTCAAGGCGCCGTCCACGTCCTGCTTGTTGCAGAACACAAGAAGGGGGACGCCTGAAAGCTCCTCTTCCGAGAGCATTGTCAGCAGCTCAGTTCTGGACGTCTGGAGGCGAGCGTGATCTGAAGCGTCAATGACATATATGATGGCGGATGTGTTTGGGAAATAACATCTCCAATATGGTCTGACAGCCTTGGGTGAGGCCGTGGATGTACGTCAGACAGAGGGGTACTAACCGGATGCTAGACTGTCCACCCAGATCCCAGACTTGAAATTTAATGTTCTTATACTGATAATGCCATAAGTAGGGCACCGAAGGGGGTGAAACAATGAGACGCACTTGTACTGTTTCTACGTTGAAGCCAATAGCTAAGAGAAAGCCTTAGTAAAGAGCTGTAGACGGTAGCGGAAGACCGTACTCGGAATTGTTGACACGACTTCGCCAATCTACGAATGCATAAGAAGTATAAATTGGAGTTGTGGACGTTAAGCTGACCTGCAACCGGTACAGTATAGTAGTCTAGAGGATCGAAAGCAGTGAGCTTTACGTGGAACCCGTGGAGGTAGTTCACGTACTTTGCCAGCTGAGTCGAGACCGAGCATGAGTATTCGTACATCCTGTTCTTTGCTCCACTTCACCAGCGATGTCAGTGAGCTAAAGATGGAGGAAATTGTTAGGCCCATGGCTTAGAGGGGATGAGTTCGGAGGTGTTGGTGGTCGATGTCAGCGCGGGGCAGCCTTTCTGGTAAATACCGGACTATAGGATTTCGCCGCACCCACGCACCCGCACCCACGCTCCGACCCACGCTCCGCCGTGAGGGCAGACTCGGACACAGAACACCAGGTGCCCTGTCCGAAGACATGGAATCCGAAAAAGAAACGAGAAATCATGTTACCCCTGTATACAGAGTAGGAAACTTAAGTGTACAAGGTACTAATCACAAACCAATGACTAGTACTAAAACATACAAACAGTGCTTGCGAGTATATGGCAGTTCAACGTTGGTAGGCATCAATCGCGGCACGGATGCTAGGTCCGGGACGAGAATTTAGGCTTCAACAACCATCAGTCGCCACCACTATTCTAGGTCACCACAAGAAACCAGTCACATACAACGTTGCTTTCAGCTAAACGTACAGGCCAATTCAAGCCCGTCGTTCGTACCAGAGGATTGTGGATCGTCGGTGGATCGTGGATCGTGGATCGTGGATCGTCGGTGGATCGTGGATTAAGTGACAAGCTAGACACTGTTGCTCGCTCT